CAGATGGTCTATTTCGGCCTGATTGTACCCTTCTTTCCTTAAAGATCTTAAAATGAACAGGCACTTGTTTGTTTTAATTAGTTTTTCCCGAATATGTGTTATGAACCTACTGTCTTCCTGAAATGTTACCCCTAAAATAGTAAGCTCTTTTGTCTGTGGTATTCCAGACACCATCGGAAACTCTATTGTACAACCTTTCTTGCGGAAAATGATTTCCTTGCACTTAGATGGATTGCTACACATACCATTACTTCTAGACCACTGGGAAAACTGATTAATCAGTGCGATAGAATTGTCATTATCACCTATCACAGGCGAGATAATGGTTGTATCATCTGCATATTTTACCAGCACGCTCTTATTGTCCAAGTGTATCTCTAAATCACTGAGAAAGACATTGAACAAGTGCGGCCCGCTGACACTTCCTTGGGTGGTACCTTTGTTGACACTTTTCCATTTTCCAATAAACCCATTTCTAATGACTCTCTGCTGCCTGTCTTCCAAAAAGCTTAGATACCAGTTAACTATAAAAGGATTTAGGGGGAGTTGCTTCAATTTGTGTGAGAGGAGATCGTGTTTCACACTATCAAAAGCCTTGCTGAAATCCATAGCGAATAGGCGTACCGCTTTGCACTCTGGGATATCAAGATATTGATTGACAGTATGTTGGATAGTCAGTAGAGCATTGGTACAGCTCCCTCCCTCTATGTATGCAAACTGTGAGATCCCAGAATGTTCATCGAAGGTCTCCCTTGCGTGTGTTCCTAAGACAGCTTTCTCAAAGCACCTTGCGATGACAGGTGTCACATTTATTCCATGGAAGTCTGATATTCCCTTAGGTATATCAACCTTCGGCAAGGGGTACAGGTCTGACTTTTTCCAAGAGACAGGCCAGGCGTGTGTTCTAAGAGACAGATTCCAAATCCAGGTGATCACTGGAACGAATAGCTCGGCGTGGTCTTTCCATATAGTATACGGGATGCCATCTGGTCCGGTTGCTGTTTTCTTTATACGCATAAGAGAATTCAGGACTTGTCGCTCTGAAATTTCTGGGACTTCCTGATCTTCACTAATCTCCAGAGGTGTTGGCTTTCTGTAGGCGTGGTCAGTACATAGGTCACCAAAGTAGTCATTTAACGCGTTGAGTTCGTAGTGGCCAAGAGATAGAGAAATCACCGGCTTGCGGCGCTGAGATGTTTTATCCACTTTTTTCCACCAATCCCGAGTTCCAATAGAGGCGATAAAGTCCCTTCTATTTCTGAAAATCACTTCAGAGATCCTTTTATTCATAACTTTAAGACGGTCTAGATTACTGAGTGATATGCGTGATTTGGCTCGTATCATCGATCGAACGAGCGGAGTCATCCAGCCCGGGTCTCTTGAAGACATGCGCACTGTTTTCAGAGGCATGCAGCTATCCAGGTGCCCTAGGATGGTATTTTCGAGCCTACCAACCACTTCATCGACATCAGTTTCCTGTATCATATCATCCCAGTTTTCCTTCGCCAACGCGATATACAGATCACGCTTTCTATGAGCCCTTTGGTCACGCACGTATACTTTACGGCGGATAGGTGGAAGCTTTATACCGGGTGGTAAAATAACTCCCATGTGATCCGTCTTGGAGAGCATGTGAAAGGGATAGCACTTTGAAAAGAGATCCGTGCGGTTCGTGAAACAGTTGTCCAAACAAGAATTCCCTCTGGTGGGGAAATTAACCAGAGCATTCCAACCAGACATTTCTTCGAAGCGTTTGATATCCAGTTTGTTGACATCGCCACCGCACAACACAACTGTTTGTGGATGTTTGTCTAGTATATTATCCACGGTATTTACAAGATGATTCATTAGATCGATCTCTGCATAATTAAATTTTGGGGGATGATAAATTCCACATATTACAAATCGATGTCCCTTGGGAAGTCGCAGAGTTATACAAATTAATTCATAAAGACTAGAGCGGTAAACATCCTCTACTGCAAGATTGTTCCTGATGTATATAGCAATCCCACCCTTATTGCGCATATCTCTGCCATTCCAATTTCTGTCTCTACGAAAGATGGAATAGTTCTCAATATTTACAATCGCATCCGGTTGTGCCGGTTTGAGGTGTGTTTCCGATACGACACAAACATCAATATCTTTAGATCGCAAGTCAGCCTCAAGTCCAACCGCCGCACGCACTTTGTTCTTAGTTTTTGCGAGACTGCAAATATTGATGAACATACACTTGGGAACGGCAAACTCGAGCAATCGGTAGATGATTTAGTAGGCTCTCGAGGAATAGCTGTAAGATATCTGTTCTTAGCGGGATCTTGGAAGCGATAAGGTCTAGCAAACCGCCGGGTTTTAACAACTTCAATGGGTCGACATCTGTCGGAGTGTTGCGATGCAGAGATATTTTTAGTAATTTTCCCCAATCTTCGTAATCCCGGACCTCTGTATTTCAGAATTCCCAGGGATTTAAGGGTATCGAAAACATGAGGCGCAGGTCGGCCCGCCGAACGTCTCAGCGAAAGTAGCCTGTCACGATTGTGAGAGCAATGGATTCTGACTGACCCAATTGCAGGTTGACAAGCAGAGTCCGAGGAGTTGGAGCTCTGTTTTCGTTTACCGTGGTCATTATCCACTTCTTCAGGTCCAGGATGTGGATGGACATCCATATTAACAGTAATGTCGAGCACAACAAACTTCTCTAGTGCATTTGCGCTCCTTGTGGATGTGGGATGGGGCTTGTCTGAGCGTGTAGATTTGTGGGTAATGCGTACCGCGATGCTTTCTTTGCTAACAATGTTATTGATCTTGTGATTGAGTCGTTCAGAAATGTACGAGATCTTAAGGTGTGACCATTCTGTGTTGGCAGGTTGAGGGTTGGGGGTTTTTGTGGGCGTTTTGCTTGTTCTATACTGTTTTCTGGATAACCGTTAAGGCGAAGGATATCATCGAATGTGTTTAGGTGTTGTGTTGCAGATATATGTGAGGAGTATCTGTCCTCGATGCATTTTCGTTCGTTGCGAATGAAGTTGAGTTTGGATTTGGTAGGAATAGCTGATTGATGGTGGACGGATAGTTATTTCTTGGCTGGTTTTTTGTAGAATTCAAAAGAGTTGTTGCCATCCTTGGATACGGTGACTTCGAGTAATGGCAATGACGGGCCACCAGGTCTTGTTTCTGGTTTTTCAATTTCGAATTTCAAATTAGGGTGCACATTGTTTATTATATGGTGGAAGTGGTCTGCTGTTTCTTCATTAGTTGTTTGGAGATAAATGTCAACATCTCAATGATGGAAACCGCTAATCTACGCCTTTATGAAGCATTTTATATTAGAAAGTGCAAGCCTACGCTCAATTCCCGGGAAGAATGTGGTGAATTCGCAGACCTTCTATTTTAGTATTTTATTTGTGCAAGATAGCTCGACCCAAGAATAATCAGCGTTTAGTTTATAATGGACATAAACGTGTACATTCATTAAAGTTTCAGAACGTTGTTCTTCCGAATGGGCTCATGGCCAACCTAAATGGATCCTACGAGGGGCGAAGGCATAACGCCACAATGCTCTACGAATCAAGCTTACTAAGGGATCTGCAAGAAGTTGCATGGGCCAATGATGGAAGGCCTTTATGTTTGTAAGTCGACCCAGCATACCCTTTAGGCATTCATTTACAAGCTCCATTACCCCACAGATGGTAAGATTCAATGAGCGTATGAGTGAAGTCAGAGTAGCTGTAGAATGGATGTTTGGCTGCATTTCAAATTACTACTAGTTCGTTGAGTTCCAAAAGCAGCCCCAGATTGGCCTTAGCCCTGTTGATAAAATTTACCTAGTTTGTGGCATTCTTCAAAATGCTCACACATGCCCCTATGGGAATATTATTTCAGATCATTTTGGTGTCGAATCACCAAATCTTCTTACCTTTTTCTGGTAAAATATACATAAATATTGTATATGATATTTGTAATTATTAATGTTGTTCAAAGATTATCTCCAATATAGAGAACTGCATTTGCATGCACAGATACATTGAGACACTTCTGATCGGTCTTTTCGAGTGGTGGAAAAAGTGGTCATTCTTGTTTACATTGTACTACAAATCCAATGTGTGAAACAGCTCTAGCTTTCAACACCATTGTGCAACACTGTATTCAAGTAATGTGGAATAAAAATTAGTTAAATATGAGTTGTCATTGTACGCTTTCATTGATGTATTCTAACGATAAAAAAAATGCTATAGGGTTCAACAAAAAGCTCTTATGATGCTAACAAAAATTTTTCTCTGTAGCTAGGCTTATTTATGTTTTAACTTTAATGTTCTCAGGGACAGGAAAGAAAAACGGCTTGTGTACCAATTATAGAGTTTACTCGCAAGATGAGCGTGACTCATTAAACCTTAAACAAAAAATCTCCTCAACAGTTGTGGTAAGATTGGACTAACTGTAGCTTTAGGTAACCTGGCTAGAAAAAAAATGTATATGTTTCAATTTTCCTTTGAGAATACAACAGTATACAATCCACTTATAACAACTTTTATTATCAAAATATTCATTATAACTGATTCCTTTTTATTGCCAGCTGTATGATGTTTTGAAATAAGAAAATTAGTAGCCAAACTTCAAGGGTTTATGTAATGATCACGATCAGCAACGTATGGTCACATTTACAGTGATTAGAAATGACAATTTAAATTATTTGGTGAGAGGTAAATCAAAGTACCACTCCTTTAAGGGGGTTATTTCACTCCAGTTTATGACCAACACAAGTCTCAAAAACTAAACAATATTTTCAAAGAGTAGACAATATTGGACATATTTCAGTCAAAAACTACAGATAAGGTCTTGTTATAACAGCACTAACCATAAAGGGAAATCATTTCAAACTTTTTTTAAACAATGCATATGTAAGCACGAGTAATATCAAAGTTTACTCTTTATCCTTTTTCGAAGTAAAAGCTTTAGCTGTTATTGTTGCTGTTGCAAAATGCTTATCATCTGCTGCATTAGCATCATTTGTCCTTGTTCTTCTGCATAAGCTTCGTTTGTTCTTTCCTTTCTCTTTGCTGGAACTCTCTTTCTTCTCTTTGTTCTTCAAGTTGGTGCTCTTTGTACTTCAAATCTCGCTCCGTTTTTCTTTTTTTTTCTAGCCATGCCAGGGTGTCTCCGTCAGTTCTTCGTTTCTTTCTTTCCTTGATCTTGTCATCCTGACACTCGTCAGATTTTGATCTTTTTGAAGTTTGGCCTATTGTTTCCATTGCTCTTTTCCTTATATCAATAGCTAATTCCTTTTCTGCACTGATTTTTTTCTTTAGCACTTTCGGCTTCTGCATCAGCTTTCTTGTCAGATTCTTTACTTAAGAGGGTTTACTCTTCCAGTAGTAAATCAAATCGCTTAGTTTTTTCGCCTTACACCTTCTTAAAATGATAGTAAATCTGTCTCTAACACCTCTCGAAGTGACAGAATTAAAGAAATTTTTATGACAATTCGGATTTTTGGCAATAGTTTGCCATATATTGCCTCTTTTTTTGCTTCCAGACTTGAATTGAATAATCCCTTGAGCAGCCATCTCTCTCATGAGTAAAATATCCTTTTGTTCTGTCTAGTGCATCACAATTCTGAAAAAACGTATCGAATCAATACTTATAAGACTTCAAACATTTTGTATAGAATACAAATCAATTAAAATACTTACTTTTTCGGTGTGTTTTCCATCTTTAAAGCAATTTCACATTCCCGACAAGACAGCAAACTGCTCGATTCTATGTCCACAACGCGACGCCAGAACCTTAGGGCGCGGGAATTTAACTTAGTACCAAGCCCATTCACCGAGCTCGACGTCCTAAATGAAGGCCGCGTCTTCATGCCAAATCAGTCTAATATGGACCTACTCGCAGAACCAATTGTTTGACTCCGGAGTCGATTTCTACAAAGGAAGTCTCCAAATATCTGCACGCTGAAATCCTCTGTTCCTGCAGATATTTTTAAAGTTTTGCCATATTCACAGCGTTGAAATCGGTTCTAATTTTGTGTTCTGCCATTCTGAGCTATTACTGTTCTTGAACGTTGAATTGGTGCCGCAGAAAATCGCCGCAAAAATCGCTACACGATACGAAATTCCGTGTGGGATCAAGGCTTGCCTACGTTGTACAGCAATTTGTGGGCACAAATTTCCTATCAATCGTGGGTTTATTTGACAATCTACGCATTTTTCTCCCTGAAAATACCTGATCAGATACATCACTGTAAGCACGCAAAACAAGTTTGATTATTTTATGTTATAACGCTTCCTGCTACATTCTTCGCATCTACTTCAGCGGTAGCGAAATATCAATTCGCTTGATGAGTAATCAAACATATGATACAAAAAAGAAGTAGATTATGAGCAAAGAAACGCTCCACGACAGTTGACTCAATGTCCGAACGTTCGGTTGACATTACACGTGAAATCTAAAGCCTAAAAGGTGATATGTCAAATAACGTCTCTTTTCAAATCCCGTCGCATCAACGACTAAAGCGTCTTCTTCTAAGCAGGTGATTATTCACATGTATTCCATCTGCTTTTCCTTTTAGAATATAAGGGTAGTAAAAATTTGAAGAGATGAATTTAAAGCTGCTGAAAATTTTCTGTTCACTCCGGCAGTGGCCAAAAACGGCTTCGTGTTTTGAGATGTGGAAATTTCATGTGGATATAGCACATGCACAAGTGAACCCGCTCTGTAGCTGTCAGTCTTTAATAGCTTTCCTAATAGTCGGCAGGTGAAAATTAGCAAGCCATACCACTTTGTGGTATGGCTTTTCTAGTATTTAGTATATTTGTATTTATTATATTTGTGTCGATTTCGCTTATGTTCTCTTCTTTTCACTTGAGCTAACGAGAGATCTTGACTAACTCACGTAGGCTAGCAATCAATCATGTCTATTAATTTATTTAATTTATTTGATTCATTTTGAACTGATCCTTGATCTGGTGATCCTTGATCCGGTGATCTGGCGATCCTTGATATATTTTTCCCGGGAAGCCAACCGGCTCTTGTTTCTCCAGTGATGACTCCATGCTAACATCCACTGGTCGTGGGTCTCGACAAGATGGGAGGGTTTCGCCATCTGTTTGAAGGAAAAAGAACACAGAGATTAAAGCTCGGTCAAGGGTGTAACATGTCGTTTTCATCTTGGTTTGGCTTACTTTATTTTAGAGTATGAAATTCATGAAAAAAAAAATTGATTTTGCTCACGAGTAAATTTTAATTGTGTACTGAAAATTCTCAACCGGGTTCAAGAGCTTAGGTTGCAAGTTGTCTATGCCGAGGATGCTGAGACCCACAACATTATAAGAAACCTTTTAGCCCTTTCATTTCTTCCAGATAGCGAAATCCCTGTCAAGTTCAAAGCCTGGACCAAAGGCTAAGCTATTAGGATACAGATGCGGCTTGTAGCTGTTGGAAAAATTAACAAGGATTCAGAGAAATTCCTATCGGCTGCTGCGGACGAAGGTCGACCAGGAGTGGAGAAAGTATATGGGAAGAGAGAAGACGGGAAGGCACCTGTTGAAATCATGGGCCAAGTTATATGCACCACCACGCTGCAATTATGAAGTTAAAGTTTATCTACACGTCTCGAGAAACGGTTCCTCCAGGAATCACAAAATTGAAAAGGAGTCAATTGGCCAATGGAAGTTACCAAAGAGGCAAAATAAAAAATGAAAAAAAAAAATCTAAATCGGATCTAAAAAAAAACAAATAGGAGTCAACTATTTTGGCTTTCACATACTACAAAATTATCTTGACAGTGCAGACTATTTTTGAATAAACAGTTACATCCATAGAATTGAAAAAGTCAAAAACTCTCCTCTAGGTTTCATACAACAGCGAAAATTTCCATAAACCATCCTTCAACATAGGAGTAACATGTTATCCATTCACCACAATGTGGTTATTGACTTGACGTATATGTTAGCCTTAAGTGGAAAAATCTAGCACGGCTTTGAGTATCGATCCCTACTTTGATCGATAAAAGCATGCGTTTATCAGCACCGTGTGGTATAGAAATAGCTGATCGCTTTGTGTATTACCATAAAACTATGGCTGATTACGGCTTTATTCTGTTAAAACTTCTGATTTAGAGCCTCGGCCTTAGCTGCGTGAACCAACACTGTCTCATAAACTCACGTGTCGTGGCTGTTTTATTCAAGAATGTATCTACTCCAGTGAAGTCATTTCGATATATGTCACGTGATAACCCTAAAATAGAACCATACACCCTGAGGTACAATATGTTTCAAATTATATAATTTCTTAAATTTATTCCACATTTAAAGGCTTTAATATGGAAGAGAACGTATCACTATAAACTGTTTCTTCTAAATTTATCATTTGCTATGTTGTAGTGTAGGCGCCGAAAAACGACTGCAGCCAATAATTTCACGACGGTTTCGTGTTTACCGAGATTCGCTCTATCGAAATATACCTCTCGTGGATGAAATATATAGATTACAAAAACCTTAAGGAAAAATAAAATTTTACACCAAAATAGAAATAGTGCTTCAGCAATTAGAATAATGTTAGCAATTAGAAATTTACCTAACAATTTCGATCCTAACAGGTATTTAACTGTATGAATTGGCTCTCGTTTTCCACAAAGTGTCTTGGACATCTCTGTAATAATCTGACTGAAATAATTAACGACACCGAGGCAAACAAAAATGCGCAAGCAAAAGATTACTTTGAATTACGGCTGAGGGATTTCCCGAATTTGGCAAGTGCTATTGAAAAACCTTGCTTGAGATCTTACCAATGTGAGTTGGCATCGACAAATTTAAGTTCAAACAGGAACCCAGGTAATTAACACCGTAATCCCTGATTGCTTCATATTACTTAAGCAAAGGGCATCTTCCAAGGTTGAGTATTATCTATGAGGCGACCATGCATAACTACTGTGAAGTATCCACTCGACCATATTGATGCAAAAACTGCATTGACAATTGCCACAAGTGTATGTCTCTTCCATCTTTTTCTCCAAACAGCCATGACAGCAATATTCTGATAGTAAGTCTCGATCGCCAGAGATACGCAGGTGAAAACCCACTCAATCACTAGTAAAATTGACGTTTGGACGGAAAACGACTGAAACAACTTTGCAAAGGGTTGTTCCGATACGTAAATAAATTGATGCAAGTAAAAAACGCTATTTAAAGACACTATAGCAGTTGATTCATACAACATGCACATGATAGCGGTATCAGCCATAAGTCGCTCACGGCGAGGAGTGCGAAAACTTCCCAAAGGAGCTGATCTTCTTTTCCAAATCAGGTGACCAAAATGATCGATGACAACCATAACGCTTCGTTCCAAGACTTCTGCAACACCATGAATTATTCCTAGAACTGACATGGATTGTAAACTGTTCAATTCCGCTTGTAAAACTCGGAACACGATTGCACAGCCGAAATACACTGGTGCTAGCAAAACATACGAAAATCCAGGAAAGGTAATGTTCCACAACCGTTGGATCGAAATCCTGCAAATCACTTTCAGTAAAACTCCAATAAGAGGAGAGAAGATTGCGATAAGTAGTTTATTATGCTTGGTTTGGCCTTCATAGGCTGGGTAAATAATTTGAAATGAAATAGTTGAAATAATCATGCTGAAACAGGTAGGGAGAATAAGTTGTAGGAAGAAAGTGGCTCGTTGTCTACCTGTTCGTCTTTCAGAGAAATGTGCGCTCACAAGATACACCTGACAAAATATACTGGAAATAAACAAAACGCGAAGTGGGACGCTCTGTAACGAAAATGGCTTATTCAGTGAAGCTCTGTCCAAGACTTGTAAGGTCACACGATACAATGCATCCAACAAATAAAAGAGGAACGAAACCAGAAAGAGTCTTCCTTTTAGCCCCTTCAATTGATACGGCCGTAAAAGAAAAAACATGCTAACAAAGAACCACATGTAGAGAGAGAAGCAAGATATGATACCAGATATTGAAGTAATCCATTGTACTTTTACTGGAATCGTATTTTTGGAGTTGAAAAGACAGTTAAGTTCAGTTCTGTAAATGAGATAAACTAAGAGCATGTAGAGTGAGCCTATGACAGAAGATGCTATCAAGGAAATGAAAGCTCTAATGTACATTGATTTACCAACTGTGCGGAGAGCAGATAGTCTAAGTCGCTTCCATGCCATTGCTCCATCTTCTTCTTGCCTTTCATTTTGTATTTCTTCGTTTTCGTCCAGTGAGCAGGCATCTATAACCCTTACCTTGCAAGTAACATCAGTCTGATAATTTAAGGTTCTGACTTCTCTGTCGCTGTATTCCTGATAAATAAGCTCATCAACTGGGAGATAATTCCACTCCAGACCTGTGCTTTGTAAAGGCTCGTAGCCCGAAGACTCTGCCGTGAATTCAGGTTCTTCAGGGTTGAAACGCTCAGACACGCTTTGCGTAAAACTGACAAATATGTGACCAAACACCTCTATCACTGCGCTGCCATTCATGCTCGACGGTGTAGTTATTGACGCAGGGTATCTAGGATGGCCTTTAATATCGATCCCTTTATTGACTGATAGGACGCAGCGCGATTTAGTACCGTGTGATATCGAAACACCTGTGCACATTGTGAACATTGTGTGTATTACCATGAAAATAGGGATGATTTTTTTTGCATGTTTTAAGCTTGACCTGCGCAAACAATCGCAATAAGTAAGACACCAACCACATCCGAGAAAATTTCCATCATCACAGCCAACTGTCATATACTTCATTAGGTGATATCTGAAAGGAACCCTTCTGTAATTTTATTGCTGCAGAGATAAAAAAAAAAGGACAAAAACATCTTTATTATGTCAAAGGCGTCTGATGAAGACCTACAGTTTCATTTGCGTGATCTAACATTGTATTTATAAGCACACTTACTGTCGCTATTCCATTAAAATTACAGAGAGACTCTAATGAATTAATTTCGGCAATTTAGGCCACGCGATATCCCTAACATAAAAGCGCTCACACTAAGGTAGAACATGTTCCAAATTGTACCACCTTTCAAATGTATTCCAAATGTCTCGTGTTTCCCCCTACACTTCTCTCTTGCGCTAGCCGCTTCCTGCGTGCTTCACAACAGAACAGAGCACAGTCAAGGTTTCTTTATTTGTTAAACATAAAGTCAACCAGACTTGGTAAAGATCTCTGAAAACTCAGTCCTTACTCTTAAGTAAACGGCATTTTACAGGGGTGGCCTTCGTGTCTGGGGCGCTTGTGCATAATTTCTACCAGGTATGCACTTGACCATAATGCTAAGGGCACTGCATTAAAAACTGCCACAAGCACAGGCGGCCCAAGCTCCAGCTGTGAGATGATCATCTTACGCAATAACGGTCATGGCGGAATTATAAGAGTTTGTATAGGAATATTTGCGAGCGCTCTAAGGAATAAAAAAATACGTCAAATTCTCAAAAAAAATACCTCACCTCGCTTCCACATCGTATTGCTTGTTATCTGACCGCTTACTTTGATGAAAAGAGCCCATTTGAGCGAGTTGTTAATTTCGAGGTTTTCAACGTACATAAGAAAAGCCTTTTCTTATGTACGTTGAAAACCTCGAAATTAACAACTCGCTCAAATGGGCTCTTTTCATCAAAGTAAGCGGTCAGATAACAAGCAATACGAGGTGAGGTATTTTTTTTAGAATTTGACGCATTTTTTTATTCCTTAGAGCGCTCGTAAATATTCCTATACAAACTCTTATAATTCCGCTATGACCGTTATTGCGTAAGATGATCGTCTCACAGCTGGAGCTTGGGCCGCCTGTGCCACAAGAAGATATCGTTTCCATCTTTTCCGCCAAACAGCCACGACGGCCATGTTCTGATAGCGAGTCTCGATTACAAGAGATACGCTGGTGAAAAGCCACTCAATCTTCATTATAATTGACGTTTGGAAAGCAAACGATTGAAGCACAGGCGGCCCAAGCTCACGTCTCGAGAAAGCCAACGATGAATTCATGAACGCGTCACGCGTTGTGTGACTCGGTATTAAGTTACGGGAGGAACCGTTGAAAATTTGAACACGTTATAAGGAATAGTATGGGGAACGAAATATGGTCGATTTACAACGATAAATATTTCGAAATATGAATATTTTGCATGTAAAATCAATAAAAACTTACTCATGCCCCGTGTATCCGTCGTAGTTTCTGGCGATTTCTACCGTTTTAAGCTTGCTTTACCACCACTGTTATCCCTGTCAACAGTGATGGTAAAGCAAGCTTAAAACACACAACGCGTGACGCGTTCATGAATTCATCGTTGGCTTTCTCGAGACGTGAGCTTGGGCCGCCTGTGATTGAAGCAACTTTAGAAAGGGTTTACTTGGTAGGTACACAGACTGATATAAGTACATTGTGTCGTAAACAGACATGACACCAATTGATTCATATAACATGCTTATGATGGCAATATCAGCCATAAGTCTCACAGCGAGGAGTGCGAAAACTTCCCCAAGGAGCTGATGTCCTTCTCAAAATAACGTGGCAGTAGTGATCGATAACGACCATTATGCTCCGTTCTAAGACTTCCGAAACTCCGTGAATTATTCCAAGAGTCACCATGGATCGTAAACCGTGTAGATCCGCTTGTAAAACTCGTGACAAAATCGCTGAGCCGAAATACACCGGCGCAATTAAAATGTATGATTGTCCGGGATGGGTAACATTCCTCAGTCGCTGAACGGAAATCCTGCAAATAATTTTGAGCACAGCCCCAACAAGTGGAGCGAAGATAGCGGTTAATAATTTACCTTCCTTGTTTTGTTTGTTGTATGCAGGGTAGATGGAAAAAAACCGTGATGAAACCGAGGATATAACACAAACAGCTGGGAAGAATCAATTGTATGAATAAGGTGGCTCTTTGTCTCCTCGAATGGCCGGCCGAGAAATGGGTGGTTACAAGATATACTTGCCAGCATATATGCAAGAGAAACAAAAGAATAGACGGCAATTGTGGTAACCCAAATACCTCGGACTTGGATATTTTAAGGCTTGCAGACCAACATGACAAAGAGCATCCAAGCAATACACAACAAACGTGGCCAGAAAGAGTTTTCTTTTTAACCCCATTAACTGATAGGGGCGAATTAGGAATAATAAACCGACAGAGAACTATATATAAAGAATGGCGCGAGATGCGATTTTAGCAATGCATCTCATCCATTGTAATTGTATTGGTATTGATTCCATGGACCGGAACTGACAGTTGAGTACAGTTTTGTACGAGAGATTAGTGAACAATACGAAAAGTGAGCCTATGGTAGTCGCACTTAGAAATGAAATTAAAGCTCCGGTGTACATTGATTTACAAAACATGCGGAGAACGGATGGTCTGAGTCGCTTCCAAGCCATGTCCTCATCCTCATCTCGCTGATCTTCGTTTTCCTCCAGTGAACACGCGTTCATAACTCTTACAGCAAGAGTTCTCGATGGCGGATAAAAGCACCCAGCTGTGTTGCCCCTCTCACTATCACTATTCACTACCTGAAAAATAAACTCATCAAAAGGGCGATAATTCCACTCCTGCGGACCTGTGCTTTCTAGAGGATCGTATCCCAAAGACTCTGCCGTGAATTCAGGTTCTTCCGAATCAAACTGTTCTGTCACGCCTCGAGTAAAGCTGATAACGGTGTGGCCAAACACCTCTATCAGTGTACTGCTAATCATTCTGGATAGGTAAGTGATTGTGGGAACACAAACTTTAAACTTAAGTTGAGATGGAAGATTAATTATAATTTTCAATAGCATTACCTCTTTTGATCCATGGGAGCTCATATCGAAACAGCTGACCACGCTGTGTACAATTTCGGTATTTAGATGCAGTCTCATCTCTAAAGTTTCCTGAAATTACCATGTATTTCAAAGAGTTATCGCGACAGAATTTTCATTTTCTGTAAAGCTATCTAACAAGCTTCAAACAAATAATGTATCTGTCACGTGCTGTGTGCGAGAGTTTTTCATCATAGCCCTGAGGACACGAGTTACTTATAGCTTGGCGGTAGAGCGTCCGAAATACTTATCGGAAGGTCGAAGGTTCTATTTTAATTGGTAACACTTGGAGTTTTTCTTTCTATCCGAGTATGCCTGAACATTTTCCTTCACTTAAACCACCAGGCTTAGAATTAGCCATCTTCATTTAATCATCATTGCGCATAAGCATCATATGGGCATTCCTACCCTTGCATTATGCAGGACGTTTCCCCCCCCCCCAAGTTGGTTAAACTGCCTACCTTATCCCTCTCACATTTAATGTTCATTTCCAGGAAAGGAAGGGTGTTGTCCGCGGCAGTTTCCATGGCGAATTTTTAGGAGGGATGTTTTGAGCTCAAAGCATCAAGAAATGAGGAAACCGCTTGAAGGCTAGGTATGATTGTAAATGTATTGTCAACATAATGTTTGTAAAAGCTAGGTGTTTTGCTCCTACGTGGAGCACATAAACGTGTTCGCTAGTAAAGGTCTTAGGCCACGCCGTCAGTCTGTTCATAGAGCTCGCCGTCAAATTGGGACAGTTGTTCTTTAATTGCTACTTAATTACTTAATTAAATTACTTAATTTAATTAGCTGTTTTTTCTCCAAAGCCGAGCGTCTTGTTAAACCAGTATTTTTGTAAAGAAAGCCCATACGTCCTTATTCCACATAAGCATCTTTTAGAGACAATAAAGGACTTATTATATGACAAAACGATTTCGCTTTATCATGGATGAAGAATGACTTTCTTATTTCGAGAGCCGCGAAAGAAAGCCAACTGTGGTTTGTTACACAATAAACCCACGAGAGTTGTTTATGTTCTCTTTGTTTTGACTGTCTTCTGCAGCTTTTTGGAACTGAATCACCGACATTGCCCCAGAATTACGAGCTTTGTAAGTCCGCTCCACGGAATGTTTTCTTGCGCGGGATCAAAGCAGGCAATCCCTAGCGGACTAAGCTGGGCCCATTTTGCCCGCTCGGGTAGACAATCAGAACACAGAATTCGCTTCATACTGCTATACAATAAATGGCTTACAGCTATATAATAAATGATCGTTATTGTTTATCGCTATTGCATTTAAATGTCAGAGGCCTAACTCGTAATTTTGATTGCTTTAAAAAATTTCCCAAAGAATCTAGAGTTGGGGTTTTCTTTTATTAGTATAGGTGAGACCTGGCTTAGAGATTTAGACCATCATGCTGATATTCCAGATTTTAAATTTTATCCACACACTCCGTAAAGATAGGGCAGTGGTGGTGTAGGGATATCCCTTGGCCTTTATCTAGCCGGCAACCTCGAAAATAACCGTCGATCTGACTTGAATTTCGCTCATGATGAATGTGCAGAATCATTGTTTTTGGAAGTCATCAGGCCGACAGTGAAAAACATAGTTGATGATAGAAATAAGAGAGATGGTGAGTTTTGAGCTCGGTAAAGGAATAAAGAAAGATGTTTTTCGTCTTATCACGAGTGTGGGACAAAGAAAAAAATTCTGAGTCCCCATCACTTCACTTCATGTATTTATTTAAAGAAATATAAGGTTTACAAAACTTCATGTCCTGCAAATAGCTACAATGCTAATCTAGACAGGACAAGACTTTAACTAAAGGCGTTATTAAATTACATAAGAAAAAAGAAAAGAAGAAATACAAAAACATACAGAAAGAAACACCTTACATATAAATTCAAGTACAAGGGATTTTGTTATTTGAAAAAGACTAAAATTACAACTAGAGGTATATACAATATATCAGGTTAACTTCACAAAATATTCTATTAAAAAATTAACATTCAAATAATTATCTTCATTACCTAGAACATTAAGGGGTAGTGATTTAATTTTTTTACGAAAATTAGAAACATTGAGAGTCTTAACAGAAAGTGGAATAGAATTCCAAATAGACACACCGATTCTAGTAAAAGATTTTTTCATTTTTTCAGTTCTAGAGAATTTGACAGAGAAGCATTCTTTTGCAGATAATCGCGTATTATAATGATGTTCTGTATTGATTTTCTCAAACTTATCGAGAAGACTTTTAGGAGCTGTCTTAACATGAACGTCATACATTAAATAGCTTAACTGTTGAAAGAACAAAGACTGCAAAGGAAGGCAGTTTGATTCAATAAAAAAAGGGATTGCATGGTCTCTGGGTTTAGAAAAATAAATCAAACGCAGAGCACGTTTTTGCAGAACAAGTATCTTATTGAGGTAGGTCTGTGGACAGTTGCCCCATGCACAGATACCATAATTTAAATAAGGAGAAATAAGTGCATGATATAAATTCAAAAGAAGACGCCGTGGAATGTAATGCCTCATTTTAGCAATTATTCCAACCGATCTACTAATTTTGTGACAGATAAAGTCAATATGATGCTTCCATGATAGTTCAGAATCAATCATTATACCCAAATATTTAACAAAGTCCTTCATCTCTAGAGTTACTCTAGTATTTAAAGTTGGATTAAAAATCTTAATTTGAGGAATGAAAGGCATTCTTTTTTGGTGGGGACGAAAAATGACATAATTAGACTTTTTGACGTTGAGCGTTAGTTTGTTAGCATTAAGCCATTCGCTTACTTTCTCAAGTTCATTATTGACAGTTAGTTCAAGAGTACGTAAGTTGTCATTTGCATAAGTTAGACTTGTATCGTCTGCGAAAAGATAAAAAGTAAATTCCTTGGAAGATTTATGGATGTCATTAATATATAACAAAAATAACAAGGGTCCAAGTACAGAGCCTTGAGGAATCGAACCTCAGACCTTCGGATTCCGCGCTCTGAAGCTCTACCACTGAGCCACAGAGACTCCACGGTGAGCGAGGTCTATTACAAAGTTCATGTGACACGCGTCCTGCCCACTGCTAGGATCAGCAATGTCGATAGCGTAATGTTTGTAGATAGAAATAAGAGAGATGGTAAGTTTTGAGCTCGGTAAGGAAGTAAAGAAAGATGTTTTTCGTCTTGTCACGAGCGTTGATAGTCTTATAAACAGGCCTTCCGATCAAAATTTGCATGATTTTAGCAGAAGACCAGATCCTCTGCTTACAAGTATGGCTGGAATCTGGATTTAATGAACCACTATTGTCATTAAACTTCTGAGGAGTTTTCAGATGTGATTCATTCTAGATTTTTTCCTTTGATCACTCGGCAAACTATTACGGCGATGCTCACATCATAGATAATATTTTCACTAATGATTTGAACGACCCCTCGGTGAGTAGGCTAGTTCCTCCTGATATAACTGACCATCATCCAATTTTTTCCTTTACTTCTCGATCTAAGGGAAAACAAAAATAAAACTGCTTGGGTATCTCTTCGTGATAAAAGCGTGAAAAATATCTCCGAGTTTAAAGAAATGCGTGGGGCGTCAATTAGGATGACCTCTTTGAATACAATGAGACCCAGATTGCGTTCATTAATGTGTCCTAGATAAATATTCTACCGTTTACAAGAAATGCCTCCCTCTCAAAAATAGGTTACAGGTCAGCGACAGAGGAAAAACATGCAAATATCTTAACGTTAAGACAAATTAATGAGCGAAAACTAAGTAGGTGTTCCTTTCGACTCTATGTCGCGGGTGTTGAGCTTCCATCACGAAGACGACACTAGGCGCGCTCGGAATTCGTAATCGGAAATCGACCCGAGATGGCTTCTTTAAGATGGATTTCGAAGCAGTTCCTCAGGAGAAAGCAGGGAACAAACTACTGAGTCGTTCATTGTGCAAGCGCATTCGCGAGAGCTCTGGGAACTAATAAAGGGGGTAAGTTTCTAAAGTAACTGTGGCACTGCGTCGTTGAGCATTCGCCCTTTGTCAGCGAAGCTCTGGGAACCAGCCTCGTTTCCAGGGGTTTCTCTTGGATGGCGCTGACGCGTGCGCAGTACTAGCTCAAATGTTCGTTTGTAGAAAGCGTGACTTCGAAGCGGAAAGAACTACTGTAGAAGACTTAAAAAATGGCGAGTCCAAAGGACAACGACGAAAGACTGAAAAAACTCTTTGTCGGTGGGTTAAAGAGAGATACCGAAGATGACACTTTAAAGTCATTCTTTGAACAGTACGGGGCTATGACAGACTGTGTTGTGATCCGAAGCCAGAGTAAAGAGTCCAGAGGATTTGGTTATGTTACCTTCGAAGACGAAGAGAGTGTCCTTAAAGTGTTAGAAGACAAGAAAGAAAAAGGCCCTCACTCCATTGACGGAAAAGAAGTCGAAGTGAAACGAGCCATTCCTAGAGATGATCAAAGCTCGACGGCTCATCTCAAAACGAAGAAAATTTTCATCGGTGGCCTACCAGACGAGGCAGACGCCGAAAGCATAAAGCAATCTTTGGCTGATCGAGTTCGCGGCATTACACCAACCAACGTGGACTTAATCATGAAAAAAGAGGACGAGACCAAACATCGGGGTTTCTGTTTTGTTGAATTTGAGGACGAGGACATTGTCGATGAACTGTGCTGCATAAAACAGGTCTCTATCAATGGAAAAAGCGTGGAAATCAAGAAAGCTGAGCCTAAGGACAAATCAGGTTCTCAAGGACAAAGAGGACGCGGTGGTCGCGGAGGTGGTCGTGGAAGTTTTGGTGGCCGTGGTCGCGGCGGCGGCGGCGGAATGGGAGGCAATTATCATGGAGCTGGTGGGTATGGTGCATACCCAGGAGGTGGTTATGACGGCTTTGGTGACGGCGGCGGCTATGGTGATGCTAGTTATGGCGGATATGGCAGTTATGGAGGTGATTATTACGGTAACATGGGTGCCTATCCACAAGCACCTTCTAATTATGGCCCTCAGGGAGGTTACAGAAATAACAGATACAAGCCATACTAAAAATAAAGCAGGTGAGACTGTAGCCTTTGTTTGTGTTGGTCCCCTAAATTTCACTTAAGATGTTTCTTCCAAATCAGGTTGGAGAAGTCAGGTTTAATGAACAATCCATCAAAATTTATTTATTGTCAACTAGTATGACTTCTGGATGTTTTTCTTAAAAATTATTATCATCGTTATGATAGTAACTGTACATGAAGTTAGATTTGGGCATACCCTACTCTTACTCACACAAGCCTTTCACTCATTATGGGACTTTATTATGGGACTAGAGGTGTAGTTTTCCTCCTCAATGTTTGTGGCAGTTTCTTAAATTGAAGCTTTTACTCTAGCAAAAGCAAAATTTTTTGAAATTAGGTTCACACCATTTGATGATTTCAACAGAGGGTGAGGTCATCCCCATCATATTTGTTTTTTGTCCTTAGAAGACTAAGTTTGATCTGTTTTGATACTTAGGTTTGTCTTAAGTCATCATAACCAGGCATAATTTACACTAAGGCACCCAGGACCTAGGCTACCCAAGAATCAGAGTGTTGCAGTTACAGTTGATCAAGTATATAGATGCAGTCTAAGCTACTTCAGAATTACAGGCATCTTTCATTTGTATTCACAGAGTAGACTATGTTGCATGATTTTAACAAGAAACACTTTTATTGCTATTCTTTCTAAATGATAACAACATCATGCTATTTTTAGAGGTGGATCTTCATCTAAGGTCCTTTAAAGTACAGGTGTAAGTTTAAGCTTCAACTTACTCAAACATCCCTTGATTTAATCTTTGTCCGTAAAATGGAGAAGTTTAAACTTGACAGCACTCTTGCTTTAAAAAAGGACAAGAACAATTTTAGTTTTTTTCTTCTATTGGGAAGTGTTATATGGGATATGTAGTTGTTTTCTGATTTGTATAATGATGTGTACACAAGCATGGCCTTTATTAAAGCTTTGTTGGTTAAGAATAAAGGATTTGTTCATATGTTAAGAGTTGCTTATTCTTGTTCCAAACTAAGAAGTCTTTGAGGTATCCCTGGAGATGTGAATAATAAGTAAACCTCAGAGAAGTGTGCAATTGCAAGCAGATTTTGATATTAATAGTACCCTGTTATTATTTAATGTACTGTAAAACCATGTAAATTGGCTTATTTTTTAAACAAGAAAATAACTGCCTACTTATTATCTATTCTTTAGTCAACTGACATATACTCAGCCTTTTTTTAACTCGGAAATTGCACGCATGCGCAAGATTGAGTTGTGGATATGATGTGGAGAATGGCACTTGCTTGCTCAATTGGTCGATTCCTGTAAACTTTTTTTTGATTTTAGACTTTTGAGTGTATTTGATAGTTTTTGGTGAGTAATAAACAAACGAAATGGTGACCTTTGTTGCTAAGAATAGTGGTGGGGTGAAAAAGAAGCCAATGATAGTCTTAAAAGAGTTTATTTTTTTCGTTTTAGTTTCAACAAGCGGCGCCAGCGACTGGCAGGCGTGCGAGGATTCACACTGGAATAAAAGAACAACCTTCATTTTTCATAAAATTATAATTTACAATCCTTGAACTTGAAAAAAGTCCGAAGATTCATTAAAAATATCACTTACTCCGAAGCGCTCGGAGTTTAACAGGTGTTCTAAAGGTTTTTTGTTATGGCATGAGATTGGGGACAAAATCGATCATTACATTTTGTATCATGTGTTTTTCTGTGAGAAGCAACAAAAGGTGCCGGCAACTGATGAAATTACAGGTTAACACAAAAATCAAATAAAACCTAAACAAATAATTTTGGCTGCCGATCTTCGGTGAATTTTTAAAGAACAATTTTCTTTTAAGTTTCAAGACAATTTGAAGATTCAAAATAAATATTACTTACTAAAATGTGAAAGTTATTCACTACAAAATTGATAAATAGGTCTGGAATGAAATTCTATCTTGTTCTTGATTATACGTTGCTTAGCACGTGACCAAAATCTACCCAGGCAGAAATCCAAAATGATGGTGGTAGTCTGGGCTTAGTTATATCACTGAAAACTCGTTCCTGTTTGTCTCATTTGATAAAGAGGGAGTCATTAATGTTTTCAGTAAGAAAGTATTGCCTTGATTTTCCAATATTTACAATGATACACAGTAAATTTCACTTTTCACCCACATTTACTTCCAACCTTTTCTTGTGAACCAGAAACAAAAATGATATATGTTTAAAACACATCATCCACCATTGTCAAATGTAACAGCATGATCATTTCAATTGTAATGCCTTCTTATCCCAACATTACTTTGTTACTTTTCTACATTAGCAAACACTGAACTATTGCTCGTACTCTAAATATGACAATCAACCACAAAATTCCCTAAACCAGATAACATTAAACATGATTTAAAAAATCATGTAAGGCATCTGTCAATTCACGAGTTTGCTCACAGAGCACTTTGATTCTTTCACCTGATTGGCTTGACATGTTCATTTTTTTCTACTCTTTTTCACATAGGCTCTCAATTTAAAAATATTTGAATATTTCTGAGTTATTACCAGTCATTCAAAAAATTGACAAGACACGTGGGGAAACTCCTAAGGCTCATTTACTGGGTAACACTTAGGTAATTTTTTTTTGGAAAAAACCTTGTGAGATTAGGATGTTTGATGATGAAGATCTCTTACTGGGCAATTTCAATTTTAGTAGTTGACTTGATCTTGTAGTATTCTCGCATAACTATGTAATTTCAATCCCCATCATCCAAAAATATTGATAAAAGATCAACATTTACTGCATTTTGAGATTCCAAATTGACACCTAAGCCTGAGAAAATTGTCTTCAAATGTGCTGTGAATGGGTTCAATTTGAAAAGAACTCGATCACCTGGCTGTACCCAGAAAACCACATGATGTGTCCAACAAATAGCTACTGCTCTGATTGTTGCAAAAATGATTATTTGTCTGAATCAAAAATGCCTTTTTAGAAGCTCCAAGTTGTTTAAACAGAGAGAGTGAGATTAAGTTACTTCACAGGGAAGCAGCCAGACTTAAACCCTTTTCCACCCTCCTAAGCTAAATAGCAACATCGGTTGTTAAATTTTTAGTACATTGGATAACCTTTTTCATCTACTCTTTGGAATTCTAAAATGTAGTCAGTGTCATTAACTGGTATTTATATCTGCTTGTATTTGAAAAAAACATGCTTACTATTTTGCAAAGATTGACACTTAGTTTCATGCCTTGCCACATCTCAGCTAGTGGGTGGTTGAGAGTCCAAAGCAGAAGGCATAGAGGGGATTGAAAAAACCTGATAGCTAGGTTTGCTTGGAGGAGTGCATCTCCCACCTTCAAGCTAGCATGGCTGATTGAAATGCTGGGGGCTTAACATCAAGGCTAGCACTAGCATGCAACCCAGCCACTGGCCTATCCAAGGGTGGGTTGCAAATGGCTCTGTGTCTAAAACTCAGGGGTGGGAAGGGTAGGTTTTTAACATCAACCAGGGGGGAGGTGGTTTTTCCATAAAAGTGGACTTCTTGATAGTGTTATTTTCAGCCTGTTGTTGTCTTGAACTGTGTCCCATGATTCACAGTTAAACTCGTGCATTAGGACAGCTCCATGAGTGGACTAGATCACTATGGCTAGGTAGGCAGTGGGCTGGGGGGAATTCTCAATTTTTGGGTGAGAGCTTGAAAATTGACTTTTGAGTTTGCTGTCTTCTTGGGTATGTTTTGGAAGACTCACTTAGATTTATATATGCTCTTAAATAGCAACAATAATAGTGAGATGGTTTTTGTTAGAGTATATTATTTTTATTATTATTTATTTAATTTAAAGTTCAGATGTTCATATTATTGGTATGTTAGATACCTAAAAAACATTCATCTACTAATTGTAAAACTTGCAAAACTATTAGGATATATTTTGAACTCACTATTAGCACCCTTGAATCATATCCTTACGGACATCTTTAACCCTGAGACTTTGGTTGATGTTGACAGTTGATCATTTTTATTTACCTGTTCCTATCAAGAGGTCAGATCTGGCTGTAGTATATGAACATTTGAGCAGAGTGGCATATGAGTGACCATGCAACCTATCATAATGAAATGATTATGAAATTTTCTGTTCAGTTTTAATACTTCAAAGTCTTCCTCAGCCATTTGTATAAATATTTGCAGTGATTGAAGTTATGGTTGGCATTCATTAATTTATGAGCTAAGATGCTTTTGTTTTTTCAAGCTGTACAATTTCAGATTTCTGTTTTGCCATGAAAATTATTGCTTACATTTTTTGCCCAAACTAAGATTTCAAGATTAATGTTTCCTATTAGCGCTGATACAAATGCTGATGAAGAACAAAGTTATCATTAAAAGACAGATGTGAGCCACAACTGATAAGAGGTATTACCACAGAACGTTTTACATGGGAATCATCTTAGGTCATTTTGAGTGGTAAAGATGCCATGGCCAATTCCTCCTTTGTGTAACTTCCAGTCATTATTGAAAGTAATAGTTAGACACTTTCCCTTCAACATATATCTGCAGATGCTGGTATGTGTTTTATGGTGAATCACACAACAAAATCAAAACCTGATCTAGTTTTTTCTTAAGATAATAGAGCTTTGGCAGATGAGCAATTGTGGATTGTTATGAAGATAATAAACAGTTTGCTTTATAAGGGCATGTTTAATTTATTTAAATGTATACATCTCCAATTTGCCTATGTGTTTTGAAATAGACAACTGTGAAGAAATTGCCAATATATATGGAAGTGCATAATTTGTTTTTTTGTACTTTTATAACCATATGCACACTTTGGACTGAGATTTACTTGATCAATCACCTCTTGAATTGCTGGAGAACTTTCCACAGGGATCTATTCTTCATTATATTTGAGAATGAAAAAGTCAATTCAAAAAGTCATATTGAAATAACTATATTCCAGATTTGGAAAAAATAACTGGTGCTGTTTTGTAATGTGAACAAAATTACTGAGTCCAGAGTACTCGAAATGTAGCATTTCTTTGATAAAAGATAACTGGTTTACTAGAAGGACATATTATTGTCCATATGATCTTGTTGGTTGGGCAAACTACCCTTAATTCCAGAAAAAAAAGCAAAAAGAAAAACTTAATTTTTTTGTTAGTGTTAACCAGTGGTGGTGAAAGTGCCAGTGGTCTTTTTAAAACAAGTCTATTTAATCATAATCTAACTCCAAGTTGATATTTGTCATTTTTTGGAAGTATGGTTAACAACTGTTGGTGAATTTCAAATTCAATTTCAGTCACCATAGAATAAAAGGAACATGATATTAATATTAGGTTATCTTTTTGGGTTCTTATGCAACAGGCAAACTCTTCGTTGGTTGAGTGCCTAATTGGAAACTGGAGTTCATGATGTCATATCCTGAAGGAACACCAACTAGGGAATGAACATCACTGGTAAGATGATATCAGGTTTTTGTTGAACAACTTTCATTTGATTACTCTACCTCTTTATGATGGAGGTTAACTACTGTTACATAGCAAGTCATGGCACATACTTGGTTGATCAAAATCCAGCAACATGTTCATAGTCAAGTTTTTTTAGATAATATGAAATTATTCATTGAGTGGTACAGCCACAACTAGTTTGAAAAATTGCAAATCAAGGAAAACATTTGATTTTAACATAACCAATGACACATTAAACTTAACTATGCTCCTTGGCATGGGTTTACAGGTCCTGGTTGGGTTTTACACAGGTGAAATTATTTGAATTAGAAAATTTGTAATTTCTTTGTAAAAATGCTTCTATACAGTAAATTGTTTTTGATCAACAGCAGAAATCTGAACCCAGTTGTTATTTGCAGATTTAAACATTTCACTTTGATGCTCATGAAAGGATTTCTACTGGATGGAGGTATTAATTTTTCTATATTGACCAATATTGTACAATGGTTGAAATTATTTTCCTCTTGAACAAAGAGTACAACAAGCCAGCCACGTAAAAAATAGGAAATACTATACATCCAATACTCAGAGTGGAAGGCCGTTTGAAGTATGAATTTTTGCTTTCCATTATTTTCCTATGTTGCCACCTTCTACATAGGTTAACTTGTTGCCTCCTAGATTTGATTTTTTTGCCACTATTGCCATAATGTGGGTGACTTTTTACTTTTATCATATGTGGTATCAAAACTTAAGGGTTTTTTTTGGTTATCACTGTGATCTTTGTTGGAACTTGCCAATTTAAAAATCGTTACAAGCGACTCCAGTTTCAATAGCTGGGTCTAGGTTTAGATATATATGTTTTGAAGTTATGCACTGATCAATTCCAAGTTTTGTATCTCTCCCCCCCCCCAGCAATCCATGGGAATTTGACCATCATCCCGGGGGTAGGGAATTTGAACCTTACCTGGCTGGGGTGGGGAATTTGAACTGGAAGTGTTAAGTGTTTCCTGCAGAATACAAGAGTTATTTTAAGAATACAGAGGTGTTTAAGGTAAATAATTCACTTTTGCAAGCAAATGGCTCAGAAGAAAAGGTCTACAAAGTTTAAGTTTTAAAGCTTTGGCAAAGTACAGAAAGACATGATAACTAATTTAGTCTTTCGCAAAAATATTGGGTGGGGCATTTGGACACAATTTTTGCTCAGGTCTACTTGATGTGTTAAATAGTTGAAGCTTTTTATTTATGTGAGGTTCTTAATTTATTGACGGTGCACTATCTTCCCTTTACCTGTAGAAATCTTTGGCACAGACTTGACACAAATAACTAGTGAGATGAGTCTGCAGTGAAGTCTCCAATGAAAATTAGCCGCAGAACCTTGCCACGGTTTTTAAATTAACATTCTGTGTTCTGAAGGACACCATAGGTATGCGGTTATTAACTGCTCGTTCACCGCTAACGGTGTCAAATAAATTGACATTTTTCGAGCCAAAGGTTTTGCTCTTTCAATTTTTTGTCTCATACCAATACGCTTGTCCCTCTTTTCCCACTTGGCTGAGGGGAAACAGAAAAGACTGCTACGTAAGCGAAAAGAGATGGAAGATTGATATGGAAGATAGTTCTTTGAAAACGATTTTGATAATTGTATTCTGAATGAATAGAATCTTTCTTTTCCAAGAAATACTGCTCTATATGTGTTTCCTTCATCTCCTGATTTCGTTGTTAGGATGTAGAAACACCTGACCCTGAGCCTCGATAGGGCCCACGTTTACGAGAAAAAGATGAATTAACATCCATATTTTATTGCAACTTTCGTTCGCAAACTTATCTCCTGTTCGCTGAAGAAAATAGGACTCTCTGAAGTTATAGATAGCTTTCCCGCTCATGTAGAAGATCACCTAGGCCGTTTGAAATCTCAGCTGTATTAGTGAGTCTCTTGAAAAGTGTTTCCTGTAGTCTGCAAACTGGATGTGGAGTCAAACTTCCTCATGGATCGGCGAAAAGGTTCCTACCAGTTTCTATGCTGGGGTTGGGGGTGCCTCTTAATCACATTCTGGTGTGTGTGGTAGGTGTGGTGTGGCCTATTCACATATGCTAAACACGTTTAGTAAGACAATTTTTTATTGAATAAAAATCAGCGAAGGAACACATGTAGTCTAAATTTAACTTAGGGTTTAAATGATCACTCTGATTTTCATTATGATACAAAAATCAGTCCAAGCAACTGCAATCAAGAAAAACAATTTCAAATAATGTTTTAAAAGCAGCTCTAAAACGTGTTTTATAGTTTGGGTGTGAATGGGGTCACCGCTCTTTTTTAGGCTCAGCACCAATATTTGCGACAGGGCCGATGCCGATATTTGATACAAGCGCTTTGTCTTACCCGAGTGACTAACCGCTGACAAGGAGCTTGAGCTCGAGATTATGTAATCACTGGTCAAAGTAGCGTTGGGGAAGGGGTGCTGCAAGAGTGAAATGATCGACCACCGTGAGTTTCGACTAAATTACGACTTAAATCCATTTTTTAGTTTTTTTTAAAAATAACTTCTGTTAGCGTACAGAGAGTGGTATGTTACTCATACCAATCAGATAGTTTGGGGTATGTATCTCGCATCAGTCAGATCGCCGCATTAAGGTATGTATCTCGCACCAATCAGAGCGTCGTTTTTGCTCTTTGATTTGAGAGGTGTTCAAATTTCAACGAAGTAATGGGGGATTCGGAGAGAGCAGTTCGTAAAATGGAATCAGAATGAGAAATGTTGGCTTTGCTGTGTTTTTAACGCGTATTTTACCGCACTTTATGAGAAATGCGATACTACTAGACAGATCAAAGATATCATGTTACCTGTAGTAACTGTGAAAATGGTGGATAGTTGTTCGAGAGAAAATGGATAAAGGGGTAAGTTTCTAAAGAAACTGTGGTGCTGCGTCGGTGGGAGAGTATAGCAGGTAATTTAGTGTTAACAACTGAGTTGAAAACTTAAATTAGCCACCGTTTAGGGTGGCTAATTTACGTTTTCAACTCAGTTAACACTAAGTTACCTGCGAGAGAAAATGGAGTCCTGTGCACTGTAGCACGATCATGGTTATTGTTCCTTCACGACGAGAGTGAGTGGAAACATTTTGAATTAAGTATTGCTTGAGGTGTTGATGAATTGCACCAAACATTTTGATTTGAGCAGTTCTTTAACGGCAAGCTGTGCAAGATTCATGATTTGTTGGGTGTGCCGATTATATTTTTCTGGATTAGTTTTCTCGGTGCTATCTCTAGATGAATATTTAATTAAAATTAACTATGGACGATTTTGTGTATGTTTTCGATGCCTTGTGAAAGTGATCTTGTGGGGTCGTTTGTGTTTGGCCAGGGACGAATTCAGATACCACCGTTGGCATGTTTAGTTGATTTCGTTATCTGAAATGAATGATTTACAGAGCTTAGTTAATATGATGTGATCTACTAACGTCGAAAATATGTCAAGTCGAAGGAACAATTTTGGTCTCGGTCCGCATTTTTCCACAAAATAAACACATGCCGCTTAAAAAGATGAGTATACGGCCCACGTGCAAAGCTGTCACTATTGTTTCTCGAACGTTGCGTGTGTTAAATATTCAATAGTGACATCTCATTTACATCTACAGCTTCATCCACTTTTACTACGTTGGTAAAATCTGTACAGACAACACACCAAACAACTCGCACGCAAAGTGAGAAGACTATATGAAGACTTGAAATTATCTCAAGATCAGTTTTGATCTAGAAATGGGCCAGGAATATTTCACAATAGTGTAAATAATAGTGCAAGCTGATCGCGGAAAAGCGATTGCGTGACGCTCAGTAAGTTGTAAGATGACATGTTATCACATACCAGACGAAAAAACTCTTTAGATTCTCAATCTGCGTTTTGTTCCTACTCTGCAGTCTGCAGTCTAAATTTTGTATCTAGTCTACATTTTGTACCTAGTTTACATTTTGTATCCGGTCTGCAGTCTTCAGTCTGCATTTTGTACTAACAGGTATCCGTGGCACCAATACAGTTTATTTTTTGTTACAGTTATTCGCGCAACACACACAATCTACCACAACCGAGACGTAGTCGAGTGTTTCCACACTTCTTTAGTACTCTAGCCGCTTCCTGCGTGCTTTACAACAGAACAGAGCACAGTCAAGGCTTCTCTATGTATTGGGTGGGTATGCTAGCAGCTTTCCCGCGCATTTGTCTTTATCACCGTGGGCTCAGGGATGGATAGACCTCGTGACCTGTGACGCATTAGACATTCCATCCAGTGCTTGTCGATTTGCATCGAAAGACTGAGTGTAGATAGAAGGTGTGCGTGAAAGGCTGTACGTGAAAAGCTGTAAATTCTACGTTTGAAGGTAAGGTATACGGAAGGTTTCCATTTTTAACCATATCCCTCAAGTTTTTAAAATCTTTTTGGTGGAGGATTTTTGCGTTTTCCTGGCTTATCAAGAGTTTGATGGGTTAGTTATTCTCATTCAAATTAAGCCATCCACCGATTACTTTTGCTGTCGCTGAAATTTACTCACGCTTTGATTTACCTTCTATTCATTCTTAGCTGAGGTTTGTGATCTTACTTGACAGTTTTTTTTTTCATGAAACGATTTGTCTGTTTGAGTTCCCTATCAAAGGTTTTTGAGTGAACTTTCATTACCACGTGCTCCTATCTGTCGCTCCTAAACACCGCTCGCTTCGGGAAATCAATCTTTTTTGCAGCAAATGAAGTTTCGAAACGATACAAGTAGTATGATTATACAAACAATCCCGTACTGAACTGACAGTTGTGTTGGCAGAAAACTCGATTATTGCGACTTCTGCCTGCCGTCCCTCTTCGAGAGGACATGAGAGCTGCACGGGTGACTGTCATGGCGGCGTCGAATCTTGGCGGCCACGCGGCGTCTCCAGATGACAAAGGAATTGGATGACGCATGGAATCTGGAGTGGTCAAGCACGGACCGAATGTGTGGTAACTACTAAGTAAAAGCGCTTCGGAATGTCAATAAAACGCTGGAGTCTTCAAAAAAACATGTATGTTTGATGGTGTGCTAGTATGATGAGATTGGAATAGGGCAAGAAGAATTATTCCCACGAAGTTTCAGATCTTGTGAAGGGTTTTTGCTTTCCGTCGTTTCAGCCATTTCCGTGGTAGTTCAATTTCAAGAAAGGTTTCCCTCCTGATGCTTTCTGACCGCTTAAAGTAGACGCAGAAAATCGGAAAGAACCGTTTCCAACGATAGAGGACGAAGTCTTGAATTCCTGAAGTTTCATAGCCTTTTCCTTTCTTGTTCCAGTTTCGACTTGGTCAACTTTCCATTGTTTCAGTAATAGAGAAGCTTTCCTTCCAAGAACGAAGTTCTACAAATGTTGTTTTTTGGTCGTGTGCAGTGTAAAATCAGAGCTTTTTTTGTTGTCTCTCCCTGAATTACCTTCAATTTGTTGCACATTTTGGTTATTCTTTCCCTGCTGTGTACCCAAACGATTCGAGTTTGTGCTGGTTCACAATTGTTAATGTATTGATAATGAGATATGCTGCTGGCGAGGATTGGAGGAGAAGTTCAGAGTAATGAGTTGGGTATTAACTGATTTCATGCTTTCCTGGAATTTGTTTAAAATTTTCTGTGGCTGAAATGAAATTATATGGAAGGTTTAGTTGTGTGTTCATATAAGTACCAAGATGACTCAAAAGTTTATTTGAAGAATTACATTTTTATGAGGAAGAATAGACCCCGAACAGATTTATTTCATGGTCACTAGTAACTGATATTTTTTGGTGACTTCCACACTTAACACAAGTTAAAATTAACAAATGGAGTTTTGATTTAACTTGGGTGAAACTTGTCTTTATGATTTCCCAAATCTCTTTATTTCAGTGAAAAGGGAATCTAGTATTAGATGCTACCTCCATTTCTGTGTTTTATCTCTTTGTTCTCTGTTTTAGTCAATTAAGCCCTAGAGGCTTTGTAAATTGTTACTTGGAGGGCTAAAGATTTGTAAAAGGATACTTTTTATAATGTGTCTGAGTTTGAGAAGGTGATTATGAGCACAGAAGCACTGTTGGTTGCACAGACATGGTTTGGCGTAGCACCAATTAATTAAAATGGGGTTTGAGAGAAAATTGCCATCAGTTTTTTCTAGTCTGTAAGATATCTAAACAAATATTTTATCATGGAAATGAGGCAAATGTCCTTTTATCCTGGAAATGAACTATTCAAACTGAAGTAGAATTTTATTGCTTTTGAATAAAGAATTTTTCAAGTTTCTTGTCTGTATTTCTCTGACTTTTTTTCCACATATTTTGCTTTTCTATTTCATTTTTCAATTTGCCCTTTTTCAGTTTTTTTTGTAACATTTCACTTTTGTTGCAGGTGAACATGGCTAGTTTTTTTAATTTCATATTTACCACTGAATTTGACTCTCACAGTCTATTTTTAATTTAGTTAAAATTGAAAGAATAGTTGCCATTGATGTTGTTTGAAGGGAAAAGATTTGTTACTTTCAGCAGTTTGGAAAATTCTTTAACCTTTATTTTTTTTCATTAACTTAATTGCTCAGGAGAGTATTTAAAGTTTTATTTTAAACTAATGGAACTTTGTGTGCTTCCTTTTAGGCTTGTTCAATCATGGCTACTGAAGGCTGGGAAAATAATCCAGATTTGAAAAAGCTTTACATTGGAAAGCTTAAGCTTGAGTCAACTGAGGAAAGTCTAAAAAATCACTTTGGAAAATATGGAACTGTCACTGAAGTCAAGATAGGCTTAGATAAAGATCATAACCCAAGGGGGTTTGCCTTTGTGTCAATGTCTGATCAAGCAGCAGTGGATCAAATCTTAGAAGATAAACCACAAGTTGTTGATGGCCAGACTGTTTACCCAAGAAGGGCAATTCCAAGAGATGATCCAAACCCACTGGCTCAGTTGAAAACAAAGAAGCTCTTCATAGGAGGGCTTAATGAAGAGGCCTCTGAAGAAGATATCAAGAATGTGCTGGCCATATTTACACCCCATCAACCAGAGAAAATTAAACTGATGTTTGACAGAAACACCAACAAATTCAAGGGCTATGCATTTGCTTGGTTCCAAAATGAACACATAGTGGACAAGCTATTTATCATCAGGAACTGCACAATCAAAGACAAGAAAGTTGAGCTCAAGAAGGCAGAGGAAAACAGTGGACAGGCGGGAGGTGGTCAAGGTGGAGGTGGTGGATTCCGCGGTCGTGGTGGAGGTGGATTCAGAGGAAGAGGGCGGGGAGGTGGAGGAGGAGGTGGTGGTGGTGGTGGTGGTGGTGCAGGTTATAATGGTGCATACTCACAACCTACCTATGGTTCAGGTTATGAAGGTTATGAAAATTACGGCAGTGGTGATTACTCTTATGGCAGTGGTTATGGTTATGATGGTGGTTATGGTAGTTATGGTGGTGCCTATGGCGGTGGTTATGGTGGAGGTTATCACAACATGGGGGAGTACAGTTCTGAAGCGTCTTCATATGGTCCAAACAGGCGTGGTGGACAAGTGCGTGGACGTGGAGGAGGGGGTGGTGGTGCTGGTGGTGGTGGGTATCGGCCTTACTAAGCCAGAAAGAACTGAACACAAATGGAAATATTTTGTGTTATTGAACACTGTGTATTGTATTGTTTATTGATTGAAAATCTTGTGCACTTCTGGAATTGGACACTTGCAAAAGAATTAGTATCGTTTTTAGTAGCTGTACATCAATAATTGTGAAAACATGTACTTTTAAACCTGTATTGTAGGTTGGTTGGTTGTCCATAGCAAAGTAGGATATACAACTCATCAACAGCACTTGTCCAGCTATGTGATCTGAACTGAAAAGTTTGAAATTTTTCCATCCTTGTATGTCTAACCATAGACTGTACAAAGTATTTTTGACTTGTGCAGGTCCAGGAGGATGGCGTAATTCCAAAAAACAATATTTCCTGAAGTACTTGTGCATTTAGATTTTAAAGCAATCAGCATTTTTCATTCAAGGGACAAAGCAGACTTCTTTCAGTTGAATATGTACTCATTAAATTTTAAACCTTTGTATTAAAGACTGTATGTTGACATAAGTAATTGTAATCCTGTGTTTGTGGGACAGATTTTTTATTATCTAGATGAAAAGAAAGAAAGGGTTCCCACCCTAGGGCCCCATAGCATTCTAATGATATTCCATTATACTCAATCAGTGATAATTGATTCCCCTCCATTCCTCCTGAAAACGGTGTGATCCCCTCCCAGGTGATAATTAATTTCTGACCCTTATAGCCTGATTCTAGTTTAGATAGCTTTCAATATGTGAAATCTCTCTTTCCTTCTTGTTTTTTAAAGACTTGACCACATAAGGTTTCTGAGAATCTTTTAGACAACTTCAAAGAGAAAGTTACAAGCAACCCTCTCCTCTGATTGACTACATCAGCCTGGACACTGCAACTTCCCAGAAAAAATCTTTCATTATTTTCAATTTGCAGAGGTTGACAGTAATGTGAAATCTTTGTAGACTTTGTGATTGCAATGAGATGTTATTTAGAACAATTTGTTTTTGGTGGTGTCTAGCATGTGTTATGTAATAAGCTCAGTTACGCATGCATTCTGATTGGTTCTCACTTGTGATCTATTGGAGGAAAGACGTATAGATGACATCATCGTTAAAACTTTTTGTAATTCTTTATTATATAAAACAAATAGATTCCAAGTTGCCGTACGTCTGTTCAGTAATAGATTACAGAGGACGTCAAAATGTGGTAAGAACATCAGTGACACACTCGGCTGCGCCTCATGTGCCACTTTTTTGCTCTTACCACATTTCACATTTTCACATCTGTGATCTATTACTGAACAGATGCATGGCAATTTGGAATCTATTTATTAAAACTACGTTGTTTATGTGGAGAGACTTAATTTTTAATTATTTGAGTACCACTGCAGTGTGATTTATTTCTCTTGTGGAGATAATATAACATACAGAGCTTTTTCTGAGGCCATACCAGGAATTGTTGACTGACCTTTCTGAGCAACAAAAATACAAACATACACCTTGAAAACACTGACTTGAGATTTCATTATTCTATTTTTTTTTTTATTCTCATAAGGTGGTCAGCAGACCAGATACTTAAAGAGGAGATTTCTTCTTTTTGTCAATTTTTATTTGGAATTTGAGGTAAAAAATTTGAATTGACTTTCCATATGTATCATTTCACTGGTCTATTCTTAGATGACATCCAGTGTCTTCAAACATAGAGATATCTTTCTGAGTTATAAAATGGAAATAGGAAATGTCTACTGTACCCAAGCTATAGCTGTGAACTTGATTGTTACAAGGAAGACTGGTATTCTGTAACGATTTTGTGTGAAATATTGAAGAAAATATCCAAGTCTACACATGCTGAGGAAGTAGATTGAATTCATTCCAGCTATCTTTAGTTAGTGTAAGATATTGAAAAGCTCATGTTAGTTTGGAATTGAATGTTTCTGACATCCTACATGACATTGCTCCATGGTCATAAACCTGGCCTATTTCAATAATACTCATTTCAACACTACAACCAATGCAACAAATAAGCAAGACGTGTAAATTTAATACATTAGTGAAGTCTAATTTTGGTAAAACAAGCTCAGAATCTTCTATCTTCCTACAGAACTCTTCCACCAGTAGATTAAGATGTATGAGCTTGGGCAAGCTTACACCTGGCAAGAGAGGGCCATAAGTTAGAAAACTGTAAAAGGTTATTGTGTCTCCCTCTATGAATAAAGTTATTCATTCATTTAAAAGAAATTAAAGCTATCACAGCCTCTGACATAGTTTGAACCTTAAATCAATGTTATAGATGGACAGGGTATGTTTCCTTAACATTAAAATAATTACAACATTTCTTCACCCAGAGTTCTCTAGGACCTGTTGGGATCAACTCTCCAAGGCACCTTCAAAATTTTTTGGAACATCTACAGGAATTTTCTCTATGTCTTGTGACACTTATGTAGACTTTTACATATGATTGGCACTCTGAAGATCTTGCCTTCTACTCATAAATGTTGCCTGGTATAGAAAAAGAACTGTCCATGTGTCTGCATCCCCAAGGTTCAATCTTAGAACTATCTATTGCAATAAAATAAGACTTGTTGACATGTGGCATATAGTGATTATTTTAGAGGTATACAATTTTTGTTTACAGAATGTGTAGATCATTAGAACACAGTGAGTTTTTTATGGTTCTTGCTATGATGTAGTTTCTGCTGTATATGTTTCTCTCTGTCATGTAGTCGAGATAGATGTGCCTTGATGCCTTCAACTTTCCCTCTAAAGTGCGAGGCTGTTTTGTTATCCCTAAAAAATTATAACAAACAAACCATTGATGAAATTTTGTCCAAAAGTTTTCAGTTACAAGTAATCACATCTGTGAACATCATAAGAAGTGGTGGGTATCTTTCTCTTTTAGTTGCCAATGTAATGTGTAACTTGTTACAGTGGCAGCTTGGCAAGTCATCCCCTTCCTCTGTTACTAGACAAGCAAAAGTTTTTCTTTTACCACCCATCTCTCATTCTTTGGCACAGAACATCTTCCCATGTACTTTTTAAACTGAAAGGAGACTTACTTTTCATGATGTCTACTCAGAGCCATTTCTTCTTTCTTCAACTGCTTCTTGACAGCTGATATATCCTCATGTATCTTAAATAACTGGGTAACAAGAATATGATTTTAATATACTGTTTTCATTAGGTGAGACAACAATGAATGGAACTATTAAAGAGCTCAAAATTATTAAATCATCCCAAAGAATTACATATGGTGGAAACCACCATCTAATTTGGGGAGTTTAGCAAAGGTGAAGACAATGTTATCTTCAATCACTTTATACTTGTGGAAAAATTCTTTCTTTATAAAATTAACAATTGGTTCATTTGTCAGCGTGCGCTCATCGAGATATGAAGCATGCGGGAAGTTTGGAGAGCATGAAAGATGCATAAGAGTTGCTCGAGGCATAGCTGAGAGCAACTCTAGCTTCTTGAATGCTCTCCAAACTTCACAAGTGCTTCATATCTCGATGAACGCACAGCTGATGTATGAACCAATTGTTTTATAACATTTTCAACCCGATGGTTTAAATGTTGTAAAAATTTTTTTCTCAAGGGATTTCTTTGCTGACGTCATGAGTGTGCACAATAGGAATATGAAGCATGCTCACACAATTGAATTTGATTAGACAAATTTATGCACTATGTTATAATGCGAATTGATTGATAAGAATCCATCTTTAAACATATTCTTAAGATACAGAGTGGCAAATAGCAGCAAAACAAAATAAGACAACTAAACAACAACAATGGGAAAAACTTAAATTGCATTTACAAGCAGTTTTTTTTCTTTTAATATTGTTTCTTGAACGCACAATATTTTGTTATTCTAGCCCTTGATCTTGAAGTTTTTTCTTTTCAGATTAAGTGTTTGACACTATTTATTATTGTAATTATATATTACTTTTAGTATTGTGATTATCTCGTTATTGCTTCCATATGTACTGTACAGTACCATGTATTCTGTCATTTGTGAAGGCATTTATTAAAGTAACAATAGCAACACTTAACCCTTTAACTCACATGAGTGACCAAGACAGAATTTCTCCTTACAATATCCATACAATATCAACCAGACAAGTGATGAGAATAAAGAAAAATATCCTTTTGAGGATAATTAGTTGATCCAATACTAAATTCTCTGAACTAACATTTTAAGAATTGTGTGGTTGATAGTAAGGAGAATTACAAATTTGATCTGGGAGTTAAAGGGTTAAGTACAAACAAATTATATCATTATTACAAATGGTAATAACACTGGGAGACAGGAGAGTATTTTAGCTGCAAGGCCAACTGAGATCTGTTGATGAAGAGAAATGACTTTCCGTACTGTCCCCCCCCCTCAAATAACATCCAAGAGGATGTTTAGAGTTCATAATATCCAATATATATTTAGAGTTCTTTAACAATCTGTACATGTAGTCTACAACTAACAAATAATATGGTTCACTAAATATATCTAAGACTCTTCAGATGAAGATATTATGTCCTCCAACTCTATCGATAAGCTGTGGTAATATTTTCTGTCTCTTGATTTGTACAACTGTAAACCACACCTGTAAATTCCAATTTATATTTTTATCCTCTCCCTTCTTTTTCTTTCCTGTGTCTTTAACCTCAAATTCACTTGCACTTGTCCCAGGAACAGGAACTCTTATGTCATGAATATTTCCTGAAGGAGGAAGTGACCCATTACCCACTGCATATAATAAATCTTATCATCATATTGAATTGATAAGGATAATAAGATTGCCATGGTTGACACTGATCTCAAACATTAGGGCAACCTTGAAAATCCCAACATAGTTAGCTATCTTGCATATGTAAATTTACATTTAATTGGCATTCATAAGATTTTCTCAGAAAATTTCCAATTTTAAGAACTAAATTTTGATACAAGTATAGGGATATCTACAGCTTAAAAGCCAGGACTTCTTGCCTAATCTGTGATTCTTTTTTTTTGTAATCCTTTAAAAATTACTACCAAACATTTTCTTGAAACAAAAACTGAGAAATTATACATCACCTTTCTTGCCACCAAGTTTTATGTTGATAAAGTCAAATATGTCACTACCAGATGCCTGAAATTATGCATCAAAAAGTGTTGAAAGATGTTTTAATTTTACAATGAGATGTAATAATAATGAGGTACTAATTTTGTCAAGTGAAATAATTTTCAACAATTGCAAAATAACATCAACCTAACCATGAAATAAATAACTATTATTGTTAATTGGACCCTTTTTGATTTAGAAAAAATTGTAAAATAAAGCAACATGCATCTCCCAGATTACAGGAGAGAAAGAATTGTAAAATAGAGTAACATGCATCTTTCAGACAGTCAATAAAATGAAAGCTGAGACCAGCATAGTGAATTTATATTTCAAATAAAGCAATAGGCTTCACAGCAACATTTTTTGCCAAATAGTTAATCCTTGTAATAATGACTAAGCTTGCTCAATGAAGATGGCTGTATTATGGGTGTGCCATGGTGTTCTTAAAATATTTTAAGGGGCTTCATATTTGTCTTGGGCCAATTCACCACAATTGGTATATAATGGACTGATGTATTTTCAGGTATGGTTGGGGAGTTGGTAATTGTCATGGTTAACAATACCTACACAGTATCCATTAGTTGGCACTGTTATAAAAATTACCATTAAGTTGCCAAGAAAACATTCACTTTGAATTCAACAAAATAAATATGTTATAAATACTGGTACTCACTCTTTCTGGTAACTTAACACTTTTTACTTTAGATGGTTTTTGCCTCTTCTTCCCTCCTACTTTTGGCAGTTTGTTTTTTTCTCTGAGTTCTGCTATCTGATCAAGTGACTTTCCTGAAAGACCCACAAATGTTGTTGCTTTTTGCTTGTTTATCATTAAGCATTTGGTAACATTATTGGTTATATTTATGTTGACTTGTGAATCATTTTCCTCACTTTCCTTTGGAACTTTATCAAGCAAGGTTAACAATATTTCTCAGTCAGTAGTGATGATGATCATGATGACATTAAATGATGCATGATTTCGATAATGAATGGTAATAATGGTTAATTTATTGGCTTTAGATGGGAAATCCTATCTTTAAGTCTTGTACATTCCCAAAGAAAAAGAAGGTTAAATTCATTAATAAATAAAGTTACTACTACTACTATTAATAATAATAATTATTAAAGATAATTATAATAATAATCATATTGATCATTATCAAATGAACTGTTGAGCCCAGCACACCCAATTCCAGAGAAAATCATAGTGAAAGCTGAGGTGTGTAGGGCTGGATGCATGGACTTGAAGTGGTCTGGAAAAAGCCATTCAGCCCTAGTGACATTTGAGGAAATTGTAATGATTGTAATCATTGTTAACATCTTAAATTACTCATTTATACCTCAGATATACCTGTATATCAATCAAAACAGAGGTCTTGAATTATGCTGTCTTACCTTGAGGTAATACAACTGCTTCAACTGGCTCTACAATGCCACTTCCATCCTTTCCAAGTCCTTTGCTGCCATAAACAAACAAAAGAAAAATGTGCAAAGTCCTTCTAAAATTTTTCTACTATGTTTCAGATTGTAGTGTTTTGGTCAAAGTAGCGTAAGACCTACTGGGGGGTAAAATGCTTTTTAATTTTAGATATTAACTGCACTTTCTATCAGTTTACTGGCATAAACTTTGACTTGGGGTATTGGGAGAACATTAGTAGGGTTGGTGAGTCACAAGCCAAAGGTAAGTAATTTACCAACTACTTCATTGTTCTATCAACACCCTGAGTGGGTTATTAGGCCAGTAAACCCAAGAAAGTCTATCCCTTGAACCTGATACAGGTTTGAGACAAAAGAAAGTATCATTTCAAACAATGATTTAATTGTGCCACAACATCAACATACCCAAACACATAACCCATTTGGGTCATAAGCTTTGAACCAATGCCCTGAAAACAAACAAAAACTTTTCAGTAATCTTTTATATCCTGGATTAAAAAAGCAACACTTGGAGTTTTCCAAAGGAAAAATTATAGTCTCTTCTGGCTAGTTTTGTTAATGTTAGGATTATAAATTCCATTATCTTTCATCGTTTCTGAGGTCATCAGCTACATGTTGGTTATGATGTTATAGTATGAAATAAGGCTTGCCACATTTCACTCTAAAACAAATGACTTCTCTTCAAGGCTCTTCTCATTCCAGTAAGCTAGGAATTCATATCTATTTTAGTATTTTGGAACCTTGGGCTGAGGTCTTCTACTATAAGTCAGAAATAGTACAGGAAAACCAGGCTTACTTTTGTGTGTTGTTCCCACTCTCCGAGACAAACAGGACCCCCTGATGGTTTGCATGCCAGCTGCACTACAGCAACCTGATCTTCATCAACCTCCTCATTGTCACTAGACAAACTTGAAAGATCGCTGTCTGACACATTCTCAGAATCTCTTTGGTCTGTGATGTACAAATTATATACTTAATTATTAGGTATAAGACATACAACACCAGACACAAAGTTCCACAAATTAAACACAACATAGACATAACATAGAAATTCTGCAACACCCTTTATTAAAAAGATTGCTAGTTAGAAAACTCAAAATGCCTTTTGGAATATGCTGGTGTTAAGTCTCTGAAGAATGCAAGGTATGGTGATAATTTTGTAACATGTAAAGAAAACCACACATTACTAAAAATGCAATGAAATAATTAATAATTAAATATTAATTATTAATATTCAGAGAGTACTTCATGTTGAATAGACTGTGCTATTTGAAATTTTCACGATATTCCAAGAATATTTAAATATCATATCATAGGATGAGAGAGAATTGTATTAGCATGTAAATATCCTGGCATCTCATTGGTACAAAGGAAATAGCTAATAGTTAAAGTATACTTCAAAGTATAATTCCTTCTGGGTTTTCCAATTTATTTTGTCAGCAGTTTTTCCTTTGATATGGTTGTCTTTCACTCACCTAAAGGAAGAATCTCAGTTATGCCTAGTGTAGCATCTGAGTTGTATGTATCATAGTGAACAACAAATGTATGAGCCTCATAATCTATTGACCTGAAAAATTGTAACAATAATAATAATAACAATAATAACAACAACATAACACTTAGAGAAGTTTATTTAGCAGTCATGGTCATCAGAGAGCACGAGTGGGTATCAATTAATAGTTATTATTTTCTTTCCAGTTAATGACACAAATGACATAATCATCATCATTTATTATTATTATTATTATTATTATTATTATTATCATTATCCTCATGTTCCTCACTGTAGTTGGTTTTAGTGCAGTCAAATTTGGCCTGAATCAGTGATATGTAGAGCAGTTCTACTCAATCAGATTGAGTGCAAAAACGAACTCCATTTTTAATTTGTGCATTAATGGTTTTAAATATTATTGAAATAGGAAAAGACTATGGAATTCATTAAGTACTATTATTTTCCAAAAATCATTAATTGTAAACATTTTAAGAAGCATAATTATTCAGAATCATTCTTATCATTGTTATTAAGGTTATTTTTATGATTAGAACTTACTGAATGGTGGCCTTGTACCAAACTCCATCATTGTATCTAGCCAAACAACACTGACCACACTGTACTTGGCTATGACAATGCACATGAAATATAACAAGAGAAAAAACAGTGAGCAGAAGAAGTGACAAGTAGGGAGTGTGAAGATAATTTTCCTTCCTTGCTTTTGTCTCATGTTTTTGAAAAGCTCTCACCTGACTAAAAGAGCCCCCTTTAGCAAATACTAGTTTCAAGCTACAGCTGTAAATGTAAGGGTGTCTGCATATGGTCATATGTCTGCACAGGTTTTGAGTGGTTTCACAATGTCTAATTCAACCAGATATAAACTATTGATAGAAATAAATAATCTGATACAGAATAGCTACCTGAAGTCTGGCTCTTTGAATGACATCAAATCATCAATAGAGACCACATAACCATGGGAATATCTAAAATGAAATAAATCAAAGAAACAAAGTTAAAGGTAAATGGAAATTCAATACCAGTATTAAAATCATATTTATTGATAATGTAAATTAGCCACCATAAAGAGTTTCAAAGCTGATGTTTCAAGCATTAGCCCTTCATCAGAGCGAATGATGATGGCCAATTTATGTTATCAACTCAGTTGATAATACTAAATTAGCCTGCGATACTCTCCCACCCACACAGCACCACAGTTTCTTTTGAAACCTGCCCCCTTTATTCATTTATCAAATAGTACTTTGTTTAAATCAAAACAAATATAACATATTTATGGTTCAATATTGGAAAAAAGATTAGCTGTATTCAAAATACACCTTATTATTTGAAAGAAAGAAAAACTAACCTGCAAGTGTCATCATCAAATTTGCATTTGCTGTCCAGGAAATAAGGGCAGGGTACCATGGATTTATGGGTGGGGTTCATAAATAACACTCTCACCTGTAAAGATTATAAGGAATGTAAGAGCCAACAGCTGGTGAACTTCACCTATTACTTTCATAGGCTTTTGCCAGTTATATACATGGTATATCAGTCAATAACTTAAGGTGTGAAAGAAGACAACAATGATGCAGGTAAACTCTAAAACCTGCCACCCAATTTACACTGTTTATTTTATAAGCAACAACTGTGTACTTCTTAAGATCCTTTTTACGATTTAACCATTATAATGTCAAAATTAATAGACATTAATTGAAAGGATGTCATGAGATACATGACAGATTCCAGTACCTGTGTCTAGTCACAAGAGCAAGAAAATACCTGATCTGTGTGTATTTTCAGGTGAGGGGTGAACAAAAGTTGAGAATTTGTAATGAGTGCATACCTTAGTTTCTTCTCTACCATCAGGTAATGTAAATGTATCTGCATCAAAAACCATAGCATTGTGTTGCTCCATTACTCCCCAGTCCTTAAAAAATTGGAATCTGTTCAAGAAGTGCTTTCCAAAAATGTGTTTCCCTCAATAAAAAAAAATTATCTATATATTCTAATTCTACCAGTCAAAAATTTCCAGGTTTGCAAAAAGAGACGTTGGACTCACACATCAAAAAAGCAATTTATGAGATGTGGGAGACGTATGCTGCCTTGTAATGTTTTGCGTGCTGAACTCCGGGGCCCAGTTGTATAAAGGGTGGATATCACTATCCAGTGGATAAGTGATAGCAAAATGTATGGTATTATCAACCAGATAGAGATTTATCCACCAGATAGTGTTATCTGACTTTTGAATGACTGGGGCCAGGTTGAAAGGTTCAGGTTTGAGACCTGATCAAGTCAATGTGTTGCTTCACTAAAACAGTGCCTCTCCACCACCCAAGAGAATAAATGGGTTCAGGCCAACTGTAAGAGAAGCCTGATGAAATGCTGGGGGGGGGGGACCTTGCGATGGACTAGCATCTCATCCAGGGGTGGGTATTGATACTCCAAGCTGCTTCATGTTAAGGAACTGCGATAAGCTCTAGCTGGATGGACAACTTGGCCCAAATACAGATTTTACCTTTACTTTTTTTGAAAAGAAGTCAAACCTGTGAGTATGATATGCGACATTTCATTCCAGTGATGTCATCTTCAATCTCAACTGAGTCTTCATTTTTTCCAAGTTCCTTTCCACCATCATCATTTTAACATATTCATATAAACCAGATAAGTATTAGCAAAACCAATATATTCTAATTGTGTACTTTGAAACTGCATAAACAAAAGCATACAAAACTTCCTGTGAAAGAATTTAGTAATAGTCATCTAAAAAACATCAAAATTATACTTTTGATAACTACGCAATTTCACTTTAACCCAAGACATTGTTGAGAAGGAAAGCCTGATAATGTGAAAGACCTATTGAATAAATCTTTCTTTAGTAAGAGACTTTATAATGCTCATGAAATTAAAAATATTCAAATGTCAACCTGGTTTCTATCACTTTGCCTAACTTCCCTTCTTAGCTTCTAGTTTTTGCTGGCATCACTCTTTTAAAATAGCACAATGAACTTGAATCCTCATTAAGATTTATGTGAGAAATAATGAACAGTAAACAGACCCTAGTTTTAACTGATAAGTCATTTGAAAGCCTTCAAAGTCTTTAAATACTTAATGTTAAGGGCTGTCTCATTTGCTGTGTTGTGCTAAGGCAACATTCACTCCTAACTAGGAAATGCATCAGCACTTCTCATTACTTACAGTATCATTTTCGGAATCATTTAAACCAGGCCTATCATCAAAAGTTTCAGGAGGATCTGCTCTGAGTTCACTTTCCTTACTGTCAAGCAACTGAAGTAATCTGCTTTTCTTGAGAGATAAAAGACTCTCTATGAAAAAAACAAAACAAAACAAAACCAAAAACAAGTATTGCAGACAATTACAGGAATGTATGAAAATAGCACTCTCCTAACATAGTTTTGATGGATCTGTGCTGTGATACAGTAACTTCATTCATAACTCTAAGATTAATCTGATTATTATGCTAAATAAAATAAAAGTTGTCAAAACAACAAGAAGCTTGATGTCTGACTCTTAGCCAAGGGTGTAGCTATGGGGGGGGGGGGGTTTCCCCTGGGGTGCCTGTGACTCCCACTTTGTAAGCTTTTTTCTGTCACATTATGTAAAACATGGTGTGGAGGTCAGCATAACAATCTAGTAAGTACTTTCCATTTGATACAGCATAACCACCCCTTTGAAAAATCCTGGCCACACCTTTGTTAATGACACCTAATATCTTACTTTTTGTAAATGCTAGCCTTCAATGAAATTGTCTGAATCTAAATAAAGAAGGTCTTGAAGACAATTCTTAGACACAATTCAAGTAAAAAAATACTGATTTATAATTTGTCTACCAAAAAGAGGGAGGCAATATGTCCGACCTTCTGATACTTGAATAAGTTCTACAAGATCGTCCCTCAGCTTGACAAGTTCATCTTGACCTTCTTCCCCTACATTCTGCAAAACATTCTGGATCTGGAGAAACTGATCACACAAATATATGTCAATTTATAAAACCCATTCCGTAATGGATAATATAAGTTTAACTCATATAAACAAGAAAAGAGCAAGAAATATAAGCTTAAGTAAAACCAGCCCTAAGATCGACAGAGACTTGCACATTAGTCTGAACTACAGATGTTTGTTTAGGGGTCGTGCGGCTATCCCTGTAAATAAGCTGCTTCTTTTAGACGGTGAAAACTCACTTGTTCTTTATACTGTTCCAAGCTTTGTTGTAAATGTTCTTCGTCCATCAAACAAGTCTTAAGATATGGGCTGAAAATTATGGCATATTGCTGAATAAACCCGGTAAATTGATGGCGGCAAAATAGCATCAGGCGTTCCTTGCTCCCGTAAAGGGATCTGGGAACTAAGCAAGGAAAAATAGTCCCCAGTCTCCTTTAATTTACACCTTCGTCTGCCCTCTATTTTCTTCATGTCGTCTAAATTTACCAGTGGCAACTGAGCACGAGGTTGTGTTCTTGCCTGCAGTGAAGAATTCGTAAAGTTCAATTGCAACTGCTGATGATCAGTTTCATTCAACACATTTATTAGAGAGGACTTCCCTAAAATCTATTGATATAGGAAATAGATTATTTTTTTAACTAAACAATGTGGCATAAGCTTTAACCGAGAGATATAAAGACTCTTCACAACATGATATTTTCAGACAGAAGGGATATAGAGTAGATTTGTTATCCATATTGTAAAACTGGTTAAAAGCCGCGTATTCATATTAACATGCTGTGTTTCCGTGCGATAGAAATAATTAAATTTGTTAGAATTTAGACCAATTCTAGAAAGAACCCCATGTAATATCGACAGCTGCCATATTTAAGGCTTGACGTCGCCTTAGTCTTTCTCCTGGAAGTAAGTAGCCGAATGATTAATTGATGTTACAACGATATTCCAGAATTTCAGACGGGATATTTGGTCAAATCTCAGCGTTTCTTGAGACTTTTTGTAACTTGATATCAAATCAGTTTTACGCCATCAGTGCAATCAAAAACATGTTATTGAGAAATATTCATTCACCGATGTCTAACAGATATCAATATTTGTTTTATCGATGTTTCTCGGATTTAAATGACGAGGCTTGATCAAATAACATAAAACGAGACCAAACATGGATTTTGTACGTAAACCCTAATCCCTTTCACATCGGAAATCATCTTTCCTTTCGGACAGACTTTTCTCTGACATCTCAATTTTGATTGTGGTTTAATGACGTCAGAACACATGAGCACTTCCTAAATATTTGTTCAATTTATACGTATATTATTTCTTTCCATACAAGATTGCGTGGGCATGCAGTCGCGAAGAGATAATATTTTGCCATATTCCTTACCTCTGTAACCAGCTGAATAAATAAATATGTTCTCCTTAGTATTGCACAGGTTTTAAAATATTCCCGGCTGAATTGGAACCCCTTAAATTTCTGATATGGAAGTAATTCTGCCTCCGAAAAACATGAACATGAGTAGTGACTGGCTCTTTCTCTCCAAAGTTTGCTTGGATCAAAATTAACGAGCTGAAAAGAAAGCTGATTTTAATGGGAGATTCTATAATTTTTTTTTGAGTAGACGTTTACTGAGATACCCTTCGCTGATTTCAATAAAAACGCATTTTGCCACGAGCAAATCATCTTTTCATTGATAGAAATTAACATTTTATCTTTCGCAAATTAAATATGTTCTAAAAGAAGACATAATCTCCGGTCTCCGGTTTGAATGACGCAAATCACCGATTGACTTGAAGTTTGCTTTTTGCTGATTTTTTCTGGCCGATTTATAAGAAAAACGGTACAAGAAAATCATACGGCATAAACTGAGATCGCGTAGTGTGAAAATCAGTCATTTCTAAAGCTGCAGTTCCTTCAATGTGAAAGCTCGCTTTCCATAAAAGCTTTAATATATGTGAATATCTATATCTATATAATCTGGTGGCGAAGCGTTAATTGCCATCGCTGTGGCACATAGGAAGATTGAATTTCAGACCTAAAAGCTGTTAAGTCTAAAATACGAAAAAACCCTTCTGTCAAAACAGCCCTCAGTCAATCTGTAGTTTCCATAGTCACGTTACTCTTGAATTCAAACTAGAAAGGAATACCGCATCATTCAGTTTTGTATTCATATATACACTCTTTATTTAGTGAGTAAGACCTCGGATCAAAAAAACCACTTTCGAAAGAAACTCTGATTATAAGAGGAAGATTTAGATCGCACTCAAGACGCTAATAAGCTCATTTTCTTTTCAGAGAAGAAATCACTGACATAATCAAATAAATCCAAGTGCTAATACGTTCATTTGAAATATTTGCAATTTAGGACGGGTAGTATTAATTTATGTCAATGCATGTAAATAATGGCGCACAGTCATTAGCCAGATTGATCATGTGATCTCTACATGTGTCTTAGGTTTCTTAGTTGTTGGACAATCTCATTGCGTTAGGCTTTGACAACCCACCCTACCCATCCTAAGGGTGAAAGGGCAGGGGTCTCTTCTTCTCTGTTAGGTTTCATGTTTGTCATTTAATTTGTCAATAAATTTGCTGAATCTCATCTTGGTGTGACAGTAATTAGAATAATTCCACCATTCAAATAATAGAACTTCATTCACACCCGTGCAGTACACTTGTGTCACATACTTTGAAAGCGTACATAGTACCCGCTGGTTTAGTATTATCGGCTGGATGACAAATTTAAAACCTTTGTTTATATGCCTCTCTTTTTAGCTTGAAATGGGTGGTTTTCCTTTCGAAGTGAGTGCCGTATTAGGAGATGACGGCCCTAAGATTTAAAATTGGAGGGCGTAATCAAAACTTGATTAATATTAGCCTATTGCCAGTGCTCTTTGTTGAAGTCCGACCAAGCAGAAGTAATTAAGAGGGCCTACCCTCCACCCTACCATGAAAAGGTCCGTGCTTGATCTTAGGGGAAAAGGTGATTAGTTTACTCACTGTGGAAAAAATGTTATTTCACGGATTCCTTTGGGTATCAATCATGTGCAGAACTGCGAAAAGGTGTCACAAAGCTTATACCACCTTTAATCTTATCAAAGATCATTACCTGGGTCGGAACAAAAGTCCAGATAAATTATACGCAAGTCAGTGATGGACGTTGAAGCTGTCCTCAAACGAAAAATCACAAACCGGAATTTTTTGCTAATTATAAATGTGTTGTTTTTCCGCTTTCCTTTCAGCTAATTATTCAAGTTTGAGAACAAAAGAAGCCCCCCTGCTACTTAACTTCTAATTACCCCATTCTTTCAGTTTGTCTCGTTAGTTTCCAAGGTAACCACGCAGATTTACGTTCCTTAGAAAATCTAAAGTAAACTTAAGGGTTTTTGAAAATCGCTTTTCGGTCGCAATACTCACTTTTATGATGAATCACTGTCTGAAAACTAACAAACCATGCTGAAATTTCACTCACTGATTGTTTGATTTCTGTACATGTTCAATGGACAATGCGTCCACAAAACATTGTCTCAAAGACAATGAGCTTTAAAAAGAAAAAAAAAGGGTTTTAAAACATTTTACATCAGAATATTCGCCAGAAGTTAAAAATAAAGCGGCCACGCTTTCTATTAGGTTATTTTTCTTCGTTGACGGAGAGAAATAAAATAAAACAAATCCGCGGGACGACACAGAGTGATCCGAAGTCCTTTTGACAGCCGACAAATTAATGAAGTGATTGGGTAATATTTTGTTTTTGACGTGGTTGCGTGCACACAAAATTCCGCATACAAATACACGGCAAGACGATAGGGACTTGTCTTGATTTGTCACATTCAAAGTTAAATGTGTTTTAAGGCCAAACGAAAAAGTAAAATTTATATGAAATCAATCTTGGATGCGTTTCTTTTAAAATTTCTGACGAAAACCTTCGACCAGGCCACTCGTTGAAGAAAAAAAGTGAAAATTATCTTGCGCTTCTCTTTGCATAAATCATGCTAATTTAGCAAATTGCCCAGAATTCTGCGCGTGCAGCACAGAAGTTCCCGAGATAATGGTCTGTTCGATATATTCGAATGTTTGAATATGGTGGGTTGAAATTATAGCGATGAATTCCTACCCTGTCCTTCTTTTTCTTTCCCTTTTAATCTTCCAGGGTAACCAAAATATAGGAGGTAAGTACTGTACACTTTGATGGTCTGGTTGTTTTATCCTACGGTAGTATCCAAAACCGGTACCGACACGAAAGATTACAGGTACATGGACTGATCCACACGCATGGAGGAACCTAAACATGTCTTGTATCAAAGCTTTCTTTGACAATGGAATTCTGTCGTCGAGTTTTGATTTCCGATCGAGATTTTTTCAAAATTTATTTTCAGGGTCTTTTGAAACTTAATTTTGCTAAAGAATTGTGTTTTCTTGAAGTATTCAGGAAACAAGTGATGTTTGATGGCGATCTGTTCGAAGCGAAACGGGCGCGAGTTGGCTGTTTACATTTACATTATTCATTGGAAACTTTTTCAGCTTGAATTTGATTTACACACCAGAGGATATTTGGGTATTTTGTCAAAAAATGCCTTACACATTCATTTTGCGTATACTTTTCTCCTTGCTGTAGACAATATATTTTTTTTCTCGACACGTCTTTTTTCCGTGTTAATTCCACGGTCCACTGAATCGAAAAATATTAAAATTTCAGCAATCAAGTAGCGCACGGTCCGTTAAGATTTTTTGTGATCCTTTAACCAGCTACGAGAATTCTGCAATTGAAGGGAATGGCTTAAAGTGAAGAATGGTTTGAACCTGGACTTTTTCCGTCGCCTTTTCTAATATTCTTTCGCGAAAAGAAAGCGAAGTTCAAACATGGCGAGAGTCTTCGTCACAAAAACAGATGACAGTTATTTTGTTTTAGAGCAATCTCCTCCTAAAGACGATTCTGTGACGCCTTTTAGTAAAGAAAGTGACTGCTGTAGAGAACCTACTCAGTCCTTGGATTACGTGTCGCCGAACCTTTTCTAGACCCGAGTTGATGTGGTATTTCATGCATTTTGTTAAATGTAATGATCTCGAACCGGTTGTTTGTCGTTTTGATAACGAATGATCTTGATTATTTCTAGGTGTGGAACATGACATAGTAGATGTCACAGACGGCCTTGAATTGCAGAAAGTTTTCGATCAGTCTAACAGAAGACAGATACCGACAGAGGCCACTTTATCAAGTGCCGAGGAAAAAGATTTGTTAGTAAGTGGTCGGGTTGCGGGAGTAGAGGACTCAAGTTCTAATGCTGAGGACGGAAAATCGAAGAGCGATGTTGTGAGTGAATCAACGGACTACTCAACGAAAGTATTTAAATCCGTCAGCGATGATGTGCAATCAGGGAAGCTATCGAACAACAAGGAGCGGTTAACCCCGGAAAATGACAGAGGGAGCCGAAACCTGCATGATATCAGGTTGAATAGAAATTATGAACTGAAGGGGCGATTAAATATTGATTCGGATGGACTTGCAGATCAAAATCAAGCCACAAGGGACAGAGTTGCCAAAGTCGACAAAATTAAGTTGGCTGAACCTGCAAAAGTTGGTGAAGCAGCTCAATTGGAATCTTTGAACGCAGGGACACCTTTCACTGCTGTTCCAGCTTCGAACTCCTCATCTATGCCGCCACAACCCTACATCCTGAAAGTGAAGAACACGCCAGCCAGAGCTGAGTTAGACGACATTTATTTTTTATGTGAGTATTTTCCTGCTATATTTTACCACGCCGAAATCAAATTATTTCCCCTCAGTACATTTTCAACGGGAGCTAGTTTTTCCTAAATGGAAAATCACAATATTTGACACAGTGGGCGGAACTAGATGGGCATGTACTCTATTTTAATGTTGTTTTCGGTTTTTCAGTATATCAGGTAAAAAATTAATGGCTTCCAATATATCAATTAAACTAAAATACGACTAATATTGAGGGAAATTTCGTGAACTCCATGTTTTTTTCTGTCAAAATGTTTCATCGAAAATGTTTCAGAATTTTGTGGATGTTTTCCGAGACCAATGACTATTCCGTTTATTTTTTATTTTGGTGGTGTAGCTGAAACTTATCTGATGAACGTGTCTTCCTTCTTTACAAATACGAATTGTTCTCTCTTTAACGCTGAAATTACATTTCGTTTCCTCGTGAACTCTGTGACCTGGACATAGATTGTAATTCCCTTCCTCTTTTTAAACATTATTTCCTCTCCATTGTTAGTGGTATTACGACAGCCTTCTTTAGGGCACTATTTTTCTACTCTGTGGGGCACAGTTTATATTTAGAAATTAAGTGTTCCATGTTTTGATTTTCTGGTGGAAAATAGTTCGTTTTTGAGTTCGTGTTAAAAAACAGACTGTGAAATACTTCCGACAAAAGCAAGATCGAGGGCTTTTCAGAGTGAGGACTGTATTCCGTCACTATCTTCCTTGTTACGTCGTTTCGTGGTCGCCTTTCAGCGACAGTGACGTTACTCGATATTATGTCTTCTTCTTTTAGACATGTTACAATTTTGAGGCCTTTTTTGATGCAACATGAATCACCAATATGTTGGCTGTCAAGCTGTTTTGGTCTCTGATTCTCAGATTTCTGTGACACTGATTTAGGTATATAATGGTTATTGTAAAATTTGTAGGATTTATTAAAGAAGAAATTTACATCTGAGAGCTAAGATTCCTTGAGGAAGTAAACATTTACTTTACCATGATCATATTTCAGGAAATAGTTGTGTAAGGAAATAGCAAGGCTGTGACAAGCTACATCCATCAAAAGTCATGAGGTTAATAGGGTAAAAGGAATTCAATTTGGGTGAAAGAGACATACTTTTTAAATGCCATTGCAGAAAATGAAAGAAGATTGAAATAATTTTGAATTAATGACAAAGAGAAGTAAACTTTGAACGTCAGTATTGTTAAATACTAAATTGGAACATTAGGATATTATTTTCCTTGATGTACAGATAAGGTAAATGAGGATGCTAACAAATTCTACAAAATTTCATCCTTTCTTCCTAATTTAAGCAGACGTTTTCATTTTGCAAGTTGAGTGTGAAAAAATATGGTGCAGGGGTGTTAAATTGTGTCAACATATGGCCAGGACATATTGTTGTAAACTGTATCCATAAATATATATTTATATAAACAGAGATTTCACTCGAGAAATGTTTAGATTTAATACTGGTTGAATTATTAATGCTTTGTGGAGAAGCTATGCAACATTAATAATCTTTCTTGTATTGATTTCATTGTGTTAAACCCCTTTCTTGTTATAAATATCTACTTTTTTTTTTTGTTAAACAATAGTGCATGTTAATGCTTTCCTTTTAAATTTGCATGGAACTGTTTGTTTACCAAGAAAGATTAGCAGTTAGGATGGGTGATATAAATCAAAAGTTTGTGGAGGGTTTGACATATTGAACACACATTTGGAAGCCTTAATTTGGTTGTAATGAGTTTTGTTAGAATGCATAGTTTTTGTTCATTCTAAAAAAAATAAAACATCTTTCTTTATTTCTCTACCGAGCTCAAAACTTACCATTTCTCTTATTTCCATCTACAAACATTAGGCTATCAACATTGCTGATCCTAGCAGTATGTAGGGTGTGTGTCATATGAACTTCAGAATAGACCTCGCTCACTGTGGAGTCTCTGTGGCTCAGTGGTAGAGTGCTGAAGCACAGAATCTGAAGGTCTGCGGTTCAATTCCTCATGGGGACTCAAAGCTTTTTCTTTGTCCCACACTTGTGACAAGATGAAAAACATCTTTCTTTATTTCTTTACTGCGCTCAATAACTTACCATTTCTATTATTTCCATCTACAAACATAATGCTATCGACATTGCTGATCTTGACTGATTGAATGGAATTGTTTTGAATGGAAGGATATTTAACCCCATCAGTGGTAGAGTGCTGAAGCACAGAATCTGAAGCTGCGGTTAACCTTGACTCAAAGCTTTTTCTTTGTCACACCATAGAACCATGCTATTTTTTAGCAAGATCTTGAGGAGAAAAGAAGAATTAAACCATAGAACCATTAACCCTTTTCACCCTTTTTTTTTCATTTTAGTTATAGTTATTGGTTGTAGTGTGGCTGGCATTGCAGGACTAGCACTAGCAGGATACTGTTGGTACAAGTAAGTGAAATCAAATCATGTTATTGTCATTCATATTTTTTTTTCCTTTTGAATATGGAAATTGCAGGATTCAGTCTTTCTCATGGGTTGATAGTAGTCCTGAAAGGAGTTAATGTCAGACTGTTATCTTTAAATTTAGACAATGAGTCTGATGAGTAAGGTTGATAACACTTGAAGGAAGGTTGCCATCTAACAGAAGAGTCAAGTGAAGATTTGATTTTTAGTTGAATGGTGTAAGCCTGTGTATTTGAATTTCGTTTTGTGTGTTTGTGCATGTCTGTGGTATGGTATTTATTTATTTAAATACTTTCATTGGTTTGTCAACTGTTAAAAAATCTTTTTGTCTAGAAACTAACTATTTTCAGCAGATGTCTAATGCTTGCCTTGCCGATTGCCCAACCCACCATTAGACAAATGTAACTTACATGTAACCAAAGCTTCAGAACTTTTGAGCAGGATTTTTAATATGCTGCATGAAATTTTGCATTTGTGAATTATCAATTACTGTTTATTTCCACAATCAGCATTCAATGAGTCCAAACTAACCTACCAGTTTTCATGAACCTTACTTGTAACATTCAGCTTTCAAACAATTTTTCATTTGACGCTGGTATGACATGTATGCATGGTTTCCATGGGTTTAAAGTGTGTGTGTTACAAAACTTTTTTCAGGACACATGAATTGAGTGCATATATATATGTATATGTGTGTGGGTGTGTATTAAGCTGCAGTTTTGAGCCTTTTATGATATTATTTTTTTTCATAAGGCTCCACACGACTGCAAAAGCTGTAAGTGAAGCAGAATATTCAAGTTATGGTGCAACAAAACAGGGTGGTCAAGTGTCCCAGGTATAACTCTTTCCAGAGCTAAAATAACTGGTTGCAAAGGATTCTTTATTTTAAGGATTCAAAAACAGTGAAACTTTATTAAGCAGAACCCATGTTAAAATGCACCCTGTATTACATAACCCATATTTACCATAAAAGAAATGTTTCAGGGGTAGACTTCTGTTTGAAATAAAGATGGACATTAAATTGAGCTCTTGTCTTACTCAAAACCCACATAAAATGAACACTACAAGAGATTTTGTTATTGTTGTTTCTATAATTGTTTTTGATGTTTGGAAAACTGAACAACTTTAAAAACACGTTGTTAAACTCATCATTTGTTTTTCTCAATGTAGTAGGGCAAGATACATAACAGAGCCAGATTTGTTGATAAATAGTTGTTAAAGCTTAATCACATGTGCAGTCAAACATTTTTCCAGTTGAAAATGAACTTGCACTGTTATACTAACTGCCTGTCATGTATATTCCTTTAGGGTGACCATAAACTTGATTACAGTGCGGAAATATATCATTACCAACAGACAAAGAGTCAGCTTTCAGCCCTGGAAAAGTATGTTGTTATACTCAATTTGATATCAGTACTTTCACCTTATTAATTATTGATAATACTCTGTGAACTAATTATTTAAGCACCACACACATTTGATACAGTGGTAATGGCTTTTATTAAAGGCACTGAATTTTTTAATTAGATCAAAGAACATGCCTCACTAGCTGAAAAAATTATTTATGATGTCATGCAACAATATCAGCATCACAAAAGTCTTTAATTGTTTAAGAGTAGGACATTCATTGATTGGAGAGGTGTTTGCTGTAGTTAATACTTATGGATGGTAGAGATGAATGGTTTGGAGAACCTACTTGTATATTTAAGAGAAGAATATTGAACTGTTAGAGGAGTTCTTTGTTTTAGAGTTTCGTGGTCCAGGGTGTGAAATTAATTTTTTTTCCTGATAGCCACTTGGCTCCTAAATTTTTCAAAGTGGTAGCCAATTCAAAAAAAGTTCGTCACCATTTTTAAAGACAAACAAAACCCTTTTTTACACTGTCAGCTCTAGACAGACCCTCCAAAATTAAGTTAGGAAAAAGATCTTTAACATGCTACAAAGTGGACACTAGGATGGATGATATACAACGTTCAAGCTCACCTAAACCAAAGATTGCATCTAGTTATCAACCAAGATGCATGTGTTATGTTTTGGACATAAAGTTAATGAGGAAGTTTGCTGTGGATTTATCTTTGCAAATCTTTTTAATTCACGATATCTCTAGGCAAGGTTATGATGAAGCATTCTAGTTGCCAATTTGGCAACTAATTTGCAGGATTTGGTCACCAAAGTGAAAAATTTAGTTGCATTGGTGCCTGTATTTGGTGGAATTTCATGCCCTGTGGTCTGAAATGATTTCATTTGGGTTACAAGTTTGTGTTTGTGAAAGGTGGGCTTCAGGTTTATGGTAGACTTTTGATCAGTTAATGATAAACTAGTGAGCAGCTTTGTGTGAACTGGAATAATGAAAACTTATCTTGTTCTCCCATGTGTTTCATCTGATATTAGCAGACTTTGTCAGGAAGTCTTTACAAGTAGTAAAAATTAGCTTGTTTGTATACACATAGTAAATACAGTGTCAATTTTCAACCTTTATGTGTAGTGAGATGCAAGCAGAAAGTATCCACAAGGTGTTACAAAGATGTTTTACTTGCGTGACATTTTTTGGATGTTACATGTGCAAGCAGTAACGTGTTTGGAGGTCACAGTTTAATACTATTTTGGTTTGTGCTGTACTGCTCACTAGTTTATCATTTTAGAAAAAATAAGTCCAGTCCTTTGTAGTGATAGCTTTATTCCTTATAGTTTAGTAAATTACCCCTGAGTCTGAAGGAGTGCTGTCAGGGGAATGAAATCTTAACAATGACCCAAGAGTTTCTAAAAACAATGATTTTGACATGTTTATCCTCTATTCTTAATGTCACTTCCAATGACAGGTCATTGTTTTTATTTCCTTTTTTTTTTAATCAGAGCTAGTGGTGTGAAGGGTGGCATCAAAGGGGAAACTCTTGATGATGATGATAACAGTGACGAAGGAGATGATGAGGATTATACTGTGTATGAGTGTCATGGGCTGGCTCCGGTAAGATTACACTGACAGTGTTACATAGTGACCTACATGTACTCAGATTAGAGAATAAAGCCATCAACAGTCGAGTATTTCTTTTTAAAACTGAAGGATTATCCCTGAAAGGAGATACAATGCTTAATTGTTAAGATAACATTTTTAAAATTAGGAAGCTTTGTAACAGATATTGGTCATAATTTATAAATTCCAATTAAATAATTCAGTTTAAAAGCTAATCATTTTAAACAGGCTGAGGAGAGAGTAGCTTTTGTAACGCAAACAGGTAGTGGTGTGTCAAACATTTTATCATAGTAGGGCAAGCTTTAAATCTAAACAGTGCTACAGAAAAGGAAATTTATGAGTTTTTTTCAACTTTTGTTTTCAGACTGGTGATATGACAGTTGTTAACCCCTTGTTCAGTGATCAAGAGGTAGTTGGAAGTGATCAAGATGGAAATGGTGACAAGAGTGGAGCCAGTGGTCAGGGATCTCCTGTGGTCCCGCGCCATACATTCACAGAGTCTTAAATTAATATTATAGCTAATAACAAATATTAGTGCCACAGAGTTTAAGTTGTTTTATTTTTCTGACCAGTGGTGGGAATGTTTGTTATATATGTCATTTGTTTTGGGTCCTAAAATTATGTACCAGGGTGCATCTTCATGTTTCTTTTTTGAAAATAATATTTTCCATGTGTTTTAAAAACGACTGGTTTTCAATATGAAATAAGATATCCTTCTAAAACTATAATTGTATTCATAAACAACTGTCTTTTGTAGTTTGGGTATCTTCAGTTTCAAAGGGACTTTATATTTCTTAAAATGTTGATGCACCCCTAGATTAAATTTGCTTTTGGTGAAACCCAAGGAGTGATGGTAGGTGACGTGAATAATATCATGGAGAAAAGTTTTATACAAAAAAAATTATCGAAAATTTCAAATTATAATTTTTATATCTGGGTCTTTGGTACAAAATTTCTGTTAATCATTATAAATTATTTCACATTTACCAAATTGTAAATAGTTAATAATATCACTCTGGTGTTAAAGTTGCAAACCAGATGATCAGTGTTGGTGATTGTAATAATGGTTTTACCATTAAAATATCTTGTATTCATATATAAAATGATAGCAATTATTATTATTGGTAAATTTTGATTGTTGTGGAAAAGTGTGTTGTGTTACTTGAGGGACTGGTTGATTAAAGTTGGTAACTAACATAACCTTGTACTTCCACAATATATTGGTTGGGCAAGAGTCATTTGACAAGTCTGTAGAGATGGTAATTTCATCTATTATAATTATTTTAATATTAAATGAGACTTAATGTTAAAAACTTCTAACAGGTAATTGCAGTCTTTGCAACAAGGATATAAGTCCATCAACCGTTTAAGATTTTGAACGATTTTAAAGGAAGTTTTAAAATTATGCATAAGAGCCATTTGGTGAGTCATGTTAGCTCTTGAGGGTGGCTAAGCAGTAATCTACACAGTTATTATTAATGTTATTACTATAATAATTATTTTTTTTTTGGTAGTAGTGTTATTTTTCTCAACATAGTCACTTGACATCTATGTAGAGAACTAATTTTAGGAAATCAACTATCTTTACAGACTTTTGTATGGAAACTAATTATAGCAATTTAATTTGTAAATGACACCTTTGAGCAAATTGAGAGCTTGGTTACACAGCACAGATAACATAACTTTGCTGTTGTTCTTTGCAAGAAAATAATTAGGTTGTGTCAGGGATACTCTGTGTAGCTATCTTGGTACCTAGTAAAATGTCTGATAATCAATCTTTAACATGAATTCAAAGGTATTTTTGTGGCATACAAATCTTCGTGCAGAAATTGTTTCATCGTTTGCAAAAGTAGAAAATACAGAAGAAGTAACAAATTCTGTGAGTTAGAGGAACAAGAACATTAAGATGGCTTAAATGGTTTGGGAATAAGAGACTTACAAATTTAGGAACTCTGATTCATCATATATTTCTTGTATGACTCGTAGGTTTTTCAGTCGTTGCCACTACAGTATTAATTGTTAAATTTTTCTCAGTAACTGTCTACAAGACAAGTATATTGTAAGGAGGTGGTGTTTATACATCACATTCTTACAATGAGTAATATTGAAGTTAACGGTAATAACTTTATTCATAGGAACAGAAGATTGAGTTGTTCCTCAGGATACTGGTATATATTTATATTTAAGGAATACAAGACAATCTAAGGTCAATAATATTTGCCTGATTGTTAAAATATTCTTGAAAGCTCTTGGGGTTAAGTTTTCTACATGCTATTCTTTGACCCATTCGTAGTAGCTCAGTAAAAAGAGCTGTGTAACCAAGCTCCATGAGTATGTGTGACTTCTAGAGATGTAGGGACACGGGTGGCTAAGAATACACTAAATAATTCTGTAAACCCATAAACTATAAACATAGCTTCCATGGATCTGTGAATGTTCTTAGTATGGGTGAGTCCATATCCTTGTGTATTGCTTCCATAGAGGGCTGCACTATCACCACTGGAAAACAAGTTGTGAATCATTGATAGTCTAGGTTCTAGATTGGGTGGCTCAAAAAGTTTTCTGATTTTCACCATTCCCACCTGTTGGGTCGAGGTTACCATTACTTCAAGTTTTCTTTCGTTATCTTTTTGGCATGGTATCTAAAAATGCTCCAATATTTCTGAACCCATCCTGATGTTTTCTTGGAGATGGTTACCGTAGAAATATTTAAGTATTAAAGAAAGCAGAAGCGACCAATTACTTGTCATTCTTCGCAATAAGAACTCAGAGTAATACAAATTTCTGTAGCTGAACGAGGATCTTGCCCAACGTCTTTCTGGCGTCATGGCCTTTTGACCCTTTTACTCCCAAGATCTAATTGTTAATTCTCCCTTCCAGCTGCCAATTATTTCCCTATAAATTAGTTACCAGGATTTGGCGATAAATCCAGATAACTCGGTCTACTTGATAAGTTCTCATAACCTGCTTGCTAGATAATCCTTGAATGTTATAATGAGAAGTTACATATTACACCTCTGGTTAAGGAGACCGACTGGTTTCCTGTGACGGCTATTTAAAGTGAGAGGCATTACCGAAAAAAATTGAGAACGTAGAACGCCTCCATCTCCTAAAAGAGGTGAAAACGTTTTCATATGATGACACAGAATAGAGCAGAGGAGGAGGAAACAGTTTTATTGACAAAACCGATTCTACAGAAAACCTGTGTGACGTAATAGTCTGGGGCGACCAACATCGCCTTGTACTAAAATAGAGTTGTATGCTACTTGCTGGGGCCCGTTTCTCGAAAGTCCCGGTAACTTAACGGGCCCGAAGCCATAGTTTTAAGTCAAAAGTTATAGAATAAAGAAGCAGGCTCTGGCACCCTAACCAGTCCATGCTGTTTCTTTAGTTGATAGTTTTTTTGTGTAATTATCAAAACTTTTGAAACCCCCATTTTGAATGAAAGTAGAACACCTTTACGGGTCCGTTAAGTTAACGGGACCTTCGAGAAACGGGCCCCATATAGCCCGGCTGATGCGTACATGCCTTTTGCCAGAGCTATTTCCTCACACATGAAAGCTTGATTTAAGCAAATAAATAATGCAAGCAAATGCAAAAATGACTCTTTAGGGTTGATCTCGAAGAGAACAAACCATTGCCAACGATGAAAAACATACTAACAATTTATTGAAGTCCATGCTAATTTAACCGTTTTAAATTTGTGGACATTAAAACTGGGAATATTAATTTCACTTCCATTTCTGTAAATGTACTTTCTGTGTTTAACATGAACTTTAATTATGATAGAATTGCTAATGTAAAAATACCATTCAATAACATAATCTGCAACTCCGTTCTAAAAACCGAGCAATTATTTTAAAATGCCTGGCAATACAAAAGGATAAATGGATTTCTTATTGCTATAGTTTAATACGTAATAATATACCAAGTTGTCACTTAGTTGAGAAACATTGTTTAGCACAAGATGTTTAAATGCGTTACTCCTGGCTGGCCTATTTCAGTCGTGTATAACCTTAACGAGCTTTTTGTCAGTGTCACAACTACAAAACTTAATTAACTCTACGTTTCTGGTCGTGGAGTCGTACGAGGGCAAACCTTTGGTAGGTTTTCATAATTCTTTTGAAGAAGTTCCTTTTGCTTAATCAATTTGTTTAGATCTATGGTGTATTCTATGATTTTATTCTTTACTAGTTCACTCTGTTTTTCCACTGTCGATACCTCACGGTCCAACTGACGTACCAAGTCCGTTTCGTTCTGAAGCTGATTTTCAATGCGATTCATTCGCGTCATATTCACAGAGTCCAGCCCCTTGATCTCATCCAGAAGTGCATTCAGCCTGTCACGAACTTCTTTTATTTTTTCGCGCGCATTCTTAGCTGCTTCGCCAGCTTCATTTGTCTTGTTCAGCGCGTCTGCAATACTCTTCTCATGTTTGGCAGCGGTATTCTTGTGGTCGTTCAATTCATCGGTAGCTTCCAAGACTGGATCGGTGACGTTGTCTATAGGAATCCTGAGTAGCTCTGCTTCTTCTTTAATTTCTTTAGCTTTCTGTTGATGATGAGTCGAAGCAAACGTCAACTAAAGGTTGATTTCTATTCATATTCGCTTTAGGAAAGCATTTAAATACTACAAGTTATGGCATCATAACCGTCTCAAAAAATTTCCATGACCCTGACCAAAATTGTGTGCCTACTTAGATAGACTGGAGTTACAAAGTTACTTTTTGACAACCTTGAATCCGGCTTGTTACGGATTAGGTTCATCAATAGATTATCTGTCTACTTAAACACTTTGTTGTTTATCTAATCCCAGTCAGTGAAGGTAGACAAAGGACTCCACATAACTTTGAAAAGATCACGTTGCGAGCATAAGCAATTTATCGGAGCCATCCTTCACTATGACTTTTATGGAAAAACGTAAGCGTTTTCAAAATTCGCTAAAGCTTTCTATCAACCTTCACCAACTTTACAGAGTTGATACTGAGTGTTTCTTTAAACATTGCTTTCTCTCACTGGGACCCTTTAGAACATAAGCCATCACGCGCTTGAATCAACGGGCAATATGCTACCATATGGTGACAATAAGTGGAAACATTAAAAAAAACGGGAACCAGTACAAACCATCTTGTTATCCAGCATCCCTTAACGTCTAGTATTCAACTTACAGTGAGTAATACTACCCTATCTTCTAGAAAACGCAGTGCACACGCCAAATTCATTGATAATCGATTTACATCAACTTACCTGTCGCGTTCTGTTAGCTGTCTCATTCGCCTCCTCAGCTGTTGTCTTCGCCTTCATGGCCAGGTTCTCAGTGGTTTCCAAGGTAGCAGCAGCCTCATCTGACTTGTTATTAGCTGAACTAATTAGTCGCTCAATCTCTGTTATGTTAGCCTCGGCTAGGTCAGCTTCTGCTCTAGAAGTGTCGATGATTTCGTTGAATTTCTGAAATGTGAAACATAACAGTGTTGTATGGTGATTGCGAATGAAAGACAAATTTGTCTTGCAAGAAATTCATAAAGAGGGAAATCCAGTCTGAAAGACTCACGGCCATTAGTTATCTCAGTTCTGCTTGCACGATTGGCCAGCAGTTGTATCAACTTCTGGTTTCTTCATCGTCTTGAATCAACGGTGTTCATTTTCTTGTAGTCATGATATTAAGCAATTATTAGATGGTGTTGAGCATGATATCATGAATTGTCAATGCCGAGGTCTGAGTTACCTGCCCAAGCCGAAGACTGAGGCAGATAACACAGACACATTGTTTTAATATACATTTTTTGAACAATCTGCGAGAGAAATTCTCCCTGAGTTTGCTTAAGTTTGAGTAGACTACACGGACAAGGGGCCTGAAAACTAAGTAGACTTTGAACTTGATATAATAACCCAATAACTGCGGCACATATTGGGTTATCAGGTTAACTTCACACGCTATTGTATATTAACTGTATGCTCTCGACCAATCAGAGTTCTCATAGTAAGTGTAATGTATACTTGAGAGGGATAGAGGGAATGAAGTCACAACAACACTCAAGTGTTAAGTGTTATTGCCAGATTATTTTAGGATGTTTGTATTGTTATTATCAATTATCAAAACAAGGTATTACCGTTTTATAATTAACTGCTGAAACCTGAAGAACTACCAAAATTCAATTTTAACAATTCAAATCGACCAAATATGCATTCACACGTCGTTATGTTAATTACCTACCTTGAGTCTTTCCAACAAGTCTTTAGCCTTCTTTAATGTCTCCTCCCCTCGAGCAATCGCGTTATGCGCAGTTTCGTTAGCGCTTTTGACATTAGTCAACAGTCCCTCAAGTGTTTCGAAAAGGCCTGGCCACTCAGCCATTTTCTTTCTAACGTATTCTTCCTTCATGTCAAAGCTGTTGACAAGTGTTTCCAAGTTACTCAAGATCTCTTCAGTAGAGTTGGATGTGATGACCAACTCTGCTTTGGAGTTGTTGACTTTCGCTGAAATTGGATAAATATTGCGTGCTCGTTAGTCTTCTTGAGAGACTTATTTTTAGAGAATCAGTACACGAGACAAATGTAATGAAGGGTGAACTAGTCTGTAGATGTCACATGAGGTCAAAAATCATGCTTTGAGGTGGGGACTGGGGAATCTTCTGAAATTAGAAATAAATTGTATAATGACAGGACTTAGTCAAGATACGTTATTTTAAATAGTTTACTTGGTGTTTAACGCACCTACTATTTTGCCATCGATTGTAGAGCAAGTGCATCGAGGTGCAAAGTGGAAATACCCATTAATGTATTTGTAATTAAGTCGAGAGGTTTATTTATTCCGTTCTGTTGGTTCAAACTCGACGCAGTCATGCCGTAGTGCAAACACCTATTACAATACCTTTCATCTCCTGTAGACCGAACTCAGGAAATGGTGCGGTTCCATTCTCATACAACTCGTTTGCCTCATCCAGAGCACTCTGGGAACCATCACGTGACTTCTCTGTTGCATTTGCCGCTTGTTGGTGCATTTGGATTGTCTTATTGAGTTTCCTGAGTAACTCCTCTAAACCATCAGTTGTCTTTTTCTGCGCAGTGGTGACTTTTTCCGTATCACTCACAGCTTGTTTTGACTTGTTCAGAATTTCGTTCGCACTTTCAATGACGCCGTCGGCCTCATTTTCGTGTTTATCGGCCAAGAGAGAGGTCTAAAGGAAAGAAAAAACTCTTGAAACAAAAACGAAGAAACAACAACAGAAGATAAAAACTTACAGTGGAATAATTTTCATGAAGCATCAGAAAGGCTGTTTCACTTCAAAATAAAATCCATTTCAAACGCATATCATTCCGCTTAAAACTGAAATATAAAAGAAGTCAGTGTTAAGTTTCTCAAGCTCATTCCATCCTGCATGGTACGAAAGGAAAAGGCTGACCCTTAGAGTAACAAGGGGTCTGTCAGCACATCTGTACCTGGTCAGACTGTGCACACACTAGATGTTACCTCATTCCGGATCTCCACCATCCTAGTGGCTTGTTCACTGGTACTGTTAGCTGCAAGTATTGATTCATTTAATGCTTTTTCGCCTCTGTCCACCAACAGCTTTTCCGCCTCATCAAGCATCGAACGCGATCGATTTATGGACTGCTCAGCTTCGGAAATATTTCCGAGCGCACTGCTGATGAGCTCTTCCGTTACATTTGTGTTATTCATCATATCTGTCATGATCTGGTTTATCTTATCCACACGCTCTGTTAGTAACTGAAGTTGCTCTTGAAGGGCGCGGTCAGTTGAATTTGACTTCTCTGCTTTCTCCAGGAGATTGTTGATTGCTTCTTTAAGTTCCCTAAGGCGACGTTCAAAGTTGGGATCTACAATAATCCCTCCACTGGAGCTAGAGTTAAACTGGTCCATGATTCTGACGAGTTCTCGGATGTTAATTCTCAGCCGGTTGACCAGAAGCTGAATTTCGTTGTAACATGCGGGACAACCTTCACAGAATATCAAAGACAGCGTTTACATTGAATGCGCCTTGATTACTCTAAGTCGTACACGGAAATTGTCTCAGAATCAAAACAAAACTTACTCCTCAGAGATTAAATCTGAACTAAGACACAAGAATAAAAGGTTACTTCTCGTTTCTGCCTCTCTGACGCTTTTGCGCCAGTGCGCGCCAAAAGATCCACTGGATACGCAGGCTAAAGCCGCTTTAGCTCGTTCTACGAAGGTCCTTAGAGCCAAGAGGCCCGTAATAAAAAAGGTGACCAGTTAATGGTAGACGTAAACGAAAATTTTCTTAGATTCCTGAAAATTCTCATGGTACTGAGAGATTAACACACCAACACTTGTAGTGGAAGTTTTATGTGTCACGAGAGAGGAAGTAAAAAGGTACCAGACTGTAACGGAAAGTATGTTTAAATTCCTAGAATTCTTACGCTACTTAGAAATAAGAAATAGGACCAACACTTACGGATGCAGCCGGCCGTCAGGTTATGTTTATTTTCCTCGCACGAATCACACTTGAGACCCAGGACTCCCAACTTACAGCTACACACGCCATACTCGTCACAGCTCTCATTTAGAGAACCTTGAGGGTTACAGTTGCAAGCTTGGAAAGTAAAAGTATCAGAGGCACAGTTAGGTAATTAATCTGTACAAATATAGCAAATATGATCAAGTGTTCATTTCCTGGAGACAATTCTATTTGCCCACTTACAGAACAGCACTAAGATCGACAACAACAACAACAACGAAAAGAATTTCAGGAAAAGAAAGAAATACCGCGAAAGTTCAATTTCAAAACCACTGACGTCATTGTGTAAGGTTCAGGACTCAGTTAATAAGAGAATAGCCTTTATAAGCGTACTTACGCTGGCATCCCTGATCAGAGAAGCCATAATGATCAGACTGACATTGGTCACATGTCCTTCCACTCACTCCAGGTTTACACGGACATTGCCCTGTGATGACGTCACAGCTGTCGTTAAATGAACCAGCTTCATTGCACAAACACTGCTGACAACCATTCCCTGAGCCCACATTCCAGTAGGTGTCTTGGCAGCTATCACACTTGTCTCCAATAACCTTTTCTTTGCAAGCACATTTGCCTTTGTCATCACAAGGGAGGGGATCCTCAGGGTCGTGGTCAGGAGGTCTCACAGTGCCTTGAGTGTAACAGTCACAAGCTGGTGGATAGAAAAAAATAAAGATAATAATTTGAGATTCAGCTAAGTATTAATAAGTAACAAGAAATTCCTACAGCTGAATCATTAGCCCCAGGAATGGAGACAGGAATTTCATAAACCTAGGGAAAAACACTTTTCTGCAAATGACAGATAGACAAATCTGAATAGAGTGAAAAAATGGATCAGTATCAATAATATTTTAATTGTGTAGCAACTTCTTTAGGCTAATAGCCTCAAAGAAAAACAGAAACAGAACTTCAATGTTTAAAGGATAACGAGGTAGGACATTGACAGGCAGGTAAAAATTTGGTAAGTGTTTCAAAGTGGAGGTCAAACTCATTTTTAGCTACTTGTTGACAGATTTTGATCACTTAAATAAACAAAATGAGCTCTAGTGTGCCTGGTCCCTAGCAGCTTGACACCAGTTTTTTGTCAGATATTTTTTCTTTTGAGGGGGGAGTATGATAAAGGCTTACTGTCACTGATATCAATGGTTTAATGAATATAAGATTATTGTTTATCCAAGCCACATCCTGCTAATGCACCATACTAATAAGATCATTTACTTGAAAACTTTTCCTCTTGGAGACATACCTATACACTGAGGTTTTGGATAATGAGTAGCATTTCCAAAAAATCCAAGAGCACAGAGTTCACATCTCTCAAGTGGACCATTCCTAGTGTTGTAAATACATTTCAAGCATTTGCCAGTGAGAGAGTCACAGTTTTTAATTGCATTTATCTCTATATTACCACTGCAGTTACACTTCTGACAACCAACTGATGAACCTAAAAGGTCACCATAGTAACCATCTTGACAAAAGTCACACAGATCCCCTGTGTGACCTTCAGGACAGTCTGTGCAAACAACTCTTTCAGCAATCTGAATGCAGCGGGAGCCAAACACACAGGGGCAAGGCTTGCAATCATCTTCATTTCCTTCAGTTGGGTTTCCATAGAAGCCATCTTTGCATTTCTCACAGTTGTCACCTTCAGTGTTGTCTTGACAATTGCAAACCCCTGTCACTGGATCACAAGAGTCTGAGTGACCATAACACTGGCATGGAATACACCTGGAAGAGGAAAGAATTTCAATAATGAAAAGAGGAGGACTAACTGTCTTGAACTGTTTGGAACTAAGAAATCCAGTCAATATTCCTTTTAGTGGAATACTAAAATCAAATATTCTAAAATCAAATTCTCAATCCACTTTCACCATAAGCCATTAGCAAACTTAAGCTTTGTCATTTCAAAGTGCTGCTCAGCTTCCAGAAATTGTTACATTGGTGTTCATTATATCCCTTCCTTTCCAAGGTGTTTAGTGTATATGTAATGTTAAAAGCACATTTACAGGTCTCTAATAGTACTGTGTATTACTCACTCTGATACACCAGTAAACAAAGAAAAATATTAGGAACCAATAATGTTGGGTTGCCACACATTCACTGCCCCACCTGTAACCTCTTTGCTCTAACAAAATTAGAATTACTTTAACCCTACAAATGACAGCTTTTTGAAGTTATTACAGTATTTTATATACTCTTAGCATGGTACTTTAACCCTAAAAGTCTCAAGATCTGATTGTTAATTCTCCTCTCCAGCTGCTTCACATTTCTCTGTAAATTAGCTAAGAGATTTTGGTGTCAGATCAAGATAACTTCTTGTGCCTAATAAGTTTGAGTATTCTCATAATTAGTTTGCTGAATAAAGTACGGATATTTTAAGGAGACATCACATGTTAATCACTTCAGGGAGTTAAAAGGTGATGATACAGTAGCTTTGCCCACAACCAAAGAGGCTAACTTTGTAGAAAACAAAACAAAAAAATGGAAAGGGTGCTTAATTTAAAAAAGATGCAAGATACCAACAAGTTTGTTTAGAGCCAACAACATCACTAAACAAAACTTACTGGCCATATTTATCATCTGAACCCTGTTGCCTGGTGTAGCCCACACTGCACTGTTCACAGTTTTTACCAGTGTAAGGAGCTGGGCAGGTGCAATTTTCAACCCAAGGCACCTGCAATTCAGGGGCTGTCCTCGGATCATAGATTGCTGACTCCAGAAAAACATTGTCAAGTAAGCCAGTTCCTTGGGGGCCATAATTCATGCGAATTTTGATAGCTTTCAAATTAGTCAGCAATTTTTGAAAGTCAAACCCCTTAAGCATCGGCTCCCAACCAAGAGAAGGATCTTCATGTAGACGGAACACATAATTTTGAAAGTCGGTGCTAGGAATTGGGTTGTTCTGTGTATTAAGCCTAGCAGATACTTGACTTCCATCCTTGCTCTCCAAAATGATATCGCTTGGTTCCACTTGAACCCCCTCCACAGCTGCTACACGAAATGAGAAACCAAAGAGCTGACCATAACTACTGCGAAGGTTTCCAAGGTACATTGCTGGTGCTGATACATAGAGGACCTCATTTCCTATTGCTGTGACACTGATATGACCCTCTCCCACATGGTGAACTGCATATTGTTCAGTAACATCCCTTCCTGTTAAATGCCAATCAAATAAGGCTCAAGTATAAAATATTCACAAAGAAAATAAAATGCTGCCTTCTCCTCTGAGGCAAAGGGGAAAACCAAAAAACAACTCTTTTTATCTCAAACAAAAAAGATTGTTAACCCTTTTGAAGGTACTCGGGAACTAAACAACTTCAATGCATGGTAAAATATAAATAGTTAGAAAATAGTTAGGTAAGAATAAATAAATGAAATCAAAGGATAGAGGCTCAAATAGCCTCAGTTTGGTGCAACTTGTCCCAATTTGACCAAATGGTCTCTCTCATAGGTCTGTCATTTGGTTGCTATAGGTCTGGTAACTTTCCTTTTCAAATGTGCATAAGACAGAGAAGTGGTATGGGACAACCTTGTCTCTGTGACGGGTAACCAATAATTTGTCTGTGCAATGGTTCTGTTATATGTATTGAAAACAAAAATTTTTATTTCAAAGCATGAAAGTTTCCAGAAAATGAATTGTAAATGCATTCAACAATCCAACCCCTTGTTGCATATCTGTAGCATAAACTTGTAAAATTGGCAATTAGTGACATACCATTGAATCTGCACAATTTTCAAGGATAAATGTCAGATAGGATGCTGATACACTAACTTTACATTAAATAGATGTTGTTTTGGCTGGTACTATAAATTGGATTTGGGAACTAGAATAGTATTCTGCAAGCTCTCCAGTCATATTTGCAATTAATTCCCAAATTTGGGTACCTTGCTCATTGATGACAGTCCAACCATTCAAACCTCTGGTAAAGTCATTTGAAATGTTTCTTCCAGCATAACCTTCAGCTTTATCACACACATTGGTATGTCCATAGCAGAAGCACTGTCTACAGCCATGTGGGTTGGAACTCTCCAATCCAAAGTATCCAGTCCTACATTTTTTGCACTTAGCACCAATCACATTCCTTTTGCAAGAACATTCTCCTTTTTCATTACATTGTGTGTTGCTTGGATCTGTTCCTTCAAGGTCACATTGACAAGCCCTTAAAGGAGAGTTATGGTAAATAACTTTTTAAAAAAAATTACGTGCAAAGTATTGGGTTACAAATGTTATGTCTTTGAAAGTCTCTATCCCTCACAAGAATTGGTTCAGGTCTCTGTCACCCTTCAAGCACACAGTCTGTGGGGAAACAAGCACTATAAATTCTAAGGGATAAATAAAAATTAATTCTGACACTCTGGTTAGGGCACAGTTCTAAGTTCTAGCACGGTGTTAAAAAAATCCTTTGGCTAGTAAATGAAGCTTATAATAATTCTAAACTTGCGGGAGACATTCAGAATCACTCTTCATAACTATTTTAACATTCATGGTTTCTAATGAGTTTCCCAACCCATCAAAAGTACCTCAAAAACTGTAAAAAAGGTATATTAGAGCATTGAGTTTAGATCAACAGCATTTTCAAGAGTGTTTCTTAGAAGGTATTATGTTAAATTATCAATGTGCCTAAATGGGAAATGAGCATACATGCCTTTTTTCTCAAAACAAATTCAATTTTTTAAAAATCAGCTTGATGTTCAGCTCACTGGCTTAGTTTTCCATAGAAAGTTATGCCTTATTTATTACAATCATGACATGTTGATTTCATTTACACGCTTTCCCCATTTTTGAGGAAAGGAATATAATATAAACAACATCAAGGAGATAAAGACAGTACTTCCATGAGTTAATCATCAAAGGAAACAAAAGGCTCTCATTGTTCCACTAGTATCTCATTTTACCATATCAGGGCAAATGAACATGCAAAATATGCCACTGTATTTCAAAATAGAACAGGGTAAAAATATGGACAGAAATGATTGGCCTGATCTTTCATTTTCTTTTCCATTTTTTAGACATGATTTGGTTGGTCATCAAGAACACTCAAGTGGGTGAACATTTTGCTTGTAAATTTTAACCCCACAACGGGGTTTGGAAAAATGCTTCACAACTCCCAAATTTCTGCACGTATCATATGATAAAACAATCCAATGAGTTGTATGTATCCATCACTGGTTTTTCAAAGAACACCATATGGTAAAACTTGGTTTTTTCAAACAAGAATTACATTAAGTGTGTAAAAACAAGTAAGAGTGATAGTTAACAAGTAAAATTTAAATCATTGAGAAGACTTACCTACAACCAGTCTGTGAAAACCCAAAAAAGTTTGCCTGGCATTTATCACATTTGATGCCTGTTACTCCTGGCTTACAGGTGCACTGTCCTTTTGCATCACACTGTAATGAAGCTGAGCCCACAGGATCGCAGTTACATGCCTGACAGTCATCAGATGGTGTCAGGCGGAAAAAATTGTCACGGCACCGTTCACATTTAGGGCCAGCAGTATTTCTCTTGCAGTTTTCACATCGTCCATAGCCAAGACTTTCATCATACACACAGCTGTCTGCTAAATCATTACAGTCACACTCTGGAGAAAGAGAGAGACATGTAAAAATAATCAATACTGAATAAATACTACAGTGCCTAGTAACCTACGTTTCAAATAGCCCTGTTGGTAAATTTCAATTGCTTTTAAACTTCAAATTCCTCAAGACATGTGACACTTATTTTGATATAAGATAAGTAAAAAATAGATCCCATTGATTCCCCTCTGTGAGAACATGCATATCCATTGTGAGTAACCATGAAACTGGTTGACCCATCAATTTATTGGTCTCATCAAAAACCATTTCAGTCCAAAACCTCCTAACTTTTGAGATGTCCATCCTGAATGCTTTAGCAAAAAAATTGTTGAATATTTAGCCAGCATCTTCATAATAATTCAAATTTCACCAGGAAATATAATGTTACTCTTAAATGCATTAGAGATTAGAACTTCTTTCTATTATATTCACCAAAAGAAGGAAGAAATTTAATTTCCCAGAACATCTTTGTATTTTCTGAGTGTCTTTTATAATCCATACCAAAGGGGGCAAAGAAACATTCAGTCCCACAGGATGTTGATCCGATTTTTAAAAACACCGTGTGAAATAAGGTAATCTAATCAAGAAACCACAAAACTGGTTTACATTATGCGCTTAAAATTTAATTAAAAAAACACTTTAAAATCTTGAACACTTCACATGATACACCTGCGCTTTTTGCGATGTTTTCCCCTAAATATACATTCAATTTTGTTTGCATACTTGTAAAAATTTACATTGGTATAACTGTTAATTCCAAGAATTTTTCTCTGTGCATAAGAAAAAAAGGAAACGTGATTTCAGGTTAATCTGACAGTCGGAGAAAATAAATTAAAAATTTAGTTCAAAATCGTGCATGCTCTAATTCCCTCAACCCTCAAAAAACTTACATCTACATGAAAAGACCACTATGAGAATTTACAGCAGCCATCTAATCATTTTCAGCAGCCTCTATCAATTCTGAGGCCACCGGCTGCTAAATCTATCATCACACGAGCTTTGATCTTTCAACCGCTCTTGAAACATATCTAATCATCCACTCCATTCTCTTCATGTCTGTAAATTATGCTATGAAATCGCAGTTTCTATTGCATAAGTATTTCAGTGGTATTACTCATACGGAAACTGGGATTATCCGCGGTGTTAACAGCAGAAGTCTCAAGTAGATTAGTCCTTCAAAAGGAAAGCCAGACGCTGGATTTCCAAGACATCGGAGTAGTCTGCAGGGTATCCTTTAATATAGGCTAAGTTCGTTACGGTATCAAGCGAGATTCGAATTACAAGCAATTTACTACTACAGGATAAAATACTTTCGATTGCTTTAGCAAGTAATTTATACTTCATAAATTGTTATCTTTGAATCACTTCTAATTCATCATCAAAGAGATAGTCTTCTTTTAGTGGTTCTTCAAATGTAAAACGTTCAACCCCAATAAATGGGCCTTTGTTGAATATTCATTTCATTGCGAAAAAAGCCCGTTACCGAGCTATTGCAGACTTCCGGTGAGAGATATCGTCAAGCTGCTTCAATGTCTTTTAGGTCAACAGCAAATAATTCTGGATCGAACGAGAGATTAAATTCATTAAGGGCGTCCAGGAATTTTACTTGAACCTAAAGACGCAGCAACCAAAATTTAGTAAAAACGAGTTGCTTTTTAATAAAACCACAGACTCGTACTAATATCAGAATAATATCAGAAATATTAACAGACTGAATTGAAAATGTCTATACTTACTGATGCATTCATTAGCGCTGTTCTCAGTGGCCCTAGCCCATGGCCGATTGTTGTAAAGCGGATGGCATTCTTCGCAGTCGACTCCTGTTGTGTTGTGGTCGCAAATGCACATCAACTGAAGATCTCCCGAGGGCATTTGTTTCTCTCTACAACTTGCAGCGTGTCCGTTGCATTTACATCTTCCCCCAATTGTCAAATCTATAATAGCAAAGTAGTAGCTCCTTAACACGGTAATGTCACCAAACATCTCATCTCCAAATGTATTCATTCGATTTAAATCTATACGAATCGCGCTCGCTGTTACCCAGTCTTGTAATTCGGGACTGTTATCGAAGTTGAGGTTATCCGGTCGACCTTGCAACGTTGTAAAAGCCACGTTCCCTCCAGTAAGAGGAGAAATACTGCTGAATTCATTCGTACACAACACTTGTTGGTTTGTCCTTACGATGTCATTCGTTTTTACTTTGTATGTTTTCTCGCACGAAGCTGACATATATTGATACGGAATCCATGGAGCGTTCGGGTCAGTGCTGGTTTTCTTGTAAATTGCCATCGACTCCGGCCTCGGTGATCTAAAACGAATCCTAATATAAGATACATCGAAGGTCTTCCCAAGATCGAGAGTGATGGTAACGGGTTTGTCAGAGTTTTCAAGCAACGTCTCAGATTGCCACCACGTTCTATTTTGATCGTTCTTAATGTCAGTGATGTAAACTGCGGGATGGCTGTACTGTTCCTGCTTTGCATCGCAAATTTCGCATTCTTTGGTGGGCGAGGTTACGCCAGTTTGAACACAAAATACGCTCGGAGGATTCCCACAAGTGTTGTTGGATCGAACGGCTTTATTGAAAGCAGCGTTCTCGAAAGAAGGCATGCATCTGAGGGGAGCTTTCGTGATCTCGTTATAACACGGAGACTGTCCACCAGCCCCTCGAAGAAACAGTAACAGAGCTAGAAATCTCACCAAAAATGAAAAACTATTCATATGCTCCTTCAAACGGGAACGACAGTGGATCTCCATGTTCCCTCTTGTGTTGTGCTCGCAATCTACGGTTACGCTGTGGAGGGGATTTTTGTGATATTTGATACAACCCACATGCCAGACGAAGGCGGCTCTCGATTATAAACTTTAGTGAACATGAACATTCTTCAGCGGGAAGAAAATCCCGGGCTCTGATTGGCTATCTCAGTGGTGATTAGAGGAAAACCAATCAGTAGCTTGCCAACGAAATGTGAGGCTTTCCTCTGAGTTCAAAAGTTCCACTGTCAAGTGAGAAATATGTCCCCACCTTTTCCTTTACACCCAGGTAAAAGTTCGCTAATACTCGGCCTTTGTCAACCTCGTCGAAGTAGGGAACAAGCACGATATGAGAAAGTTGAGCTAGTATTTTTTCTCGATTTATATGACACCCTTTGGTCTAAAATGACTGACGAGACATACCACTGCTGTGTAGTTGATATAATATTCCTTCAATATTTGTTTTCCGAACAATCATTGACAAATTGCTGAAAACCACAAACTATGTCAGGAAGTGGGCTTGTAAACTAGGTAAATGGTTTTCTCTTCGTTTTTTGAAAAATGTGAACAATTTGAAAAATCTCGTCACTATAAATATGGCGTGTGAAATCTGAGAATATCGCAGAAACACATCAGTCTAGTCTTGAAAGAATTTGTCTCTATATTTTCAATCAATAGTAATTGATTTTAATTATTTTAATTATTTTAACATAAACATTTGTCTTCCTTCTTTAGTGAATTATTCAGCAGGACATCCTAATCCTGAGCTGGGAATCAGGCCGATGAGCTCTCCCCTACGTGGTCTCCCCTACTTTCCTTATTTTCTTGACATAATAAACGCTTTGAATAAGCATTGGAGTATTGACAGACTGGGCTGTACGTGTGAAATTTCAGATTCTGAATGTTCTTTTTCCTTTCACTGTTTGCTTTTCTAATCTGAATATTGGAATGGATAATAGTAGAGAGTCAGAATCTTAGTTAAAGAAACATTCACATCAGCATCTACTTAGCAAAAGCCTGACTACAGCTATTTTGCGTTCAGCAGGTATAAGGGGAATATTAAAAACTCCCAGAGATATCTTTTCAAACCTGCCAATTTGAGTGCAACATTGGCAGATGTAAGCCAATAAAATATTGCTGGTTTCATAATATCACAATCTCTAATGATGAAAACTTACATTTAACATTAAACCAAATCTGAATTGTTGTGTACTGCCATTCTTTCTTTAAGTTGAAATTGGCGAAAAAAAGAGAAAAAAAGGCCAGTGTTTGAGAGGTTTGGCTTTGGATCAGGTAAAAATCTAACACCAAACCCTTCCAATTGCTAAAATTCTCCATTTTCAGTAACCAAAACATCAAATTGCAAAAACAAAAAAAAGTTATTTCAAGGCACATATTTAGTGTGACATTAAAAAAAAATTAGGAAGTTTTTTCTCTCAACTAAAAAAAAAGTTATACATTTTGTTGAGCTGTTGTTATTTACCACAGGAAACAATGACAGGTAAACTGACATTTATTTTAAGGTGTGTTTGTCAATGTTTTAATGTGATACATTTGTGTTGACAGAAAAAATGGTGAAATCTTAGATTGGTCACCACAAATTTAGGATCTTTCAATAATCATTTTTGGTGAGTGGTTTTGATGGAAATCATTTCACGAAAGAAGAAAAAATACACACAAGAACAGTATGGGAAATTTTTAACTTTATTTTTTTTGGAGCATCTCAATGAGCCATAATCTCAAATTCTTGAATCTGATTGTACTCATAACCAATTCAGCTTATTAGAACACAGACCAAGGGTCAGAATTCTTCCCCACCTTCTATACCAAAGGGAAAAATGTAGAGCAGTAGAAAAAATTAAAAAGTTATTTAGAGGTATCAGTAAGTCCATAAGGTCTTCAGTACAGCCCATGGCCACATGCAGAGGAGGGCACTGAAGACTCTGGACACAGTTTTATTCCATAGAGATCTTCTGCCTGGTAAATAACATATATTTATCCTTGATTTTGTCTGTTGGAATACTAAGCCATCAAGGTAGAATCACACAGGCACAGAAAAGTGTTAAATTTACATTCTTGGAGGTCTTGGTATTCATTTTTATGGCTAACTCTTGACAATGTTATCATCATCGCTGTAGAGTTGTCTCCCTGTTAGCAGCTAGGCTCTTTCAAATTTTGTCACATTACATCCATGTTTCAGTGACTACATCATTCTGGTCCTTTAAAAGGCTCCATGTAACTGTTGTGACCCAATGTTGTGCCACCAGTTTCAGTGACTCATTTCACATGACTGTGAGAGAAACAATCATCAGTCTTCCCTCAATGTCTGTGGTGGGATGAAAGCTGCTCCGACCAGCCGTTGTTCTTCCAAGAGGAAATTGAATGTTGCAGTTGCATTAGGCTACAAAGGAATGACATAAGAATCAACTCTCTCCATGACAACTTTCAAGCCTGGTTTTCACTAGCAATGAAAGCAAGATTGCAATCACAAATGTAAAGTTAACAGCTCTCATTTAACCATGAAAACAGCCTTGATACAAGCACAAGCACAAAGATCAGAATTTTTCCTTTGTCTTGTACCTGTGCTTATGCTTGCAGTGAAGGCTGTTTTCACAGCAAAATAGGAGATGTTATACTCACATTTGTGCTTGCATCACTATTGAAAACCAGGCTTAAGATCTCCATAACAGTGACATCTTATAGGGATCAGTTTACCTTAAGTCTTATAAAGTGACAGACTGAGGATGTTAAGTAGCAGGGAGCTACTCCTAGTATCCATTTTAAGGATATCTCAGTCTTCAAGAAGCGACAGTTAAGAGAGAGTTGACTGACTTATAGTGTAAAGTATTTCCAAATGATTCACTATTTTGCATTTAAACCAAAACTTTTATTTCAAATGGATTTCAAGAAAGATGTATGTTTACCAAGGCTTGTTTTTGATGGGCACCCCATCAAGAGTTACACTCTCTTTAATCAACATATGACACAATCTATGTGCTGTAAAAAAAAAGGAACTGAAATAAATAATTTTAAAACAACTGCAGATAAACTGTGGATTCTTTTTCTTGTGAGCAAGATGTTGCTAGCTAAGAGTCCAGCTAAATTTAATTGATAACATGGATAAAAGAACTTACTGTATCCTGAACTTCCAAAAGAATATTGTGTTTCTTCATATAATTGTTTATTTCTGGTGGAAGACGTATAATCTTTTCTCCAGTTCCCACAACCACAATTTCTACAAGAATACTCTAGAGTTTAGTGGAAAATTTATATAAACTATTCATAATATACAAACTGGAATTCCTTTTGGTTTCAGCTTACACAACTTGAGATATGTGATAATAACTGGCAGATCAGAGAGGGTACAGTCCAAAATGGTGTGAAAATATCTTGCAGCTAAAGAGCACTAAAAAACCTACCAGGTTTGCTCAAATATTAGAATTTGAATTTTGGAAAAAAAATCACCCAGTACTTCAGAAGAAAAAAAATTAGATAACAATTACAGAATCAATGAGATTTGCAGCTTTATTGAATGTGCTACAGTTCAAGTTTTTACGCATAGAAAATTTTGAGACACAATACTGAAATAACATACATACCTATTGGAGGTTCCATTATTGTAAAAAGAGTCAGACTGTCAGCTGTTATATCTTCTGGTTTTTTAATCTTTGACATGAAAGAAAAAGTTTACTTCTTTACTTAAAAGTACAGTGCTTACTTTTATTATCACAAAAGAATCCAGTATAAAATTATCATTAGAAGAGAAATGAAGCCTTCATAAGGTTGTACTGAATCTTTTTTATCAAAATAATCATTTGCCAAGGCCTGTGTATAAAAATTACGACAGAGTGTAATTTCAGAAATTATCAATGCCAGGCTTGTGGAGTGTAATTCAAAATTATGACAAAATTTATGGTTTTCTTATGGCACCTGAACAGTGATATCAAAATCCCAAAATTCAAGCGCTCAAAGTTTTTTTAGTCTGTACAAATATTTTATTGATCTCATTTTCCTACAATTTGATTGGCCTCTTTAAACAAGCCTTGAAATTTGATTGGCTATAGCTGTCTCATTAACTAGGAAAAAGATGCACTTTAGACCATAAAATGGTGCAATTTGTGAATGAATCGCACTGGTGAGAGCAAATCAGATTTTAAGCATTACAAGAGATTTCTAAATGGATATACTAAAACAGGAAACAAAAGGTATATGGAGAAGTAACACCAAATTCTCCATGGATAATTTTAAGAAAACATCTCAAAAACAGATATCCTGCTACAGATCATAAGTCCCACCCTTGTAAACCCTTGTGGGCATTTTTTGGGGTGGCACATCTGGGGTGTGATACTATGCTGTAAACGATAGAGACCTCAGACCACAGTACTGACTTGAACTTCACTTCTCTCTGTATGAACCTACTCATATCACAGGTCACAAGCAACTTACCCGCCAGTGGTAAAACGCTGAGGGAAAGATTACAACAGAGCCAAACACTTTGATATCCTTTACAGTAAAACCACGAGTGCTGTATGACATAACGTAAGGCGGCGAGTTGATCAGACTTTCTTTATCTTTTAAGTCTGTTATAAAAGTAACTGTTGACTGCATTGGTTCTTTTTCAATACCGTGTTGCTTGAGGCGTCTTGAAATTCTATTCGTAAATAAAATAACACAATTTTAGAGTGGGATGATAATTTCCATTAAACGGTGTAAAAATGAGTGCAACATACATAATATGTACAATATTAAATGTGAAAAAATAAGGTGGAATTTAAAAGAATGAGCAAATTTTGCAGCACAAAATTCGTAGGGATGAATCATCTTAGCTTACGTAAATTTTTTATCTGATCACATGAACACTTACCGAGAAATTGGTCTTCCTAAAAGATGTCTACATGTCCTTATGCACAGAAGAGCGTTCGCCATTTTGGAAATTTTGTACACATGTGGATAGCGGTAGCTTAGTATGTTATATACAGTTACACAAAAACGACACCGTAACGTCACCAATGAAAATGGCGGGTGTCACGAAAGCTAAGACCTGAGACCAAAGACTCCTCGAAGACTAAAACCCCTCGAAAGACTGGTTCTGGATTCAGGTTTTCGCTTTTGAAAAACACTCCAAAACTAAGACCCCTATTTGAATTCATGGCCAATTACATTGAGTACAGTTCGAGTCACGACTTCTGAGAATTTGACGGGCCGGGCCGGTTCGACTATCATGCTAAAAAATTTTGCTTTTGCGGCAAAAAAAATAAAAGTCCCCCTAAAAACACACACTCACATCCATTAAATCTGTTAACCAGAGTAGCATCAAACCATGTCTGACACACTCTCACCTTTAAACATCGAGCGCTGTTAAATGGCCCCTGTGATTCTGTTTGTATTGCCTTTTTTATAGCTGTGATACGTCCGTCGCATTGTCGGTTGCTTGACGGCTGTATGGGTTTTCAGTCGTCTTCCAATGCCATTTCTATATCATCGATGAAAATTATTATTCGCGCCAGGTTAAACATTTTCCTGAAAAACGTTTTCCCTCGCTAAAATATGAATAACCCACTAGCAAAGTCTAAGAATCTCGCAAACAAGAACATAGGGAAAAAAAATTACCGCTGTAATGTATGAGATAATGCAATTTTCCGATTCAAAGAACAGCATCTACTGAAGTTTTACTTTAAGTTTAAGTTTTACTTTAGTTTACTGCGTAAATCAGGCAGAAAGGTGTTGCCCACATTCCTTACAGATCTTGCAATAGCAAACAATTCTATGTATAATATATTAAAGTTCACACGGCAACCAGGTGGACAATCAAACATGGTTTGATGCTACTCTGGTTTGCAGATTTAATGACTGTAACCGAAGAAGTTATGAATGAGAAATGGAAAGAAAGAAAGAAAGAAAAAGAGAGGGAAGAAAGAATGGGTCTATGAATTGTAACTTCTTCGGTTACATTCATTAAATCTGCAAACCAGAATAGCATCAAATGTCTAATTCTATGTATTTTCGTATGGGTGCCACGAAAGCCAAGACCTACATACATTATCTAGTGTGAAACAATATTTGATTCGTATTTTTATCAATGTTAAAATAACTTTACAAACGATCCCTTTTTGCTATTAATTTCGTGTTATAGGATTTGTCTTCAAATTGATGCAAACCAGGAGACATAGTAATACAAGAACGACAATGACAATGGTACTCAATTGAAAACCACTTCACATCACAACTGTTTCTTGCTACATTTCACCGCAGCCTAGCTCTGCTCGAATCAATTTTCTGTGCGCATCCTTCAGGGCCGATCGCAATTCTGGTGAAATTTCCAGGTAGGCGGGGCCGAAGTATGGGAATCGGTTAAAAATGCAGGAGCGTTTTATACAATAAAATTTCGTTGTATATCTCGTCGACGGCAGTTTTTCCCCTTGATTGTTTGAGTCAGGGTACATCCAATTTTCCTCATGTGCGAGAATAATATCAAATAGAATGGTATAACTGGACAAATCACAACATATCCAACGTCCCAAACATATTTTGGCACCCCTTTGTTTTATGTTATGAGAGTTGAGTGTTTGCAGGAAGAAATGCGGTCGCTAGGCCGCAAAACGACATTGCCATCAATCTGCTTCACACTAATTTGGCAGCAATTTGTTAAAAAGATAAATAATGATTATCATAATAAACTTACCATCTTTCTTATTCTTTACAAAATAATACTTTATATGGAAAGTTACAAACGCGAGAGAAGATGAACTGAGCTGGTCATGAATTGCGATCGGATAAACTGATCTTAAAAATTGCGTTTAAAGTTTCCCGAAAATTGAAAACAGGCAACTTATTCTTGCAGAATACGTTAAAACGGCCTTTCGCTCGAAACGAGGCACATCGAAAGCATTCTCTGCTGCGCAGACGTAAGACTAATGCGTGGTGAATTTTATTCAATAAGAAAAGAGAAACAGAAAGCTTACTTTTTCTTTCTGAATTAAATAGAGTGTAAATTTATGAGTGAAAAGTTTGCTTATCATTATTCAACGTTTAATTTTGCAGCTCAGTTAAGCCTGCATGTATACACCTCAAATAAAATTCACGATCTCCAAGTTGTAGCTCCCCCAGATTGAAAAGATTATCTTGGCTTCTTCTTTCTTTTAAAATATCCCATACCAGCCCATACGTAAAAGTTTTCTAGGGGTTTTAGTTTTCGAGGGGTCCTAGGTCCTATTAGGTCTTAGCTTTCGTGACACCCGAAAATGGCGGAAAATTTGAGTGTGCGCTGTGGCTCTGCAAGGGAACTTGGGGAGACAACACTCTTTGTAAGACTTAGTTATAGAAATTAATCTTAGAAAGTGATTTAGCTGTAAAATGAATATTCTTGAGCGAAATAATATATTGAACGTGGGTGACAAAATCGAGCGAAGGAAGTTAATTTGCTGGCCGAGCTCCAAGTACCTGTCGCACATAACCGCCGCGTCAAGCTGGTACGCCATGGAAATAAAGGTAATTATTTTCCACACGTCACAATACTTTCTAGTAAATTCTACTTACTGTTTTGTGATTAACCTTCTTGCGTTTGAACCATTACAATTTTAAAATTCAGAAAAGCGATCGTCATCCATTACTACACTTTGAGCTCAACTGCTATTACATTATTGAGCAGTCCAAGTTCTGTACTGTAGATATGAATGACAACAACAAATATTTAAAAATGTTTACAATTCTTAAATAAATAATCAGCACGATTTGCAATAAATGGAATACCATACTGGAGAATTCCCTGTCAATTTAGCCCTGTCATGCCAATGTTTAACGCGCTCTACTCGGTGTCATCTGAATTCAGCTGTTATTACCTTGACAGCCGCCATTACATAACATATTTAAGGAAGATTACTAGTTAGCTTTTTTTTCGCATTGGCTGAGAAGAAATAATTATTTCAAAATGAAAAATTACATGCTATTTTATCTAGTGGTTATTTATTTCTTCTTGTATCTTATCAACACACCAACAGTTGCCACAACTTGTAAGTTTAATGGATGCTACGATTCTGGAAGGAATCCACGTCCTTGCATCGCAAGTCCAGTCAATATGGCCTACAAAAGGAATGTTTCATCAACAAATACATGTGGTAACCCAGCTAGTGGGTTCTGTGAGCTTGGCCCTGGACAAAAGTGCTTTGAGTGTGATGCTAATAAAACAGATAAAAGGCATTCTCCAGTATTCATAGTTGATAAGGAATTTGATACTCCGTATTTCCTTGAAGATGTAACATGGTGGCAGTCTCAAACATGGTGGGACACAAACCAACTTGGAATGTCAAACCAGTTCAATCCTTTGAAGGTAAACATAACACTGTCTTTTGGCAGAAGGTTCCACATATCTGGTGGTATCATAGTGAGATTTTACAATGAGAGACCAATGGCCATGTTTCTGGAAAAGTCAAGGGACTATGGTAAAACATGGAAAGTTTTACAGTACTTTGCTTTTAAGTGTCCCTTGTATTACAACATGGATGAAATGGAACCTGTTCCGAAGAACAATCTATTTGAAGCAACCTGCACTGAGGATTACAGTGGACAGTTCCCACCAAGATATGGAAAGGTGGAGTACAGATTTGATAAACGCTATGATGACAGTTGTCGTTACTTTGATGAAGAGATCCAGAATTTCATGTTAGCAACAAATGTACGAGTCAGACTTGAATATCCTTACACAGATGGCCTTGAAAAAGTATTTCAGACTGAGGATGTACTCAACAAGTATTATTATGCAATCTCAGATATTGTAATAACAGGACGGTGTGACTGTAATGGGCATGCACAATATTGTACAGGACCACGCATGGAGGAAACATGTGAATGTGAGCATAATACAATGGGACAGGATTGTGAAATGTGCATACCAATGTTCAACAATCGTCCATGGATGCCAGCAAATGCGAGTCATGCAAATGAATGCAAAGGTGATCACCAATTAACTTTATTATTCAGAACAAATTTTCATTTCCCTTAGCATGCAAAATCTAAAAATAGATTTTTTACTGGTTATAAATTCATTGGCTAAATGTGTTTTATTTGGTTTGATATAGAATGTGAATGTAATAACCATGGATTGTCCTGTATATACAATGATACTCTGGGCTATGGTGTTTGTACCAGTTGTCAACACAATACCAAAGGATCACAATGTGAAACATGTTCACCAAAGTACTATAGGAATGCAAATGTGCCTTTACAAGATCTAAACACATGCATTGGTAAGATTAGCTGGCAAATTGATTTTAATTACAAGAATTAAGGACTTAGTTGCACTTAGCGTACAAGCTGGTTAAGATATTTTCATTAATGTGTTGCTTGAAACCAATAGGCTTGTTCATTTTAGATAAAAGCGCCTTTAATCCTAAGTTACAGTAACTGTTTTTTTTTTTTCTTTGCAGCTTGTAACTGTTTCCCAGAAGGTATTACAAATGATGGTACATGCCTACAGGAGGAAACACCCATGCAGGTGATTGGACAGTGCCAGTGTAAGGAGAATGTGTTTGGACGACAGTGTGATCAGTGTATTCCAGGATACTGGGGTTACAGAGGAAATCCAGCTGGTGAATGCAAAGGTCAACTTCCACAACATGCCTAAAAAGTCACAATTCTTGAAATCTTTTGTCTAATGTATTATTCTTTTTGAGCACAGTTGCTTTTTAAATCTAAGTTTAAGGGTTTTACTCTGACTTTTTTCTCTTTGAAGAACAATTATTTAAAACAAATGGCTTGCTTTGCAAGTCTCATAATTCTCAACACAAAGAATTTTTTGATTGTTTTGCTTCAGCCTGTGGATGTGATATTTTGGGAACAGTGAACAACACTTTACAGTGTGACCAGTATACTGGGGACTGTCCATGTAAGGAATCTGTACAGGGCAGGTACTGTGTGGAATGTAAAGATGGCTTCTACCTGTTTCCACTAACCAAGGATTCAGATTGTCTAAGGTGTCCCTGTGATTTAGGTGGGGCATTCCCTCGATGTGACAAATTGTCAGGTTGGTAACTTTCAAGTTCCTATCTTTTGAACAGTGATTAATGGTATGGCCCATTGGTATTTACTGTGATGTGAGTAGTCTTGAGTTGATATTTGGTTTAGAAACTTGTATCCCAAGTTTATAATTTTTAATCTTCATAATCCTGATAGATTAGTTTTTCCCTGGAAGAGAACTTCATGTGGAGCTTATTGTGTCATAGTTTCCCCTTTCTGTAACTGCTGCATATTTTATGTTTGGAGTGATTTACTGAAACCTCAATCTTGAAGAACAAAATAATTTTGTTAGTCAGAAGTTCATTATTATCCAAACTGGTATGAATAGATTAAACATACCAGGGAGGAAACCCTGTTAGAATATCTTTTGTAATCAATTTAATGCAAAATCTTAAATTCCACCAGCAAAACTATTTAATTCAGATTTTTTTAACTTGAATTTTCACCTGGTCAGCACTTATATTTGATTTCTTAGGCACCTGTTCTTGCCGCCTTGGTGTAGAAGGAAGCGAGTGTGAAAGATCCCAGCAGGAACATTTCTATCCATCCTTGGACTTCATCCAGTTTGAACTAGAAGATATGCATGGTACCTTCACAACTTTGACTCCATCTGAGGGTTATGGAGTAGACTTCAGTGGGCATGGTTTTGCCATTCTCTATACGGGGCAATATGCCTATATTGATAATGCCAAAGTGTTAGCCAGCCACCAGTTCTATGCAGTTCTTCGTTACAGTATCACCCAAAGTTGTACATTTGATTTTTCTGCGAAGCTTGTATTGGGCATCACAAGTACTGGCCAAAATACCAGCATTGAATTTGATCTTTTAATGGAGAAGCAACCAGAAAGATCAGGGAAAACATGGAGGTCACCTCAAACTGTAACACTATTGACTGGCAAAGTCTACAACCTCTCACTGACATATAACAGTACCAATGACATTGAGAACTGCTCTGTTCATGTTGACTCACTGGTCTTTCTTCCTGATGTAAATACTACCAGAGCTTATACTGAGTCAGAAAGAGACACTCAAGATCAGTTACATAGCTGTGCTCAAGCTTCTTTGTCTCTGGCAGCATCAGAGCCAGCTTACTGCAACAAACTGGTGTTTGCTGCAAGTACAGAAATCTATAATGGTACCTTGGGTAAGTTCATTTCCTCTCTTACTGACTTTTCTCCCTTCCCTTCATCAATTTCCTTCTCCTGTATTGGGAATAACTCACTCATGCCAATCTTTCACTTGAAAACAAGGCAGAAGCTGTACTTTTTGGTTAACAAAGGAAGAAGGTGCACATTAAATGAAATAATTTTAGCAATTTATCTCATTCCGTAGTCTCATGACTGAGCATGTAACAGTACATGTTGTTTTCTATGTGATAGATCAAATACTCGTGCCGTGTGTCCATTGTGTTTAGGTTTATGGAAAATAGTGAAACTTTTGCTATTCTTATAGTTTCAAAAAATCACAACATATCAGTGAACAAGACTTTTACCCTACATTTTTAGGCATCTTAAACAACATGTTTAATATAAAGAGGTAATTTTAACCATAGGACTTTCCCCTTTTAAAAGGGCCCTTTCTATCTATATTTATGAGAAGGCTGTTTCACTTCAAGAACATCACAGTCTGTTCAGATCTTGATTGTTGCTGTTTCATTTTTGTTGGATTTCAGCCTGCAGGTGTAATCCTGTTGGTAGTGTTAGTGGTACACAATGTACAGCTTATGGAGGCCAGTGTCAGTGTCACCCAGGAGTTGTGGGACGTATCTGTGACTCCTGTAATAATGGATACTATGGATTTTCTTCAACAGGATGTAAACGTAAGAAAACAGCTAACTTTTTGTACTTGTCACCATAAGAACACCACTAGATGCATGGAGTTAGATGAATCAGTTTGAAAAAAGATAGATACTTCCAATACATTAAAAACCATTCTTGTTCCTATTGGGTCTTCTCTTACCTCTTTGTTGATTGATAGCCTCTGCCAAGCTTTTTTGTCAATAACAGGTAATAAAAATGAGATTTAAAATTGTTGCTAGTTTGGATCTGTTCATTCTTTGTATCTTTTTTGATTCCTCTTCCATTAATATCTTTTGTGCTTGCTAAATAACTGTTTTTTGATAGGGGTAAATGTGAATGACCCTAAGCAATTTTTTAAGAGGTCTGGATGAGTTGTATCACAGTATACTTGTTACTAAAAAGTTAACTGTGTTTTTGCAGGTTGTCAGTGTTCTAATGCGGGGTCTTTGCATTTTTCCTGTCATTTGACAACTGGAAAGTGCCAGTGTAAGACCAATGTTGAAGGACACAACTGTGACATCTGTAAAGATGGCTCCTTTAATTTGGATAGTGCTAATGAGCAGGGATGTCTGTCTTGTTTTGGTTATGGCAGAGCGAGTAGTTGTAAATCAGCTAGTGGATTTGTTGCATCAGCCATATTAAATGAATTTGAAAATAAAACAGGTAATATCTGTGCTTTTGATTCTGCCACATTTTACACTAGCTAGTTTACATTACAAGCTATTCTTTAATAAATATCTAAAAGCATCACTTCAATCAATATTCTACTCAATCAATGTACCAAAAAAAAAGCAAGCAACAAAATGTTCTTGGTACTTGTGACAGATGCAGTATTTGCAACCCTGGAAGAAATAATCGTCATGTAATGTAATAATGATGACATATTTAAATAATGAAACAATTATTTGTCAGTTGTAGTTCTGTCATTGGAAACAAAAGCTTATTATATCTAAATTAGCCCAGTTATTAGACAAGGTAGCTCATCTGAGGAAAAGGAATGGTATACAGTTGCTAGATTTTTGGGACCAACACTACTCTAAAGCAGCCTTGCATTTGAGAATGCTGTCAGCTGTGCAAGCTAAATGGGAACATAGATGCAAACTGTCTGCAATATTTCAAAGCATATAAGATGATGAAAATGCTTGGATCTTGTGTATGTTGCTAGATATGTATCCTTTGAAATAAAGTGGCTTAACGAAGCATTTGTTTTTCATGTTTGTTTCTTTAGAGAAAAGTATTCTAATTTCTTATTTTTCAGAGTTTGATTGGGTGGTGGTAAACAGGACAGGTGATGTGATTCCATTTGTTGACTCAGCATCCAATGGCTTGGTTGTTACCTCTGTTCTTGTGCCACCTGTAATGTACATTAGTGCACCTTCCTTATTTCTTGGAACACAGTTCAGGTCATATGGCCAGAGACTACATGTCAAAGTAAGGATATCTAGGTGATTTAATTCACATGGGGAGGGCTATATGATAATATTTAGTTGGCAAACTCATATATTAAGGAAGAGTGGCTCAACAAAAGTGACTATCATGCATGCATTTGGTGTACAATTGGTAAATCGTACCTGTCACATATCCAGTTTGTCATTTTGTTACTGGGGGCAAATAAAGAGTGAAATTTTGGTCAAAGTAAATCTGCGTTTCATACGCATCATTGTGGTAAAATGTACCCTGAAAGTAGGTTTGATAAACCCTCTGAGATTAGGTACTCTGTGATATTGTTACAAAGATTACTCGGCTGCATTTACTTTCTTGGGGAAAATGGATGTGACAAATGGTTACATGTGAATTTGTTCAAAATTTGTTTCTTTTAGTTATGCCTATCTGTTGCTGAAATGCTCAGAGAACCTTGTTATTAAAATGAGCATTCATCATCAGTCAGTTAGAATTCTTGTTGCTTTTTACAGGGGGAGATAAGAAAACATTAGTAGCTATAATTTGTTCTTGATATTGACATAGTTTTATGACATCATCCACAGAAATCATGGCTGCTATGCATTCCCCACAAATCATTAAGATACTCTACATGTAAACGTTTGTTATTTTTTTGACAGATAGACATCAAAGATCCTGGTAATGGACAAAACCCGGCTGCAGCAGATGGAGATGTCATCCTGGCCAGTGGCTCTAAAGAAGTGGCGCTCAACTTTATTCCCTCCCCCTCTCCTAACGTCTCGTCATATCACGTGATACTAGATGAAACACACGTGATTGATGGGCAGTCAGTATCATCACTGGAGTTCCAGTCCATTTTGGCTGGGCTGACATCTCTCAAGCTCCGTGCCTCGTATTTCCCACAGAGTACCGTGACTTTCAAGGAGGTAACTTTGGAGACTGCCGTGAATGAGCGAGGTATACCAGGTGAAGTTTCGGTTGGATTTGTAGAAAATGCTACGTGTCACACAAACTACACAGGGCTGTCGTGTGAACTGTGTGCGCCAGGTAAGTAGCAGAAGTATTTTTCTTTTAAATCAGTGTGAAAGGCTGTGTTGACGTTATAAATGTAATTAAAAACTTGAGTAATTCCTACCCGTTATACCTACCTACCGTTCCTACCTACTCTTTTCATCGACTTTAACTTTCTCTTATTGAACAGAGACAGGAGTCAAAGACTGAAACACTGAAGATTTAAGAGTCATTTGGTGGAAACATTACAATCCAACCAATAATTTTTATTTTCTCTCCTGAACCTACATTTAATCCACTCTTCATGAGTTTGTAGTGTAACAGAGCCTTAACTTGTTATACAGGCACTTGTTAGCTTTGAATGACTAGCCTTTATCATTTTACATTAAGAAACATTGATACAAAAAACTTCCATTACATATTTATAATACTCACCGGTATTGTTTTTGTTTTTTCTTTGTTCTTTCCTCAGGGTACACTCGTGAGGTGAATGGAAGTGGGCCAAGTGGCCGTTGTGTTCTTTGTTCCTGTAATAACCGGAGCACAGAATGTGACAGGGAGACTGGGGCGTGCACCAACTGTCAAGTGGGTACCTATGGTGACCGCTGCCATTTGTGTACAAATAATGTGCTGGGACCAGAATGCACTCAGTGTGAGCCTGGCTATTGGGGACTGTCAAAAAATGGTTGCAGAGGTACCAAAGGGTACTCTTTACACATGTTGGTTGCTTATCTGGCGTAGCATCCCGTGATATTTTTGCTGAATAATAAGTAGTTACCTGTGCATGTCTCTAGCTAGTCTTTGAGCTTAAGCTGATTCAACGGAAATGATGAGCAATTTGACTTAACTTATTTGAATCCAAGTGATATACCAGTTTGTTCTTCACCATTTTAAGCATTTTACACATATCCACTTTCTGTGTTGAACACTCTTATCAACCTTACCAAGAAGACGTTTGAAAATCAAATTTAATTGAGTTAAAAATTGTTGGTTTGCCTGCCAGTGCATTATTAACTAGTATAGTTTTAAGGCGTTACAAACTTTCTAAATGTAATGTTTCGTCACACCAAAAATTACATTTAAGTTGTCACTCATTCTCAGTGTATATTCTTTAGCCTGTGATTGTCACCCTGTTGGAACTGCCTTTGGAAACACAACCTTATGCGACCAAGTGACTGGTCAATGTGAGTGTAACGCAACAGCTAGAATAGGGGGCAGGCGCTGTGACAGGTGTATGGAAAATAGCTGGAATACTTCAGACAGTTTGTTCAGCTGTCGAGGTAAAGAGCGTCTTGGAACTTTATTTTCTGTTCCAACATTCGAAATTATTTTGTTTCTTTCTGCTATAATTCGCCGGCCTTTTTACATCTGAATAAAGGGGGTAAGTTTCTAACGCTCGAAAAATCAGCTTTAAAACTCTTTATGGTGGCCTATTTACGTTATCAACTCAGTTGATAATTCTAAGTTACATTGAATTTTTACTTCATTAATGTCACTTTTTCAGAATGTTCCTCTTGTTACTCTTCTATCCAAGAGGATGTGAATGTTGTTCGCACCCGGCTCCTAGACATAGAAGATGATCTCTCGGCTCTTATGAAACATCCTGCATTACTTCACAATCTCACATTTGTGGAGCGATTGCACCAGCTGGTCACGGAAGTCAGCGTACTTACCCAAACAATCAGCAGAGCATTGGAGGTAGAAGGAAATCTAACATCTCAGTGGCTAACGTTTGAAGTTGCATGCCACGACTTGAGTACCAACCTAAACCACACTGAGACAACTTATGTGAATCACACACTTTATTATGCAGCTGTAGTGGATGCCAATAGAAAAGAAATCGAGAGCACTGTTACGCAGATTCGTGATGTAGTCAGGGAGGCAGCCCGCTTATTGGGAACTCCTATGAGACACAAACTAGAACAGAACGAAGTGTTGTCCAGATCCCTGGCGCTCGTAGCAAAGGAGTTGATAGGTGTCGCAGAAGGTGTGATTGAACATAAAAATCGCACCGTCACAATTAATGGGACAATTTTTGCGCGTGTAGAATCCGCATTGGAGACAGCACGAAATGCTACTGAAAAAGCACAAGATGCGAATTCTACCCAGGTTCAACTGACTAATCTGCTGCAGCCACTGTATGAAAACGTATCAGCAGCAAATACTCTTGGAGAGCAAACAGTGGCATTGGTGTTAAGCAAACTCACCAGTGCTAGTAAAGCGTATAATGACAGTGAAGCAATGATAGCCGAGGCTAGTCAACCAAACCCTGACAGGAGTAGTGTAAGTTTACTGTATTAACGTGAGTACTTTGGTAAGTCAAATATAGATGTACCGAAAAATTCGTTATATCAAATATGATCGAAAAACTAGATTCACTTTCTCATTCGTCGCTTTAGTTGGGATTGACTACGTATCACGAGAGAAGACCTTGGTGGAAATGGATACTGAATTACATGTGATTATTTTGATAAATATAGGTGTTACAAGATTTGAAAAGAAAGACAATTGAGGCAAGAAATCTGGCAGCGCATTTCCTCAATCAAACCAGCGAACTATATCATTCCAGTGCGGCTGTGGCAGGTCAGGTTCACGCTGCCATAGAAAGATCGGTACATCTGGAAGAGGAAGTACAAAACGTGTTGTTAAATGGTACACAGCTTCTACAAAGATGCCAGGCTGCATTAAGTTCCACACAGGCTTCTGTCTCAAGAGCTAACAAGGTGCATGAACATGCGAAGAGAATGTTGAATGTCGCGAGCAACTTTGAAGTTGAATCTCGTCAGGTCCAGGCTTCTGCCAACAGGTCCTTGTTAACTGTTTCCTCCGCTCGCACCAACGCTCACGACATTTTAAGGAATGTTTTTGCAGTGAATGAATCTTCTGCAAACTCGCTGAAAACGGTTGAGGAGGCTCTGCAACTTGGAGACGTGGTTGATAAATCTTCTGCTTCCGAAAAGCAGGTATGCTCCCTGTTAGTTTGTCATGATGTAATTGGTGAGTAAAGTATTGTATTTTTCGACCCCAACAATTATTTTAATGAACACGCAGCGTACGAGTTGTTTCGTGATAGTTTGAATCTTGTATTCTAACCAACAACAATAGACGTTAGAGTGGTAAGCAGTGAAGGAAGCTACATCAAGAATTTTTGTCTCCAGCTATTCTGTGGCGATTTTTTTGTCGGTAATCATATGGTTGAAGCTCACTGACTAAATCAAACTCAGTGTGTAATGGCTGGAACTCTACTCCATACCAAACCTGTAGCAGTATGCAATCGCCTTACTACCGCTGACCTAAAAAAAACACGCGAAAAGGATGCTTGTTCTTAAGGCTGATAACTTAGTTTGTGTACGCGTTTAGTAACAGAAATGGATACCTATCAACTTTTTGGTTTTCAGCCAGTGGAGTAATCAATTTTTACTTTTTGTTGCTTACAAAGGTCGTGAAGAAGGCTCTCCGCCTGGCGTATAAATTGTGGAACGAGACAACTGGAGCGAACATGGTAGGTAACGCTACTATGGAAGACTTCATGGCTCGAAATATAGAACCCATCCAGAAACTCTGTCAAAACCTGTCGACAAAAGCCTCCAACTTGTCAAACAATGGCCACATTATTTTGCATAGAGCTGCTCATACAAACGCTACTGTGCATCGACTAATTATTTTGATTAGACGCGTGATGAATGAAAGCTCTGGTTTGCCTCGAGTCAGAGTGGACGATCTGCCCACTCTCAGGGAAGGGGTGAATTCAGCCCGACAGCAATTTGACGGGCTTCAACTCCAGCCCCAGTTAGAGGAGTTAAAAAGAGAGCTTCAACTACAGAAGACAAAGATGGCAATGTATAAAGAGCGGATTCACCAGCTTCGGTCTGATATTCAGAAATATAAGGGTTTAGTAAGGTCTCTACCTTCCTTTATGCTTTGCTAACTTTGCTAATAGAGAGGAGCTGAAAGACTAGATTATGTAACCAAAAATCCATGGGACATTGCGGACAGTCACAAGGCCTTACGCAAGCCCTTTTGGTATTGAGTAACACAACTTTACTGATCAAACCACTTCAGAACAGCCTGGAGAGATTTTTCAGGTTTTTTTTCTTTTTGACTGTGTCAAAACAACACATCAAGACTTAAACTGAGACATGGAGTATCTTTGTAGCCGGTTAACTACAAAGTTTTATGGCCAGTTTTTCGGTCTTTGGCCCTTGATGTAATTAAGACTGCTTACAAGTTCTGCAGGCTGTTCGACTAAGGGCCTGTTTACATGGAGGTGGGGTACCCCAGGTAGGTGAGGTAACCCGCCTAGCCGTGGTCGAAAAATAAAACGCGTTTACATGCAATCTTATAACCCCGGCGTGTTGGGGTGAGGTTTCTTGAGGTTGTTGTTGTGCTTGCAATTGAGGAGTTTGAGTAGAGGCGTCCCAAGTTCACATCTCGAAAAGATGAAAGATTAATTCTCGGACACATACGAGTTTATTCATGAAAGCGTCACGCGTTGTGTTACGCGGTGTTTGGCTTCGCAAGGAACCGTTGACTTAATACGTTATACGGAATAGTTTGGGAAACCAAACATGGTCGGTTTACAACGCTAAATATTCTGAAATGTGAACATTTTACACTCCTTGTGTGTCCGTTGCGGTTTCTGGTGATTTCTGCCCTGAGACGGCTAGGAAATGTACAAATATTTAAAACAAACATGTTTCGCTTTTGAGCTTTTTGCCATGAATGCGACCCCGGCTAGGCGGGTTACCCCACCTAGACACGTTTACATGGCAAATTGTCACCCCGGCTGACAGGGTTACCCTACCTGGCGGACCGGACAACCCGCCTAGGCGGGTCACCCCATGTAAACGTGATCAAGATACAATAAGAAATTATATGGACAGGCGAGTTACCCCACCTAGGCGGGTTACCTCACCTACCTGAGGTCCCCCACCTCCATGTAAACAGGCCCTACTAGTATCATGATTTGCTGATGAACGAGTATTCATGCTTCCCCAATACTGAAATAATAATATCTCACTCCAGTACGTGCTAATTACAAACTTTTGGAGACCTTGCTGAAGCAGTGATTTCAATTGCTATGGTAGTCTTTCATTTCAGCGCCTTAAAAAGTTAGAAAGTTTGAGAACAGACAGTGTAAGTCAGTAAAAAAGCTCTTTAAAGATTCCAATCAAGATCGTTTGCTTTTAACTCTCGGTCCGGAAAAGAGGTCTGTTAATTCAGTTATTCGGTGTTGGCATCCTCGTTATGGAAGAACTCAAAATTCAAGGTCTTACAAGGGATAACCGTGAGAATGCGATTCTTCATGATCAGTTGTAGCAGGGTGCGGGCGTTCAATTTGTAAACATGACTCTGTTAAAATGGGTGGCAAGCGTGGCGCAGAATAAAGAGAGAAGTGAGGTTTGCAACAGGTCTGTGCTACCGTCACGCCCCGTTTACAAACTGAACGCCTGTAAATACAATTGAAATTAGTTAGTATCATTTTGATAATGCTAATGTTACTATTATTTGGTAATTTGGCGTATGTCAGAGAGTAATTTATCAAAAGTTGCGTCATTACTGGGTACATAGATCCACCAACAGCTGTATTCCAGTGTAGGTATTTGTGGTCCCTCAATAAAAGATGTGTTCTCTGACCGTCCTGATCGAAGATTTTTTCTGTTCCAAGATCAGTTTGAAATTACCTTACGACCTGATAGCGAGATACCAAATTTGATTATACAGGGAATCAGTGAGAAAAAAAGAAGTAAATGTGGTGACTCTTGCGTTGAAGAAAATATCCAGGGCCGACTGAAAAATTAAGCGGTAGGATTACATGATTCAACCCCTGGAAACGAACTTTGATAAGAATGCGACGAAGGAAGTTCAGTGTTCCTTTTGAGGAAAGGTCAGTAAACTTTGTGGAGAAAAGTGCTTTTTGTTGTTAAGTCTTTAATTTTACTTTTGCTCATTAACATCATTTGATTTATGACTAAAATGCTATCTTTTTGCAGAACTCGTACATGCAACATCGCTCGGCTCCTGTGTAATCATTTCGGCGATACTTTGTTTCAGAGAGATGGCCTATGTTTGCCCAGTGCTGTTTCTGTTATTATCGATTAGAAGAGAAGAACTTTAGAATTCAATATTGCTGTGATTCACCACCATTACTTCGGCGGAAAACTGTCGATGAATTGTAGCTTGCGCAACGTTATCCAATGTGTGGCTTATGTAAACTTTCTGTCTTCTGTTTTTGAAAGTTGAGGTCATTCAAATAGTGCATCGCGTATCCATAGCAACGCTTTTCTAACAAAAGGAGCAACTCGGGAATGCGCTCCTTTATTCGTTTTAAAAGCTTAGCTTTAACAACAACTTCGTCACTTTTGCAAGAAATATTAGTCAGTCAATTTGATCAGCCACATTCGATTTCATCGAGAACTAGCGAATTGAGCCACATCGGACTTAAAAAAATCGTCGAGTGACGGGATCATTGCCACATCGAAGGTGATCATGACTCTAATGAAACACATCGCGATCATATGTTCGATCCTGGCGGCGTTTTTTGCGGAGGTGGCTTGTGAATGTTCGATTGCAAACGTATGTGTCCCTGGGCCTGTGAATGCAGCCCGGTTAGTGAAACACACTGTGAAAGCCACAAGTACGTGCGGAAATCCACCGGCCTATTACTGCCATTTCGAACCCTTGAACGGAGATTGCACCTTATGTAGCGGCACCAACCATTCGGTGGACAAGATGACTGATGGTGACTTAGAAACGAGCTGGCAATCTGTAACTTGGTGGGAATGGTACAAGAATAACAACAACACACACAAACCATTCGTGGTAGATGTTACTCTTTCCTTCAATAAGAGTTATGCTATCACAGGAGAAATTCGTATTACTTTTAACTCTCCTCGACCGTTTAAAATGATTCTGGAAAAGTCTGCGGATAAAGGATTAACGTGGACACCTTTGCAATACTACGCCGACGACTGCCAGGAGAAATTCAACTTATCTAACACGCCTGTCGAAAGCATAACAAAGGGTAACTTTGGTATTCAATGTGTGCAAGACTACAGCTTTGCAACGCCTCAAAAAGGCGGCCAGGTGCTGTTTGACTTTTTGAGACGTTACGAGAAAGCTGACTTCTGGAACGGAACACTGCAAGAATACTTCACGATTACGGATCTTCGGTTGCGATTGTTGTATCCTGGTACAGATGGACTGGAGAATGTTGATAATGTAGTCGAAAACATCTTTAATCAGTACTTTTATTCAATCGCAGATATTAGAGTGAATGCCCGATGTCAGTGCCACGGGCACGCAGAGTACTGCGATTTCCCGTATACGAATGGATCACTTTGTGATTGTCTACACAATACAGCGGGTGAAGATTGTGAGAGGTGTAAACCACTCTTCAACAACCAAACCTGGAGGCCGGCATATTCAAACAGCGAACCCAATCCGTGCGAAGGTAAGTGCATAGAAATAATACTTGAATATTGTATTTGTTCTTCTCGCCTTATTGCTATGCGATACTCAAGTATTTCCTCGAGTTTGCGAGCTATGCGTAAATCGGACTAGATCCATATTGTAACGTGAGCGTTTCATAATTAACATCGTTGCGTCGATGTTTATAACTTCGAGACACGATTAGGAAAAATGGTAACGTGTTCCTTAACAATTTTCGCTGGAAACAATCGGCTCCCAGCTGATCAAGTGAAGGGAGCCGCGGTGCTTTCTCTTTAAATTGCTTGAATAACTTTGTTGTCTAAAACCCATGGGAGTTTAGAATGATCGATGTTATTTCACACAAAATTTAAATTGTAGGAGCAGGTAGACACTTTGAACCAGGCTTTCATGATCGAGAACCTTCTATCCCGTGAATAACATGTGTACTACCTCGAGTAACATGCAATTTTTTTCAAGACCATTAGTTATACCATACTGTTTAGATAATTCTTATTAGTAAATCAAGCTCTCCATTGATGGAAAGCAGTACGCGTCTTCCAGAAAGGTGTTAATTTCACCGTTACTGGTGGAAACCGATAATGCTCTACATTAACAAATAAAGCTGGTAATCTTGCAGAAAAGGAAATATATGTTTGTTTTGATTTCTATGTGAGTGGGGTCTCCGTGGAGTACAAGAGTACTATCCCGAACTACGCAAAATAATTTTTAATTGTGATTGTAATGGAGTAACCGTTACCAAGAGCAGTTAAACGATTTACTTATTTCAGCGAGGTTTTGTGATAGAACCGGGCGAAAAAAATCACAAACTGAATGGTGGTATTGGCATCGTGCGTAATATTGCATTTTGAAGTGTTGAATAAATGTGTCACACAAAAATTTTACTTATGTAAATTTGGCCCTAAGAAACATCTTATATAATTTTTCCTCATAAATCAGGATTTATCTTTACTCAGGCAGTACATTCTCTTCAAAATATAAATAAACAAATATATTTATATTTAATATAAATATTTATGTCAAAGTAGTGATGGTTACTGTACATCTGTTTTGTGTTCAAGGCTTTCACTTGCAGTCTAACATGGACTCTTCATAGTCTTAATGTCAATGTAATATCTCGTTACAGTGGACTCTGTTATTGTAGACACCTAGAAGGGGAGATTTAGTGTTGGTACTGGCAAGAAAACATAATGGGGGTTTCAAGAGAAAAAAATTGGTTTTTCTCTAAACAAATGAAATAATATACAACTACTCAAACATTAAGTTTCTTATGACCTCATGAACTGGAAAAAGATTTGGTTGCAAGCATGAAATTCTCATGTTTGCACCCAATTGAAGAATGGTTTCTTTATTTTCCTCTATTGTAATGTTACATTATGTTATGTGAGTTAGGATTTTTAAGTGTATACTATAGCAAGAGAAAAATAAGTGAAATGTCATGCTTGGGGCACATAAGTGTCCACATTTCTTTAATAGCAAGACTCTGTAATAAGGGGATTTTGTTTTAATTGTTTGTTTGTGTGTTTTGCCGGGGAGCTGGCTCTTGCCCAAAATGGCAGGGTGTCCATAATAGTGAGTAGAACAATGCAAGAGTCAACTGTAGAGCAAAAATATACATTAATACCAGTTCACAGTTCTACTAAGTCAGACTAGGTATTAGTCATCTTATCATGATGTTTATTAATGGATCATTTGTGTTGCTCTTTCAGAATGTTTGTGTTATGATCATGCTGATAGTTGTCACTACAACAAAACCCTCAATCATGGTATCTGTGACGACTGTTACCATAACACCACAGGGATGTTCTGTGAACGTTGTCATGAAAAGTTTTATCGCAATATGAGCAAGCCACTAAATGATCCTGAAGTGTGCCTACGTAAGTACTGAAAAGTTAGTGCCTAGTGATATAACTGTATGATATTGGCATGGAAACCTGCAAAGGTACTTCTGGATTTTGATGTAGTTGATGCCATGGAGGCAAGTTGAACCCACTGACTAAGCTATAGGGTTTTCTATTGATACTAGTGTACTTTAAGTTTATTTTCCAGGAAATTAATAACTTATTTTACATATACAATCAACTTGCATAAGTTAGATTGACATGTCAATTCTGTGCTATCTTTTGGGAATTTCAGCTTGTGACTGCTTCATGTTTGGAATTATCAACAATGGAACATGTAATCAGACAACAGGACAATGCAAATGCAAGCAAAATGTGACAGGTCGGCAGTGTGATCATTGTGCGGACACCTTTTGGGGTTTTGAACTACCCCCATTAGGGGATTGTAGAGGTAAGTGATTTATGCTAATCCACTTGAGTTGTGTTCACACACGGCTAGATTTATCCTTGTAAATATTATTTTAATCAGAGTAAGAATGCAAAGGATGCATTCCTGGTGGTAATAAAGTACATATTGTGTAAAAATTATCTTTAGGGCACGTAACTTTTTTCAAAAAGCTTTTTGTTAATTCTCTGTGACAAAGTTCATTAAAATTCTTAAGGGAAGTCATGAATAAATTGTTGGCAATTTAGTCTTACAACGATTACAGGCTGTAGTCTTGGTGATGAAGTGACATTCAGTTACTAGGTCCTTTGATTTGAAAATCTCTCATAATGTTTTGCAAAATAATAATGAGTAATGAGCAACTATTGCAACCATTAGACTTTAGGAAAAGGGTTGAAATAGTGTGATGGTGAAGAAAGTGCAGTATTTTGCAGCTGTCATCTTTAGGAAAACATACACTGTAGTGTTTGGTGCTTAACAATCATTACCAACTCCAATGGTTCAACCTGTTATCCTCCTTTCATTTTGTCATTTTGGCTTTTATTGTAGAGTGCAGTTGTAATGGTAATGGAACAGTGAATGGAAGCTTAAGCTGTAATCAGATATTAGGGGAGTGTCCATGCAAGAATAATATTCATCAACGTACTTGCTCAGAGTGCAAAGATGGTTATTACTCATTTCCAAAAGCCATTGAAAGTGACTGTCTTCAGTGTGACTGTGACTATGGTGGAAGTGTACAGGAGATCTGTGAAAAAATAAATGGTTAGTGTCAATGATTAGACAAAATTTTGGTGCAGCATTTAATTTTGTTTTATAGGCTTCAATTTTGAACTATGTCTTACTGAATCTATCCTCTCAAGATGCAATATGCTCTCCTCAATTCACGCTGAAAAAGAAACTGAACTATTTTTTTCTTTTTCATATCAATCTTTTACCCCATCTTGCCTATGTATAATTAGACATATACAAATTTTACAAACCCAATGTCTTGGAAGAACTGAAATTGCCTCCTAGAGGTGAAATTTGATAAGAAAATCGACATTTAGTTTTCAGTAAGTCATGGACTTTCCATTGTGTGAAGTTAGAACTGAAGCAATATTTTATTATTCTTATTAACCTCTTTATAGGCTGAAAAATTAACTTACATCTTATTTTCCAGGAACTTGCCTTTGTCGAAGCCATATTGAAGGAGAACGGTGTACTGCAGTTAGAGCAGGGTTTTATGTCGCTTCCTTTGACCACCTGAAATATGAAGCTGAAGATGCTATGGGCAATTATGAAGCCACCTCTAATTTCAGTGGGGTGGACCAGGAATTTACTGGCAGGGGCTATGGAAAAATTGGATTCAACCAATTTATTTCTTTCAACGTCAACTTATCCACAAGCTTCAGGGACTTCTACATAGTTATTCGCTACACCCACACTGAGAAGGCCAACTTATCACTTCTACTCTCTATTAGTTCTTGCAATGAAAAAAATTGCTCTGAGTCAAATAATTTTTCAATCTCAGATGTGCCTTATGGAGTTGGATTAGCTTGGATATCAGAGGAGGCTGTGTCTTTTGTAAGAGGCCAAGTGTATCATTTGAACTTGAGCTATGTCAGTGGAATGTACCAAAACACCTCCATTGAAATAGACTCTTTAATTTTACTTCCAAATGTGAGAGATGTTAGGATTTATGAGATTGCTAACAGATATGGTTCTGTTCATGGCATGGCACTGCAACAGATTGAAAATTGCTGGAACAAATCCACCACCATTTCTGGGTCTCAAAGTGGTTTTGACACAGCAGTATGTCAGAATGTTACCTTCTCTGCAATGGCTGAAGTGTTTGATGGAGCTATTGGTAAGTGGTGTTAGGGATAATTTAAGTCAATTATAGTAATTAGAGAATTTTGATTTCTGGATCATTTTTGTTGAGGTGTGACACTGGCAGTTGTCTCAACACTGGCCAAGAAGGCAGTTGATCACATTGACAGTTCACATGGAGAGGGCACCAGTCTCCTGTCTTTGCAAGTTGAAAACTTGTTATTATCTAACAAATATTTTAAAGTACACAGCTGTATAAACATCCCACCTTCTCTCAAGGTTTAACGTAAATGGAAGAAGCTCATAGAGACCATGTGTATGACTAGCACTGTAGTTTCCAGGATGTTTATCATTATGGTATACTTCCTATTTTTTCTTGTTAATACTTTTGTTGGTACATTTTACATGTACTTCTAAGCAGGTTGTTTTTTTTTTACTGATTTTAAACATATATCACTTGATTTGAGTGACCACATTTTAACTCATGTTTTTTTGTTTGTTTTTATAGCTTGTTCTTGTAACAGTACTGGCACTAAAAATGGTACCACCTGTCACAAGCAAGGAGGTCAGTGTCACTGCAAGCCAGGAGTGACAGGACATGCATGTGATCGTTGCAAACCAGGATATTTTAACTTTACTGGAAGTGGATGTACAGGTATGTACAGCAAAATGATAGAGAACTTATGAAATGAGACTGTTCATGCCTTCATATTTAGTTCTGATTCAAATGGAAGCCATTGAAACAAGATAACTTCATCTCTGTTTCCTCTCAGCTTGTGGATGCAGTGGTGTGGGCTCATCAGATCTGGTCTGTGATCCTGTGTCTGGTCAATGTCCATGTAGGCCCGGTGTTGTAACAAGGACATGCAGCAGGTGCAATGCAACCTACTATGGTTTTCAATCAGGACAGGGCTGTGTTGAGTGTAAATGTAATGCAAGTGGTTCTTCAGACCTGCAGTGTGATGATGTTAGTGGTGTGTGCCCATGTAAGAACAGCACCACTGGGTCAAAATGTGACATGTGTCGTAAAAACTTCTTCAATTTCACATCAGAGGGATGCCAGTGAGTATGCATGTTTTGCAAACAATCCATAGCTAAATGTAACATTGTAAACAGTGGGTTACCTTTTCATATAAAATGTATTTGTTTTTCATGCTTTTGCTGCATGCTGCATATACAGATAGGCAAAGTCAGATAATTGCTATTGTTTAGCAATGTGTTTTGGTGTAAAAGACTTCCTCCCTACTTAAACTTCTAGCAGACTGCTTTGTGTAATCTAGTTTCAACCGAAATCAAAAGAGGCTTTGTAACAGGCATTTTAATTTCCCTTAACTGATTTTAAGACCTTCAATAGCTTTCAGTGTGTGCCTTAGGGTGGGGAAAAATAAAGAAAGGTTGTTTTTGAAGGGATGGAGGCTAGTTTAGATAAATATTGGTACAAGCACTCAAACATGTAAGACAAAGTCCAGCCTTGTTTGTTGAGTTATCATTATCCTTTAGTAAAAGCTGTGACAAATGGATGTACATGGATTGCAAGCTGGTGATAGTTATACCGTACACAGACAAGATTTTTTTCTTAAGCCAATCCATTATTGTTTTCCTTTACAGACCATGTAACTGCCATGAGGGTGGTTCCAGCTCAGTGCAGTGCCATCTCAACACAGGGATCTGTAAATGCAAAGCCAATGCCGAAGGAGAAAAGTGTGAGAGATGCAAAAATGGAACTTACAATAGTGACCCAAAAAATCCAGATGGATGCTCTCCATGTTTCTGTTTTGATCGATCCAATGTTTGTTCCTCTGCTGTTGGCTTTATTAAAGATTATATTATGGTCAACTTCTCATCACTGAATCACGTTAATAAACCAGGAAATCTGCACGTGCTATCGGAAAATAATGGTAATACCTTTAAAATTGATTTTCCATCCAACAGCAATGTGACAGTTATTGTTAAGAATAATTTTCAGGGAAACCAACTTTCTTCTTACAGTCAGTTATTCATAATTGACTATGTTGAGGCTGAAAGTTTAAATGCTTCTTGGATCATCACACTGAAAAACACTCTGGATCGTGAAGCGCGCTTCAGCATAGTGTCTTCTCTTTCCTCGTCAAACAAGGAATATCACGCACTTCTTCATGAACGTAACACCCTCAACAACTTATCTGCTTTTGACTTACAAAGTATCCTAGTGGATATCGATTCTGTTGAAATACAAGGACGTTTCATAGCCAATGGCTCTGTTACAATAGCTGCAAAGATGGTTACTGCTACCAGAGGTGTTGGAGAAGAAGTAAGATATGTTGAAAACTGCACCTGCCCCTACAATTACACAGAGTTGTCATGTGGATATTGCAATTCAGGTAAGGTACTACCACAGTCAGTAATAGCAGTTTAAACATGGGATTAACTGAGACGGAAATACTTAGAAAAGAGTAAGGCGATCGAGGGCCAAGTAAGACTTGTCCTTCCATGAATATGGACAACGAATGTGGGAGACTGAAAAAGGATAGTTGCTTGTCGAAAGCATCAAAACTGGTTTTGAAGTTTATTTATAATTCTTTTTTTCAAGGATTTACTCGCCGACCTCCTAGCCCGAGTCACTCGTCAAGAGTGTTCAGCTCGTGCGTGCTGTGTTCATGCACTGGTCGTTCAAAGGAGTGTTTCCCTGAGAATGGCACGTGTTACAACTGTCGCATGGGATCTGAGGGTGAGCACTGTGAGAGGTGTCAACCTAACGTGGATAACACTACCGACTGCAGACGCTGTGTACCTGGTTATTTTGGATTGACCCCTTCGTCTGGTGGCTGTCGAGGTAACACATCTTATATTATAAGCTTATTTAAGCGGAAACAAATTTTCAAACAAACGGAGTTCTCCTCTGTGTATTTGTTTTGTTTCCGTCCTCTTTTATGTCTCCTGCATGCTCTTTTTAGTCTATCTGAAGACCAGCATTATTCTTGATACCTGTAGGTCATATGCAGTGCTAACCGAGTAAGTGCACAAACACACTAAAAATTACTCCCATGTAAAGGCTCCTACAATAACTTAACATTAGAAGAACTAAAGTATTGTAAACGATTTTCATAAAATTTCACCGTATTTTCCAATCCAGGCAGGATAAACACATGAAATGTCAGGCTTTATTCTAAATCTAATAACTGAAGCTGTTTCCAAAGGTGTGCTTAAAATTTTTTTTCTGTTTTGTCATGTTTCAGACTGTGACTGTGTTGAACCTAACACACTGTACGGAAATAGTACTGTATGTAATGAGACAACCGGCCTGTGCACATGCAAGCCAAGAATTGGTGGACGGCGATGTGACCGGTGCCATGAGAACGCCTACAACACGAGCAGAGGATGTGTTGGTAAGTGTGCAAAGAAACTGATAGCTACGTATTACAGGTTCATTATCATTACCATCGTCATCAGCATTGCTGGTAATATCCTTTCCAGCTTTAATAGATGTGTCGGTCACCAGATAATCGTGCTTGAAATGATTCAATTTATAACAACTAAGTAACTTCTCTATAAGTTAGTTTGGCATCAGCTGGGGTATGCGGGTATTAATTGCGTTGACGGAAGTTTTTACCCTCTAGCGTCGATTGCTCCGACAAAGGGCTACTTTTTCTATTCTGTAATAACTTGGCGAACGCAAGCAACAAGAAGCTGAGTTAGCGTGTGATAGTAAAAGAAATTTGAAAAGGGTTAATGTTACAGTGACTTTTATTTTACCTTGTGTGTTTTTTTCTCATTTCTCAGATTGTCCTGAGTGTTACCGTCTGATTTACGAGGATGTCAAGAAACTTCGAGTGAGTTTACTTGCCTTGGACGACACTATTGAGCGGCTTCGCAATGGAAATATCGGTGATGCTTCCTTCGCACATCGGCTCGACGAGTCTAACGAGGATGTCAGCAATTTGGTGGATGATGCAAAACTTTCTCGAGAAGTTGAGAATAACGTCACAAATCAAATTATGCAGCTAAATGAGTCTCTTAATCATCTAGAACAAGTCTTAATGCACGAGGTTACTCCTGGTGTCAAAACACTATCAGATAACCTCAATGCTATGGAACGGAATAAGAACAAAACAGAGGAGCTAATCCAGCTGATAAAGGGAGCAGTTAACGACAGCTTTGATATTCTGAACATGTCTGTTGATTCCGCTGTCCGCAAGGCTGAGATTATCACCATTTATCTCAGTAAGCTGGTTCCCAGGTTCACTGCACTGGCAAACAATTTCACGGGAGCAGCCGCCAGTCAGAATGAAACAGCCTATGAGATCCAACATAAGGTTGATAACGCTAGTTCTCGGGCAGAGAAGGCTCAACTAGTGGCCGACAACACCATAACGGACCAAAAGGATCTTGATCTCTCCCTCCAGACTCTGAAAATGCATGGTGATGTCATACAAGCCTTGGGTGAATACGTGAATTCTACAGCTCATCAGCTGTTTGTGAATGCGTCGATGGTTTTGTCAGGAGCAAACAAGACTTTATCTGAGCTGATGCTACTGGATCCTGATAAGAGAGAAGTGGTCGTTCAGATCGAGGAGGCAGCGATGCATGCAAGCAGACAAGCGCAGGGGCTGATCTCTACGGCGCAAAATTTGACCCAAATGTATTCCAATTTGTCCACACAAGTTGAACTGGCTGTGGAAGAAGTGAATCTTTTGACATCGCGCGTGTTTAGAATTGAGGCGGCTGGTAAAACAATCCTAATTGAAGCTCAGCGAGCTAAACAAGAAGCTACTGATGCTGTGCAACTCGCCAGCAAGACCTTAAAAGACGCTGAAGAAATGTTACAGATCCTACAAAATTTCGAGAGCAAGGCAAAGGAAGCACAAGATTTTGCTGATCTTTCTCTAAAGCAAGCCAAGGAGGCTAACATTACAAGCTTGAATGCCATTCAGTTCGCTCAGGGTATCAACGCCTCTCTTCAAGCAACACTGGCGGCTGCTACTAAAGGACTAAACTTTGCGCAACAAGCGTGGAATATTTCAACTTATGAGAACCAGGTAAACTGTGCACATGTTAGTTTGACATCACGTGGGGATGTGCTCAGACGCCATGACTAGTTGAATGTGAAATTCAAATAGAAGATTCTTTTCTCACTGGACACCCTGCATGCCCCTGCAATTGTTTTGTCCCTAAGCCAGCCAACATCCGCTTAGACAAACTGTGTTCAGGAAGCCGTTTTTTCCTCCTTTTTCCTTTTTTTTTTCTTTTTCTTTTTCATATTTATTCGTAATTTATTTAATTTTTTCATATTTTTAGTCCTCTTTGTTCTGTTCTCGGTTCTAATTACTTGTGTCATTCTGTGGTTCTGATCATTACTAAGAATTATCTCTTGTTTGGATCATCTAAGTATATTGACAGGACGACGATTAATTTTATACCTTGAGTTCCTTAGTGCTAATTTTTATCTTGGTTATTCACACAGGCTGTGACCATAATTCATGCTGACGCAAACAAAATATCTCAAGCCTCAGCCCAATCTAAGTACACGACAGGATACCTCAATCACGTGGATCACAATGTCACCAGGTTGAACACGTCATCCCAAGGACATATTGACACGTGCAAAGGTAACTATTCCAAGTTAGCGTCTGACGCTTTGACAAATGCTTATTTAGCAAAGAACGCGGCAGACAAAGCTGATGCTGCAGCCAAGAACTTGAAAATGAACGTAGATCACGTGGTACAAGAAGCAGCCAGGTTACAGCACGTGAACGTTACAAGGCTGGGTGAGCTTAAGAGCGAGATACAGAGAATACGCTCAACATTTACACAGAAAAACCTGGCAGATATTATAACAGAACTGGAAAAAGCAAAAAGAGAGCAGCAGACATTTTTGCTGGATTATAAAAGAAAAGTTAACGAAAGGAGAGTAGAAATCGCGGAGTTGAAGCATCTCTATGCGTCTCTTTCATCTGTAACGTGTAACAAATCATAATAATTATATGACATACTGTGTGATGAATAAGCTATAAATAAGTTGCCACAGCATGCGGTTGAATTCCGTCCTTGAGGACTGAAGGTCGAATAACCAGGTCAATCAAGTTGAATTTTCGAAGAGAAAAGTCCTACATCACTTTCCCAATGGCTTGATTATGTACCCATATATCCATTTGAAATTGATGGGGGAGGGGGGAGACGGGAGGTGGTTGAACGCTGGGCAAGCTTACGCCAGCCAAATGTATGAGAAAAACAACTAGGGAAAAAATGGTAACCAAATAGCCACAGTTTAACATGATGAAAAGAAACACACTGTTGCTTTTCTAATAGCTTATTAATTTATGGATAACTCTTCACCATTCCAGTATATAGACAGGTTATTCCTGATAAACGCTTTTATATTTTTTTTGCAAATAAACATACGGGTTAAATTAGTACTAGCTGAAAAGAGAAACAAACCATTTCGAACTAAGGATCATGAATTTCGCATAAGTTTCAAAATGATTATGTAGGCAAGGGACATACTTTTTGTAAACCCTTCGTTTTTTTTTGTTGAGAAGGAAAGTGTTATTTTTAATTATAATTGCAAGTATATTTGTAGGTGATATTTTAGCGCTTTTGTAAAAGTATTTATTGTGTATAATTTTCGATCAAAATTATTGTTGATACTGATAAATTCTTATTATGTGATTTTAGTGAAATTTAAATTCTTTTATTTTCAATCACTGATAACATTTATATGAAATATGGCTCTCGTTTTAGACCATGATTCTAAAGGTTAGTCAGATGTGTGTCTGTATATTTAACAAATAGATTCCAAGTTGCCGTGCGTCTGTTCAGTAGTAGATCACAGATGACGTCAAAATGTGGTAAGAACAAAAAAGTAGCACACGAGGCGCAGCCGAGTGTGTCACTGATGTTCTTACCACATTTTGACGTCCTCTGTGATCAATTTCTGAACAGACGCACGGCAACTTGGAATCTATTTGTTTTATATAATAAAGAATTTTTAAAAAGTTTTAATGATGACGTCATCGATACGTCTGTCCTCCAATAGATTATAAGTGAGAACCAATCAGAATGCGTGCATAACTGAGCTTATTATATAAATCTGTATATATTCTTCATTCCTTCATTTCCCTTCATTCCACTGCCAGCTCAGTTGCGAAAGTTATACATAATGACGCTAAGAAAGGGCTCGAACCTCAAAATAAAATATTTAATGTTTTCATTTGTGTTTGGTGACTTTGCTTTTTATTATTATTATTGTTCTGTACGGTGGGCACTTTCGTTTGCTTCAATTTTACCATTAAGGCATGTTCACCTTAAAATCGTGCCATTTCTCTTTCTCGGTGAAAACGTTATGATGCTTGTTAGCATCATTAAGTTGTCAACGAGAAAGAGGAGCAAATGAAGCGGGGGGGGGGAGGAGGGGGTTGTTGGATCGTTCGAAAGTGTAGGCCTTGCACAAGAGGTTACGGATGATATACAGACACTACTTGTTTCATTACTTCTCCTCAAGTTGTTACGGTTTTCTTTTTGAGACATAACGGTAATCTACTCCGCAACACAACCTGATAATCAAACGGCTTGATTATGCAAATAGCTTCAAACAACAGAGTAACCACTTTCTTCTCTCCTGCGGAGGCTCTTTGTAAACGTCTGTTGAACATAGATGAGTTGAGTACTGGCGCTAATTTAACAAGCGGTCGACAATTATTTACGCCTACATTCACTGCTTGGTGTGTAGAGAAGTTTTGTACTAGAGAACCTTTCCAGAAGAGAGACTACCGTCTACAACCGTAATGTTTCCCTTTCCGTTCACTGATGTCTTAACAATTTCTCTTAAAAGGCAAATGATAACAAAGACACTGAAACTGAATGAATTATCCAGGGCACAAAAGCTTTTGACCAGAATCATCATCCTTCAGTACTTGACGTTCGGTTACAAATAAAGAAGTAGTTTTGCTAAGGATTGTGTAGATGAGACTTCGAAGCGATTGGGAATTTTATATCTATTTTGTAGTATTCTATGTCCTCAAAAAAATTGTTCTCAATTATTCCGGGCAAATTTAAAATTACCTATATTGGTTACCGACTTCTATTGTAAATGTACAGTAATTCTTTCCACACGCTATATTGTGATTCAAATTCAAAGTAGTGAAGCTCCGTGATTGAATTAGAATGCTATCTTCCTTTGTGGATCCGAACATAATTATCTTTTCACTGTAAAAGGAAAAACACTTTCCGTGTGGTCTTCCTTCAGACATCTCTTCATGACTGTATTTAGTAATTGTTCTCAGCACAATGGAGAGCGCTGTTGACAGGTTTACTCTGTTGGCGTCCAATAGCAGATTACTTCCGGTACGAGACCCAAACACAGCAAACATAAGTGGTTTGCACAGTCTCAAAGATACCTAATTATATTCATCGTGGAGTCGACCCTGAGGCATAGACAGATGGCAAGTTACAGTATATGAAATCGCTCACATCTCCATTATCCTCCGATCGCTAAATTTTGGCCACGTCGGTTTGACGTTCGACCCGAGAATGTAAAATTTTCGCCACGGTATTATATTTCCATACAAAAGAAAATCGTCCCTGGAGGTCTATACCGATCGAAAACTTGACGCGTTTTATGAGAAGAAGACCGGCAGAAACCTTTCACAAATAGAAGATTGGAGTCTGCTCCGCCATTAGAGCAGTTAGAGGCACAACATGAATTCTTAGCTTGATTCAAGCTCGTTAGATCCACCTTGCATTATTTCAAGGGTCAAAGTTATTTTGGCCACGTTGAGTTCATCACGTGTAACTCTAAATTTTCATCTATTATCTTTTTTTTTTGTCGAAAGTCATGAGCGATCCGTGACGAATTTATTTGAACCACTGCGGACTAGACTCCATACGGAAGCGATACAAAATGGACTTATCTAAAAAGCGACAAACGTTCACTCCCGAACGACAAGCCAGTCTTAGTGTGGGAGAAAATAAAGCGCCAGGGAGGTATCTTCCTCGACCATCGCTTCAATCTAAACGATATTCAAGTCCACCTGGAACACTGCGTCTGACTGAGGAAGTCGATCAACAAAACCAAACACTAAATCGGTAAGTTGTGAAACCATAAAAGTATTTAAGTGGCTGGTTCGCGTATTTGTTGTTTAATTAACCGTAGGGATTGTTACCGCAACGATACACTGTTTATATTGAGCGTCGGTGCTCATTAGATGCAGTCAGTCTTCTTTTAAAAGTTGGAGATATTAAGATTTGTATGAGTTATTGTTGTACTAATTCTCGTGATACAACCTTAATTCCTGAGGGTGTTAGTATTCGCGCTAACACGGCTCGATATTATTTGTCAGTTGAAAGCCGGAATCAACAGTTCGTATTTGTGTGAGAACAATCATGTTTGGTTTACCATGCTCTCGCATAATTTTGTCACAATACCTATACCGAGATGCCATGAAATTCAGTTCAGTCTGTCTATGATCGGAGGCGACTTCTACTCCACAAAGAAATGTTTACATTTGCTTGATTTAAAGGTGTTATTTTAAGTTTCTATGTGATTGTCTGAAGCTATGACGAAGAGCACTTATGTTCCAGCCGTGTATCTATTCCGCGCAAATTTTGGCTGGAACCGTGTATAGACTTTCATATAAATATAAAACTTTTCAATTTTCTCCTCTTCACATTCTATTTCTGCATCAAGGAGGTTGTGAAACCCAAAATGATAAAGAAGACGTCTGGCTCATTAACCAGTAAAATTGTGGAACTGATATTGACATTGTTAAGCATCCCTTGTTTACGCATGAATCATCAGTTAGTCTTTGTTGCAGTTAGATTGGAGGTAAAAGTTTAACTCGTCCCAGTTATCTCAATCAGAACCAAAATTTTCTGTGCTGTTGGCTCTAAAGACATACGTGACGTATTTTGAAAACTACTAGCAACACATGGGTGGGGGGAGTGGGATTGTTTCTGTTTAGATTAGGTTGGCAAGCTACTTCAAATGTTTTATTTACACAATCCTATACTATCATAAAGTAAAAGATTAAATCAAACAAAACCGTCGGACGAACAAATGAAATCCAAATCAAACCTTACTATTTTTCTTCTTTTGACCTTCTCAGAAGTTTATTATAATTCAGTGCATGTCTGTAACAAGATACTATCACGCACGTTCATCCATGATCAAAGACGTCATCGCGAGATGCTTTATTTATTAATCTTGTTAAACAAATACGGCCGCGTAAATCAGGACTCATGGTTAAAAAATTCGGAATTCCTTTTAGTCTCCTGATCCTCTTTTTTTTTAGTTCAAATTTCTTATAAGAGGCTGAAACTTTCGAACTTATTAACAATTCTTTCATTCAACCGTAAACTTCATTACCCGTTTTGACTTGATCAATTTGTAATCACGTAAAGTTTGCGTCGATAGGTCACGCAATTTTTTTTAGCATAGACACTGGATGAGTTGATGCTTTTTGCTGAAAATAAAAGTTATGAAATTTGTGCTTAAATCTATTCGATATGGGTAAAAGGCTATCATTTTTCGATGTATGAAGCACTCACATGAAAAAGTGATCCTGAACTGAATGCGTGACAAGATGGAGTGTTTACCCATCACTGAATCTCGTGCAAGAAACGTCTTTTGTCGCTAAACTAAACACATATTATATTTTGTAGAACTCAAAACTTATACCGGAACAAATCAAAGGTTTTTGCGAAATTAGTTCTTATTGGTTTTATCATGACGAGGTTTTTTTTTTAATTCAATCAACCACGGTTTTGATTTCGGCCTTTTTTTTGTTTCTCATTTGTATTAGTAGAACCCCAATTAACGATAAGGCTAAGAAACATAAAAGTTTTCTCACCAAAAATTTAATTTAAGAGAGGGGTCATTTATAAAGGTTCATTTCCCGTTCCAATTTTTTTCCATAGCATTTACGACTGGTTCTTATAAATGACAAGAAAAACGTTGATTATGACGTTCAACAGACGTACTCAGGTCTCCTTGACTCGCAATTAAAAAGGGAAATACATACATTAGTGGGTCTTCGTTGGTCACTTAGCAAATTCGCTGTTCTCATCTAGATGGTTATTCCCTCAGGGGAGTTTGAAGATTCTTTTTACTCTCATCAATTGTTAACCATACGATTCAGGACTGAAATGCCTAAAATGATTACAAAATTGACCCAATGACATCAGTAAACTGTACAAAAAAGGCACGTTTATCATTTCGCACGTATCAGTGATAGATCATAAAGATGGTTAAATTATCATACTCCATAAAAAAACAAAAACAAAAGATGAATAAATAAATTGAAGAAAACAAAAAAAACAGAAAAAACTCCCTGTGGCTGAGTTTTAATTTTAAAATAACACGTCATGGATAAATGCAAGACGACTTGCATATCAAAAGTAGTTATTGCTGAATCATCGCCTCCATAAAATTTTAATTTTTTAAAGGTCTAAATTTAAGTGTTTTCCTTTTTTTGCACCGTGAGATAATTTTTCTCAGAATTCATTTAATGTCACCTCTGTCATTTTTGTGATCATTAAATTATCAGTCTTGGAAGTTATTTTCGATAGTTTTGCGTGTGCGTGTGTTTGTGATTTATTTGCAGCAGAAGTCAACCTTCTCAAAACGTGCAGCAGCTGATAGTGATGGATTCGAAAAGCTTTTCCGAAACTCTAAGGAATTCGAAAGGAAGATTAGCAGTTACAAACTGAAAAAAAAATTCTTGCGTTAGAGATTTCACCCTGAGCAAAAAATTAGGCTTGATTGTGGTAAAGCAGTATCGACATAAAATACAAACGAAAAAAACTAGATGGTATTCATCTTTTTGCCAGTGCAGATCACTTTCCGGACCGGACACTATTGAAAGTATTGTTTACAAGTTGTAGTAACGTCAACAATAGGATTTCTTTCAATAGAAAGGCTCGAAAAAATGGACCCTTTTATTTTGTGACATGCGAAATGCCGAAATAACAGCATCGTCAAGAAACAAAATTTATTAAGAAAACAACAAGTGAAATGACGCTAGAAAAGGAAAAAGTGTTGTACAAAACGACAATTGTCTCGTTTTCGGATGTTTGGAGAGGCAGAAATGCGACAAGGAGCATTTTGCATGTCATTAAAAATCCTGGAATAAATAAATTAACAAAAACCTATCCATCACTAAGGGGTCTCTGGGCAATATTATCATTTGCAATTCAGCTTTTCTAACGAATGTGAAATGTTTTCTCCATAAAGTGAACGTCATCACTGGAAGTGAAAGAATTGGGTTTATTTTAAAAGCCGTCAGTGATACAGAAGCGACTTGTTTAGGGCAATACGTTTCATCATAGTGGGAGGACTCGGAACAGTGCTTGTTGACTTAAACTTGCTCAAGATTTGTTACCTTCTTCAAAGGCAAAGTTAAGTTTCTGCTTATTGGAGTAAATTGTCTCCTGTTGTTTTCGAAGATTCCAAAGAAGGCCAATCGGTAACTTATTAATAATTCAATGTGTGTGCGCATTTCTGTTGAAAGGCACCGAAACCTATGCTATTATTGCTAACTGCCTCAATCAACGACTTGTTTACAATTTACACGTATTGCGCATGAAACCTTTCAACGGGTCACGGAAAGCCTACTGCGTATCTGCGTATTAATTAACGTTGTCTTCATCACAAGCTGACGTTATTAAAACCCTTCTGAAAGCGTTCGGTCGAAAGCGACAGTTTTGTTTGTTTACATTCGTGGATCAGTGCGTTCGTTTGAAACTTTATTTTTGTTGGCTGAAGGACGAAGGAATATAAACCGCCGATGTTCAATTTTAAACCATTTGGCACTTCCGTCAGATAAAGCACCTGTATATTCGTTACCAGCGCTTCATCAAGTGCCAGGTTTGTCATTCGAACGCGTCATATTACATCAACCTATATTTTACCTTCACAAACTTTACACTCATATTCGGCAGGTTGAATTGTACTTTTTAAATCCAGTCTTAACTAGGAAAACTGTGGTAATCCTGCCATCATCGCGTGTGTTGGGGAAATAACCCGATATCGCGTGTGTTTGGAATTTCATTCAAATGCTTCTAACGAAGACTCCGTCTGGCACCGTTTAGCATTCGATTTTAATGATTAGTTTGCAGTTGCGACGTTTACTTCAGAAAAGAACCGTTCCGCTTGTTTAAACGTCAAACCGAGGATCTCTGATTTTACGAGTTTTGGTTCGATGGTTATACATTTATATTGAATTTTGGTGGACTTATCTCACAGTATGGTCACAAGGACAAGAGCTTTTACTTTCACATACAGGTAAATAATCTCCGAATGCTGTTTTTAAATATTTTTTGCTATTGGAGGCGGGATTTTGATTTCTCCTTAAACATAATTGTCACTTGTTCACCGCCAAGATATTTCTCTCTTCGACTAAATTTTACAAGACTCAGCTTAAACAGATATTGTAGACAAAAGAACCGAATTTAGACGGTGAAGCCGTTTGTTGTGCGTGTTTTGCTTCGGTGTTAATATTTACACAACTTAACTTTTTCCATAATTTCACGTTCTTTTCATTACACTGTGATACTTGTTTTTGGTTATTTCGAGTCGTAACTCAGTTTTTTACATTTCAAACTTAATATTTATTTTGTTATGCGAAATTGCTCCTTTTTCTCCGTAGTAAATTCAATTTGTAGTCATTTTGTAAAGATATGTTAATATGCAAAAGATGCAGTTGTCTTTAAATGTATTAATTTTCCCTACAAATTTTATCGCGAGTACGTCAGTGCTAAAAGGGGTCATGACATGACAGATTTGCGAAAACCTTTCTCATGGGAATTAGGCAATGTGAAAGAGCAAGGGAATTAACACGACATCAAATTTTTTTTAAGCCTCTCTCGAAAGTGATAATAGATAGAGTTCTGCACTGGTGTTTCAAGTCATTATTGTTCAAAATAATGTATATTTTTTATGACGGTGCATTGTTTTGATTTACTCGTAAGATGTGGTACAAAGTTGTGTGCGCATGTTTTTTAATTTTATTTTAGGGGATATATGAGATCCCCATATTCTAATGTATCCAGTTAACAATGGAGGACTGAATTTTTGTTGCAAGAGAGTTATGTTTTTGTCATATGTTGAGTCACGTCTTCCTTAAGTCTATTTTATTTATGTTATTCTGATTTTCATTTTGAAATGCAGTGATTTAAGGGAATAGATCTTAAAACTAAATTAACATAGCTGGATGGAGCTGGTCCAATGTCTGAGAAATATATTTGTTTGTGAGTTGTTTACATTAGCTGACACTAGAATTGATCAAAAAACAAAACTGAACACAACAAAAAACAACTCTAGTTACTTCAGGGGTATATTTCAGACATTCTATGTGCTGGTTTATAGTAAAACAATGTTTTGGCCATGAAAGGTCTTAAAAAGTTTGGCAAAGTATTTTTGAGTTGCTTGGAAAACTAGTTAAGTATTTATGATTTCCATACTCCAAATGGCAATAATCCTTTGTTGCACAAAGGATGCTTGACAATACCACAAGAATGCAATTTTGGTTGAATTTTGGTAACAAAATGTACATTAACCTTGGAAAGTTTATTTGGTTTATTTCAAGCTTGGGAACAAAAATTTTGATCATTTGTATGCTCTTCCCTGAAATTTTTAGGCATAATATTCATTTCTTTTATTAGTGGCTGATAATGCTCTAGACTTAGACAAAGTTGACCAATTTAGACAGATTAAATTTGTAATTTTATTTTTTAAATAAGAAAGATAAACAATCTTGCAAGAGAAAAGATGCTCCATTATATCTTTCTATTTACAAAAAAATTACTCTAATGTTTCTTCAGCTTCAGTATTTTCAATTACCTTTAAGAACAAATAAATTTGATTCAATTCAGAGTTTGTGGCATAGTAATTAAAATAATGGTTACATCAATAGCTATAGTGACGATAATAATACCTAATATAATAGCTGGTTTGGTAGCTTACATTGTTTTTTCTTTTTTTAATCAATTTGTTTTCCTAACAATTTTAATTTGTTTAGCTGGCTAATGACACTGGGCAGCATTAACATCTAAATGGAACCTTTTAATGGAATATTTAATTGTAAAAACTCACAGACCAACTTGCCAATGACACTTTGCTCTCCTGTTACTAGTGCTCCTTCTCCTGATATTGGTCGAAGATCTGGTTTGAGCCGAAAACACTATTATGGCTCACTGGAAGCTGTAAGTATACAACAATTTACATTCAGATGATGGTATTTAGTAATATATAGATTTAGTCAAGCCTAAAAGCAGAGCTCACATTTTTTTCCCGCACATCTCATCAACAAAACTAAAGTCCCTACTATGCAAACCGTTAAAAAGTTTTCCTAACAATATGCAACAAGAAAATGTAAATTAATCTCGAACCCAGAGTCTCCTTAGCTAAGTGTTGTGCACACATTATGCTCAAACATCTGAAAAAGAGTAAAGCTATGGCATTGATGTGCCCGCGGTACAGTTAGCAGCGCATGCTAAAGGTAGCACCTTGTGGTGAAGTTGGTCGTACGGTCGTACGGTCGTACGGTCATACGGTCCTATGCTCTTAAGTCCAAATTTTCTTGGCTTGGTGGGTTTCTACTATTTCATATGATTATGGGGCTACACTGCGCACGCTGTGAGCTCCTCTATTATTTTAGTTAGTTGTCATAAAACTTAGTTCTTGCAGTTCTCTTGTCCCAGTGCTAGGATAGTTGAAGATGTTTTTCAGTCATTCAAGTACATAGAAGTAACCAACCTTATAGTTGAGCTGTATTCATTGCCAATTTCTCATCTGTTTTATTTTGCTTTATATAGATTAACAGTGTGCATCAAAGTGGAAGTGACTTGAGTGACAATGCAGGGCGGTTCAGAATGGAGAGTGGTGAAATTGGCATGCAGCCATCAGTGCCACAGGTAGGTGTCAAAAATTGAGTAATACTGTAGTTTATTTGAAAAAAAAACAAAAGAAACAATCTGAGAGGTATGTCTATTCAAGCACAATGCAGGGAATGTAGGGAGGTAGTCAACTGCTTTCAAGCCAATTATATTGTTCCTTAGATTAAGAAGTCTGGCTTGTATGACAATTCTGGGTCATTTTGTTTTGTTCTCCTGGATAATGAGTAACCTTAACGAATAACCTTAATTGGGAGTCTTAAAGTGTATATTTGCAGCCTCTGAACCTTTTTGAGAAACCTAGAGAACCTGTACTCAGAGCCTACCCTGTTGCAGGGTTGAATTCTGTGGAAGGATAATTTCAACAATTGTGTTAGGTGGAAGACATTACAATGATCTACCATATATAATATGAATAGATGCAAACAGGCACAAAATGAGCTATTAGCAGGGGTTAATTTGTGTTCCAAAGTTGATTTTTTTAGACTATAGTATGTTCTGATTTCATGGGTCAACTGAGCTTCTTTATTTTCCTTAATTATACTTGCTCCTACTCAGCTGTTTTCCCATGAGTATCCTGCAGCATTTTAACCTATTCTATCATGTTCCTGTTGTTAAGAATGGATTAGCTACAAGGCAAGGAAGTGGGGTACACCTTGAGAATCCTGAGTTCCAAACAAGATGGTACTTCAAGTATTTTCTGGGAAAAGGTAACTTTTTACTTTTCCACAGATCTCTTTCAATTTGGTTTACTTTTTTGTATTTAACAAATAATCCTTTAATGTATACAAGGTAAGAGATCATGTTAAAAACTATATTTTTTAAAACAGACCCGACATTTTGTAAATTTAGTCACAAAAAACTATTTTAAAGTAACTTCTAACAGTTCATATTAGCTTTCCGAGGACTTCTTTGGATTGATTGGTTGTATAGTGGTATTGTAACAGGTTTTGGCAGAGTACGGTTCTGATCTCTTTGTTGTATTTATATTATTTCAATCTTAATAGTTCATCAGAATTTTGTTGGCATCGATGGAAGCAAGAGTCCTTTTGTTCTATCTGTTTGCCTGACAGATTCAGATAACTATGGTGTTCCACAATACCGAGCCATTCTTTGGAGGAAAACAGTAAGCTTTGTAGTTTGCTTTGGTGTGAGAGGAATTCTTGACTTGTACAATTTGATATTAACAATGAGTTCCAGCCTTTTTTTTGTTTTCTCGTTTGCTTGATTCTGTAACTCATTTTAATGTTAAGGAAAACAAAGGGTTTCCTTTGTTTGTTTATTAAACTAAAGATCTTTGAGATGTTATATGCAAAACTGAATGCTTTTCCTATAAGTAAATTTGTCAGAAATTATAAAAGTTGCATGAAATAATGAGCAAACAGTTGGTTATGCCTTAGTACAAGGACTTCCAGTGTAATGACCTTTAATTGGGTCTTGCTCTGAATTTGTTTATTTTTTGTATACTAGTAGTTTTTTCTTACAACAACAATGAAAACACATTTTAACTTTGGTTTTAGGGTGGTCAGAAACTATGCATTCCATACCAGCCAAACAAACCGATTTCTCCAAAGACTGTACTACAGTAAGTAGCATTTCTTACTCAAAGATCAAAAGGATGATGATGCTAAGACTAGGAGATTTCAGTACAAGTGTGTTATGTAAAAGACACAAAACCCAATGATTATGAAAAATTAGTGAACACCCATTAGTGAGAGAAACTTTGACAGAAAGGAAGAAAATGCAAATCTTATCTTATCATGTTCAAATTATTTCTAGAACACTGAATGAAAGGGAAGAAGTTGAGACTGGTTCATTACTGAAAGCATGCGATATTATTGAGCATTTTTAAATGTTACGGGTTTTTGAAACACTAAAGGTTTCAGAGACATGATACTTGTAACTTATATGTTGTCTGCCTAGCTGTTGATTTTCTCTCTCACAGCGTTATTTTCCTGCTCAACCTCACGCAACATTTACGTAGATGATAAGAGTCGGTCAATTATTATAAATTTTTCTTTTTCTGTGTCTGTTAGAGCGTATGGAGTTGACAAGTTTGACAAAGGTCCCAGAGAGGTGCTAAACCGTGAATTGCAAAAGGTTAGGCTCATTGCCAATGTATGCCCATCTGTTTTAAAATAGGTTCGAGTAGTTATTAATAGTCTAGGTTTTAAGCCAATTACTTCAACCAGAAGAATACAATTTAAATATGCTTATTATCAAAACTATAACAGAATTCTCGAACGTGATTGGTTATCACCATCCCGATTTGAGCACTAATAGGTTAGTGTATGCGTCATGCTTGTAATTGGACAGTGTAATAGGACAGTTAACTGTCATACCTGTGTAAGTGAATAGAACGCGTCATTTGCGCGCGCTGTTGTCGTGCATTTCGTTTTTTTTTTTTATGAAAATGTATAACCGATCTAGTTTCTTTCCCAAATTTTGTCATAGTTTTGATTGATTGGTAACAGGACTTTGTGTCGTTCAATTCTATCCGTAATCATACTCGTGATTAACAAATCGGACTCCCGCTTCCCGGTCGTCCGATTTTGTTAATCACTCGTATGATTATAGACCGAATTGGACTCCACTCGGTTCTATGACCATTATTAATTGTACTGAGAACATAGCTAATAAGGATTTCATAACAGTATATGCGTCTTGTGGTGCAAGTTTTTTTAAAATTTTCATTAGCAGCTGCATCAAACTTTTCCACCCTTTAGAATGCTTTTTTCTTTTTGTCTCTAGTTGCCTTTTGGCAGGTCTAATTTTCTGCGTCACAAAAAAATGTCTCAGTCGAAACTATCGGGAAAGCCCTCTGTTAATGAAACAAGGTTTACAATACTTTCGTTCGCGCTCTTAAATTCTACATAATCATCGTAAGAGTAAAGAGAAGGTGGGCCACGATTACCTTCATTCCACAATTTGGCATAGAAACTGAAGCCTCGTTCACATTACACCGATGATATTGACAGGAGGATTTTCAGTTTTCTTAGGGAGACAGCTCTCGTTCATTAGGCGAGAAAAATATCTCAGCTCAGTCCCCTGTTCTGTAGTAGAATGTCCCCTCTCACATACTTTGCCAACACACACGCTGCTTATTTGTGTTCTTTTTTCTATTATTCTGTAGGAATTGCTGGTTTTGGAAGAACAGGAGGTAAAGCAAGTTGTACACTGTGTTGTGTGTTCATTCTAAATTTCCAATTTGGGTTGTATAGCAACATCACTTAGTAAAGCGTGTTAAGACTTTTATGCCATTTTTTCTGCAGGGATCCGTAAACTTTAAGTTTGGAGTTCTGTATGCAAAACAGGGACAAACAACTGATGATGAAATGTTCAGTAATGGTAAATATTCTCGCTAGTCACTGTAACTATACAGTTGTTTGCCTTTGTCTTGATAGGACTAATTTTCTGTTAAGGATGTATCGGAGCGATTTTTTTTAGACTAAGGTTCTCCTAATGTCCAGTTTACTTTGAAAAGTGTTCTGTTGTTCATTCCACGAAAAAGTATACTGAGTAGAATTTCCGCACGCTCGTAATGAAGTAGCGTTGAATTCCTGACATACCCGAGTGCTGTGTTTGGAAACCGCGATGGTGGTCAATTCCTATCACCGTGAGAGCTTAGTGTTCTACAGGGAGGCTATTGAACACCTCAAAAATAATGTGTTTCGCCCAAGTCAGCTCTCCCAAGAGACATTTGTTGGGTTATATGTTATAAAGAGAGTTAATAACTGTTTGTATGGAAAATTCTACAAGTATCCATTCAGTACATTTTATGTCTCACCCAAGTACTGAACCTTTTGCAGTGAAGGTCAGCGAAGATTTCGAACGTTTCCTAGAACTGCTGGGTGACAAGATAGAACTCAAGGGCTGGCAAAAGTATCGTGGGGGACTCGACGTCAAAAGTAGGTCTGATAAATTTAGAAGGTTTTCGTTTTCGTAGCCTACTTAAACAGGCCACTCGGGCAAAGGACCATTTGAAGGTTTTCATATCGTGATAACACAAACCGTCCGCACACTTTGCGCTCCGACAACCTGCAAAAGTGCAAAAATAGTAGAAAAACAACCCTTTGTTATTATCAGTTTCTTTTTTGTTTTTTGTTTTTTTTTTTGTTATTTTTTCTTAACTGGTACTGCCCCCGTTTAAACATCACTTCTCAACCAAAAAAAATTTCATTGTTCGTACTTTTGATTTATACAAGGAGGAAGCTATTGCTCTTTGTAGTTCTAGTTTCCTATTGGCTGCCATCATCAGGATGGCTCCGATCACGATAAATGGAATGTAATTGCGTTTGGCTTTTTTTCCCCGGCATGCTGCTGAAAATCATGCCGGGCCACCACAAATAGCCTGAAAACTTTCCTCTCGTTACCATGAATGCAATTTGGCCGGGACCTATTTTTACTTCTGAGTCATCGAAACATTTTGAGAATGGAGTAAATCACCCTAGAACTCATCAAAATTACCGTGGCCAAGTGTTGAACGTTGGTACCGCCAATTCATGGTTACGGTATTGGATTACTCGCTCCAACAGTTAGTTGCACTATATATATTAAGTGTTACTATTTCTTCAGTGTCTCAAGTTGAAAGCTCCACCTCTTTTGGATTTCGAGTTTCTTATTTCTATTTCCTTTTCCTTTTTTTTTTGGCTTTAGACAACATGACTGGCTTCCAGTCTCTTTACACAATTTACGAAGGACATGAAATTATGTTCCACGTGTCCACTTTGCTGCCCTTCACACCTGACAATCCACAACAGGTTAGCAATTCATTAGAATTCAGTTAATCTTCATGATGGTTAAGAATAAAACTCACCGCAGCATTTCCTTGAATCTTACATTCATCTTTATAAACAGCTTTTTTATTAGGCTTTGAAAGTTTGTTTAATGCTACGTTTTAAGAGTGGAAGGAGAAAATTGAAAAACATTCCAAAAGTGGAGGCCCACCTATATTTGACGAGTAAGCCTTTGGTCGCTATCGGCGGATTGGTGCCTTCAACGGCGTTAAGCCAGCACAGAGGTGTAAATTGAATGAATTTTTTTCCTACCATTTCAGGTGGAGCGCAAACGCCATATAGGAAATGACATTGTTATTATTGTCTTCCAAGACTGGGATGGGAAGTCTTCGTTTAGTCCTCCAGCTATAAAATCCAAGTTTGTTCGTATCCTTTATTGATAACTAGGGAATGGTCATGATGTGTGAACTAACTCGAATCAATTACCTTCTCTTCTCCCGAAAGAAGACTATATTGGACTCGCTGTTGTGGTTGTAAGGCTTAACATACAACTGTTGAGACCCTTAACCTTCTTTAAGACATATACGCTCTTGTTTCTTTCAACAAATTGGACAACAGCTATCGGTAAGGTCTCCGGCTCCTTAGTTTTGATTTAGCTTTGTGAGCTACTCATAAGTCCATACGGAAATGGGAAACGAGATAATGTGGTGTTCTCTGTTTGACAGGTTGACAGTGTTCTCTGAAAAGAATGTGCCAATCTTCGGCCCACCATTACCATGCCCACCGGTTTTCAGTAATCACCAGGAATTCAGAGACTTCCTTCTGGTCAAATGTAAGAGCGTCTTGTTTTTTTCAAAACGCTGGTAACATTCTTCTCGGTTCTCCGGTCATTGAACTTTGTTCCTCTCTCTGTTTCCAGTAATGAATGGAGAGAAAGCCGCCTACGGATCACCTACGTTTAGTAACAGGCGTCAGCGAACACTGGACAGCCTTATAACTAGGCTTCTCCAAGACCACATCCACGAGGTATATCCGGATTTCCTTTAAAAGAAGATTTCTAAGTAAGAGACAGAGGGATGAGCTTCACTCGAGACGTCGGACAATTGTCCAATAACTAAGGACATACAAGCGGGAAAGTAACATGTATTTGGTAGTTCGGGGGAAGGCTTTAAACTTCCAACAGTAAATATCCTGATAAACTGCTTTTCCGCTTATTAGCAAGTATGTTTAGCTGAAAGAATCGACGTAACGTTTATATCGTAATAGGCATGATATTTTTCAAGGAAGCTTGCTGATAACTTGGAAATATCTTAAATGTTTTTCTGATCTCTGATTTCTCCTGAATGTAGAAACTTGGCGCCCGTAAATCGTGGAATGACGTTATCACGGACCAATCTCGAGGCAATCGGCGGAAAGGAATGGAAAGAGAGCAAGCTTTTCTTCAGTTCGGCCAGGTGAAAGAACTCGTGTTTGCAAATTATCAGATTACGTAAAATCTAATAAATCTGATGTTTTAAATACATCTCAATGTTAAATACCAAAGTTATATTGAGTCTCATGTTTTCTTTTTCATTTCCTATGACTCACTAAGGATCAACTGATAATAAAACTGATAAAAAACCGATGAAAGACGTCTTAACAAGAATATGTTTTCGTTTCTCTCCAGTCGTTAAAACTGAACAAAATAGTGAAAGGCGATGCACCAACAAGTCTAGCGAGTACGTCAGGGAACTTGAAAGTTGAGGTATACTGATAAATTTTTAAGTGATTCAGTTTGAAAATAAATCGGGCTTATTTCTAGTTCATTCTTGATTACAGCTGTTGTTTTTACTCTTTCTTTCTTGTTCATAGCCGTGGAAGCCTCAGTGTATTTTGGAGGACTTTTCAACAAAGATATTTTGCGGGGATTCTTGGGGTAAGGTGATGGTCAGTCAAGTGAAATTCAGCAGTACACAATAAGGGTATTGGTCTCCCTGTGCACTACGGTGTAGCTGGATATTATGTCGTTCACTGAATATTTATTCAATTGAAAAGGTTTGTTCGCGACTTCATTTGTCGTTGTGCCGTATAACGTCAGGGAAATCGTTAAAATCGCCGAAACCTTCTTCAAATAGGTGTACTACAAGTATTCCTCCATGGCAAGAACTTTGACGCGCGCCGGTGCTGACTAAAATCGCCTCTCCCTGCCCCTGCCCGAGATGAGAGGTTACCCATGCCCCCTCTGTCCTCTGTGTTCATTCTCGTTGAAACTCGGCCTAGGTCACTGAGAGAGGCTCGCTTAATACTTTTCCATTTTATCTTGGAGTTTGTACTAAAGAAGAGACATGAACTGGCTTAACAGATGTACATGACGAATTATTCCTCTTGTCCCTTTTGCATTCTTGTTTCCCCGCCGGGTTCATAGAAATTTTTGGACTCACTTTATACATTTTGAACGACTTTGGCTTTCATTTACAGGCGATAGTTTAGTTCTGGGAACAGAGGATGGCATTCAAATGCTTCAAGGTAATAATAACACGTTACATATTTATTACATATATACTGATGTCGCTTTGTACTTAACCTCGGTTTTGCTGCGCCAGAAGTTGCAATCAGTGGGAATTCTGAACAGGAATCGAACCCTCAAACTTCTGGGTAGTGGACTTAAAGTTTGAAATTTTGTACTCTTATTATATATTTATAATTTCTGTTGGTATTTTCTGTATCTTTTGTCAAAAACTTCTGAAGTTATGTTGGTTTTCTATTTCAGGAGCAAAAAGGCGCTATATATTTGATAAATCAGTGGTTGCGAAACAAATCAACGTAGTGGAAGCTTTTGGGCTTCTTCTTTTTCGAGTGGACAAAGGTAAAGAGTTCCACTCCTCCAAGTTGTACGTCTTTAAACTGACAGACTTCGAAGACGAAGATGAAGAACCAAAGAACCGGCAATTTTGCAAAAATCACAGAGTCGAGAAAAGCAAAGGTAAGCTTAGATCACAGAGGGAATCTCTCGAACCCAAAGGTAGAGAACATCTCAAGGAAATCTTCACGTAGTCATTCTGTAACCATTTCTTACTTTTCTGTGTCATGCCTCTATTCATCGCTCTTACCTTTTAACATCTGTTGCTGCAGGCAACTCTCGCTAAGGAAAAAACCTTTTTATGTTCGTTTCTAAAACTTTTTGACGGCATATTTAGGATGCCATTTGTTCGCCGTGAGTCAGTCGGGTGATGGTGAACTGAAGCTTGCAGTGGCTGTTGGGAGGAAAGTAGCGCTATTACGCTGGAAGCATCCTGTGGTGTGGAGCACTTGGACTGTAGGAAACATCAAAGATGTGGCGGACGGATTTGAGATCATCAAGGTATCATTTAAACTATTTCAACTGGGAATACTTGTCCAGTGTGGCTGGGACAGAGTTTAACCCTCCCCTCCCCCTTCTATTGTTTCTTTCTTCCTCTTCGCCCACCTGGAGTTTCGTAGCCAAACTCTTCTTCTTTTCAGTCTGAAGCCAATCACGGCGGTCATGAAAGGATCCGAGAGTCCTTACGTGACGATGCAAATATCTTTAACGAAATATTCTACTCACTGCTTCTCGAAATACTCGTCTTACTTTTTGTGCAGGAAGTGACAGTTGGTGAAGCGCCGATTTTAATGACGTTGGTTTACACAAGTTCTCATGAAAGTCGTGTTTGTGTTGGTTACAAGAATCAGTTTGATCTCATCAGTGAGGCAGGAGACGTGTTCAAAATACACAGTATTGACAAACAAAAGGTAACGTCACTACTGTCAAAATCAGAAAGTTACAATAATGTGGATATTTAAATTTATCCTAACTGAATTGTAAGTACATTTGAAATGTTAATCTAAAACTGAACCACGGGAAGTGTGATGTCATTTTTCTCATGACGCTCTTTTCTCTTTTGACTTCGGTCATGATTGCATCATTAATCGTTATCATTCACTTTGTGGCACAGAGCCGCAATTCCGGAGAGATTAATTAGGAGTCGGGGAAGCAGCGCAGTCGCTGTTAACTTTCGGTCCAGGTCTCTACCTGAGCACTCACCTGACCGGTAGTTTCCATCAATTTAACCCCTTGACTCTGCAAAAATAGCTAACTTTTCTGCCCATCGGCTATGAGGTTTTAATATTGTGTATTGTCTTGGCAGAAGGCCACTCTTGTCTCGGCAGTAGACGTGTACGAAGAAGAGGTGTCAGAGTTACTTATTTCCTATAATCGTAAGTCAACTGAAGACCAAACCGTACAGTGATATCTTTAAGGCTTGTACCGGGTAGAAGAAACGAGAAGTTTACATAAGTATTAAGTGTTCTTCTCAAAGTTGAGAGGAGAAGGGAAATACAGTCAGCTTAAAATGGAAAGGAGAATAAATGATTTCGAGTAAAACCCAAGAGGAGGGACTTACAATAAATTTCTCTCCCTTGTACTCTTGAACACGATTCACCAACGTTACCACGAAATCGTGGTATTGGCTGAGCGTGTATTGCTCTGTGGAGTCTTAGCTTTCATTCATTGTCATTTACATATCTATGATCTAACCGAGAGATTTTTTCCAACAGACCAGTCAATATTTAAAAGGCTGACAGGAGAGCAATCCTCAAACTTTTCATTCCAATGGAACTCGGCTCCAAACTCAGTTGGTAAGTAATTGTTGCTTATTTGCTATTATTTTCACAAATCGCGTTTGTCGTAAACGGTAAAACTTTTCAATGAGGAGTGTTCTTTCTACAGTGGAAGTTGTATTTTACTGACCTTCATATGTTTTTTTCTTTTCATAAAGCTCTGTATTTGTAAACAATGACACGTTAGATCTAAGGCCATTATATTTTTTATTGGACAACGCAACGCATACTAAGGGCGCCCCTCTCCACTAGCGAATGCGCATAGTTACCTACAATAATTAGTCAGGAAAAAAAAAACTTGAAGATACTGTGTTTAAACTAGTAGAATTCGCTTCATACTACGGCCACAGGATTAATACTGTAGGGCCGTATGTCTCCCAGGGGTTTCAATAAAAGCCGGTTACCAGCGGTCTACCAACGCCTTTAACCCTTCAACTCCCAAGATCTAATTGTTAATTCTCCCCTCTAGCAGCAAACACTTTTTCTGTGAATTAGTTTTGAGAATTTGGTATTACATCAGGGTAACAACTTCTACCTGATAAGTTTTAGTATTCTCGTTACCTATTTGCTGGATAATGTACAGATATTAAAGGGAAAGTTACATGTTAGTGACTTCTGGGAGTTTAAGGCTTAATAACTCTCACCGCCGTCTGTTTAGCCCCCGAGCAGGCTCTCGGTCGTGTTTGGGTTCCGCCCTCCGGCTCCTTTACCGAGCACAGCCACCCATTACACCATCACTTAGCAGCCGCTCATGGACAAAGTTATTGAAACCCCTGTCTCCGTGGACCAAAACGTTCTGGTCTCTTTCACAGTCGACTTCGGCTTATCTTACTGTCCTTTGACAACACGAAAAAGTCGTGCTGGCTTCCTAATAAAAGAATGAACCCCATTGGTATTTGTGTGATCGAATGCATCTAACTTTTTTCCTCTCTGCCCTTTATTTTAGTGTGCGCATTTCCTTATTTGCTGGCTTTCACAACGAACACCATAGAAATTCGTCTTGTCGTCAACGCAAACTTGGTGCATACGCTCGTGTTACCCAAAGTCTCCCTAATTTCAGCAAAGGTAAGAATCTGCGTCGGTATGTATATGCTCAATAGGAAGAACACGCAGTGCTATGTATGGAAGATTCGTTTAGTAACGGGGTAATCAACTCTAACAAGTTCTTTTGCTTAATTCTTATACGACCTTCTCTGACCGCATAAACTCATGTAATGCCTTAGAACACTCTACCTTTGTTTCTTACACTTGATCAGGCGGACATATACTTCAGCGCGTCGCCACCCAAATCATCGAACTCATCAACTCAAGCAACTGGAGGCGTTCAAACCCAGTCGTCTCCCAGCAACACTCAAGAAAAAACTTCGTTGTACAAGATATCAACAATTTCCCTGATGGGACAGTTTCTTGATCCTCCTCTTACGCGTAAAGCAACGGATGATGTTACCATGGCACCAAGTGTTGTTCTCAACTCAAATAACGAGGAAATCTCTATAACAAGGCAGTGCAGTGATTATTCCCTTGAATCACGGGATACTATTGACAAGGATTTTCCCATAAAAGAACCCGTGGGTAGAACAGCTTCGTGTCCACAGTCACGAAAAGTTTCGGACCCCTCAGATCCGCGGGGTGCCGTGAAATATTCGACGAGTAGCATTACATGGACAACAGTGTGAGAGTTGTTCCGGTTTTAATAGAATAGAAGATTTATAGAAACATGAGGATCACCCCCCCCCCCCCCTTTCCCCACCCGTCCCTCTCCGAGTCAAAAACCTCAACCCCTCAAGAAAGCATCCACCAAGCTTTATCCTTTGTCGAAGCGCTGTGAAGCGCCTTGATTAAAGCAAATGTTAAAATGTTCTCAGAGGAAATGTCCAATGCATTACGAAAAAAATGTCAAATTTTAGGTCAGATACTAGCATCACTGGTACGTATTTTAAGTTTTCCTAGAATGAATATGAATTCTTACGTGGATTATTGTGAACTGTCATATGAACAGCGCGAAAATAATCCAAACATTCCGAGTTTTAGTCCTTTTCCATGGTATCGTCAATGGTTTTCATCAAGCAGTAATAGATTCTTAATATTAAACACAGATTTTCTCTAGCATTTCCTTTAGACTCTCTCATAAGACACCCTTGCCGCAAATATTGTTGTTATAATACTTTGTATATGGTTACAGATCATCATTACTGGTAGTTTAATTTCGAACAGTCAATACTCTCCGTGTCTGTAGACCATACTTGTTGCAGTCCTTGCCCGATTGTTCTACGGGTAGAATAATCAATCATTCCTCCCCATCCCTCTCTCAAGAAAGATAAAATTAGTTTTTGAGTTTTTCCAGTCGAAAGTCACTCCATGAGTGATTTAACGGTGTAATAACGTTACCTACCTTATGAACATCCAGAGGCCAGCAGTGTTTGGCGATCATTTTTTTATAGTGTATAAGATTCTTGATAACAATTGCAGTAAGACTTGCTTTTGGAACCCAGCTGAATCAACTAAAATGTGACCACCTAAACTTCTCTTCATTACCGGAACTTTTCGTAAAGGTGAAAAGATTGTCGTCGTAACGCTGGGTTTTGTCGTAGTGAGTATTTTCAAACAGTGCTTTCAGTTTACTAGTGTTGTATATGAGACATAATACTTCCATAAGTTGTGAAAACACTGATTTTAAAGGAACAAGATATTTATTAGTAAAAAATTTTATTTAAAATGTATTTTCTATGAAACGAGTGTTTGCCTTGATGTTGTACGTACGTTAGCCGACACTATTCTAATCTGAGAGAATTGTTTTATTATAATCGAAAGAAGTCACTATATAGAAGTTATATTGAAGATTAGAATTAAAAAAGCTATTATAGAAAGCTCAAGTGTGTGGTTTTATAAGCAGATTATTGCAAGCACCTAAGTGTAAACATGTTAGAAACATGCGAGGAGCAATCCGTGAATCGATCACGAGAATGAGTGTAAACAATCGTTAATGAGAATGTGTGTAAACATGCGAGAGGAAATTCGTGAATCATTGATGAGAATGCGTGTTTCCCATCCATTCCTAATGATACAACGGCTGGCTGTTCAAAGCCTCTCGATCTTTCAGTTTCACGAAATGAGCCGTGCCTCAGGTGGTTAGTATGTCCTGTGCATGTGTATGACTTTGAAAAGACCATGTTTCATGTACTACACTTTTGCGTTAAGCTTTGTTATTGTTGTTATTATTATTATTATTGTTATTTTTATCATTATTATTATTATTATTAGTCATTTATTTTGTTTTTTTGAACTAGCAAATTTTACTCTTTACTTCCTGATTATTACAAACTGCATTTGGGTATTAAACCTAAAGATGATTTTCAATTTTCTCTCAGTCTGTGCTAAGCTCACCTCTCGTCAGTGTAGGCCTCAATGCAGACGATCGTAAAATATGACGAGCGAAAATGGGCGATGTGCACCCTGACCTTCGCCGCCCTTCTCTCGCCCGCTTTTCGATCGTCTCTACCAAGAAGAGCAATGACTGGAGTGGCCAGATAGATAATAATAACTACCCAACAATCAAGACGAAACCATTTGTAGTTGAATTACAGGCTTCCTGGCCTTGACAAAGAGACCTGCTGAATGAACCAGCAAACAGCTTAAATGAGCTTTTCGAAATGGTGATCAGAAACCTTTTCAATCGTTCGCTTCTTACCCTACTCATGGTTAGACTTTCTCATCAAACCGCCTCTATTTGTCCTTTACCAAATACTTCACTGGATACCAGGGGTTCGGGTGCTTGGTAGCCAGGCCAGGTAATGTATTCCACGTGTGTTAGCTTGTTTGCACGCTTGTTAGAGCCGCAAGTTAGCTTCGGTCGATTTATTTTCACAAGCCAGGTAGGTGACCTCTGAACTTCTTTCCGTTACTAAATGACGGGAACATAATATCAAAGTGTTAAGTCTGTGTTAGCAACAGCAAATGAACAAGTTATTGATGCTGTGTCGTGTAAATGCGGACAAACTGATTTGTTTGAATCTCTTCTTAGTGCTTTCAAAATTTGTAAGTTTGTTTTGTTTTACACTTTTAGGATGAGTAGCTCAGAAGAATTGTCACAGTATGAGGAAACATCAACTAAAACGTCTAAATCTTTGCAACATAGTGATATATCGGTGATTCCACGAGATATGTACGGTTTGTATGGAGTGCATGTGAGCAATCTTCCCTCGGACACCTCTGAGAAACTTCTCCACAAGACGTTCTCTTCTGTTGGTAAAGTAGCTGTTTGTAAAGTTATGGATCCAAAGACGCGTCCGGGAAGTCCTTTTCCTACTTACGCATTTGTCAAATTTTCAAGCAGAGAAGAAGCCTTTGATGCATTGTCAAAGTTTAATGGTTACACACTCAATGATAGCATCTTGGCTGTCAGACCTGCTTATATTTCCGAAAGAATTAAAAAGTTTCAACCACAGAAACATCGCCGCACGGACAGGATTTCTAACAAAAGCGAAATTAATGGAAATGCTGATAGAGAGAAAGAAACTCCGAAATCTTATGTGATGAATTCGTCTGACTGCCGATTGAGGGATGGCAGGCTGCAAGAAGGTGATGTTATTGTATATAATGGAACTTCCATTAAATCGTCTCCAACGAAGGGATATACCGGACAAGAAGTGGCTCCGCGGTTTAGAAAAAGTTCCTCACTCGATGATGCTTTAGATAACTCAGAAAAATTTCAAGTCGTTTCACCAGAGGTACCATCTAATTCAGCAGTTCAAGCACACCAAAAATCAAATGATGATCGATCAGGAATTTCTGTTGAACAAACATCAGACAACACTGACAGCCGTTCAAACACATCTTCATCAGCATTTCATTTATATCAAGGGTCATCGGGAATGCAAAAGCGTTTACAAACCACTGGTAACGTTCAACATCATAGACCAGTGAAGAATGGATTTACACAAATGAACTCAGATCTTTCACATCTGCGGCTTTCTCCCTCAAGTCATCGTAGTTCAGAAAATTACCATCAGGGAGGTGAAGCCTTGTCAAGGAGGGATGATGTACACCAAGGTGCACCTGTTTGGGTTCCATCTCCACCTGGAAATATTGGAGTTACTTTCTCCAGCAATAGAAACAAGCCAGCTAATAGCCCAAGGAGGAGCTGCCAATCGAGTTTCAGTGTAGCTACCTGGAGCACTACAGATGTGGTGCAATTCTTTTGTAATACTGACTGTGCTGAGTATGCAGGATTCTTTCAAGAGCAGGAGATTGACGGCAGGGCTTTGATGTTGTTAAATCGCGATACATTGTTGCAGTTTTTTAAAGTTGGACCAACACTTAAAATTCTACAGCAGATAGATGAGTTGAGATCAAAAGGTTAATCACTTGTCACTTGTGTGAAAAATTTTGTGGCTTCCCTTGGACAATTTGGATTTGTTTTTCTAACTTCCTACTGAAGACCAATCTGGTTGTGGATGCAGTTTTATTGATCCTGTTAAACTGTTGACAAGATGGGGTCTCTACAGTGTTCAATACACAAGACTTGGAAAGTCATGAAATTTTGCAGCATCATTTTCCAGGCCTGACAAGAACCAGAATTAGTGCAAGTCTTCCAAGTCCTTGAAATTTACACTGTAACATCATTATATATGTTCTCCATACTGTTTTCTATAAATTTCCTAAGGTACTTACAGGAGAATTTGTTTAATATCATTGTGTATACCACTATTTACCATACTGTTTTCTATACATTTCCTAAAGCACTTACTGGGAAAATTTGTTTAACATCATTAAGTATATTCTCCATACTGCTTTCTATACATTTCCTTAGGTACTTACAGGAGAATTTGTTTAACATCATTATCTATATTTTTGCCATGCTGTTTGCTATACATTTCTTAAAAGTACTTACAGGAGAATTCATTTAACATCATTATGTATATTCTCCATTCTGTTTTCTATACATTTCCTAAGGTACTTACAGGAAGAATTTGTTCAACAATCAAGAGCTGCTTTAGTTTTTGATCATTTCCTGTATACCTGTCACCTTCATGTTTGATTCAGAAGTAATATTGTAGTGAGAAATTACCAGGGGTAGATGATAGTCACTCTTGGGGACTAAAGGGTTAATCATCTTTTCACATTATTTTGAAACCATCCTCTCAATAACTACTCATCTTGAATGTCAAAAAAGTCTTTAAAAAGGTTAAGGAAAATATTGTATTGTACAATTTTGAGAGAGTATGAACCCTCCAGCAGTAGCTTAATGAGTTTGTGTCACTCTTATTTTAATAACTCTTTCTTTATTTCTTTTCATTTTACAATGAAATTTTTGATTTGATAACTTAAAACCTTAGAAGATCTTTAGAGTGCCAGTACTATACAAGTTTCATCATGAACACTGTCACTGTCGCTTACATGTAACTCTGTTGCATACATTGTTTTACATGCAAGAGAGTCAATAGGAGTCCCAGTGTCTTAGTAGTTTTATTGTCTCTGTTGTCCAAGTAATTTGTCAACAAAGATCAAAAGGGCTACTCAGGTTCGTGGTATAGGATATATAACCCTTTCCTACCAAAAGCATGATTTCTCAGGATGATTTTGTGGATTTATTTTTTTTCATAGACTTCTGTCCATCAGCAAGTTAAGAAAAATTCCTGAATCATCATGTTATGAGATTGAGCAAATAGTTTCCATTTTTTAGGATTCATACAATAATTATCTTTCACATTTGTGGACGTGATTTCTTACATTTTATGAAAATATCCATCTGTGAATGGTTAGAACTAAAAATAAAGAGTTAAGTTGGTCAGCTTTTCCTTTAATATTTTCAAAATATATTTTCTTCTCATGTTTGAAGATGATTGGGTTGTTGATGTATTTGTTAAGGCTCATTGTTTGTATATCGTAGTTACAACTCGTTATACATTTTGTGTAATTTGAGGCTTGTTTTTGGTTAGATTTGTATAATCATACCAGATCATTATTTGCTCTAATGTGCTATTTCAGTTATTTCCATTATTTAATTCCATGTGGTGGCTCAATGGCTATGAAGGGGATTTTTTTTTTTGCATTTTTATATTCCATCTTTGAGTTAGATCTACAGTAATTAGGTAAAGCATTTGTAAAGGAGATATTGAGCAACATTTTTAAGGTGATTTTAATTAGTGTTGTATCATTGATTGGATTAGAAGCATTTAACTTTCTGTTTACTTGCTTCTGACTGAATTTATTACAGCAATCACCCCTGCGTGGCTTAAAACCATTCTCTTTTGCCAGTTATGTGATGGAGAGAGCCCATGTTACTTTTTTTATTGTGGCCAATTGTTCTTTAATTTGACCATCAAAATAGAATTATTGCAACTTGAATGTTCTCTTTTCAGTACTGTGATTTACCTGAAAAGAAGCTTCTTTACCTTACTGTATTGAGCCATTTTATTTGTTGCTTATGTTAATATCCCTTAGGAATATACCAACTGTTTTCTTGATTCAGTCACTTAGTAATTTAAAAGATTTTCTCTGCTGAACTTGTTAGTCCTTTTCCTAACCCTTATAATAGTAGAGCAGTAAGTTTTTACAGATTTAACACCCAGAGCTTCTTGCCTCTAGAGAGGACTTTGATTGCCTTGGTACAAAAATTGTAAGATTTATGGAAATTGTACATTTAAAAGGTTGGTAAGATGCACATTTCTAAAGCAACATTAGCTATTATAGCATATATTTAATAAAACATTTTGAGTCGTCACTGATCATGTCTACATGTTTGAGACTTGCTATTATAATAAAGATCTAGTGCTTTCCTTAGTTTGATGATGGCCAACTTGCGCACATTCCTTGGTTGTTCATATTCTTACACTCTCTCAAGAGTGGCTGTGAGCTATCTGGACTGTCTAAAAAGTGGAAAAGGACTTGCAGAATGTGCTTAGGGAAACAGGATGTACATATCATTTTAACACGAAAAAAAATTCAGTGAAGGGAGTTCATTCTTTCATTCAGTTCATTCTTTCCTTTCTTGTATTTGTATTTCCTTTCTTGTATTATAGATTTGTAAGGTTTCGTGTGTTCATACATGAATGTGTGTGAGTATGGTAGCTAGACCCTGCCCTTTGCTCGTCAGTGTCATTTACAACCTCTTTGTCTTTCGTAATAACCAGTTGATCCTCTGCAGATCTCTCGCAAATGGCAAGAATGATTATTACACTTATGTGCCTGCCAATCAGCCTTTTTGACATTGTTTTTGAGTGAAATTCCCTATTAAGATTTTGACAGCCAAAAGAAATTTGACTCGCAAAAATCGTGTTAATTTAAGAAATTAAAGGGTCACAACATTTATATATGGACACTTACTTAAACAGCAAGGTCAACCATTTATGAGAGGTTTCCATCATTTTTTCATTCTTTTTGTTTGGAGATAAAAGTTGTACACCTACGTATTTGAACTCTTGAATTATCTCAGAACGGTTGGTCCAATTGTGGGTGGAAATCGAAGGCTATTCAGCTCATAAGACGCCCTGAAACATGCAATCTTTGTGTCCTGAACGATGGCCCTGTTTCTTAGGACAGGGTTTTCAGAGGGAAGACTGGGGATAACTTTGGAGGAGAGAAGTCGATGCAAATGGCGGTTCATCCGCCGCCTATACGAAGGAAAATTGGTTTATTGTTGATTGACTTGCAAAGCGCTTTCGTGGACGGTGCATGGAGGGCTTATTTACCTGACGAAGAAGTTGAACCAATCAAGAAAAGTTTTGAAAACTGTGCGAAACTTTTACGATCGGGTTTGAACAATGTTCCCCTACTGATGACCCGCTGTCCTTTTCCAGGTGGTGACTTTGAGCTTGATGACAGTTTGAATTCTGTAGTTGATAAAAATCAACGATATGTCATTAAACCTAGTACTTCTGTGATGGATGCTCGTGGTTTCAGAGAATGGGTCGAGGAAGAATTGCTGAAACAGGGAATAAACACTTTGGTAATGGGTGGCTGTACAACCACGAGTTGCGTGCGAGTCAGCTCGATCCGAACTCAGAAGGCTTTTAGCCACAAAGGCCTTCAGGTTGTTGTTGATTTAGGCTTGTGTGGTGCGAGAAAAACAAACAGTATTCAAAGATGTCCCAGTTGTCTCAAGGTGTACATGGAATGTGGGGATTTTGAACCGTCACGCAATCGTCATTGCACATGTGGTGGTATTGATGTTAGAATGGCATCACCTGTCGATAAGGCTGTGCAGTGTATGCAAGAGGAGGGTGTTGAGGTGTTGGAAAGTTTTGACTGGAAGCCATACATGCATCAATCGCCTGTCACTCAGTGATTCAATAGTATTTGTATATCACCCATGGGATGTCAACAGGTCTCCCAAAAGTGGACTCTTGATGCAGTTTTAATCAATTGCATGCTAGTAATTAATTGTTGAGTTTCCAATGGATAATCAGCAACCTTTTGCATGTGACCTTTTTATGCAGATGAAAAAAAAACGTGCATAATGACCTGAATAAAAATTGTGTCTAAAATAAACAATTTAAAATATAACTGGTTTGAAATAAAATTTCAATTTCCCATAAAGCAGTCAGCTTCATACACGACTGTTTTCATGTAACAAAAGTGCTCATTGTAGTTTTGCTGTCCACATCTGCAGGTTAGAGGTGTTTGATGGAAATGGTTTCACTTAATATTTTAAGTAGTAACATGAAACATTACAAAGCTAAACTATGTTCAGCCAAAAGGACTAAAACACCGAACTATTTGGGTGACCACCATCAAAGTGCCAAATACTGAAATGCAGAAGTATATTTTTATTGGAATACATCATCATCCCATGCCCCCCTTGATTTTAAAATTGGTCACTTGATCTCGGTTTTCCTTTACATTCTCAAAGACAGTGAAATATATACAAAATTCTCAAGAATATATTGTTCTCTTGAACCAATGATGTTATTGCTTTTTAAAGAAGACAAAATTTACTTGATGTACTCTATGTGTGGAAAATGATTGTCGAATTTAGAGTTACATGGGAATCTAGACAAACTGTGCAAGATATTACCAGTAAGAAAATCTTCATGTGCCTGGGGTGCACCCACATATCCAGAAGCGTTGACATACATGCTCCATTTGCATTTGTAAATACATGCAAGTCAGAAAATCACATCATACTTGCCCCTTTAGTTTTCAAGTTGGTGGACCCATACCAGTTTTTCCCCCAAACTGAAAGATAGCAAAATTGATGCAAATATGCACAATGAGGACAAAATCTTGTAGAAATAAAACATTCTTCTGAAAAGGAAACTTTTTTTAAATGAAGGCATAATTTACTTGATGTACATTACCCTCTCTTAGGAGAATGTTATCCAGATTAAGGCCCATGCAGGAGATATGAGAGACCATGCAAGAGATAAAGAATTTTTTTTGCAAGTGGAAGACTCCCAGATCAACCAGGAGATTTGACCTAATACAAGTTGGAAAATTTCAGAAAATAGGTTTTACTCAGCTGGGGAGAACTATTGCACAATTAATGCAAATAGATGATTCATCCACATGACATTCCCATGAAATCATCTCACTATTAAGTTATAGGGTTGAGTGGGGTTTAATTCAGAGAGGAGTTTAGCAAGTCATTTCAAATCAGCTAAAAACTCAAAGAATAAGCTGATTTGAAATAATAAGCACTATCAACACCTCTGAAAAGTACAACACAAACTCCTGTAAGTCCTGTTACTGACCAAGCATGTTGGTAACAAAGCTTAAGAAACAAATAATTAGATATTTGACAACTTCACAACTTCATATGTCAAAACACCTTTGTATGTCCTCTGTTCAGAGCTGGTTTGTGTTAACAATGTCTCATTGTGTTGTTAGTTTTCCAAATCACTTGTATTTGTTTGGAATACTTTGTAATGATTTTTACTCGTTAAAGATCAATTTTTTTCGTATACCAGGATACAAGAAATACAGAAGAGCAGCTTTACTTTAAGTTGTTTTAATGTTGTATTTTTTTAAAATTGGAGGCTATTCCGGAAACTGGGTTTGTGTGACAAGATGTGCTGTCACGCAATGAATTCTGCGCATTTTGTGGTGCGTCAGAAAAGACAAAAGTGTCCCATGATAATCACAAGACACACGGAAAGCTAGTAAATTATATCAAAAGCTTGGAAATCCCGGTTGTAGGACGAAATATCGGTTGAGACATGACTCGGTCGTTATCACGTGTAAAATTCTGGTTATTGGTTTTGTACGTGCCCTATGTGTTACACACAGTCCACAGTGCAGGAGGATCGAAGCCACCGAACATTTTGTTTTTGCTTGCTGATGATTTTGGCTGGTACGATGTCGGTTATCATAACCCCAAAATACAAACTCCCAACATCGATAAGTTGGCTAAGAGTGGAGTTATACTTGACAGTTATTACGTGCAGCCAATATGTACACCGACACGGGGAGCACTGATGACTGGAAGGTATCCAATACACACAGGTATTGTTGTCTTGTGCAGTGATGTTTCTCACTGATGTGATTTTATTTACATCATTTCTCGAGGGGAAATCCTTCATTTGACGCAATTTGTGAAGTTGAAATACAGATATTCAAAAGCGGGCTGTAATTGCTCATGATCATTCCGAAGGACTCGCATCTACTTCCACCCCTTTTAAATGGCGTTACGCTGTTCAAATCTTGTCCATGTCAACACCATATTGTTTGACACAAAAAAATGTTACCCTAAGATATCGCGAATCTAATGAGCTTCTGTGAATTTCGCAGTTTTTTTGCGATTGCTAATCAAGGACCCAAAACATCTTTGATTTATTTTCTGCTAGGTCTGCAACATGATGTTATTCATCCGGAAAACCCCTATGGATTGCCCCTGGACTTCGACTTGTTGCCACAGAAACTGAAACAGGCTGGTAGGTATTGGAAACGTTTTATGGATTTTTAAATTGGGGTCTTCTGTTGCACTGGAAGAGACGATATTGGAAAAAAGATTGATTCAATTTCTCAATTGCAGATACTAAAAAAAAATAATAAAGTTCCTCCCTTGGTTTTCGTGTAATTAAAAATTTCTTTCCATTTCCACTTTCTTTTATCAGGTTATGCCACTCATTTGGTTGGCAAGTGGCATCTTGGTTTCTACAAATGGCCTTATGTTCCAACCAAACGAGGTTTTGACTCCGCTTATGGATTCTGGGACGGTTCTGAAGATCATTTTGACCATAGTCGCCTGGGAATAGTGGACTTTCGTGACAATTTGGATGTAGTAAAGAATTTGAACGGCACCTACGCCACAAACGCTTACGTCTCTGTAAGAGGAGGATTGTTGGGGTGTTTACATTATTGTATCTCATTAGTATCTTTTAATTTCATTCATTCGCTCGGCCTCAATAGCTTTTAAGCCATAAACTCTACCAATGGTAAACGAGTTTTTATATATCATTTTATTTCACCCTGCTTTTATTTCAGGCGCACGTTTACCTAAGATAGCCTGGGTCAAAAAGGAAATCGAACGCACTTTAAACGCGCATGAAGGAGTTACACGGTGCACGGGCTTCCTAAGATAAATTATACACTGAAGAAATTTTATCATTTTGTTCACCTTGAGACAGTGTAAGTCGTCTCGCGTAGTTTAGATCTACTAGAGCTGCTCGTGAATAAAAGCGAGGACGAACGCCGGAAGAAACTTTAATGGCTGCTTTAATGCGTCTGTTGAGCTCTGCTGTCACCATCAACAAACCATATCTAGGGTTCAGCTCACTTAAGCTACTATAAGGTCAGCTAAACGTTCCTTTCATGTCCCTGCAATGTATGTAACCACTGGGAGAAGTTAGACTTGGAAATCTAAGGCATGTTTTCTTTTCTCACAGCAAGTGAAAAAGGTGTTACAGGACCACAATTCATCGCAACCGTTATTCATGTACATGGCCTTCCAAAATGTTCACGCACCTATCCAGGCTCCAGAGAAGTACATAGAGAAGTACGAATTTATAGAAAATAGAATGAGGAGAGTTCACGCTGCTATGGCAGATATCATGGATGAGGCTGTGGGCAACATAACAGAAGCTTTTAAAGAAGCAGGGTTAGTAGTATGATGATGCATTATCAAAAAAATTCCAATTCTTTGGCACCTCAAAAGACCCTTTAACAAGCCTGGAAAAAAAGCGACGTTTAACATGAGACATACCCTAAAAAGGTATTTTTAAATTATCCAGCCAGTATCTATTTCTCGTTTTTTTTCAGATTGTGGGAGAATACCCTTCTAATATTCAGCACTGACAACGGAGGTTTACCATTTTACGGAGGTTACAATTGGCCTCTTCGAGGAGAAAAAATGACGCTCTGGGAGGGAGGGGTAAGAGGAGTTGGATTTGTTCACGGAAATCAGCTAGCGAGGAAGGGAGTTACGTGTAATGAATTATTGCATGTGACGGACTGGTATCCAACAATTCTTGGATTGGCCGGTAAGGAATATTACATAATTAGCAAAGACTATCTTCATTTTCATTGTAAATAATAACCGATGCTAGTTTCGATGAACTTTAAAAAGTCTCTCTCGATTTTAATGATTTCTTCCGAGGAAGATCTAATTTTCTATTAACGCATTGTAAACCGCTAAGAGTGACGAGAACCTAATTTCTCCCAACTGTGTGACACCTGAATCAAACATTAAGGTCTTGAGAATAAAGAAAGAGGCTCTTGATTGTAAGTTAAGTTCGACAGGAAACGTGTAGAGAGCATATTGCATATTGGTGTTAGGATGTAAAGGGTTAAGAAAGGAGAAATAATAAGGAAACAACAAATTGAGGTTGCTGATTTTGTTGGAGTGACCAAGTGCATTCCTGGCAAAGTGATAGTTTTTCAGTCCAGCTTTTTGGGAATGAGATCGTTTTCTTTGTTAGTTTAATTTTGTCGGGGAAGGTATTGAAAAATTACTTTCATCCTAAGGTGTGACATCAGTAGACAAAAGTCCTATTCCACTGGACGGCCATGACGTATGGGACACGATTTCGATGGGGAAGCCTTCTCCACGCACTGAGATATTACTAAACATTGATCAACCTGGCTCAGTTCCTCCAGGGCCTGGTGTCCTGGGTGGTTATACGGGGATCGCACTCAGGACCGGTGATATGAAGTTGCTGATGAATGTGCCTAATGTCACGTGGTTTAAACCGCCAGAGATTGGTGGAAAAGTGGAAAAAGAAATACCTCTAGACGCGGTGTTTGAAAACCCAGACATGGTAAAGTGACCAGTACGCCATATTTATTTTGAGTGATAGAAATAATTAGAATCAGTTGGAGATATCACCCCTCAGGTCCAACTTGGATCTCAGATACATCTTTCATTACTACGATGCTTTTGTTCTTGTAAACGGGAAATGTCGCATACATTTGATTGAGCACAAAGTATGCGAATCATGTTTTTTTGGGAACTATTTCGAGGTTTTGATTTTACAATTAGAAAAGGTCACTTACACTCACAGACTATGCACGGCATTGAATTATAAGATATTGTTACGCTTAACTCTCGTAAAGGCGTCGTTTAATGGATCTTTGCAGCTGCCTTTGTTTACTTATCTTATTTCTTACGCAGGTGACGGTTGACAAAGTAGACATCGCCTTATATAACATTTCTAAAGACCCAGAAGAACGAGTTGACCTTAGCAAAAAATTCCCAGATATTGTGAAGGATATGCAGATGAGGGTCAAGTACTTCGTGAATTCGTCAGTAAAACCGTTATACCAGAAAAACGATCCCGAAGCCTTGAAAACCGCTCAGGAAAAGGGTGCATGGGGCCCCTGGAGAGACTAAAATCATACAAGTTGTACTTTCAATCACACAACAGAATTATTTTGATAATCAGCTCTGTATAATGTCCGATGAAATAGTTAAATTCTTCACTTGAATGATCCTGTTCTTGTCTAATCTTTTTGATATTGGAATATAGAATAACAATCATGCGGGTCCACTCCTGTGGACCTGTGCTTGAGTGTGCCAGGAAGTGACTAGGTAGTCACGTGACTTACCATAAAAGATTGCATATTTTGTGGACGCGAATTACTTCATGTTCACCTGATTCGGAAAATAATGTCATTTATGTCCTGATTCACTTACTAAGTGGTCTATCTTACACGTTTTACATATTGTTAAAGCTTGTTTGAGAGTTTGTGTAACAATCAACAACTTCTTCAGCTGCCGATAATTTTCTTTATTCTCATGACCACACTGCGTGATTCAGGGGTGATATTGCGAGGGGAAATTAGATGCTAGTCACTCTTGGGATTAGAGGGTTAAATAAAGAGTTTACTTACTTAGCGACGTCATGTGTTGTTTTTTTTCTTTCCAGATAAGCCCTCTCTCCATCCAGGAGTACAAATCGCGAATTGCTTGGGAAACCTTACGACGTGTCGGGGGTTGACTAAGAATGAACTAACATCACCTCAAGGTGGTGTAGCAACACCTGTTGTCAGTTAATGCCAAAATAACCCGGATAAGTTCGGGTATCTATATGAGTATATCACTTTTCTTTCAGAGGGGTAAACAGGTCTAAAAGTCACATGCCAAGCGATATTTCCTTTAAAAATTTCGGGGATGTCCCAGAGGTCTTGTTCATTATCAACTTCCAGAAAAAAAAAGAAAAAATAAATGAGTGAAGATGTTCATGACAATTAGGATAAAGACGATAAGCGAAAAGCGATGTTTCCTTTAAAGATGTCAAGAATGTCCCAGAAGCCTGGTTCATTATTAACTTCTTGGGAAAAGATTATGAAGGTAAACATGATGATAATGTCGGTGGATAACAACGAGAACAACAATTTTTTTCAGATTCACAGTACAACAACATTACACAAAGCTATTTAATAAGCTTGTACAATAGACCGGAATAAATCAGACAAAGGCATTTATTATGGTTTCAATGACATAGAGTACAAATTCGATTCTAATTACCGAGCCAAAAATTATTCCAACGCGTCACTTCAGTCTTCCCCACCAGTATTACATATACAGTCGATAATCTTCCTTTAAGACACTCCATAAGAAACAAATTAATGGCTTTTACAACTAGAGACACCTTTTTACACAGTGACTTGGAATCAATAAAACAGTAAGAAAAAACAACGTTTGCCTTTGATACTCTACAGATGTAGTACATCCATTTGAATCAAACAGTTTCCTCTCCTTTTACTATCAACTTGCTTCATGTGGCCAGCTCCGATCTACATCCACGGTCCCCAAATACCATTCTTACGAGCCTCTTTTAGTGCATTTGGGTCAGCAGGTTTGAAGGCGGCAGGAACTGCAGTGTTTAGGTAATAATTCATTCTATCTTTCATCTCCTTCAGAAAATCAGGTAACTCATTGCTGAGGTCGTGTCGCTCTTCAGGATCAGCTGTGATGTTATAAAGTACAACGTCCAAAATGTCTGCATGCGCCTGTAAGATTCCAATATAAAGAACTGGACGTTTCTAAACTTTCAAAAATAATTCGATTTAGAAGTTCCGGTATACGAAGTGATTTACATAAACATTTTTGAGGGTTGATGACGTATTGCTATCATAACTCGGGTAGTGATTTCGAGGTACTAGGTAGGGAAAAACGATTTAAATATTATAGTACTGACCTTGTAATAGATCCTTAATTGCTTCAGACTCTCTTCATCTGTCTCCTCTTTAAGAAACCCTTTAGACAAAAGAACACCAATTGGAACTCCGCCCAACTCGGGTGGTTTAAACCAGGTGATATTTCTGGCATTCATCAAAAGCTTCATGCTTCCCTTCCGAAGAGCCATTCCTTGCCAGCTGACTCCCAACATTTTACTCGTCCTAAAAGGCGGGTTATCGATATTAAGCAAGATTTCTGTTCGAGGTGAAGCTTCTCCACGTGACAAAGTGCTCCACACATCAAAGCCATCAATTGGGATAGGATGTTTTGCATCGTACGAACCACCTGTGGTAAAACCAGAATGATAAGAATATTATTTATAAGGTTGTCACAAACAAACACATGAAAGACAAAGCAGTAGAGGAGAAAGGGAAGAAGAAATGAGGCCACAACACTATTTACTAAATTAACTCCAGGTTATTACGACCAGTTCTCTAAAAGAATAAAGTAAACAAATTTAACAAACATTATTCCGAAAGATATTTAATTATGATATTCACTCCATTTCTCGTTACGTTTGTAACTTAATGAATAACTCTTGCCTTTCTGAATTATGTTCCATATGAGATGTTGGGTCGAGAGTCTTATTTCCATGGACTAACTTTTTACACAGTTAGTTTTCTTAGACAATCTTCAAAAATAAATGGAAAAAGACACACCTTCAAGTGAGGGATAATCAGAGAAGTGGAAATGAAGTCATAGATAACCACACCTGCAAGGTTGATGAGAGTAGGAAAGAAGTCGCTGATGTGTAGAAGTCCTTCGCATTTCACGCCGGTCTTTTCTAACATTTTTCCGTGGACAAAAGCAGCACCTCTCACTCCTCCCTCCCATAAGGTATGTTTTGTTCCTCTTAGAGGCCAGTTATATCCGCCATACGTAGGTTCTCCACCATTATCAGTGCTGAAGACTGTTAAAGTGTTCTCCCATAGCCTGGACGAGAACAATGAAGATCACAAACGCTTGTATTTATCCTTCAAATCAACAAAGTTATCACGGCTGCCGTAAACCCTGCACATACAAACTCAAAGAGTTCCTTTGGGGGATTAACTTCATGCAATCAGAGTCTTTCCCAGTACCGTGAGATGGCACGAATCCAGGATAATGGCCGCTTAAACTCACAAGAGAATCAAAGTATGAAACCTTCAAGGAAACTGATACGAAACTCACCCTTTCTTTTTAAACATGTTAGTGATGTTGCCAACAGCTTCGTCCAGTACAGCGACCATTCCTGCATGCACCCGGCGCATCTTATGATTGATAAACGAGAATTTGTCCACATACTGGTCTGGTGCCTGGACGGGATTATGAACATTCTGGAAGGCCATGTACATGAACAGGGGCTGTTTTGGGTCATGTTGATCCAAAATCTCTTCTATCCTCTGATGAAATAATGAAATAGAAACAGCCGTTAAGTACTCAGGCCATTGTCAATTAAAGACATAACCCAGTTCAGCGAAGTCCTGATATTCCAATATCTTTTGATAAAAGTATAAATGAAATATGTACTCAGGAAATGGTTGAGAGAGAAGTTGGAGAATTGTTGACATCACGAAAAGCGTATAGCTTTATTTGGGCATTGGCAAATTTTGTGGCAAGTCTGATACACTATGCTGGGCGGTTACCAGCGTTGGATTCGTACCCCGTCTGATAGGAGAGTCAAACTCATAGTTGATTTATGTCACAGGAGTCGTGAGAAGATCCGGCATTATGAACCTCACCGTCCTCCATGACGCCGGGTCTCTGCATTGACTGACCGCATTCTATTGCCCAAGTCTCACAAATATTACGCTATATACCCTTACTACGTAGAAAGTATCAACCATTAGACCTTAACATATTCGAATGCTGCATATTTTCCGTTCAGGTCTAAAACAGGCTCGGTTCCGTTACGAAAATCAACCACTTTGTAACTTGTGTGATTATAATGATCTTCAGCACCACCCCAGAATCCATAAGCGGAGTCAAAACCACGGTTGGTTGGAACATAAGGCCATCTATAGAAACCAAGATGCCACTTGCCAACCAAATGAGTCGCGTAACCTGACAGAAAAAAAAATGAATGAAATACACCCCATTTGTAAATTGAGGTCATCTATTGAAGTATTTTGAAGATTTATTCGCGCATAATGATTTATAAACAAAACGCTATAATCATAGACACGTTTATAGACAGAAAGCAACGAGAAATTGGTGTTGGGTAAGGCGCCCTTTAAGTTGATCCGACTCAATGCATTGGTGTGAAGGGCTTCTTTCTTATAAAAAGTTACACTTCGAAACGAGTCTCAGTTTGAATTAACAAATCCTTCATTTTTATTTAATAAAGGGCCAGAATCATGGAAGGCTGTGGCTTACCAACTTTCTTTAGCTGTCCTGGTAAGGTCTGAAAATCTAATGGTAATCCAAATGGATTTGAGGGGCGAATCACATTATGCTGAAGTCCTGAAAGAGTTGGATAAAATCGTAGATTACCTTATTATATATAAGTTAATCATGGCGCGCACCCAATCCTCCTTATCAGTGAAAAAAAGAACACCATCGGTTTCGCTCGAAAATAATTTCTTTCTGCAGCCGGCTCTCTCACAGGTCTCTTTTGTAGTTGTAAATGCTAACGCTCGTAACGTCAGCTCTAGAAACTCTTTACGGCGGCCAATTTATATTATCAGCTCAGGAACCTAGTTACAATTATTACATCTCCCCTATTTTTGCCAATGTAATCAAAGGAATACGAATTCAAATGTAAATAAACATAGTCCTCAATAATTTCAACTGGCAGTCTCTTGGTCAAAACATTGAACACAGTCATAAAAAAGTCTGCTTAATTAAAATTTCCCTATGTAACTTGGTCCTTCAGCAAACAGTCATCAAAAGTCAGCTTCAGCAAACGGGGCTGAGTTTTCTCCCATGCTGATCTTGGAGGCTCGCTGATCTGTTCTGGTACCCGAGCAGGTTGTGAGGGTGGTTCCAAACTTTGCTCGATCTCGGGTTCTGATGAAGGAATGTTTGCCGGTTCGGGCACACCAGTAAAAACTTGTTCCAATAGTGGCACTGCTAGTTGTGTTTCTTACGACGTCCACCTAATTCCATCGGCTATAGAAGTCCACAGTTACAAGGAGCCTCTCCCCTAACGGAAGTGGACCCATCAGGTCAAACGCAAGGTCTCTCCATCTTTTGCTTGGCAAGGTGGTTGCCGTCACTGGAGGCGTGGTGGAAACAGGGGTCACAGCTAGGCATCCCTGGCACTGCTTGCCGCGCCTCTCCACCATGCTGTTCTTGCTGGGCCACCACACTTTGCTTCGGAGACCATCCTTCGCTGTCACGATCCTTTGGTGACCCTCGTGAGCGAATTCTAGCATCTGCTTACGCAAGTTTGCAGAAAAATACTGCATACCTCTCATCACCAATCTTCCAATCATAATTATTTCATCACGCAACAGTCTGTACGGACTAGGAGCAGTAGACCAGTCTCCTGTCTTCCAACAGCGACACACCTCATGACGTAAAGTGTGCTTGTAGGGCATCAAACGGAGAATCCATCATTCAAACCTAGCTGATGGTGTAGCTCTAAAAATAAGTTCCAATGACTCTAACCCTGATAAGTAGAGTTGAAATATTTCGCAGGCCCGGACGACTGCTATGGCTTCTTTTGCTGAGCGGCCATACCGCCCCTCGTTATCACTTAAACTTCGGCTTGCAAAATCAACTACTCTCTTCACCTCTTGCCTTTCTTGTACCAGCACAGAACCAAGCCCGACCGGGATGGCAACAGTAACAACCTCAGTGTGCGCTTCCCTGTCGTAGAAAGCCATCATTGATGATTCAGCTAATTGGTTCTTCAGAGCCTCAAATGCTTTATTTTTCTCTTTGCCCCAATGCCACTCAGTACCTTAGCGGGTTAACTTCCTGACTGGTTCCACAGCTGTTGCGATATCTGGTAGGAGCCGTGAACTTAAACTGACAAGATCTACACCATGCTTGTTTAGAAGCAACCCCGTTAAGAAGACAATAACCGAACTAGCGTTGCGCGCGAGCTCAGAGATATTTTCAATCTGTAAGCTTGTAAGCAAAGTGACGCGTACAATTATCGCGTGTGCGAGATTTTTTGTTTGAGAACCGTATTTTTGAGGACTTTTTACGAAGTTTTTTTATTTGCCGTGTTACCGTGTTGATGTTGTTTTGGCCGATTAAACGTGGATTTGTTTTCCGAGGGGTTTTCCGTAACTGCTTAAGGACAAACCGCCATGAATACAAATCATTCCGATTTTGCACTTACCTTTGTTGAGGGTACGATTTCTCTCTTAAAGTCGGTTTAACAGCGTTTCAAGGTTTCTGTCGTGATCTGCAGTTGTCTTTCCTTGTTCTAAAATGTCATCAGCAATATTATTGGCTCCTCGGCATCCTGAGATTGTCTGCTTGACAATTTTCTTGGTATTTTTCTAGAGCGCTATTAATACCAAAGCTCAGCCTCTTGTAACAATGCAGGGAGTCACCAGCTGAAAGGTTGTGATTTCCCTGTTCCAGCGCAATCTGGCGGAAGCCAATGTTTACGTCAAGTTCGAAGAAGACTGCGATCCCATTCAATTCTTCCAGTTCCTCTGGCTGCAGCTCTGTTTTAAGGCCCTTCCTTACAAGGTTGTTAGGTTGTCTCTCACCAAGCACAGTCGACTGAGTGCCCGAATCAACAAGCTTGCTTGTCGTTGTGTCATCGATCTTGATCATTACCACGTTACCTTCACAAGCTCTATCTTCACTGAAGTTTCAGTTAGGAAATGTATAAGGCTCGTCTCCGCTGTCACATTCTACTTGATTAGCTTGCTTATCGCCGGATCACCTCTGTCTACCTCCACTTGCTTTACCACCCTTTTTACTCTGACCTTCACTTTCACAACAAGCTGCCGGTGCCCTTTCGCGCCACACTTTGCACAAGTCTTACCACGAGTTGGATATACCTTATTACAAGCAAAATGTCCCGCCTTGCCTCCCGCGCAACACTTGTGAGGACAAAATCCATTTGACGTCTCGTTTTCTCGATCCTTGACCATGTTCAAGTTAATCTGTACACAATCGTTGCTCTTTTCCCCCTCTCAACCTGCAATTTTTCTTGCATGAGGCCCTGCCGTCTCCCATGCCCTTCCCTTTTCTATCGCTGCAGCAAGCTGTATATTTGGCTCCTCGAACAGCTTGGTCCGTAATTCCAGGGAAGATATTTTCTCCAACGACAGATCTCTCACGGCGAATTCACGTTCCCCAGGCCCATAGCCATAGTGCCTTGTTTGTTTAGTCGAAGCACAAACGATCAACTTCTTCTCCGGGTTCTTGGCGTAGCTGGCGTAGAACACGCCTTTCATATGCAGAATTTCCATGGAGCATGGACATGAAAATACGCGTTCGAACGGCTGCTCGATAAACATGATCTTCTTGGCCCTCAGGAGCAGGAACGATTCCCAGATTCCTAATGATGTCTTGTACTCCACAACCACCCCGATAACGTTATTGGTTTTTTTTTCTCGCGGCATTTTAGAGATTTGCTTTGTCTTCGGCATGATAAGTGAATCCTCGCAGCCAAACACGCAATCGCTCACTGAATTCCCGATTTTGAGCCCATAATATCCATCGGCCGGGAGTTGATTTCCACTACAGAGATGATTTCCAATCTTTGTTGCCAATGTAATGTTTGCACTACAAACAAGTCCTCGATACAAGTCGATACAAGTCGATTATCGACAGAAAACAAGAACACGTTTCAGTCCGCCATCTTTATTTTTCGCTCGCCTACAATACTGAGGGTTGCGCTTGCACAGGCAACCCAGTTATAATCACTACAAATACCCCCCACCGATGCAGCGCCTCTTTAGAAACTTGCCCCTTTTATGTGTCACTTGGTATGTTTCGCAACTCTTCCCCTAGGGGACTCCGGTAAAATGTAAAACAGAGGCCATTCATACATACATACATTTCATTACTCGGATTTGTATTTACAATTTTTCATGCGCCCACAGTTAGCTTGAGTGCTATTCTAGGTGGGTCGCATGTTAGACGTAAAAACTATTACATAGGCGTTCACAAATAACTTGTATATATAATCTAACAACTTTTTTGATAGGAAAAATTAACCGTGACAGAATAAGTAACTTTAGTAATATCATAAAGGACTAACTAAGGGTATAACATGTTGACTTACAATCTAATGATTTTGTTAATAGGACAAATTTATTGTGACAATATTTTGGGTGTTAGAAATCGGTTTTTTTCTTCAGATTAATAAAACACGAAGAATTACTTAGCACTTTGTTTCTGTCGTACATTTATTGAATCCTTTGTAGAGGTCTATCAAAAAATACTCTCTGAGGCCTTTTTTTGGCCAGTCTCGAGACTTTTGTATTATTTTTATGAATAATAATATACAAACGTTTTATAACCTAATTTAGAAGCCCCTTCTTACGCAAAGGTCTTATCTTTTAGATCGAAAGGTATTTGTAAACCTACAGCATCTCTTTATTCATAAGATTATTCATCACTCATGTAATGTATGTCTAATGTAATTCTGTTCTGAGATGTTGTTAAGTGGCTGGCATGGTTTCTGAACCTTTCTCGTGACATGCATTTATAATATTTCATAACATGCTCTCGTAAGATGCTCTCGTAACATACTCTCAGGCAAGAACCTTTGTGTTATACAAAACTTTTACTTTATTCTCTCTTTAAAGGTGCCACTGATGATAACGACCCATTTATTGAAAAATTAAAATATTAACTTTCTTTTATTTTTTCACACGCATCTTGGCAGAATTCAATATCTCTCTTATTTACGAGCGTTGATAATCTTCGCTGTATCTCAGAATTCTCGGCAGATTGTTCGAACATTTCTAATGTTATACAACTATCATCAAATGAAAATTAAAAAGTGCCTCGCCCAGGCCATGCTTCCCAATATTGTGCTGCAATCTTTGTTCTTTTTTCTGATAGCCTTTCCCTCGGCTAAAGAAAAAAGCCGATACATCTAGAGACTCTTAAACTGTCTTTTCAGAAAAGATCATTGAGCTTGTTTTAGAAGACTTGTTAGGGTACTATAGAAGGTGTACTGGGGTTTTACTCTAAGCCAGGGGGATTTTGTAGCGATTGTCACTGAATGCCAAAGTAGTAGTGCTATAGGCGAAATATTAAAGCAACAGGTGAGCGGCACATTAACTATACCTGTGTGAATGGGATACCTTCCAGTCATAAGTGCTCCTCTGGCTGGTGTACAAAGCGGTTGAACATAATAATTGTCGAGTATAACCCCTTCTTTGGCCAACGAGTCAATGATTGGAGTGTTGATTTTTGATCCATGAAATCCAACGTCGCTCCACCCGAGATCATCAACAAGCATAAACAAAATGTGCGGAGGAGATGATTTTCGCGTTTTTGCCTCCAGTGGACTCACTGCCACGAAAAAAGCGAACGCAAACGCAACAAGACTTCTCAGGAGAGACATGTTACCGGGATTGAAATGACATTAATTTTCCAGCGAACTTCGAGCTGTAATCAGGGAAACTAAAGCCGGCTGAAGGTAGATAGATAGATTGATAGATAGATGGTTTATTTAAATCACATCGCAGCCCGAAGGCTGAATTAAATAACTTTTACAACTTTTAAAAGGACAATAATAATCTATGATAAATCTATGTTAAATATAATGGTAAAAATGTTTAAATTTGTAAAACTTTTTCATCCTTGAACTAAAATTTAAGAAATAATCTATGTATTATGAGAAGATGCGTTGAATAGCCGGGACATTGCGAGTATGAAAGTGTTATTTGCCCTATTGGTGTGAGCGCGCGGTAAAACAAAGGGAAGATTGTATCGAAAATTATAAAAAACATTATTTTTCTGTGGCAGTAATCCATGTAGCTTATGGTTGGGGTCGGCTACTATGGCGTCAAACAGTTTAGTGCATAGCTGACTATGGTGTTCGGTTATTGGCGTTATTCCCAAAACTTCGCAGGCTTTGTTGTAGCTCATGCTGGGCAAAATTATCGATAGTGCCCTTTTCTCGATATGTACGAGCTCGTTCTTAAGGTACTGCAGAAGCGCGTTGTGAAAAACCGGAACTCCTTTGTCTATCGTAGATCGAACACACGAAAGATAGAAAAGAACTAGGTCTGAAGGAGGTATGTTGAAGTCCTAAATGTAATGACTGTCCTAAATGTAATAAAGTCCTAAATGTGATAACATTTGGTCCTAAATGTAATAACGTTTGGTCCTAAATGTAATAAGCCTCCAATGCAATCGTATAACTGCGGTAGTGCACTGTTGTTATAGCAGACATCCACATTGAGATGTTAAAGTATTTCGTTCATTAAGATGTTTAAGTATTTCGTATTTCGTAAAGCATAAAATATTTCGAATGGTGTTTTGTGAGCTATTACTTCCTTAGGGTCGTCATTTAGAATTCTTTGATAAAGAGGGAGCTGTTTCGCCCAGTTTACATTGTCTTGACCCATTTTTTGAAGGTCATATTCCATCTTGGATCTTAGTGTCCTGTGGCAACGTTCCACCTTGCCTTGTGATTGTGGATGGCGCGGGCGACTGTAAATCAATTTTATATTCATGCGATCGCAAAGTAATTTCAAAGCTTTCTTGAACTCCCCTCCTTGGTCGCACTGTATTATTTCTGGCGATCCATGCTCCATATAAATAGATTCTAATTCACTTGCAATAAACTGGCTTGATTTGCTTTCCAAAGGACGAAGCCAAAGGAAACGGCTGAAAACATCAATCACTGTTACAACGTATCTGTACAAATGTCCATTCATCTTCACGGATCCTTTTTTGCTCATATCCATCAAATCTATTTGGTGCCTAACATGAACGTCTCTGGCTCTGATAGGTTTCAGCCTCACCTTATTAAGAAACTCAGCATTTCGGCGATAATGACTTTTGTCCGTATTTAGAATAGTTTGTATTTTAGCTCGACTTACTCCTAAAAAGTTGTCCCTCAGTGAGCAAGCCAACTTCCCCGCACCAGATCCTTTCGTCCTCAACCACTACCTTGTTAACCTCTGATGATTTTAATAGTCGACGCCCCTCGTAATAAAGTGCCTTATCACCATAGTCTTCTTTCACTGATATCCTTCCGCCGGCTCTGCAGTATCGCACAGCAGCTGCACGCATTGCTCTCCTCCGTTCTTTCACTGATGGTTGCGCCTTGCCTTCAACAAGGTCGAGCAGTGCTTCATGAACGTCGTCTGCTGAATCAGAGGGTTTCCGATTCCCTTCGAAGTTTTCACGATCTTTATGGGCCACAGACCTATCCCACAATGATGCTAGTAATGCTAAAACCACAACAGCTAAAACAATAAATCTCATGTTGAATCAATGCAAGTACTAGCGCTCCACATTCGATCTAGATCTCAAAGAAAACTGCCAGAATATTTCCCAGGCTCGTGAAATGTTTATCACTCGGATCCGCACTCAAGAATTTTTCCACACTCAGTTCCGCCAATCAATTCAACGTTCCTGGGCAAATCTTTGTGTTACTGCCAGTTATTTTGAAACTGGAAAGTTAAGTGCTTTACGTGCATATCATGTTATTCTCATAGCGCTGATTCAGTAGAAGAAAAGTCCGTTTTAGAGTCAGGTCATGCTGTTTGCTGTTTCATGCTGTCATGTAATGTCTGATCGTTAAGGACATCAGTGCGTCGAGCAAACCTTGTTTCCTTTTTCTTTCTTTCTTTTTTTTTTTTTAATTCTTTAAATCAATTAGTATACTGCTAAAAAACGGCTCACACAATTAGTTGTACTCACATCTCAGAGAAAGCAAGGGAACAAATTTTTGCGTGAGTTTTTGGGGACCGGGACATAATTTACAGCCTTCAACGTAAACATCCATTTTTAATGTTCATTATAAATCACTCGTGTGACTGTTTCCTGCCTTATATAAAACGTAATCGAGCAACAAGTATGCGCTAAAAACACCTGTTGCTTATTTCGAATTACAGTACTACCTCTTCCATAGGAATCTTTTTCCGTGCTTTTTAATTTTGGAGCTCAAAAAATTTGCGTCAGTGAGCTCGTTGATGACATGCACCGGATTTTTGTTAAGTGTCTGTTTTGTGATTGGTAATCTGAGCCGGTGATTTGTGATGATGTACGGGTCAGTAGCTTCTTTGCATTTACACTTGGTAAATGTAAGTCACTGACTATATGATTCGATGGAGACACATGCAATACCTTATTCGTTTGTCGGATTTGTTGCAGGCATTTCAAGATCAAGAGAACATAATTGTCCCACTTGTGTTCTCTCGAGGAGAAAAATTATTTTGTCCATATTCATATACTCAGGGAGATATTCGAGAATTTGAAAGTAACAACCCTCTAGAGTGCTGTCACGAGATCCGAATTGGTAAACAAAATGTGCATGCTAACAAGGTCTATGCAGGCATGGAAAGACAAAAAATTTGTATCCGAGCCTGCAAATTGTCCGACCTACAAGTCAGCGGACTCCCTTGTCCAAGTTTGTAATTTGGTTTATGACTTGTTAAGTCCATCACCGATCACACAAGTATAATGTTATCCAATTTTTCCAAAATTTATCGTACCTAAGAGTCTCAGCCAGTGACATATGGAGAGGTTTTGGTCAGCGTACTCATTGTTTTGTCAGCTGTCATTTGATGCCATTTTTTATCAGTATAACGGTTTGCGGCCAATGCTTCTCGACTTATGTCTAGCAAGTAAAAAGACGCTGATCGACATCAGCGAGCCCGTAATGTGACATGTATACCGGTCAGCGGTTTTTTGGGTGCAACAGCTGTCACTTCAACATCTCCATATGGATGTCCGCCGTAACAACAATGCACTGAAGGAGTTAAACGATTGCATTGGAGGCTTGTTACATTTGGGACCAAATGTTATTACATTTAGGACTTTATTACATTTAGGACAGTTATTACATTTAGGCCTTCAACAAGCGTACTCATTGTTTTGTCTGCTGTCATTTGATGCCATTTTTTATCAGTATAACGGTTTGCGGCCAATGCTTCTCGACTTATGTCTAGCAAGTAAAAAGACGCCGATCGACATCAGCGAGCCCGTAATGTGACATGTATACCGGTCAGCAGTTTTTTTGGTGCAACAGCTGTCACTTCAACATCTCCATATGGATGTCCGCCGTAACAACAATGCACTGAAGGAGTTAAACGATTGCATTGGAGGCTTATTACATTTGGGACCAAATGTTATTACATTTAGGACTTTATTACATTTAGGACAGTTATTACATTTAGGCCTTCAACAGAGGTAGTCGGGCCCGTTTCAGCTGTACAAGAAAGTATAGTTTTTTGTTGGTTTTCTTTACCAACTCGTTAATGTGGGCGTTCCAAGTTAAGTTGTCACTTATAGTTATACCTAGTAACTTGGCACTGTTTACCACTTCAATTTCCTTATCATCGATGGACACCGAATCGAAGGCCTCAGGGTTCCGTGAAAACGAGATTCTCAACTCTTTGCATTTATCTGGATTTAGCACTACCCTGTTCTTACGGGACCATTCGATTAATTCGTCGATTATACCCTGGGCGTTACTGGTATTTCCCTTTTGAATTACCTCAGAGGCGGTTGTGTCGTCGACAAATATCCACATTAGTAGTGATTTGATATCTAAATCGTTGATCATCAAGACAAATAACCACGGGCCCAGTTTGGTGCCCTGTGGTACCCCAGAGGGAACTGGACCCCACTCGGAAAAGCAGCCCTCGGCTAACTTAATGCGTTGGAATCTATCGGAAAGGAAATCTATGATCCAATTTACAACACTGCGGGGTATGTCTAGTTTACATAGCTTATCAATTAAAATACTGTGGTCTATAAAATCGAATGCCTTACGATAGTCAAATAACAATGTTCTCACTGTCGCCCCGTTTCCTTCCGTCCCAAGGGACCACGCATGGAGCATGCTTATCAGGGCCATGGTGGTTGATGACTTTGAGATCGCCCCGTACTGGTTTCCACGAATCACGTCCAGAACAGCTGGTTTAACGACATCTTCCACCACGAATTCCTCTGCTACCTTAGAGACACAAGGTGTAAGTGAGATCGGCGTTAAGTCCTTTTCCAGGTCTAGCACGGGATTCTTCTTAGGGAGAGGGGGAAATCGGCCATCTTCCAGATGGTGGGCAACCGCTGCTCACGGTATGATGCATTGAGGATTTGCGTGATGGGGAAGGCCAGGATGTCCGAATACTCCTTCAAAAGCCAATTCGGCACGTTATCTGGCCCGGACGCTTTGCTTTGATTGAGATTGACAAGGTGTTTGCCTTGTTGTGTCTCATTAATAAAATTTATTTCATTGATTTGATTCGGCTCGTCAGTTTTCTCGCATAAACTCTATTAATTATAAACGAGGTCTACTTTTATTATTGGTTGAAGTCGCTTTGGTCAAAAAGGAAATCCAACGTACTTGAACAGAACCCAAGAGAGCTCCATAAGTTTTTATCAGGTGTGCTGGTTTCCTAAAATAAATTATACGCTGTATGACCGGTTTATCATCTCATTTTGCACAATTTTAAGGCAGTCAAACAGTGATCTGCTCACGGGTAGTTTGTGTGCTGTGCTGCTCGTGAAAAAAAAAGACCGAGGTCGGACGCTGGAAGAAACTTAATTGGGCTTCTTTATCGTGTCTGTCCACCTCCGCGCTCATTTTTAAAGGATATTTTACTAAAACAGTTTCACTCTCCATCCAAGAGTGGATAATGAAGAAAGTAACAACTTCGTTACATTAATTCACAGTACAACAGCATCACACAAAGCCACTGAATAAATTAAAGCAAGAGAACGGAATAAATCAGACAAAAGCATTTATTGTGGTTTCCATGACATCTAAGTACAAATTCAATTCTAACTACCGCTAGTCAAAAAATCAGGTAAGCCCGAAATCATTCTTACTTGTCACTTTTGTCTTCCCCACCATTAGTACATTTACAGTCGATAATCTGGTTGTAAGACATGCCATTAACAAAGTGATGGCTTGTAAAACTGGGGACACCTTTCACACAGTGACTTGGAATAAAAAAAACTGCAAGGAAAAACAACGTTTGCATTTGATACTCTACAGATGTAAAACACCCATTTGAATCAGACAGTTTCCTCTCTCTTTACTATCGATGTGCTTGATGCGGCCAGCTCCGATCTACATCCACGGTCCCCAAATACCATTCTTACGAGCCTCTTTTAGTGCATTTGGGTCAGCAGGTTTGTAGGCGGCAGGAACTGTAGTGTTTAGGTAATAATTCATTCTATCTTTCATCTCCTTCAGAACATCAGGTAACTCAGTGCTGAGGTCGTGTCGCTCTTCGGGATCAGCTGTGATGTTATAAAGTACAACGTCCAAAAGGTCTGCATTTCCCTGTAAGATTCCAACATAAAGAACTGGACGTTTATAAAAACTTATAGAAGTTCTGGTATACGAAGTGATTTGCATAAACATTTTTGAGGGATAATTACATATTGCTGTCGTAACTCGGGTGGTGCTTTCGAGGTACTAGTTAAAATTCAACTATTATAGCACTGACCATGTAATAGATCCTCAACTGCTCCAGAATCTCTTCATTTGTCTCCTCTTTAAGAAACCCTTTAGACAAAAGAACATCAACTGGAACTCCGCCCAGCTCGGGTGGTTTAAACCAGGTGATATTTTTAACATTCATCAAAAGCTTCATGCTTCCCTTCCGAAGAGCCATTCCTTGCCAGTTGACTCCCAACATTTTACCTGTCCCAGATGGCGGATTATCGATATTAAGCAAGATTTCTGTTCGAGGTGAAGCTTCTCCGCGTGACAAAGTGCTCCACACATCAAAGCCATCAATGGGGATAGGATGTTTTGCATCGTACGAACCACCTGTGGTCAAACCAGAATGATAAGAACATTATTTATAAAGTTGTCACAAACAAACACATGAAAGACAAAGCAGTGGAGGAGAAAGGGAAGAAAAAATGAGGCAAGAACACTATTTACTAAATTAACTCTCAGGTATTACGACTAATTCTCAAAAAGAATAAAGTAAACAAATTTAACCAACATTATTCCGAATTAACAATTGGTTCATACGTCAGCGTGCGTTCATCGAGATATGAAGCACGCGGGAAGTTTGGAGAGCACGAAAGATGAGTAAGAGTTGCTCGAGGCTCTAGCTTCTTGAGCGCTTTCCAAACTTCCCGCGTGCTTCATATCTCGATGAAAGCACAGCTGACGTATGAATCAATTGTTTTATAACATTTTCAACCCGATGGAACATTTTATTTCTCGTGAGACTTGTTTGCTGACGTCATGAGCGTGCACAATAAGAATATGAAGCACGCTCGCGCAATTGAATTTGATTACACAAATTTACTAGCTATGTTATAAAGATATTTAATTAGGATATTAACTCCATTTCTCGCTACGTTTGTAACTTGATGGATAACTCTTGGCTTTCTACATTATGTTCCATACGAGATGTTGGGTCGAGAGTCTTAGAGTAACTATTCTTAAACAATCTTCAAATCTAAATGGAAAAGACACACCTTCAAGTGAGGGATAATCAAAGAAGTTGAAATGAAGTCATAGATAACCAAACCTGCAAGGTTGATGAGAGTAGGAAAGAAGTCGCTGATGTGTAGAAGTCCTTCGCATTTCACGCCGGTCTTTTCTAACATTTTTCCGTGGACAAAAGCAGCACCTCTCACTCCTCCCCCCCATAAAGTATGTTTTGTTCCTCTAAGAGGCCAGTTGTATCCGCCATATATAGGTTCTCCACCATTATCAGTGGTGAAGACTGTTAAAGTGTTCTCCCATAGCCTGGACGAGAACAATGAAGATCACAAACGCTTGTATTTATCCTTCAAATCAACAGAGTTATCACGGCTGCCGTAAACCCTGGGCATACAAACTCAAAGAGTTCCTTTGGGGGATTAACTTCATGCAATAAGAGTCTTTCCCAGTAACGTGAGATGACACGAATCCAGGATAATGGCCGCTTAAACTCACAAGAGAATCAAAGTATGAAACCTTCAAGGAAATTGATACGAAACTCACCCTTTCTTTTTAAACATTTTAGTGATGTTGTCAACAGCTTCGTCCAGTACAGCGACCATTCCAGCATGCACTCGGCGCATCTTTTGATGAATAAACGAGAATTTGTCCACATACTGGTCTGGTGCCTGGATGGGATTATGAACATTCTGGAAGGCCATGTACAGGAACAGGGGCTGTTTTGGGTCATGTTGATCCAAAATCTCTTCTATCCTCTGATGAAATAGTGAAATAAAAACAGCTGTTAAGGTACTCAGGCCATTGCCACTTAAAGACATAACAATAATATCTTTTGATAAAAGCTGAAGTCAAATATATATTCAAGATGCGGTTAGGTGAGAGGGAGTTGGAGAAGTGCTGGTATCACAAAAAGCGTATAACTTTATTTGGGCATTAGCAAATTTCGTGGCAAGTCTGACACACTATGCTGGGAGGTTACCGGCGATGGATTCGTACCTCGTCTGACAGGAGAGTCAAACTCATAGTTGATTTATGTCACAGGAGTCGTGAGAGGATCTGGCATTATGTCCTCCATGACGACGGATCTCTGAATTGAGTGACCGCAATTTACTACCCAAGTCTCACAAATGTTGCGCTATAAACCCTTACTACGTAGAAAGTATCAACCATTAGACCTTAACATATTCGAATGCTGCGTATTTTCCGTTCAGGTCTAACACAGGTTCGGTTCCATTACGAAAATCAACTACTTTGTAACTTGTGTGATTATAATGATCTTCAGCACCACCCCAGAATCCATAAGCGGAGTCAAAACCACGGTTGGTTGGAACATAGGGCCATCTATAGAAACCAAGATGCCACTTGCCAACCAAATGAGTCGCGTAACCTGACAGAAAAAAAAATAAATGAAATACGCCCCATTTGTAAATTGAGGTTATCTATTGAAGTATTTTGAAGATTTATTCGCGCAGAATGATGTATAAACAAAACGCCATAATCATAGACACGTTTATTGACAGAAAGCAGCGAGAAATTGGTGTTGGGTAAGGCGCCCTTTAAGTTGATCCGCCTCAATGCATTGGTGTGAAGGGCTTCTTTCTTATAAAAAGTTACACTTCGAAACGAGTCTCAGTTTGAATTAACAAATCCTTCATTTTTATTTAATAAAGGGCCAGAATCATGGAAGGCTGTGGCTTACCAACTTTCTTTAGCTGTCCTGGTAAGGTCTGAAAATCTAATGGTAATCCAAATGGATTTGAGGGGCGAATCACATCATGCTGAAGTCCTGAAAGAGTTGGATAAAATCGTAGATTACCTTATAACATATAAATTAATCATGGCACGCACTCAATCTTAATTATCAGTTAAAAAAAGACCACCATCGGTTTCGCTCGAAAATAATTTCTTTCTGCAGCCGGCTCTCTCACAGGTCTCTCCTGTAGTTGTAAATGCTAACGCTCGTAACGTCAGCTCTAGAAACTCTTTACGGCGGCCAATTTACATTATCAGCTCAGTTGATGAAACGAACTTATCTTAAAATACTGTAATGTCTGTAGTACAAACAAGTCCTCGATGCAGGCAGATTATCCACGGAGACACAACAACACGTTTCAGACCGCAATCTTTATTGCTCGCTCGCCCAGAACGCCTTAGGGTTGCAAGGAGCCTCTCCCCCGACCGGAAGTAGGACCATCAGGTCAAACGCAAGGTCTCTCCATCGTTTGCTTGGCAAGGTGGTTGCCCTTACTGGAGGCGTGGTGGAAACAGGGGTCACAGATTGGCATCCTGGGCATTGCTTGCAGTGCCTCTCCACCATGCTGTTCATGTTGGGCCACCATACTTTGCTTCGGAGACCATCCTTCATTGTCACGATCCCTTGGTGACCCTCGTGAGCTAAATTAAGCATCTATTCATGCAAATTTGCGGAAACAAAAATCTGCATACTTTTCATCACTAATCTTCCAATCATAATACTTTCATCACGCAACAGTCTGTGCAAATTAGGAGTAGTACACCAGTCTCCTGTCTTCCAACATCGACGCACTTCTGTCGTTCCTTATCCTCAGCAGAAGCTCTCTCTATTGGACGGGTAGTCATCGAGCCAGGTGTTATATCGACTGTTATCATTCCAATATATTCTTTGGTTGAACCATCACAAGGTGAGGGTGGTACCTTCGTCACACGACTTAGAGAATCGGCTACATTCTGGCCTGAAGATGATTATGTACAGAGTAAAATGCCGTCTTACGGCACTTTAGAGATTTGCTTTGCCTTCGGCATGATAAATGAGTCCTCGCAGCCAAACACGCCATCGCTCACTCAATTCCGATTTTGAGCCCGTAATATCCATCGGCTGAATACCAACAAAGAGATGACTTCCACTTATGAGATGATTTCTACAATCTTCGTTGGCAATTAAATGTTTCTACTACATATAAGTCCTCGATACAAGTGGAAAATCCTCAGAGAAACAAGAACACGTTTCAGTCCGCCATCTTTATTTCTCGTTCGCCTATAATGCCTAGGGTTGCGCTTGCGCAGGCAACCCAGTTACAATCACTATAAATACCCCCCACCGATGCAGCACTACAGCCTCTTTAGAAACTTGCCCCTTTTACGAGTTCCTTGGTATGTTTCGTAACCCTTCCCCTAGGGGACTCCGGTAAAATGTAAAACAGAGGCCATTCATACATACATACATTTCATTACTCGGATTTGTATTTACAATTTTTCATGCGCCCATAGTTAGCTTGAGTGCTATTCTAGGTGGGTCGCATGTTAGACGTAAAAATTATTACATAGTCGTTCACAAATAACTTGTATATAATCTTACAATTTTGTTAATAGGAAAAATTTACCGTGAAAGAATAAGTAACTTTATAATATCATAAAAGACTAACATGTCAACATAAACATTAATAATTACTTATAATCTAATAATTTTGTTAATAAGACAGAATTATGGTGAAATGTTTTGGGTGTTAGAAATCTGGTTTTTTTTTTCTTCAAATTAAAAAAAACACGAAGATTTACAGACATGCAGTTATAATATTTCAGAACATGCTCTCGTAACATGTTCTCAGGCACTTTGTGTTATACAAACCCTATACTTTATTTTTTTTTCTAAGGTGCCACTGAATATAACGACCTATGTATTGACAAATTAAAACAATAACTTTCTTTTACTTTTTTCACACACATCTTTTCAGAATTAAATCTCTCTCTTATTTACGAGCGTTGATAATCTTCGCTGTACCCAGAATTCTCGGCAGATTGTTCGAACATTTCTAATGTTATACGACTATCATCAAATGAAAATTAAAAAGTGCCTCACCCAGGCCATGCTTCCTAATATTGTGCTGCAATCTTTGTTCTTTTTTCTGATAGCCTTTCCCTCGCCTAAAGTAAAAAGCCGATACATCTAGCGACTCTTAAACTGTCTTTTCAGAGAAGATAATGGACCTTGTTTTAGAAGACTTGGTAGGGTACTATAGAAGGTGTATCGGGGTTTTACTCTAAGTCAGTGGGATTTTGTAGCTATTGCCACTGAATGCCAAAGTAGTAGTGCTATAGGCGAAATATTAAAGCAACAGGTGAGCGGCACATTAACTATACCTGTGTGAATGGGATACCTTCCAGTCATAAGTGCTCCTCTGGCTGGTGTACAAAGCGGTTGAAGATAATAATTGTCGAGTATAACCCCTTCTCTGGCCAACGAGTCAATGGTTGGAGTGTTGATTTTTGATCCATGAAATCCAACGTCGCTCCACCCGAGATCATCAGCAAGCATAAACAAAATGTGCGGAGGAGATGATTTTCGCGTTTTTGCCTCCAGTGGACTCACTGCCACGAAAAAAGCGAACGCAAACGCAACAAGACTTCTCAGGAGAGACATGTTACCGGGATTGAAATGACATTAATTTTCCAGCGAGCTTCGAGCTGTAACCAAGGAAACTAAAGCCGGCGGAAGGTATTGGAAAAGTTTAATCATGGATTTTAAGAGGAGTCTTGTAACTGCACTGGAGGAGAAGATCCTAGAGACAGGTTGATTCGTTGGCCCAATCTTAGATACCTAAAAATAAAACTCTTACTTGACAAGTAATTGACCACCAAAGGTCACCTAACAATCTTAGCCATGATGATGATCAAAGAACCGATGTACAAGCATACAAAAAAAGGCACTTCTGTCCTTTTTAAAATACTACGATGAACGAACCTCGAACGAACAGAGAGAAGCTATCTATTAAAAACTGAGTTAATCAACAAGTTTATATATGTTCCCAAAAACTGCACGTAAAAATCATTAACTGTGCTATACTAATTAACGATAAAAATCTATTTTAGTTTTATGTGCTTATCAATGAGTGAATACAATAGAATAGTTTTTAACCATTTATTGTTCCTTACAAACTCAACCGGCCGAGTCAAAGAACAAACACAATAATAAAAGTACTAAATTGAAAACTCGAAAGATCAAAGCCTACAAAATAACACTAAAGATATGTGCAGAAAAGTTAATGATCTAAAACACTCGAATGTTTCTCGGAGATTGTATTCTGGGATGGTTATGAGTCGCCTGGGAACTATAGACTTCCATAAAGAATTTGAATGAAACTTCACTACAAACGCTTACATTAATGTAAGAAAACGATTAACAAGATAAAGTGATTTTATAAACTGAATAGATAACGTGAATTGGCCACTGTAAAGAGTTTCAAAGCTGAAGTTTCTAGCTTTAGCCCTTCGTCAGAGCGAATGGAGGAATTGTGGGTTGTGCGTGTTTAAAGGCAGAAAATAGAGGAGGATTGTTTTGGTGATTGCCTTGTTGTGTCTCATTAACAAAATTTATTTCATTGATTTGATCGGGCTCTTTAGTTTTCTCGCATAAACTCTACTAATTATAAACGAGTTCTTGTTTTATTTTTGGTTTAAGTCGCTTTGGTCAAAAAGGAAATCCAACGTACTTTAACAGAACCCGAGAGAGCTCCATCAGTTCTTATTAGGTGTGCAGGTTTCCTAAAATAAATTATACGCTGTATGACCGGTTTATCATCTCATTTGGTACAATTTTAAGGCAGTCGAACAGTGATTTTGTCACGGGTAGTTTAGATCTGTCAGAGCTGCTCGTGAAAAAAAAACAGAGGACAGACGCTGGAAGAAACTCAATTGGACTTTTTTATCGCGTCTGTCCACCTCCGCGCTCGTTTTTAACGCGTGAATTGCGCGCATGCGCAAGAGCGAGTTATAGATACGATGTGGGGAATGGCATTCGCTCGATTGGTCGATTCCTGTAAACTTTTTTTAGATTTTAGGCTTTTGAGTGCATTTGATAGTTTTTGGCGAGCAGTAAACAGACGAAATGGCGACCTTTGTTGCTAAGAATAATGGTGGGGTGAAAAAGAAGCCAATGATAATCTTAAAAGAGTTTTTTTTTTTTCGTTTTAGTTTCAACAAGCGGCGCCAGCGACTGGCAGGCATGCAAGGATTCACATTGAAATAACAGAACAACCTTCGTTTTTCATAAAATTGTAAACTACAATCCTTGAACTTAAAAACAATCCGAAGATTCATTGAAAATATCACTTACTGCGAAACGCTCGGAGTTTACGGATGTTCAAAAGCTTTTTCTGTTATGGCGTGAGATTGAGGACAAAATGATCATTACGTTTCGTCGCGTGTGTTTTTCCTGTGTGAAGCAATAGAAGATGCCGGCGACTGACGAAATAACAAGTTAACACGAAAATCAAATAACACCTAAACAAACAATTTTAGCTACCGATTTTCAGTGAATTTTTAAAGAACAATTTTCTTTTAAGTTTCAAGACAATTTGAAGATTCAACATACATACAACGTACTAAAATGCGAAAGTTACACACCAAAAAAATTGATAAATATGCCTGAAATGAAATGCTATCTTGTTATTGATTACACGTTGCCTAGCACGTGACTCAAATCTACTCAGGCGGAGATCCAAAATGACGGTGGCAGGCTTGGCTTAGTTATATCACTCAAAACTCGTTCCCGTTTGTCTCATTTGATAAGGAGGGAATCGTTAATGTTTTCATTAAGACAGTATTGCCTTGATTTTCTAATATTTACAACGACAGACAGTAAATTTCACTTTTCACCCACATTTACTTCCAACCTTTCTTTTGAACCAGAAACAAAAATGGTAGACGTTTTAAACACATGACATCATCCACCTTGTCAAATGTAATAGCATGATCATTTCAATTGTAATGCCTTCTTATCCCCAACGTTAATTTGTTTCTTTGCTACATTAGCGAACACTGAATTACTGCTCGTACTCTAGATATGACAATCAACCACAAAATTCCCTAAACCAGATAACATTAAACATAATCTAAAAAATCATGTGTCAATTCACGAGTTTGCTCACAGAGCACTTTGATTAAAGGATATTTTACTAAAACAGTTTCGCTCTACAGCTAAGAGTGGATAATGACGAAAGTAACAACTCTGTCACATTAACTCACAATACAACAGCATCACACAAAGCCACTGAATAAATTAATGCAAGAGAACGGAATAAATCAGACAAAGGCATTTATTGTGGTTTCCATTACATCAAAGTACAAATTTGATTGTAACTACCGCTAGTCAAAAAATCAGGTGACTCCGAAATCATTCTTACTTGCCACTTTTGTCTTCCCCAGCATTATTACATTTACAGTCGATAATCTTGTTTTAAGACATGCTATTAAAAATCAGAGGCTAAAACTCACTCACTTGTGCTATTAACGATGTAATGGCTTGTAAAACTAGGGATACCATTCACAAAGTGACTTGGAATTAATAAAACTGTAACGAAAAACAACGTTTGCCTTTGATACTCTACAAATGTAAAATACCTATTTGAATAAAACAGTTTTCTCTCTCTTTACTCTCGACGTGCTTGATGCGACCAGCTCCGATCTACATCCACGGTCCCCAAATGCCATGCTTACGAGCCTCTTTTAGTGCATTTGGGTCAGCAGGTTTGAAGGCGGCAGGAACTGCAGTGTTTAGGTAATAATTCATTCTATCTTTCATCTCCTTCAGAACATCAGGTAACTCGGTGCTGAGGTCGTGTCGCTCTTCGGGATCAGCTGTGATGTTATAAAGTACAACGTCCAAAAGGTCCGCATTTCCCTGTAAGATTCCAACATAAAGAACTGGACATATATAAACTTTTAATAATGATTCGATGTAGAAGTTCTGGTATACGGAGTGATTTGCATAAATATATTTGAGGGTTGATTACGTATTGCTATTGTAATTCAGGTAGTGATTTCGAGGTACTGGTGAGGGAAAAACGATTCAAATATTACAGCACTGACCATGTAATAGATCCTCAACTGCTCCAGAATCTCTTCATTTGTCTCCTCTTTAAGAAACCCTTTAGACAAAAGAACATCAACTGGAACTCCGCCCAGCTCGGGTGGTTTAAACCAGGTGATATTTTTAACATTCATCAAAAGCTTCATGCTTCCCTTCCGAAGAGCCATTCCTTGCCAGTTGACTCCCAACATTTTACTTGTCCCAGATGGCGGATTATCGATATTAAGCAAGATTTCTGTTCGAGGTGAAGCTTCTCCACGTGACAAAGTGCTCCACACATCAAAGCCATCAATGGGGATGGGATGTTTTGCATCGTACGAACCACCTGTGGTCAAACCAGAATGATAAGAATATTATTTATAAAGTTGTCACAAACAAACACATGAAAGACAAGGCAATAGAGGAGAAAGGGAAGAAGAAATGAGGCCACAACACTATTTACTAAATTAACTCTCAGGTATTACGACTAATTCTCTGAAAGAGTAAAGTAAACAAATCTAACAAACATTATGACGAAAGATGTTCAATTATGATATTCACTCCATTTCTCGCTACGTTTGTAACTTAATGGATAACTCTTGCCTTTCTGGATTATGTTCCATACGAGATGTTTGCTCGAGAGTCTTATTTCCACGGACTAACTCTTTACAAAGTTAGTTTTCTTAAAAATCTTCAAAACTAAATGGAAAAAGACACACCTTCAAGTGAGGGATAATCAGAGAAGTGGAAATGAAGTCATAGATAACCATACCTGCGAGGTTGATGAGAGTAGGAAAGAAGTCGCTGATGTGTAGAAGTCCTTCGCATTTCACGCCGGTCTTTTCTAACATTTTTCCGTGGACAAAAGCAGCACCTCTCACTCCTCCCTCCCATAAGGTATGTTTTGTTCCTCTAAGAGGCCAGTTATATCCGCCATACGTAGGTTCTCCACCATTATCAGTGCTGAAGACTGTTAAAGTGTTCTCCCATAGCCTGGACGAGAACAATGAAGATCACAAACGCTTGTATTCACCCTTCAAATCAACAGAGTTATCACGGCTGCCGTAAACTTTGCACATAGAAAACCCAAAGAGATCCTCGTGTAATAAGAGTCTTGCCCAGCACTGTGATAGCACGAATCTAGGATAATGGCCGCTCAAGCTCACAATAGAATCAAAATATGAAACCTTCAAGGAAACTGATACGAAACTCACCCTTTCTTTTTAAACATTTTCGTGATGTTGCCAACAGCTTCGTCCAGTACAGCGACCATTCCAGCATGCACTCGGCGCATCTTTTGATGAATAAACGAGAATTTGTCCACATACTGGTCTGGTGCCTGGATGGGATTATGAACATTCTGGAAGGCCATGTAGAGGAACAGGGGCTGTTTTGGGTCATGTTGATCCAAAATCTCCTCTATCCTCTGATGGAATCATAAAATAAAAACAACCGTGAAATACTCATTACGGACATAACACAGTTCATCGTAGCCCTAGTATTGCAATATCTTTTGAGAAAAGTATAAGATAAAATATGCATTCAGGATGTAGGTAGGAGAGAAGGAGTTTCTTTGTAGAAGTGCTAGCGTCACGAAAAGCGTATAACTTTAATTAGGCCGTAGCAAACTTTGTGGGAAGTCTGAAACGCTATACTGGGAGGTTATCGTCGATGAATTCGAACCCCGTTTGATAGGAGAATCAAACTCATAGTTGATTTATGTCATAGGGGCCGTGAGAAGATATGGCATTATAGACTTCACCGTCCTCCACGACGGGTCTTTGCATCGACTAATCGTAATTTACCGCCTAAGTCTAACAAATGATGCGTTATAAACCATAATTACGTGGGAATATTAACTATTAGACCTTGACATATTCGAATGTTGCATATTTTCCGTTCAGGTCTAAAATAGGTTCGGTTCCGTTGCGAAAATCAACCACTTTGTCACGCGTGTGATCATAATGATCTTCAGCACCATCCCAGAATCCATAAGCGGAGTCAAATCCACGGTTGGTTGGAACATAAGGCCATTTGTAGAAACCAAGATGCCACTTGCCAACCAAATGAGTCGCGTAACCTGATAGAAAAAATTTAAGAAATACAACCCATTTGTAAATTGAATTACTGAAGTATTTTGAAGATTTATTTGCGCAGAATGAGGTATAAACAAAACGCCATAATCATAGAGAAGAGCATAGACAGAAAGCAACGCGAAATGGGTGTCGGGCAAGGCGCCCATTTAAGTTGATCAGCTTTTACGGTTTGGTGTGAAGGGCTTCTTTCTTACAAAAAATTGTTGTTTAGAATAAATATCATTGGAATTAAAAAATCTTTTCTTCTTTTAATTGAAGGGCCGGAATCTTGGAAGGCTGTGGCTTACCAACTTTCTTTAGCTGTTCTGGAAGGGTCTGAAAATCTAATGGCAATCCAAATGGATTTGTGGGGTGAACCACTTCATGCTGAAGTCCTGCAAGAGTCGGATAAAAAAAGTAAATGATCTGATAACATATAAGCTAATCATGATGCACACTCCCCGTTTACTTATGATTTGGCGGGTAAATAGACCAACTACTGGCTCAGTGCTAAAGTGATTTCTATCTGCAGCCGGCTCTCACACTGGTCTCCTTTGCACTGTTGTTTTGCACGGACGAATTAAGGGCTGACGCTAAAAACATCAGGTTAAGAAACTCTTTACGGTGGCCAATTTAATCATCGACTTATTTGATAGAACCAAAATCTCTTCTTATAACTCTCAGCGACGCAGCACCACAGTTTCTTTAAAGTTACCCTTTAAAGGTCCTCAAAGGATCCTAGTCAACCACAAGACGTTGCGCGCTTCGCCTGCTTTTTTCAATACCATTTAAATTTTAAAAAAATCGTGAAGTTTCCACTGTGACGCCTATCATCCAAGTGCATCCGAGCGATTTAAATACATTGAAATATTAAATTGTTGTGATATTCCTCCTAAATTATCAATGGTTTTATTTTGAGTAGTTATTTTTGTGGCTTCTAGAAATTTTCTCAAGAAAGTTTTGTTTGTAACTGGGACCGTAGATAGCATCTCGCCTTCTATTACGTGGAAGGCCTAAAGCCATGGGGCAGATAAAAAGGATTCTGCTTCGAGAGTCCACTTTCAACCTGTGGAATGACAGGAAGGATAGTCTTGGCATCAAATGTCTAACTAATATCCAATTTGTAGAGATTTTGCAGCATCAAAGCGTCGACGAGCTTCGTGCGTGGTGCCAGTCACACGAAACGAATGATGAGTGTTGACCGTGGACTGAACGACTCCTACCGATCGCAAGCGAATTTACAATCTAGCTCTGGCAAGGATATCTTTAAGGGACTCTTCCTTGCGATACGATAATAGGGCTGGTTCCATAAATATTGCTCTTAAGTGTGGTCGGTTTTGAATGAGGTGCCATCTCCAAACCCGTATGCTCTGAAAGTTAGTTAAAGCCTGATGATGTTATTGTGTTACAAAAGACAATATTCTGCCTGCTATTTCCTGCTATTTTCTTCGTTTTTAAGTGACCGTTCTCTACCGGAGCATATACCTCCGAAATATGTTTCTCTTGAACTTGGTGTGGGCTTTCTCTATTCTCTTCTTGAAACTTAAGGCCTTTCCGCACTAGCAGACAAAACTAGAATTGTCCCGACAAAATAAAAGGACAAATTTTTGTTTCGTCTGACTACCTCAAAGCCGTCAAATTCCGTTAGCGCCTGATGTTGTCAAACATCAGGCGCTGACGTGTAAAACATGACGCGTGACGCCAACGTGTAAAATGTTGGTGATAACAGAAAATTTGTCTGAATTAATAACTCTGTCGCTAGTGCGGAAAGGCCCTCCTTTAGAAACTCTGTACGTTTTTATTTCAAGAACAACAACGTGTGGCACGGTGGATTTATTCTTGGCATGTGTGACGCTTCTCCTCGACTCTTGTAATATGAATGATTTTTCCTGCTGTTGCTCGTATGTAAACAAAAACAGGGGCGTGGTTGTCTTTCCGCTTTTCATTCCTTCTTTGGGATGACCAGGAACCCTGGGATGACTCGCAACGCTCCCCAAGGCGATTTGGCAAAATGTAAAACAGAGGCCAATCTTTCAGTTTGTACATTTATTGAACATTATGACCTCTTGACAAAGTCACGCCGAAGCATATTGTGTTACTGGTACAAATAGTATCATATACCACGTTTTATAACCTGATTTACAATCCTGTTGTCATGCCAAATTCTAGTATTATAAATTAGGAAGGTACGTGCACACCTAAATGACCTCATTATCCATAAATTTACGTATCACTAATGAGATTTTCGGTTAAGTCTGTGCTGTGATGTTGTTAAGCGGCTGGCATGGTTTCTGAACCCTTCTGCATGGCATGCATTCATTATGGTTATGGCTGTTCTCTTTATTTTTTTTAATAGCTTTAGCACAAAAATACTGATATTCAGATCCCTGAAACAGTAGTTTACGAAACAAAATCCACGCAAGGACTGTTTTACAGTTTTTCCGGTGTGGTAGTGATACGCTCTAAGGTTAGAGCATTTGTTTTGTGCAGACCTCATACTTTGTTTTGCTTTCTAAGGTGCCACTTGTCAGAACGACCCATTTATTGACAAATTCAAATTCAAATTTGGTTAATTTTTCACGCACACCTTTGAACAATTCCATATTTTTCTTTTTAACGAACGTTGATGTTCTTCGCTGTGCCACAGAATTCTCGGGGGGATGAGAAACACTCCTAATGTTATCCAACTATCATCAAAAGAAAATTTAAGGTACCCTGCCCAGGCCAAGCTAATCCGATACTACACTGCAATCATTTTTCTTTTTTTATCTCCTATCCCAAGCCGAAAGCAAAAGCTCAAAAACATTAAAATGCCTTTTCCGAAAAGATCATTCACCTTGCTCGGGGGTGGTCAGGCTCAGAGGGTTAACATAGATAGCGTTACCTTACGTCAATTGAATTTTGTAGTTATTGTCACGGAATGCCAAAGTAGTAGTGCTTTACGCGAAATACCAAAGCAACAGCGGCACATTGACCATACCTGTGTGAATGGGGTATCTTCCAGTCATAAGTGCTCCTCTGGCTGGTGTACAAACAGGTTGAACGTAATAATTGTCGAGTATGACCCCTTCTTTGGCCAACGAGTCAATGGTTGGAGTGTTGATTTTTGATCCATGAAATCCAACGTCGATCCACCCGAGATCATCAGCAAGCATAAACAAAATGTGCGGAGGAGATGATTTTCGCTTTTTTGCCTCCAGTGGACTCACTGCCACGAAAAATGCGAACGCAAACGCAACAAGACTTCTCACGAGAGACATGTTAAGGGGATTTGAAATGACATAACTCTCTGGGGAATGTCACATGATTGTCACGGGACTGGGACTTAACTGTGTTTTGTTTGTGTTTGGTTTCCCTTGCACATGGTGGGAGATGATGTTAGATGACGCTAGATGAAGCTTGCACAGAGCATAAAACTAGCTCTGGTATTCTGACAATTAATTAGACAATATTCCATAAATTAAAATTTTCCTTTCCTATCATGACCTTACTGATTGGAAACATCGAGTAATGATACCTGTCTAGGAGGATATTCCGCGGATGGATTATCAGAATCGGAGAACTGGAACCTAAATTGATGTTGTGACAGGAAGAAGTGCAAGATGGCGGCAGGGATGCGGCCGCCTTCTGGCCACTCGCATGGCCACCCTCACAACCACGCCATGCCGAGGAGAAAAGTCACAATTTCGTTTGTGATACGAGACGAAGAAGAACCTCTGCATCGGTCGGGTGTAAATGCGCTTCAGTTTGATAAACATACTGGTCGGCTGTATTCTGCAGGACGAGATTCTATCATTCGATGTTGGAACACAACTGTAGACAAGGTGTGCAGTTTTATTTGTGTAATATTAACATTTGCGCAGAATGACTTGCTTTTTCTTATAAACTGGAGCTGGAAGAAGGACTTAGAGTTTTTCGCTCTGGTTCTTGTTCGTGGAAAATAATAGTTCGTAAATGTGAAATAAAGAAGACTTGTTTATAAACGTAAACAAGCTCAACTGAGTTAAAACCAAATGAAAGCAGGAGGATGAAGATTCAACATGTCTTTTTTCCAGCCCAGCAGTATCTTCACTCGATGGGTATCTAGGGCTGTTTTTATTAAAAAATATTTCAGTATCTTCAAAATGAACCTTGTTCAATTTAGGAAGTGTGATTTGTATGGGGATGTGTGAGGCATCTCAGGTCACCTGTTGGTATGAACCCCAGGGGTGGAGGGGCAAGTGGAGCAAGGCAAGAGTTTAGTTCCATTCAAAGGGTACAAAGTCAAAATGAATTATTGAATTTTAGCTAGAGATCCATATACAACAAAAATGTTTTACTGTTCAATTGTATTTAGTAAAACATATGCTAGGGGTTTGTGATTGGTTACATGGTGACTTGCACTTCATGTAAAGTTTGTATCAATTTGAAGAACAGTTATTATTTGTCTGGTTCTAGAACTATTACATAGCATCACTTGAACACCACACAGACTGGGTGAATGATATAGTCCTTTGCTGCAATGGTAGAACAAGTAAGAGAGTCACTTTCTTGTATATACCATGATAAGATGGCTTTTTTTTTATAAATAATAGGAAAAAATGATTGATTTCTTGCTGGAGAGCCATGATTTGTTTTCCCTTCTCTGTCCTAAGCAAATAACTTTTTTAGGCAATTGGCTATGCAATGAGAATTTATTCACATTCACTTTTGAGGTGCCAAAATATTATAATTATCATTAGATTATTGTTGTGATTTTTAGCTGATTCTCATGCTTAACACAATGTGAGAAAAGGTCACATAGTAGGCCAAAACTCAGTTGAACATATTGTTCAAGGTCAAGTTTTGTTTTTAGAGTCGAAATCTTGATCATCCGGACTCCAGATTGGGCTGAATAGTCCAGATAATCCAGAGTCCAGAACCAAAAATTAAAATTGAGTACCTTGAAAAAAAAAAAAAAAAAAGCAAAACAAACAAAAGCAGGTATGAAATTTTAGGCAAGAATTGAAACAAATTCTCAAATCATTGTGCACAACTTGATGACATTTTCCAAAAGTATTTACAAAAGATTGTTAAAGCTAACCAACAACCTCTTACATCAACATAACGTGCTGGCAAAAATCATATTTTCAGACTGCCAAGCTGAGTGCGTGTTGTGAATGCCCAAAAAGTAGTATTTGACTGAGGCTTGACTGTATTTCCTACAGATGGCTTAGCTTTCAACTATTTGAAAAAACTAAATTTGGCCTAGTTTGGAACTGATTTTGTCCTTAAGAGTTGAAGTTTTTAACTTTTCATCACAAGTTTTCTGAGTTCTTAACTCTGTAAACCTCCAATACAAGTTGCTAGTGCCAACCACTAGCCATGGTCTCCAAAAATGGTTGCAGCTTAGAGGGTTGCAGTAAATAGCTCTAATGCAAATGAAGCTAAACTTAAATGGCAGATATGATTACATGGCTTGCAGTTACATGCATGTTAACCTTTTTCTAATTTATTCTCCAGTATTATCAGCATCATCTGATACAACTGTTAAAGTGTGGGATTCTGGACGGAGTTTCTGTATGTCTACCCTGCGCACTCACAAAGACTATGTCAAGGCACTTGCTTATGCCAGTCAGAAAGAATTGGTGGCCTCTGGAGGACTTGATAGGCAGATTTTTCTGTGGGATGTCAACACTTTAACAGCTCTTACAGCTACAAATAATACAGTCACAAGTGAGTCAAACCATAAAATTATACATGAACTATTGATTTATACCTCAAAGCTTGCACATAGTTTAATAATGATGAAAGGAAGAAGAGAATACCATACACTGTACTTTAAGAAGATAGAAAGGGTTTGAATTTGCTTCCTAAGATAAAATATGAAGATAGGGCTAGAAATTGTGTTATTTTTTAACAAAAGTTGTCATATTGCTTCTTGTGTAGTGTGAAGCCTAAAAATAAGAAAATACAAACTAAGCAAATTGTTTGGTTGTGCGGTGTTTAACTGTTTTAGATCTGCTTTGCACATCACTTTTTTGGTCTCGTAGTAAGATAGACTTCTATTCCATTCTGTTTGGAGATAGAGAAAGATGTGATTGGATAATTTTTACAGACAGTAGAAGAGTGAGAGTTTTTGGTACAGAGTGTTCTTGTTTTTTTTTTTGTAATTTCTTTATTTTTGGCATTTTACAAAACATTACTCTACTTACAATACACTACAGGACTCAGTTACAACACATCACTTACAATAATTTACTGAGAACACACTACTAACAAAGTATAGTGTATAATAAACTTGATTACAGAAGATGACTTACTCTCTATTACTTACACTACCTACACAATACTCTACATTTACATTATTTTATGACATATTACACTACTTTCAATATGTTACGGTAAATTACTTACAGTATCTTACTAATAGTATATAGCGAAATCGTATGCTTTACAATAAAATTTGACTTCTTATGCTACTCTGCATTGTTTGGATGACACCCATCCCACAAACCAATATGTGGCAAAAGCTTATCCCTTTTCTGAAAATGTTTGGCTAATTTATTCCACTTTGCTGCTATCTTCATTTCCACCTGACATATCTCCCCGATCTTGGCCTTATAAACTCGTATGGAGGGATTCTTAGAATTCAATTTACACTTGTACATATAAAATTTAGCAGAGTGTTCTTGTAGTTGAACTGAGGTTTTAGATTTCCTTAACCCATCTATTTGTAAATTACGCCTATTAAAGAGGCTCCAAGCACTTGCCTATCAAACTTGAAATATTCTGTGCAGAAGTGTGTTTGTGGTTAATTCTTTTTTGTGGCTGTAACCTTCTGTTTGCTGATAATACAATTAAAAATAAACTAACTCCACGAATAGCTGTACTTCTAACCTCCCAGCTTGGCTAATACATGTAAACTTGAAAATGAATAGATGTAATAACTTTTGAAACCAACCTTAAAAGCTACTTAAGTATACTTGACAGGTATACAATGTCCAAGTTTTGATTAAATGACTGTTGTAAGTTATAATAAGATAATAAGTTAAGTTATAGACTAAGCCAGAATTCTGGATAAAGTAATATAATGATAACTGAATTATCACCTCATAGATTAATCAATAAGATAAACCCATGGTGGTTATGGTTTATTGCCAAGAACTCAATTTGGAAGAGAAATGCTGAATTTTTTTTGCAGCTACTCTTGAACCTGACTGAGTGTTAATATCATTTGAAAAACTAATGATATAATGGATCTTTTTCTTAGTGGACCTTTCCACCATTTTGGTATGGGCTAAACAAGAAATTAAAAGTTTGACTTCAGAGTTTTCAACAGAGAAAATCCTGTCTCTATACCCATAGCTTTGAATTCTGTTTAATTTATATTCAGTGGGTTGAGTTAAATCACTTTGAAGGTTGTTATATGCAAAGGAAACAGCACATGATTTCCTTGCGAATCACTCTTTTCTTTGTCTGTTAAGTTTATTGAAATGCATTTCTTATGAATCTTTTTTTTATAATTTATTAGCACTTACTCAAACCTCTTCATGCCATTGCATGCATAGAGCTAATATTAGTGATTTTACTCCCCATATAGAACACAGTAGCATGTAAGTACTTCTTTGTGATGGATTTTTAACACTTGACCTGTTCATTTTTTTTTTACTATTCCTACTGCTTGGCTATTAAAATATCAGGTAGCCAGGGAGGTGAAGGTAACCACTTGAGAGAAGGATGTATCAGTAATCTGCACTATGATGTTCATGCACCCTGTAGGTAGTCAACCAACATGATTTTAAGTTGCATTGTATATTTTGTTAAATTTCATTTTATCTTTTGAAGTAAATGAGAGAATTGCTTCAACACAGTTTTGCTCTTTTTGCTCACTTTATTTAGGATAGAATCGTTCAACTACAGCAAATACTGATTAAATATACTCATTAAGTATTCATAATAACAATTAAAAACAATTGTTATAAAAAAAGAAACCTGAAAAAGAAGAAAAAGGTTGTGAGTTAAGCTTTATAGGCCCACACATAAAATTCCCTTGATATTTATACTCATGAAAAAGAAAAAAGGTTAATTCTAGAGTGTAACTCTGCAAGATTTAAAAAATGAAAGCCACATAAAACTTATAGCTAAGTGTCAAATGGTAATAGAAAAAAAATTTTCCAAGGGATAAGTATTTTATAAAAGTTGTATGTTTTTTTATTAAAACAAATTATTTGAAAACACGATTGACTACAAAATTGATTTGAGAGTTGCTAACTATACATGAAGCTACTGCACTGTCTCAATTTTCTTTCTCTTCTTTGTTTTCTCACATCAAAACTCCTCTTTGGTCCCTGTTTCTCTAAATAGGTCCTCCTTAAATTGAAAAAGGGCCACTGGGTCCTCTTTGGAAAATTTCTAGCATAGAAATTCTTAAATTATTGGCTAGTTTTTTCCTGATAACTCATGTATGGGTTATTGTATGCTGCAGAATGTTGATTTTACCAGGGAGAGTATACTGAGGAAAGATTGCATTGACAAAGGCATACACACCAGGCATTTTTGTGTCACAACAATGTATGAAAATGTTAGCTAAGGGCACTATGCACAAGGTCAATTTTAGCTAAATTTTGAACTGCAGTGATGTCAGAAACACTGCAAAGTTTCTGTGATATCCATCTTATTTGACAAATAAAGAAATATTATTTATTTCCTTGATGAGATGATTCAAATCCTCGGACTAAGAACTTCACGACCCCGCTACAAAATGTATATGTAGTACAAAGGCCAGTCATTTTAGTGTGGTAGGGAATGTTGTTGTTTTTTTTTAAATTCTATTTTCACCTGCATCATTATCCCAGAGACTGATATATAGTTTGTTCAAGTGTCAGTAAGATCTAAGAGGTTTCCATGAAGTTTATTTTTGGATAGGTACAGGGAGGGGGGAATCAGAGTGTTAAAATCTGATTTTTTTTCTGTTCACTCCTGGTTTTGTGTGAGTTGCATTTCTTTCAAAATTTTCTCTTTTTTACTGATTGGTTTTTTTGTTTTTTTTTTCATGTCAGCCTCATCGCTGAATGGTCAAAAAGATTCAATATACAGCTTGGCATTAAACACCATGGGCACTGTACTCATCTCTGGCTCTACTGAGAAGGTAAAGTTAATTGACTTGGTCAACTCTTCATGGTTTCTAACAGTGTTAAGTGTTAGGAGATTAATAATGTAATATATGAAAGAATTCTGCTCTTCTGATGGGGTGAAAATGAGAGCATTTTTCATGTAATACAAGGGCAAAGTTGTAACATGAGTAATTTTTGTCACTGAGAGTGATTTTGATAGTTAGAGGTAATAATTTATTCTTTTTATTATTCAAGCCCTTGATAGAGTGCAGGGCATGGTTGTTCAAAGCTTGGTTAAGATAACCTAGGGTTATTGTGAAGTCTGATTTTGCATCTGAAACCTTTAAAAGAAAATTCAGTATAATTATTTTTGTCTGGAATTTGATTACTATATGCTCAGAAAGTAATAGAGAAAATCATCTCAAAAAGGCTTTTGAACAAAGGTAATAAAAAAACCCAGGTTAAAATTTAACTTTGAATGAGTGTTAATCTGCTTTGGAACAACTGGCCCCAGGTGTTTTAAATTCAGGGTAATACTTGTGAAAAGTTAGGTTGATAATGATACAAATTAATAAATATTTTTGCCATTGTTCCTTCATTCAGTGGAAGTACTAAATACTTTGAATGGATCTTTTTTTCAAGCTATATTTGTAGGAAGGCTTAGCATGTCTTTTTTGTTGCTAGATTTTGAGAGTATGGGATCCTCGAACATGTTCAAAAGTCATGAAACTAAAAGGTCATACAGATAATGTGAAGGCTATCATCATCAATCCTGAAGGAACACAGGTAACCATGTTGTTGAGTTTAATAATACTAAATTGAAAGAGAATGGGTTTTAAACTAGTTGAACCAACTCTTTGGCTTGTGTGACAAAGATCTGAAATGAGTGGGTATTGATAGGAAAGGGAATGATAATCCTATTGGAAATTGAACGAGAGATTGCAGAAACTGGCTAGTGATATGCGCTGTATGATATGTTCCATTAGAAAAGAGCCTGAAGATGAATAACAAAAGGTTAGAAGTAGAAAGTTGCCTTAATGTGCCTATTTTGAAAGATCCAAGATTAATTTTGGTCATGACTATTTTTTCCCCTACTTTTCTCATGTTTTGTGGAGGCACAGTGGCCTCATGGTTAGTACACTTGACTCTGGATTGAGTGGTCTGGGTTTGAGCCCTGGCTGGGGTCATTGTGTTGTGTTCTTAGGCAAGACACTTTACTCTCACAGTGCTTCTCTTCACCCAGGTGTACAAATGGGTACCAGCAAATATGCTGGGGGTAACCCTGCGATGGACTAGCATCCCATCCAGGGGGGAGTAGCAATACTCCTAACCACTTCATGCTTATGAAACTGGAGTTAAGCGCCGGCCCCATGGGCCACTTGGACCTGTATAAAGCCTTTACTTTACTTTCTCATGTTGGGGAGATTAAATGGGTTTTTTTATGTCTGTGAAGCAGATAGCGATAATGCCTCTGGACTGTTATTTCTTTTCTGGTATTTGTTTGGGTACATAAGTCATTGGTTTTCAAACTTTTCATTGAGCTCATTCAGTCTGCATGTATTTGTTTTGTTTAACTAGCCATGATAGATTACATGTGTTTAGTTCTCTTGGACATTACTGTTTTGTTGTTTGTTAGTGTCTGTCGGGAAGCTCAGATGGAACTATACGCCTTTGGTCATTAGGACAACAGAGATGTATCACTACATACAGAATTCATGGGGAAGGTGTATGGGCATTGTGTGCTAATGACAACTTTACTGGGTTCTACTCAAGTGGTCGAGACAAACATGTCATGTGGACTGATCTGAACATGGAGAATTCTTCAACTCTTTTATTTGTGGAGGATGCTCCAGTTTTAAAAGTAAGTGCCTTCTATGTTTGAATGAATTAAACAATTGACTTGACGGCAATGATTATGCATTTTAGTCACTAAAATGTTGATAAAATTTAGCAGTTGCACACTGCTAATCTGAAGGGTGCCAACGTAAGGGTGACTTTATCCTTCTGAAGTAAATAAACTGCAGCTCTGATTGGTTGGTTTTTTCTTAGCTGTGATTGGTGCATTTCATGGTAAACCCAACCTAAGCAATGATATTTAATGTTATCACCACATTTTGTAATCACAGAAATGATACTGCACAGCTAATTTTCCATTGCCCATTCAGACAGAGAGTTTTCTTTTAGGTAAAATTCTTCCATACCCTGAGAATTACCTTCCTATATGACCACTTTTTCAAAGGTACTTCAAAGGGAATAAAACTAGGAGGAAAGTTACATTGAATTGGATGTCAGGAAAGAACATTGATATTGATCAATGTAGTGTCAAGGATTTTTCTTTATTATTTAAATAGTGTTATTTTTAAGTCTTGCAGGAATGTAGGTAGGTTTATAAGTCTGTAAGAGTGAAGGCCATTTTCACATATTTAAATTATGTGGTTTGGCCCAGAGATGATAGTTTGCTGTTCTGAATGTTGTTTTATTTATGATGAACAAATTAGGTGACCTTTCATACTTATATTTTTTTTCCTATAGTTGGAGCTTTGTGATGAAGCCCATTCTTTGTGGGTTGCCACAACAAATTCTACAATAAATAACTGGGTAAGTATGCTAAACTAAAAAATGATTTTAAATCAGCAGGTGATCTTAGAGGATACTATCAATCATTTTCTGTTCTTACATTTAGCACTGGTAAAGAATTGGAAACAAATTATTTTTTTCTACTGAGAAGAAATGAAGAGTAAAACCATTCTGTGGTTGTTGTTATGGGGGCAATAGGAGGTCTATGGAAATAGCAAAGTCTACCAACACCAGTCACCAACCTTAATTTACAGCATTATGTAAAACAGTATTGGTACATTTAAAGTTTGCCATTAAAGTGATCCACAGCTTTTGATAATTGCAACAATCCTAATGTCTGAGTTAAAGTTTGGAATATCTCCTTACAGCCAGGTAAGATTCCATATCTAAATGAGCAGGACAGTATGGATGTTGGAGATACAGATCCTCAGCCCATTTGTTCATCACCAAAGAAGACAATACCAGGTACATAAAATCTACTTTGTTACTTTGTTATAGAAGACGTTTCATAGAATTTTTTTTTATCACAATGTTCTTTACATTTACCACTATATGTGAACTCTGGAAGGTTTCTGTAATAATTGTAGTGCTTCAAGTCTTGATTAAATCTAATTTTCCATGACGCTAGACTTAAAAATTCAGTGGCTATGAGTTGCTACATCTCATTTGTTTAGAAAGCTAATAAAGGCAAAAACAAGTTGACTATTCTTCTCCCTGCATCTGTGGGGATTGCTTTACCCCATCTGTGTTTTTTTAAAACTATCTTTTCATTTTACTTTTCTTGTGGAAAATGTTCCCAATTTGTTTTGTGACAGGGGCACCTAGCATACGGAATTTTCATGTGTTAAGAGACAGACGACATGTCATAACAAAGGACACTGAGGGAAGAGTCTCAGTTTGGGATGTGCTAAAAGTAGGTGTTAACCCTTTAACCCTTAGGGGTGACTAGCATCTAATTTCTCCTTACAATATCACCACTGAATTACACATTAATGTCATGAGAATAAAGGAAATGATCACCAACTAAAGAAACTCTTGATTGCCAGACAAATTCTCTCCATCAGCACCTTAGTAAATGTACAGAGAACAGTATGGAGAATATAAATACTGATGTTAGGGTGTAAAGGGTTAAGGGACATTTAATAACATTGAGATTGACTGTGGTACATCTTCCCTATTTAGCCCACACAGAGTCACAACACAAAAAAACTTAGCATTCTTTGTTTTGTCTCATTTGCCACTTTTATTAACATGGACAATTTCTTTGAAGAAATGGTCACTTGATTTCGTAGCAAGGACTGAGTTGGTTGCTCTTGCTTAAAAAGGTTCTCTGAAAGAAAAAACCAAGCACCTGTCCAAATAAATGACCTTTTTCTGATGATCTCCTTCTAGTGAGCTTTCAAAAATAGTTACCCATGGGCATTCGATTGAGTGACCATTGTTTTTAATTAAGATATCATGAAAATAAAATTCTCTATGACGAATTTCCAAAGAAATCCATATGGGGATATACAATTAATTGTAAAACTTATTGAATAGTGGTTTTAAATACAATGTAACGTTTGTGATATGTAACGAATAAAGCCTGATAATGTTGAAATATTAGGGCTGTAGCTTGCTATTTGTTTCGTATCCAAGGCATGTAAGGTCGAGGGTCTTGGTCTGGTGGATTATGAAGAAGAAATCAAGAAAAGAACTCAGATGGTTTATGTACCAAATTGGTTTTCAGTTGACATCAAAACTGGGGTAAGTGATAAAATTTTCTAAAATCGGGTCTAGTCAAGTCCAATACCTTACTAAATCAATATCGTTTGAGTTCTTGGTCGTTCCTGTTTTTTAATCGATGTTTGCTGACCTGTACATATTGAGTCACGATTTGATGAACGATTGACCTGTTACAACGAAAAGATGTGCACTTCATAAAAATTAACATTTAGGCGAAAGAAAGCTGCTTTTTGAAATTTCATCCGTGCTTAGATAAGTGAAAATGGTTTTGTTGTCAATGAAATGTAAGAGGAAAGAGGCAATTTTTGTTCTTGTCAATGTTAACTTCCCATGAGTCTACACACTGTTATATGGAAATGACCGCTTTGGTGTAAATCAAAAGTGCTATTGTTGTATTTATTTCAGATGCTCACAATAAATCTGGAAGAGAGCGACTGTTTTGCAGCTTGGATCTCAGTAACAGATGTTACAGGATTAGAACCAAAAACTGTGGATGGGAAAGGTGTGTAGTCACTATAAATATATTTGATACAAGATTCTGAGAGTTTCTTTTTCGTTTATACATGTATGCCGGCCTACACCCCACTCGACGGCGCGTAATTTTCGGAGGTTTTCTCATTTCCCACTTGTAGCGACTCTACGTTTGTTCGCCCAGCCATTCGACCAAGATCTTGCTAACTTTCCCAAACAATTTGCCAGCATTGATTTTTGTTCATTATGGTATAGAGTATCGTCTCGTACTTGATCAAGCGTTCAGCGCAGTTGCCATCAGACACCATACCTCCTACTCCTTCTAATTTTGATCGAGGCAAATTTAGCCCAGTTAAATAGACAATCAAGTACCTCAAATTACTTAAAAATTTAGCGATACTTTTACTTTCAACGCGCAAATTAAATAAGAGTTTCTTATACTCGCAAAAATAAGGTGGAGTAAACGAGTCGTGTTCTGAATAACAGTACATAACCAAGCAAGAAGAGAACTTTTACCACCTGTTATCCGTATTAACACATCCACACAAATACCCGTACATATTTTATGACCCTTATGGCCTGCTCGCGTTAATATTGTAAAAAAATAGACAAAAATCTCCATAAGAAGACCGTAAGCGATGAAGTGAGCAGGGCCGGAAAAAGCCGCACGGCCCGTTGACATGCAAGCTTTTGAAGGAAGACAGAATAAGAAAGAGGAAGGGTTAAATGATAAAATACTTCTTGATTTAGATCCGGGCCGGACGGGAAAAAATTGGGCTCTCGGTCATGACCTCATAGCTAAATTAAAGAGTTGCAAACTATGCACCCCTCTAAATCGGGAAAGTAATGGGTTATGAAAATATCATGTGAAAAGATATTCTGAAAATTAATCCAGGCTTGAACGGAGTGTGAAACTGTGTCCGTCCTGTGATACCAACAACTCAACTCCAACTCAGTTATAAGGCTACTTTGGAGCTGGTCATTGTATGAGTACAGTTATGATTTAATTTCTACTGGATCTTATTTTCACAGTACTTTTGTTTTACGTATAAATGCCATTATCTCTCTTATACAAAATCTTTATGCCGGGGTTCAAATGCATGGTATACATACTTTCACTTTAATCTGACTATTTGTATTCATTTTGTTGTTTTTGTGTAGCGTATGTTACAGATGTCAAGCATGGTGAGTAGACGTCCATGTGGCTTTGTGCAAAAGTAAAATTTATGTCGGAAAAAATTAACTTTTCTTCATCAGACAATGAAAGAAGGTGCAAAAGGTGGTCAGCATAAAATGAGTCATCCAACACCTTTTCACTGACATTGTGGCAAACGTGCAACGACATGATACTGATGTGACTGGATTTAATGTTTCTTCCGAACATTAATAAACAATGACAAGAAGATATATGATTTTCCAGCTTGAGAAGCTAACCTGTGCCTTAAGAAAAGCTCTCTTTGAACATTTCTTAACCCATATTAAATCTCTTCTTTTTGTCACTGTCGCTGTCTTACATTCTTCCTCTTGTGGCCTGCCAGGCACATTAAAGGAGGCATTAAAATGATCCTCATACCAAGGTAGCCATAGTTGCCAAGTGTTCCTCAGGTAGGGTTACCAGTATTTATTAGTTGTGATTTGACTTAGTCTGTTCTGTGTCTCACAGTGAATTACGGAGTGCTTCTTTTGCAAGCCATATTGGAACACTGGAGGGAGACCTACACTGGAACAGCGGATGAAACTGATCAAGACCTTCCCAGAGCTGATTCACCAGGTTAGTACTAAACAAACAAGATTCGATCGTCTTGGCTCTTTCCAGCAAGCCAGTGTAATGACATGCTGCAGCACAGGTTATTGTGTCACGTGTCCTCAAACAGTCCCGCTGATCCAATTATGGTTCTCTGTGAGTATAGTCCATAACTTTGACAGTTAAGTTTCTAAGTTTCTAGGATCACAATTCACCGTCCTAATCAGATTTCGAGCACTCTCAATCTGAATTCTAATTTTGCAAACTACGAGGCAATAAATGATAATGCTGAACTCCGTTGCTAAAATGCTTACTGAAAAACGTGTGTGAATGTGACGGTTGTCCTCTGAAAACAACTCTCCATATGCTGAACAAGTCTTCTTTAACAATGCGCAATGTCCACGTTTATTTACTTTGACAGAAAGCGGAGATGCAAGCGCCAGTGAAGTTAACCTGAACCTTGAGTCTGTAAGTAGCTGCTTTAGGTTGACTATTGAATGGTGTAGGCAAAATTAAGTATCATCACTACCAAGATATTAGTGTTAAAGGATAAGGTGATCCTTTTGAATTCTCAAATCCCAACGGTTATTTGTCTGGTTTTGTAACGATTGGTTTGAAACTTGGTACTATTTGTGTTAAGATATCTGTATCCCTGGTAAAATACCAAATAGACAAGTAGTATTCGTCTTAACAGTGCGCGACTTTTTGTTTTATCAGATACGTGAAATTTGTATAGTAGTAGCATTTTAAAGTAGAGGAAGCAAATGTTCAGTGAAATCATCCTCGAGTTTCGCCTGATGTAATGTCGGTAATTTGGTTTGTGTTCCCAGCGTGTGATGATGGGCAATGGTTTCTTCAGTGTTCCTGAACACACCCCCCTGATCTTCACAGAGAGTAGTGGCACAGGGAGGACCTTGTTCCGCCTGCTGGTAGCAGATGCCTCCGGAGAGAATGAAGCATATCTATTGGCTGAAACTGTCCCTAACTGGGCAGTTGACGTCACAGTTAAGGTAGATAGTTTTGAAGTTCAAAATTAACTTACAGGTTATTTATTAGCTCCAGAGATAAAAAAATTAATAACGGGAAACAAACGGTCCTAACAAGACTCCTTATTTTATTCCTCCCTTTGAAATTGTTTCCGTGCGCGTCGGTAAAAACTGACATTCTTTGTTCCATAATCAACTGATATGAATATCAGTTTGTTCACGGATTCATTGTAGGGAATCGGAGCGTTGGCGTCCAGTGGATGCAAATAATGATTGGAAAACAATTATATTTTCGAGTTTTAAATGAAGGGCTATTGACTGTAAAGGAAGCGAGTAACTGGAAACGAAATTCTATTGATCTCCAGCATCCCTTCCCGTCTCAAAAACGTGTGTGCCTAAAGTCACTGGTAGTAACAAAATACGTGTTTAGTTTTCATTTTTGAACGGGCTCCGCCTGACAAGAGTCTTTGCTTGGATCTAGTGAGCTTGACGTGAGTCAAATCAGGCTCAGAACATTCTTCTTTAGCAGTTTCCTTATGCTGCTCTACCATACATTATTACACGAAACTCAATTTACTGCAAACTACACCTAACTCCGAATGCATGACTACCACAGCATGTTATTCCTAGCGACTCAGTTTAGCATATCCCACAATTGGCGGTAAGTTCTTTTAGCGCATGTTGTAATCTTTAAAATGCACCAACTCTTTGCTGTAACATAGCTCAACAATTTAGTTAGAAATGAATCGGTTCTTTTTGTCAACTAATTCATTATCTCAACTTTTTTAAATATACAGAAACTGTCACCGAAATTCAATAAGATAGCGTTCTTCTTGCAACCTCATTCATCGAGCTCGTCAAAGGCATTGAAGAGGTAAAGTAGTTAAGATGAAATTGTGAATGGTTACGGTTCACCTCACTGGGAAGTTGTCTTATACCTTTTAAATAGGCTTGATTTGATTACCAGCCCTGGGAAGGAATGTAGACCCCCTCCCTTACCCTAAGGGTAGAAACAAACTAGAAACCAAGGGAAAAGCTGAGGGAAGCGGTGAAATCGAGCCCAGATTAACAGTATGTGCAAACACATATAAAATATGTCCAAAGTGCTACTGAAACTAATTCTAAAACTCTAAGAAGGACCCCACGTTAAAAGGTTTACAATACTTTGCTAACTAACTGTTGTTTTCCAATGTTTACAGGGATCGCTTATCGGCCAGTGATATGCTGCACGTGCGCAAAGTCATTGAGCACGTGTACGAGAAAGTGGTGGGAAATGAGAACGCCAGCAACTCAGGTAACCACGCAGATAAAGAGCATGCCGGACCGCCAACCGAGGAAGAACTCGAGGAACTGTTGGCGCTTGCGGAGGCCCGAGTCGAGCTTCTTTGTCACGAGCAGGTCAGTTTTGTCTTGATAAACGAAATGACTCCTTGTTGTCAGTTTGTATCCATCATCTTATTGGTTTAAATCATCAGCCATGTGTGGATGTTTGTGAATGTTAGGTTGTCCCAGTTGTAGCTAGGAATTTTTGATATCCTTTTTTTTCGATACTTACGAAATACTTCACGGCGATTAGTTTATCTATGTTAACAAGAAATATCTGTATCTGATGGTGTGTTTGTCCTTCGCTCTTGTCTATCGATCATTAGTCTTTGTCTTTCTGTCTGTTCGTCTGTCTGTTTTTTTTCATACATCGGTTAGCGTCTTCTACTTCCTCCTTCGGACCACGTTGCAGTCAGCACAAAGTCTTAAGTTAAATCCTGTTCCTCTTGTAGGTACTAGATCCTAGCATGGACTTACGGACAGTGCGACATTTTATATGGAAAGGAGGAGGAGACCTGGTACTACAGTACCGAATCATGAAGTGAACCCGTAAGCCCTGCCCCAGTCTCCTATGGAGCCAGATAAGCGAGGGAAAACTCGGTCGAGGATATCTTCCTCACAGAAAAATCCGTGACGTGAGCCTCCAGCTGTTACGTGAGAGTTATCGCAAGACATCGGTGTCAGTTTTGTCTGAAATGGGCCGGCGCGCTTGAAGAGGTTCTTCCTCTAAACAATAGTGGGCTGCTAGTCACTGAAGATGTTAGAGAATATTTATTTATTTTTCGACGCTCGCTAGCTTATTTTTATCAATGGTGGCATGCTGCTGAGGAGGAGGACATACGGACGACAATTGGATGTGCAAATTTGATAGCCCGGCCTACACACCTGTACAATGTACATTAAACCTTATAAAAACTATTATAAGTTAAAACTATGTCGCATTACAACAGTCATTTAAGAACTATATAATGCATGATTAAATTTGAAATTCTGTACTCTGTCTGAAGTTGTATTCTACTGAAACCAACCAAACGCTTGAAGTGGTTTTTAGTTGCTAGGACATGTTTGCATCTGTTTTCTGTTGAAGGCAAAGTAAGCTGAATGGCAAGGAAAATCGACATCCCAAGAACAAAATTACTCAGTTAGTTTTGTCTTCCCTCAAAATTTTTCATGTACTTTATGATTTTTTTTGACAACGAGGGGTGGCGCTTTTCAAAACCGCGTCGAGCAGTATGTCGGCTGCAGCAATGGGCCTGGCTAACACCAGCTGACGGTAGGGGTCTCCTCCTGTTTTTTGTCATCCCCTGCAAAAACTGCATTGCCCTAGGAGTATTCCAACTCTTCCAGGACTCTCCTGAACGTAGTAACTGAAATGAATAAAAATAAATAAATAAAAATTAAAGTTAATAAATGAAGAAGTAATAACTGCATCACCATCGTCTGTCATCTGACCGAAACTTCTCTTTTGCCTGAAGTTAGTCGGGAGACACTTTCAGCTCCCTATACCTCTCAAGATCTTTTATCTTGGGATTGAACCTTTAAACAGACGAGGTAGATAATTAGCGAGAAAGCGAAACGAGTAAGTGTCGCTAACATCGTATCAAATATCCATTAACAACTGCCAATGGTGTTATAGGTGTATGTATGTGTACCCGTAGTAGGAGTAGTTAGACAACACCCAAACAATAGGGCCTACTTGCAGGCTAAACACACGGCGTTGAGAGTTTTACAAGGTAAAAACCAGGTTTTATTGAAACCCCTGAACGGAAGCCTATCTAAAATTACTTCTGTTATGGACTTTCATTAACATCTGCGCCTCGATTTTGAAAATATTTTAGAAACTATTTGCAGCGTTAGTTATAATTCAAGCAACTGGAACTGCCTGCCTTAGAAACATTCTGATCATTGTTTCGAAGAACTCTACCAGGACTCTAGCAACTAGACAAATCGACAGTGGTTTAGCATTCGTCATCACAGTGGTCAAATGTTCCGCCTCGTTAGTTCGCAACAAATTTTGACCACTGTGTTGATGAATATTGTTGTTGATGAGAGTAAATACCACGTTAACCATTGTCGATTTGCTCTTGCCACAATATCAACGTGAAATAAAGCGATGCTTTCAGTGCGTGACCATTGCGTGACACGTTAGAGCGAACGGCGTTGTTAGTACTCTCATCGACGACGGCAAATTTTGGCCAATCAGATTGCGATATTCCTGCGTATTGTTAAAAAAAACTACCCAATTGACGCCTACTGTGTTTTTCTTTGAGAACGATGCTAATGTACATAAAAAGTGATAAGCGTCGTTATTATTGGCGCACTTATGACCCACTAGTGCGTGAAGTGTGATCCCTGTTCTGAAGACTACGAGGGAGAAATCGAAAGAGAGTTTGTTTTGCGAAGTCCACAAAACCTGACTGTAAGATGTCATTGTGTTTGCTTTAAACAAATCAAAGATCTTTTGGGAGCGAAATAATTCTCATGAACTATTTATCTGAAACAATAAGTTTTAAGTGATTGGTTGAATTACATTTATCCTGGAAATTTATGCACAGCATAATTGATCAGCCCAGTTGACCCTCGTGATTAGCGACACATCGGTTGTACAACGATGGCGTCTTCCGCCCAAGGAAATGGAAATAAAGTACAAGACGATCCAAAGGGTAAGTAGTCTTTAAATTTACACATTTCTTTCGGACTCTTTTAAGATTTTCTCTCCTGTATTCTCACTGGGGCGTTCGTTTGTCATTCTATGGTTCAATGGTTCTGCTTTCATATGTGCAACGATAAATTCTCGTCAGCTCAGTTTTTGTACTGTTATTGAGTACAAGCTGTCGTAAAGCACAGAACTCGTGCAACGTCACCCTGTTCTTATACTCTCTTGAAAAACATTTATTCGGCAATGGTTACAATGCTTGCGTGCACAATTAGAAACGAATTCAGTAAGATTTAAGCAACGCCAACAGACATGGGCAAATATCTGAGACGTCAAAGCTTCTTAGGAGCGAAAATTGTACGATTTACTTTTCTTGTGAATTACCTTGATTTAAATTCCGAAACTCAGCGGAAGAAGTGGTAAAGCTTAACCAAAGCTTAACCAAAGAATTAAATATTCACTAATATCATTGAAACGGAAATGCATTTTTATGGCGAAGTGATGTTTCTGATATCAACACATTAGCAATCATTAGAGCTCCTGGTGGTTGATTCAGGGTATTTTTACAACATTTATTAACTTCCCATTAACAGAAAGTGCTTATCTGTGTAGATGCTTCTAGTGCTGTTCTGTAAAGCTCTCCCGAAAGCGTAAAAAAATGAGCAATCAACAGACCGAAATGTAAATTTCGCGCTTGACACACTTGAAAGACAGCAATTAATTTTGTCACATAATTTACCATCCCAGAAGGGTTTAAGTCAAACTATTTTCGTATTTTAATTTGTTTACTGATGAATGATTGAATCTATTGAATATTGATAATTTGTTCTCTATCTGCAGCCGAAAACTTGAAACTTCTAGCTGACGTAAACGGTAATTATAAGTGTAATAATAATAATTTGTTTTACTTTAAATTGGTTATGGGATTTTCAAGGTGTAACGAAGGGAATGCGTGGGAGAGACAGGTGGTAGAGAAAGCCAGTTGATCTGCATTCGTTCACGGCAAACAATTTAAATTGATATCTGTAATCTAAGCTATCATTTCCAGGGTTGAAAAGAGTTCCTTCAAAACAAACAAAAAAACAAAACAAAACAAAACAAAACAAAACAGAAAAACTGGAGGAAGCATTATGAAAGTGTTGACTTGAAGGGCTCTAATCTTATGTCAATCTTGCGTGAGGGAAATGGAAATCTTGTGTCACGCAAGGGACTTTCCTGAAGCGCTAAAGAAAGATTATAACGCCTGGCGATTTTTATTCAAATGCAAATATATTGGCTCATTGTCCAGGAAGGACTTCGACGGATCTGGGAGACGTGACGTAGAAAAAAAGCCGAGCAAAGAAAGCTGCTCAGTTATTCAAAAGATTTTGTCTGAAGTGGTTTATAAATAATTTATTCACAATTTGATTCGTAAAGTGTGTCTTGGAAATGGCGGACGAAGAAGATGGTAAGCATTTGCGACACGTGGGGTTGTTGTAGTTCAAAGAATCTTAGAAGAGAAACAGGCTTGTTACTGTTAATCTGCTGATTGAAAAGAAATGTACACTTTGGTTTTGTTTTCTGACTTATTTTCGCAACCGTGGCGTATCGTGTAAAGGAAAGAGAAAATCCAAAATTACATTTCAGATGCAAAATGCGTTGGTTTTTCAGCTGAACGAAACGTCGCAGGTTTTTGCAAACGTTAGTCTTCGAGATGGTTTACAACTGAACGAAAAAACGGGTCAGGCGTGTTAGAACTTGACCCGCGGACTAAATTCGCCTTCTCGGTCAGCGAAAACGTGTTTACCTCTGGCGAAAATCATGAACTTTAAACTTGTTCACCGCTATTTGCTGTACGATAACCGCATTACCTCAATGGGTGCTGTTTATTTGAACAGGTCATAGTTTACAACTCACTGGTTCATGCACACTGTTGTTTTCAATTTATTACGCCATTTTAGTTTGGCAGTCGGTCACGTAATTTATTCAACATGTCTTGTTTTTAACGCATTTTGCTGGTGATAATGTTGTCGTTATCCTGACTTGAACCGTCTTTCAGGAAAGACGTGCGATTGATTTATTTGTCAGTAATATAGATTCTGGTCGAAACTTGGAATTTGTCAATATAAGAATACCTGAACGCGCCCCCACTAAAGTTAGGATTTAGAGGGAGTTTATTGCGGGTGTCTTTGAGGTGGTTCATAAGCAAATATTTTCAGAACGTTCTTGGTAACCAAACCGAGTAGCACCTCCTATTTGGAATTTGTTTGAGTGAGATAAAAAGCGATGATGGAGAAGCGCTCTTTTTGTACTCTTCTGAGCAAAGTATAGCTGTTCAAAATTTCACTGAAAGCGAGAGGAAAAGTTCGAATTTCAACATCGGTCATTAGTTATGGTCACGAATGTGTTTTCAGAGCCTTTTGGATTTTGGTAGTTTTCGCTGATATGAAAATTCAAGCCAGTTAATTGGACAACTTCAGGATCATAAACATTTGTCAACACCTGTGCAGGATGTCAGATAGCTGGCTCTTCTTGTTCTCATCTGTATTTGTCCACTTTTAGACATCAGACCTTTGTTGAGTGGGTTCTTGATGAAGGGAGTTTTCTGCATGATGTAGTCTAAATGATAATGAGTGTCCATTGTTACTTTCAAGAGATTCGTTTCCTAAAAAAACAAAACGCGGTCAAATGACCTTTAAGTATTGACATAAATGCAGGATTTTTTTCCTTTCAGTCTTGAACTGAAGGACTTTTTATTGTTTAATAATATTTTTGAGACCAAAATGCTATAATATTTATAATTATTCAATGTTTTTTTGTCTGTGTTGGTTATGCCATCTGGATAAGCTTCTGATAGTCAGTTATCCCCCTAAAGCACACACAGTCATTCTTTCCTACAGACTGATATCACCATTTTCACTACCACATGACTTTCAAGATAAAATTTGAAGTTGATTTATCCAAAGGGAAAGTCACTTCATCAAATTAAAGTGATTAAAGGCCATAATGGTGGCATTCATGCATAAATTGTCTGTCAAATCCTGAAAATTAGAGTTCTACTTGCTATGCGGGTCACACTTTCCTTTGATTTATTTCACTTTTATTATAAACTGGTATATGGCAGTGAATTCTTTATTTTTAAAATTATTTGTTAATTTAAAGTAAGTTAATTTACATGAAATGAACAGATGCTGAATATTTGTGTATACAAGTTAATGTTAAAACCATATTCTTAAATTTCCTACAACTGTCCAGTGTTTTCCACATGTAAAGAATATTGCTTTATTTTAATCCAACATTTTGAATCCCTCTTTTAAAGGAAAGAAAAACAAAACTACATTCAAAGGACCCATTTCAGACAGGTATTTAGAGTTGTAATGATATAGAGTTGGACCTCTCTAATATGGACACTGATGGGACAGAGGGTTATGTTGATGTGATGGAGTTGTACATTTTACAGAGGTCACTTGGGTGGTGGCAACATTGTAACCCCTGACAAATTTTGAAGTGTTGGGTAACTGAGAAGAAGCATACACCCTGCTGCAAAGTTTTTTTAAAGACATTTTCCAAAAAGGAGAACAAAACAAACCACAACCCAGTGGAAAATACATACTGTGCATTTTGTTTCTTAATGCTTAGCTCCAGTGAATTAAAGGAAGATGTTTAAGTTCTTCATATAGGAAATTTTATCACATGCACAAATTTATATATCTCCTTATCAGCAGAATAGATGCAAAATAGGTAAAGGGTTTAATGATATTTGTTATCCTGGGTTCAAAATTCAGTGTTGGTTATTGTCATGTCACAGGGTCTGTATTCGAATAAAGAAAGGATGGCCTGCATTGCATGATAGTTTTGAAAAGCACCATGAAATGGCTGGTTTTTTTTTAACATATTGCTTCATAAGGTGCAAGAATAAGGAGCTTAAACCCTTGTCCTTATATTTCTGAGGGTAGGAATATCTAATTATGTCCATAAACCCTGATTATTTCTCAAATCTAACTTTATGAACTCTTTTGTTATCTTATGTTTTGTGTAGGTCATGCACGGACATTCCCTGCTGTATTCTGTTTGTGGCATATATTGTTGGCATGGTTGTTGTAGGAATTATTGGTAAGCATGGAGTGGAAAAGTTTTCAGTTTTACTGTTGGAGTTGTAATGGTTTTTCATCATATATTTATCCATGTGTTTTGACATAAAGACCTGTTATACAAAAAAATTTGCAAATTCTAAATTTTGTTCTTTACGTTTACACTCTATAGCTTTCAAAGAAGGAGATCCTGATAGACTTCTGTTGCCACAAGATTCGCAAGGTATTTGAGTGCTCAAGAAATGAAATTTTAATTTTCATCTAGAGCTGAAGCCATGGGTGGTGGATCAAACATGCACCTGTTATCATCATCATCACTATCAATAACACATTAGTCAACATGTAAAATAATATAACAAGATTCTTTACATCAAAATTTTAATTTTCATCTAGAGCTGAAGCCATGGGTGGTGGATCAAACATGCACCTGTTATTATCATCATCACTATCAATAACACATTAGTCAACATGTAAAATAATATAACAAGATTCTTTACATCAAAATTTTAATTTTCATCTAGAGCTGAAGCCATGGGTGGTGGATCAAACATGCACCTGTTATCATCATCATCACTATCAATAACACATTAGTCAACACGTAAAATAATGTAACAAGATTCTTTACATTGACTTTTGCACCAAGTACTAACTAGTATAATGCTGTAGAATGATTATTCTTCTGGAGATGATGTGAAATTGTAACATTCTATGTCTTGGAATTACTCTTTTGCAGGAAACATTTGTGGAAAAGATAACTATGTGTAAGTTAATGAATGAAGTGTATTGTGTGTAGGGTGAGAACGTCACTCATTAGAAGACAAGGTTAGGAGACTAGAATGTCTTGGAAATTAACCTTTTAATAATTGTTGGGTAGTTATTAACCAGTTCATTCCATTTGTCAGCTCTCATACTATTTTCATAAGGGGAGATGGAAAAATGTGAAAGATATCTTTCTTTATATTTGTGGCCTTGACAGAACTACACTTTTGGCTTGAAGGTTTTTTGTAGCTGAAAATTGATAGAAAAATTGTTTCAGCAACATAAGGCAAGTTTTGAAAGGAGACTTGCACATGTTTTATCTGAATTTTGTTGTGGTTTGGTGCATGTGAGATGTGAGACCCCTCCCCCTTCCCCCTAACTCTTTTGCCTTTTTAACTTTCAACAAAACATGGTACCAGAATGCACCATGGAGATGGCAAATATGTCTTACTGTAATTGTTGAGCTGTAGCCTGGACTAAATGTTTTGAACCATTTTGTTGAAAAATCAATAGTTATGATGTTCTGTTGCTAACCATTCCCTCAACAAAGTAGCTTTAAAAGTTGACAGTTTCACCCAAAATGAATGGAAATTCAATATTAGATATAAGCTCAAAAAGACATCTTAATTGCCTTTAATTTAAGTGCTTTGATCAAAAGTTTTTTCCAATACACACGCTTCAATTTTTTGACTCCCTCTTTTCTTCTATCTTCTCTTTCTAGGGATAAAAAATATCTGCTGTTCTTTGACATCAGTACTTGTGCCACAAAGGGTGGAGACTTTACCAAATATGTTACAGTTCCTTCATGTCCCACTCCACAGGTGATTGTTGTACAACTTACTGTTCATCAGCCTAAGGGTTTTTGTTAACCCTTTAACTTCTTAGAGTGACTAGCATCTAATTTCTCCTTACAATACCAACTAAAGCAGCTCTTGATTGCTACAATTATTCTCCTTGACAGCACCATAGGAAATGCGTAGAGACAAGTGTGGAGAATATGCATACTGATGTTAGGGTGTAAATGGTTAAAGGAGAAATATGTCTCAAATCCATTTGTCTCTGCTTTTGAAAAATATTAACTGCTTATCACATTTGGGATTATAACATATCAATAAGCCAACTATTGGTAAATTGTCTTCAGATGTGGCAAAAATTCTTGTGGTGATTCTGCCAACCTGATTGCTCACAAAATCACAACTTGCAGTTCACAACAACATATAGTTGCTGCGGATAATGTGTACTATAGGTATTGTCAACCAATATATTGGCCAATATATCAACCAATAGATTGACTATCCGCCAATGTATCCCCTGATGTATCTTTTCAATGTTGCTTACTATATTAGTCAATTGTTTGTTAAAAGACAGATCCACTATCCATCAAGACTTGGTTGATATGTTGACTGAAAGGTGGTTGATATGTGGCGTGTGGAGTGTTGCTGGTTTTGCCATCAGATTTTAGTGATCTCTTGGTCAGGTGTTGGCAATCTATTGGTCACGTGTTGGTGTATTGGTGGTCAGAAATTGATAGATAACTATTCACAGCCTATTCTGGCATATAGCACATGACAATTCTTGACAGACTTAAATCTTAACTTCTTCCACTGACTACCTTAGTCTGGAAAATTTCCTCTTCCATAGTAAAATCAACATCATCCATGATCTGTAAATGAACAAATGCAACACAACATCAACTCTATTTGCCATAAAATGCTCCTCACAAAACCAAACAGATCCATGCAAATTTGTGTGTGATAGTAATAAAGAAGATCATATGCACAATTAGAAACTGTGAAAAAAAAAAAAAAGAGTTATAGCTCTTGGAGACATTTTTTCAACTTTCATTAACCTTTCCAGTGATTCTTATTTCATTTGTTGCAAAGTGGCTTGACCGTCAGTGAAGTATATATCAACATGCATCAATGTTGACAGACCTCAGACTGACAATTGGCAGGCTTTTGATTGATAGTTGATTTGTATTTGGTGAGGTGTCAGTGAAGCATCAGTGACACATCAGTGAAGTATAGACATTTTTCAACTGAGATATTGAATAACTCGTGACTGATATGTACTGACCAACTGTCAACCAATCACCAAGTGCCTTTCAAGCAACTATTGACCAACTATCTGTTGACCACCATATCAACCACTACATTGACTGCTATATCGACCTGATACTACCTATAGTACACTTGATCCATTAGTGCTCTGGTTAGAACAAAACAGTCATAATCATAGCAATAATGAGCGAGAGGGAGATGTCTGTTGAAACTTCTTAGTCTTTTGGTAGCTCATAAAAATATTATGGTTTATTATAACTTGATGTTAAAATGTTTTAATCAAAAGTAACTTGAACAATTTTTCCTTTGTTCCAAGAACAGTGCTGTAGTCCTTAAACATACATATTGAACTTAAGTGAAATAATTTTGACTTACAAGATAAACATGTACAATAATCTCGAAGAGTAAAATCATTACTTGTCAACAAGTCTTAATTATTTCTTCTTACTTGTATTTTTTATGATCCTTTCTGTCCATTTGGTAGGTTTGTGTTAAATCTTGTCCAGGGGAAAATAAGCTAGGGTATGACCCAGAACCAAGTGATATGGTCTGCAAAGAAGGAGTTGAGACTGTTACCAAGGTAATGTTACAAAAACACAAAAAAAATTATAAGTTTTGAAATTGTTAACTTAACTATTTATTCCAGAGACTGTTGAAAAAAGATTATAGGACATGTATCTTGTATAGCAACATTGGGCTAATGATTTTTTAAATTTAGATTAAGATTATCATCAGTAGTTAGTCTGGAAATATAGAATAAATTGCATAGCTCCTAAGAACTATTCATCCTCATTTGAATATTGAGAGACCACTTTTGAATTATCCCATGGCTAATGGGATAAGTATTTCAAGTATTATACATGTATGTGGAGATAATTCTCTGCCCTTTGTAGATCTATTTGCATTATGCAATTGTGTGTCGGCCTTTGTTTTTGGACCAAAATTGTGGCCTCTCAAGGTATGGATCTGCCACTGATTGGAACCCTGAATTTACTCCTTTTTGAAAGATGGCAATCATGGGCCTCTTTTCCTGATCAGTAATAAATCACTGGTATTGACTGATGCAGGAAACTAACCAAAGGATGGCGGGTTGAGCCAGCTCTTGGAGATAGTCCTAATAAATCTCTTCAATAAATTGTGGTGTAATCATAATTAATCCTTTTTCTGTTAATGAAAATAAGCTATCTTTGCCTAATGAGGATAGATTTCTTTGGGCATGTTGAATCACCATCATTATAAGGAAAATCAAATGGTATATGGATTGGTAAAGAGCAATTAACTTAGCAAACAAATTTAACCTAATTTTTCAAAATGCACAAATTGTGACTGGGCCATTGGACACCCACCTATACCACTGAGATATATTTAATGTCTGTCTTTGTAAGGAATAACTCTGTTATTTTGTTGTGGTAATCAAACTGGTTCTTATTTTATGATCATAATTTTTACAGAGCAACAGAAAAGAATTGGTCCTACAAGGAAAATGTGCACCATACTATTTGGCTTCAAAGCCAGGTTAGTTCACTTACCAGGCATATTCCAGTTGGTCCAAAGCTGCAATAAGTTATGCATCCCAAAGCACCTATCTTCCACAGTTCAATAGAAACTTATTTGAATAGTAGTATTAATTTTGTAATCAATTCCATAAAGAACCCATTAAAATGTCTCTTGTACTCAAGAAATAACTTCTTTAACTGGAATTAATTGTGAGGATAAAATTAACTTAGCCATTCCACTTCCAAGATCTCATTGGTAATTCTCCTGATTTTCTGCTATAAAATTGTGATACAAGTTTGATATTAGTTCAGAGAATGTGGTATTGGATGGACTAAAAATCCCCTAATGTACAATTTTCTTTATTCTTATCACTTGTCTGCTTGATATTGTATTGATATTATAAGGAAAATTCTTAAAAGGTCTTATTCACACATAGGAGTTGAAAGGTTGAAACTCATGTCCCTACGTTGTCTTGCTATGTTTTGGTTACATTTAGGAATGTTTAAAATGGCATTAGTTCTGTGAGCTTTACTTCAGATACCACTGATTCTTGTGATTTTACATCTGTTTATAGTTTTGTATCGATGCATACCAACCTTGGCAACTGACTTGCTTGCCAACAGCTCATTCATAACAAATCTTGCTGGAAATAACATAACCAAATCAGTCATTGAAGCTGGATTACAGTGAGTTCACAGTTTATATCAATGATTATTTCCCTTCTGGTATTACCAGCATTTCTTGAACTCGTTATTTCAAGTGATTTGTTTTCATAAATATCATCTTTCAAGACTTCATTTTTTATGCACAAGAAAGTACCGCTCTAAGATGATTCCTCAATACTGCACCATTTACCTTGCCTTGCACATTTTGGCCATAACAAATAGCTATAAAAAAAGTGTGTACACAAGATTAGAGTCAGACAATTTTATTTCAAAATAAGTTTTGTCACTATCAGACTGGTCCTTTGTCACATGTCCCTAAATGACATGTTGATTACTTAAAGCCTAACATACACATTTGATGTCCATTTGTTAATTGTTTTATTGGTAATTTCTCTCCTTAACTCCATATCCTTCAAAGATTAAGAATTAGAAGCCAGTGGTAACTTTGTTTTGTATATTAACAATCTATGGATCCATCTAAGGTTTTGATATTTTATAATTTGACAAAACATTTCAAATTATTGTAATTGTTTGTAGCTTCACTCTAAACTATCATTTTCCATGTTTTTTTCATTTTCAGAGGCCTTCAATTTCTTTTAAATGCACAAAATTTTGGAATGTCGGTATGTACATGTTTGTCAGCATAGAGGATAAAAATTAGCTTTTCAATAATAACTGTTTTTAATATTATTATTATTATTATATTAATAATAATTTTATTATTTTGTTTTAAGGTAATCGTAGGTTGTAAGTTTGTTCTGTTTTGTCTTTTTATTATTTGTTTAGATATTTGAGGACATTAAAGCTGTATGGCACTGGTTGTTAATGTGAGTCAAACATTTCCAATGTGTAATATGTTGTATGTCAATGATGATTCTTTTTCCAATACCTCCTTTTACTAGTTCAGGTGCAAGTGTGATCATGGGTTACTTTTAACTGCTACATCAAGCTGTAATTTGTTGCAATTGAAAATATAAAACCAAATTGAATTTATACGTTATCATCAGTTTTGATAGACATGTTGGTATCATGATTGTTAAATATAATTTAGTTTGTTATTTAATGGTGATATTTATTGTATCCAGTTTGACAAACAAGCTTTAAAAATATATATCTTGAATAATATGTTTTTCTTTCAGAGGGATGATACTGGTTTTAGTACTTGCATTTATCTACATTCTCATCACAAGGTATTACTTTAGTCAGATGGTGTTTCACAGTGATATTGTTTGTTTCATTATTATCATTGTTATGATACTGATAAGGAAATCATAATCATTATTGTTACTACTGTTATCATTCTTTTACTTGTTGTTATTATTACTACTATTACTACCATTATCATTATTAACCATGAATGTCCATGAGATGACCATGGTTGTCAGGTAGTTAGTCAGAAATTACTTTCTGGACAAGTTTAAGCCCTATCTAGCAAGGTTTAACCTCTTAGATGGAATAAGCTGCTGAACCACAAAAAAGATAATAACAGAATACAATTAAAAATGATTCTTAATAAATTTTAGCTAGGGCTGGTTAAATGTTGGTGTGAATATGTCTTTAAGGTAACATTTAAATAAGTTTGGGAGAAAAAAATTATCGTTATAATGTACAATTTGGAGAGTTTCATGGTTGTTCATTTAAGTGTGGGCCCTGTCCAACAGGGTTTGATCTCATTAATTGTATGTGCAGGGGAAAAAATTTAGACCAGGCTCTCAGGTATGGCTAATGTGATACATCATTTTCCAAGGAGTCCAACAGAAATGGTTTAAACTATTTTAAGGTTCATTCATGGATATCGGTGATTAAATTCATTTACAAAGAAAATCATAGAAAATGATGTGAAATATGAGGTGGAGAAAGTCCAAGTTATGCTGGTCTTGAAAAATGTATAGTGATTTGAAAAATCACCATGGCCTTGAACTTTACAGAGGGTAAGGATAGGGCTGATAAATGTTACAACTTTTGTGTTGCAAGTATTAAATTTTCTAACCTGAAGTATTTGAAGATGTTGAAGGTATTTTTTATTTTTACAGATGGATAACAGGCCCTCTCATCTGGTTCAGCATCATTGCTGTCTTTGCCTTGATTATTTATGGTATATTTTTAGTCTCAGTTTGTTTAATTGTACCCAGAACTTGTATTCGTATATGTGCTTGTTTATATGTAAACCTTATACAATGGTTTAACATTAATTATGGATCCAAGATATTTTTGCAGGTTGTGCCACTCTTTTCTGAGTTTTGTTGGGGCAAGTAAAGTACAGGCATTGAGTAAAATGTCTGCTTGTATTACATGTTAAACCATTGAATAAGGAAATTATATTATTTCATTATTATTTTATTTTCTCATATTTCTGCTTCTAGTTTCAAAATACATCCTACTGCCTTATTCCAGTATGGTATCAATGGCATAAAGTGTGTGCTAAAGACAAAAAAAAAAACAAAAACAAAAACAAATTAAACCATTAAAGTGTTGGTTATGACAGACAAAAAAACTCAATGACTAAAAATTCACTCCTTATAAATTATGGCGAAGAAGTACAGAATCTCCACCAGTGATTTGCTTTCAAAGGAAGGGGAACCCATTTTCCTGGATCTGCTTGTAATAATGACAGCACTCTTTTTTTCTCCATTCAGGGATGTACTTTTGTTACAGCAAGTACAAGTTCTTAAAAGATTCTGGCACTAGTAAAGACTTTGAGCTTAAATTTACCCTGAACTTGGACACGTACACTCAGTCAAAAGACACCTGGCTGGGCATTGGTAAGCAAACAGCTGTCCTTTCTTTCCTTGCAATAATCACCATAAGCTTGCAGGGCTGTAAGTATTGTTATCAACAGTGCTCTCATTGTTGGATTCTGAGTCAGTAGAACAATGTTTAAGCAGAAAGCATGATTGAACAATAGTTATTGGAGATCAACTTGTAAGAGGTAACTGATTTGAGAGAGATGTGGAGAACAGGAATTGCAATATCACCCTTTTCCCCTATTTCTTACTTTGCTTGTCTTCTACCCTTTGAATTACTCCTTACTGAAAGTCTGTGACTGTATTTATATGATATCAAGTTGTTGTGTATTGCCAGGTATTTTCCTGACTATTTTGTTGGTCATCCTCCTGTTGATTGTTCTTGTCCTGCGCAAAAGAATCCAGATTGCTATTGCCATGATAAAGGAATCCAGCAAGTATGTTGAGTAATGGATCTGTATTCCAATGGTTGGTTTTCACTTTCACTTGCAAAGAATCCTTTTTTTGAAGCATAAAGTATTTCTTAGATGTCTGCCTCAAATCTAGAAAGTTAGGCATAGACTTATCTTGTAGTGGTAAAGATATATCTATGTGTTTCATGGGTCCTCTATCCCTGTTACTTCTACATTTATTCAATGATGTGTGGGTCAGTTAAGTATTTTGAAAAGTTAATACTGGGTTGAGAGTTATTTTCCCTTGAGATAAATCAAAAGATGAAGGGCTCTAAATACAGGCCACATTCAAAAAAGTTTCCTCACTTGGAGGCAACTCAAGGTTTTTACAAAACTCTACATTTAAATCATATTGCTTGTCATTGAATTGATATATCTTGCCTATTATTTTGTATAACAAATAGATTTAAGTACTCTTAGCTACATTGTATCTCCTTTTGGTTGTAATTTCTTTGTTTTGACTTGTTATTTCAAGAGCTGTTTCAGCAATCAAGACATCTTTGTTCTTTCCGATTATTCCATGGCTGCTCCAGCTTGCTCTGTTTGCCTGGTTTTTGGGTGTTAATGTGTATCCTTCACATAGGAATGACAAGAAAGCTAAAGCTGATCAAATGGCCGCATTTTAATTACTGTAATCAGACAAGCCTTTTTTCGTGTCTTTGTGGTAACTTGCTTCACCTTTACTGGAAAGTATAGAGTGCTTTTTTATTGATTATCATAAAAAAACAAAGTAATTACAATGGCCAGTGGCCAGTCAGAAGAGGTACAAAGCCAATAGGAACTAATAATAAAAACAAGTGAACTGCCTAAAGGGTGAGGAAGCGTGTAAACCAAGCCATGATTGGTGTCAGTTTTGCATCTGATTGGTTGAGAGAGTGAATTTTCTTGACCAATTAGAAAGCAAAGGAAAGAAAAGCTAAGGAAATGCTGAATTACTTTTGATACTCAATTGAAAATTGCTCTGTTTTACAATACAAGTTCACTCTGTTTGAATGACTTAGAAAATGATTAGTTGACACCAATGCACAGTCAGCACTGTGGCCTCTTGTCACATCCACAACCACACCACAGCCACACCACAGCCACATTACAGCCATATTTTAACTTTGTATGTTGCACAACAGAATGAAGATCATTGCCATTTCTCTGCTAATCTTAATCATAAATTTTATCACACCAACAGGTTATCGTGCTTTTCTAACGTTGGTTTTATCATAATGCATTTGCTCTAATGAACTTTGTCTCCAAACTAAGCCTCAATATCAGGTCACTTGAATTTGTACTTGGTTACTACATGTATCATACAAAAAGAGTTTTGTGTAGGAGACTGATGTCAGTTAGGGATAGCTTCCTATAAGAGCTGCTGGTGTTATGATCCTTAATTGATATGTAGTTATTTGGTGACCAATGGAATACCTGAGTATAAGGTAATCGATGTTCCCACAGGTGGTGATAAATACAACTTGACAAACGAGAGTAACTGTGACCCACAGGTAAGAAATGCAGTCAGTGATAAAGATCAGTTTTGACTAGTTTGCAGTCTAGCACATTAGCCACTTAAAACTTCATCTTTATCACTTCCATCACTTTTAAACATTGTTTTCGTATCTCAATAACAAGCCATAACTTTTGAAGTGATTAGGAGTCAAAAAACAAACAAACAAACAAACAAACAAACAAACAAAAACAAACCGAAATGCTTGAAGTAATAGACTTCTTTCGCTTGTAAGAATACAGAGAACCTTTTTCAGTTGTTAGAGAATTAATCAACCAGGATACGGAGTACTACCACAATACTTCTCCTGGATGGATTGTTAGCCCACAATAGACTACCTCCCAGCCTTTCCTCAGGTTTTGTTGTTAGTTCCCCTTTCTTGCAGGGAGAGGGAGGAGGTAGGCACATCTCGATTTCTCCCTATTCGGGTTTCTAACCAACCATTTGGGCCACAGCTTCTCGTACTTTCTATTATTGTAGGAAGTAGTGTGTTGTTTATTTTAAACATGTTATAGATACCTGTAAATGATGAATTTAACCCCAAGCCCCCAAATCATTGAAGAGTCACCCTGTCCTAAAAACTTGCTCTAAATATTGTTTTTGAATTAAGCAATGAATCTTTTCAGAAAGTTAACCGATTCACATTTGAAGTGTGATTGGAAATACGAGGAATTTAGTAATTTATTTCGTAACCGTTTTATTTTTTGTTTTTCCTCGTTTTTAGACTTTTGAAACTGATCATCCCAACACCAGTGCAAGTTGTGTTATGGCTGGATATAAGGAAAATGTGTAAGTGTGTGAGATTGCGACTAGGCTTAACCTGTTTACTTGTGTTTTGTGTCGAATGTGTACATTTTCATTTAAAAAGTTGGTTTTAGTCATTGGGGTTTGCCACATTCTTATTAATCAACTTATTGCCAATGCTGAGGTCACTAACGTTGCAAAAATACAGTAACTTGTTGTCGCACTGATCTGTGTTGTCATTTTTTGTTTTGTAAATAGTACTTATTTTATCGTCGCATAGATAGCCAACAAGCGATCTAGAAAAGCACTATTCACATGTTAGGTATACCGTATTCAATTGATGAAACATCGCCCTTGATCAAGTACTGCGTCTTGCCATGCAGCGCTATTCAATAAATAAACCTAAAACACTGATGCGACACAACTTTGTCTGTTTTCCTTGAAAAACGATTTTTTTTTCTGAAATATCGAACGATGCAGCTCTTTACCTTAAATTCAGGCGGGAAAGGGACATTTAAATTATAGTACACATAGGGCAACCTAGTGCGAAGCGTAATTCCATTTTTCCACCGAAACGAGACATGTCTTTCATTTCACATTTTCGTATCGTAGTTTATGGAAATATGATGAACGCCGCCCCTGTATCTGACTGGTGAAAAAACAATTAAATGCCTTGGCGCACATACAATGAAAGGTTGACAAGTGATTGTTGAAAATAGTTAATGCTCTTCACATTTACATTTACCATATTACGAGCATTCCCTCTCTACGAGGCCTATATGCTCGGATATATGATCACGAACTGTTTTTTCACAACTAGGGCACTGGATCAAGTGAATAGGGTAGTGATGTTATGGTAGACTACGAGCGGTTTCTCCTTTTCAAAGAGGTCCGTCGTGCGAGGAAAAAAAAGGAGCGAAAAAAAAAATTGATTTTAGTGCGCCGCGCGGCACTCTTGGAGTGAGGCTCACGTAATGAATCCAAAAAGAAGGGACTGCTCGTGGTCTATTGTTATGGCTACGTAGTTCTTTAAAGTAACCATTAATTGTTTCTTTTCACAGACATCTGTTTCGTATGCAAGTTTACCATTTCTTTGGCTGGTTGTGGATCATGAACTTTATCATTGCCCTTGGTCAGTGTGCACTGGCTGGTGCATTTGCTTCATGGTATTTTGCCTTCCACAAGCCGGATGTAAGTATATTGGCCAAATCATTTTTATGAAATTTGTCTCCTTACTTATTACGAAGCCGAATTATAGGTGCAGGTTTATAAGTAGGGTTTTCAACTTATTGAGACTGCTGACGGCTGAGGTCAATTTGTGGTTGAAGCACTTTAGGATGAAACATAACGGATCTTAGTCCAGATAGAGAGAAATTTGTCTTGGACAGTTTCATGCAGTTCATGAATTTGTTTTTCCTTGCTATTAGGATGTTCCTTCACTCCCAATCCTTAAATCGTTCTGGCGCACCATAAGGTAATGTTCATGTTGCTTTCTACAAGATAGTGTCCAATATGTTTTGAACCTGAAAACTACCGCATTACTAAGATGTCCATTGTCAACAATATTGTAGTAGGGTCTATTCTAGAGCACGACTTCACGGGATTCCTGCAATGTGAAAGAAATGCCGCAAGTTTAAAGGGCGCAAGGAATCGTGCCCAAGGAATCGTGCACAAAGAAAAATACTTCTTTTTTTTAAATTAATAATTGGAAGCCATGACTGACAACATGATTTATTCGATAGCTCCTATATCGCCTGTAACTATCTCAATTGTCTGTCTTTCTCTTTAACTCTAAAAATACATTCAAAAATTTTGGGGTACCCCTCCTTTGAGCCCCTTTCTTAAAAAAAGGGCCCTTAAAATAAAAGGAAAGAGCCCATTGAGGGCCCTCTTTGGCCAATTTCTAGAATAAACCTTTATTTAGTATACTAGTGTAGCTTTAAGGCTTAATCAGTCTACTAAAGCAATAAGAGAGAGAAACATATTTATTTGTTTGAAATTGGACGTAATAATTCTACCCTTGGCCCAATCATGACCGCTTTTGTTCAGACATTATCTAAAATCCACCAAGTAAGAAGCCTACAATACACCCTCTTCCTATCTTCTTTGGGAATTTTCCCCAAGAGACGAGCTAACTTCAAACGATGTTTTTTATCAGGTACCATACTGGGTCGTTGGCCTTCGGAGCTGCAATCATTGCCATTGTCCAGTTTATCAGAGCTGTGTTGGAGTACATTGATCACAAAGTTAAAGGTACGTTTGATTACCGTACAACCTCTTTTACAACTCTGTGGCTTTCCTCACACAGTTTTGTGAGACCTCACTCTGGCTAAAATGGTGTGATTTGATATTTTTTGAAATCTTAGAGTCTGGCCAGGATAGCAAGATTGTCAAGTTCATTATGTGGTCAGTATACACTTGATTTTCAAGTTCACTGCCGTCAAACTCAAATGTGTTTAGTTCTCTCGCCAAATTGTCTCCCTCTCTAGAGTAAAGTTCTTAGTTACTTCTTTAAATAATTACTATTTTTTTCGTTTTCTCTACGTGGGAACGAAAAGAAAGGACTGCTTATTGGTTTTTTTTGTTTTCTCTTTCTTTTTCTCATCAAATTGGTAAATTTCTGGAGGGAAATTTTTTAATGTGATGATTTTTTTGTGTGTAGCTGTTGCAAGTGCTGTTTCTGGTGTTTGGAAAAGTGCCTGAAGTTCCTCAACAAGAATGCTTACATCATAGTACGTTGGATTATTAGTAGTCACTATCTTATTGCATAAATGTATAATGTTAGCTAATAAAACTTAGACAGAATGGAATAAAAAATATATCCGAAATGGCGAATCGTAAAACTTATGCGTCGATGGTATTGGAGTTGTCTTTTGCAACGGAAAGGATATTTGAAGTCAAAAAAAAATGTGACTCTTGCACTCTCTACACGAGAGTGATGATACGAAATGGAAGAAGAACATATAAAGTTAAAGATAAGATATGCTTAAACAGATTTAAGCGACAGGTAAGACTGTATGATTAAAATTTAATTTTCAAAGATTCACTGCCTCTGACCCATCTACGTTGTCCTCAACAAACGTAATATTTGGTGTCAAGATTGCTTATCACTTGTTGAAATGAAAAAAAAAAATGAAGACTATATAACAAGACAGCGGTTTGAAAAGACATCATATTAAGTTAAGATTAGACCAATATGCATACTCCTTTTTATTAAACGTTCTGTTGTTTAATGAAGATTGCCATCAAAGGAAAGAATTTCTGCGGTGCTGCAAAGGAAGCCTTCATGATCCTGTTGGAGAATGTTCTAAGGTAAGACAGACTACATCAATAGGTCACCTCCAAGCTCTACAGACTTTTCTCTTCAAAATTAGATCAAGCGTGGAACATTTCCTCAATGATGTTATTTCCACCAGTACGAAAATAATCATTTTTATTAAAGGTTTCCTGGCATACTTTTTCTCGCTTTAAAACAGAGACGTAGGTTGTCTTGGAACTGTTTTTTTTTTGTGTGCTATTTAGTGATAGAGACTTAAGTGGAGGTCAATGCAATTGAAATTCAACGTAATGTGACGAGTGTCAATTCTTTCCTTCATAATCAAAAAAAGGTTTTTTTGCCAAAAAACTGCGTGTTAAAAAATTTTTAGATGGGAAACTCATCTTACATATTCCTTATTTACATGTTCACTAACAAAATTGAGTTTAATTGACTATCAAAGGGGCTGTTATGCAGCGTATTTTCGTTACTGATGTGCTTCATACATTTCTCTAGACTTTTATACCACGCAATACTTCTTGTGGATTTTCTGGTTCATATTACCGTAAGAATGTCCTAATGTAATAATTGATACTTTTTCTCAGGGTGGTAGCTGTTAACAGTGTGACGTCATTCCTTCTGTTCATGGGCAAGCTGTTAGTGGTTGGAATTGTTGGTGAGTCAGTTTTTCTGCCTGATTAACATAATTGTCATCATCCTCGAATAAATTGTCCTAGCCACTACTTGATGTCGATGATCCTCTAAGTGGGGCATGGAAAGACAGGTTGCGGCTTCACTGAAACGTTTTTTACTCTCGCCGAAACACATTCTAAACAACGAAGCAGTTCTTTGCCCCAAATAAATGGTGTTTGAGTTACAATAAAATTGTACGTGAGTCACAGTTAGTCCTAAATACTTTGGTTCCGTGAGAAAGTGACACAAGATCGCGTTACAATGTTTATTTCATATTGTTATTTTTCAGCGGTCTGCAGTTTCTTTTGGTTTGATAAAATAAGCAAAGATGATCCCGACACTCTTCAGTTTGATGTCGTGCCAACCATCGTAAGTAGACTAAGTGCATTCATTTGTCATCCTCTGGATTTCGCAGTGGACACTGACAAATACTAAAAGTGCCTTTTGAAGACGGAATCTTAAAACTTTTCTGAAAGTTTTTTGTTTAAATGTTCCTTTTAGAGTAACTCACCGTAGCTTTGGACTTTCTCTGAAGTACTGTCAAGACGTTTCTTAATGTGAATTTGAAGCTCCGAAATCTCGGTCGCTAACATATGAATTCTAAACCATCACATCGACTTAAAAAATTATTGTTTTTGCTTCCATTTAATTTCAGGTGATGGTGATTTTTGCCTACGCTGTAGCCATCCTGTTCTTCGATGTCTATGACATGGCCATCGACACCATATTCCTGTGCTTCTGTAAGTATTCTAGAATCCAGAATACTTAAAAAACGTTTCAGGAGATAGATCTTGACGTGTTAATGGACGGAGAAAACAAAATATAATGAAACTAGGAAGACAACTATGCAGTCGCCCGTTCGAACAAGAGAAGTTGGCGAGCGGACACAAAGGATTGTGAACAAAGTTTTAACAGTCATCGCGAACCCAGTTAACGTTTTCCTCTACTCATTAAGTCAAATCATGAGACTGGGAGCAGTTTCGGATGAATTATCACTCTTCGTTTGCCAAATCGAATTGTATCGTAGTTTGTCGTTATCGTGGTGTTTTTTATGTGTTTGCGGAAGAAAGCCGTAAAATTAGAGAAGGAAAGGATCAAGAACTGGTTATAAGTTTAGAGCACATGACGCTCCGGAATTCAAATCCTTGTCACAGAGTTCGTAACGAGTTTTCAAGAGCTATCTCCTTCAATATTTACGAAAATGCTCTGATTATGTTTCAATCCAATTCGTTTTAGTGGAAGACATCGAGATGAATGATGGCAGTGCTGAAAAGCCTTACTTCATGAGTGATTCACTCAAAGGGATACTGGACCTACAGAACCGCCCGCCCACGGAGGGGAATGACGAAGGTCGGAAGTGAGCCAATGGACTACACCCAAAAAACTTTTCAACTTTCTGGATATTTCTTAGTTTCCTCATTACTACTATATGAAAACAACAATCCAGAATCTATTTTCTAGATTTTATGTACTTAACAAAGCTATCGTTCATGGAATCCTGATGTGACTAATAGGTGCAGTAACCCGACTGTAACTTAAAGTCAGTCGCGTTTTGAACGACTGGGAGCCAAAATGCAGGGGATTTTTGTCACTGACTCGAGCCTGGCAGCATGTAATATAATTCTAGGTTAAGCTGTTGTTGGAAATAGTTTTTTTTGTGTGACTGAAGTGGGAGGTGCGCAGAAAATTAGGAATATGACCAAAACTTAAACGTACGTCATCGAAATTGTAATGCTTAACTTTCATACCTACCTCTCTAAGCAGAATTGTTTGTGTCAGTGGTAGTTTTCAATTTTGTATTGCTAATAAAAGGCATTTAAGAATTACCATAATGACGTGTACCCTCGTACTAAAGTAAAGCACTAGCTCTTAATGTATTAGACTCAATCCTTCTGTCCTTTGAGAGTATCTGACCATACTAATCTAACAGCTCAAAGAAGGAATGAAAAATTAAAGCAACCACTCTTGTCAGACTCAGTCATTTTGGTTAATATCTTGAATCCTGGGAATGTTCACTATAAAGCCGCGGGCATTATCAGCCGACATACCATCCGCCTTGAGGAGTTTGGTTTGAACCTGGGAGATAACAGAGTAGTTAAGATGGGAATCGAATATTCTAATTGTTCAAGCTGCTCATGCTCACAACTGACACCTACCACAAGGCTTACACCATATCATCACCAGAGAGCCACTGAACAGATTACTCATGTTTTAATTCATTGAAACAGTATTACTAGAAAGGCATGAAATTTTATTAGCAATCGATTATGTACAGTGTTTAGCCTGCTAGTATTAGGAGTCGAAGTCCATTTTCAGTCCCAGTAGCAAACTGAAAGTTAATGACCATTCCACTGCAAATGTCATGATTCAGATTTCATGATTTTATCCATCTTGAAAGGAAGAAGTTGAGCCATTTCCCTGGAAACACCAATCTCCTGCTTGAATGCCATGTCTGACACACCAGGGTGGCTGTCACAATATCCCACAAGATACTGGTAAATAGCCAAACTCTTCTTCAAATTATCAACCTTGAGATGTTTGTCTGAGCATATCAGCTTGGAGTAAAGCCGTGCAACATAAAAATGTGCCACAAGAGCTGGGCGCACAGTGTCCTCAGCAAATGTTTCAGGCAAAGCACCTTTATTCTTCATAGAGTCGATAAAGCTCTTGAAAAACTTTATACTTTGGTTTATCAATGTATTTATTTTTTTGACTGCATGTGCATTTGGATGCTCGCCTGACTCATCCACAATAGCTATTTTTAGATCAGCCATGTCACTGTATGCTTCTGCAATTTCAAACATCAATTGTCGACAGACCAAAAGATAATGCTGGGGATTCAACTCGATAAGAACTTCACTCAGCATATCCACTCGCCGTTTGTGCATTTTGCATCGCCTTTCAAAGTCTTCATCAAAGAATGACAACAGTTTGTATAGCTGGCTCAAGTCCTGTATGATTTCTACGTGATTGGTCACATGACCGTCCAGCACATAGAATTGTTTGGAGATGTTGAGCCATTTTTGTCCCTCCAGAAACAGGACACGTGCCTGTGGGAGAGAAATGAAAGATCATATAGCATTTAATAATGACTGGTAGATGAGAGAAGGTAAGTATGATTGAATTACCTTTTTTGATTGTCTCATTATAGGACTAGTTTAATTAGATGGCAGCCTGTTCCAGGAATTAAATTTGTGAACACAACATGCAGAAAATGGGATATAATAGAGACCCAGAGTGAATAAAATGATGTAGGTTTGTGACAAGATCTGATTTTTCTCCCTTCACTGAAGCACTCAGTTTACAAACTGAAGGTTGGAATCAGGCAAACTTTAATGATAAAAAATGCAGCTGAGGGGCAGGGAAGTAAATAATACTTAATGAATCCCCAAGTAATAATTACCAAATCTTGGAAAAATATCTCAAGATAAAAAAAATATTTAATTGAAAAAAGTGTTTACCTCATCATATGACTTTATTAAGTGGTCTGGTACCGACTGTTCTAAGGAAATAACTTCAAGGGACTCAAATCTAAGGGGCTCTCCTGTGTCACCTTCTTGAGTGCTTTCTTCTTTCCTGGCACTTCCATCAGAAGTCACTGGAAAATAAAGATATGTATGAAATAGGTTTTTCATTGGCATCTTTTTACGATCATGACTCACTGCACACAGTGAAACCTGTATGAACAGGCAGTCTCAAATGTTTCTTCCCATATCTACAGTACAGTACACCAAACTTCTGATGAGAAATTTTTGAATAGATGTTTATGGAGTTGTAGGTTAAGTTGTAAGTTTTTCCTTTCAGATTGTGCTTTCTGTTTTCTTGCTACACCTGTACTTGCTCATTCTTCTTTAGGAATGATTTTTCTTCTCTACAAATTAAAACAGTTTTGTATTAATGTATTTATTGTCATTGAAATGGGAAGTGGTTGCCCAATATTATGAGCAACAAGGCTCACGTATGAAACATTTGACAACAACACAAAAAAAAGAGGTAAAAATACCTAGGTAAAAGTAAAGCTAAATATATAAGATAAAAAAAATATGCAAAGATCCTAATAGAGTATATAGATGTATCAGTCTAGGAAAAGTACATAATAATAAAAAAGATCAATCAAATTCATAGAGAGGAGTGACAAAAGCACCCTTTAAAATCAGTATGACTTAATCTCCTACTAAATTCGGAGAAAGACTGGCTTTGTTTGATTGAGTTATTCAAGTTATTCCAGTAATGAGAGACAGTGTAGGAAAATAAATTATGAACAAAAGAGCTACACTTCCTCTAAATTAACAACATTATTTCTTGAGCTATATCTAGAGGTTCTTGGTTTGAAAAAACTAGATTGACTTAAATACCAGAATCAGGGATTATATACAACATCTTTGCTCTAATGATTACACACACACACACACACTTTGAACTTGATGTAGAAAGAAGAAACTGTCTTCAGTTCTGACGAAAGAAAGATATTTTTCCAGAAGATGGTCAGCCTTGTCTTCATAAACATAAGGCATGAAATCTCCCACAGAGACAGAAACAGCTTACTCACAGGATCATCTCCCTTTTTGCCATACATATTGGCTTGGTATGTAAAGTGTTGTGTAAATTTCTTAAGAAAGACCATAATATTCATAATGACAGCTACATAACTAAAGTGAATAATTCACTGGAAGTTGTATCAAAGGGGTTTCTTGAAGCAGACACTAATGAGAATGACACAAAGCAGATCTCGCTACCTGCTACAAATGATAACTCTTGGTTAACTATCACTTCATAGGGTTTGTTTACCAGAAGAAATTTACCTTATGCCTTAAATTTAGGGAATTGAATTCTAGGTTACTGTAGTAAAAACAACTTTCCCAACCTTTCTCTGTTTTTTGTTCTTCATCATTCTGATCAGCATTGGTCAATTCTTGTACACACCGATCTCTTGATGTTCTCAACACATCCAAACAATATTTACTCCAACAGCGAGAGATGTCAGCCTTCCTTTGAGGAATTCTTTCTTTTCTTTCTCTTTCTTCCTGACTGTCATCCTCACTCACAGCCTCCACTGTAGCAGTTTCTTCAGCCTCAGAGAAAACACGACTGGAACATGCTGTGTTTAAAGAAGTTACTTATTTATTTTATAAATATCATCATTGTCACGTTAAAAGGTTATGAATGACTTCATACATGCTTAGCAGAATTTTACCTATGGTGAACTTTGTAGCCATTTGCACTTGGTGTTCAGTTGCTAAATATCTTGCCAATCAATCTTTGATTAAGAATGGTTGGAACTTAACTACAAGGCTGTTGCTGAGGATATCCTTAAACCTTCATTATTCCAGTTCCTCAACTCCAGTGAGCATGAAAGTTTTTTAGCAGAGTTTCTATTTGCTTTGGTATTGGAAATACCTAAAATCCATACACAGTTGATGCAGATTTTTAAATCTTTTTTTGCATTTATAATGATTTTCCTGCCATATTTGACTTGAGACTACTGCCAGCACAAAGTTGCCTCAAAGACCACTGATGATTAATATCTTTAATTGAGGCATTTCTACATCAGACTTGTAGTTAAGTTAAACCCCCTCTAAACAAACTGAACCTCACAATAGCAACCTTGCAATGGCTTCTGTGCTCAGTGGTGAGTTTGCCATATATTTCTGTTTTACTAGACCATTTTGGCCTCATTTCAAATTCATTGATGAGTTTGATGGTTTTTTACCTATTACACCAAGGATAAGCTTAAGACTTTCATCTATTGAAAAAAGGTTCAGGTAAGCGCTTTTTTACATATAGACAGAGGAATAAAGTTAACTGTATGGAATAAAAATGCAAATAACTTGCTGACATTATAATTCTACACAAAAAAAGAAAGTAAAATCACTAAGTTTGCTCTATATGAAAACTTGGAGAAAATTCCTGTTTTGGCCAAAATTGTACCTCAAACTAACCTTACTAAGGAGGACATAAAATAGAGGAAAGGAGCCTGAAAAACCAAGATTACCTACCCAGGCAATGTCTTGCCAATGTATATTTTTCTTGTGTAATGTAGTACTGAGACAGTGTTGCGCAGTTAAGAGCCCAGTCAACTGGATCATACTGTTCTGTCTCCAGCTGGCGACATAGAGTTGTGTGACAATACATTGCCCCTTTTTTAGAATGCCCCAAGGCTGCATTGACTTGTGCTAAGTAATACAAAGTATGAGTGAAGGTCGCGCTGAAAGCCCTTTCCCGTTCAGCATCCGAGAGGAAGTTGTCTTCAGGATAAAAGAGTCTACAGATAAATAGATTATGACAACATCATGTATTCTGTTTACTGAGATGTGCTGTTATAAATGTACTGTAAAATGTAGGAAATGCACTCTCTGGTTACCTCATGATAAGAACAACTAAAGAATTTGGAAAAATTTGCAGTTCTGCACAACAAAGAACATTGCCAATAAAAAGACTGAGTAAATTGTGTGACAACTATTCCTGAAAAATTAATGTTTTACTTTATCAGAATGACTCAGATTTCTAAGACCACTATCATTATGAGATCTAATAAATCATGGCAGCCTTTTGGTGTTGTTTTCCCTGAGACACACTGATACCAGTGAAGTAAGCCTCCCATTTTTTTCTCTTTTTATCATCAAAATTTTCATCAGACTGGTAAGCAAAACTTGGTTGTGTCCTCGTGTACTGGTACACAAAGGAACGAAACATTAACGAACTGCGTCACAACTCCATGTATGGATATGAAAACAATAGGAATTCCCCCGTGTACCGGTACACCAGGACAGCCCCCAAAACTTTCTGTGTGAGTAATCAAGTATGTAACCCATGAAAAGAAAAACTTTGTGTTATTATCTTACACAACCTTCTGTGTATGTACATGAGTATGTAACCATGGGAAAAAAAAAATTTGTGTTGCTACATGTACCCTGGTTTCACTTTAGAACTATACCCAGGATTATCCTGACGTGCACAACACCAGACAACAAATTTATATTTTGTAAAGCTCCTTCCCCCTGAATTGCTGAAAACTGAATAAGTGACACTCAACAAAGTATAATTCCTCGAGTACCCTTTGACTACACGAAGCACTTTGGTATAAAAAAAGGATAAGACTTTTCAGGTGGGTGATGGAGGAATTAATAATCATCTGAATAAATTGAGTCAATGTTTAACTTACTCTTGAATGTCATAAGGAGAGCAGCCCTCCACTTCTTTTTTGTAACTATAGTACAACTTCTCTGCATCCTGTAGAAATCCCAACGCTTTTTCAGAGTCACCTCTTTTGGACCAGATAATTCCCAGCTCGTTCAAAGCATGCAAGTGTACAGAGCAACTTCTTTTGTCCATGCGATATTCTGCGAGAGTATTGATACAATTTTTAAAAAGTTCCTCGCCCATACTCAGCTCTTCAGTTTCAATGTAATTTTGTCCAATCTGATAATCAAGAGCAGCCTTTAGGATCTTAGCTTTTTCGCTGGGGATTTCGTCATCTAAGAATGATGCCAATTCAGCTTTCAAATCTAACAAGATTCTTCTAGCTTTATACTTTGACTTAAAAGGATCAGTTTCAGGATCTTCGAGGGATTCTTCCTCTGCAAGGCGTCTAGCTTCTTTATAGTTTTCGTATCCTCCATTTTTGAGCCAGTTGTTGATTTCTTCTAGTCTTTCCTCAAAGCCTAATTCGATCTGCTCCAGCTCGTCCGCCATTTTGAGCCGTCTCTGTACCAGACTTATCTACTGGGCTAGACTGCGTAAGTGCAATTGGACTTTGTGTTCTCAAAAGCTAAAGAACCGATAAATTTTCTTATATGGATAGGAAAATAAATAAATTATTTGAGGTAAAATGAAAAATTGTTTTCAGTCTCTGGATTTTTTAATCAAATCTGAAAAAAAAACACGTATAGTTAACTGCCCTTCACCCTCCCCTCCCACTACATTCTCAATCTATTCGCTAGTTCCCAGTGTTGATGTTCCAAATCTAGTCACTCATCTACGGTTCACTTAACTGTCGACATGTCTGAATTACCGGATTACATGAAAGTTCTTATCAAAGAAGAGGAGAAACCATCGTATGTGTACAAAGAAATTCCTGTTCCACAACCAGGAAACGGCGAATTACTCGTAAAAGTTCTTAAAGTCTCTATATGTGGTTCGGATAACATATTGTATCAATGGGATGAAGGTGACAACTCAATCTATCTGTTAATTTTAGTCTCGTCATCTATTCAATAGATAACGTCAAAATGTGGATGAGAAACCGCCCCTTTCGCCGCTTCACCCTAGTTTCGTTGAAACATTCTATTTATACATTTACCAGATGCAAGGCTCAGATGCAAGGCAAGATTACAATATTCCCAAAACCACTTTGTGTGACATTTGTAGGAGAACAGGTGCATGATCAAGGCTGAGTAGGGGGATGGGTGGAGGGGTCAGGGTTGGGCAACAGGGTCAAGGTTATGAAACTCTGTTGTCTATACCTTAAGATACTTCTAATGCTTATTCTTTTTTATCTGAATTTTTTTGGGGTCTGATTACCTCCTGGCTAATTAATGCTATATATAAAGTTTCCTGTTTATTTCATATCTTTGGAAGTTACATTTAATAAATGAGATGTCACTCTCTCTTAGTTCAAATCATTGTAACACATGCATAATGATATTTAATTACTGAATATTGTTCCACCAGTAATTATGAGGAACAGCTCCCTGAAAAAACCTGTCTGCTGACCGTTGGCTGACAGATAACCAACAGACCAGTGACAGGCTACCTGCAGGTTACCAATTGGCAGTATACCCAAGAATTAACCTCCAAAACAAAACTGTGACTGTACTTTACATATGCTTTTAGATGTTGAACTTACTGTGCTAATTATGTTGAATCACTTATGAAATGAGTTGATATTGCATTAAAATAACAACGTTCCTTTTGCAATCTCTTAGCAACTCTTGTAAGTAATGGCACTAAATTTGGCCTAAACCTCAGTGAATTCATATTCCTGTCCAATGTACTGTTTACGTCTACAGAAATTTGGAGGATTGATATAGTAATACAATGATATTGTTATCAACAACTCATGGACAGATTACTGACTACCAGCTAACAGTTATGTTTAAAACTGTCAGCTGACAGTTAGCTGACTGTTGGGTGACAGTCAGTTAGCAGTCAGCCAACAGGTTTTTCTTCACAGTTACTGTTCTTCCTGTTTTTTTGGTCTAATTTGTTCATTTGTTACCTATTTACAGCTGCAAAGGCAATAGCAATGCTACCTTTCATCCCTGGTCATGAGTGTGTTGGAGAGGTAATGGATGTTTTAGTATTTTTTACTGTCCATTCTTATTTTTCTTTTTCGTAATGAATTATTTTGTCTTTAGGTAGTGAAGGTTGGTCCTGATTGTGAGGAAAAATTTTTCATTGGGCAGCGTATTTGTTGTGAAAATCACTTTTATTGTGGAAAATGCTATCAGTGTTTACATGGTAGGGATGAGCAAGGATATTTTTTGTCACATTTAACTCATCAAAATACTCAGAAATGGTGCAAGGGAGGTGTGATTTCAATAATAGGTGAAACAGTTGAGCTTAACCAATGGATTCACAGATTCTATTAATTGACTTACCAGACTTACGCCACATTTGCCAGAACTTGAATCAGTTTGGCCATGGAAGAGGAACAATCTATGGAGGTAATGAACTGAACAAACAGAGAATTTTCATTTGTAGCCACTTGGATGTTTTTTTGTCAGACTTTTGTAAAGTAAGATTATCTTTGCTGTGAAACTGATTGTGACCTAATTATTTAGACACATTTTCACATATGTATTTTAGATTTCAGTATTGTCCTTCTTTAGGGTGTGCTCAGTATACCATTATTCCAGCAAGATACTGTTACCAATTGAAAACAAACCTTGATGTGGACAGGGCTTGCCTATTGGAACGTAAGAAAGCTTTTGTTTATAAACAAGTTGAAATTTGCTAATTCTAACAATAGTTTGCCTTGAAGTTATTTATTTTTTACTGATTACTGACAGCATTTGGTGTGGCGCATCAAGCAATGGAAGAGGTTTGTCCAACAGGAGACAGTGTACTCATTCAAGGTTAATAGTTAATAGTTATGTTTGTTAAAATGCATTTGAAGAATTTTCTTTTACTGTTAAGTTGGCTTCTCTATGGAGTTTGAAAGGTGTCCTCTTTCATGCTTAAAATGGATATGGAATCATGTGGTTAGACCACATCTGATATGATCTAATAGCATCATCTGTTGACAGTGTTATGGAAAAACTTTGAGGCATAATGTATTTACTATCCATTTGTTTGGGAGAGTGAATAACACACACAATTTTAAAAGGTATGCCCTTGCCAGATTTCCTATGATTTAATGACTGAATTATTATATTTTAAACATCATCATAAAGCAATGGACTCCAATCTACATAAGGTTAGGTTGAGGGGATTAAGCTGTTGAATTTCTGGTTTTCATTCAGAAGGGCTACTTTTGTATTTGTACAAGGCCTCTTTACTTATTGCAAAGCACACAATTATTGCAATGGAGAAGTTAAGTCTTACTGTATACAGGTATATGTGTCCATGTGGGTTGCTGTTCTATGCCAGTAGATAGAAAAAAAAATTATTGGTTAACTGGGATTTGCATTTATATATTTTGTACTCTGCTGCAGGGTGTGGTCCTATTGGCCTAATATCAGCTGGGATTGCCAAGAGCATGGGTGCTGTCAAAATGTACATCATTTTGTTAGATGTGTTAACCTTGTAAAATAATCATACATTAGCTGCCTATTTACAGTAGGAGTGGTCCTAACACAACCTGAAGATTCAACATTCCTCTTAATAAATTCAATCATGTACCAGCTGTCAATTAAAATGTGCCAGTGCCTGATAGCAAAAATAGCCCTCTTAAGATTTTTCCTCCATCCATGGATCAGAAATAACTCCACAGCTTGTACAAGAGACAACCCATTCTACTGTATTAGCCCTCTGTCCACATCCCTTGAACAAGCCATATCTGTTAACAATAAACCTTTTGCCATTTTGAAAAACTTTCTGTCGCTGGGGCAAACAGTCCAAAAAATATGACCAACAATAAAATACTCAAGAATTGTTCATTTTCTCCTTATTTTTCAGAATTGCCACAGATATTGTGGAGGAAAGACTTCAAAAAGCAAAGCAAATGGGTGCAGATGTATTAGTTAATGGGAAGATGGAAAATCTCAAAGATATTGGTCTGTGAGTTCTTTTCAGTCCCAAATACAGTGCCAAGGGAGAGGGGAGGGTATAATCCATGATAGAGACCTTATATGTTTGCCCACAAAATATTTGTACCTGAAATTGGAATGAGGGTCATCGAAAGTCATGAAAGTGACTAATAATGACATTTTTGAGATAAAATGAAGGCAGAAAACTGCTTTGCTATATGATCCTTCTCACATTGTCATGGCTGACCAGCTCATCTATTGCATGGAAAAAATGAAGAAGGTCTTTGAAAAGGTCACAGAATACGATGAATTTTTTTACTTCAAAGGACATGCACCCTGGATTTGTTTTCAGCTCAGTTGTGATATCTGCAATCCATTCCAGTGCCCTGGAAAAGAACCCCCAGCCTAAAATATTGTTGAATTTTATCTTGTTTTTGTTTTCTATGAAAATTGTGGCTTCCTAATTTGTTATACTTGTTGTAGCTGGAGGAATTTTCAATTCAGTGTTGATAGTAATCTGGGATTGTATTGATTTTGCTTTCCTCAGCTCTGTGATTGGTCCAGAAATCAACCAATCAGATGCAAAACTAACACTAATCAGGACTTAATTGTCTGCATTTTCCTGTGCTTTAGGGTGGTTTTCCTTTTTTTTTTAGTTTGGGTTCCCATTGGCTCTTCAATGTATTTTCCTTTCTCTTAATTGTCTGTTGTAACTACTTTGGTTTGATTTTGCAACACTCAGTAGAAAAGAGCTCAACCTGGTAATGTAGTTTTAATTAATGTTTTTGATCTCTTTCCCTCCAGTTATGAAAGAAACATCAGGTGATGGCATTGGTTGCCTTGTTGAGTGTTCTGGAGCAGCGCCATTAGTAAACAACTGTTTCTCCCTATTGAGGTAAATATTTCATTTTAACCTCATACATACTTCTCCGATCTCACGACAATACACTCTTCACCGGCTACCGATAAGTGGTGTTGTGCTGCCAAAAGTGTTTTCAAGTCTGCTCAAACCAAATCCTTCAGCTATCCAAAAATGCCCTAGAAAAATGCCACACAAAAACTGTGACAGGGTTTTCGTGAGACTTTGGCCAAAAATTAATTCAGTGTTTTTTTTTTATTCAAACTTTACTGACCAGGTCATCTCTTTACAGCAAACTGTTTGAGGTGTGGGTCCCGGGATGTCTACATTTTAACCCTGAAGACATGAGTAGGCGAGTCTTGTAGGGAGAAAATCAGAATTGGAACAACATTCAAACAACTTCAGTTAGCAAAATATTCCATGTTATTATATAGATACTGATGAAATACCAGGATTTTTCCTTTTAAGTTAAAAAATCATATCTTCATCTTGTGCAGTGAAGATACTATTTTTATCTTTCACGTGTGAGGATATTGGTGTCGCCATGATTACCAACATTATTAGCCAATTACAAGGGAGCTTCCCGCTCAGGCGCGTGGCCAGTTCTTTTGAAATTTTATTGGTATAAATAAAATAAAAAGAACATTACATTGTGGCTTGGAGATACGAATTTTATCTTCTCGTGTTGAAAGTATCTCTCATGAGTGAGCAAAGCTCACTTGTGAGAGCAGCAGAGAGCAGCTTGTGAGAGATACTTTCGGCACAAGAAGATAAAATTCATATCCCCAAGCGGCCATGTAATATCCTCTATTTAACAATTAGATTACAAGCTCGAGACTTCTATCACTCAATAGTTGACCAAGGCTAGGCTATAAATAAATTTCATACATAGTAATTGAGAGTGAATAACCTAGTTGTCTAAGTATAAATGTACTAGTCATTCAAAACTGAACAACAAGACAGGCTGCTGCTTTTGTTTTATTTTGTTTACAACTGCACACTATTAGGCTACTCACTATATCACAGAATAGATAGCGAGAAGTGCAGCCATTCAGAATGCAGCATTTGTGATAGACTTCAGATAGATTTATACAAATTATATTAACTGTTTCTCTGCAGAAAAGGTGGAAGGGTTGTTCTAGTAGGATTACTTAAGGTAACCTTTTTGGTTTTGTTTGTCTTTGCCGTGGTATCTCAAAATGCTCTTTACTTGGCATGATTACTTTACATTAGTGTGGTTCTGCTTTAACATTTTCATATTAACATCTTAATGAGGTTACTTAGCCATAGGTTAGTTTGTTAGCCCTCAGTAAAACATTCTTATTCAAGTTTTTTCTTATGCCTTTCAGCAACCTCTTCATGTAGAAAACTTTCTACAAGATATCTTATTCAAGTCTCTGACGATGAAAACAGTTCATGGCAGGAAGATTTTCAGCACTTGGGAAAAATCAGAAGAGTTACTGTTTAACGACAAGTAAGAATTACATGGAATTTTTTTAAAGTCTCTATGATGTAGCTATGAACCCATATGGCCAGTAACAAGATAGTAACCTTATAAATTAGTTATATTCAAGATAATTGGTTTCATCAACTGAGTTGGCCATTTAAGTTTGCCACCTTTGAGAGTTTCTAAAGCTGATGTTTCAAGAGATAGCCCTTGGTCCCAAACACCATGAAATACATAGCCTCAAAGGGAACATATCCTTGACAAACAGGGGGCTGGCAGTTTTCAGATCCAGTCCTAATCTTGAATCAGTTGAATGCCATTGTCATTTGGTGATGCCCGCCATGCTTCTGTTACCTAATGAGAAGGATCACAGAGAAGAACCAACAAGGATTTCTATTAATTTTATCACCATACGTGCTTTAATTTTGAACACATTTAAATTGATCTGAGCTTGGTTCTTTACAGAGTTGATGTAACTCCTGTCATCACTCATGAAGTACCAATGAGCCAGTTTGAACAAGTAAGACAACTTGCCCCTCTCTTTGATTTTCTTTGTTATGGGTGACGTTACCTTTATACATGTCAGCTCCCGTTGACAGTAAATTCTATTGGTTGTTTCGTGGTTCAATCTTCTTGTTGAGTGTAGCACAGAAAAATGTTTTTAGACTATGCAGGTGAGTTTCAGACTGACCAAATGACTGGCTGTTTAGAGCAGTTTTCAGTTGAGTTTTGAGAACCAAAACCAAAGTGATCATGACAGCCAATTGGAGCTAAAGTCGACATCATTGCTAGCTCATGAGTACTCAAATTAAAAACAGACAAACTGTATGAAGCGTGGGAAAACACGAGTGACCAAACCATGATTGGTTTAAGTTTTGAACCTGATTGGTTGAGAGGGTGGCACGAGATTTCTGACCAATTACAGAGCAAAGTTCAAGAAAACAAAAGCAATCGTGGATTCAGCTAGTTTCGACGCAATTGAAAACTGCTTTCACTAACTTTGTGTCTTACCTGGGGAGTTACTCCCCGTACATTTTGTTCTTAATGAGGTATGAATTCTACCTAAAGTGACAGACTGACTTACTGACTGGTTCACTGATGACTGACTGTTTGACTGATTGCCTTACAGTCTAACTGACTTAAGGACTTATTGAACCTATTAAGGTAATTGTGAAGAACAGCTCCCCTCCACTGACAGTCGGCCAAATGTTGGCCAACAGTCTGCTGACAGTTGGCTGACACTAAACCGACAGGCCACCGACAGGTAACCAACAGGTTAGCAACAGGCGGTGAAATAACTTTACTAGTGCATTTTTTGCACTCAAAAATCGATGTAAAACTTACTCTAAATGCTTAAAATGTTTCAAAATGCCACTAAAACTTAAAGGCACATGAACATTCCCTGTGCATAAAAGAGCCAGCGACTATTAAGAGTTTCATTTTATCTTTTTGATGCAATTATCAAGGGTTGTAAATCATACACTTTTCAAGGCAATAATTGGCATGAAGTTACCGACATTCTACCGACAGATTGCCAACACCTTACCAACAGATCACCAACAGTCAACTGACAGTTGGTCGACTGTTGGCCAACAGATGTCCAGCAGGAAGTTATCTTTTCAGGGTAATTGTGAAGAACACCTCCCCTCACCAACAGCTACATCAGTCAATCAATGAACTCAAATTAATCCACCACTCACAGACTTGATTATAGTCACCATGGCACCACTTTCCATTCAAAGCGGGGGATTTCCCCAAATGGAAGAATTTAATACATTAGACAAAACTTAAAGCTTTCTATTACACTTCTGTCAAAGGTTGTAATGGTTAAGTGTTCAAAGATTAGAATGGGAAGCCCATGTAAAAAAAAAACTGTTGTTTTCTCGGAAATTGTCACAATTATAAGTAAATTATACTAGGACTTCTTGTTGTCCAATTCACTCAGTAGCCATATTTGAGATTAACAAATCAGAATCCAGTTTTGCTGTCATCCAGTTCTGTTAGTCACTTGTATGATTACAGACTGAATCGGATTCACCTATTACTATTGGCCCTGTTACCAATTCTTATTATCAACTAACAATTTGTGAGAGAAACAAGATTGTGATGAAAAGATTTTGTCTTTTCTTTATGACAGAAACTGTGAATATGCAAAAATGCAAGTAAATAATGTTCACATCAGATAGATGCTAAACACTAAGTAACTAAATGAAATTAAGAAACAGTTAACCGAAAACTGAGCCTGCATAAGACCAATCAAAAACAAGATTTCCATGACTGATTACAAACATAGGCATGTGTAGCATACAACTGTTATTTTTTTGGCTGGGCGGGTTGAGATGGGCCACTTTGTGTAACTTTCAAATGGACGAAAAATATTGCATCCCTTCACCTTAAGAGAAAGGAAAAAAAAAATTTATCAACACTTATCAAAATTAGCCCAAAATTTATTTTTGTGCACTGCCACCTGATTCCATTACATCATTTGCAAGAAAGCTGTGATATGATTGGCATGAGATACAAACTCTAATACAGCAATCTGATTGGGCAAGATACATACCCCTATGCAGCAATCTGATTGGTGCAAGCAACATACCGCTATACCCACTAACATAGAGTTATTTTCTTTTGTAAAAAAATAACTAAAAAATTGAAGATACTTTAAGTAAAGTTGTATGCATCACAATTTTTTTTTTTTACTAGCAACTACCAACCTTTAGGTTCTAGATGGCCTCTGCACACATAGCATCACCTCTCGCATTGTTTACATCTGTTGTGCCTACAAGCTACAAGAAATAGAGACAACAGCTATTAAACAATTGCACATATTGAAATGTACATCACCTTTTAACTGTTTACAAATTTGTATCATTGATATTATGTTCTACCGCAGATCTGTTGAACGTTACTCCCCTCTCCTGTGGGGAGAGGTGCCTAGAGCTGAAAGGACGAATCAATAAGGAATGAAAGTTTGAGAATTGATTTGAAATATCGATAATGCAGAACCATACATGAGGTATATAACTTTGATTCAGGGGGAAGCAAAAATCAAAGGACTAAAAGATAACCAAATTAGTAGATCAATATTTTTTCAACTCCCTTCTCCACGCCCCCACAAAATAATTTTATGCCAACGGTAAATTTATGACGTGCAAGCGGTATTCCCCAAAAATCCAACATGGAGACTTGCGGGAAGGTTGATATCTCTCAATTTCGTAACCTTGTTCGACAATATATAGACATGCATTTGTACAAAACGGCTTTATTTTGGGCAGATGAAGCTGTATCCCTGTCTAATGGAGACATCCAAGATGTTTACTGGCTTGCCCAAACTTTATTTCTTACTGCTCAATTCCATCGAGCTTCGCACGTTTTAAGGAACCGAGGAGGTGTTCTTCAAACGAGCCTCGCTTGCCGCTATCTGGCTGCCAAGTGCCATGCAGAATGTAAACAGTGGAAAGAAGCTCTGGAAGTTCTGGATATGGAGCAAAAAGAGCCGGCAGACAAGGATCTAGCGGAGATTTACTTTGTCGGTGGAACGAAAAAGCTCGAAAGTGCAGTTTGTTTGTTGAAAGGAGTCGTGTATGAAGCTATGGATAACCGAGCTTTAGCCATAGATTGTTTCAAAGATGCCCTCAAAAATGACGTACACTGTTTTGAAGCGTTTGATCTGCTTGTTTCTCATCACATGCTGACCGATAAGGAGGAACGAGAGTTGCTGTCTTCCCTGCCTTTCTCAGAGCAATGCATGCCTGAAGAGGTTGATTTGTTGAAGTTCTTGTACGAAGGCAAGGTGACTACTGCAAACCTGTTGATCCAAAGCCACCTCCTGGTTTGGAAACCCTGTACGTCAACCTGGATGTAGTTGCTGGAATGGCTGAGCTGCACTTTTACAACTGCAGTTACTATCAGTCCTACATGACATCATCTGTCCAGACATCTGATCCTTATCATGAGGCTTGCTTGCCCATTCATATCACCTGCCTGGTAGAACTGAAGAAAACGAATGAGCTGTTCTACCTTGGACATAAGCTTGTTGATAACTATCCTCAAAAGACTGTTGCTTGGTATGCAGTTGGCTGTTATTACTATGTCATTGAAAAGTATGAGCAGGCTAGGAGGTACTTTAGCAAAGCTACCAGTATAGAACGAGTTTATGGGCCAGCATGGCTTGCATTTGGGCATGCTTTTGCAGCAGAAGGAGAGCATGATCAAGCAATGGCAGCTTACTTCACAGCTTCTAAGCTAATGCCAAGATGCCATCTGCCTCTTCTCTATATTGGCCTGGAGTATGGAAAAACCAATAATGCAAAACTGGCTGAGAGATTTTTTGAACAGGCTTTTATTCTTTCACCAGATGATCCTTTTGTGAAGCAAGAGATGGGCGTGATTGCCTTTCAAAATGGAGATTATCATTCAGCAGAAAAGAACTTCAAGGCAGCTCTCCAGAAAGCACAGATCACTAGCGGGGAAGTTCTCTCAGAAACTTGGGAGACGCTGCTCAGTAACCTTGGCCATGCCTGCCGCAAGCTAGGGAGATACCAAGAAGCATTACGATACCACAAGCAAGCACTTGTTCTTGTTCCAAACAAGGCTTCCACTTTCTCTGCCCTTGGCTTTGTCAATAGCCTCTTAGGAAATCACCATGAAGCAATAGGCTATTTCCATAAGGCACTTGGTATTCAACGCGAGGATACTTTTAGTGTTCACATGCTAGGTGAAACTCTTGAACAGCTAACAATAGAGGTCAACACAAAAGTGAAAGAAGACAATGATATGAGCATGGAGATGGATAACAGATCTGATGAGGAAAGTGACTGAGCAATACAGGGAAGAAGATGGTTTATCTAAAAATACAACAATGAACTACTCAACCACTGTATTCACTTATTTGCTTAACAAATAAAACACATGTTAAGAATGATATTTGAGACAGTTTGCTAACAAAGAGAAACAACACCACCTTGGAAAGATGATTGTGTACTGAGGGTAATCACCGGGTAATAATATTGTAAATGTGACAAAAATTTACCATGCTGTGGTTGGCTGGCATGTTGGTAATTGTGAAGAACAGCTCCCCTCACTGACAGTTGGCCGACTATTGGTTATCTGTAGGCTGACAGTTGGCCAACTGTCGACCAACACCTTACCGACAGTTGACCGACAGATTCATATAGATTTTTCTGAAAAGATAACTTCCTGCAGGACATCTGTTGGCCAACAGTTGACCAACTGTTGGTTGACTGTCGGTGATCTGTTGGTAAGGTGTTGGCAATCTGTCGGTAGAATGTCGGTAACTTCATGCCGATTATTGCCTTGAAAAGTGTATGATTTACAACCCTTGATAATTGCATCGAAAAGATAAAATGAAACTCTCCATAGTCGCTGGCTCTTTTATGTTAGTTCAGCACAGTTTCTAGGCAATTTCTCTTCCAACACTCACTTCGATTCTCGGTTCGTTCTCCATTTTGGATTTTAACTTTGTCCCAATCCCCCTCTGAATTTCGCACGGTCTCTATATATATATATATGATGTACCAATATACCAAAAATTAGGATAGCATTGCAAGTAAGCAAGTCAGTAAGTAAGTCAGAATAATTCTGATCTGTTAACTGTTTCATTACAGGCTTTTGACTTGCTGAAATCTGGGAAAGGATGCAAGATCATAGTTAATCCACATGCCTAAAGAACTGGATGGGCAATTGTTAAATTATCCTTTGTTAATTATAAATAGTATTGGTAACATGTTAGGAGAATATTAACTGATTCAATGGAAAAATTAAAAAATGTGCATAGGGACGTAGAAGTATGACGCAATTAGACGGAGTTCGACTGGTGATAAACACTCGTCAAAGAAGTCTAAATCCATATGGGAATAGGTAAATAGTGATTTACCAAGTAAAACGGTGCGAAATCCGTGCGAAATAGAAAACGGCGCGATAGACCCGATCCAAACCTCCCTTGTCTTTTTACTCCTCCTTTACTATCGCGCCTGGAATGGCTGGGTCAGGATATAACATGCAGTGTTCAATCTACATTTGGCGGAATGAAAACCGAATCGAGTCACATATCATTCAAATATTACACTTAGAGACAACTCGCTTAACAATAGCAGGACGAATAAAGAACTTAAATAAAATAAAAAGAAGAATTGTCTATCGAAGTGTGGGGCTGGTGAGATTAAGCTATCCCAAGCTTAACGAGATATCAAGGTTAGAAACAATCACGAGAACAAACAACTTTGAGATATTCAGAAGGAAGTACAGGTTGATCTTTTACTCCCAAGAGAAAAATAAATATATATTCTCCTAACAGAATCCTTACATTTTCAAAAAGAAAGGAGATGAGAGGAATGAGAAAAAGGAAAAATATAAACATGATGGCATTGTTTGATTTTCTTGGAACCGATACTCTAAAAATTGTGTGTTGGGCATTAATTTATACCACTGCCAAGTACCGTAAACTGCCTCTTATAAGCCCCTCCCCTCCCCTCCTTGGCTAATAAGTCTATTGGCCAATCCACCAATTACATCCGATCATGTAAGCCCCTTCTTTTGCTTTTCTTATTTTAAGTGATAGGAAGTCTGTACCACTTCAAACAGAAAATTTGAAAAATTATTGCAGCGCAATAAGTTTATTACTTCTTTTTAACCATCAACTTTTCACTTATATGACTAAAACTTCAATGAAAAATACTATTGAAGAACTTTTCAATGCTTCATTGTGGTGTTATTGTGGAACACTGAGTTAACAGGCTTCAACTTCACGCATACAATCAACTTATCGCATACACTCAACGACTATCATAACAAAGATGATCTTTGTTTACAGCACGAATTTGCCACTGATTATGATGATAGTTTATATAATGCACTCTGTGTCTCACGTATTTGTTTCCTTACTTGCGCTTTGTGCATCTTGTTCCCTTAGAGATAACATATACACATTAATTCAAAAGTATTGATGTGAAGTAGATTTTTATGAAGTATTGAAGCCTAATTAAGAACTAGTGAACGCAAAACGCGTTCTGATCAGTACTGCTATGGCTCTTTTCGAACCATTTTTTCTATACCGGTCATAAGCCCCCTTGGATATAAGCCCCTCCAGTTATAAGCCCCCTCGAATATAAGCCCCTCCGTTTATCAGCCCTCCTAAAATCCCTTGCGAAGTTAAATAAGCGCGGCGCCTACAAGCGGCAGTTTACGGTATGCTAATTTAATGAACTCCCCTAAGTTTCTTAGTCTCAAAACAAAGCTTCAGAATTTTTGAAATTAATTTTCCGATACAGTTTTTATCAGCAAAAAGTGCTTTCATTGTTCAAACGGCGTGGCGATAAGACAAGGTTTGAAAATCGGTATTCGAGCTCGCTCATTATTGTTTCGTTTCTGTTTATTATTGCAGTTGGATGTTCCAACTGAGCAAATAAATGATATAGTTCTACGAAAGAGTCATTATATTCACGAGAGTGCGCCCAATTATCCCATTTTCGTTAATGGATATTTAATTTTTTCCAAGGTGAGTCATGTATGTTTGTCCATTGAGGCTAATATTACGATAGTGACGTTTTGAGATTCACTTCTCATTCGCTGAGCCCAATCAAACTGTTTCATGTATGCAAATCTGAAAGCCACACGTTCGCATTATCATAACGTCGGTTTTATCCAATGTAAATGAACAACTTTTAAACTCCCAGCTGTGTATTGTCAGGAAGTGTTTGGCAGTTACTTCTCCACTGGTCTGAAAAATACCGCCTGAAAATGGCTTCCAGCGAGTATAAGGATACGGATTTTTATGATTACTGTTGTCCAGTCTGTTTAGAAGAGTTTCAAGATCCGAAAGTTCTGCCTACTTGCAATCACAACGTATGTCGACAGTGTCTAAAAAATATTATAATGCGAGCGAAACCGGCTTACATACAATGCCCTACGTGTCGACAAAAATCTTTTATTCGTGAGGATGACCTTGATGATTTACAGACAAACGTGTTCCTGGTGAAACTTTTACAACAAACCGAGCCGCAAAAAGAACGCGAGAAGCTTTCCAAGGGGATTCAAGCATGCGTAACAAAGGTGGAAATTTTGGATGAATTGATGAAGGAGCTAAAATTGAGTCGACAAAGAAAATTCGAACATGGAGAGTCTATAAAAGAAGAAATTCACAAAATGGCTGATGAGATTGTCAGAAAGACAAGGCTAAGCGAAACAGAGTTGATCAGCAGAGTGGAAGAGTTTATCTCTCAACAAGACAGCGTATTCAGCCGCCTTGAAGAAAATACGGAAGCTTTCAAACAGAAGGTACAAGCTCACGTTAATGTTTCTTTGAACACTTACGATGGGAAGAACGATGGGGAAATTTCAAAGATGAAAACCACTCTAGCTTCCTTGGCGCACAATAGCCCAGAGGACAAATTATACAAAGAGATGAACGAGTTAAATTCATTTGCTGCTTCATTTGACGCAAACAAAGATTTTCTGCAAAGGATGGAAAGTCAGGGCATCGGCGAATTATCCATGAGTGATCCGAGCGGAGTGAAAATTGGAATCTCTACCCCTCTGCAGTTCATGAGAGTATCACTCACAACACTGCGTAAGATCACTGCTTCAAACTTTGGCTTCGAGTCATTTTCACCCTTAAGCATCACGACAGATGGTCTCAAGCAGGTGGCTGTCGCTGATCCAGAGAACAACAATATTCTGATTTTGAATCGAAATGGTGATTTCGTGAATAGATTTACATCTCCAGCGAACTCTCCCCAGCCTGCCATGATGTTTTCAGGTGTTGCTTTTTCCAAGGACAAAAAAGACTTGATCACCGTCAACGGTGCTCGTGACGTACATCTTATTAACCCAATTGACGGAACCTTTAAAGTGAGTTACAGAAGTAGCTCACAGTGGGGTGTCAAATACTGTTTTGTTTCAACTGATCGGTATGGACGATTTTTACTCACATGCGAACCCTTGGCGAAACAATACCGAGCGTGCATCATCGTGCACTCGGATACGCCTTTCGGAAAACCCGATTTGAGGTTCGGGTTTTCAGGCGAAGGGGCTTTGTTATTCCCTTTCAAAGTCCTTTACCATGACAAGCATTACTTTGTGACAGACATGGAAAAAGGCTGCATTATGGTTTACAACGAGTATGGCGATTTTCTTCGGCATTTTGGGAGTAAAGACGACGAAATTAATGGCAATGGTCGTCTGGTTTTACCGACAGGAATGACTTTTGATCCAAGAGAGGGAATATTGTTAGTGTGTGACTGGGGATCTAGTTCTATTCAAACGTACAAACCCGACGGAACTTTTCTCGAGGCATTCCCCATCGATGGACGCCCCACGGATATAGCCCTGTTCTCCGATGGCACCCTCGTGGTTTCCTCAAAAGACGATCAATGGATTCAGTTTATGTCGATATCAACACTCGGGGTGTTTAACGATGAGGAAGTGGGTAGGAAATGAATTTGCCTAGTGAACCCCTAGTTATTAATCAACAAATGGCAAATTTCATGACTGTCACACATTGACCGGGACAAAATTGCTGCCGCTTTGTTTACGTCTTTCAGTTGAGGACGAAATGAAATAAGCAGCAAGTTCTCACCATGAACGATAAACCTTGTTGGAGTTTATCTCCCCTCACTCTGACCACTTACATTCATCCTCGTTGTCTCATAACTGCAAATTATTACAGGATGTGAAGCGCATTTCGATTGTAAAACCAAAACCAAAGTAATCACTTCAACCAATCGGAATAAATTATCACAAAGAGCCCCAGTAGAACTCAAAATAAAACAAGATACCACGAGTTACCAAGCCACCATTGGTTTATATCTTGAATCTGATTAATTAAGAAAGTGGCGCGAGTTTCCTGGAGCAACACTTACACTAAACACACACTTGAAATTGCTTTAATAGAGAGGTTTCACAAAGTAATCCTAGTAACCAAACAGAACTAAGATTAACTTTTTCATTCGCCAATGAAAACTCAAAGTGGAACAAGCAAAGTGCTTGAAGCGCAGGAACACTCAAATGACCGAGTTTGATTGTTTTTAGTGTCTAACACGATTTCCACTGGTCGACTATTTTATAATTTGAGTGGAAGATAACAAAGACGCTAATAAGAGGATCTCAAAGGGGTGATGACTTTTAAAGCAAACTGTTCAATTTTGTCCGTTTTATGCCTAACGGTTAACACCACTGAGACCCTCATATAAGGCGGGAGGGTCGAAAGGAGGGCGTGGCTAATTCGACAGGTCTGTGTTACGTTCGAGTAAATAAGCAAGCCTCTTATAGTAATTTACAACGTTTATTTCCCAGAAGAGATTCAGCTCAAAAAACTGAACGGTGAATGACTCCTCTAATGCGGAGTATATAAAACTACGTTCCATTGAGTAGTTAAGCTATAAAATCAAGTCCTCCAACGAATTCTGCTGATTTTTTGGCATTTCATGAGGTTCACTCGGTATCTAAGAAGTGTCAGCCAGCACGATATCCAAGTAGTTCACCTGGAGTCATGATTGCCACTTCCGGTCCTAAATTTTTGAAATGTTTGTCTAAAGTAAAGGGAAGCTTAATCAGGTTGGAACTGTAACTTCTTTTTCTGAAACCGCTTCAGACAACATTTTCTGTTTTGCCATGTCAACTTCAGTCTGTTCGATAGGAGTTTTGTCTTCTACTGCATGACATGGATGTAAAGCCGAACCTGAATTCGATTCTGGAATCTCTCTTCTCGCCTTATCCTCTGATAGTACAGAAATTTCTGAATTGTTCTGTTCCATAATGGCTTCATCACCCTCATTTTGTGCTGAAAAGCCAACATCGTTCCCGACATTAAGCTTTACCATGAGTTCTTCGAGTTTTTTTGCCTTTCTTAATTCATTTTCTCTAATAATGGTATACAGGTGCTCTGTTAGCAAATCTTTCCTTTCCGTTTTTCTGTGTAAATCCATCTTTGCCTCCACAAACTCTTTTTCTGCCTTTTCATACCTCTTTCTGAAAATAAAGTTTCAAGTAGTTTGTCCTGCTGTGAACATTACCACTGTTTTCATCTAAGCGTGGACACGTGTCATGTTTGGCAATCAAAAATTTAAACTTTTCACAACTGTTTAGCAGACTTTCATGTCAAAGATTGAGCACAGTTGAGGTCAATGATACTGATATACTTTCAATAAGAGTCCTGTTAAAGACAGAATGTGAACTTTTGTTTGAGCGAGGAAATGTTTAGGAACTGTCAAATGACAGACTCAAGATGGTAGACAAGTAGAACACAAAATAGTATGGCAACAAATTTATGCCTGATTTAAATAAATTTAAGCAACTGTGTATGTTTCTGTGATCTTATGAGATGTTATCCATTGGAACTGCTAAATTTGATTGGTTCCCTTGTCTAATTTGATAACGCTTCATTGAAGTGACATTAGGGGCAGAGAGATGATTAAAGAGTCAATAATAAAACATCTTAGAAATCTGCTGAAATACAAAATCTGTTGCCAGTGCTGCAGTTAATTCAGATTGGCATTTTTCAATTTACTCCTATAAAATTTAGAGAAAAAGTGCTACGTAAAACTGAGAATTCATTGTGAAACATCTTGACAAACTTAAACTGGTTAGTGTGCTTATTCACTTACTGTGCACTAAGGAAATCTCTACTGCTCTCCTCTATCTTGTCTCGAAGAATAGCTACATCAGCAGACAGTAGACTGTCAAGATGGCTCAACTCTTTCTGAACTAAACTAAGAGTGTGTGCTTCTGCTTGGGTTTTCTGATATCTAACCAAACAAAAAATAAACAAAATAAGACAACATGAGAGGCGCAAATCACAACTGAAGAAAAGTTACTGGTAATTAATGAAACCATTGTGATGAATGACCTCCTTGATGAGTGCTCTGTTCATGCAAACTTTTCACACCACAAAATATAATCATTACACAGTCTAGAATATCCTCTCTGCTTTCTCCTATTTTTGTATGTGATATATTCACCCTGTTGTCAATAAGTATGCGACAATATGTTCCCCTCAGACTTAAAACCTATATAATCCTTAACTTAACTTAACTCATTCAAAATTTCAGCTGAAAGGAGGGGTGCTTATTGGATGAAGGCTTAATTGATGGGGGCACTTATTATCCTGTACTGATTCCCCTGTAATCGAAGCTTTAAAAGTTAATCAGGGAAAGACAGTATCATTAATCAATATGTTTGACTTGCCCTTTTTTGAATTTATGAACTAGTAAATGAATACCTTTTCTTTATTGTTTCCTGGAGAGCTGCTTTCTTTCTTTTATTTTCCTGTTCAATCTGTTTCTGTTTTTCTTGCATCTTTTCCAAAGCTGACAATTCAATTGCTTGTATTCTATGCAAAAGGTTTAGAGAATTTCACATGTCATTAAAAGTATTGATAGGTTTATTTTAATTAATATATGTTTAATAATTTGTCTTCTTGGATAGGTCCTCACTTGGATACAGAGACTGTGATTGCTCAAAAAGAGAACTTAATTTTTTCAAGAAAATCTAAATAGACTTGACTGGGAAGCAGCATCTTTAGTTAGTCACAAACTGTTAGAAATAAGCAAACTTTATCAGATGTCTGACAAATGCAGTAAGCATCAAGGGGTGTAATACCTATTGCTATGCATTTTGGACAAAGTGCACCCCTTATTGACTTTCATCCCATCCCCCCCCCCCCCCCCTCTTTTGCTTTCATCACAAAGAGTTGCTTTGTTGGGTACAAGTGTAAAATGAAACAAAAAGGAGGGAAAATCATTTTTTGTATCACTTTGGTCTTTTGATTAAAGTGTCCCAACTTTTTTTTTTTGTCAATACCGCACATTCGAAAAATTTTCATGTACCTCTGCCAAATTGAATGTACTGCACTTACAGGTATTGTGTAAAAACCAAAACAATTTATTGATTACTCACCATATTTTCTGTATAGGTTATCTAAAATGTCCAGCGCTTATTGAAAGCAGTTAACAAGACAAACATACAAGGCACACAGTGCGTTCAATGGCAAAAGAAGTAAAATTACTTTTAATTAAATGTGTCACTAGGAGACCAATCTTTCAATTATGGAATGTGGGTTCAAATGTTCGCAAACTGGTAAGTACCCTCAACAGCAACTGTCCGTGTAAACTGATCAAATAAAACTTTAATAATACCTTTCCCTAATCCTACCTATCATTTTCGTCGATTATATTAGGGAGATCGATTTCCACCTCTTTATCCGTAAGTATACCGCTTTGCTCTTGATGGCCATCATCCACCTCGAAAGCTTTTCCTTGTTGATCATTGGCGTTCTTCAGAGACTTGTTCTCTAAAGACGATTCTTCGGGGAGAGAATTCCTTTCTTTCACTTGGCTTACACTTTTTCCCCGCCTTTCACACTCTGGAGAAGAATTTTCCTTTTCTTCTTCCCTGGAATCAAGTCGCGAAGTTGAGCGACCACCGTAAGATTTGGTGCTTGTGTTCTGCGGCGCTAACTGAGCGCAATCTCTCGCGCCCTGGTCTTCATTTCCTTCTTTTTTCCCGGAATCTAGTTTCCCTGAAGATGTACCTCTTGGTCTTACTTTCTCACGAGGTCGTTGTCGTTTTGCAGTGTTTATCGCTGACTTTTTAAGGCTTCCTGGAGCTGTCCCATCTTCTCCTGCAGTCTGTCTTAGCCGGAGGAGCTCCTCGTCTGTGAATCCGGCCCAAGATGACATCAGGGAATAATTCAATAACAAAACTCCATGTTTCTGGGTTTTACTTTAGAATATTGGTGAACAACGTTTCATAATAACTTGTAGACACGAAAGACCCAAATATGTTGACACGTCCACCATATTGGAATCAATTTTCTTTCCAATGCTCTAGGAGCAATCGTTAAGGGGAGACTAGTATAGAGACTAAGTACTAGCAAGAAAATGGCGGGGAATCTTGCGGATCTCGTGGGGAAAGTTCTCCAGGGAACTTGTGGTTGGTCGGATTCGTCGATTGTGAAGTGCGGAAGGTTTTATCCAGCTTCAGTTAAGACAGCAGAAGACCGTTTACTGCATTATTCTAGATTTTTCCCTTGTGTTGAATGCGACACGAGTAATTATGCGATTCCTAGTCCAATGAGAGTGGAAAAATGGCTCAAGTGCGTTCCGACGGGTTTTAAGTTCCACTTCAAAGCATTTGGATTATTTACAAGGAAGGTAAGAGTTACCATAGAAGTTACAGCTATAAACTGTTGGACATGATAATGAATTTCACAGCGGGGTATCACTACAACTGGGTGGGTGGAGGAGGCGGAGCGAGGGGCATCGGAAGCCTCTAGTGTCGTGATTCTTTTCCAACAAATTTATTACCTTGGGTAGAAGAGTTTTTGTGACAGTATTTTTACTTCCCCTGATGTGATTGTATTTTGTATCTGGTGGGGCTGTGCTCTAGACCATGGGGCTTATTAGTCCCCCTTAGCTTGAGCTACATTGTTTACCCCTCAAACAGGTTATTTATGTAATCTTTTTGAAAGGTCATACAAGTTATTTGGTAACATAACACAATAGCTGGGCTAGGGCTTATGCTGTTAAACTCTTGACACAAATTCGTTACACTGATCACCAGACAAAACATCATCAAGTATACTTGACTTGAAATGACACATGTCACATGGTTGCCTAATATCCAATATTCAGACTCTGAATGAAAAATTCTTATTTCAGACTTAGAAGGAATTATTTGGTTTGGTTCTTGAGCAAGATACTAGGCTCCTACAGTATATTACTCTATCAAGAAGGATAGATGGGTTTCCTGGCAAATCTTCTGGATCTTGCTGTGCATCAGTTCTCTATTCAAAGGAATTAAATACATTCCTAGTCTCTTTACACTTCTGAACAAGGATTTTAACTCTTACATTTGTGAGCTTATAGTGTTTGAAGACTTAAGAGGACTTGACTCACATAGTAAAAGATTTATAGCTCATGAGACTATATTACTAAATTAACTAACAAGTGAGAGCTTTAATATTTACCCTTTAACTTCCTGAAGTGGTTAACATGTAACTTTTCCTTATATCCATGTATTATCCAGCAAACAGGTACCAAGAATACTCAAAGTTATTTGGTAGAGGGTGATATCCTGATCCAACACAAAGTTATCACAACTAATTTACAAGAATTCAGGGAATTAGGGATGGCTTGGTGGTGAAAGCACTCACCTCCCACCACTGTGGCCCAGATTCGATTCCCAGACCTGGTGTTATATGTTGGTTGAGTTTTTTGTTGTTGTTTCTTGTCCTTGCTCCAGGGTGTTTCTCCAGGTCTTTAAGTTTTTCCCTCTCTGCAAAAACTAACTTTTTAAAATTCCACTCTGACCTGGAAACAGTGGAAAAGAGTCACCTCATGAACTGTATGCTGCTAATATAAGTCCCATTTATTTTAAGAATTGTATAGCAGCTAGAGGAGTGAATTAAGAATCAGATGTTGGGAGTTTAAGGGTTAAACCTCTCAGAAAGACTAGAGGGATTGAAACTGCTCTGGTTTTTCAGTCAATCTCTATGTCAGCACTACCACATATTGTCAGAGATGAGCTTCCACAGAATGTCATTAGAGGACAAATGTCAATCACCTGGGAGGAATTAAGTGTACTGCAAAAACAGAAGCTCTGGGACAGATTCAACTCTGCTCTTCTACCTGCTTATCAGAAAAACAAATTGGGAGTTGTCATTTTCCAGGTAACCTGGTGATAATTGTTGTAAATTAACAAATGAAGCATCCACCAAGGAATATCTTCATGTTCCTTGATTTTGATTAGTTGTTGAATGTGCATTTTAAATGATGATCTACAAAAGCCAGTTATTCTGTTACTAGATATTCCTTTATTATGCATGTTAGGGTTTTTGAATTAATGTACATGTCATTTGCACAGCCATTTCTTTAAATTTCTTTCCAATCTTGCTAAAGTAAAAAATTATATTATGAATTAAAAAACATTTTCAATGTCATACTGTTTGTTATTTTGAGGCGAAGGGGGCCTAAAGATGTAGCTAAAAGAAACACAAAAGAAGTATGACTACAAACAGAATTGAATATGCTAAGCCCTGTTATCAATTTTAACAATTAATCAAAACCAGGAAAAAGATTTGAGGAAAAACCAGAAAACCATCGTAATGGTGTCAAGTGTAAGTGGTGACATAACAAGAACATTGTTGTCTAAGCACAAGAGAAATGAGTATGCTGTCCAATTGAGCCTGCTTACAGCTAATAAGGCTCGATCAATTTCATATTTATCGCTTTGTTTGTTTGTAAAATCACTTTGTATCCTTCAGTTTCACTTAGGTTTTCATCCTATCAATGAAAATAAGGAGCACATTATGGAGTGTAGAAAATTTCTGGGTGTGAATTATCCTATGGCTGTAGAGTTTCCCTCAAGAGTTTGGTTTACAACTGAGAATTTACATACAACCCTGGACTGGTTGAAACAGCACAATATTGGTGAGTACAGCAACTTTTAATTTGGAATAAGAAAATTAGAAGAATGCTAAAGGCTAAATTGAGGCAAATGGGATTACTTTTGAGAAGTTATCATGCCTGTAATACAACACCTTCCTTAGTAGGAAACTCAAGATTAAAAGTTCCTGAGTTTCTAGGTGGGGCTAAAGTGTATTGTACAAAGGTATGACACTAAACTTTCACAAGAGCCCCTCACCATCCATGAATATGAATGACATCACAAATCATAGAATTCTTTTGTAAGAGTTTGATGGCCTGAGTTGCTTTTTATTCAGAGGTAGAGAGTACTTTCCTTTTAAGTTACACTGTTTTCCTGCTTATATATTTCTTGAAAAAACCCAGAAGTGAGTGCCAAAGAATTTGCCATAGAAACATGGATAGATACAAAGAGTAATTTGGGATTGACAAGTGCCCCATCTAAGGGACACACCCATATTTCTATGATTCCTCTTTATGCTATGGAAACCAAGACATGCTCCAGCAGTTTGTGTGCTAGAACCTTGTTCAGGTGCAGACTCTACATGACTATATATTGTAACAGTGCATTTTTGTAAAAGATCAATTATTTTTTGTGATTATTTTTCATATAAGGCCTGGTGGTTGCTGATGAACTGCAAAGTGAGGTCAGAAAAGCATTTTGTAATCACTTTCAGGGGTTCTCTTATTCTTAACCTACCTCAAAATTTTGCTTGTTAATTACTGTTTATGTTCTATTTAGATGATATTTAAGTTACAAATTGGTCATATTTGTACATTTCTTCCTCTGCTCTATATTCTGAATAGTTTTGGTGACCACTTATTGCAGCCCTCTATAGCTGTGCACTTTTTCCTAGTTTTATCCTCCATCCTTTCTATTTGTATTAGGAAACTGAAAATATTCAGACAATTATTGTTCAAGCAGGTGTAGTCATTACAATTACCTTTGACACAATAGAGATTTCAGTTATTAGTTCCAACTTTGCTGGATGGTTTTGGGAATGTATCCTAAAATGAGTTCATTTATCAATTCTGAAATTCCATGTCCAATTTGTTTACAGCTCTATGTTGAAAAGAACAAATCAGCAGATGGACAAGGGAAGGTACTTTCATTTATTTTGACAGTCAAATTCCTTTGATCATAGCTACACTTTTTCAGGATACGCTTATGTTAGATTAGCATTACAAATTATGATTTAATACATACCATACAGGCAAGTAGTGCTTTTAGGGTGCATTGAATGGCTGGTTTGGAATTGAGTTGAAAGTACTATCAAAATTGCTCATCAAGAGTTTAATTTCCCACCATCTGTGTGGTTTATGCTCAAAAAAACACCTCAGTGTTGGTGAAAGTGGTGGATATTTATCTTGCTGTTTTGTGGCTTGGTAAATATCCACAACTATTTACCCAACTTTTTTGAGTAATTGTTAATATACTGAATTCTGGAACATATACCTACTTACTTATTTACTTGGGCACCCTGGAATACAAATGAATACTTGGAAGCTGTCAGAAGCCTTTCGGAAAGGGTTTAGCCGTAATAGACCTTCCTCACATCCAGCAGAGGGGAGGGGTGGGGGTTAGCAGCTAAGTACTTTCACTCCCTACACCCTCTGTTGGCTTCATGCTATTCAAACAGGAACAAGTTGTAATGAAATCAAGCAGTTGTGGGCCTGTAGGCTTATGTACATTTTACAAGTAACATGAACATATCAAGTTTGATGATTATACGTCTTAAAGAACATTTACTTTACAAGGACGCATATTATGTTTTCTATATAAGTGTTTGATTGATTCTTATATGGGGTCATTATTTTATTGTTCCATTTTACTACCAACGCTGAAAAAGAAAAAATTTTCCCTTAGCTTCCATCATTGTTAAATTTTTCAGCTTTCATCACTCTTTTGTGTTCATCCTGAACATATTAAGTCTTGTTAGGGTGAGTAAAAGTAAAAAAAATTGGACATCAAAATTAGTCTGAGAGGATAAAAAGTTGGTTTTTTTGACAGGAGTCAGGTTGTGGAGGAGTGGTACCGATTATCATGGCGCTTGGGTCATGTGACTTTGCTTATGTCCGCGTGCATCGCAGAGTTGGGAAACAACGGGTCTTAAGTGAAGAGGAGATCAAGAGGTTTGCAGGAGCAGTTGCTATCTTTCTGTGTCAATGTATTTACGAGTCTTGCTCGTTATAGTAGTCCTATGTTTGATATCAAAGTTGTATACGTGAGTGTTTAACGCCCAGCAGTGGACCAATTCATCTTCCTCTTTTCATTCCACCCACAGTTTTTTTAGCTCTGTTTTTTCTACGTTTCACCCTTAACAGAAGCCTGATCAGCTCCCGGGTCTCACGGTTTGGGGAGACAAACTGTCTCGCATTTGCCTTAACCAGGGAGGTGGTGACTTCACTCATAACTCACTCTCCACCCGTAACTCTTTTTTCTATCCACAGTTGGGGAAAGCGCTTACGCTCGCCTGAATTGCAGAATTCAATACAAGGACCAATTTATTTTATGTGGGGAACAGATCATGAAGATCAGGTAGGGTCAGAAGCTTTCGACGAGAGATTTGTGTTTGAAGTAATTTTTTCTATTTTTCCTCCTGTAAAGTTTATTTTATGTTTACTATCTCGGTTGTGACCTGCCTGAGGAAACACTAACTTTTTCGATGAAATTGGCCTCTTTTTACTGAAGTAAAACACCCATCTAGGCTAGATGATTTGAAAACGAGTACATGTGGGGCAAAATTTGCAGAGCTTTTCAGGTGACAAATCTGTTCATGTTCGCTTTTAGCCAATCATTAACTCAAAGAACTTGACAAAGGAAATAGGAAACATGGCGTACGATTGGAAAAGCAAGATCTCCAACACTGGCATGTTACGGTTCTGCTCAAAAGTTCCCACAACACCAGACAAACAAAAGAATGAAAGTTACGTTTTAAAAAAATCGCTTGTCATTCAAAAGGACTCACTTGATACGGTGGCTTCTGGAAAAGATGATGACGTTAAGGTATCTGAAACCATCATATCTGCTACAACAGAGTCCGAAGGGTCTGAAAGCAAACGTCCCATGCCACCCCTCGAAGAGTCTAAGTTGTGCTCGTCTGGTTTGGCCACCAAACGAACTTCAAGTCAAGCAGGTTTATTATCTCCCAGAGAAAAGCATCCATCACCAAGCTCGAAAAATCAAAAGAAATGTTCCACACCAAACAACCAGAGAATGATATCTGATTTCTTCAAGAAGTGACTTTATTTTTCCACTTCTGAGAGACAGAGCATTCGTTGTAGTTGTATTGATTCCCCTAGTACCTATAGTCAGCCTGGAAAAAATACTTTGTCATCCATCTCTCTCCACAAAATAATATGGATCTTAAAAAATATGAGTTTTACTCATGTTTCCCTAGAATCAGAGTTAGTATTCACTGTATAGTTTGTAAGTAATTCTTTTAAGGGTCCAGGGAAGGAATAACCAAACATTTCAAAATCTTTCTTAAAAATTTCTCCTATTCGAAAAATAAGCTGGTGTGGAACTTGTGAATAGAATTTGAGGAAATCATCGTCAGCTCTCGACGAATGAATTGGCGGGAAAACCACGCGGTCGTCAATTCCCGCCAGTTTTAGTAAATAAGTGGCGTCGTCGTCTAACTTTTCATAATGGCCGATGAAATCAAATTGAATGACACAAGGGAAACAAAGATTTCCGTATTGTTTCCAGTGGTCATCGCGGGAGATGAAGGAATCAGGATAAGTTAAAATGTACCTGAGAAATTCATTGAAAGTCACATTGTTAGCTGTAGTGCTGATTGTTTCAATATCTTGAGGTCTGAATTCTTGGACTATTATTCGGCGAAAACCATTTGTGTAGATTCGATTACTCCCCCAGAATTTGTCTTTGTAGGCGGATAGTAAACGGTGAAACGGCTCACGCACAAAAAGGAACTTAAAATGTGTCATTAGACGTTTTGAGTTTTCCGTTATATTGAATTGACTCATGTGTTGCCACAAACTCGGCGTATGCACGGAAAATTTCTCAATTTTATCGCTGTCATTTCGCAAACTCAACAAAATTCCCTTAATTGTTGTGCTGGCAACCTTAGGAACAGAGCAAAAGATATAATTTTCGTCATCGTCGACAAGAAGTTGCCCAAGCCGCTGTTTATCAGGTAGTTCTGGATTTTTAGAATGTGTCCTGCAATAATGTGTCAGGTGCCTTTTTCTTGCTGCTTGTGTTTTGGCGGCTCTTGTAAAGGCATCGTTAACCGCCAAGGTTGTGTTTGACTGTAAGAGTAAAAACGGTGGTCACATATGGCAGAGAGCACACGAAAAGTGACAATAGTTTCAAATGTTAAGAGTGCTCAAAACTATGTAGACTACTTATTTGTGTTCCGATGTTTAATAGGCACAGTCTGGGGGTTACAGTGAAACCAGTATGTAGCTGACCCTACATTTAGCGGAAGTCCTGATAATACGGAGTTTAAGAAACGACCGACGGCGACGCCGTGGACAACTTCGGTTAAAAAAATGACGAATCTCGATACTCTTCCCACTGTATAAGCTAAATATGGAACACAGCGTTAGAAAATTAAGAAAATTAGCTGTTGTCGTTCACGTTCGTAAATTTTGGTCATTTCATCAAAGGACGCAAAGAAATTTACGAAGATTTACAATGCAAGTGCAGGGCCATTGTTCTGCTCATTAAACCTTTGGTTTACTACGTGACGTTCTCGTTGCCATTGCCGTCATGGTTTTCTTAAAGTCCCTATTGTCCTCCTCTGTACTTGCATTCAGCGGACCCCTGTCTTACAGGATGGCCCCGCGTTGCAAGACAGTAAATTTTGAATAAAGGTTGAGTAGAGAGGGAACAGACCCTAAAATTGAGCCCATTTGATACCAAAAACCCTAACTAGCTGTGAACGTTGTCATAAAGGGAAAAGTAATTTTAAAAAGCTTGCTAACTTTGCGAAACGTACCAGAATCAGAGGTTAACCGACACCCTGTATGCTGAAGTAAATAACACGACATGGGCTTCTGTACGAGCAAGGGTTCCTTGAATATTCCATTACTGACCCCTTTACTCCCACATCTCATAAGTAATTCTCCTTACTGTCTGCCATACAATTCTCATAGCGTTAGTTCTGAGAATTTGGTGTTGGATCAACTAATCCTCCAATTGATATTTTGCTTTATTCTCATCATTGTATCGTTATTGTAAGGCGAAATTCTGTCGTGGTCACGCGTAAGAGATATGGGTTTACAGAATTTTTACCATAAAATGTCCAACTTCAAATAATAGAGCAACCTGACATACAGGATACCCCGCTGAATGGAAAATTATTCTCACAGCCCAGTATTTCGCACACCATCCTTTTTTTAAGCTGGCTTTCCACGGAATTTATCGATGAACTGTGCAGATCAAGAAAGGTATTCTAGTATTTTAGACTGAGGAACCTTTTTTCTTTCATCTCTTTTGTCGGTTAGCATTTTCTTCTAACACGCCAAGAACTTAAGGCGGCTAGAGTTAAAAATGACCATGTAACCTGAAGTCTTTCCGAGACATAACCTGGTCTTTGAATACACTGTTACAGTTGTATGATCTCGCTGGGAAATAAACGCTACCCATTTGTCTTTTGTTTCCAATAAGTTTGGTTTCGTTACTGCCCCATGTATGTTATATTTTAGGATTTTAAAGGTTGTCGATTTACACAAAATAAAACTGTGAGAAGAGATTCTAACCAAGAGACAAATAGATACCGTTTTATTCTTTGTGGTTCCACCCGGATGAATGACAAATGGTCCTGTACAAAGCAAGAAGATTTTATCAATGTATGTTTACTTCTTAAACAGAGAAATAGAGATCCTGAGTATATTTCAGGAACCCTCCAACAGATAGCGTTGTATTCCTTTTAAAACAAGCAAATAGCTCGTATGATGACCAGCGGTACATAACACAACTTAGGATAAACAGAGGTGCACTTCTAAAAGCTTCGGCGAGCCTTTGACCCTTTCATTTCCAAGATCTAAACAGCACTCATCCTAACCTTCTACCTGACATTTCTTATGCAATTAGTCGTGAGAGTTTGTTTCTTTTTTTTTTTTCAATCAAATGATTTACCTCAGTTTTTTTATTTTCTTATCGCCAGTCTGCGTAATAGTGTATTGATATTTTAAGGTTAAATTACTTCTTGGACACTCTTGAGAATGATATAGTCAAAATAAAGACCATTTGTGATCAGCTGCGCTGAATATTCCAAACTAATACAGGAATACGCTGAAAGAAAAGTTTATTAATGCAAGGCAATATTATTAAACCCGACCGATTCTGCAAAATTTTCAAAATAAATGTTTTTCTTTTAAAACCGAAAAAGAAGAAAATCGTAACCTTTTTTCCCCGAGTTGTTAGTCTGTGTTACCTCTACAAAAATGTTTGATTTGGTGTTTTAATTCACCGACAATAATCTACTTCCCTTTGGAGGCAGAGAGATCAAACGATAGAGTACTTGAATTATTAAAAATTCTGCGATTATAGTTTACTTTCCTTGATAACTGTCATGAATTTTTTTTAGTTATTCACCTCTAATCAAAGGTTTTACCGAGGGATATGGTCTCCGAGGATGTGGCAGTTGCAGGCATCAAATGTTTTTATCCCAAAAGGACAAATTTACCAGCGATGAATTACTAGCCTCTATATCAACGAATTATGCAATTCGTCATAGCTTGAAAAATCCATGATTAAGTTTGAAACGAAAACTCGCCGGGGGGCTACATAAAAACAACTTTAATTAACTTTTTTGTCCAATACATCAAAACGGGTTTTCGAATATAAACCTGATAGTTTTTCAAAAAGAGTACATTTCATTCTCGTAGCACTACCAAACTATAGGAACTTTGTTGGTACCCTTAAAAGAGCAAGATAATATGTTTTTTTTTTCAACGATACTCTTCAAATTCTTTAACTAAATACCTCCTCTTGTAAACTTTTATAAAAGACCTCTCTTTCTTAATGAGCAGCTTTGCCAAGCTTACCTATTATAGTCTTCTTTAAGGGCAACTCCAACAATCTCCCAACCAGGAAGAGCACAGTTAAACTACCAATGACCATTATAAAGCGACAATATTTCCACTCTGTCATAGTTTTGTGGCGCCCGTGAAAGTCTTCTACAGTTTCTTCTACAGCTCCTGTTTTGGCTGTACGTAACGAATCAGAGAAATTAGTGGCTGAATTAGGAACGCCCGTGGAAGTCTTACGTAAATGTGAAAAGTAAATTCTCTTCAAATGCAAAAGATAGAATTTAAAATTCAAATTACGGACTTAATAACAACAATTGTATCCATAGTAATCTACAGGAGTCTTGCACGTTATATTTTCCTAGTATACCATAGGGCGATTATAAAGATGCAAACATTCTGATTGGTCGCAGATTGAAGCGCTCTTAAAATGATCGCCGCGTTTTTTTATGTTAGTTCAGAAAAGGAATATGCAAAATGAAAGGAAACGCGGATTCTCTGATAATCAGTGGCGTGATAGCCCATTCTTGATATTCAGTGGGCTCTGGGCAATGAACTATGGAGTATGTAGTGTTCATGCCTCAGATGGACCGAGAGCCATGTATTTTATGTTCCTTTTTCCGCTGAATATCGGTTATCATACTGACAATAATTTTCTTCAGGCTTCCAAGGTTATATTGTGGAATAATTGTTCCTTATTTTTCTTCTTTTTTTTTTCATAGGAGCACCAAGATTGTATTCTTCACGAGAGACAATCATGTTCTCAGATTAAGTTATGTAAACACTCACAAAGTTTTTTATTTTTATATACCTTTTTGCCCGAAAAGTGACGTAGTCTGAGTAAAACCGCGCAGAAAATAGATCAAAACATAAACGCATACTAACAAACTTTGTAGCTTTATCACTGAACCTCACGTTGAAGAGACTAATCAGCCTTGGGGGGGGGGGGTGGTTTAAGAGATAGGGAAAAGTGCCGTAGCCTTCCCAGGAGTTTCTTTTTCAGGGGGTGGGAGGAAATGCGACCTCCTGAACACGACTGGGTGGAAAGTTAGGATTCACTGAAATCTTGTTAGATTCGCCGATTCGGAAGTGCTGATAATGAGGCCTATTGCGAGTTACTTATTTCACTGCATGTTTCATAAACGTCATCACTCATCAACGAGTCTCCTCTGGTTCTTTCATTTGACTGGGTAGTTCCCACCCTGTCATGATAACATCACGATAGGCTTCGCCCTTTTCTCTTTCATATGTGTTATTTGATATCATAGTAGGTACACCCATATGTACCCTACGAGCTCGAAAGTAGATAAATTGTTGATTTTTTTTCTTAAAAAGAAGGATTTAAAAATATTTTTTTTATCTTTCAATGGCCTTTTGGTCCGTTTGGCTGCTCGATTTTAGATACTGAAGGGATAAGGATTGTTATATTTCATACCTAATATTATTATGTATGCTTTGAGGGAGCTGATTCTTTGGACAATTTCAGGTTTCTCACGAAGTTTACATCGACCTGTCGACCCCCTTCGTCATTACTATGTTCAATCCCAAAATAAAGGAGAACTATCGCAGGTGAACCAATGCACTTCCTTTCAAACAAAACTCTCAATCAAACCTTTACAGTTAACAAAAAATAAGGGACAAGGAAAAAAGAAAAATTGCAAAACTTGGAAAAAAAAAAAACAACAACAACAACCAAACAAACAAGAAGCAAACCGAAAAAAGATAGATAAATATCAGAAATGTGTTTTTAGAGAGCGTGAGACTATCGAAGCTTTGTGAGTATGATTTGGCGAGTTTCCAATATTACTATCTTTTGTCTCTGGGGTGAATTTTCGTATGCTGTTTGAGAATGTTTTGGTTGATGTGTTCCTTTATCTCTAAGCCGGAGTTTTTGTCCATTTGTCACGCCATCCCTTTCTTGAAGAGTCAAAACAACATGAGGTCACACAACATGCAAATTACTTCACGTGTTTACAAACTTAGTCAAACACGTCAATGCAAGTAAAGTCTATGAACCGCTTAATCTGACTCAGAGGAGCTGAAATTCACGGCAGTGAGTCATAACTCGAACTGCCTTTGGTATTCTCGCTTTTCTCGTTTATTGGGTCATTGGGTTATTCTCGGTTATTCTCGATTATTGAGTCATTGAATATAGATACGAGGTCACAACAAAAGAGGAAACCGTAAGTTAATTGTAATTGCAACAATGGATTCGTACAAGAATATTACCGAAGTTGAAATGAATAAGCTCGTTCTCCCTTCGCATACAAACGAGCGACAAGAACACTGCCTCAGTGGTGGACAACTTCTGAAGTGGATGGACGCAGCAGCTTGTCTGTCGGCTGAGAAACACGCTCGAACTTCTTGTGTGACGGCCTCCATCGACGAACTCTACTTTGAACAACAAATCTACGTTGGCCAAGTGGTTAACATCACTGCGAGAGTAAATCGCGCTTTCCATACAAGTATGGAAGTTGGAGTGTCGATAAGAGTGGAAGACCTGCTTAGTGGCGAGATACAACATGTTTGTAACGCTTTCTTTACTTTCGTAGCCCTGGATAAGAACCACCAAAAACAGCAATTGACCCCCGTGGTTCCTTTCACAGAGGAGGAGGAATCACAATACGCTCTCGCCAACGAGAGGAGGAGAATGCGTATTCAATACCCAGTCAACCTGAGAGAGCTCGCTAAAAAGTACAATGAACAGCTTGACTGTGAAATGTGCAGTTCGGAGAATGAGACCCGCACTAACGGAGACATTTTACCTGCTAATACCTCGCTAGAAAGTGTAGAGCTAGTTCTTCCTCCACATGCAAACCATCATCAAACAGCATTCGGGGGTCAGATCATGGCATGGATGGTAGCCGCTTGCACCATCACAGCTACTCGCTTGTGTCGGTCTTACCCGCAACTGGAAGCAGTCGATGAGGTCAAGTTCCGTGGACCCATCAAAGTGGGAGACCGAGTGGTCATCAAGACGATGGTGAACAACACGTATGACGTCCATATGGAGGTGGGATGTCGAGTAGAAGCTTACTCCATCGGTGGTGAGGTGCGACATGTAAATAGTGCGTTCTTGATTTTTGCGGCTCCGCGGTGCGGTGATGGGAGAGGAGGCTTAAAAATGTTACCCAAGTTAAGGATGGGGACGGACGAAGAAAAACGACGAGCATTAGAGGCTATGGCTCGAAAACGCCTGCGCTTTGAGCGTGAACAAATCCGCAAATCTGTTGGTCCTGTGATCGCCGTACCTTGGAACCAATGCAATGGTCAGTTGCTTAACTATAGCAACATAGAGGCTTTGGTGAAACTATACCAGCTAACAAAATGGCAAGAGGTGCAATCGTCTGATGGTGTCACGCTCTCCAAGTGTGAAAGTGACAACTATCTCTGTGTAAAGGTCTCGCTCTCTATTCAGCTCCGGGCTGAAATTATTTTCACGTTACTGAGGGACGAGAAAGCCCGTAAAGAATGGGATCCTCTTTTGATTAAAGTTCAAGTGATGGAAGTCGTTGATAACGATGATGAGATACTCCATATGGTGCTAGAGAACAAGATGCATAACGCAACGAAACCAGATGACGTAGTACTACTAGTGTCACGCAGAGCTCCAAGTGATGGTAGAGACCACTTCACCATCGCCTACCGATCAGTAATACTGACAACGCTACCTCCATACCCACAGTACAACCGGAAAGAGCACTTGTGCTCAGGGTTACTCATTAGAGAAACTGAGGGGCAGGAGGGTAAGTCTACTCTAACTTACATCAATCAAACAACACGTGAGTTACAGTCTTACGTCATGAAAGATTTGCAGGGTGTTACCAGCTTTTACGTCAAGCGGTTTAAGGATCTTGAAGCATATCTACTACAAATGGCGCCCAGGGTCTCTCTTACATGAGGTTACTTGTGATCAGTCCCTCGCTTCAGGATAGTTAGTGATCTGGATTTTTTTTCCCGATTTTAGTTAAACGTGTAGTCAAGCCATTCAAAGATACAATTTTTAGTTCTGTGATCTTTTAGTTGGACTTTGAGTTTAATTCTTGCTAATTTCAACTTTTAAGAGTAAATTTTTGAGATCTCAGTCTCCCACGATTAAGAGGTGTGTGTAATTGCACTAAACTGTAGCTTCGAAACGTTTCGCTGTGAGTACTCGTATACAACGAAAGAAATATTTTTTGGAAAAAGGAAGTAATGATAAAGAATCAGACTCACCTAAAATGCCTCAGTCAGTTCGAGTGAGTTGCAATTCCAGCCCGTTAATACGTTTACATTTCAGAAAATGTAACTTTTGGCTTGATTATAAAAGGAGAGAAGTAGCGTTTGTAACTGTCCGCTTCATTTGTTCACCTGCATATTTTTCCTTAATAGTTTTTCAAAAGAAAACAGACGGCAATGACATCCATTAGCTTGGCAATTACAGTCCCTAAGTGAATAAATAAAGTCTCTTAACTTTTCTTCGTTCCCTTGTTGTCCACAATGCCGTTAAAATTCAGCTACAAGGTAATTCACTCGCCCTCTCCCTTTTCTCTTTGCGTCTGTTTCTACCAGTTGTCCAGTGCGGGTTAGTAATGGTCTGAGCGCTTGATTCTCGGCTTAGTTAAAAATTCTAAGGTATGGTCATTAAAAGAAATTTAGCCGTCGTTTGATGAAACTGCGTCCTAAACGATCCTCAATCCAACTGAACCTTTTATCTGAACATTTATCTTTGTGAACAGTGTAAAGAGGGCCTAAAGTTAACATTGCCAGAATATTTGTTTGATTAAATCAACCCTCATACAAAGAAAGCCTCAGGTCCACTGATTGCGTAAAACCGTGGTTTGGGTTAGATTTCGAGTAAATAGCCGGCCCTAAGTCCTTCCTTCAGTTGTATTTCTCTTAAAAGAAACCCGTGTGCTTGGTGGCGCGCACAACCCTACGAGCTAAACACGCTAATTGTTTAATCATTTCTTTTAATCACCAAAGAAAAAAAAAAAGACTTTTTTTCCTGCTATATTTGTTCACCTGTATATTGACCTATATTTGATATGTAAATCCGTAAATGAAATTTGAATTGCCATATATTCAGTATTGCTTGACCTTGGAAAGTATAAAGCCCAAATTTTTCGGAAAGTTGGTGCCCTTCGCTAAGTTGCTGAAATTAGGGCTTTATTTTGAAGAGAGGGATTTCATACTCATTCTTTACATTCCCTCCACGTTGGCGTGAGGATCTAGTTCTGCAACTACCGTCAAAGATAAGGACAATGTCAACGGGGAAAGACGTAAATCGGGCTCCATCATTGCAGTTAATTTACTATGGTAAAACTATGCAGCTACCAGCCCCTTCCGCTGGTTTAACAGGCTAGTAATAAATGACTTCCTTATTTCAAAGAAATACTGGCACTCATTAATAACAAGACTAGACATAATTGAAATAATAGTAATAAATTCACTGTCACAACAGAGGTAACTTTAGACATTTGCAAGGTAGACCAGGAAACTAAGGGACGTATTAAACTGTTTTTTATGCTGTCAAGGACAGTTAATCAAAAATCGTGCAGATTGGACGAGTAACGTTGAAGTGAGGTTGTAAACTTTTTTCCTAAGCTTCTCTCTCAAGGGAGGAAAAGAGAGGACTCTGGGAAACAGGTTAGTGAGGTTGTAGAATTGTTCTTCTCAATCAGCATAATTCAGAAACATCAGCAAGTGTAGTCAACCAACAAAAAAAAAAAACAAAAACAAAATAAGACAAAACAGACAGAGAATCTTTTACCATTGCTGCTTCATGTTTGATTACCGGTAAGTTACAACAGCTGTGCCTTCAATAACCTACCATGAATACCATACCACTAAGTACCATACCTTGTTCAGTGATACTAGATGTTTAATTGAAACTAAATTAATCCATATGTGATATCTACACGTGACTGCGACGGAAAGCAAATTTCTTGTTAACTCTATACGTTACTATCTATCTTAAGCAACAAAAAAAAGGCAGATTAAGTGTTGAAGTTCATTGTGGAGTAGATTCTACTTGGATATTTGTAGAAATATTATAATATCCTTGCTTTAATTTAAGGGAGATTTTTTCAAAACCTTATCCTACAGAATGTGTACAAAATCTATATAGTCCTCTGAGTGTCTTAACAAAGTCTGTTGTTATTAAAACTTTTTTCATGCCATTGGAGTTTTCACTTTACATTGATTTCAGTTATATTCATCTGTTTTCAGTTTTTGGATTCTGACAGAAGGAACTTTACTAAATAAAAGTTATTAAAAATATCCATTAAATTAAATAAAAACACTCTTTGACTAGAGAAAGAACACTTGATTGCTTTCTGAAAGCTGTATATAAGGATATTCCATAACCACATGCTGTGAACTTCACCCTTTCAACAGTGACTAGCACCTAATTTCTAAAGTAATACAGCTGAATATTCCACGAAGATCATGGGAATAACAAAGGTGATTGTGAGCCTAATTCTGTGTAAGAAGCTTTTATTGATAACAAATTACTGAAGGAAATGTATAGAGAGGAGTATCGAGAACATGGACACTGATATTAGGGTGTAAGGGTTAGTGATAAATTTTTTATTTCTTCCAAAAATGAGGTGACACCAAAATTTTCAGGTCAGTCATGTTTGTCCTTATGTAAAGAAAACTGACTAAGCCACACCTTGGAGAAAGTAAAATATACAGTGCACAAGATATGTACACCTTCACAACTGCTACTTAGAGGTAAAGATATCACAAGATATACATCTATCAAGCAACCCAAGAAACAACAGTTGCAGTCTATTTTAGTAAACTATAAAGTATAACAGCATTTCCCTCTGGATCTTTTCCTTGCCAATGTCCTTCACCAATGTTCCGAAGTCCACCAGGAATTTCTGAACACATTTCGTTCACATCATTCCCTTTCAACATGAAGCAAAGAGCAGCATTTTTCACAGGATGTGAAGTAAGGGCTGGATGACAAACAAGTTGCAGTTCCAGTTTGGGTGATAGAGGGAATGTGCGGGTACTAAGGCCTTCTTCGATCTTGTTTAGGTGTAGTGGTTGCTTACCAGTGATCAGGTGGTAAAAGTGCTCTACTTCGTCTATGTCCTTGTTCACAAAAAGTATAATGCGAACTCCAGAACCAGGTGACAGTTTCTTGACTGCAAACACAGGCCCTTCCCTATTTGCAGCTTTGAAATAAACCTCATCACCAGGTCCTTCTGCAATTCCTTGTGGCACATTGACTTGCTCCCATTCTTTAGAGTTACCTCTTACTACACTCAAACAGCTTTCAGAATTTTTTTCTGCTCGCTGCGTAAACATTAGCATCACACCTACAGCAGGTTTTGTTAGACCACCATTATCCACCCGTCTGGTCTTAGATGCTGGAGAATTTGAGGGGCTTGATCCATTGTTAAATTTGTGTTCTGGTTCTCTAACACTTAAGAATGGGAAAGTAGAATGATGTGATACCAACAGTGAGGAAAGGGTTTCCTTGAGATTTGAGCCTTCATCAGTAGGCATGGCTATCTCTATGAAGCATGGTGGGGGAATTATTAGAGACACAGCTGAAAATGATACAAACACATCAAATCAGTGTTATTTTTCTTTCATTTCTAGGGAGTGCATAGCCCCTTATCATGGCAAAAATATGCAGCACTGCTAATATGAATGGCTAATTCTGTAAAATCCTTTTTTCCCTTTTTTTTTTTAAGCCTGCTAAGAGTAAAGGATGAGCCCATAGCTGAGGTGGTAAACATACATTTTGAGACAAGCTTATGATGACACTTACATATATGAAAACATCGCAAAATAAGATAAGACTATATTTCAATCCTACTTCACAAGATTAACTGTTCTCAGTGTAAATGTGAATTTATGTAACAACCTTCATGTAACATGGGAGAGTGGGAGCTGTAGGAAAAATATCCTTCAGGGTCCTGTTTTCGGATGAAATGGACTATGTAAAGCCAATAAATAGTTAGACACTTACCACTAAGAGTTTTGTGCACAAATAAAATCTAAAGTAACAATGGAGACTTATTCAGCATTAGATGCATGATTGCACTCACAATTTTTTGAGAATTAAATTCACTTCCTATACTGAAACAAACCTTGAATCTCAGTGAGTTTTAAATGAGATATTTCCTCAATTTTTCCCTCTAAAAAACATTGCCCCAGTTTGTCGTAAGTGGCAGTACTGGAAAACTTCATTAAGAGCTGAAGAGCACTATGGCGTAGAGGTTCTAGATTGTCATCTCCACTCTTCTGTGATAAAACTTGTCTTACTTTTCTGATGGTTGTTTCATCAAGGCTGGAATTACGAGAACTAGATGTATTTTCAAAGCTTAATAAGGCTACAAGGTCATCTTGATTGGAATAACTATGCCGACCTTTGATTACTTCAGTACCCCACTTGCTGTGAACCTTTCAAGAGAAATAAAAAGTATTGTATTAATGGTATTCCCTTCACAGATATTGTAATTTAGCATTGAGAATGAATCTATGTTAGCTAGAAGCTGAATAATTCAAATACCTGGTATTTATAAAAATCATAATTAAATGATTTATCATAACATTACAATTTCTTCAAATGTTAGATATACATTAGCTGCTTTATTTTTCACTAATTATTTGTGATTCGACAAATTTAATTAACTAGTTATTGTTGTGACTAGCAAATCCAACTTGTGCTTATCAGTCGTCTTATTGTGTTAATCACTTTTATGATTACAGACCAAGTTGGACTCTACTCAGTGCCATTACAATTATTAATAAATATGCCATACTATTTGCTATTTTTTTCAGACTGTACTGTTGCTATTTTCTCTTTTCACAATTCTTTAAAAGATCTCTGAACCCTCATACTGGTTACACAATATTTTTGATGGAAATATTCTTTTGCGTCAGTTATTATAAAAAAACAACAACAACAACAAAAAAAAACAAAATCCTCCACAATAATCCAATGTCTATACTTGTACATGTAGTTGTCACAGAAATAAAGTCAAAAGTGTTAAAAATCTTAACAGTAACACTACTTCCCTGGAACTCATGGTTTCTTCCTATCCAACATCTATACTCTTAGTAATCACAGAAATAAAGTCAAAAGTGTTAAAATAATGATGAAACTACTTTCCCTGACCTCAAGGTTCTGTTTTAGCCCCCCCATCCCCCTTTTCTAGATTTATGTCACACTAACATCCAGGATTGAATGCAAGTATTGCCTGGTGCATAATAGATACATGTATATATCTTCATATCTTATTGTGAAAGTCACAGTACTTTGGAAATATTTTCAATGATGAAACTGAAGAATGAAACATACTCCTGATTTTCAAGATAAAATTGTTATATCTGATATACTCAACTACTCTAAACAATTTTTCTGATTACTACTATCAGTTTCACTGCTAATTCTTCAAATGAACCTGCTGCATTCATTTCCATCTTGATAAGAATACTTACTTTAATGAAAATATATAAACAAAGTGAGTGCTCCCTAGGTATTGCAGGAAAAAATGCCTTTTATAATTAAATAAACAGTACATGTGTGTGTTTAAATAAAAAAGGAAACTGTCAAACACACAATTTGAACAGACTTGTTAATTTCACAGTGTTCCTATTTATTAGATTTAAAGGTGACATTGTCATCTGCAAAAATTTCCATAATATTTAAAAGTATGGACAAAACATTGTTTAAATTTTCAAAATTATCCATTTTCCATAGAACACGACATTCAACACGTTTCCGCTGATACTCAATTTATCGAAACTTGACAAGATGTCAATCACTGATAATGCCATTTTTTACAAATGTCATGTCAAATTAATGCGATAAAACAATGCTAATAACAGCAAGCGTTGAATTTGTCTACTTCAAGCTGGCCTACGCCAATCGCTGTATAAAAAAAATACTATAAAATTGACAGCAAATGGGATCACTTTAGGTTTAACAGGCAAACATGTCAGGTTTCTACAAAGATAAAAGATTTAGAGATGTTTATTTCTTTTGGGAAATGGCAGAAGTTATACTGCCTACACACGACTGAGTTCCCGCTTATAAACGATGTCGAACTTTCGCTTTTCTCCTGTTAGAGAAAAAGCCGGAAATACCCTACTAAATACACACCGAGGGGTTAATATCTTCAGTTAAAACATTTATAACATAAAAGACGATATAACCAGACAACCAGCGACAAAAACTGCACCTAGCGCATTACTTGTGGTCAATCATTTCTCCATTTCGCACAAAAACATCGTTCATTTGCTACATGGTCGGCTGACAATTTTGAGAGGAGCCTCAAAAAAAACGGTGATTAGATAACAAAATACAGGGAATTCACTTTGAACTATTTCATTCCAATTGTCCGAAATCTGTTAAACGTAAGCTAAGCTTATCCTGTGGCGTTGACATCTGTGAAATCAAATCTCTCGGGGCATGCTTTTATAATCAACAGACAACCTTTCGGTTTTTGCACAATGTCGCGCGCTTGATAATAAAAATATAGACGGTGACACAAAACAACTGGTACCTTTTTCCTTCTTTGGGACTCTTCTGCAGCAGGGTGGTAATGAGCTGGCGGCTCCAAATGCGGTGAAAAAATCTTGCGAATCAAATATCGTTTCGGGATTTCCGTATCTTTGTCGAGGTGAATAAGTCGGGTTGAAGCGGCGTCAGGTACATCTACATCGATATCATCTTCGTCCAAAAAGGTGAGATCAAATTCTTCATCTTTTACATCAGCCATAGATTATACAAATGTTATATAAACGTTAAACTCGACTACGAAGATACCGTAAAAAGAAACGTAGACCAGATAGCGTGCTTTCAAAATTGTAAGCCTCTATCAAAACGCTCCCCCTCGGGCAATGTTTTCTAAACAAATAACGCGAGAAAGTCTGGAGCCAAGATTTGTTCTCGAGAGAGATTGAGGAGAGTCCAACCCAGTACTTGCGGCGCAGTCAACATGGCGGCTAGCCGGAGGGGGAGGATTAACCGGCACTGAAAATGACAGCAATTGAGCACAGAAGTTGTCTTTGTTAAAGCCAGAAACATGGAAGAGAAAGGTAAGAGGTGTTGAGCTTTCAGTTAGTCAATTTTTTTAGTTTAGATGACGTATACTCCTTGGGGTCGTCAAGGAAAAACCGAAAGTATTGCAACAATGAACCAAAAGTTTTTTTTTTATGTGCATTAAAGCTTTTGTTGTTCTACTGGTTAATATTATACAGACTGGATGAGGAGGTAAATTTTAGTGAAATAATTAATATCGCCCAGATAATATTTTGATAGTTTATCCGTGACTCTCACCTAGTATGATGTGACAGATAGCAGAATTAAAGTTATGGTGAAGAACATTTTTTCTTTGAGGGAGACCAAGTTATTATGTGTTTTTAGACCCAAGAACACCCTGGTAAAGGCTTAAGGAAAGTGTCAGTTTTTTCATTTATCCATTTATTGAATCATTCATGTACTTAGTCTTTCATCTCATTTCATTTATCCTGAACCTCTTTACTATCTAACATTTTATACCTGTTTAATATTTATTTGCTGGTTAATACTAACTTCAGGCAAACATGATTATGCAATAGAAAAGAGAACTGTTCTTATGTAACTAGTGTTTAAATTTAGGTGGTATACTACCCTAGCATCTTAGTTGTGGAGCCTGACAAAAAAAAAAGAGACTTGGCTACAAAATCAGCATAAATTGGTTGACTCAATGAGAAAATTTAATATAACTAGGTCAAACCTTGTGAACTGGTCATCCTAAGAATGCCCTTTTACCTATTTATATATGGGGTGTAGAAAGAGCATGGTTATTTTACTTTGGAACCAAGTAGTGAAAATTGTCATTGAGCTCTGTGGGTAGTAGTGAAGATTTAAAGTGGTATTCAGTTTTCAATGCATGTAGTAAGTCTGTCTTTACTAGAAAAGGGAATTACATCATTTCAGGCTTGACAATATTAAAAAGAAAGTTAAAGGAATGGTGTAACAGTAAAAAGTGGTAATTTCTTATCTGTGAATTTTTTTACCCAGATACAGAGCATGGATCTCATGCATTGGAATATGCTTTTGATCTTCTGGAAGTTGGGTGTACAGGCACAATTGAAATCATACCAGAATCATTCAATAAGTCATCAAAAAAGGAATTAAAACCACTAACAACAGTAAGATAATAAAAATATTCTGCCTTTTTTTTTCTCTGTTGTTATTCAAGCAACTTTAATGTCCTGTCTAGCCTATTCATGTGGGATGTGTTCACCATGTAAAGTAAGGAGAGTGATGTCAAATGAATTTTTTCTCAAAATTTTTAGAATTAGTCAAGCAAAATTTTGTGAAATTTATCAAGTTTTTCCTCTGCACAGCTTCCATGTGGTTTACCACCTTTGTTTGCACCAGATCTAAAGACTGATTTAGAAAAGTATCTTCTGGATCCTACAGTGCTGCCCATCCATGACTTTCAAAGAACACAGAGGTAATAAAAGGAAGTTTGCATAAAGAAGTCAGGGGAAGAAGAACAGCCTGGAAACCGTGTTATTTTGTTTTAATCTCAGCCATTGATCCTTTTAGCTTCCTTGAGTGAACAAGACAGATTTTCTCCTTAGAATATTAATACAAAATCATGGAGAAAAATGATATGAAATTCAATAGAGAAAATAGACATTAGGGGTTTATTAGCCTACCCAATACCAAATCCACTAAACTAACATTATAAGAATTGTATGGTGCATGGTAAGGGGGAGTAACCAGTGAGATCTTGGGAGTGTAAGCATGAAAGGGTTGAGATATATTTTTTCTTGTCAAATTTTAGATTTTGGCCACGTGAACGAGACCCAGAAAGTCTGTTGTTTTCAGATGTGTGTCCTGTTCCATCAACATTAAAAGTAGAGAGAAATCCAACAACAGGAGAACTTCTAGGCTATAACGAGGTAAAGAATCATACCTATTTTTCTCTTCCCAGCTTTCTCCAGTTAGACACCCAGTCTTTCTGTGTTTTGCTATGTTAAATTGTAACTTCAATTAGTAATTAATTTGACTACTGGAGAATATGCTGGACTTTGGTTGAAACATACAAGCATACAACAGATAATTTTACACATCCACAAGATAATTTGACTATAAATTATACTTGTCATTAGTGAATAGATATTTGATACTTGTAATTCTTTTTACTTCCAGGTTATGTTGACAGATACAGGATGTACATCAAAAAATTCCATGTCACTTTTAAGACAACCTGGGCCCCTATCAGCATCGGTGAAGGGAGAGTCTACAAATTACCCGTTTTTACCAGGTAACATGAAGTTAGCTTCCAGCAATGTGTTTATCTGTAGCTAACAGTTAAATAGACAAAAAGAGAGATAAATGTAGTTTCATTATACTGGTTATCTATGGCTGCAACTTTCACAAATGAATACTAGTAAATGCCAAGCTCATGCAACACATTCCATTCCATTCATTGCAAGTTCTTCTTTTCCTTCTAGAGCTGTAATTTCCGGATTGTCAAAAGAATGACAGAAAATCATCATAAACATTTAGGAGAGCAAAATTACATCAGTCACTGTGTATAAAAAATGTAATTCTATCAAGTTTAAGTGATAAAAACTGTTTTTTAACTCTGGCTATTTTTTTTTTGTGAACCTTGTAATGTTGCCTCTTCTGATCTGGATAATCTTTTTTCCATTTAATTTTGAAGGTGGTATGGAGACCTTGGAAACTACAAAACCAGGTCTGGTATTTGATGGTGAGCTGAACTTTGAGAAAGGTACATGATACAATCAACCCTGTCTTTGTTTTTACATCACCAGTGATGTGCTTGACAGTATGTACTGTAATTTGCATTTGTAGCGAAGGCTTGAAAACATCCTTACTGTTGTATTCATTCTTTTTTACACCTGTAGATCTTCTGTCTGTGCCACCAGGCTTTAAAAAAGGTGCTAGATTCACTGAAGATAAGGAAGGCCAAGGTCAGATCACTCACAAAACAACCATAGTATCATATTGCCTCATGGACTCTCCAGCAGTGTTTAATCTCAGGCAATAATCTTTATTTGTGGGAGAACTGGAGGTTGTAACATTCAGCATGCTGGATTCCAGATTGGGAGGTTCTGGTTTAAGACCTGACCGGGTCATTGTGTTGTGTTCTTGGGCAAGGCACTTTCCTCTTACACTGCCTCTCTCCAGTGCCTTTTTCCCACCCAATTGTATGCTAGCAATACTCCTAGTCACTTCATCAGATAAGCTGCAGCAATGTGGGCCACTTTCCTTGAGTGCTGAATTTACAATTTTATTTTAATATCCCTTGTTCACAGTTATGTTCAACAGTTATTTGATACATTTTTTTTGTATATTTAATTGTCCTCAGAGAGAGATTCCATGGCACCTGTACCTCAAATTGTGGCTATGTCTGACATCATGGCTGGTACCACACTGGAAGACCTAGAGTACAGTGATGATGGTGATGACCTGGAGACAGATGAGGAAGACATAGATAAGGTGCAATGTGACTCTGTTAGTGAAAGCACTAATCAAATTCAGTTTACTCACTGCTGAAATCAGAAAACTGTCAACAAAATATGATGGTGTTATGACATGGAGGTCAAGGAATACATACAAACCATCAAAGCACCAGCTTATTACTACCATTGTTGTTATCTCACATCTGATCAGCTTTTTCCCTATGGGCACAATGACACTTCAGAAAGATTTCTGGTGGTCATGGTGTCTGAGTGTCCAAGTTATCACACAACATATCTGGTGCTTTCAAAAATTTTTTTGAATCATTTCTTTAATACAATTTCCGGTTTTATTGTATTACTTGTCTCAAGGACAACTCTTAACAGCTCACGTATGAGCCGTTGCTCATACGTTTTGTCCAAAGCCTTGATTTCCTGTTGTAAGCAAGTTTTCCCAATCAAGAGTCACTCCTTCTGTAGAATAATATTTCGTCTGTTGTATCTTCAGATTGATAACTCACTTGTATTTCTTTGATGTTCCTGTGTTTAGCTTTCTGATAAAAGTGAATCTGTGAGTGATCCAGAGGATGGCACAGAGGGTGAGAACAGTGAATGTACTTTTAAATTCCCTTTTAACTGTCAACACAAAGATCAATGGATTGATCATGGGAAAGTAATATCTGAGAAGGAAAAGGAGATTTGAAACTAACCCTAAGCAATTACTGAAGTGACTTTGGAGCATGAGCAAACAAGCCTTAATATAGAAACAGTAAACAAGATTCTTAAAAGGAAATAATTTTTTTCCTTTTTTTTCCTTTTACAGGAAGTCTCCAAAGACAGGATAGTCTTGAGAAAGTATTGGTGGAGGTAAAAAGAGAACATACTTGTGTCTCCTCTCCCTCCACTCCCTCCCCTGCCTCTTCTGCCTTCCCTGTACTTCAAGGACTGGATCTACCACTAGATATTACAGTGTTTCATCACGAAGAACGCAAATGGGGGCTGGATGCTATATAGTTTTAGTTTTCGTCGGTTAACGACAGAGTGTTTTATTCAAACAATAATTGGTCGAGTCAAATTTATGTATAAGAGGTCAATCTGTGAGTGAAGCCCTGAATTGTACTTTTATTTGTAAAAGGACTTACTTCAGTCCATCTAGTGTCAGGACAGATGAAAAGTTAGAACTCATGCTAGGTCTGGGCACAGGAGGAATATTCATAAAGCAATCAAGTGGCTCTCTCTTTACTTGTTTTAACTGTGTAAAAATATGGTCGTTCATTAGCTTGCCTGCAGCACTCTGACAAAGAGGCTTAAACTAGCATGTTGTTTATAGTTTACCTTTGACGCCAAGACATAATCTTTTCATGTTATCTTAATTTTTTTAGGGAAGCGATTCAGAAAAGACACGTACTTCTTCATCGTCAGTTACAGACAAACCCATCAAAGAGGAGTGGGCTGTTATGGTGAACGTCACAGAACCTGTCAAAGGTTTCCATAAGCGAGTTCCTGATATGGCGCATAAGGTGCACTATCGGTTTGTTCAAAACACGATTAACGCTTATCTTGGATTATCTTTTACATAGGATTAATTTTTCGTAATGTACTTAGTGTTTTTGGTGTTTTTAGAGATGAAAAGAGGAACAATCGGATCCTTACGAATTGAGAAAACGTATGGCTAACTAGGAATTAAAATCAGGATCTCGGCTAACAGTCGTATTACTGACTTTGAAATGACATGAAAATGTAAACGAAAGATGGAAAAGGAAAGATCGCGTGTTTCTTTTCGTTTTTGGAGCGTGTCAACCTTTTCATGTAAGCAGTAAGAACTGATTTTTTTAAGTATTTCGGTTTGAAGGATTTACTTCAGTTCATTCGATATTACAGTAAACAGAAGTTCATCGTTGGTCTTCGGGGTTTTCATTATTAGGGAGGTTAAGCCACAACATTTTTGGGACGCGGGCGGCAGCCTGAAGTCAAAATTTCTCATTCCTTTTGCTCACTACACCTTTTTGGTAAGCACAATTTCGTTTAAAATGCCGCTAAAACGATGACCTCACGGTCGATACATGGGTGTCAAAGCGCACCAGAATTAGGTAATTTTTTTTCTTCCAGTTGCCGTCTGCGCCTCAAAAAACGTCTCCTCTCTATATAGCCCCAACCCAGTTTTCAGTAATCTAACCGCATTTTTTTGCGGCGTAGTGGTGTTCGTGCCCGTTGGGTTTTCGTGTATGTTAGCCAAGAAGAAAACCCTTTACTTTCTTTAATGTTTACAGTGGAAGTTTGAGCTGGACACGTTTCAAAAGCAGGCCGTGCTTTGTTTAGAAAATAACGAAAGTGTTTTTGTTGCCGCTCATACCTCAGCTGGAAAGACAGTGGTGGCAGAGTATGCCATTGCTTTGGCTAGTAAACACATGACAAGGTACTCGTCTGCGTGGCAGAAGTTTCAATTAAAGCCGGTTCCCAGTCTACCCCCGCCTGTAAGACTTTTTACCGTCGTCTGATTAGCCTGCAAGCAGGCTCTTTTGCTCGAGTTTCACCTTAAGGATCCTATTCGCGCATAGCCGCCTATAAAACCATCGGCAGGCGCTCATGGAGAAAAGTCATTGAAACCTTTGTCCTAGTGGTGTTTCTTCTAAGTTTATCATTTGCACTTAAAACTTCTGTTTGCCTCTTTTAATTTTTACTTATTCTTGAAAAGCTTTAGTGAACATTCTACTCCTAGTTTTCGCATTGACTATTTTACTGTTAGAATAAAGGAAATGAAATTGCTATGTAAAATGTATTTCGGCAAGCAGGAAAACACAAATGTTACGGCTGTTTTTATTTTGTGAAATATCAGTAAACTAAGGAACTAAGCGATCAAGTGACTTTTCAGTGAGGGTTTTTCCGTTATTGTTTATTTATTTCCAAGTTGTCAGGTTCTCGTTAAAAAAAACAAAAAAAACAGAGGCCATAGGTACCTTACGTAAACGTTCAAGCCGAAGGTTTCCCTTGTCTTCTCGCGTAGGACAGTATACACGTCACCAATCAAAGCTTTGTCCAATCAGAAGTTCCGCGAGTTCAAGGACACTTTTGAGGATGTAGGTCTGCTGACAGGTGATGTGCAGATCAGACCTGAGGCGTCCTGTTTGATTATGACTACGGAAATATTGCGGTGAGTAAACGCATTTTTTTGTTCTTTTAGAGTGGCTAGGGTTTTCTGGGAAATGAGGACTGAGTCCTCATTTCTCAGTTTGGTCTGTGATTGGTTTTTAAACTCCTACCTTTAATTAAACAAACCAGGTGCGAAGTTAACGGGGTTTTTCTGCGCACGGGGCTCTACAATAACCAAGCTTCTGTGATCTCTTGCCCCTGTGCGACAATTTTAATTTTCGTCTGTCTCCAATTTTCAATTAAACTGATCTGGAACACTGGATTGCACGTATTTTTGATGATTTTGCTCAGCTGATGGCAAAAACCACCTAGAAAATCTGATTATTTAATTGACAAAAGTTACTGCAAACTAGCGGAAGAAAGGGCGCCCAAATGAAGGCACGATTTTTTTATGTAGCGTTCCCCATGTTGGTCGGTAAAACACCGCATAAATTGTCGTTTGGCAACATAATCAGTGAGATGTTGCGCTGTCGTTTTAGAACCCTTTGTAAGATTGTTTATGTAGTGTTCTCCCATGTTGGTCGGGGAAACACCTCGTAAATTATCGTTTTCGAACCCTTCGCGGGGTTATATAAAGACTAAAGCTAAAACTAAAGACGTTTAGTCTCATTTCTTGCAAAATATGAAGTGCTTTGATTTCTTACGAACAAAAAATTGTTTGGAAAGAGCCTAACGAGGAACTTTCAACACTAAATACTACTTCTGATTTGACAGTTCCATGTTATACAATGGTTCAGACGCCATCCGAGACGTGGAGTGGGTGATTTTTGATGAAGTACATTACATAAACGATGCAGAGGTAAGCGATCGCCTTAGCTTTTCTAAAACCACACACTAAGTGACTGGCTAAGTGGTCGCGAGGCAGCGATGTTAAACACGTTCATCTTTTTACCTCGTTTGTTACATGTATGTGGGACATCAGTCAGTATCTATGATGTGTTTTCATTTTCCGTTCTTTTGTACAGAGAGGTGTCGTTTGGGAAGAAGTTCTCATTATGTTACCAGCGCAAGTCAAGATCATTCTGTTATCTGCAACTGTACCTAACACGCTGGAATTTGCCGACTGGATTGGGTGAGTAGTTAAATCACTCTATTACTCTGTCTCGGTCATGAAGTTTGCAATACTTAGATGTTTTATTATCTGCCTAGCCAAAATTTGCATCCTCTAATGATCTCTCAGGATTTACTCGAGAATTTTCGTTAATAATCGCTGGCAGGGCTCTTGAAGAGCCTTCGCAAATCATCGCCATACAGTGGAACTGTGGCGGAAATAATCAGTAGATCAGTTGTTTTTCAAGTCAGCGGCGCCCCATCAAACTTGCTGAAATGAGCTCAAATTTTCCTCTTGTTGCTTCTCTCACTGGCAGACGCACCAAGAAGAAGAAAATCTACGTGATAAGCACTCCCAAGCGCCCAGTCCCCTTACAGCATTTCCTATACACAGGCAATAGTAACAAGACAAGCAATGAACTGTTTATGATCGTGGATGCTGACGGTAAGTTTCTGACGCGCGGTTACGAAGCCGCTGTGGCGGCGAAGAAAGCGAGAGAGGGGAAAGGAAAGGATGCATATGGCTCCAAAACTCACCAAACAACAAACATTAAGGAGGTGTGCAGCCAAATACTTGAAAATATTTTAATGATTCCTTTACAAAATTCTATATTACTTGAAATGAAACTCGTGCTCGTATGGATGACAGATTTTAATGCTTTAGGATAACAACAAAGAGGTGATAATAAACTTGAAATAAGAAAGAGAATTTCAGTATAAGATTGGCGAATGCTGAGACGATCAAAAAGGGGACTAAAACGATGACGTTTGGGATGTTAGGACGTATACTTTAACAAGCATTCAGTAAGGAGATACTTAACGGCAGATCCTTCATTGAAAGTCGGCCTGCCCGCAATAACTGTATTAGCTGATGAATGAGGGTGGGGTGGGTCGGTGTATTATATCCTCTAAACTTACCAAGAGTCTGCGTGTTCGTAGGAACGTAACATCTGGTTGTCTCTGGTTGAAATGCTTCGTAAGAAGGAGAAGCTTCCTGTGGTCGCTTTTACCTTCTCCAGGAAGAGAGTGGATGACAACGCAGACCAACTCAGTAATCTTGATCTCACCACTTCAACCGAGAAGAGTTTGATCCACGTTTTCATTCAAAAGGCAATAGCAAGACTTAAAGGTCCTGACAGACAACTGCCACAAGTAAGATTTTTGCGCATTTATTTTGCAGTTAAAGTTGCGTTTTGCAGTCGGGTCCTCGGGTAGTCAGGTTTTATTTCCCTCTTGTGGCCTTTCAATTTTTTTTGCCACGTAAACTATGGCGAGATATTTTGCCTGAGATAGTTAAATTTTGTCTGAGATAGTGGCGTAGTGTAACACCCCTACTGTTTTGTGTTTAACTTATCTTCAATATTCGGTCGCGAGAGCTGTCACATGTTTATCTGGGTATTCTTACGAGTCGTTGTGAGACAAGTTCTAAGAGGGAGTACACTTAGAACCAGAAATGCTTATTTTTGTGCCGCTTTCTTCACCGAACGAAAATCTTTCCGGCCAGAGGGTTTACATATTTGCAAATTAATTTTTTCACAATGACAACTCATGTCATTGAAGAAGAGTTGCAAGAAAAATTTGCTTGCTGTAGTTGGGAATTATCGCTGATCTTATTGCAAGTGCAAGATTCTCTTTTTGCGGACACAGTCACTCTACAATTAAAAAAAGTTCCGCCCTTTTCCTGTCATGTAGGTTTCCAGGATTCAAGAGCTCCTCAAGCGCGGCCTTGGTGTTCACCACAGCGGAGTACTGCCTATAGTTAAAGAGGTCTGTGTGGTAATATTATCCTGGGCTAGATTTATTCTTGCCACAATGATTCTACCCTGAATAGGTCGAGTAACCTGTCATCTATTTTCCAGTTAGGTAACGTGATTTCAGTTGTTATTATAGCCAGAATTATCCACTACAACATCATTGTCTTGTCTCCTTAAAGTTGTCACGCAACCCTCACAATCCGCGAACATTCTTATTGGGTTGATAGTGTTGAGCATAAAACTCCTCAACCCTTTAACTCCCAAGATCTGATTGTTAATTCTCCCCTCTAGCTGTTACATTTTCTTGTAAATTAGTTATAAGAATAATGATTGTAGATATATGAAAATCGTATATATGCACTGCGGTGAAGAAACGAATATAAGAGATCCTCGCAGCTATAAACACTACTGAACTAGTAGTTTAAATAAGACCTGAAAAAGATTCAGGCCCGTACGGGATTTATAAGAATTTGGTATTAGATCAGGATAAATCCCACCTGATAAGTTGTAGTATTCTTATAACCTGTTTGCTGGATAATGTAAGTATATTATGAGGAGAAGTTTCATGTCAATCACTTCAGTGAGTTAAAGGGTTAATGTCAGTTTTGCTGATAGAATTCCTTTATTACGCAGATGGTGGAAATGCTGTTTGGACGAGGCTTGGTAAAGGTGAGTTTTTCATGGGTGTTGTGTTTTCGCGCCTCATATATTCGTGGTTGGAGAACTCTTACAGTACCTTGTTGCTGTATTGACTGCGGTGTTGAGGGGCGGGTAGGGGTTGATATGGCTATGATATTCAATAGTGGTGTGTTTGTTCTTGTTGCGATTTTGACAGCCTGATGTTGAATGAATATTGGGCATGTTTTCAGATCCTCTTCGCCACTGAAACGTTTGCCATGGGCGTCAACATGCCAGCTCGTACAGTGGTGTTTGATACAACCAGAAAGCACGATGGGACAAGTTTTAGGGATTTGCTGCCTGGTGAATATATTCAGATGGCTGGCCGAGCTGGCCGGAGAGGTCTGGACCCTACTGGGACTGTAATCATACTCTGCAAAGGGAACGTACCGCTGATGGCGGACTTACACAAGATGATGCTGGTAGGGTGAACTACATTTCAGTGAACACTAAAATTTGTCATTCAGTTGTATTTAGTGGTAATCTTCGCGATCTTCGTCTCCTCTTTCCATATTTATAATTTGGCTCATAATTTGATAAATGATCGTCCAAAATTCAACGTAGTAGAAAGAGATGTACATTTTGAAATGTTTTGTCTCACGATGGACGGTCGTTGCCAATTGAAGATGGCGACCTTCCGGCTGCTTTACTGCAAGTCTTCGTCAGGTGATATGGTCAAATGATCATGTGTTGTTAATGTAGGGCGATGATAAGCTGCTGTTGGTTCATTTTAGCGCTGTCTCCGGATGCGTTGGGCCTGTATTGTAACCCGTCAGTAGCTTTTTTCTATATATTAATCCGTCAAATCTATAAGAGTGACTGAAGACTGACCATAGATAGGTTAAACTTCTAGTGACAATATAGTCTTTTCTTTCTCTTTTGTTTAACAGGGTAAACCAACTCAGCTCATTTCTAGGTTTCGTTTGACGTATTCTATGATACTGAATCTGTTGCGAGTCGAGGAATTACGTGTAGAGGACATGTTGAAAAGAAGTTTCGCTGAGTTCCATATGCAGAAAGACGCTCAGGAAAGAAAACGCCAAATGGAGGAAGTGGAGGAAAAACTCCAGCATATAAACGATGTGGATTGTACGTTTTGTTCTGGAGATCTTAAGTCTTACTTCAAGGCTTGTCAAGAGCTGTCGCCACTAACTAACACTGTCAAGGTAATGATACGAATGTTAGCCATACCGGGTCGTTTGTGTGACGATCAATCATTAGGCTTCCATTTACACAAGCTAGCCAGACGAGTGCAATGAAATTTTTTTTTCACTTGATCTTATTGTATTTCAATTCATTCATGTGTAAAAATGCGTTTCCGTGTTACTTTGAAATCAAACATCTCAGTTCCTTGTAATAGGTTTACCTAGTATTTTAGTGGCGTCTGATAGTTACACTGTCCTGTTTGCAAGCAGATTGTATAAATTCAAAGATGAACGAAGTAAAGCAGCGTGATTATTTTCTCCCATAAGGCAGCAATACATTCGTCTCCACATGGTCAGCGGGCCCTCTCTCCAGGGCGCATTGTCACGATAACTACCGCTGAGCACAAGAACGCTTTAGCCGTCATTTTGCAGGCAGGAAACACCTCTTCCAAAGGCCACTTGACCATGCAGTCTCAAGTAGTGTCCAGTCCAACGGAAAGAAAATTTGAAGTGTTAGTAATATGTGACCCAAAGGAAAACAAATCAGGTAAGAAAATTAGTAGATAGGTTTTTTAAGTCTTTGAGGTCTTGCAATCAGCGAATGGAATTGTTTGACTCCAGATCGTTTAATAGATAACCATTCGACGAAGAAGACAGATTGCGATTGAATAGATGTGCATTTATGTGTGAAATTGACGGGAAGATTCCTCAGTATCATGGAAACAATTCAACTGGAAGAGTTCATTTGTAATTACAACATTTTGTCGAAGAATTTGATTGCCAGGCATAATTCCAGGTGAATTTGTCTTTGTGCATTTCGTTACAGAGGACAACGAATTTAATTCATCAAAAGAAAGTAAAGTAGACGCATCAGATATGGACAAGGACGTGCAGCCTTTTATAAAACGAAACTTATTTTTACCCGAGGGACGATGTTCTCACCAAATTTTACAAGTGAATGGAAATGCTATCACTGCTATTTCTGTTCGTCAAATGAAAGTTGATACTACAAAGATAATAGACGATCATAAAAAGAGAATGCTGCCAAGATTTAGGTGAGTCACAAACGCTCTGATTATATTTTAGTTTGTTTTTCTAGTGAAGGTTTTCTGTGACTTTTAATTGAATTAGAATTAACTTTGACAGTTTCTTTAAAGGAATGACTTACCAGGAAAAACTACCATTAGTGCAGAGCAAGAACTGCTTAGATTATCCGAGGCTAATCCCGAGGGACTGAGCACCATGGATCCTATTAAAGACTTTAACATCCGGGACATTGACATGGTGACGACAATAGCGAGAAAACAAAGTCTTGAAGAACAATTGGCAAACTTCGCATGCTTGAACTGCCCCAAGTTTACAGAGCATGTGAGTTTATTTATTAGAGGATAACTTAAACAAACTATAGGGAAACCCGGTTATTTTCCAAATTCAACAAAGGAGTCTTAATGACTTGCTTGTTCTCTGTTTTACGAAACGTCTGCGTCTTAATAACTCAGTTTTCGTGGTGTATAGGGCACTAGGAAGTGCGAAGGTGAAAGATAAAGAAGTATTCTGTTTTCCATTCCAGTTTGAAACAGTCGCCAAACAGATGAAATTACGAGAGCACGTGACCTTACTAAGATATTTATTGTCCGATGAGAGTCTCCAACATAGAGAGGAACTTCAGCAAAGAGTAGAGGTAAAACTGTTACTTGACAATCAAATTCGTGTGTCGTCGTGAAAATGCTATTTACCCTCAAAACAAGGTCTAAACTTTTCATACCAGGTAACTAATTACAATCCATTTTCTTAGCGCCGTTGCTTTTTATTCTACAGGTTTTACGTAAATTACGTTACGTGGACGCGAATAACGCTGTGCAGTTGAAGGGAAGAGTGGCGTGCGAAATAAGTAACCACGAACTGATGATCACAGAACTCGTGTTTGAAAATGCTTTCACGAATCTTCATCCCACGGAGATTGTGGCTTTGCTGTCTTGCTTTGTATTCCAGCAGGTAAACGTTGCATTTAGTTTGGGACCCTTTTTCACAGACTATATTTAAACACCCGAGAGCCCGGAAATGACTTTAAGAAGACTTATTAACATTTAATCTTTAACGCGATTTTGGTTTTTCTACCAAAGTAGTACTCTTTCTAATGTTCTCTCTTTCCAGCGTCGATGCAGCAAGCCAAATTTAACCAAGACGTTAGAAGAGGTAGGGAAATAAAAATACACGTATATCTGTGTAGGAGGTGCTGTGTGGCGTGCAGTCTTATCGTTTACTCTTGAATAGAAATATACTATGAGCAGTCCCTCTTTTTGGCGAAGTCCGTGGCGCGAGTAGAAAAAAATATATGTATGCTTATGTATGCTCGCCGCGCGGAACTCTTGGAGTGACAAGCATGAAAATCCTCACTCCCAGACTTAAGCGGTGCGCTCCCATCAAAGTTTTTTTACTCGCGCGAAGTACTTCTCCAAACATTATGGACTGCTCATAGTCTAACATGGAAAGAATTATAAGGAAGAGACAAAAACCTCTACTCCTCCGTAACGAGTATATTGCGTCCCTTCTCCATGCACGGTTCGAGGCTGCCTCTAGTACCGTGATATGATGTTTGTTTGCATTCGCTTTGGTAACAAATTGATTTTCTAAATACAATTTCTAAGGTTTTTGCGCTTTGTGGAGCCCTGATTGTTTCTAGATAAACAAATCTGGAAAATTCGATGAATCGTTTGTCTCTTCTCATCAGGAATTCGGTTTTCATATTTTCAGGGCAAGCAGTTCATATTACAAATGGCAGAACGAATCGCTAACCTGCAGTCTGAATTTGGTCTGCCTACGTCTGTTGAAGAATTTAAAGAGCAGTACAACTTTGGTCTGGTAGAGGCTGTGTTTGAATGGGCAAGAGGAATGCCTTTCTCTGAAATAACCAACTTGACAGATGTGCAGGAAGGTAGGAGAAACCTGCCAACATAACTCAGGTTACGAAACGGAGGACTAACGATTTTTTAGCCTCCTGTTACTTAACGCTCTGCGGAATTCTTACACCAACTGATTGTTAGGACTTTTTTCTCTTGACATGCAATTCATACGTTGTGGTTTTCAGTAATTCTTTTTCACGACCAAAAAAAGATATTGCAGGTGAAGTGTCAGAGGGGTTCCTTACTTTGAATTGAGATGGGTTAGAGAAAGATGTTGAACACTTGTTACGAGCATTAGAGTAACACGTGAGGATTCGAACTGCAAATCTATCGATTTTTTGGACTGAACTACAGTTCTGAACTGAGTTTCACCAAGCTGAGATACTTCACTTAAACATGGACTTCTTTCTTTTTCTTTATTCAGGGATCATTGTTCGATGCATTCAGCGATTAGATGAGACGTGTCGTGATGTTAGAAATGCCGCTCGCATCATTGGAGATCCAAAGCTTGGAGAGAAGATGGAGGAAGCGTCCGCTATGATCAAAAGAGACATCGTATTCGCCGCAAGTCTGTACACGCAATGAACTAGTGACCGGAAATGGAAAGCATCAGCATCTTATTATGACTCAGCAGCATCTGAGTCATAACGAGATGTTATCCCGTAAAGATTAAGTTCGATTTTCATCCATTAGCGAAGAACGACCGTTTTCGCGGAACTGTAGGATTGAGGTCACCCATGTTGCTGGTCAACCTGGTTTTGACCTAGAAAATTTCGTGACTTAAAAAGAGCTCATTTAAACCGCCATCAAACGAGTTGTTAAAACTAATCTACTGAAATTCTTTAGGTGCATATTTCGTAAAATTTAAATTAAAAGCTCGAGGCTGAATAGTCCCATCCTGATTCAGGAACTGCTCTTTCAACGTTTTTAGACTTAGCGTAGACTAAACTTACAGGATTTAACTAAGTCAGAGTGCACATCTAAATGCCTTTTTTATGACTAAACTTGCTTAACTCGTAACTCTTGGTTTAGAACATGATCTTTTAAGTCTTTTTAGACTTTGCTCAATTTTTCCAAATGTCTTTTTTATCACTTAACTCACGCAACTCGAAATGTGGTGAAATTAGGATTCTGGTGGTGTGTTTACTCACTAAGATTTGAATCCAAATCATTCTAAAACCGGTCAAACCGGATGGAACAACTTAACAACGTTCTCCTCACTGTGGTACGTGATTTATATGGTCTTGAATACCCCAGACAACCCTTCCCCCGAGTTACCCTGGTCGACCTATCTCCATTTATTTCTCTGAAATATTCAACCAATGTCTAAATGAAAATGGTGAACTCGTCTCTGGGGCGAGACAGCTCGGGATGGCGAGTTGTCCCGCCTCGGGTCATCCTTTTCCCATCTAAACACTTCGGCTCGCCTGCCCGAGACGAGGCGGCTCAAATTTTATTTGATATATAACCTGCCCAGCTGTCACCAGAGAGAATAGCGAGGCTACAACTGTTACCACTCACAACTTCCAAATGAACGCCGCTTAAAGTTGTCTTGAAGGGGAGGGTTGTTTTGGGAACCCGAGACCATGTAAATAAAGCTTTGGAGTTAGGAATCAAAAAATGAAATTATGATGAATGAGGTATCCAAATAAAATTGATATAATTCAACGAAAGAAGTATTCTTTTGGATACGCGTGCAGATAATTGCCCGAGATTCTTCTTATAGTAAGTGTTTCATCCACAGTTATCACAAGTTTTGACAATCGACAGCGCGGGCTCACCATAAAATGTAACAAATTAGTGAACGCTTTTTAACCTTTACTCAATGCAGTGACAATACTTATTTCAACACAGTTTACATCAAAATGGCGTGAGCGATGGCAAAGAATTCGTTCTGAACTGTTGAATCAGATCTTTTCGAAACCTCGTAAACTTCTTTAAATATGCTCGTAATTGTCAATGGTGGAAAGATAATTAAGAGTTGGATGCAAAATCAACGTACCTCAAGTAAGAAACTCGGTCTCAATTATTCAAGAGAAGAGTTCGGAAGAGGCTACAAACTGTCACCATACTTCAGAAGTAGTTTACCAGTAAGGATAACGAACGATTCTTAACTCGATCTTGTTTCAATTAACCTTCTCTTTCCTTGAGGACCCTAATAAACACCGTATTACAGATGTAAACATGATAATGATGACAAATAAAACAACAACTGAAACTAAGAGTACAACGGCCAAAACATCAAGAAGGAAGAGCTTATAAAGCGGCAGATCCACCCCACGTGGTCTTAGGTACTGTAAATCACCTTGAGCCTGTGTATATTCCACCCAATCAGCAGCTTCCTTGACGGGTGAACGTGGCAACAGTTGAACAGATTTTGATATTCGCTTTGCTTTTTCTCGGTAGCTAAAGGAATAAGATTGCCACTGTTACTATCGGTAAAAGTTTGAAGGAATGTTTCCAAGAACTGATGAAAAAGTATTTGAGTTCTGTGATACTAACCTTGGATCTGTTAAAACCTTCTGTATCAAATTAACAAACTCCTCTGTTGATGTGGCTTCAAGGTCCACCACCTCAGCAAACCCAGCCCGCTTTGCAGCCTGGGCGTTGTGTGGTTGATCTCCGAAGAAAGGTGAACATATCATAGGAACACCATGGTAGGTTGATTCTAGCATTCCATTGATTCCTGCGTGTGCGATAAATAGCCGTGTCTTAGGGTGGCCAAGAATGTCATTCTGGGGAAGCCATGGCAACAGTTTGATGTTGTCGCTGACGGTGATTTTTGAAATGTCTGCAAATTTGAGAGAGAAGATAATGACTTGCGACGTTATCTAAGAGTTATGCGAAAAATGTACACGCAAATACTGTCATCTTCACTAGGTACTCTGTCATATTATCTTCGTTTGATCGTCACGTTCTTCGTCAGTATTGTTTGTGGGAAGTAACTTCAATCAGAAGCTAAGTGCGGTTGTAGCACCAATACGATAGTTATAAGCAGAAGATTATTCTCTTGTTATAATTCTTTTACATTGTACGTCTGTCTTGTTTTTTAAAGAATACTTCAAGAAGTCAATCGCCCTTTGAACTGTCAGCACTACAGATATATGATGTTTCTTTCATTTAAATTCTCTATTAACCCTTTTACTCCCATAGGCGACCAAGACAGAATTTCTCCTTACTAAATAAATATAATATCAAACAGACAAGTGATGAGAATAAAGAAAAATATTACTTAGGGGAAAATATTAGTTGATTCAATACCAGATTCCAGGAACTAACATCATAAGAAGCGAATGGCAGACAGTAAGGAGAATTACTAATGAGATCTTGGGAGTGAAAGGGTTAATTGATATAAAGTTGTGGGTTCTTCCTACATGGTACATGTGCAGCGCCTTGTTTTCCACGAAACTCTTATATAGCCCAGTATGGTGGAATCATTTCAGTTTTGATTGACGGTGTGCACGATTTTGCCCACAAGAAGTTTAGTCCAAAGAAATTCCTTCCTATCGACATTGCTTTGTTAAATCTCATACATGATTTATTTTTTCAGACAGACATACCATTGGGCTTAAGTTTCCATATAATCTTCTGTGGTAGTTTGGAGAAAGTTTCAGCCATAATTTTCAGTGATGAATCACTCAGCGCTCCAACCACTGTACCAAACGACACCAAGATCACGCCCTCGTCCCCAACCTTCTGAAAGTACTGATCTATCTCGTCTGGAAGAGATTTAGCTGGACTAGCAAGGAATGGACCCACAACACGTGTATCTAGAATGAAATGAAGATCTCACGATATACATTTTACACGATTGGTTATAAATCCTGTTTGTCCCCTCGAAGCCCAGAATCTCATCCTATTTGCTGGATTATTTTCTTCAGTAGGCTCACGTAACATGGCTCTAGAAAATCTAGAATTGTTCACACTGTCTTAGTATGCGATCCAAGCAAGGAAATAAATAGCGGTAAAACATGTAAATTTATCCAAGCCTCAAAATGGAGCATTAAAGTTCTTAAATGCTTATTCCTCGATCATCTGATCAATGAAGTTAAGTAAGTAAGGGCCAGCACCTAAAAGGAAAAAACTCCGTGACGTGAACTTTCATTTTTTTTGTTACTCAAATTCATTGAAACCTTGATTTGCAGGTATAAAAGCATTTAGTAGAAATATTCAAGTAACAGCAGCCTTCTTCGAAAAGCACGTAGTCTAGAGATTTAAAGTGACCGTAGTATAGGAATTTCAAAAAAATCAAAGATGCCCATTTTAAACAGTGTTGGTACCTACTCGGATAAAGAGGCCTTGGATGCTCTATAAAGAAATCCATCTGACCGATTATCAAGTCAACTCTGCCAAGTGTTTCTTGTATGCTCTTGCTGGGTGTAATGGCGTACTTTACCTTGATCTTCTCATAAGGCGGACACATATCGTAAATGTAAGATCCATATAGAATAATCCATTGTAAAAGACTCCATGCTCTTTCTGTAAATGTTAGCTTGTCTGAAAGAGAAACTCCACACTGTGGTATGTAGGAAGGAGGGGCAGGTAAGCCGAAGGCGAATGCTGTGGGAGTATCTAATGTGGCAGCTGATATTAGAACAAGTGGAAGTGAGAATTTATCCGCGACCAAAGACGAGCAGAGGTAAATAAATTCACCAACAATGATATCAGCGTGAGATATCTCTTCCACGACATCTGTATTACTGAGAAGGTCATCACAATAAACAGAATGGAACATTAGGAGCCTTTGCCATGTTTGTCTTGGGCTTAGCGATTTGAAGGTTTGAGAACTCTTTGATGCTGACCGGAACGCTGGAGCAAAATTGTTATCGTTGAAGACTCGTAAAAGTGAATCATTTACGGCATACATTTGTGTCGCTCCCACATATATCTTTACCTGTGGAAACGTTTACAAGTATTTTTAGGCCTTATCGGGCAATACTTAACCCCCTTTCCCTGTAAGAATAAGCCCCCCTTCTCTCGCGCACCCCTAAAAAAACCAGAAAGCTGAAATAAAAACAAAGGAGAAAGGAACAATGGACATAAGGGATATGACGTAGAATTCGTAATACATTTGATGGTTTCTAGATTTAGTGTAGGCTGTTTGTTTTGTTTCAAAATATACCTGTATCTGAAAGCCTACCTTTGTTGGTTATAAAATATTGAAGTTTTTTCAACCAAAGAAGTGCGAGAGTTCAGAACAAAAACAATCACTCCTACTGTGCCTCTCTTATAAGTTTGTAATAGTCTTTCTCTCTCCAAAACACACCCGGCTGAGAAGTTATGGGAATTAATGAACCCCCAGTGGACGTAATGGTGTGCTTCGGAAAAAGGTAATTAAGTCTCAGATGAAGTTAAAATGTAATCCTTCCGGATATTGATCAAGAGGGTCTAGGCTATATTCTTTCCGTCTGATTCAGCAGTATATGATTGTTTTCATGATTGACCGAATGAGTTAGCAAAGAAAGGAAATTTAATCATTGAGGTTAGTGCAGAAGATTTGATGCTGAACTTAATAGCAACTTGCAGGCCGTACAAATGTTTTGCGTTGCGCATATTCCCTTAGCGAGTGAATCTTCCTTCTTTCAGCGCGTTGGACAATCTCTTTACAAAATAAACAATACCTCTACATTAGCATTGCATTTCCTAAATTACCAATAGTCCAGTGAAAAATTAGTCGGCTCAGAGTTCGTCACAGCAGTACTTATTTAGTCTGAGTAAATTTACGGTAGGTACAATATTTGCCTAGGATTAGTTAAAAAAAATAGAAGGTGTAAAGATTATTGATGGGACGTTTGGTGTCTAATCAAACCATAGTAAAGTGTACAAAATTTAATCAGCCTTGTGGCCCAGACTAGAAGATAGCTACAAACTGAAAAGTTAAAGAATAAATTCATTCCAATAATGCTTTGTACATGAAATGTTTCTATGCGGGTCTCTTTTTCCCATTTGTGCGAGCGAAAAGCTCACAAGGACTGTAGTTCATCATTTTACATAGCGAGGTTGGTGAGGAGGTCACTGTGTCAGCAAATGATATGAAAGCAGTCCATGAAATCGTTTTATTCATATCATATTCTGCTTTTCTTTATGAAATATGCTCCTCGCCTGAACACGATAGATATCATTCAGCTGCCTTAACGTTGTTCAGTGCAAGAAGCTGACTTAGAATGTTCGAAGTCTCATTTCAAATTTGCATACCTGATGACCTCTCTCCGCCAGTTCCTGTCCAAGACGGGAGACAAACATGTAATGGCTTCTCCCAAACATGGGAATCATGACAATATTTGCAGCCAAACAGCTGGAAAGAGTAGCGAGAAACACCGATATAATAAAAGCCGCCATCTTTTACAATACATTCAACACAAAATATGATCATACAAAGTTCGTGAGCAGTGCCTTTAAGTTGAGTCAAGTCACGCAAGCAGATGGATTGCGTAAGACTTATCTCACGACGACGGAAATTCGTCTGATTGGCAGACTGGCATTAATACTTTCTTCCACGTTCGACAGCTCTGAAGTAATGATGAAGGTCGCGAAGGGTTTGACGTGACGCGTGTTAAAACTTCAAATTACTACATGACTTGTAACTTTTATTGAAAAGAAATATTAAAGGAAGTTTGAAGTTTTTCCTATAAAATTCGTGACGCATGAAATACTGTTTTAAGTGCAGACTAGGGGCCGCTGAAGTCCCTGACCGCTTTAAAAACAGATTTATCTTGCTTTAATCTGTATATTATCAAACGACTTACTGGCTCAGCTATTCTATTACTTTCTATTTGGTTCGTAGATGATATCTGCGTCTATATGTTTACTCGCTCTAGAAGTCTACTAATAGACGTCAGACTGCACCGAGAGGCTGTTTCTCTTCCGTTTTTTTTACATTTTGAGATCACATAAGATCATATCATGATCATCAAGTCGCGCTTGCTCGGTATTCCATGACACGCTCCTTCCACCTTTCTCTGTCTTCCATTGCAATTGGCAGTTCTTCAAGTCAGCATCCTGTGTCATCCATCAACTGGTCAATGTAGGTCTTTTTTGGGCGTCCTCTCGGCTGATGTCCATGTGTTGGCTTTCAGAGTAATACATCCCCTGCAAGTTCTTCTTTACTGCGCCAACAATGCCCTGCGAATCTCATCCTTTATTGATTTACTGATTGGCAGGATGTGGCCGTAGAGCTCTACGTTTGTGGGGTGATCCTTCCACGATCTGTTAAAGGCAGCGCGTAGCATTCTAGTGAATGCTCCGTCGATTTTCTTTTCCAGATGTGTTGTTAAGGTCCAGGAGACTGAATCATATAAAAGGACAGTCTCCACTGCTGTTCGAAAGAAGTTTCTTTTCAGGTCGTCAGGAAGGTTTGATTTTCATATCTTGTCCAGTTGATTTAGAGAATCCCACGCCTTTCCTAGTCCGATGTTAACATCATGTTTGGTAGAGGTGATGTAGCTTCTCATGTATTTAAAATCGTCCACTTGTTTTATCTTCTCACCATTGAGACTCCTCATCCCCTCTGACGCATCTTGATCGAAGCAGATGAACTCTGTTTTATCTGCATTGAGGTAGAGCCCTATCTCCTTTGCTGTTCTTTCAATGCTGTGCGGCAGGAATGTTGCATCTTTTAGGACATCAGCCAGTACTGCTAAGTCGTCAGCATAGTCTGCATTTGTTATTTTCATAGCTGGGTAGCGTTTGCTCTTCCGCTTTGCCAGGGTAAAGCCAAGTTCATTGTTCTTGTCCGGAGCTTTACGCAGTATAGAGTCAAGACATATAATGAATATGTATGGGGCTAGTGTATCACCTTGAAGGACTCCAGCACTGATATCGAAGAAGTCTGTGTCTCCATCAGGGGAGCGAACCATAGAGCAGGTGTCCTGATACAGAATCATGATGGCATCCACCGTTTCCTTGGGTACTCCATAGGCGGATAAGATCTCTTTCATCTTTCCGCGGTGGATCGAATCAAAGGCTTTTGAAAAGTCGATGAATAGGAGAGTAGCTGGAAGGTTTTTAGATTTTATGCCTTCCAAGATACGTCTGATGGTGAGTATTTGTCCCGAGGTTGATCGGTTTGTACGGAACCCGTTTTGGTTTTTTCTCAAGACTGGGTCGATTTTGGGTCTTATCCTGTTAAGGAGCATCAGGTTGTTAATCTTTGCTGGAATTGCTGTCAATGTTATTCCGCGATAATTCTTGGTGATCGCGAGGTTGCTTTATTTGGGGATTGGCAGCAGGCATCCTTTTCTCCATCTATTTATGGGGTCTTAGTTATGTACATTGTTGCAGAAATCCAACAATACTTGGTGGAAGTCATCTATTTTCCAAACTTGTGCGGCTTCATGCAGATGTTTATGTTTTTGGCAAATTTCCTCAGTCTCCCATGGTGTTCGTTTCTTGATTTTGGGTTTCAATGGGATGGTGTCCGCGGCTGTTTCTTTGCATGCTAATTCAAAATGGTTGTATTTTGTTTTAGCACTGTTTGTCAGAGTTGTGTCTTGTAGAGCAGCAAATCTATTTTTCACTCTGGTAATAAGGTGTTGCGTATTTCAGGGTTGTCTTTTAGATGTGTCCAGTCGTATGGAGAAGTATTGCTGTTCTTCTTTTTATTTTCTCGAAGACTCGGACGTATTTGGGTGGAGACGACACGATGGTCTGACGCTACGCTAACAAATGAGTTAAATGCTCTACAATTCTTTGCACTATTTTTCCACTTCCGATTGATGATCTCGTAGTCCAACTGTGCCTTACTCCTGTTCGGTGATTTGTGTGTCCATAGCTGACCTGTTCTTTTCTGGTATTTTGTTGTGAGACATAAGAGATTGTTCTCATTGATGTAGTCTTTTAGCATGGAGCCATTTCTGTTGGTTTGAATGTGATATGCGTATTTGAAGCCATCAAGTTGTCCAAGATGTCCATTAAAGTCGCCTGCAATAATAAAGAATAATACATGGGTGCGCGTAGATATGGAATTTCTCTTCGAGTGTTTAAATCGATAGCTCACGAGTGAGCGCAGTTAACGAGTGGGATGTCGAGTTGAACACGAGAAGAGAAATTCCATATCTACAAGCAACCATGTATTATTTTGTTTATCATATAAACACAAGAGCTCTTACTGAGAAGAAAAGCCGATCTCGTTAATGAATGAAAATTAATGAATCGACAATCCCCGAATAACAATCGTAGAGTGCGTTGGCGCCGGCTAACTCTATCCTTACCGATGGAAGAAGTCTTTCAGGTAAACGGCCAAAATCGACCAGTGGTAAATCTTCCAATTGTCGATTTTCATTCTCAGCCGAGAGAAATGCTAACACCAAAGCCACTGAATAAGTAACTTTCGGTTTTTCTTTTAGTATACTGGTTTTCTTTCCCTTCTAGGAAAGTTTGAACCTCACTGTATGTCAGCGATACGGATTTTTTAGTGCTTTAGCCGCCATAATTCGAGAACCCTCCGACAAACAACTTGTATTGAGAATCGTGAAGACTTTGCCGTTCATTCATCAACCTGACCGAAGGGCGCCAAAGGCGAGTGACGTGTCAGCAGCTGATTGGCTATATCAACACACGTGGAAAAAATACGATATCTTTTCACGTGTGTTGTTACGACTTTTCCCAGGGCCGGAAATCTCTGTATAACACCGCAGTTTATGTGATAAATTGTGTTTGGAAACTTGTTTGGTAACTGATATCAATTCCTGGTAAAACTTTTTGACTTCTGTTTCATCGCTTATGTTGGTGGGGCTGTAGCAGGAGATAATAGTGGTCTGAGGATTTCCATTGAAGGTAGCTATCATAATTCTAGATGTTATCATTTCAGCACTGGTAAGAGCATTGTAGGCTTGTGGGCTAAATAGTATTCTGGTTCCTCCAGTGGCCGCATTCACAGTATTCTTCCATGTAGAGCAGGTGATCATTTTCCAGCTGCTAAAGATCTGTTCTTTTGTTGCAAATTCCTAATGTATAAATCTGTGTTCTTGTATACAGATGATGTCATGATTTGTAGAATCAGCTGAGGCAATTAGTTCAGGTACCTTTCTTTCTTTCTGGAGTGTTTGGACATTAAAGGTCGCAATGAAAATGTCTTTCTTTCCCTTCATCGGTCTGGAATTGACTTTTCTTGTTTTGGTCGCTTTGGTTTCAGTAGTTGATTTCGACTGCAACCTGAAACGTCATTACAGGACGCGCTCCTTAGTTGAGCGCGCGACGAGCGATGCTGGATGAACGCCTTGGGTTTTGTGTCATTTCATACTTTCAAGGACTGGTTTGACACTTGCGGTCGCTACTCCATACAAGTGTGAGCAGTACTCTGTATTAGAACGTTTGTGCCTAGCCAAAACAATCAACATTGGTTGTTGTGAATCGCCTCGCCTCTAGAAGCTTGAACCAACGTTTCAGTATTTCGATCATTCTGCTATCCATATCATTCTGATATGTGTTTCGCCTTGCCAAAGGGCGACCTGTTATTTTGTCCTGCACTGCTAATTGGTTATTCGCAGCTAACTTCTATATCTAGAGGCCGTTCCCTATTCGCAACCTGGGGAGCCGGTGGATGGGAGTTCCCATCTCCGCATCACTAAGATCACATAACAATACAAATAATGTCATTATCTGGCGACCATACCGCTGACAAGGAGCGAAAGTGAGAATTTTTCTCGTTTGAGAGCTCTGAACGTAATTATAACTGACGAAACAAATTATTATGCCCTTTGACAGACCTAACGTCAACTCACCCTTGAAATTTATCAGTAGGCTTTAGACGATATCGAGAGGCTGAAAAGAAACGTTTCATTGTTCATCTTTTAGTTCATTTCTTATATTAATTTTTTTACAGTTCGAAAATAAATGACAATATGATCTGACGTGGACTTCAGTTCATCGACAAGTTCTTGTACGATAACCTTATGGGGATATGACGGACTTTGAACAAAAGAATACCAACATGACCATGTTTTTCACCTGGCCCGGCGGTGGCTTTTAATTCAGTGATCTAAATGAGCAGTTAATATCCTGGGGGCCATTCATTTAATTGAGATATCTTTGGTAAAGAAAATTATGATAATCACATCTAAGTTGTCGAGAGCAGTGCTGCTCCCACCAATCAGATTGGGCAGGTTATATTACTCGTACCAATCAGTTTGCGTAGGTTATGTTGCTCGCAGCAGTCAGATTGCGCAGGATATGTTAGTCGCACTAATCAGATTGCACAGGGTAGGTTTCTCTCAGTCTATGATTATTATGAATAGAAAAACAGACATTACACATCCTTGATACACTTCTGAGTTCTGCATGCTGCATGTAACAGACGAAGTTATTGTGGTATAGATTGGCAGTCCCGTAGTTTCTTCCATAACCCAAATATAACTCAATCCAAGACGTGTTTATTAAGATACCCGTTCAGCAGCCTAAAAAGCGGAACATGTTTACAGAGATTCTTTTCAAGTGCGTCATTCTTAGCTACTAGTATCATGACGAGTTTGACACTCGACACCGCGGGCTCACCGAGGAACAATGTCTGTTACACCACAAAATTTTACTTTAGATACAAAATGCAATGAGAAAAGACGATAGGCAAGTATGTATTGATGTTTTCTGCGACCCTGTGTATGAGCACTGGTGATATTGTAGATTTTACGTAAAGGTCAATTTCAACACTTTTTTGCCTCTTCATATTTATTTCAACACAGTCATCAAAGAGAGTAAAGGATAACGAAGAATTCGTTCTCGACTCTTCGGTTTGTCAAGATTATTTGGTATCATAAAGTGAGTTGGTAATGTAAACTGGGCACCGTAAAGAGTTTCTAAAGCTGACGTTCCGAGCGTTAGCCCTGTAGCTATATTTCAGAAGTCGTCATGTAAACCAAAAAACAATGAATTCCTAACTCGACCTCGTTTCAGTTTGCCTTCTCTTTCCTCGAGGACCCTAATAAACACCGTATTACAGATGTAAACATGATAATGATGACAAATAAAACAACAACTGAAACTAAGAGTACAACGGCCAAAACATCAAGAAGGAAGAGCTTATAAAGCGGCAGATCCAGGCCACGTGGTCTTAGGTACTGTAAATCACCTTGAGCCTGTGTATATTCCACCCAATCAGCGGCTTCCTTGACGGGTGAACGTGGCAACAGCTGAACAGATTTTGATATTCGCTTTGCTTTTTCTCGGTAGCTAAATGAATCAAATTGCAACTGTTAATATCTGTATCAGTTTGAAGGAATGTTTCCAAGAAGTGATGAAAAAGTATTTAAGTTCTGTGATACTAACCTTGGATCTGTTAAAACCTTCTTTATCAAATTAACAAACTCCTCTGTTGATGTGGCTTCAAGGTCCACCACCTCAGCAAACCCGGCCCGCTTTGCGGTCTGGGCGTTGTGTGGTTGATCTCCGAAGAAAGGTGAACATATCATAGGAACACCATGGTAGGTTGATTCTAGCATTCCATTGATTCCTGCGTGTGCGATAAATAGCCGTGTCTTAGGGTGGCCAAGAATGTCATTCTGGGGAAGCCATGGCAGCAGTTTGATGTTGTCGCTAACGGTTATTTTTGAAATGTCTGCAAATTTGAGAAAGAAGATAATGAATTGCGACGTTGTGTAAGAGTTATGCGAAAAATGTACACGCAAATACTGTCATCTTCACTAGGTACCCTGTCATATTATCTTCGTTTGATCGTCATGTTCTTTGTCAGTATTGTTTGTGGGAAGTAACTTCAATTAGAAGCTAATTACGGTTGTAGCACCAATACGATAGTTATAAGCAGAAGATTATTCTCTTGTTATAATTATTTTACATTGTACGTCTGTCTTGTTTTTTTAATGAATACTTCAAGAAGTCAATCGCCCTTTGAACTGTCAGCACTACAGATATATGATGTTTCTTTCATTCAAATTCTCTATTAACCCTTTTATTCCCATAGGCGACCAAGACAGAATTTCTCCTTACTAAATAAATATAATATCAAAGAGACAAGTGATGAGAATAAAGAAAAATATTACTTAGGGGAAAATATTAGTTGATTCAATACCAGATTCCAGGAACTAACATCATAAGAAGCGAATGGCAGACAGTAAGGAGAATTACTAATGGATCCGACAACCATACGATTTTTCCGACAACCATACCATTGGGCTTAAGTTTCCATATAATCTTCTGTGGTAGTTTGGAGAAAGTTTCAGCCATAATTTTCAGTGATGAATCACTCAGCGCTCCAACCACTGTACCAAACGACACCAAGATCACGCCCTCGTCCCCAGCCTTCTGAAAGAACTGATCTATCTCGTCTGGTAGAGATTTAGCTGGACTAGCAAGGAATGGACCCACAACCCGTGTATCTAGAATGAAATGAAGATCTCACGATATACATTAAGGAAGATGATTGGTTATAAATCTTGTTTGTCCCCTCGAAGCCCAGAATCTCATCCTATCCGTTGGATTACTTTCTTCAGTAGGCTCTAGAAAGTCTAGAATTAAAGTTCTTAAATGCTCATTCCTTGATCATCTGATCAATGAAGTTAAGAAAGTCAAAAACCCAGCTGGTGAGGGCCTGCACCTAAAAGGATGACAAATATCTCCATGATGTGAACTTTCCTTTTTTTCACTCAAATTCATTGAAACCTTAATTTGCAGTTATAAAAATATTTAGGAATAATGTTCAACTAGCAGTAGCCTTCTCTCTTGCCGCAAATTTTAAGTACTCGAGTTACATAAGACTACAATCATTCCCTCCTTTTCGGCGAAGTCCGTCGCGAAGTTTGTCGTGGAGTTCGTCGCTAAGTTCGTCGCTAAGTTCGTCGTACAGCCGAGTGGGAGCGAGGCTCACGAAAAGAAGGTAGTCTCCAGATTTATAGTGACCGTGGTATAGGAATTTTAAAAAAATAAAAAAATGCCCATTCTAAAGAGCGTTGGTACTTACTCGGATAAAGAGGCCTTGAATGATCTATCAAGAAATTCATCTGTGCGATTATCAAGTCAACTCTGCCAAGTGTTTCTTGTATGCTCTTGCTGGGTGTAATGGCGTACTTTGCCTTGATCTTCTCATAAGGCGGACACGTATCGTAAATGTAAGATCCATATAGAATAATCCATTGTAAAAGACTCCATGCTCTTTCCGAAAATGTTAGCTTGTCTGAAAGAGAAACTCCATACTGTGGTATGTAGGAAGGAGGGGCAGGTAAGCCGAAGGCGAATGCTGAGGGAATATCCAATGTGGCAGCTGATATTAGAACAAGTGGAAGTGAGAATTTGTCCGCAATTAAAGTTGAGCAGAGGTAAATAAATTCACCAACAATGATGTCTGCGTGAGATATCTCTTCCATGACATCTGTATTACTAAAAAGGTCATCACAGTAAACGGATTGGAACATTAGGAGCATTTGCCATTCTTGTCTTGGGCTTAGCGATTTGAAGGTTGGAGAACTTGTTGATGCTGACCGCAACACTGGAGCAAAATTGTCATCATTGAAGACTCGTACAAGTGAATTATTTACAGCATACGTTTGTGTCGCTCCCACATATATCTTTACCTGTGGAAATATTTACAAGTATTTTAGGCTTTATCCGGCAATACTTGCACAAGGGATATACACAAGGGGTATAACGTAGAATTCGTAATACATTTGATGGTTTCTAGATTTAGTGTAGGCTGTTTGTTTTGTTTCAAAATATACCTGTATCTGAAAGCCTACCTTTGTTGGTTATAAAATATTGAAGTTTTTTCAACCAAAGAAGTGCGAGAGTTCGGAACAAAAACAATCACTCCTACTGTGCCTCTCTTACAAGTTTGTAATAGTCTTTCTCTCTCCAAAAGACATCCGGCTGAGAAGCCATGGGGATTAATGAACCTCCAGTGGAGATATTGGTGTGCATCGGAAAAGAGTCATTAAATCTCAGATGAAGTTAAAATGTAATCCTTCCGGATATTGATCAAGAGTGACGAGGCTATATTCTTTCCGTCTAATTCAGCAGTATATGATCGTTTTCAAGATTGACCGAATGAGAGCAAAGATTTGATGCTGAACTCAGTAATAGCAACTCGCAAGCCGTGCAAATGTTTCGTGCACATGTTCTCTTAGCGAGTGAATCTTCCTTTGGACAATCTCTTTACAAAATAAACAATACCTCAACATTAGCATTACATTTCCTAAATTGCCAATAGTCCGGTGAAAAATTAGTCGGCTCAAAATTCGTCACAGCAGTACTTACTTAGTCTGAGTAAATTTACGGTGGGTACGTTATTTGCTTAGGATTAGTTAAAAATAAAGGGTGTTAAGGTTATTGTAGCACTTGCGGCGACGAAAATTCTAATTCAGAAGGTTTTAAGCGGTGTCGCTCTAAGAGGCGGTTAACGAGGTGTTTGGGGGCTATTTTACAGATCGAGATTGAAGAATAACGGACCAAAGTTGACCATTTACACGAATTTTAAATCCTGCAAGTAATCGAAAATCAATCATAATCAATCAATCAATCGATCGATCGTAAAATATCGGTTCCGCTTGTGCCAAAGGTTTAGGAAACGAAAAGACGAAAGTTCACTAAGACTACTCAAAACTCACGAAGAGCTGATTACAGGGATGCTAAACTCGCTTTTATATGCGCGTGGTGACGCTGAAAGGTCCGATTACAAAACCAATAGAAATATAAACAACCAGATAAACATTGTTACTATTAGGATCATTCTGATGCTCAATTAAATAAAAATGAGCCTTCTGGCTAGTGTCCTCAACAGTTACTGATGTCACGTTTGGCCTCTAATTAAACCACAGTAAAGTAAACAAAATTTAATCAGCCTTGTGGCCCAGACTGGAAGATAGCTAAAAACTGAAAAGTTCAAGAATAAATTCAATCTAACAGCGCTTTGTCCAGGAAATGTTTCTATGTCAGTCTCTTTTTCCCATTTGTGCGAGCGAAAAGCTCACAAGGACTGTAGTTAATTATTTTACATGGCGAGGTTGGTGAGGAGGTCGCTGTGTCAGCAAATGACATGAAAGCAGTCCATGAACTCGTTATATTCTTCTCATATTCTGCTTTTCTTTATGAAATATGCTCCTCGCCTAAACACGATTAGATAAGTTTCGTATCTAGATATCATTCAGCTGCCCTAACGTTGCTTACTGCCAGAGGCTGAGTTAGAATGTTCTAAGTCTCATTTCAAATTTGCATACCTGATGACCTCTCTCCGCCAGTTCCTGTCCAAGACGGGAGACAAACATGTAATGGCTCTTCCCAAACATGGGAATCGTGACTATATTTGCAGCCAGAGAGCTGGAAAGAGTAGCGAAAAACACCGATATAATAATAGCCGCCATCTTGTGCAATTCATTAAACACCAAATACATGGTTACAAAGTTCGAGATCAGAGACTTTGGGTCGAGTCAGGTCACGCAAGCAGATGGATTGCGTAAGACTTACCACACGACGACGGAAACTCACCTACTTTCTTCTACGTTCGACAGCTCTGAAGGAATGATGAAGGTCGCAAAGAGTTTGACGTGACGCGTGTTAAAACTTAAAATTACTACACGACATGTAACTTTTATTGAAAAGAAATATTAAAGGAAGTTTGAATTTTTCCCATAAAATTCGTGACGCATGAATTACTGTTAAGTGCAGACCAGGGGCCGCCTAAGTCCTTGACCGCCTTGAAAACAGATTTATCCTGCTTTAATCTGTTTATTATCGAACGACAGGGCTTACTGGCTCAGCTTTTTAAACTTTCTATTTGGTTCGTAGATGATATCTGCGTCTATATGTTTACTCGCTCTAGAGGTCTACTAATAGACGTCAGACTGCACCGAGAGGCTGTTTCTCTTCCCTTTTTTACATTTTGAGATCATATAACAGTACAGACTAACATAGATTGCAGTGCATCTACAAGTTGTAGTACAAATAATGTCATTATCTGGCGACCATACCGCTGACAAGGAGCCAAAATGAGAAATTTTTCTCGTTTGAGAGCTCTGAACGTAATTATAACCGACGAAACAAATTATTATGCCCTTTAACAGACCTAACGTCAACTCGCTCTGGAAATTTATGACTAGAGGCTTCAGACAATACAGGAGGCTTAATTTTCCGAAAAACAATGTTTCATTGTTTATCTTTTAGTTCATTTCTTATATTCATATTTTTTTACAGTTCGAAAATAGATGACAATATGATCTGACGTGGATTTCACTGAGTCATCGACAAGTTCTTGTACGATAACCTTAGGGGGATATGACGGACTTTGAACGAAAGAATACCAATATGACCATGTTTTTTCACCTAGCCCAGCAGTGACTTTTAATTCAGTGATCTGAATGAGCAGTCAACATCCTGGAGGCCGTTCATTTAACTGAGATATCCTTGGCAAAGAAAATTATAATAATCACACCTAAGTCGTCGAGAGCAGTGCTGTTCTCCCAATCAGATTGCGCAAGTTATGTTACTCATACCATCAGTTTGCGTAGGTTATGTTGCTCGCAGCAGTCAGATTGCGCAGGATATGTTAGTCGCACTGAGCAGATTGCGCAGGGTAGGTTGCTCTCAGTCTATAATGATTATAAACAGGAAAGCAGACATTACACATCCTTGACACACTTCTGAGTTTACAGCAAAGTTCAGACAAGAGTTCTGCATGCAACAGACGAAGTTATTGTGGAATAGATTGGTAGTCCAGTAGTGTCTTCCACAACTCAAATATAACTCAAACCAAGAAGTGTTTATTGAGATACGCGTTCAGCAGCCTAAAATGCGACACATGTTTACCAGAGATTCTTCTCAAGTGCTTCCTCCTTAACTACTAGTATCATGATGAGTTTGGCACTCGGCATCGCGGGCTCACCAAGTAACAATGTCTGTTACACCACAAAATTTTACTTTCGATACAAAATGCAATGAGAAAAGACAATAAGCAAGTATGTATTGATGTTTTCTGCGACCCTGTGTATGAGCACCGGTGGTATTGCAGATTTTGCGTAAAGGTCAATTTCAACATTTTTTTGCCTCTTCATATTTATTTCAACACAGTCATCAAAGAGAGTAAAGGATAACGAAGAATTCGTTCTCGACTCTTCGGTATGTCAAGATTATTTGGTATCATAAAGTGAGTTGGTAATGTAAACTGGGCACCGTAAAGAGTTTCTAAAGGTGACGTTCCGAGCGTTAGCCCTGTAGCTATATTTCAGAAGTCGCCATGTAAACCGAAAAACAACGGATTCCTAGCTCGACCTCGTTTCAGTTTGCCTTCTCTTTCCTTGAGGACCCTGATAAACACCGTATTACAGATCTAAACATGATAATGATGACAAATAAAACAACAACTGAAACTAAGAGTACAACGGCCAAAACATCAAGAAGGAAGAGCTTATAAAGCGGCAGATCCAGGCCACGTGGTCTTAGGTACTGTAAACCACCTTGAGCCTGTGTATATTCCACCCAATCAGCGGCTTCCTTGACGGGTGAACGTGGCAACAGCTGAACAGATTTTGATATTCGCTTTGCTTTCTCTCGGTAGCTAAATGAATCAAATTGCAACTGTTAATATCGGTATCAGTTTTTAGGTAAGGAGTTAAACTGAGTAGCAATATCAAGTGATGTGTGAAAGGCCTTGATCCCAGGGTCTTTCTATTTTCTCACGGTCATGGAGCAAGAGGAAACGTTTCCTTCACGGGTTGAGAATTGATCCGCCTTATTTAATTAGCAACTTGTATGTGCTGACGTACGTGACAGAACAAACTTCGCGGCTTTATAGGTTACCAAAATTTGTCTTTGAAGGTATGGAGCTCCGCTGCGCTGTGAGCTACGCTGTATCAAGGAGCTTTCTCTATGAAGTTCATTTCATAAGGATTTTATTTATGATCGTGAAGGAATGTTTTCAAGAAGCGATGAAAAAGTATTTTAACTCTGTGATACTAACCTTGGATCTGTTAAAACTTTCTGTATCAAATTAAAAAACTCCTCTGTTGATGTGGTATCAAGGTCCACCACTTCAGCAAACCCAGCCCGCTTTGCAGCCAGGGCGTTGTGTGGTTGATCTCCGAAGAAAGGTGAACATATCATAGGAACACCATGGTAGGTTGATTCCAGCATTCCATTGAGTCCTGCGTGTGCGATAAATAGCCGTGTCTTAGGGTGGCCAAGAATGTCATTCTGGGGAAGCCATGGCAACAGTTTGATGTTGTCGCTAACGGTGATTTTTGAAATTTCTACAAAATTTGAGAAAGAAGATCATGACTTGCTACGACATCCGAGAAAAATCTATACGCAAATACTGTGTCATCTTTATTAGGTACTCTGTCATATTATTCTCGTTGGATCGTCACGTTCTTTGTCAATATTGTTTGAAGGGAGTAACTCCAATCAGAAGCTTATTACGGTTGTAGCACCAATACGATAGTTATAAGCAGAAGATTATTTTCTTGTTATAATTATTTTACATTGTACGTCTGTCTTGTTTTTAATGAATACTTCAAGAAGTCAATCGCCCTTTGAACTGTCAGCACTACAGATATATGATGTTTCTTTCATTTAAATTCTCTATTAACCCTTTTAACTTCCATAGGCGACCAAGACAGAATTTCTCCTTACTAAATAAATATAATATCAAAGAGACAAGTGATGAGAATAAAGAAAAATATTACTTAGGGGAAAATATTAGTTGATTCAATACCAGATTCCAGGAACTAACATCATAAGAAGCGAATGGCAGACAGTAAGGAGAATTACTAATGAGATCTTGGGAGTGAAAGGGTTAATTGATATAAAGTTGTAGGTTCTTCCTACATGGTACATAACACTACACCCTGTAAAACGCCTTGTTTTCCACGAAACTCCTATAGCCCAGTTTGGTGGAATAATTTCAGTTTTGGTTGAGGGTATACACGATTTCGCCTACAAGACGTTCAGTCCAAAGAAATTTCTTCCTATCGACGTTGCTGTGTTAAATCTAATACATGATTTATATTTTCAGACAGACATACCATTAGGCTTAAGTTTCCATATAATCTTCTGTGGTAGTTTAGAGAAAGTTTCAGCCATAATTTTCAGTAATGAATCACTAATTGCTTCAACCACGGTACCAAACGACACCAAGATCACGCCCTCGTCCCCAGCCTTCTGAAAGAACTGATCTATCTCGCTTGGTAGAGATTTAGCTGGACTAGCAAGGAATGGACCCACAACACGTGTATCTAGAATGAAATGAAGATCTCACGATATTCACTATGGAAGATGATCCGCTATAAATCTCGTTTCTCTCTTCGAGGCTCAGAATCTCATCCTATCCGCTGGATTGCTTTCTTCAGTAAGCTCGCGTTACATGACTCTAGAAAATCTAGAATTGTTCACACTATCTTAGAGTGCGATTCAAGCAAGGAAATTAATGGCGGTAAAACATACAGATTTATCCAAGCCTCGATATGGAGCATTAAAGTCTTGAAATGCTCATTCCTTGATCGTTTGATCAATGAGGTTAAGAAAGTAAAACTCTGTTGGTGAGGCCCCGCACCTAGATGGATGACTTAAAAAAAATCCATATCGTGAACTTTAATTTTTTTTTGGCTCAAATTCATTGAAACCTTAGTTTGCAGGTATAAAAGCAGTTAGGAGTAATATTCAACTTGCTGTATCCTTTCACGCATACTGCCGATTTTAAGACCCGAGTTACACTGGACTACGACCATTCCCTCCTTTTCGGCAAAAGTCCGTAGCGAAGTCGAAAAAAAAAATCAGCGAAAAAATTGTGATGTTACTGCGTCGCACAAGCCAGTGGAAGTGAGGCACACGAGAAGCACGTAGTCTATAGGTTTATAATAGCCGTAGTAAAGGAATTAAAAAAAAAAAAAAAAAAAAAAAAAAAAGGATGCCCATTTAAAACAGTGTTGGCACTTACTCGGATAAAGAGGCCTTGGATGCTCTATAAAGAAATCCATCTGACCGATTATCAAGTCAACTCTGCCAAGTGTTTCTTGTATGCTCTTGCTGGGTGTAATGGCGTACTTTGCCTTGATCTTCTCATAAGGCGGACACATATCGTAAATGTAAGATCCATATAGAATAATCCATTGTAAAAGACTCCATGCTCTTTCTGTAAATGTTAGCTTGTCTGAAAGAGAAACTCCAATCTGTGGTATGTAGGAAGGAGGGGCGGGTAAGCCGAAGGCGAATGCTGTGGGAGTATCTAATGTGGCAGCTGATATTAGAACAAGTGGAAGTGAGAATTTATCCGCGACCAAAGACGAGCAGAGGTAAATAAATTCACCAACAACGAGGTCTGCGTGAGATATCTCTTCCATGACATCTGTATTACTGAGAAGGTCATCACAGTGAATGGATTGGAACATATAGAGCATTTGCCATGTGTGTCTTGGGCTTTTCGATTTAAAGGTTCGAGAACTCTTTGATGCTGACCGGAACGCTGGAGCAAAATTGTCATCGTTGAAGACTCGTACAAGTGAATCATTTACAGCATACGTTTGTGTCGCTCCCACATATATCTTCACCTGTGGAAACATTATTTTTAGGCCTCATCGGGCAATAGTTAACCCCCTTTCCCTACTAAAATAAGCCCCCCCCCCCACCCCCTAAAAACAGAAAGCTGAAACAAAAACACAAGAGAAAGTGACAATGGACATAAGGGATATAACGTAGAATTCGTAATACATTTGATGATTTCCAGATTTGGAGTAGGCTGTTTGTTTTGTTTCAAAATATACCTGTATCTGAAAGCCTACCTTTGTTGGTTATAAAATATTGAAGTTTTTTCAACCAAAGAAGTGCGAGAGTTCGGAACAAAAACAATCACTCCTACTGTGCCTCTCTTATAAGTTTGTAATAGTCTTTCTCTCTCCAAAAGACACCCGGCTAAGAGCCATGGGAATTAATGAACCCCCAGTGGACAAATTGGTGTGCTTCGGAAAAGGGTAATTAAATCTCAGATGAAGTTAAAATGTAATCCTTTCGGATATTGATCAAGAGTGACGAGGCTATATTTTTTCCGCCTGACTCAGCAGTATATGATCGTTTTCAAGATTGACCGAATGAGTTAGCAAAGAAAGTAAATTTAATAACTGAGGTCAGTGCAGAAGATTTGATGCTGAACTTCATAGCAACTTGCAGGCCGTACAAATGTTTGGTGCGCATATTCCCTTAGCGAGTGAATCTTCCTTCTTTCAGAGCGTTGGACAATCTCTTTACAAAATAAACAATACCTCTACATTAGCATTGCATTTCCTAAATTACCAATAGTCCAGACAAAAATTGGTCGTCTCAGGGTTCGTCACATCAGTACTTATTTAGTCTGAGTAAATTTACGGTGGGTACAATAATTTCTTAAGATTAGTTAAAAAAAAAAGGAGAAAAGGTTATTTATGTCACGTTTTGCGTCTTATCAAACCACAGTAAAGTAAATAAAATTTAATCAACCTTGTGGCACAGACTAGAAGATAGCTACAAACTGAAAAGTTGAAGAACAAATTCAATCTAACTGTGCTTTGCCCGAGAATTATTCCTATGCCAGTCACTTTTTCCCATTTGTTCCAGCGAAAATTTGTATCCTCACAAGGACTGTAACTAATCATCACATAGCGAGGTCAGTAAGTCACTGTGTCAGCAAATAATATAAAAGCAGTCCATGAACTCGTTATTCATCTTATGTTCTGCTTTTCTTTATGAAATATACTCCTCGCCTAAACACGATTAGATAAGTTTCGTATCTAGATATTATTCAGTGCAAGAAGCTGAGTTAGAATGTTCGAAGTCTCATTTCTAATTTGCATACCTGATGACCTCTCTCCGCCAGTTCTTGTCCAAGACGGGAGACAAACATGTAATGGCTCCTGCCACACATGGGAATCATGACAATCTTTGCAGCCAGAGAGCTGGAAAGAGTAGCGAGAAACACCGATATAAGAAAAGCCGCCATCTTGTGCAATTCATTCAACACAAAGAATAATCATACAAAGTTCGTGATCAGTGCCTTTAAGTTGAGTCAGGTCACGCAAGCATTGCGTAAGACTTACCTCAGGATGACGGAAACTCGTCTGATTGGCAGAATGACATTTACACTTTCTTCTCAGTTCGACAGCTCTGAAGTAATGATGAAGGTCGCAAATGGTTTGACGTGACGCGTGTAAACTCCAAATTAGTACATGAAACGTAACTCTCATAGTAAGGAAAGGTTGAGGGAAGTTTGAAATTCCTCTTTAAAATTCGTGACACACGAAATACTGTTTAGAGTACAGATCACGGGTCCGCTAAAGTCCCTAACCGCTTAAAGAACAGATTTATATCTTGCTTTAATTTGTATCTTAACGAATGACAGGGCTTATTGGCTCCGCTATTCTATTACTTTCTAGTTGGTTCGTAGATGACATCTGCGTCTATAATACATCAGAATGTACCGAGAGGCAGTTTCTTTTCCTTTCTTTTTTTCATTTTGAGATTACATAACTATACAAACGAATATGGATTGCAGTGCATATACAAGTTGTAGTACGATGACTTTATGACGTGTCATAAGCTGCTTTGAGCTAGGTAAAAATATTAGCAACACTGTTTTTTCACCTGATCTAAGCGAACAGTCAACATATCGGAGTCCATTTCTTTTTGTAGTTTGAAAAAAAAGTTGTAAATTACATCCTAGTCGACAAAAGGCGGTACTACTAGCATCATTGAGAATGGACAGGGGATGTGGCTCCACCAATCAGGTTGCACAGGGTATGTTACTCGTACCAATCAGACTTCTTAGAGTATGTTGCTCACACCAAGTAGATTTGTTGGGATAAGTTGCTTGTATTAATTACATTCGTTTAGGTGTGTTTCTCGTACCCATTATGTTGCACTGAGTATGTTACTTGCACCAATAACACTCGTTAGATTATGTTGCTCGCACGAATCAGATTGCAAAAGTACCAAAAGAATTCAGTTAAATCAAGATGCTGCGATGACTGATGTGCGTCTGCGTGATAGCACCATGACAGTATTAGCGGCAGAGTTGCGTGTTTGTCATGCACAGCAAATGATTTAATTTACATTGTGGTTTCTAACTCAACTAAGGTTGAAAAGATCCTCAAAATAAATTTAATTTCTGGTTCAACTGCCAGGGTAAAAATCCGTTTCGTTGCTTTAAAAAGTTTTCCATGATTTACTCACTTACTTGTCACTATTGACTAGGCTTTGCCGCATTACAAGACATTTTCCAAAAAACATCTTGAACTACCTTAATGAAAAACTATCGGATAGACGAAATGCTACTGTGACCTCTACTGAGACATCTACTGTGGCCTCTACTGTGACCTCTAATGTGGCCTCTACTGTGACCTCTACTGTGACCTCTACTGTTAGCCAATTTTCCAAGCAATTCTCGCGTACTTTGAAATTTTCTACCAATAACTCTATCACTTGTAATTCCTAGTACACAACATGAGTTAACCCGATACATGAAGATATCGTGTAAACTTTGAACATACACTGGTAATGGTTTCGTTGTTCATCATTTCTAATAGTGGAATTTTTAGTTCCGGATTGTAATTCTGTTCATTTACCTATGATTATCAGTTCATCCCTTATCATTCACAGATCAATTATAATTTATTTTAAATATCACATCCTGTCAAAATTTCTACCATAAAACGGGTAACCGACGTTTTTGGTTTCTGTAATCCTGATATTTTATTAAATAAATTAGAATAAGTTAACTAAGAAAATTTGGTTGTGTATTACTCATACAGATCTAATTTTTTGCAAAGATAGCTCTAACCCTTGTGTTTTGATCGTAAAAGTTAAAATCAGTGTTACGTCCGTTTGCGCTTGGGAAACGAATGGGAGTTGAACTAACAGCGAAATGTACAAAGCATGACGGGAAGGTGGTGATGTCACAAGTGATGCTTAGTTCTCGTCAAAAGTTCTTGCTTTTGTTCATTGTTGGATCTTTTCCTTTCCCGTGAATCTTCAGATCTGTCTCGATGTGTCCCTAAAAAATTTAAACGGAGTTAAAAGTCAATAGCTTAATTAAATTAAGGGGAAAAAAAAAACAAAAACAACAACAGCCTCAATTCCGCACTGCATAAATCTAAATTCTGCCCTGTATGCGTTACTTGATATGCTAGCTAAGTTTGGTTATAGACAAAACTGCAAACTATTGAAGATGCAGTAGAAACAACGACACTTTTGCATAATTCGACCATTCAATTTTTTTCACTCCAAACAAATATGATAAAATAATTGTACAAGTACAAGCGTACAAGTTTCCTGCAGCTTAATAACTTTCCTACTGGATGGTTAAGCAATGAGGTTAAACAAGTTTGAAATACGATCAATTTATAGATATGATATCCTGTGACCTACCTTCACTGCTGCGCCAACAGCGACAACATCCAGGAGAAATGTATCATGACCATATATAGAAGGTAGTTCATAATACGTCACTTTATGATTTTCTGTTTGAGCAAAATGGAATAAGTTCACTTGAATTTAAACGAAATTGTGTGTGAACCTCTTGAGCAAAACATAAGGACCCAGAGTGTGTCGACACAACCCTGCATAGATGGATAGAGTGTGCTCACCACACTTATGCATTGAAAACGTGCTCCTCTCATTGCATATCTATTCTAGTCCGAGATTTATAATTCCTTGCTCTTATTACATCTTGAGTAAAGGTATTCAGCCAATTCAGCAATCCGCATAAAATGCCACTTACAATAGCTGTTTAGTCATTTCACCCATTTTGAAGTAAAACAATTTTTAAACTTAAATCACATATGCAAAGTCGTTGACAAAAATCTACGATGGAAAAGCAATTGGATTTCAAGGGGGCCTCCCAACGCAATAAGTAACGTTATTAAAATTGATTTTCAAATGTGTTAGTTTCAATAACACCCAAATGAATACCATAAACTTTGCATCTTCTTTCACTATTAGTGGTAGAAAGAAAGGCTCTAAGATAATCTAAGATAAGTAGACTAAACACATACGAGCTTCCTTCAGAAGTCTCTCAATTTCTCTCTGCTGAGTGACTGGAAAAAGCACGTCTGATTGCACACCTAACACCTGCAAGTGAATCTCACCTATAAATGACTGTTTGACCATGCACAAAAAAAATTGAGTGGAAAAAATTCCAATGTTTTGTTATTGAATACATCGTCATTATTGTTAAAATTATTAAGTTAAGTGAAAGATGATGTTAAACAAACAGGCATGTTCTAGTCAACACAAATTCCGAGAGCTCCTAATGGCAGTGGCATCTACGACCTTCTAATTAGTATTTTGAATCCTGTTCCACTGCATTGTAGGAAACTCATGGTGGACTAGGCCAAAGTTGTTTATCACAAAATCTTGTGAAGTTTGTAGTTGTGAAGACCAGGTAGTATACTGTAACTTACAAGGGTGGGGCACTGAACACGTGCAACACCTTCCACAAGCGAACTGAAGCCTTCTCCCAAGTCAAACAGGTCCATTGCCTGAGAGCAGTAAATAACAACATATGTATGTTAGCAAATATTTGATGAGAAAAATCAATGAATTTGTTTACAGGACTACATAATAAAGCATAAACTGGTGAAGTTACCTTTGATATATACAGAAGTGAGTTGGGATCATACTTGTAACAAAAGCTGTCTCCCTATTAATAAAACAAAACAATCTATCACTAAAAATATATCATAAGGCTATGTAGGTCATCTTACATCAGTTGTAAATAAAATTCTACCCAGTATGTCAATGTGTCTAGAAACAATTAATGACTATAATCAGATTTGTTTTATTCTTATGAAAATTTTTTTTTCATCCACCGAAAAAACTTGTCTAGGGACGTAAGAGTAAAAACAACTGTCCCAAATTCTACCCTTTCCTCAGTTGAGCTCAAAATCCAACAGTTTCTCTATTCACAAGATCATCGGACACAAGGTATGGTCAAACTTACAAAAACTAACTTAGTTATAGCATCCATAAAACCATTTCTGTGTTGACCATCCCAAATGAGTTCAACTTGATGATGACCATGTGAAAGGAACAGAAGAAGGGGATGAGCAAACCGTGTAACATTATGAATACTGATAGCAAGCTACAGTAGCTATACTGTTGGTTAATAGCTGGTAAGAGGAGTTATTAACTAAGCTTGGTACCTGATAATCAAGGTAGCTTTCAATCTCAAACTCAGGACAAAGGTTTGGAGACACTTCTGGGGGGTCATCAATGCGTTTTCGCCCAAACCTCTGCTCCCATTCAGGGCCACTGCGGTAAGTGATGGTGGCTACTTCCCTAATAATTGTCAAACAGCAATCAACTGGAGGGTTGTGTTGTGATTCTAGTATATGTATCAATGCATACATATACTAGTCAAGAATTTAAGCCTAACTTGAGTTGCAACTGTTTTGAATGAAAGAAAACTTCTTTAAAAATGCCAAATGGAACACTAGTTACAAAAAAACCACAGCATAAGGAAAGCTTTTTGTTACAGAAAACATAATGCAAATTTAACCCTTTACACCCTAACATCAGTATCCAAATTCTCCATACTCTTCTCTGTACATTGCCTTTAGTAATTAATAGGAAAATTTGCTTCTTAGCTTGGTGATTATTTCCTGTATTCTCATGATCTTAAATTAATGAATAATTCAGCAGTATTACTTTAAGGATTTAATTACATAATAGATGCTGGATACTCTTAGGGTTAAAGAAAATAAGGATCAAACTACACATTACACAAAGACACACTGCGACTCTCAATGGACTACTGGAAAGCAACCTACAGCCACACTTTCACTGACTCTAACATTTTATGACTTATGAAAGTATAGGAGGCCCAAATGAAGATACACTTTACAAGAAACTGACCGAGCATGCTTCATTCCTAGCCTCGGGTAAGGTCCATCATAATAGAAGCCTTTGTTCCAGTTAGGATCACTCATAAGTACTCTGCGCTGAACATAACGGAGAGCTATGGATGCTGGGTGAGACTGGGCACAAGCAGAAATTGACACCACTCTATACAAAGAAACAGATATGACTACAATAAAATGCTTGCCCATGACTCAGACTCAGAACCACTAGACTGCACATGTATCAAAAAAGGGTACCCAGTATCTTCAAACATTACACCCTAAATATTTACCATTTCCTCTGGTGCCACTTGATAATGCATATCTCTATGTGTTTCTCATTTCTAGTATTAGATGTTTTTAGGAACTGCTTTAAGCAATTCTACAGATTTGATAGTACAAGCCAGTGAGTGTATCAATACCCTCATATTGTCACAAGAAATTGTTGCCCCTTCATGAAGATTTCAAAATGCTGAGATGTCACCCCTCTTAAGAGTAAAAACAACAACAACAGCAACAACAAACTTTGTTTTGAAGAGATTTAAAAGCATTACAATTAAATTATTTCATTGAAGGGTATCACAACAACAAGAGGTTTAGGCAAATAAGCCAAGTAAAAATAGGAAAAAACCTATTACCTTCCTACCCTGTCTGGGTACAGAGCAGCAGACAAAAGAGAGGACATGCCTCCTAAAGATGAACCAACTACAGCATGAACCTGTTGTCATTAAAATGATAAACTGATATTGAAAGCTTGGACACAACTGTTACCACCTCATTTTGACTTAAGACTTCTCCTAACTTTTTCTTGCACAACATTTTATTGCTTGCAAATATTTACCTCATTTTTACAAATAATTGAAGATTTTCATTGATGTACAATCAAAAATTAGAAGTCAAATGAGTTAATGGAAGGAAAGAATTTGAAGAAACTTTACACTTGATGGCAGTCTATTCTGCTGGAGAGCCATTTATAAAAATGTTTTATGGCAAATTACAAGACTTGTTATTTGTTCCATTCTGAGGGGAAAAAATGTGTAAGTCGAACAACAAGCCCTTGTTGTTAAAAGAATGATTAATACCCATTACCACATTGACACCTGTGAATATTTACTAACACCTCTTTCAATATTGTGCTGGCCAGAAATTTATGTTCAGTAAATTATTTTGTTTTACATATATGTCATGAATTGTTTCACATACAGTCAAACGTAGATTGAATAAATTCTTGGCTATGTTAAAAAAAATTGTATTCATCTAATTTTCCAAAGAATGCTCACCAGAAAGCTCAATTAAACTGGTGGCTGGTAGATTGGCAACAAATAATACAAGAAACAGATACAATGCTCATTTGATTTAACATCACAGTGTTGAGTTACCTTTTGGATACCCAGAGAATCCAGTGCGAGAAAGAATGCATGAACCATGTCATCTACACTGACTATTGGGAATGTTGTGGCATAATGCTGGAATTGAAAACATATATCATTTAATAATAACATGGTATAATTATTAAGGATACAAAAAGTCCCAACAACCATGTTAGAAAAACATACTTCAGATCAAAGGCCAAGCACTACATCATTCAATTAGTTAAATAAATATATTTTAGTTTTAATATTAATATAATTCAATTTTTACCTTTTTAGTCAGTGGATTTATTGATGAAGGCCCACTGTAAAAAAAAAATACTAATAAACAAAAGAATTATAACCTCTACAAGTAGCACTAAGATATAATGTAAAAGCATTAATAGAGGAAAATTAGAGTGGAAAATGTTATTTCAAAATTAGTCTTAATGTCTTTTGAGTGAAGATAACAAAAGCACCAAGTTAAATTTTAAGAAAAATTATTATGTACATTCTTAAAAAAAATTAATTATATAAAAAAAGTAAGAACTTAAAATCTTTAATAATAGGAAACATATGTGCAGACCTTGATCCATAACATCCTCCCAGATTATTACAGCAAATGATGAAGAACTTATCAGTGTCCAGAGCACAGCCAGGTCCAACAAAGTTCTCCCACCAGCCAGGTGTTGGATTATCCTGTTACAAACAACAATCCTCACTCTATTAAACCACCAAACAAAATATCCTAGGCACATGAGAAGGTGCTTAAACTACTAGATTTTTGGCATGTGTCTTAGTAAAGAAGGGAATTTAACATGGCTCTTATTTTAACTGGTGAGGTTAATATTAGAGCCTGGTGAGGTTATACTTTGCCATTGAGAAATACAAAACATCTTTGGCTCTTAGACAACTCAAAAGTGTCATGTTTTCATGGTTTTGGTGGGTGAAGGGAAGCTGCTCCATGTTTATATACCATGACCCCCAAGTACCAAGAATTGTAAGCTTACTGAAAGAAAAGTATTAATTTGCAAGTGATACTAAAAAGTTAGGGGGTGGGGGGGAAAGCACTACATTTTCATTGGTGAGGGGCACTATAGCATCCCTGAATACCCTACTGTCTAAGAATTACAGTTGAACTTCCATTGTCTGGATCTTGATTATTTGCATTTTTGATTATCCCAACTCGCCTCTCTGTTCCCATTTTTTCACAAATACTAATTTATCATGTACAAGATCCTATACAACTTTTTCCCATCAAGCAAAGCAGAGGCACTGAAACAATGTTGATGCTACTCCATTAAAGCAGCTTTGAATAATGATAGAATTAGCAACATTCACATGCTGCAGCAACTTGAAACAAACTGATTTTCACTGTATGTCAGGGTAACCAGTCATTTTGCACAAAAGACTTTTTGCACAAGTCTTTTAGCACAAGTTTTGGACCATTCGCACAATTCTTAGTGGTCATTTCGCACAATAATCATAAGTGAGAAACATCAATATAAAAGGTATACTGATTGATACTGATAAGACATTTCACCTTCACATGATCCAACGGCAGGAACGTAGACATTTATTTACGTAATAACTTCAACTAGATCAAAATGCTTGTGAACACGATTACTATTCTTTCTTGAAGAAAGGAAAGGTACAAGTCTCTCTCTCCATGAAAATGGAAAGAACTCCCTATTCGAACGACTACTTCTAAAATGTTTTCTTTGTTGAACGAAAAACCTTTTAGTTTTGACAGTATCATCCACTATAAAGTTAACATGCAAACATGATGACCCACGCTAAGGACACCATGTTGATTTTGAAAGTAATTGTCACCAGTCTTCCCTCCTTGTTCGATCGCCTTCAAAAAGTATGTATTATCGATCTGTAAGAGTTTCAATTAAAGCTATTGAAAACTTGCTTCTTATATCTTCGTTATATAATGAAAATTAGGAATACTGGTAATACGTACAGCAAAAACAGTTCAACGTTGATAACTAGATATTCAGAGAGTGATTCACATCGAATGTTGGCACGTGCAAGTGTTGTAATTTGACAACTTGAATGTGTCAGTGTAGGTTGTAACTAGTGATCTTGTAGAAAGACAAGTTTGATCTGTAATCATTTTAAAGATCGAGAAGTTTAATACATCTATCAAGTTGTAACCTTTCAAATTATTCTAATAACAATTACCTAAGCGATGGAGAGTTCAGTATCGATTGATAAGCGTCATAGCGACTGTGATGTAAACAAATGATTTCACGAAAGTTTCAAGAATTCAAAATAATTCAAAGATTATACGCTAGCCGTTCGGTAAGTAATCATACAAGCTTAAGATCAAAACAAATAAAGAAATTTAGATGTACTATAGCTTAAATGAATGCAGGAAAGGGCTAAATTTCTATGAGTCCTGACCGAGTAGCGAGTTAAAATTTGCATGATTCGTCGGGTAACATGGCCGTGAACTTGAATTTTATATATTTACACAGAAATTTTGTAAATAGGTCTTTTCTCCTTTTAAATAAAAGTGAAACAGTTTGCAGGTTTTTACTTTGACTTCAGAGGAGGGAGGATTGGTGACAATTACTTTCGAAATCAACATGGCTTCCTTAGCGTTGGGTCGTCATGTTCATTTGTTTGTAGTGGATGATGTACTTTCAAAACTAAAAGGTTTTTCGTTTAACAAAGGAAAAGTAAAAGAAGTAATCATTCGAATAGGGAGTTCTTTACATTTTCATAGAGAGAAAGATTTGTTCCTTTCTTCAAGTAAGAATAGTGATCATGTTCACAAGCGTTTTGATCTAGTTGAAGTTATTATGTAAATAAATGTCTACGTTCTCATCGTTGGATCTTATTGAAAGTGACATGTGAAGGTGAGATGTCTTATCAGTATCAATTAGTATACCTTTTATATTGATGTTTCTCACTTATAACTGTTGTGCGGAATGACCACTAAGAATTGTGCGAACGTTCCAAAACTTGTGCTAAAAGACTTGTGCAAAAAATCTTTCGTGCGAAATGTCCTGTATTCTATGTCAGAATTTTAAGTCTTATACCATTAATATCTACAACATTTTTGTTGATACCTTTTGGCAAATTTTGTCGATGATGCACAATACTGTGAGAACATACTTTAATTCTTGCATACTAGTGATTAAATGATAATTATTAAGTTTTATTTTGATTCATTAATATTTATATTTTGGATTCTCCAAACTATTTAGCCAAGTTCCTAGGAGTTTGAATAAGTGAGGTTTGCCTGTAATTTCAAAATATTAAATTTACCCATGAATGAATCATTCCCAGGCTAACACATTGTGAAAGCCTAAAAGACAACTTACTGGATGACTTTTAGCATGTGATGAGGCAGACAAGCCAGTACACAACAGAACAACATTGTCCTTAGCCTCATTCAATTCACCCCATGTTTCATATGCCACTTGTAACTGCGGTATGACACCATCATTGTACTTGAAGTGGTATGGTTCATCATTTAAGAATGTCTTATAGCCTGAATTTACTTTTGAATACATTGGTTCTGCACCAAAATGCCTTGATCTGCAAAAAATGGTAGAAATTACACAGCATTGATATGGTTTATTTTTTTCAGCCATTACTCTAAACCATGGGAACATGTTTCCCTGTGCCGACAAACCTTGCATATTATGAGGCATTTTTTGTAAATTAAATTCATGCAAATCACAATTTTAATATGTTGTGGAGCTGAGATGTTCAGAGTCATTGCATCTTCACCCATGCTCGGGTAACAAATCAAGAGAGTAACTACAAGTAGTAGAAGACAGGTAGTCAACTTAGCTGACAATATGGGGAGAGATAAGGGACTGCAGCAGGTTAAGGAAAAAGGCAGGATTCTTGAAAGTGGAGGAAGCAGTCAACATTAAGTTGCACAGTCCCTTCAACTTAGAAACTAGCACTAATGTAAATTGTTTAGTGTTTTTCATAGCTCCCAATGTCTAACTTTAAATTTAAATTTTGAGTAGCTGTTATGTTGTGAATGCTTATCCATGAATTTACCTGATACCTTACAATACTTCATATATTCATTAATCCATTTGTCTTTTTATTTATCTAAAAATAATGGAACTTCAAATGTTTGATTTCAAATAAATTAAAAATACTCAGTCAATTGACTTAATTGTCCTCACAGAAGTTTCACATCAAATCTCACTTGTCTAGATTGCCAATAAGTATTGCTTTAGTCGTTTTTTGTGCAGAAAAGATCAACCCTTTGGTCTGAATATTACTGATCTTCCTTTCTTTAGTTACCTCATCTCTCAAGTGCAAAAAATGATCAATTTTTAAAACAAACATACATGGTTAATTTTATTAGCCACATCTATTTCCTGAGGTTTAAGTATTGATATGTATAACAATTACTTTGGTCAACTCAGTGGTTAAATACTTAAATTAACATTAATAAGATAAAATATATTCTTTAGTTAAAACACACTTGAACTACATTCAAGCTACCTTCTTCGTATCAAAGTTCCCGGCTGTAAGATGGAAATGAATTGATACGATTACGGTAAGGATGTCGCGACAGGAATTTTCCACGAGCGATGGAAAAGTCCCACCATGGCCGTGACAATAACACAAACTTTCAATCTGATCTTCATTCAATAACGAAAAAAATTTCTTCTCAAATGTTAGATTAGTTTTTCCTAGTAGATCTCTCTGGCTTCAAACATCGATCACACCAATAACGGTATCATAAGAAATGTACAGGGCGTTAGGCCCTGACATGTGAGCAGAACTCTACAGGCAAGTTCAAGCCACTGGCACAGGATTGTACGGGCCATTGGCTCTTCGCAGAAGAGTGTTTGGCACCGGTTTTTTTTTTTCAGTTTTTCGGTTACAGCTATGGCTAAGGCTTCTGTATCCTACCAGATCTTACATGTAAATGTACATTTAACTTCACATTTTAAGACTTAAAACGGCTGATTTACACCAATTTAAAACCAAAGAATATTGAGAACTTACCGAGGGGATTGCTCCGTCAGGCAAGGGAATGAATTGTCCTGTCCCTTGAATTCTTGTGAAAAGTCAGGCACTTTAACCATCCTTTCGTCGTGTACATATTGATGTTGTAGGAAAGATCCTCCACAAATCCTTGTTCCTAGGGGAGTTTTCTTTGTCGATGGCAAAAACCGTAAGGGTAAGCGAGAAATGTTCCGAATCATGATCAAGTTTTCGCCGGATTTTTCAAAGTCCTATTTCTACCCGCTTTCTACTCGGCCACTACCATCTTTCCACGCACACAGGCTGTCACCTTGTTCTTTGTATAGGATGATAGAGCATTTTTTGGCAGGACGTGAGGTCCTAATCGAGATTTTAACAAGTTTTGTTTATTTATATACCCGCTGCATAATGAGGTACGTGATCGACACGTGCTCTACCGATTAAAAAAGTTTTTGTCGTATCATAATCGTCTAGCATCATCCAAAACACATTTCTAGTAAACTTTTCCTCTCTTTTTGTGAACCAGTCAATGTTGAGGTCCTGAAGGCTGATATAAATTGAGCAGAACTGCATTTAGACTTTGACCCGTCACTCAGCCCTTCAACAACCCCTTTCCAGCGGTTATCCTTCGGTAGGAAAAATAATCTTTATATATGGCACATACTATGTCCCGGGCTGGACATTTCCTGCGCCCTCTACTTTCTCTTAGCACCTCTTTGCCGTAAAATCCTGGCACTAAGCTTTCAAACACAAAGTCAAAACTTGATGCATTAGACCCTCTCTCCCCTGTACCTATTTTTGTCCAAATGTGCATCAGTGAGGAATGATTCAGTGCAAACAAGAATAGATTCTTATTATTATGATATATGTATTTTTAGGATTCTTTGAAAAAGAAATGCAAAACAAGGAAGTGTATATATATACCTAATTTGGAGTAACATGTCTCATCCAAAAAATGGCTGAGGCAACACCAAAATATCATTGAGGGGTGTAAACCACACCCTGATGTTAATTTAGGACCCAAACTATTTGAGCACTCTTCTTCTGGTTCAAATCTTGGACTCTGATCACTTTTTTTTTGGCAAAAGAAGCTTAAAGGAACCTGTATTTACAAGAATGCTAGTCATGGTGTACACCATGTCCTGAACATCCCTTGACCAACAAAATGTTGTATGGTTTACTTTTGCTGATCAACTGCAAAACAGTGAGAATTCTTTCAAATTTACATTTCAAATGTGTATTTAGGAATTGCTAACATACTGGGATCATGCTATTTAGAAATGAAACTGTAAAGACAAATGAAATGTTTAAGAGTTCAGTATTCCTTTCTAATTTCTACAACATATGACCTGACTTGATTTGTTCGCTGGAGGATTTCGACTGTTACAGCTTGCAAGACACTGACAAATTCATTCATGACCAATGAGTGACTTTGAGGGTATCCAATTTGACCAGTATTGTGCTGTTTTGTTTTCTTCAGCCTGATGAAAAAACTTACATTTTTTCCCTTATGCCTTGGTGGCATTGAATGGAAGTAAAAAAATTTTCAGGGTGCTGGTTTTTGACTGAATGACAAGAAGTAATAAACAACAAACCAGTTCCTTTTTAATTTCTACTCCCACTTCCCTCATATTGATCCCACTTCCCACCTCCTCTGGCACCCCTGTCCCCCTTCACCATTGTGCAACCTGTACATATTTGTATATTTATGGAGGCTCAGTGTGTGAGGTTGAATATCAAGGACAATAAAATATGTATTCTTCTTTTAACATTATCTTCTCCAAACCTGTAAAGAACTTTCAAACAGTGTTACAGCCTTTTTATTGCTTTTTTTTTTTTTTTTTTTTTTTTTTCTGAAAAATACAGGTTCCAAAGGTTCTGCTGGTTCTGCAGGTTTTGGAGGTTCCCTGGTCTAATGATCCACAGTTTGGTAAAACCCTCTAGTAACTCCAAATTAAAGAAATAAACTGTTGGAGTCAGTAAAATTTGCCTTAAAATATGAATTAAGTGTTGAAATAAGTTATTACAATTTCAAGCACTTAATAAGCACAGAATATCATTTTAAAACATTATATTATTGTTCTAAGAGCAATTTTTAATTGGTGACAAACTTACTTTGAAATTGTGCAGGTTTTGTTGGTTGCCCTTAACTGCACTGACTTCTCAACCAATCAAAAACCAACACCAAACAGACCATGACTTGATTGAGTGTTTTCCCATGCCTTTACTGGTCACAAGAATCTGACTGAGTTCTCATTGGCCTTATATATTGCTTCAACATGAGGGTTTGCTTTAGGTTTAGAAACTTCATTCAAATGGGCTCTACCGGAAAGAAGATAAATAAATACAGTTGGACCTGCTGTCCCTTTCCAAAGTCCATAAATTGTTACCCCTTGGTTACTGAAATTTTCACTTATCTTGAGCAGTAGCCATCACTCTAAACTAAGTCCCAACAGCCTTTTTGTATTGTCCTCCACCTGTACTCTATAGTCACTTAAAGCAGGACCACTCAAACAAAACTAGGAATCATCTTTCAAAAAAAACTTAATCCATTTTTAAAATTATCTGAAATCAATGTTAGTACTATTTTGAGTGAGTTTTTGTACATACATGGTCAGTTATGGAATAAACAGCAATTGTTATTATTTCTTAAGTACCCATACTCTGTGGAACTTAAGCAGTCACCCCCCCCACCACCCATTCCCTGTAGCTTCATATATATAGATATATAGATACATAATTATTAGTTGAATGGTAAAGAAGAAATTACAACATTGCACTACAGGAATGTTTTGAAAGGACTTGCTGATCATCTCTTGTCAGGTGTGTGGAACAAAAAAAAAAGACACTATTTGACAAGAAAACAAAAGGTGTATATATTTCATATATTTTTCCAAATTGCAATGTTTTTGAAAATATATATTTCATAAATATGATGATCTGATGTAGATCATTTTAAGAACTTCTCCTCATTAACGAGGACCAAGTGGAGACATATTCATTGCCTTTCAAAACTCCACTGAGTGGTTTGAAGTTTTCTAGTTAACCCAGTATAATTTTTTATTTTTATTATTGTCCAGTTGTTTTCTTTCTTTTCTGGCATTACAGTTTACAGCTTCTTCTAACTTAAATAAAATGTTTCCACCTAGGAATGTATGGAAACAAATACAACTGTTGACAAACAGTAAAGTGTACCCAGGGTTATTCTAAATCTGCCAAGATCCAATTTGCAACTTTCCCTATTAGTTCTTAATATATATATTGCCAGTATGAATCAGCAAGTCTGGTATAAATGCTTGGCTTTTACATCAAGACAATACATTTGAGGGGATAAGTATGTTTATCCCTCTTCTTGTTTCCTGTGTAATTCAATATTGTAGGTAGAGGTAAGATTTTAATAATTTCTAAGAATTATGGGTTCATACCACCACTGTTGGACCATCTAAATGTGTTCATAGTAACAAAGTGATTATGTGACAAGAAATTTAACCCTAATGGAGATTTCACCTTTGGGGAAACAATTTCACTAAACCAAAGTAATTCAAGAAAATTATAAATAAGATTATTCAGCTGAGTTAAGGAAGAAATTACAACTACAATATTTGTGACTTTATCTGGATTATCTTCAACCAAGTTTAGTTTCCTTTTTTTATTCTTGTTATATTCATAATCAAATATAAGGTTTTAAGAAAATAGAAATTGTGATATGTGTTCTTAAGTGGATTTTCAGGATGAAGTAAGAGAGAATACCTCTGTCTGAACATATCGCACACTATAGACACTGTCCAAACTACTAGCCAAAGAAGAAAACTATATTTCCATACCTATCAGTGGGTTGTGATAATACTATTGTGCATCTATAAGGTAAGGGATCAAAATCTCTGCACATTTTATAATTTCCATGGGTTCTAACATGGCTACTACACTACTACTACTACTACTACACTGGACAAAGAAAACATTCTGAGTCTCCATGAGAATCAGTGCCGCAATGCTCTACCACTGAGCCACAGAACCTACATGGTGAGCAAGGCCCATTATGAAGTTCATATATCACATGCATCCTGCATACCACAAGGATCAGCAATGTCAATAGCATCATGTTTGTAAGTAGAATAAGACAGATGGTAAGTTTTAAGCTCAGTAAAGAAATAAAGAAAGATATTTTACATCTTGTCATAATCGTGGGACAAAGACATAAAACATCTTTCTAAGTACATGTTAAGACTTACAATCTATCCTATTATATTTATAAACATAACACTATTGACATTACTGATCCTTACAGTATGCAGGATGTGTGTCATATGAACTTCATGAGAGGCCTTGCTCACCATAGAGTGTCTTTGGCTCAGTAATAGAGCATCAAAGTGTCGAATCTGAAGGTTTGAGGTTCAATTCCTCATGGGGACTCAGAGTTTTTTCTTTGTCCCATGCTCGCAACAAGATGTAAAACATCTTTCTCTATTTATTTATCAAGCTTAAAACTAACCATCTATCTTATTCTATTTAGAACTTAATGATAACAATTGCTGGCATCGCATGTTACGAAGTGAGAAGAAGGTTGTTTGGTTTCAGATGGATTTTCTGAAGCCCTTTGATGATCTTTCCTTTATGAGCCAGAGGTACATAGTACCTCACATGTAAAACTCCCAGATATTGCAAATCATCGCGGTAGAGTCTTTTCTACCATAGAGGTCTAGATTCGTCCCTGTATGGTCCAATGTCCTGCAGCTCTCTTAGCCCTTCCATAACTAGTTTAATACGAGCCTTTATGTTAGCGGAGTCATTTCCCAACTTCGAGGCATATGCTGTTAGTTGGGCGCATTTTTTCTCAATAAATTCTTGAGCCTCATCCAAAGTGAATTCCACATAAAATCCATAGCCTACTGAGACTAAAATTTTTGACGGATCTGTAATCTGCGCTTGGCAATAAAAGTTACATCCGAGATCTACTTGTGTCTTCAGCGCTTTCCCGGAACCTCCATCGCGGTTTTTAATGTTTTCTATGACACTTTTTAGCTGCAAATATTCTGCGATCTTGGAGTTTACCTGTCCTTGCGTTTTAAGTACAGTTTCTAAATCCTTTCTCAGTCTTTCATTCAAAAATTCTTCGTATCTTTTTACTTTCTCGTCTATGTGCACTTCGTCCGCCATTTTGCCTCTTTGTAGGTTGCACAGGGTTGTGGGTAAAATGAAATATGGCTTCTATAAAAGTCCCCGCATTCTTTGTGGTGTGTGCACAGATCATGCGCATTCGGCTTCGGCCGATGTCCGCCAACATGGCGAAAAAGTTGTCTCTAGCAAAAACTTAAATTACTTGGGCATTCGAGTGAAATTCACTATTTTTAAAACAGGTGTTGAAGAGTACACATTTCTCTATCGTCATGTCTGGTTTTGATCAAGCAGGACTGCCGGGACCAGAGTTTATCACCCAAGGACTAACTACTGCACAAGATTTCGAAACTGTCAACTTCATAGAGAACTTTCAACAGGAAAACAGTATCATGCTGCCTTCTCTGCAACCTGCTTTACCCTTTTTAGACCTCCATGACGTCCGCAGGTTACAGTTCAATAGTTTTGTGATGGAAAACTTGCGTGAAAAACTGCTTGATCAAGTGAAGGTTTTGGAAGTGGACAAACTAAAGAGTTTGCTCGATCAGTGCTTTCCGTTTATCCACGTGGCTCATCTCCGGCCAGTCGTGATGGAAGTCATGAAATATCTCCCAAAAGTCCCTGAAGAATGCCTTGAACAACTGGCAAATGATACTCAGTTGTATCAAGATTGCTCAATTGAGGTGAAAAGGCAGATCTGGATCAAGCATCATGCACTGTTTGGGGATGCGGTCGGTCCCCTTTTGAACCAATATGTAGAGGAAAAGTACAATGTTCTTCACTCCACAGAACCTTTAAATTCGCACACATTTTTTTCAGTTCCATCCAAAACAAGGCGACAGAATCCAGTTGTACAAAACTTAGCTAAGATGATAGGAAAATCTCTTGAACTGTATAATCTAGTGCTACAATTCCTGAGAACGTTGTTTTTAAGAACCAAAGAGGTTCATTACTGCACTCTTAGGTCAGAGTTACTGATGGCAGTGCATGATCTTGAAATTAAAGACATAAAGGACATTGATCCATGCCATAAATTTACTTGGTGTCTTGATGCCTGTATTCGAGAAAAAGTGATAGAAGGAAAAAGGACAAAGGAATTACAAGGATTCTTGGATCATGCAAAGCATAGTGAAGAACAGGTTCTTGGGTAAGGAGCTGTGTATATTATAATTAGAATATGAAATTAGAACATTTCTTAACCCAACATCAATACCTACATTCTTTACTATCTTCTCTATACACTTCCTTTGGTACTGACTAGGAGTATTTTTCCATTATCAAGTCTCTTAGGGATCATATCTGTTATTCTCTTGTTCTTAATGAATGGTTCAGTGGTAGTACTGTAGTGAGAAATTAGATACTGGTCACGCCAATAGGTTTATGGTTGACAACTGTTTTAATGTCATCTCTACCTAACCCATTAACTCGTAGGAGTAGTAAACACACGGCTTCTCTTTATGATATGAAATTTGTTTTGCTGATAATCTTAGTATGTGGAAATGTGTAGTGGCTGAAAGGTTAAGTTGCAAACTAAATTGTAGGAGTGTTAAGGTTGATTATCCTACATAAGGAAACTTTTCAGCACTTTAACTTTCAGGTTTGATATGTGTCTTTATCTCCCAGGTCTTGAAATAATTTGCCAGCTGGCTCTGGTCACAACCCATATTTGTCCAGGCAAATATCAATTATGTCATATCTCAATAACTCCCCCACCTCCCTCATCTAAAAAGTATATTTAACTTGCTTTCATTGTACATGCAGCCTTAAAACTCAATGCGGACAAAATGATAGAGCTATATATAAAACTTGACCTTAGCTTGTATCTGAATTTTCCATTATATGATTTAAAAATTGGACAAAAGGTCAGGCCATCCAGGGAATCGACCAGGCTAAACCTTGTTTTTGACTGGACTTTGATCATAGAGCTACTGTTATTTCAAGTCCTGTCTCCTGTTAGACAGATTGATAATACTTTCTTTTTAGGCAAATTTACTAGTGATATGGGAAGGATAGGAAATTTTTAAGGTAGAGAGGCAATATTCCTCAGAAAACTGGGGGAAGCTGTGGCAGCCCGTAGACGTTAAGCTTGTGTTGTATTCTTTTTTTCCAACTGAGACAACAGAGTAAGTCACCCTCGGGTTTTCCAGTATTTTAGGGCTCAGAGCTAATTGAAAAAAAATTTTTTCCTCACAGAGATATTGCAATGATCCTTTGTGACCCATTTGCTATCAACACTGTTGCCAAGAGTGTAATCAAGCGTTTGCAAAGACTTGTTAACACGGAATCTCTGCCTAAAGTAAGTTGTTTCATTTAAATTCTTGATTTTGCATTTTGAATTGTAAAGCACTTCTATTTGCAGTTCACATGCAGACATTTAACCTCCACCCATTCTCCATCTGTTATATGACAAATAGGGTGTAAAAATTTATGCACCTAAGTAATGTATTTTATTTGTGGTTTTTAATTATAATATCATGTTTGAGTGGTCAGATACTCTCATAAATTGAAGAGAATGTCAAACTTGGACTGGAAACACCAAAGAGATAAGAACACTGTATACATACTTGTGTATTACAGCCAACATTTTCCATTTAAAAAAAACAAACAGTAATATGGTTCCTTAATTAAACTGACAGGTAACTGTTTTCAGCAGACAATCCTTGTCCTATTGGTTTGAAATGGTATTTAAATATCCCTTTGATAATGATGAGAAAAGCCATTGCCATTAATACTTTACGCTTACAACTCATAGCAGTCTACCACATATTTCAGACATGTCAAGATGTGAGTTTTCTTTTACGAGTCTTGAACCTTGGAGTTAGTGCCTGGGAGATGATCAGTAATCAACATTTTACTGAGGTGGCCTTGGTAAGCTTTTGTGATACCTTTTTTTGTTTCATGTTCTCCCAGTCAAGTGGGAACCTCCATGGCCTAGCACTGGTATTATTCAATTATGCACCAATCAATTAAAAGCCTCAACATCCCCCTCCCTTGGGCAATCTATGGGCATATGACCATCATCTTTGCCCAGGTGTGGGGAATTTGAACCTTGCCTGGCTGGGTTAGGGAATTTGAACTGGAAGTGTCAAGTCTTTGCAGCAGGATATTAGTGTTGTATCTCTAAAAATTGAGGTTTTTAAGGAAAATAGTTCACTTAAGCAAGTGAATGGTTGGGAAGAAAAGGTGTACCAGATCTAGGTATTAAAGTGTGGTCAATGTGTAGAACCTACCTGTCACTGATTTTGCCTTTTACCAAAAAATTGGGTGACACATTTGAACACAATGTTTGCCCCAAGGGGTGGGATTTTGATCAAATGAATCTTCAAAAGTGCAAATGCCAGGGAAGTTCCCTGTTGGGTGGGGTGTTGAAGCTTCAAATTGATCAACACATTCTTATCTTTGAATTGATAAACTGTTAAAAAAATTCTGATCGGGATTGAATATGTCAAAGAAATTCTTTATGCTTCCATAATGTAAAATGTGGAATTTTCCATAATAATTTTTATTATGGGATAAATTTCAGAGTGGAGAGTTGATTCACAAGTTTCTTCCAATACTTATGTCCCTGATGGTGGATAGCAGCCTCCACTCTTTACACAACAAACACCATGTTGATGATGATAATGCTGATGTGGAGGACCCTATCCAGTTCACTGACTACTTTGCTGAAATTACATCAGCCAACTCAGTTGCCTTCACACTTGCTTGGTGTTATCTTCTCCATGTCATTAATCAAAGAGACAGGTAATAAAAAACAGAGTTTTATGTGTAGAATTTTCATGAACCTTACAAAGCTTTGCCATATGTAAAAAAGAGTATTTGAGGATAATAAATCACCAAAAAAAAAAAATCATGCTTCCCTCTCATCGGATTTTTAGATGCAATAGTTTGAAAAGTAGATTTTTATAGTGTAATTCTGGTCCAGGTGCAAGCCCCAACTAGAAGAAGGAAAACAAGTGCGTTATTTGAAAGTTAAGTGAATGAGAGAGCAGACCTCAATTAAGGACCTTCTCTCACAATGTTACAAAGAGATTGTAAATAGTTAATAAAGCCCCTTCAAACAAGGGGTTTTGACACTATTATGGGAGAGAGGTACAAAGAAACTTAGGGCCAGATAAACCACCATTCCTCACAGCATGGAGCAAATCAGTTTTCAAGACAACCATGTAACAAAGTTTGCCACCAATGGTTGAAACTGATTATTTTCCTATAATGTGTGTTGTATCCATGTGACTGCAGACACACCCTTGTTGCCATCTTGCCTTGGTTTGTCAACACATGTCAAGAGCGAGCTTTGGATGAGGTCTCCCTTCACACTCTGACCAGTTCCCTAGCTGCTTGGCAAGAAGAGTTTACACATCCTGATTTCTGTGATGTGGTGTTTGACCAATTTCTTCTTCCCTTGGTGTCACACACAAGTGTAATGCGACACACCCTGAGATTGCTATCGTACATTTTTCCTAAATTGGATCCTCAAAAGGTGTTACACATTCTGACCATTGCACAGCCATCAAGTGAGGTATGTACAATGTATAACTGGTTTTGTGTTGTTTTTTAATTTATGCACTCTCTCGAGAAGTAACAAAACACAAGGTTCTCAAGAGAAAACTTTGTTATATTTGCCAGCCACTCTACCTGACAACTCTTTAAAATAGGTGGCATTTTTTTAAACAATAGCCTCAGAATGGTAAGGAACCATACTCTAGTAAGTACTAGTACATGCATGAGTGGTTTGTAAAAGCCTATAGGAAACCTCAATTTACTGCACTTTGCATTTTATCAAAATCAAAAAGTAGAAAAGATTAAAAATGTTTCAAATGAACTCAAACCCATCTCAACTACCAGTTTAAATTACTTACAGCTTATTGAGCTTTGATGGGGTTGACTCAAAATTGAATGACCAAACTTATTGTCTTCATTCTGTAGAACATCTTACAGTTCCATTTTAACTTTCTGTAAATTGAGCAGGAAAAATAATTAAGAGTGGTGAAAATAGAATCTCAGAACATCTAGAAAGAAAATATACAGTACTGATAGGGCCAGCCCCAAGCCATCCCTCCCTTCCCCCACCCCCAAAGAATAAAATCCCGAGGTCCCTGCCTCCTTTCCCCCACTGGTGTATATATAGAAAACCCTAAACCTTTATTTTTTTTTAGTTCCAACTTTTACTGTGTGACTTACTCTTGAGTTATGTTTTTATTAAATTCTTTAACATTTTTACTTACCCCCCAATTCAAATTTGGCAGAAAATTACAGCCTTTAATTAAGTCTCTTTGTAAATATGAGCACTACGAGTGGTCAATTTAGCACGCCATATTTCACTGTATGGCCTGCTAAATTCAAAAGTTTGTTTGAACTGAAATCTTTCCCTCCCCCAATTTGAACCCAGCAATGTAATTAATATATAGCTAACTTTTTTTTTTAGTTGGTACTGTAAGTTATGTTTTACTAATTCCTATTTTTAGTTTGGATGTATGGTCCAATGGACCACACACTTTGTGCTTGGATCATGAATCCAAGTGGAAAAAACTTGGTCTGTAACTTACCATATAACTTACCATATAGATCTTGCCATCAGTCAGCACTTGAGGTGTGCACAGCAAAGTTCCATGTGAAAGTTGCCTAAAGTCTAGTTTTCAAAATGGGACAAGATATATGTGAACATTAATTAGAGAAATTTTATAAAAGTTTACAAAGCTGGACGTGGATGGCTGTCAGTCCAAATGAGTGGTTGTAGTGCCTAGTACTTCTGCTCAACTTCTTTGTCAATGACATTTCCCCATTACCGTGTTGGTTATTTAATCACCCACACTTTTGTTATTTTTGCAAAAATTATTAATATAATTGTTACTAGTAGTGGTCAAATGGTAATAGTATTTATCATTCAATTTATAACTACAGCACAATGAAGCTGTCCATGATCTTCATGCCATGGTAGTTGAACGCATTTCCAATTACAGTGCCCTTACACCTGGTTCATCATCTGTGGAGCAGCCATCTTCAGCATCATCTTTGTCATCATCGTCACACAGTCCACTGGAGTACATTCAGCCTGCCAGTAGCTAATCACGACCACAAAATAGAAAGTGAATTCCAATGATCACCTTTAAAATCCAAAATTATAGGTTTAGTTTGGCTGTTAAGTATTAATTAGTGGTGAAGACTTTCTCTGCTGTCTGGTCAAGACGGATGTGATCACATGTTTACATGGGATTGTGGGGCTGCAGAATCTTCTCGTACTTATAAACTCAATGGTCATAGTGAAGGAGAGTTTTGATTTATACTGAAGGGCATAGTTGAGTAGTGTGCTCTGCCATGGATAAGCAGAGCGGTTATTTACCAAACTGAAGGGTGTAGGGGAAAAATGGTGATGTTGATTTATGATAGTTTGAAATAGCAGACTCAAAAAAATGATTTCTTGCTCAATTTGCAGAGTGTGTTTTTCAATTATCTTTTAAAATCACTTTGTGGTAACTTGGGGAAGTGGTTGTTTTATTTTTCTTGGGGGTGGCCACAACTTTGCATTATTTGTATGCAATTATCTGTGGGTCATGTGGTGGGCTCAGCCTTAAAAGGGAAGAAAAATACTTTAAATGTTATTTAATTATTGTTATTTCTTAGCTCTGCTGTTGTAGTTTGTGTGGCTTGTCATTTACTAATTATAGTATTTAAGGCACCAGTATTTATAGAACTGGTAGATGGATACAAGGTACATCTCATTTTAATCTAAGAGGGTTCATTGTACCATTTAATGTAATGTAAATTATATAAATATTCCAATTTATAAAATAATTCAAATAGTACGCATGCTCTGATTGGCCATCTTACATGAGTGTATGTAAACACGGTTTTTGTTCCTCTTTCATTATTTTGTAAAAGAAATATAAAATGGTTTCCGTGTTTACATAGCCTGATGTAAACACTTGGGAGGTTGGGAGAACACTCGATAAGCTGGAAACCACTCTGCTTTGCATTGTGGTTTCCAACACTTATCTCATGTTCTCCCAACCTCCTGCATGGTTTACATCAGGCTATGTAAACACGGAAACCATTTTACATTTCTTCATTCTCACACAAAACTTCATGGAATCTTTGTGATGAAAGCATCCAGTGCCTAGGTGAAGTTACATGTACTTGTTTTAATAGTGACTGTTTACTTGAATTGAAGTCCAAACCAAATAAATTCAATAAATGAGGATATGTGTTTTTAGAAATAAAATTTAATCAGAAACATTCAATTAAACAAGAAATGAAGATTGTTTTCCTCTATAATTGCAAGATACATTTACTACATCCTTCAGGCTGACAGAAGTCATTCATAGGTGAAATGTTTTCACCCATTTGATGTTATCCATAACATCTTTGAAACAATGTCATGCTTTACTTCTGATTTCTAAGTATTGAATGTACTTCTTTTTTTTCTGGCATTCTGGATAATTTCATATAGTTGTCTTGATGTTATGTGTTTTTGTGTTAAAAAGATACATTCTTGAATTCAGATTATGAAGAATTTGATAAGTAAGATGTGGCAGTAGTGTAGTCCACGTTTATAAAAATACATTTTATGCTTGCAAAAATGAAAAAACCTTACAGATTTAGTTAACTGTGCCTATTTATCTAGTTGGTTCAGTTAGTCATGTATTAAAAAGTACCTTTTTTACAAACAAATGCAATAAATACTTTCAATGATGTTCTCAGAAATGTACAGCTAGATAATTCTTTTTTAGTTTCCCTTACCAATGGAATAATCACTCTATCACTCTCATGGATAAGAACCCATTTGGAGACTTTCCTTGTCAACATGGTCACACCACTTCACGTAGATGATCAGACTACCTTGCCGACATAGTCAATAGCTCAACCAGGTTTTTCGTCCTATCACCCTTAGATAGTCACACTATCTCACCAACATTTCACCCCCCACAGTCATAGTATGTTACTTGATTTACACCGCTCAGGGTAGCCCCTTCAGATACAGAAAGCTGTCTGTTATCAATGGGAGCCCTGAGCACAATAACGTACTTAAACTATGGTATACATATGCATTACACTGATAATGATAGTAATATAGATAGAAAACTATGTATAAATAAAAAAAAATTGTCATATTACCTCACTACATAGTTACCCTGTCACCAGTACATGGTTACACTACCTCACCTACATAGTTACCCTGCCACCAGTACATAGTTACCCCACCACCAGTACATGGTTACACTACCTAACCTACATAGTTACCCTTTCACCCCCACATAGTCACACTATGTTACTTGAATGGTCACACTACCTCAACAATATTGTTGCATTACCTCACTGCATTGTTACCTAATCAATTCTCCTGCTTTCTAAATCTGAAAATTACAAGCAACTTGACAGACTGAATCTTGGTACTATTTAAATGACTGCCTTGCGATGATGATGGTGACTAACCCATGGATGCAAAATGCTATTGCTGGTATCACTATGATGTACATAGTGCAAAGAACTATCAGCATTTGCAAGATTGACTTGCTTGTTCCGAAGGCAAGAGAATTTACTGTCATAGCATAAGAACTCCAAACTGTGTTGACATTCCAAGGGGAAGTTACTCATTAGTTAACCCTCTAACTTCCATGAGTAACCAAGACAGAGTTTCTCCTTACATCATCAATACCATGTCAAACAGATTAGCAAAGAGAGGATAGAAAAATATCAATTAGGGAATAATATTATTTGTTGATCCAATACCAAATTCTCCAAACTACCACAATGAGAGTTGTATGGCATACTGAAAGGAGAATTATCAATGAGATCCTGGGAGTGCAAGGGTTAAAGGGATACTCAACCAATACAGATCACAATGCAAGATACTAAGGTCCAAAAGAATAAAATTTCACCATGGTAGGTAGAAGGGGATTAGAGATGTAATAAATTCTCTGCTCTTCTGGTGTCTTTACCATCCATTTCAACTAGTAAAAGTAACTGAACACATTTGAAATTCATGTTTATTGCATTTTATTTTCTATATATTACTCAGTGCTCTCATTCATTGCAATATCTGCCACCTTAACTGGTGTTCCCTCACTCTAGAATATTTTAAGTTTCAAATATCCAAATAGTTGAAAAAATGTATCAAGTAATATTGTGACATGTAATCAAAGATTAAATATTAATGTGCCATTAGTAATGTCATGATTAAATGCAATTTTTCTTTTGTGATAAAAATGAAAAACCATTCAAATTACAATAAGCTGGGAATAATTTGTTAATAGCATGAATTGGAATACAAAATTAACAGTGCCTCCTGGCACTATAACCCTGTGCCATTTAATTACAAGGCTGCTTGAATTAAGTGTAAATGACTTTTAAATGATAATAATTTTATAATACAAAAATTGTAGTAAACCAAGCCCTAGAACAAGGGCATTTCTACACAATCATGAAATTTTACTAAATTGAGTTTTCGAGAAGAGATCGTCAATTTAATTTGAGCATTACTGGAGCTATGGTAGGGTGTGTTTGATTGATGTCCTGATAAGTTTAGTCTCCTTTACATTAAAATCCTTTATTGCTTACAGTATCAAAATCTAATGCTGTACTGAAAACCTAAAATGTCTTAAGTTTCAGCAAGACTGTAAATAACAGAACAGTTTCCAGTGAGGAGACATGAAATCAAAATGATCACCAGCATATGAAAGCACTATCCGTACTCAACAGCTTGTTGCTTCATCTACTTTGACTAACTATGGTCAGCCTTTGGAATAAAAATTAATTGAAATCCTTAAAAAGCATAATCCCAAAAATTGTTTGCATCCTCAGCTTTTTTTTCAGGGTCATTGCCCGCATATTTTACAAGTACCTTTTTGGAAAAATAGTGCTCATATTTGCATCTGCATGTACAAAATGTTTATGATTCAAATAAGGTAACAAATTTGTAGTATATTTTTTCAACAATATAAAATATTGATAAAAACTGTGACATTATGTGAAAAGCTGTATAAATACACAAATGCATAAATTCAGAGCATAAAAATAAAGGATATACTGTACATTGCAAAAAATTTAGGCTTCTGTGACTCTGTATGTGATATATACAATTCATTTGAAAATATTAATTCAAAACTTGATGTGTGAAAAATCATGCTACTTGCATTTTAACTCCTATATTTTACTGTCAGTGGCCCACACATGTCTTTTGAGTGCACCCTTATCACTACACTGTGCAAACATTTAACCATAGAAAGCAGCTGTACCTGACAACCTTCAACCTGTTGTCTTGCAAATGACTACCAGGCCACCAATCTATTCATGTTTTCACATGATGGGTTAAATATGACAACAGACCTCAATTTTTATTTTTTCAAGACAGTCCCACCCTCTGCTCTGTCATCATCCCTACTCAAGAAAAATTCTCATAATCATTACTCAGACTTAACACTGACAAAAAAATTATATTCCCCAGAGCACTATGTAATTATTAAAATCTTTTTGTCAACAACAGATAATTCTTTGTATGCATATAACCAGGAACAACACAAGGAAAATCAGTGGTCAGAGATTTCCCCTGCACATAAAATTAACCCTCCACCCTAATTATGATTATAGTGTTTAAGTTTTTTTAAGAGAATATTGCTGACTAGTTCCACACCCTCAAAAAATTATGTGCAGTCCCTCCTTTTCAGGAAAGTCTGTTGCATGAGTAAAATAAAAAGGGTAGTGAAAAAAAAAATCGATGTAAGTGCATCACTTGGAACTATGGAAGTGAGGTACATGAAAGTACATTAACCTTACAGCTAGTACTTTTTGTGCACCTCACTCAATTCTCCTTTAAGTATTATCCTCCATTCTATGAGCATTTGAATTAATGTTCCATTCTAGTCAAAATAAAGACAATTTAAAAAGCCATCTCAAAAAATCTTACAATAACTGTGACAAGATAGGTGATGCAAAGGACTACCAAGACTACCTGTCAGAATTGATGTTAAAAGGTGCCATTCAAAACAGGAGATGTTCCACTGCTGTTTTGAGGTAAAGAGGTGTTGGCTTTGCTGCCTACTCCATTAAACTGCGTTAAACTACCATTACTGGCTGAATCAACTTTACCAGGTTCAAAATTTGTAGAACTGTCAAATGTGAACTGTAGAAACTGCTGAGGAAAAGGTTCATGTCTTGGTTCGACCATTTCAAGATCAGATGAGCCCAAATCTACAAGGGTAGGAAGAGGGCCACTTTCAGGAACTGTGTTTCGGATAAAAGATTCTGCACTTGCAACTTTGCTGCTTGACTGTAGGGAAGTAACACTACCATCAAGAGGATCCATTACACTTCGATGTGACATCACAGGGCTTGGAGTCATAGCTGGAGGAGGAATAGTGGGAAATACAGGATCACCAAGCATTCGTCGTTTCTGTGCGGCTGTTGCTGCTGATAACAACCCATCCTTGACTGGAGAGGAGCCCACAGATGATGAAACTTGTGAGTGTAATGCTGATCCTGAAGATATCTTTCCATCCATATCCAGACTAAGGCTTACACCAGAATCACCTCGACCATGCATTTGATTCTGCATAGTCTGAACTTGATCAACCAATTGTGTTATTGTTGTTATCAAGTCCTTGTTTTGCTTGAGCACTTGGTCCAGTTGATTCTGTTAAATATAATATGCATTGAGTTAACCATCTTATATAATCTTTAGACAGTCAGCACTGAAGTCTATTTGGGGAACACAAGATATGGGGATTGAACATACAATTCTCTGTGAAACAGTTTTAAACACTTAGAGTTCAGGCAGATTAACTAACACAAATAACATACTAGACAACATTTCATCTTTCACTATAAGAGACACTGATGACAAAGTTACTGATACTTAAACCCTTTGACCCTTAAAGTGACCAGCATCTAATTTCTCCCTACAGTATAACCCCTGAATCACACTTAACAATCACAAGATTCTTTTCAACACCTTAAAGTTTATGGAAATCAGTTTGGAGAATAAGCACACTAACGTTAGGATTTAAATGGTTGATACTGGCCCTTATTTGATCTACTTATTTTCTAACAGTTCAATATATTAGCATAAATTGTGTATTATTATGTTCAGTACTGCTATAAGGTGAAATTCCAATTGACAAAGATTAGGAAAAGGCAATAACACAAACAAGAAATGGTAATGAAAAAAAAACTTGAAAATGGTAGATCAGATATATGTGCACAGTACCTGAAGAACCTGTCTTGCAGCTGCCTCGTCATCAAGATGTTGTGTCAAAAGCTTTATCTTTGCCTGGGCTGCCTGTGTCTCTTGCCTTTGATGATCCAGCTGCTGTTGATATATGTGACGCAGCTGTTGAATTGTTAAGGGTGCAATACCAGCTTCTGCCTCTGGCAGGTAATCCTTGGTAGCCCACACTGAGTCTGATGAGAAATCAATCTGAAAAGGCCAGAAGGACAACTGAAATTAAATTCAAGCAATCCCTACATGCATAACATCCAAAAATGTGTTTTAAAACACAAATGTTTGCAAATCCCTTCCTTTTTTAATGAAAACAAAAAAATTCAACCTCCATTCCTGATAACAAAAATTGCTCCTTGACTAAACTTTGGGGCAGCACACTGTATATTGGCTCACAAGCAACTGTGTAGATGTTTCCATTTACAATATCAAACAAAAATTTCACAGATAGGTGTTGATAACCTCTCACATATTACAAGCAATATCATTCACTCATTGTGTGGGGCTAGAAAAACACCCACCTGCCCACCAGCAGAATTTGTCCCTTCTGTTGCTGTGGGTACATCACTTGTAGGCCCATCAGTTTCTGAGGAAATGAGAATAGAAGCAATCACAGAGTATTTCTTTAATAGTAAACTATATCAAGTCTAGATATCAAAATACTGCAAGGCTTTCTGTGCACTATCCCCTCCATATGTTCTGCTGATTGTTGAAAGACAAATAACTGTAGTTTTCCTTTCAGAAACACTTAAATCATTGATCATTACAAAGGAGATGGGAGAGAAAACTATCACTACTTTAAACCAGTATGTTTTGCACCCTAAATCAAAGCCTTCATTACTGGTAATACTTTCTAATGCCTGACTCACCAAGTTTATCCTGTTCATTCTTTATATTATTTTCTTGGGCCACTTGACTGAGTGTTCTCCTGTGACACACCTCAAAAGCTTGGCCTACTGTCCTCACAATGTGTATAGCATCTGCCTAATGAGAGAGTCAGACAACATACTAGGTAAGTTTCAGCAAACTTTAAACAAAATCTTACGGGAATATTTTATCAAAAAAACCAATTACTGTACTTCCTGAAATAATCAAGTGCATGGAGCATAATCAAATTGCACTTTTACTAAGCACTTAATAAGTCTTTCTTTAAACAAAATTTGGTGGATAAATCTTTAGATGACAATAAAAGTATGGCATTCTACATGTAAACACAGGGATACAGAAGTAATTGCGAGTGGCTTAGCAGAGAAGAAACTTTACTCCAGACCTACATGTACTGGTGCCATTGTAGTTGAAGCTCAATATATTTAAAACATGGTGACAGTAGAAACTTGATTATTTGTATCTGTACATCTGAAGAAGATGAAAGAGAGAGAGAGGGGAAGGGAATGGAAGCCCTTCTTCAAGGAGTGCTTATTTCCTCATTTGGCCAAGGCCATAGACGCTTATTCAGGGAAGGTCATGCATTAGAATGCACCAAATGTTGAATTTGAAGATTCCTTCAGCAATCTTAATACTGGTATAATCCCTTCATAAAACAGCCTATGCTTGTAGGTTGCTCTGTTAACAATGCATACACTTCTAAGTACTGCACATCAGAGATTAATACTTTTACCTTATTACTTGCTTTAAATACACTGCATTTAAAAAGATCATCATCCTTTGAAATAAAACTAAAGATCTGCAGATCTTGGGAATCATGTGAGACATAGAAGATTCTGAAATGTCAGAAAAAATGTCAACCACTTAGATCTGAAATAAACTGGAAATGTAATGTTAAAATGCAATATGTATTTCTTATAAAGCTTGAATCATGTATAATGATGAGCCAATTGTCATTTATTTACCTGTTAATAGGGTATTGCATAACTTCCGTTTCGACATAGGAGTTTTTCTTTTTCTGAAACAAATTAGAAATATGGTTTCAGCATAATATGTATCTCTCCTCCCAGGAGTATAAACAGGTGAGGTAAAACTGACTGGCAAACCTGACAAAATGTTGTAGGATGATCTAACCCCTTCACACTACAGAAACTAGGCATGAGCTACAGCCATTTAGCCACTTGGATAGATTACTTACTTTACCTCTACTGTTAAATTTTCTCCACATTTATGTCGTGCATTAAAAATGTCTGCAAATTGGCACAAGGGTGCTAGACCAAAAGTCTAACAAGATCTAACCTTAGCCAACATCCATCTCCATCTGAGTTTTATTACAAACCAGTCCACAATGAAAATATTTTACATTGAATTGGGTGGAAAAACTTTTAAAGTGAACTTCAAGTGACAATCTAAGCTATGAATCCTTTTTAGTCTAGAAGACACTTCTGGAGTGTCTTAAAACTGTTGCAGCAATTTTTGACAAAGAAATCTTCCAGTCATGTGTATGGAACAATCCAACAGTATTTTTCTAAGTTTGACCTGCAGTCAACATCTTTTAAGCCCAAAACAACAGGAAGCCGCTAGACATCTAAATATAGGTCAGCCAGTTAAGAAAAACTGTTGCAAAATATGCATGGCAAAAAAAAAAGTTTACATGTTGTGTGATCCAGCTGCGCTTGCCTTCCTCCCTTCGAACAACTTTAATTCCACTCACAGCAACAGAGAGTTCTGTCCTTTCCTTCTTGGTACCATAGACTTTGTATTCATACTGGAAAATACATCATTACGAAATCAGACAAAAAATTCTGCTACAGCAACACATTTTTAAGAGAAACATGCTGGGTAAAGAAAAATATTTAACTTACTAATAGGACCGTCAAAATTTTTGGCTTAAAATGTCATTGTTAACCATTAAAGAATTATGTCTACTGCAAAAAGGAACAAACTGATAATGTCAAACATTCTAATTGATTATTTTTTGATACTGTAAAACTAAAATCACATTTTTTTTAAATTAAATATTTGGAGTTCATTGAGACATTTTTGGCGATGAAAACCTGAAGGGGCAGTGTCAAGGGCTCATTTAGCCTCGGGTGAGAAATGCGTAGTCCTGAGACTTCTTTATTAGATTCAATTTAATTTCGTCATAATAAATCGATTACAGAACCTGCATCGGATAAGACCGCCTTAAACAACATCATCATAAAAGACAGCCTACTGAACACAATATTTTGGGAATACGTGCAAATAATTTTTAAAATAGTATCAAACGATATTATACAAAACTTATAAGTTTTGCCTCTTTACCCGTATTCGTCGCATAGCAGTGACTATTTCAGCTCTGCTGCTAGGTTTATGAATTTCTTTCGTCCCAATATACTGCGAGAAAGATTAAAAGAAGACAAACATGTATTATTCACACCTTCAACACAGTTCTCAAGCGTAAACAACTGTTTTATCACGAACCAATTTATAATTGCCGCAATTGAAATAAATAATGTCAGGTAACATTCAAAAGCTAACGGAAAACAATTTAAGAACCCTTAAGAAAACTCTTTTTAGATGATTTCCTCGAGTGACAAGTATTTCATTAGTTACGTGTTTAGATAAATTAAAAAAGGCAAAAGCTGCACCACCTTAACTTTGAAGGCAATTCCATGTTCGAACGCGTCTTCGTTGTGCACTGGGGACTTACTATCATAGGCTTCTTCGACGAGGTCGTAATCATGTCTTCGCAATTTACCTGGCATTATTGGTAAAAACTGATTTATCAAATATTCGTCATTCTATTAATGAGCGACCACAAATCTAAGAACACCTCTCTCCTGCAACAATAAGGTATACACAACGACAACATTAACGCTCGAATGCATATGATGAGATTCTTCAGCGTTCGTAAAATGTTCGGAACAAAGCGTCGTCGTCCGGAAAATCCCGAGGTGCAAGGACGTGTCGGATCGCGGAAATTTTCCGCAGTTTAAGGAAATAATTTGAAAATTTAGAAAAGAATTCCAGAAAGCTCTACCCGGTTGTCACCCAAATTTCAAGTATTTTCTAGAAAAGTAATGAATTTACTTAGAGAGGGCATGCTGCGAATCTCCCCGTAGGCTCTCGTCTCAAATATCACAGAATCCTACACGATTACTATTCATGAGACTTAAATGATCTATCAACAAATAGTCTCTTTGCTCATAGGCCATCGTTCGGAGCACGAGTGAAAAAGGCACCGCTTAAGATCAGCTAAAGAAAACTACTATGTACAAAATAAGATTCCAAAAATGAAGAACATAGCATTCTGCTCAGACGCAACCGTAAACACATGCAAAGCTCATCATATAAAGAAAAGATAATTATGATTTAAGATTCAGTCTTTCGGGGCCATTGGCGTGGGAGTTTTTGGAGGTCTTTTCTCCGGGTTATTGATGCAATCGCTTATTTATGGAGCTTAATTCTATTTTTGTCAAGTAAATGACGACAGTGGTGGACTTCAGGTATTGCACCAGCAGAGGCAGAGAAGATAGGCAAGTTCTTCGGAGAGACTTTTGTCTTATGCATGACGTGAACTCAAGTCATCATTATCACATCCGACATTTGTCTTCATTCTTAACTTGATTTTTTTTAAACTACCATTTCAGTTCCTCATTCAGTTAGATGCAAAGTCATTCATTCTGATCTATTTCAATTATCGTTTCGGTCCTTCATTCAGTTAAAGGCAAAGTCATTCATTCTGATTTGTTTTAATTATCATGTCAGTTATTTACTTAGTTGGATGCGAAGTCAATGATAACATCTGTTCGCTCACCCCTTGAATCTGGGTTTGCGTTTTTGTTTTAGGCTTACTACATGCATGGCTAACACTATGCTAGCACTTTCATACGAGTGTTTAAAATTAGATCAAGGCGTAAAAGCTGGAAACGCCCATTTCTATAATGATATGAAGCTTGATTTGTTTTGTTCATTTTATAGACTGCATGCTAAGCACAGAATAGATATGATGATGAATTTCCTTCTCAGCACATAGTTCGCCTGGTGAATCAAGTTTAGGTTTCTCCCGATTATGATTTGATCGCTTTTGCCCATAAATATGAAAAGATAAGTCGGGTTTACTTGAAGCTCTATCGAGACCTGTTTCGAACCGGCCGATCTGGTTTCAACGCAAGACTCGTTGATTTGGTGGTACCTGTGCAAAACAGAGAATTTGAAGGACCACAGAACAAACAACTTTTTTTCTAACCTTCTTTTTATCTCAAATTGTAATATACATTAAAAAAATGTCACACTTAGAGAGCATTCAAAATCTGTTAGCAACAACACAAAACGCAAACAGAAAAGATGTGATTTTTTAGCGCTGTTCAATCAATTTCATCTGAGTAAAAAAAATAATGTTCCCTAGAGCTCAAAATATTTTCTTGAACTACCCACGCTTCAATGACCATTCCTTAAATATCACAGAAACACCTCGAAACAGTGCGCTCCTTGAATATCATCAATTATTAATTCACCGATGGATTTTATTCTTGTCTTTAAAGCCACGCTTCTTTTTAATTCGTTCTCGGAACAATTCATTGACAAAATAAAACAAAATCATTTCAATAAACGTATGTAGTCATGAAAGCTATACTTCAAAAGAAAGCAAGCAAAACGTTTATGAATTCAACGCCAGGTACTGTACATATCTGTATTCAAGTGTTTGCACAGATTCAGACACGGAATTGAGTTGTATAAAAAAAACGAATATTAAGATCTAAATGATATCCTAAACAAAAGGTAGGAATAGATATATACACATTAATGCATACATATCGAAGACTAGCGCTTCATTTAGAAAGTACAATTTATTTTGAATCGTAATATTCCGACCCTCCTATTACACTAACGACATGCTGCTTATATATACTTTCCAGATAACATAAACTCGCAAACTGGGTCCGTTCACCTCCGCCGGTTTTTCAAATCACAATCGGTTCAGTCTTGTTGAAGACTTATGAGAGCTTTAAGGTTGGTTTAAGGTTGTTTTAAGGTTACTATGAGTTTTTACAGAACTAGTGCTGTGTCTAAATATGCCGACGCGACTAAACCTCATAAATTTGCGACTATGCTTCACTTTGAAGCGAGCCATAATCTGCGCATAATTAACTAAATCCAAAATTTGTCACTATATCGATAATGATATCTTGGTATCGAGTTCATTAATCTGAGCAGTACAAGGCCCCGTAAAGTACTTAAACTTGAGGCCATCTGAGATGCGTAGAGTTTGACCATTCTTCAAGGAAACTACTGAGGGAATACATTGTTTGGGTAGAAGAACAAACTATCGAACCGCATGTGGTTAGAATTCCTATTTCTGGTCATTAACGAGTTTTTTTTTACGTTTTTCACATGCACAAGATGTTCAGTAATATTATGGTAGAATTTTGTCTAAAAAACTGCTGTCGGTGTCAGTCAAAGATTTTGACCGACTGTCCGGGTAGATTGAATAACCTTCATCTTTTCTAGTAATACTGGGAACAAGATGGCCAGGAGCTGAAATTATGTCCTAACTTCAGTAGATATAAATACAGCAGGTCACAACAACTTAAGTAAGAGACTAGTAAACACAACCACTTATGTACAAGCTTAAAAGTTTTTAAATACTCTAAAAGGTTTGCTAGAACCATGATGTTCTGGAGTTACAATGTTTCTCGAGAGCGGAGAGTATGTTCATAAGACAAACAGTCAATTTATACAGAGTTACAGAACTGGACTGGTGACTGACGGAATAGAAACAGAAAGTCAATCAAATGTATCAAAATGTTTACCCGAACAAAGAACGTTTCATTTGAGCCAGTTCCATAGATTGGTGGTGTACCGGAATTTTGACGCCCACAAACATCGATCATAATCTGCTCTATTTATTTTCCTGAAGTCTATAAAGAATAAAACAGGCCAAGGGAAGTCGGATATGTCGACAAGTGGCAACAGAACCTCCGGAGAAATAAAAGGTAAAGTTATTATTTTATACATGACAAATATAAAAAACATAAATTGCCAACTGATGAAGTTAATTTGATTTCTGGGTGGCGCCCTTTAGTTTCAAGTGAATCGTCCCTCCATTAGCCCTAGATTCGACTACTTACAACTCACTAATGCTTTGTATTTTCTGTCAATAATAACTAATGAAGAGGACCATGATAAATGTGATGGTGAAGATGCAAATTGTTATAGTCAACAATTTCTAGTTTTGTTTGTGAACGACTCGGACATTTCTAAAACTGTGATGATTTTCTAAAACAGTCGTAAAGCTCTGCTGTAAATAAAACCACACCAGTCAAGTAGACAACCATGGCCAAATAATTCGTTCATGACAGTGATATTCTATCCCAAAAGGTCTCGAGGAAGATGCAAGGTTAGAAATGGGTGAAATGAATGCTAGGAATTTACTGACAAATACCCCTGAGGAGAACAAAGAAAAAAAATCTCCGTCGAGATTCAACTGGCTTAGAAAACGATCTCCAAATTCAACGGCCGACGAAAATTCAAAACCGACCAAGAATGCCTGCGAGCCCTCAGTATCAACATCAAGGTGAGAAACGTTATCTGGTTTTAGTTTTTAACTGGTCCTGAACGGGAATTTGATTACTGCCTCTTCCTTTCAAATGGGAGGTTTTTTTCGGTTTCTACAATTTCTTTTTATCCTTTTCTTCTCAAATTCTCGTACACTTTATGGCAGAGTACAAGCCACCTCTCCCCCTCCTACCCCTCCCCCTCTCCACCTCTTCTGTTCACCGACAAAGACAAGGAAAGCGCTTCATCTTTAGTTTAACCTGTAGTTCACTATTTACAGTGAGTCGCCGAATAAGACGCAAACAGAGGAGGTGTTTACAGATGTATTTGAGAACATTCAACTACAATTAGAAGTTATTAAGGGTGTAAAGGAAAAGCCATGGACTATGGACAGGAAATTACAAATTATCAGGTGAACACAGGAGACAAATCTTCACAGCCACTAATAACTTTACAGCAAGATGAGATTCAGTCAAGCACAGCCTAATAGATATGAAATCTATCTTTCAGTCAAGATTCTCCAACAAAGGCCGCCTCATACGTGCTTGATGATCTTTTTATTTACTAAAAATGGTCAAGGCCGGAATATTCTCTCGCCATGTAATAGCACTGCGCGCTTTACCTTTACCTTCCGGCATCGTTTTCATAAAAGTTATCATGATATTCTTGTCATTTTCTCGGTGTTTTCATGTGGTCATCTTTTGATTTAAGTGTTTTTGGAATACTTTCCTATTACAATGCCCCAGTGCACACCCTAGAAGAACCTAGAGGGTCCCCACTAGAGGCATGTGGTAAAATTAGGTATTCCAACGTAAACATGCCCATTTTGGCCGCGTACCAAATATAACAGGGACATGAGGTGTAAAGATCTTTGGTACAGCTAATGTAGACCAATCTGGGCTAGTTGTATTTAATTCGTTTGGCAAATCTGCACCCCAGAGCCAACAATTTCTCTCAGCCAAAAGCGATTGAAATTTTATGTCCATAACAATTCTTATGATCAACTCGTTTGTATTATATGCTTGTTCTTCTTCCTCTAACACTTATTTGAACAGAAACGCCAAAAACTACGTCGAACAGCATTCAGGTGATCTGAACAGACTGCAGCATTTAAAGGAGTCTCGGATAAGGGTATGTAATAGACATTGTGTGGAATAGGTCAGTTATGATTGGTCAATAAGTAAAATACTTGATTCTTACCATCAGTCATCTATCCTGATCGGACTGCTGCTACGATTCCAAACCGGCTCAGGGACTCAAAATTAACCTGAAACGTTTTTTTTTTAATTTTAATTACGCAGTTATAGATTAAGTGGTAAGACACTACGGATTTTCTGTTTCAACCGCAGCCAGGTTTGCGTATCAGTGTTCACGAACCATTGCATCCTGTTCCGGCTCTCAGCCAATGACGACGAAAGAAGGGATGGGCGAATGACAATCGGTGGTTGTGGTTGTGGTTGTCAGGGGAACGGCTCTTTATCTAGTATATTTTTCTCTTTGAGTGTTCCCCCCTGTTTTTTTGCCCAATTTTTCCAGACTGGGACAACTGCAAACCACCTCAAAGACTTTATTTAGCGCCCCTCTCAGGCATTTTTATCTTTTTATTCTTGTTTTGTTTTTATGCGGATTTGTTCGCATGTCTTGTCCATCATCATTCTCCATGAAGCTATTGCTGTTGTCACTGAGTAGTGAACTTCTTTTATCATTGACTTCAGCTTTTTCGACAAGTTAAAAGACAGTTCCAAAATTTCATCGTGTTCTTCATTCCTTGGGAAAAGAGGATTAAAAATATTCAAGGTTTGTAGCCACAAAATTTTTATGATTAACTAAAATAACGAACTACACATTTTGGGTTCAGTGTGATCCTGCAGAGCGGTTATCAACGACAATGACGTACTTACAGCTTCCTAATCGATGAATTGTTGGGAAATCATCAGCATTGCTTTCAGAGTGTCCCTGAACCATAGAAGAGTTGATGCATCAGTGGAAAAAAACTAATGAATAAGCATGAAGTACAATTCCTTTTTATCCTTTTTGTTACCTTGGAATGTTTCAATACGCAAAAGAAGGGTCGCAACATTTCTTACCCTCTTACAGTTATAAAGGTTCTACACATTCCATAAAGATTCCTTAGATGATGGAAAAAATGAACTTTGAAGAAATAAAAAAGGTGGAGATTGTCTCCAATACTGTGATCTCCTATTGTTTTCCTTGAGTGAATAATCTCGAGAAAACTAGTAATCAAATAACACGCCACTAAGAAGAAGTTTTTGTTACTTTCTCAAACAATAGCGTGTTTTTCCTTTAGGACATTTTGGGGCTGGCATCGGTTCCTTTTTTCTTTTTTTACGTTCTTTGGCGTGGATCAACTTCATTTTGTTAACCTTTATAACGATCTTCGTTATAGTTCCACAGGTAAGCTTCAGAGTACATTACCTTCTTTGTAAATTTTAACATAGAAAATTATACTACCTCTGTAAACATTCACCATGTTAAAAGAAATCTCCATTTCCTCTGACTGAAATTTGCAATCTTGCTACGCTTTCTTATCAGCGTTTCTAATCGTAACATTCCACCGTTAATGTTCCGATCGAGTTAATTTCTCTCGCGGATATTGGTAAAATTATTAATTCTTGTAAGCCTGAATCACGAATTTGTTCCCAGATAATGGAATGATAATCTTCTTTGGTTTGTTTTTCAGCTCATGAGTCCTTCGACAGCTCTGAGTATTCCTGAGAGTGAGAGACACACAGCACAGCGTCTTACAGCAGTTCTTGATGCCAAGGTAAAGTCTTAACCCAAGTCTCTTGGTGCCGTTTTTATTAATCTAGGCGTTGGTTGTAGCAGTTTTATTTAGCGATCAACTGTTGAATCTTTAGTCAACCCTCTGACCGCTAAAAGTGACTAGCATCTAATTTCTCCTTACAATATCGGCCCCGAATCACACAATAAGGTCACGAGAATATAGGAAAAACCAGCAACGAAAGAAGCCCTCGATTGCTAAACAAATTCTCCTTGTCAGCACCTCAGGAAATGTATAGAAAACAGTATGGAGAATATGCCTAGTGATGTTAGCCTGTAAGGAGCTAAGACTTCAGGATTATGGATCACTGAAAGAAATGAATGAGGTGACGATTGACTATGTTAGGTCATCACCTTTGAAATTTTACATTCAATTCATTGTGGAGTGTACACATAATACGTTATAGAAAAAAAACAGGAGATGTTAATTAGACTTAAAAATCAAGCATTTTTCTAACAAAATACCATCATTACAATTTTTATCCCCACAGGGATATCTGGAATATTCCTTTTTGTTTTACGGCTATTATGGAAATGAGAACATCCAGGTGGGCGTGGTCGAGTATCCCTTGCCGGTGGCCTACTTCGCGGTTTTCATGGTCATTTATCTCTTCAGTATCATTACTGTGCTCCGAGCGTAAGTATTGTGTATTAATTAATGTCCAGCTGATAAGCAGGCTACTAATAGTTATCAAGATACACGAGAGATGGAACTGATCTGGATCCGAGGAGGATTTTGGGCTTGGTTTTCCCAATTGTTCTCTTTCACCCGCCGTTGGTAACAGTTTTCCCGACGTTTACCACTCCTGACACGATCTTCGGATCTTGTCAAGGACAAGACAAATTTGTTACAGGGGTGGAGTTATAGAAGAACTCATATCTCTAAACACAAAAATACAGTTTGCATAACCTTGATTTTTACCTTGCAGTATCACTCACGAACAGAGTCTAGTGAAGTCTTCAGGTCAAAATGATCAATATCCATTCGGCTGGCGTGTGTTTTCAGCTTGGGATTTTCTTATCACAGAGCGAGAGACTGCGGAGAATAAATTAGCCTCCCTTACTACTGCTATTAAAGTAAGCCTGTCGTCTAATCTTTTGGTAAAACTGAACTCCTTTTTGACTAAGTCACGTTATAAATTGTATCTTTGTTTGAAAACATAGAAATTAGCAGCAATGTTGGATGAAATATCGCAGACAACATTTCTCGAAATATAGGCTTTAGCAAATGACTGTCAAATATATCCAAGGAATTTTTTTGTACTACGGGTATATGGCGTCTTCTGTAAACTTTATAGTTGCAAATGTGCAGGTTCACCAATGAGGAGTGAACTAGCTTTGACTTTCTACGGGAACGTTTCAATTCCTCACCATCTTGTTACAAAGGTAATCAATACTTTCCGATGGTGTCGACGATTCATGCCATTCGTAATCTCATTTAACTCGTATCTTTTCATTGTTTATTTTTAATTTCCCACAGGAACAAATGGTTGAGGCAGTGGAAAAAGGGAAAACGATAAATAAGTAAGTTTTATATATAACACGTAACGCTACACGAGTTTCATATGGACCAAAATGTAGCTGTTATTCATTACAGTCCGGCTGCTTTTGTTCCCTTGACCCTAATATCAATACTTCAGGTGCCATATCACTAAGCTACAAGAGATTCGTGATAGCTTTAATCAGCGGCAAAAGTTATTAGATCATTCAATAAATGAACGCATTGTCACGCACTCTATTTCAGGAAAACCCTCATCGCCCTCCGTGTATGTGCAAATGTGCTGGTTCTGGGCGTTTTAAGCGCAAGTGCGTACTTGATATACTTGGTGGTTAAGCGTTCAGATGAAAGAGACAAGGAAGGAAGACCACCCACTGTGTTAGAGCAGTATGAGGTAACTTAACGCTATACTCCCTAACATCAGTCTGTATATTCTCCCTGCTGTTCTCTATACATTTCCTAGGGTGCTGACAAGGAGAATTTGTTCAACAATCAGGAGCTTCTTTAGACATCATTTCCTTTATTCTCCACACCTTAATGTTTGATTCAGGGCTGACAAATTTAGATACTATTCACTCATAGGATCAAAAGGTTAAAACGAACATATCCGCCAAAAACGTAGCCCACTTGCATGGCACTGTTTACAACTTGGCCCAGTATTCCGAGATAGCATTGGTTTTGCTTTACTTTGCTCTATGATTGGTCCAGAAAACTCATACCACTCTCAAGACCAATCAAATGCGAAACTAAAAGCAATCACGACTTGGTCGCCCGCGTGTTCCCGCACTTTAAGCAGTTTGTTTTTTTTCTACTTTAAGTATATTCAGTTCCTCTGATTTTAAAGTTATGATTACGTTAGTCTTGCAATTGCGACACTCAATTAAAAAGCACTCTATTCAACGTCAATGATATTAGCCCGTTTTCACGCGTGTTTTCGTTTGTTTTTTCAGATCTCTCTCGCAATTACCGGCATGAATGCTGTGTGTCCAGTATTCTTCAAATTGATTTCCATGATGGAGCAGTATCATCCAAGAGTCGCTCTCTACTGGGAGCTAACAAGGTATTAGGAGAATGTCACGAATCCAGCGCCTCTCGATTAGAACTTCATCAGGGATGCGTTGTTAACTCTGTTCACGAAATATCACTCGTCGCATCGAACCTGTTTGTAATTCATCAGAGCTGCGAGTTAAAATAACTTTAAAAAATCTCCCTAAATAAGAGTAGTAAGGCATTGTCAACTCTGTTTACGAAATACCAGTCCTCGTATTTACACCTTTTTGCAATTCAGTAACTTCAGTTGCGCAGGGAGGTTCTTGGAGCAGTCCGTCAGGAAAACTAAGCAAAACTCTGGCCGCTTTATTTTGTTCTTTTCGCGAAGAATCCGTTTCATTCTCTTTTTAGAATAATGTTCATGTATCTTGGAAATATGTACGTACTGGTCATATCACTCCTTAACAAAATAAATCAGGTGAGAAATTAAAAATTTTGTTTAAGAGAACTGTTATATAAATTATGCAATAGATAAACCAATAAAATGGTTAGTAATTCATTGGCCTTTCACTCGAAATAGGCGCACAGAGTCTAAGTAAGTTAATCAATCGGAAGACAGTCAGTTAGTCAGAGTTAATCAATAGGAAGACAGTAGGTCAGTCGGAGATACTTAATCGAAAGACAATCGGTTAGTCAGACACCCATTTTGTATCCTGTGAGTCATTCGAATAACGTTCGTTCGATCACTTTTTCTTTTATTCATTCTGTCAGCGGGTAAGCTCAGTCATTCCATAACTCATTCATTAACCCTCTCAGTCAAACAGTCAGTAAGGTGAGCTATCAATCTCGTTCTTGGGCTCTCAATTTTCCATGTCCTCCGGACCGCGAGAGAGAGTGAGGGGAGAGAGTAACCGAGTGCTAGTGTGGGAAAGTGTCTCTAGCTCCAAGGGGCGAGAAGAACAGAGGTCCTGAGGACTTGAAGGAGAAGATTCGATTAAGTTAAGGCTAAGAATCAGTCGAGGGAGTGTTTTGTGTCAATCTTCTATATCCCATTTTAACTGTCGTGATTTTCGCTTATTTTCTTTGCAGTCAAAAGTAACTGCCTTGGACGTCTCATCAACAAGTGATGTGATAAACTCGACTGTTATTCCTGTTACCACAGTCACAAAAAACACCACAGATGGTAAGGTGGTGATCATTAACTGATCTTTATTCCCCGAGAGTATAGCTTTGTTTTTCAACAATGATCGCACAATTCTATTTTTCTTCGCGACCGCATCATTCTGAGAAGCGAAAAAGTTCAATCAACAGAAGGAGAAAGATATCTGTTGATCATTTGTGAAAGAACCCCTTTTTTTGGACTAAGACATCCGAAGTGATGCGTCTATTATTTTTTTTGGTTTCTTTCAGGCTCACTGTGTTGGGAAACTACAGTTGGTCAGGAACTGTTTAAATTAACAATTATTGACCTAGTAGCCCTGGTGTTTAGTGTGTTGACCGGTGACTTGTGCGTATCCCTCACCGTCAGATTTCTTAACTGTTTTCAAGGCCGACTCTTGGATCTTGAAAAAATCGTGAGTGGATAACATTTTAATTTTTTGTTGTGTTCATATGAGAGTCATCCTTGTCAAAAGAGGTAAGGTTTTCTTCATTAACGCAAGGGAGACGTATGAATAAATTCCAAAGCTTTCCAAGTTTTATAATAAAGAAACTTGTTTTTGTTGTATCCTCCTTTGCTGCAGACGAGGGAACTCAAACAAATGGCTCCTTTCTTTCTTTCTTCAGTTAGGTTATCCCGAGTTCAAACTTGCGGAAAATGTATTGCAGCTTATTAACAGCCAGGGACTCATCTGGTAAGTTAAAGAGAGCAAGTTATTTGATTGCCTTTAATAGAGAGCGCCTTATCGCCGCACCACATGAGTTACAGTGAATTGTTGGAGAGAGTACAAAGGGTTATGGTAATGGTGATGATATCTCATAAAGAAGCCTAGCGCACTGCCTCCATCTGGCAGCATAATGGTTCGGAAAATTGTCTAAAATTCGGCTTTGTAAGACAATTTGTTATGATGGTTTTCGCTTCAACTTCAAAGCGCGATTGCCGTCATCAAACGACGTACGCGCATACGTATTTTCTTCTATGAGCTCTATACTTAGAATCATCTTCTTTTTTTTCAGGATGGGTCTCGTGTTCTCTCCAGGGCTCATTATGCTAAACATCCTGAAGCTAGTTATTATCATGTACCTTAGGAGCTGGGCAGTGATGGTCACTAATGTCCCTCCCAAGAGGATTTTCAAGGCCTCTCACCGGTTCTACTTGGTTCTCCTTCTTGTTATGTTATTTCTGTGTATGCTGGCTGTAGGATATGCTGCTGTGGAGTAAGTAGAATTCCACAGACTGTAATATAAACAGCTTCTCTGTTTTGTCGTGCTTTTTATCACACAATTTCAGTTGTTATCTAAATTGCCTGAGTTTTTCTTCCATTTCAAGCTCCCCCTTGGTAAGCTGTTTGCAAGTCTCGAGTGATTAACTAACTTTTGTTTCTTTTCTGTAGGATAGAACCTTCAAAGTGGTGCGGCCCTTTCAGGTGTGAATCTGTCAGCACAATAATTGTTGTAAAATGTTTGTATGGCCACATAAAATATCGTACCTTGTTGATCAGTTGAATGCCAAAGCGAAGACATACTGTTGTTCGAGAAAAGCTAAACCCTTTATTTACCGGAAATGAGTTGATACAATCAAAGGATACAGTCTTCTCAAGAGGGAAATTTCTAGCCAAAAAGCATGGTTTTCGTTCTCAATGCAAATCTACCGTTATCTATCTATAACAATCAATGAAACTATGTTGTTGATCAGCATTCCTTTGTTTATCAGTTTTTTATAAATTGCGAGAATTTTAAAGCTATTTCAGGGCATATTTAGTGCAATAGAGTTAATTCAAGGTTTGTTCTAATTTTTATTGACCCTTAGGGGCAAACCCAACATGTACCGGGTACTTACAGAATCCATCGACAATGGCCCCGCTCTGCTAGACACTATAGTTGACTATCTGAGTGGCCCGAGTGTCGTTATCCCAGTGTTCATATTGATGTCGTAAGTACATACGTTGTCGTTAAAAAGGAACCAATCGCTCTTTGCTACTCTCTATATAAATGTCTTCTAAATACAAATATATTCTATTCTTTTTCTGCAAGGATTGCCATCTACTACTATAGGTCGGAAGCAAATTACTTGAGGAGATCCAATCGTGAGCTTGGGTTGCAGTTACAATACGTAAGTGTTTCACATGTGTGCATGATATTTATGAACTAATCGAGCAGGAGAAGACGATAGTGTTTGAGGCCACAGGGAACCCGTGATAGAACTCTACTACATTTAAAACTATGTAAGCATTTCCCGGACAGTCGATCTCAAACATAAGCATGTGCACGATATTTCGCTGCGGAAAGAAGGTGCAGACATTAAAAAAGACGTTGTTGTCAGCTCGAACCTTGATCTGTTATTTTTATCTCCTTTAGCTTTTACGCCTTTGCTCTTCGTTTTCTATTCATGAAAATTATTACGAAAATTTAGAATTGTTCCCTTATTTTCAATTGGTGAAAAAGTTGTTTTTCCTTTGGTATAGGAGAGGGCAGAGGACAGAAAGAAAACATTCAAACGTGCTTCTGGTAAGAGTTTACATGTTTTGGGGCTTCCATTAATAATCGTTTGCACCCTTATAAAGAGAAAATTAACAGCGACACTGTAAAAAGTAGTTAAACCTTGACGTTATCATTGCTGAATTTATCTCGTTATCAGATTAATTTCAACCGAGCGTCGAAAAGAATCCTGGATTGCTTTGATTTTGCTCTAATTCGGTCTGTGGTTGTTCTAGAAACTCTTTTCATGCATTAGACCAATCGTGAAAACCAATCGTGACTTGACGTTTCCCCACGCTTTTGGTAGTTTGCCTGTTTTTGCATTGAGTCCTCATTGGCTAAGGATGATGTCGACTTTTGCTCCGATTGGCTGCTGGGATTACCATAGTTTTGGTTTTTGGAAACTCAAATAAATAGTGCACTAAAGAAGTAAATAAATAAATGTGGTGGCATGTCACCTCTGTTGACTTTGCGTAATTGCTCTTTTACTTTTTCTTCATCGCCTGCGTCTCCGTGGAAATTCAGAACGCTACAGTAATAATTCTGACGACGACAAGGTCCCTTCTCTTCCAAGTGGCCAAACGCGTCATTCAAAAACAAAAAGTAGAAACAAATCTCGTCAGATTTCTGTTAACGGAACAAATGATATTAAGGAGCATGAGCCTCCTCGAACAGTGGCGAAGAAATCGTCCCAGATGAAACAATTGCGGCCGCGCGAAGATATGATCCCTATTGTCACATACGATGGAGTTATGGAGGAGACTAGTACCGAAAGTGTCTTAAATAGTACCCAGGACCACCGGCAGGTAAAAGTGATAATTCACCGGACGAGTAGTTCCAGTTCATCAACTGTCTCAAGTGTTAGATCCGTTGATCAGCGGATCACAATTCCAAAGAAGAAACACTTGCGGTCACGTGATCACGTTCATGAGCGTCAAAGATGTCAGAATAACATCGAAAACACCGAAAGTGAAATACAAAATACTGAGAAGAATAGTAGTGGCTCTTCTGTTCAGGAAAGCTCGCATTGTGAAGAATCAATAGCGCTACAAGTTACAGATGAGGTGAAGAACAATAACCAGGACTGCAAAACTAGCCAACAGACTATTTTAGAAGGTGGTTCATTGGCAGCCATGTTTGATTCTTAGATACAAATTTTGTAAATACATATCATACTTAAAATTGTAGTCAGTTCAAACCAGCTTGTTTTTTGTTTTTCGCTTCATCCACACAAGTAAACTATCCAGTAAACAGAGAAGAATTATATTTATTGATTGCGCAGAGGACGTCAGGACCTCGATTTCCATTCCGGTTTCAACGTCTGAAAAATCGAATTAAATTTATACACATGCTGGGTAATGATAATACTCTGATATTAGTGTTATCTATAACGTTCGAGTAAGTTACTTAACCTGCTGTAAATAAATGCGGATAAAATTTTTCATGAATGAAAACCACACTTTTTGTTATGTCTAATATATAAAAAAAACCTTTCTAAGTTTTTAATCGAATGAAATGAACAAGCTCTATCTGAAATCATATAAAGCTTTATTTATGTCGCAGCGATAAACTCTCAAGAAAACAACACATTAAAAGGATCACTCTGTGAAGCTTCCATATTGAAAATAAACTACCACCATGCCTTGATTCCATAATTATTTTCTGACACTAAATACACGGGTATGAAACTTGATAAAAGAGTCTTGTTGAAAAACGATGACCTATACCCAATCAAAGATTCTGGATACTAAAATTTGATTAATAAAGAGCCACTCCTGTCAAAGAAAAGCTAAATCACATGAATTACAAAGGGTAATAGTATATAGTACTTTAAAAAAGTAAATAGTATATAGTACTATTTATAGTATACTATACGCCGCATATGATTAAAAGAAACATAACACAAAGCAAAAGAGAGTGTAACCACACCCGCGTCCTCCAACATTTTGGATCCAAAAATCTTAAAGCATTTTATAAAAGATGAAAAAGGCACAAAGAGGGTACAACAACACACAGGTAAAATTTCGTCATATTTCAGAATTTCCATGCTCCTTCATAACGTATTTATCCTCGATTGGCCCATGACCTGTTTCATTCGCTTTTCCTATGTTGCAAGTTTTGAACTCGTTCAAGAAATCATACTTCAGGGGTATAATGTCCCCTTCAAACAAGTATTTTGTTAAAGAAGACACCACAATGAGAATGACAAAAGTAACGATCATAGCGAACGTACGGAATGGAAACAACTGACCCTTAACCTCATCATAAAACGGGTATTTAATGAAGGCGGGGAAACCAATTTTGTCTTCCCCTCCCCCCACGCGTAGCAGGAGCCCTACTACGTAACCCACAACGGAGCCGTAAGTGTTGACGTCTTTCCAAAAGAAAGATAAACACCACGGAGGAAACAGGACCACATAGATCAGGTCACTGCACAGATGAAACAAAGCGTAGATAGATTCAACTGACAGAGCCATTCCAGTAACAGCTGCGCCAACTATTACGACAGCGACTCGCATGGCCCACACGACTTCCTTCTCAGACGCCTAGGAGAATTGAAAGGACTCAAAATTAAAATCTAATTGGGACAGGTTCTATTTCACTCTTTGACTACAAAAATTGATAGAGAGGGCAAACACCAAAATGACGGAAGGTATCTGACCTTTTTTCTGAAGATGGGCCTGTATATATTATGAGCCAGGATGGTGCTAACAGATAGGAAACTGGAATCGGTAGAAGACATGACTGCAGCAGACACAGCACCCAGACCAATGAATGAGACAACAGGTGGTGTGAGGTACTGAAGCACCATGGGAAGGATCAATGTCTTATCAAGCTCTACAGAGGCTGTTTGGTTGGTGGTAACACCCTCAAATGGTCTATATGACGTTTGGGTCCAATCTGGATGAAAACAATAAAGCCAATTTAATATGCAGGAAATTAAGATTGTATTTGAAAAGCATTTATGGAGGATGCCCAGTTGGTTTGCATCTGTTCAAGAGTTTCCAGTCTGTACATAAATTTTTCTTAGGTTTCAAAATTGAAAATTAAAAACAAAACGTTTTCAACACCAAGTCATTGTCATAGTTTTTACCCGAAGATGATCTAGAATGGAAAACGTTTGGTTTTTACTTTTAAATATATTTTTTAACCTTGTAAATAACTCACTTTCCAATCTAGTTTTGGGGAAATGGCTTAAATTGGTCGACTTGTCGTTGTTCAACAATGCACCCGTGTCGAAACGTTGATTTGAAGCGTATTCCTTATTCAGACTCTGACAAATATGCTATAATAACAACAGGAACCTAGATAAAAAAGCTTTTGTAGAGACGCAGCAGCCTGGCAGTGAGTGGACTGGACCTCAGATTCAAGGGTGTGGGTTTAACTCTCTTCTAGGATCATTTACGTTGTTTTCTCAATCCGCAAACTTTACTCTCACAATACCTCTCATACAGGGAATCACCTAGCTTTGACCAGGTTCCTAATCAGGAAGGAAGACATGCTTTTTAGCTGCTCTGTGCTACGGTAACCACGTTAGGCTCTTGTAGTTATGGGGCAGTTGACCTATGTTTGGCGTAAGTTCTTATCAATGCATTTAAGAGAAGAGGAAGGAGGAAGAAACAGTGGTAGGTGGGGGTAAGTAAGCTCGAGGAAAATCAGAGGGCTCATCCTAGCTGAGCTTATCCTGGTCTTCTCAACATGAACCGACTTAGAGAATTTTACTCCGCCCTGGTAGGGTCACCCCCCCCCCCTTCCTCTTCGCACCTAAGCTCTGGATAATATGGTCAGCTTTGTATTTACTTTCAATTATGGGAATATTGAAGGGGAATGGTAGGGATTTTCATAATGCTTCTACCTGTCGAGGCACCAATGGCCCCGATAAGCACTGCAGGGATGGCCATAAGTAGACATCCAATGGAAGCGGTGTAAGAGACTGTTCTAGACATAGATGGTGATTTGCACGACAAGACGCGCTGAAAGTAAATTTGCCAAGGAAGGCCGCCCCATATCTGCACATTGCAAATGGAAGAAAACGAAAAATTAATCATATGTGATTATCAATAATGGAACACGAACGAAAGACTCCTTCTCAAGTTTTTACGGAGCAGAAATGTTCTTGGCCAGTACGTCTTTTCCCTGATCTCAATTGATCTCGTCAATTAACGTGATCTCAGTGCTTCAAAGAAAACATGAAATATTGTCCTCCTGATACTGCGTACGGTCAGAGATCGAGAAGCTTACCAGTAACAGCGCATAATCCAACCACACTCCGATCTGATCAGTAGGAATCTCTCCAAGCCATTTCCCAGAATCTTCAGATATGCTACTCACTGCTTTGTGTGTCATGGCGAAAGGAATACTGAGCCACTAGTAAGAGAAGCGGAAGGAGTTTCAACAGACAGCCTTCCTAATATTTTCACAGAAATCAAGACCTTTATCACAAGTAACAGAGACTACAGGTTTTTGGTGGAGGACCCTTCCAGCTATCTGTTTTCTGGATTACAGTGGGCAAACTAGCCTAAAACCTGATCATAGTGTGAGTGATGTGAATATCGAAAAAAGTGAAACTGCTGGCTGTACTTACCAATCCGATAAAGATGCAGAAGAGTTGAATCACATCAGTATAAACCACTGAGTAAAGTCCGCCAATCAGAGTGTAGAAAATTGCGATACACGAAGACACGATAACGGAGGTGAAGCGATCCAAGCCAATAACAACACTCACAGTGGCACCAAGAGCTGACAAGATGGCGCCAGACCAAAATATCTCTCCCAGCAGGGCGGGTATGTATAACAACACACCCATTATTGCACCATACTTCTCTTGAACAGGGTCAATCATGGTAACATACTTTCTTTCTCGCATGACTTTTGCAAACAGAAGTCCACCTATAAGATAAAAATAAGAAAATAGTCGCCATTTGTTCCGATTGCACTACAACTGAACAGGAAGGGTGGTGTTTACGGTGTCTTGGCAATGACCTTAGTTGAAGACAAGCTTGATCAGGTAAGATATCCAGCTCTTGGACCCGTTTTTCGGCTCCCCTAGTAGTGAAGATCCCAGAAAAATCTTTTCTGGTCGCCGTTTTAACATTTAAGATAGAAATATGAATAGTTTTAAAATTCGAACCATATTGGGAAACGAAATAGAATGAATTGGTTTTAAGCTACGAGTTGCACCTATCATCCCTAGATTTAGATCAATATTACTTCGGAGTCCTTAAATTTAAAAGATATTTTGAGATACAGACCCTAGATCCCCATGCCCATGAAAGCTGTAACAACCGATCGGAAACTAAGGAAAGCATTAATTTCTGGCGACATAAGCTTTAATGAATTTGGTCGGTGAAATTTGCGAAATGTTTCAATCACGTGGTAAAATCTCTGTTACTCACCAAGCCCCAGGCTGATAGCATAGCACCAAGGAGCCTGGGCCCAGACTAGTCCCAGGCTTTTATCATAGAGCACCTCGGCTGTACCATTGATGTATCCTCCGCCGACCCATGTTGCTATGGAAACAAGAAACTCGTAAGCTTTTGTAAAAACTTAAAGCAATTGAAATTCGGAAATACAACCTCAACAGATCGTTCTGCCGGGCACGTGACGGGAATCGAAGCTGTTATTTGTGAAACAGGAAAATAATAAGGTCAACCTTTGGTAAACGATCAACTGTGTCAAAGAGGTTGACTTAAATGAAGTGAAAAAACGTGATCACGAAATTAAAATTGACGACACAATTTATGTCTTAGGGCTTACAACTAAAACCACGCGAAATATATGAAACGTTTTTGAAGTTCATGTCTGGCCAACAGATGTTGGTGAGCTCAGTGTCTTTCATGACGAATATTCCACGACAAAGTATTAAAATAAGTTTTAGTCGATTGGAATTTAAGGTTTCGTAGCTCGATGTAGCAATTTACCGAGTTTCCTGCCTATGTAAAAGCGAGAGTTGAAGTAACCACAAAGGAATTAACACAGACCGGTCGTTTTTCTCGGTGAAGGTGGCGCTTGGAAATTTGACGATTGACCGCTTCATAAATGGTGACCGTTTTCAAAATCAAGTGCTGCTTAATCGGGGTTTGACTGTACAAACAAAGACATTGTCCTAAAATTAAACGGTAGTCTGGACTCTTGATAGTAGACTCATGACTGAAAGTAGTCATACTCAGGTATCCGCACAATATTACAAAGTCCATTCAACAACCTAGCTTTGTTTGAAATTGTAGAGGTATTGAGGCATTAAGTAGGATATGTATGACATGACACGATGGGCCTGTGAACGGACTTTGGATCCTGGCGCACACATCTGAAATCTGTCCTAAGAGAGGCATTGTCATAATACACTGAAAACTTGCACTTTATTTTTACTAAAACTATTTTTTTATGCTCGGTAAGAGATAAAACTTGATAAGACATTTTTCTCAAGTTTCCTCTGTTAGTTACTTAGGTTACAGTGGTTCAAAATTTCTGAATTAATAGAAGTGGTAAATGCTCTCATGGTATATGTATTTGGTGCGGGGTATTTGCGTATTAGGTAAGAGTATTTATCGTAAGAGTACTCTAAGAACATTCATCGATATGGGTTTCTTCAATCAGTTCTCTTTACGTTTCGCATGAACAAGAAGCAATGTTTTGACTTGATTCTTAGAAAAACAAAATAGGTGTACTGTGTTGATCAAAAGTAACAGTCTTTCTATATATTCCACGGCTCTGTAAACTTGCGAACAAAATTTATGTCCACACTTCTAATGGAGACGAATTACGTTTACTAGTAACGTTTTCTTTGAGAAACTATTTTAATTTTTTCAACACAGCAAAGAAGCTTAAGGCTATTAAGGAATACAACTGTGTATGGAATAGGTAAGTTATCTTTCTTTTTTAGAGAGAAAAGAACATTCTCTCATGACGATGCATCTTCTTACCAAACCTCATTTTTGTGTAAAATAGACTACAAACATGATTACGTGCCCACACAGGATGCGAAGGGAAAAGTTGGGGATCACCGTGATTTTTACTCTTCATACGGAAAAACATTGAAATCATTAAAGATTAGAATAAATTTAAACAAGGTATTTGCAACAACAAGTATTTTTACGTTAATGTTTGAGGCAGTTGAATAACGAATCAGATATGCTTCTCACAGGTGACTACTGCAATCTTATTGGCCTTACGCTGTGCGTTTTATTAACAAATTGCACAATTTTTTACCTGAATTACCTCATTTTACGTTTTCTCTTTTATTCCTTTTAATTTCGCTTCAGGATCAATTAAAAAAAATGATGATCAAAATCTTGTAACAACGCAATTAATTTAAGTGATGAAAAATTAAGTGTTACGAAGTAGCTATGAATTTTTGCTTTTAATTAAGTCACGCGTACGATTTCAAATCAATTCAGGTCTCTTTGGTCAATAACTTCGTGAAAGAGAATACGTTTCTACGCGTTTTTGTAATAAGCGTTCAGTTCTCACGGGATTTGTTTGAAGTTAATTCGAAAGTACATGGGGTAGTATCTTACATTTGGTGGCCGGAATTCAGTTATATTTGCGTGTTTAGAGCTTTGTCACATGATAATTAAATGAACCTGGTTTTCACGCAAGGCTTCAAAGAGACAGATAGAGCCTCTCTATGGGTACCCACGGTTTCGTTTTCTTCGCGACTTCTTTGCAAATATTCGTCTTTTTTTTATGAAGATCTTCGATTTTCGGATGTTGTTTCGCGGCAGCGACTGTAAACCACTGTTGACACCTTTGTCAAATCGCAGTGAAATGTGGTCAAATGTCAAAATTCAGAAATAACAGATATTTTCTGTAGTGTTTACCAGTTTTGACAGTTATATATCTAAGAGTTCAATTTGATCACGCAAATTTTGGTCAATTTTCAGATCTTCGCTTCAATCTTGAGATCTTCGTTTTTTCCGTGGTGATCTTCGCGTCTTCGATTTCTTCGGAAATACCCAAAGAGAGGCTCCACCTTCGCATTACAGAAGCATATGACCTACAACCTTCTGTTCGTGATAATATGTTTAAAAAGCAGGTCATGTCTTAGGTAATATTTTGTGAATGATAAGGTCGCGCTATGACCTTGAAGTGCCTCAAAAAAAAGCATTTCAAGTAGAAGACTTTAATAAGGTGAAACACCAGATCTCCTTTCTTTCTACAAAACAAAAAGAATAAACTTTGCTTGGCGAAAGTTTGTTCGTTTGTTACAATCGTCACATGTGACTACATCGTGAGACAAACGAAAAACTTAACTTTTAATCAATTGTAATTTGCCTTTTGTCACATTTAAATCTAATGCATCTTTGGGGAAATTTTGGGGTCCATTGCTTTCTTTAGCCATCATGTTGCACTAGAACGAAGATCTCCTTTTTTCAGAAAAGGATTTACCCGTTAGAACATGTGCCTGTAAGGATCGAATATACCGGTAGAATTCTATACTCTGGAATCATTAAACACTTTTTTTTTCCTCGCCTTTTTACCATGAAATAATAAGTTTCGACAGTAAGTTTTCTTTTAAGTTGTGGAAAATTGTTTGTTACCTATTCGACCCTCACCATAATCCATAACAACTTACAAAAGACTACAACATTTCAGTACCTGTCAAAGTGAGAGTCCCTATTACCAATCCTAGACTTCTCCCTGCCAACATTGCCTCTTCCTCATTGTCTCTTCGCCTGCCACGAACAGCCCACAAACCAATGCCAAGAATTACTAGATAAAAGAGCACGATTGCAATCGCGCCGGCAATATTAATTTCCGCCATTGGTGCTGAGACTCTGAGGTTGTTCAGTTACCATAAATACGGAAAAGAGAATTAACCTTTGTATAAATATTTGAGTATACGTTTTTCGTCATTGTTACGCAAACGGTAGTGCATATCTGTTTACACTGTTTACATGACAGAAAGCACAGCAGTTGCGCATTATGCCGTATTATGTATCATATACGGTTACCTTTTAAAATAACAACACATTCTCATTACAGAAGCATATGACCTACAATCTTCTGTTCGTGATAATATGTTTAAAAAGCAGGTTATGTCTTAGGTAATATTTTATGAATGATAAGGTCGCGCTTTGACCTTGAGGCACCTCTGACTCTACACTTATTTCTTCGTGAAAAAAAAAATCCAAAAAAAAAAGCATTTCAAGTAGAAGACTTTGATAAGGTGAAACACTAGACCTCCCTTCTCTCAACAAAACAAAAAGAATAAACTTTGCTTGGAGAAAGTTTGTTTGTTTGTTTGTTTGTTTGTTTGTTACAATCGTCGACAAATTATAATACAAACGTGAAGATTTTATTGAACAGACAAAACTATGGGAAATTTTGCTTAGGGTTGAGTTTTTCTCCAATATTGAAGTTTTCATCTTCTTTTCAAGAGGCGTGCAAAGCTTGCGCCAGCGGTATGTTGCGCGTTTCTTCTATCGTGCATGGCGCAAAGAAAGGAAGTACATTTGTTCACGATCAGACGAGCAAACAAACGGGGAAAGAAAATATATTAATGATAAGTTTGAATACATCCGGTAAAAACGTTGGCTGTAAGAAGGCTTATACTGAAGAAGTACAATTATTTCTGTTTAAAAACACATGCGATCTAGAGAGCACCGCTTGATAGACATGTGTTAAAGCTGTTCTGATGACAGCTTCTTCACGAAAGTTGCTCAAACTGGTTTCCTGTTTTTGCTTGTCATTTAGTTAAACCTTGTCTAACCAAACATGGGGTTTTTGGTAGACAAAGGTTTTTGAAACTGGGGGCATTTGCAAAAATTCCCTTTGAAAATTGTAAACTGCCAAATTCAGTCAAAAGTCCCACGTGTCCCCCAAAGTGTTTTAAAGCGTTATGACTGATGGATATGGCGCTATCGAAATCCCTCATTTTTGTCGTTATTAGTATTACACGAGATTGAGAACCATCACTTCTTCTCACTATTTTTTATTACAAGGCAAACCGACCACCGTACATGAAGGTTCAAGTAAAGCAGTGAGTCCACGCTACACATTCCTCACTGTGTTATTTGGTGTACAGCATGAAATAAACGTTCTCTATGTTCCGTTTTACATGTTCCAGTCAACAAACCCATAATGTCTAATATAATATTTACCATCGTTATAAAGTATGTTTAAAAAAATGTCGAGAGTTCCAGGTCATTCCTTTGAAATTGAACCTGTACACATGAACTCATAATTTTCATCAAACGTCACATAATGATTTTTTTTCCTTTGTTTCTTTTCGTAAGAGCACACGTGATGACCCTATCTTGTTTAGGAGCATCAGGATTTTGCCTGTTCATTATAATTCCTTGACATGAAATGATCACGATTATAAACATTACTCCCGCTGAAATCACGTTTGCCAAAGACCTTTGTTCCCTGCTTATTCCGCACTCGAAATCAACCCCTCTACATCTGTCTTGAGTCGATGGTTAATTTTTGTTTGATAGTTCAAAATTCTAAAAACCTGACAGGTCACTACTCTTGTTTAAGCCCAGAAAATGGCGATTGGCGTTTCTAGAGAGCTGTAGCCAAAAGGAAAAAGTTGCCATGTTTGTGTGTGCACGTGCTAATCACTCACAAAATGATACTCACTACGGATATGAAAGTCAAAATGAAGGAACGACCTACATTCTACGAAACAAAATTTTAGCGAAGACAAACCATGTTTTACCCATGTATACGTGTAACAGGACAAATTACATCACCCATATCAGTCGGCATCTGTAACCCCCGTTAGGAATCTCCCCATGAAAGAGAATCACATTTTTGATTCCTCCATGTATTTTTCTTTCTCCTCCTGGATCTCATGTTTCATGAAGGCGTGCAGGAAATCATACTTCAACGGGATAATCTCCCGTTCAAACAAATACTTTGCTAAGAACGACACCGACACGATCGTAGAAAAAGAAACAATCATGGACAGAGTACGGAACGGAAACAGCTGGCCCTTTACCTCGTCATAAAATGGGTATTTAATGAAGGGGTGAAAACCAATTTTATCTTCCCCTCCCCCCACGCGCAGAAAAAGCCCAAATATATAGCCTGCAATGGAGCCGTAAGTATTGGAGGCTTTGAAATAGATAACACAACACAACTGTGGGAACAGTGTCACAAACACAAGATCACTGCACAGATGGAATAACACGTAGATGGAATCAACAGCCAGAGACATGGCTGTAGCGGCCGCGCCAACTCCAAATATGGCAAAACGCATCACCCACACAACTTCTTTCTCGGAGGCCTGAAAAAAGGGAAATATCGAAAGAAAGATGTTTCATGTTTGCTCGCGCCGTTATTTTTTCTATACATGGGGACATTCCTGAAGAGAGGAACTTTAAATTAGCTTCTTCAAAAAGAACATAAATGCAAGGCCAAAATATTTTCAAATGCGGGGTACTTGCAATATCGTCTTTTTCATATTTCCTAAGTCACAGTATAAACATGGACAGCATCCGTCTGCGTTACAGTTAGGACCGAGCTCAACTCTCCAACCCAGTGACAAGTAGTTCATACTATATATCCCGCATCTAAGCCGGCGAGGATTCCGCGAGTTTTTGGAAATCTGGTTTGAGAACCGTGCCTTGTTACGCAATGCTTACCTTCTGTCTAAAGATGAGTTTGTAAATGTTATGGGCAAACATGGAGCTGGCTGAGAGCATACTGGAATCAGTGGACGACATGACGGCAGCAGACACAGCACCCAGACCAATGAATGACACAGCTGTTGGTGTGAGGTACTGAAGCACCATGGGAAGGATCAGAGTTTTATCGACATATACCGAGGCTGTTTGGTTGGTAATGTTCCCCTCAGACGGTTTGTAGAACGAAGTCTGGGTCCAGTCTGCAGAGAAAAATATCGCAGTTATTTTGAATGTACCATCCCTCCTTGTTATCAGACTAACACCTTTTCTGTCAGCCTCAGTGGCTTTTTACCTGTGAAAAAAAGCATATTTCATAGTTCATGTTTAATGAAAAATTTGAAAATACTTTTTTCTCATTTTCTTTCTGTAAGATATAGTTTGTTAGCTGTCTCATATTACAAAAAACAACAACAACAATAACAACTGTTATATAGAAGAGCCTCTCCTTGATTCCCCTTCGGCTACGATGAACCGAATTGAGATCTGATTACTTAACAGTAAGAGTAAAATATACATCATCAGATCACCTGTTGAAGCACCGATGGCCCCAATGAGTACTGCAGGAACAGCCATGATCATACATCCCAGAGAAGCGTTTAGAGACAATATACGAGCCTTTACGGGTGTCTTGCACGACAACACACGCTGAAAGTAGACTTGCCATGGAAGGCCACCGCAAATCTGGACACAAAAAATTCAGCATCAAAATGAAATATACGAAACCATGTCCAAGCATAGTTTGTTTCGCTGCTTCAATCATAATCTACCATCGAGCACTTAAAGGTAATTTCCCCCAGAACCTCTAAACAAATACCTAACGTTAGTTCGCTACGGTGGCTACAGTGTAAGGTAGGAAAAGGAGAAGTTTACCAGCAACATAGCATAGTCCAGCCACACTCCAATCTTTGCAGTAGGTATCTCACCAACCCATTTGCCGGAATCTTCTGCAATGCTGCTTACTGCTTTATGAGTCATGGCGAATGGAACACTAAGCCACTAGTGAGTGAAGAGGACGGAGTGAGACTGGGGCCAGAGCAAACACTGTATCAACACACAAATGACAAACTTCTGACGCAAAAATATGTTTTTGTTTTTAAATCAGAAACACAGTTTAATTTGTTAACAACGCACCATCAGTCAAATAGCCTAAAGCTTGGGCCAGTTACAGTAAAATTGAGACCATAGACATCCTTCGGTACAATCCCAGGTTTTGATTGACAGTTCATAAGAAAATACTTGGAACAAGGCATATTATAATAAAAACACCCAGTTGGGATGTGGTACACATGTCGCAGAACAGTCGACTGCTGACCACACTCACCAATCCAACAAAGATGCAGATGAGTTGTATAACGTCAGTGTAAGCCACAGAGTACAATCCACCCATCAACGTGTAGAAAATAGCAATACACGCAGAAACAACGACAGAAGTGATGCGATCCAAGCCGATAACGACACTGACAGTGGCACCAAGAGCTGACAAGATGGCACCAGACCAAAATAACTCGCCCAACAGTGCGGGGATATATAGCAATCCACCCATACGCGGACCGTACCTTTCTTGGAAAGGGTCAATCATGGTAATGTATTCTCTTTGGCGCATGATCTTGGCAAAAAGAAGCCCACCTGCCCGTAAAAAATATCGTCAAATTTGTGTAGGTAACCGCGAGGGGGTTGATAAAAATTAGGGTTTATATCACCTGTGTTTTCGAAAGAGACAGAAATTGCAGAAATACTATATGTTTAACACTCGAAAAAGGGATTTATTATTCCACTGTTATATCACCCTTAAGTATTTTTTATTTTAGCTCGCGGAGTACATCTTACGACCTTATCTGAGCATCATATCGATCACATAAGGAGTAAGCGAAAGACAAAACCTTTAAGGCTTGAGGAGTTATGCCACTGACAAAACCATTAAAGCTCTCTTTGTGACCAACAAAAAAAGCTATCGCGCTTTAAAGTTCGTTACTTTAAAAGTCAAGCCTAAAAAAAACCAAAAAAAAATCACCGTACGAAATTCGCATTAATAGCTTATCCTCGGAGGGAGGAAAACCTACTAAATGGATAAATACCTCTGGAATAAGGACGAACACCAACAGAAAACTCAAACCACAAGTGATGCAAGGCTCTGAATTCTAACTCAGGCCACAACGGTGAAAAAAAAGCCTTGATAAGGTGTATGCCACATTCAGTCTTATCATTGTTTATGTTGCTTTCTCGTTATTAGTTTGAAAACCATTCGCAATGCGACAAACAGTATTGTGGACACTCGGAAAACGTACTAACTTTCAGAAGAAAAACCTTAAGTATTGGTCTTCGCACTCACCCAACCCCAGGCTAAGTGCATAACCCCAGGGAGCCTGGGCCCAGGCGAGACCTTGGTCTTTATCAAAGAGTACCTCCGCTGTACCATTGATGTATCCTCCGCCAACCCATGTCGCTGTAGAAACAAAGTAACGGGTTTGCAAAATTAACAAGCAGAGGACGGATGTTACTAAAAGTGGAAATGGAGATGGGAAATGGAAATTGGGAATAGGAAATGGAGAATGGGAAGTGGAAAACGAGAAATGTGGAGTAGGAAATGGGGTCTCTATTCCCTATTCCCTATTCCCTATTCCCTATTCCCTATTCCCTATTCCCTATTCCCTATTCCCTATTCCCTATTCCCTATTCCCTATTCCCTATTCCCTATTCCCTATTCCCTATTCCCTATTCCCTATTCCCTATTCCCTATTCCCTATTCCCTATTCCCTATTCCCTATTCCCTATTCCCTATTCCCTATTCCCTATTCCCTATTCCCTATTCCCTATTCCCTATTCCCTATTCCCTATACCTCACTCTCCATTCCCCGTTCTTCATTCCCTCTTTTGGTAACATCCAGCAGAGGACTTTAAGACTTTATCTAGTTGAATTAGTAGCTTTGTTATCTATTTCCCCAAATTACCCTTAACTCCCTAATACACGTAAATGATTCTTTGTTTCGTTCTCAACTGTGTTTTATCATCAGATGTCAATGAAATTAGTTTTTTTCCAGAAAATCTATCTTGAATTTAACGGTATAAAAAGTACAAAACTTTATTATCACCTTTGGCAACTGATTTCAGAGAGGAATATAATAGCCCTTTCCGCTATACATGAAATTAATTTTTATAAAGTTTATGAATGATACCGGCTCGTGGATCAAATTTGGCTAAATGCACAAATCTATTGCAAGAGTTATCCCCGTCCACTGTGAGTGAAAAAAAATTGCATTTGTGGTGGGAAATTAGGAATTCCTACTGATTACCTGTTAAAGTGAAGGTACCCACAACCATCCCAATACTTCGTCCTGCCAACATAGTCTCTTCCTCGTTGTCCTTTCACCGGCGAGCGGCCCACAAACCAATGGCAAGAATGAGCAGATAAAACAAAACAATCGCCACGACACCGACAACGTTTATGTCTGCCATTTCTGGAAAGTATGATACTTCTTAAGAAGAAATAATGAAATGTACTTTCTTAGAAATTAAAATTCGATAACTCTTCTGACGAATTCTGCTGAGAATCTTTTCGCAGGTTTGTTTTTATGAATTTGCCCTTTGGCTGCGCTCTATTCAGAGTTAAGTGTCACATGGTTATCACATATGAAAATACTTCCTTCCTGTTAATTAAAGAGAGATTTATTCAATTAATCGCTCTCACCATGATCACAGTGCTTATGTCGCGACCTGGCGACGACTCTAATTCAGTGAAACAGCCACTTTCCACAAATAATATCAGAACTTACTGTGGTTAGGGAAAGTCTGTTTGTTAGAAAACTTAACAAATTGCAATACAAAATTAAATGTATGTGGACTGAATAGACAATATGGGAATTATATGCAGCATACTCTATAAAAAGTTTGTGCTAACATGTCTGTTGTTAGACGTGCGAAACAACAGTGATTTCTTTGCTAGAGTGTGATTTAAATCCATTGACGATAAACGGCCGCTGTTAACCGCAAGTTCTTTTTCTGACCGTCGAAACTAACTTTGGAGATTAGAGGAGCCTTCTCTGAAGAGAAGAGTTAAGACGACTGACTTAAATTCGACCCAGACAGTACTAAATCCGCTTAACCATATCTAAAGGTTTTATCTTCGTGGGAGTAGATAGATTGCCCATAATCATTTCTCCAACCACGTATAGGACTAGCACTGGTTGCCCAAGGATTTTCAGGTATCCCCTACAAATTGCATGAAAAACATCGGCTGGAGAAGGTTCGTGCAGATCCAAATAACTTGTTTCAAAGCCGAATTAAACTTAAGTATCACTTTCAGTTTGCTGTAAATTCAATTTTTCGCGTTACTCTACTTATAAAAGAGAATAATCATTTGATGAAGGTATTAATTTATATTATCCAGTAATGGTTTTCAACATCAAAAACCACTCGTATCATTAATCAAGTTAAAACTGAAATGAAAAACTAATGGATAACAGTTGTGAGAAACAGCCAAAATTGAGGGCAAAGTAAAATTTGTAACACAAAAAACAACGAATTTAACTGAAGTCAGGAATTTTACACGATTTCTTGCACTTAAACCTAAATGAAAGCTACAGTATGATTACTTTTAGAAGTCTGATCAATGTTCACATGGCATGATAAGTGCCGCTGGATACATTTAACTGGATAAAGTACACGAAGCTTTCGCGCTACACTAGATAAAGAAATAGCAGTTAATACCATGCACACAGGTGTTGATATGAGGTTGTAGAAACAGATCACGGCAAACACATAACTTATTTTTATCTCATTCAAACCAGTCAGTTTTCACCACGAATTCTCTTTTTTCTAACTGGCGTACAACCTGCAAAATACATTATAAATACTGTGACCTGTTCTGCCCGACTTAACAATTAAATCATGAACGCGAGATTTCTAATTCTATTTGTCGTTAATGGGGGTGAAGCATGTTATTTGCGTGTTGTATATATACCGTTGTTAGCAAGTCTGCCGTGGTTTTTCCAAAGTGAAAATAAAAATCCAAATTTTGGGTTCGGCTGATGTATAACACTGTGAGTCAACAAGGCTTGTGCTTTGATCGTTGTCCAGTTATTTAAGCGATGATCTTATTGGTAACAAATGTAACGTTTAACCCTACACTTTATCTCTCTAATTTGTCGTTAATCTCAAGTCTTAAGAAAAAGGTCACTCCTTGAAATAGAACTTGCATTGAATTTTTTTGGTCAAGCGTCACCTGATAATTATCTTTGTTTATAGGGGCACAGGGAGGGGGGTCGCAGAGTTATTTAATCCTATAACTCCCGGATCAAATTTGGAATTCTCTTTACCGTCAGCCATACAATTCTCATAATGTTAGTTCAGAGAGTTTAGTATTGGATCACCTTATTGTCCCCAGATTGATATTATCTTTATTCTCATTACTTGTGTGGTTGATATTGTATTGATATTGTAAGGAGAAATTCTTTCCTGGTCACTAATGGGAGTTAAAGAGTTGAGGAGCAATAAAATGATCATAATTACAAACAAAAGAACAAACTTCAAAGTTTAAGTTTCCTATGGACAGCTGTTCCTTCTACACTGGAAATCGGTATATACTTATCTAATGCGGGAACAAAAGAATAACTTAATTTAAAATGCGAAATTCAAATGGCAAGTCAGTAAACTTGTTTTAGCTGAGAATATGAGTCTTTAGATAGCTCTGATTAGAAGGAATAGCTGCTATCTTTGTTTGTTCACGTGCTTATCACTGGAAGTGAGGACGTTAAAGGCAAGACGTAGGAATGATCTTGAGACAACAATTTTATTCTTTTCTATTAAACTCTACATAATTATATTCTAGCAGGGTCAGACAATCTATACGTGAAGTGGATACATGTTTCGATATGTAAACTTGTTTAAGTAACCTCTCACTGAAATTGCTACTGTTCCTACTGGTAGACATTTCACACGCGATGTCTTTTATCTTGACGTCTAGTTATCCTACATGCATCGTTGCTAGAACTAGGACTGCGAACGGAAGAATCAACACGACTGCACAGTAAAATCTCTCTCAAATTTTGTTGTCTTGGTAATCTTTCATTATAAACTTTTCCTCTGCTGGTTTCGTTTGCTCTTTCTCCTCCTCGCTTTTCCTGAAGGCGTTCAGGAAATCATACTTCAACGGGATAATCTCCCGTTCAAACAAATACTTTGCTAAGAACGACACCGACACGATCGTAGAAAAAGAAACAATCATGGACAGAGTACGGAACGGAAACAGCTGGCCCTTTACCTCGTCATAAAATGGGTATTTAATGAAGGGGTGAAAACCAATTTTATCTTCCCCTCCCCCCACGCGCAGAAAAAGCCCAAATATATAGCCTGCAATGGAGCCGTAAGTATTGGAGGCTTTGAAATAGATAACACAACACAACTGTGGGAACAGTATCACAAACACGAGATCACTGCACAGATGGAATAACACGTAGATGGAACCAACAGACAGTGCCATGGCTGTAGCGGCCGCGCCAACTCCAAATATGGCAAAACGCATCACCCACACAACTTCTTTCTCGGAGGCCTGAAAAATAGAAATATTGAATGAAAGATGTTTCATGTTTACTCATTCTTTAATTGTTATTATTCAGGGGACTTTCTTGGAGAGAGCAACTTGAAATAAGCCCTTTAAAAAATAAGTGGAAGTAAGTGATGCTGAAATTTCCAATTTTTTTGAAAGAGGGTTCCTTGTGGCATCGTCTTTTTATATTTCCCCATGGGTGTCCACTCATAGAGGCAAAGTACGGACAGCATCTTTCTGTGTTACATTGAGAACCGAGTTAGCTATATGATACAATACACAATATCAGGAGCCCATTACTGGGCCTCTGACAGTATGTACAATATATCTCACCGCTAATGCGAGGGCCTCGTCGAGTTTCTGGAAACCTAGTTTGAGAACCCATGCTAGATACACAATACTTTACCTTCTGTCTAAAGATAAGTTTGTAAATGTTATGGGCAAACATAGAGCTGGCTGAGAGCATACTGGAATCAGTGGACGACATGACGGCAGCAGACACAGCACCCAGACCAATGAATGACACAGCTGTTGGTGTGAGGTACTGAAGCACCATGGGAAGGATCAGAGTTTTATCGACATATACCGAGGCTGTTTGGTTTGTAATGTTACCCTCAGGTGGTTTGTAGAACGAAGTTTGGGTCCAATCTAAGGGGAAAAAAAATCATACTTGTAATCTTGTTATCATGATGGATAAAATTACTAATGAAAGGACCCATCTGATTCAATTTCGTCTCTTTGAAAATCTATGGTGAGGTGGTCTAAGGGACTGCTTGACTGCAGGACTATAAATGGTGCCGTCAAAGAAGTGCCGCGAAAATCTTTAAGAAACAGTTGAGCAATGCGAACACGTGTCTGCTAAGGTCATATGGTAAGGGAATTATATTTCGCTATAGTTCTGCCAAGACTACCAGGAATATCTACGTGATACAAACATTTCAATATCACTTCGACATCGCGATTTTTGTCCTTCAGAAAGGACTTGTTGTCGATGGTGTAAAGGAACTTCTACGTGGTGTAAATATTTCAATATCACTCCTCCATAGTTGTTTCCAACAAATGGAGCGTTTGTCACCTAAGTGAAAATCTCCCACAACACAAGGTTGTTGCCGCTTTACTGATACCAGTTCCAGCACTGTGGGCCGATCGCTTATTTTACCAATACAATTTCTATCTTTCCTTGCATGATGATCACTGCATATTATTTAAGGAGTTGGGAATCAGAGATTGAATTGAACTTTTATCCTTCGCCAGCAGGAGTAACTGAATTGAAGGCTGATCCCTCACCAGAAAGACTATCATGTGTGTTATTTGGTTACCTGTTGAAGCACCGATGGCTCCAATGAGTATTGCAGGAACAGCCATGAACATGCATCCAAAGGAAGCGTTCAGAGACAATATACGAGCCTTTCCTGGTGTCTTGCACGACAACACACGCTGAAAGTACACTTGCCATGGAAGGCCACCGCAAATCTGGACAGGAAAAACGAAGCATCAAAATGAGATCTATGAACAACCAAAACGCCAGAGGGCGTGCAAACTGGAAGAGTGAGAAAACGGGCGTCGTTTTTTTTGCTGCCATCATCACGGACTTAGGTCAAACATTTGGCGATGGTGAAAGATTAGAAATGAAGCTTACCAGCAGCATAGCATAGTCCAGCCACACTCCAATCTTTGCAGTTGGTATCTCTCCAACCCATTTGCCGGAATCTTCGGTGATGCTGCTCACTGCTTTATGAGTCATGGCGAATGGAATACTGAGCCACTAGTGAGTGAGGTGGAAAGATTAAAAGTAAAGAATTGAAAAATGTCTGCAGAACGAACAGAGAAAAACAGTATGATGCAAAAATACATTTCTGAATAAATCAGAGTCAATTTAATTTTCTAGTCATGAAGTATCCTAAATCCTAAATCTTCTTCAGTACGTGTTTTCGTGTGTTTTTAAGAAAAGACTGGGTCTAGAGTCATTCTTCGGCAAAAAGCTCTCGGTTGCAATGACGTTCATGTCACAATAAAGTAGACTGCTGACCACACTCACCAGTCCAACAAAGATGCAGATGAGCTGAATAACATCAGTGTAAGCTACAGAGTACAATCCACCCATCAACGTGTAGAAAATAGCAATACACGCGGAAACAACGACAGAAGTGAAGCGATCCAAGTTGATAACGACACTCACAGTGGCACCAAGAGCTGACAAGATGGCGCCAGACCAAAATACTTCGCCCAAAAGTGCGGGGATGTATAACAATCCACCCATACGTGGACCGTACCTTTCTTGGAAAGGGTCAATCATGGTAATGTACTCTCTTTGGCGCATGATCTTGGCAAAAAGAAGTCCACCTGACGGTAAAAAAATCATAATCAATTTCAGTGCCTTTAGATTCTTTCATTCATCCAAGACAACCCTGTGGTTTTTAATCATATTGTAGACATGAAATTGGCTGCCATGTTAAGTTATATTAACATCTAGTATTTTAAGTTTTAAGCTTGGCGTGGGGAACATCATAATGAATTCCAATTGAACTGGTCGAATCATAGACAATAAATATTTACATAGTTTACAATTCTTCGGCTAAAAAAAATGAAATTCTTTTCTTGTATTTCCCTTGTTATTTCTAACTATGCACATTTAGTTAGTTGGTCTGCCTCTGTGCGGGGTCTTCAACATTACTACGGACCATGCCTATAACTCTTATTGCGTTTCTCTTTTTTTGTGAGTTATCTTATTTTATTGATCGACATCACATACTAGTTTTTATAAATGTCAGGTATTGAGATGGCTAACCTAGACTTGAATAATCGAATAGCTTAATATGGGAATAGCTTGGAGTGAGCTATGGCATATTCGAAAAAATGGATTGTCATCAACTGAATTAAAATTGAATTTGAACTGTTTTTTTTTCAGTTTCACCCGAGCTTACATTCAACGGTGATTGTGTCATAGGCGAGTGAGAACAGTTGAAACAAGTTTATTCTGTCGGGCCCAGCTCACTCACGCCCTACTTAAAGTCGTCGAAATAGAAAAGAAGGAAAACTGTCTTTTTTTCCTTTTTTTTTTTCATAGCCGTCCTAAACGTCCCGAAGAAGTGCATGTTTGATTCCAATCAGTCAATTGCCAAACCATTAGCAATTCCAAGGACAGTATTTTTAGTACCTTATCTCCGTAATTGTTTTCTTACTCACCTAACCCCAGGCTAAGAGCATAGCCCCAAGGGGCCTGGGCCCAGACGAGACCTTGGTCTTTATCATAGAGTACCTCCGCTGTACCATTGATGTATCCTCCGCCGACCCATGTTGCTATGGAAACAAACAACGTAACAGGCTTGCAAAATTGACATGCAGAGAACTTTGAAACTTGCTTTAGTTGAATTAGAAGGGAGGTTAACCGAGTCATAAAAAAAGATATGGGAGCTTTGTTATCTAGTTCCCTGAAACGATTCTCTGTGTTGTCCTCTGTTGTCATGCATTATCATATGTCAGTGAAATTAATTTTTTCCCGAAAATCCCTCTTGTATTTAACCGAATAAAAAATACAAAACTTCACGATAGTCATTGGCAACTAATTTGAGAGAGGAATATAACAGCCCTTTCCGCTCTGGAAAAAGAAGTCTGCCGTAATATATAAAATTCATTTCATAAAAGTTAAGGATGATACCGGCTCGTGGATCACTCGCTGATGATCATAAAAGCCCTTTTCAATAGATAAAATTATTTCATAGAGTTTATAAATGGTACCGAAAATGAGAGTTTTGAATTATAAAGCCGAATTCCCTTGAGTACCTCGAAACACGTAGAAAGGTTCTCTGTTCTCAACCCTCTATGTGAAGTTGGAAGCAACGTTTCTTTAGAGAAACTCCCTGGAACGTGTACAATACGCCAATGCAAGATAACAATGGACACTGAAATATACTTATTGAGGAGAATATAGATCCTTCCGTAATTAATTACTTTCTAATCATATGAAATAAGTGCAGCAGTTAAATTTGTGATGAAGAAATCAAGACTTTTGATTACCTGTTAAAGTGAAGGTACCCACGACCATCCCAATACTTCGTCCTGCTAACATAGTCTCTTCCTCGTTGTCCTTTCGCCGGCGAGCAGCCCACAAACCAATGGCGAGAATGAGCAGATAAAACAAAACAATCGCCACGACACCGGCAACGTTGATGTCAGCCATGTTTGGATGGGGTCGCTTCTTTGTTGGTCCGCTTTCGAGAGAAAATTAGACAAATGTACTTTTATGAGAATTCATATTTACTTATAGACTGAGCAGAGCAGGGGGGCCTGACGGGAAAAATTTGGCTCGAGGCCATCACGTACAGACCGAGCATAGCGTGCTCCGTCTTTCAGAGAGTCAAATATTTTCCTGTCCGAACTGAGCTAGCGCTTTCAATAAACATTTTATGACTGAATTTAGCTCGTAAGTTACGAGGCAGCATATCCTTTTCTGGCCTGTTCACGCCATCGCGTGGATTTTTTTTAATACTAAAAGAAAGGAAGAAAAAAAAAAGAGCTCACGGGGCCATACAGTTTATATCATAAAAAAAACTATTAAAGAGGAAAATACTATGGCATGAGTTGACAATACATAACATTCTATACAAGCTTTTCGCCGGCTAAAGTAAATGGGCTGTAGATGGCACGCCATATTCCATTCCTTCTAGGTAACAATTGGTTCTTGCTGCAGCGTGTTTCTCGAGATATTAATCCGTAAGGAAGTTTGAGGACAACGAAAGATGCTTAAAAGTTGCTCTCGGCTACACCTCGAGCAACTATAGCTTTTTGAATGTTCTTTTATCATGAATCAAACTTTTTGAGAAACACTGTCTCCTGTATATCTATTATAAATTGTCTTTTTCAAACGAAAGCTCTAGTAAAACAAAATTGGTTAAATAACTTAATAACGAAAAAAAAAAAGAATAGCTTGTTTTACTCATAAATCAAGATTCAAGATAAAAATATACATGTTACACATGCAAGAGTTATCTATTTGGGGGCGGAACATTTTGTGCAACTGATGTTTTCATATTGGTAAAAGAAGAAAGGTACTTTAAGTACACTCCACCAGATATATCACATTATTTTACCCTAATAGAGATAAAAAGAATCAAATTTATCTAAAATAACTTTAAAACAGGAATTTTGGGTCTATTGTCTCTGTTGTTTGCATGATTTTGAGAAAAATAAAAGTCCATCGGTGCCACGCTTACCTCCGTGTCTCCGTTAAAAAAGAAAATCAAAATTATGGAGACAATTATTAAAAAATCATGCTATAAAATTTAGTTGTGGAAAACACACCGAAACCACATTTGATCTCCAATATACCCAAGAAAAAGATATTTTGCCGTCTTTGTTATTGAAATAACTGCAGATACATGGAACGAACGGGAAAGGATTAATTCTTAAAGCCTTTCGCGTTGCCATAACACCGTGGGTTTCTTGATTGGCTGTTGCCTATCTTAAATCTTCCTCTTGCGTGTAGAATACGTATGTGAGGGTTGTATGTAAAATTCATGTTCACAATAATGTTCACGAGACATAAATTGCCGTTCAAATGTTGTGCAGCTTTTGATTTTTTTCTGACAGTCACCCTTTTAAGACCCGCTTTCTATTGCACCGTTCCCCGTTTCCCGTCCCTTGATCTTTGTTTCCTGTTCCTGGTTTCAGAAAAAGTCCTTAAAAAGCTAGAGTTGCTCTTAGTTACGCCTCAGGAAACTCTTTCGCACTTCTCTTTCTCTCTAACCTTCCCATGTGCTTCATATTTTGATGAGGCACGCCTACGTATGAATCATTGTTAACTAAAAGGAATGGAATAGTGCCATCTGTAAAAAAATCATTTTTTGAAAAACTAGTATAGAATGTAACGTAATGTTAACTCATCCAATAGTATTTTCTCATTAAAGACGGTAAATGAATTTTCAAGCTTAAACATATTCTTATGTCAGTATCTAACTGCATATGTAACCCAGTTATATTTGATTCCAATCAGCTTATTTAGGCTAAGTGCTTAGTTTATCCAGTGGTGACAGGAAAAATAGGGTACCTGTTCTTTTATTTTGGTCCTGATAATCATTTTCTCATCTACAACTTTCAATGTACTCTGTATAAGGATTAGTTGTGATATCTTTTCAAGATTACAGTCAAATATGAGGTTGGTTTTAAGTGTGATATGTTTGTGAGTTGATATTAAAAATCTGGGTCGCTATTCAGTTTTCTTTGCCAAATAATTTTTTGAAAAGGTTGTTCGCGGTTTTCCAGACTGAGCTTAAAGAACCGCAAAGTGAAATTAGTCTTTTAACCTTTGCTTCGAATTTGGTAATAGTTGTATCCAGCTATGCGAAGTCATAAACATGATGCAAATCCCAATGCGTATTGGAAATTTCATAAAAAACCTTGACCTTTAACGTTAGTAGTCTAAAGTAGCTCCAAGTTATATAAATACCATTAAGGATCACACCGGCCGTTTTTCAAATTTGTCAGATGAAGTGATCAGCTGATGAGGTTCTGGCAATTTTTAAGGAATGATTAGCTCTAAAACTGCTGGGTTCCGACAGGGAAAATCTAAGGCCGTGGGAAAGTGAACCAGCGGGTAACCTTACGAAGGGAAAAGATGGATCAAGTCAAAATAGTTGGCGAACCATGAAGACAGGACATTTGGCTTGGAGTGAATCATTTTGTTTCGAGTTCATTCGTTGCAACACTCAGAGTAGATACACGCCGAAAAACATTTGAAAGAGTGAGAGGAATTCGTGTTTTTCTCTTCTTACTCCAAAGTGAAACTTGAGTAAGGATTAAAGAGAACTGAGACGACTCGATTAATTAAATAACATTCTGTGTTATAATAGTGTTATCATAGATTACATTAGTATACCATGCACATAGCACCTAAGGTCAGCGCACAAAGGACATTTATACTAATTTGTATTAGTTTTTGAGTTGTTAGATTGTTGTTTTGTTGCTCTTTTTGTATTTGTGCCCCCATTTACTACATTTGTCTTTGCATTACGCATAATGCCATTGTACACCATCGCATTGCCGTAAAGGAAATGGATGAAGAGCTACAAACTTATGTAGTCTATACAAAAAAAAAACTTCCCCTGTATTTGCCCATTATCAATAGAAGTATTCTATTTCAAATCACTCGCATTCATACTCATTCAAAGGTATGGGAATAATGATTGAGGAACTCAGGGGAGAGGGATACAGCAGTACAGCCTAAACGATGAGGGTGGAGACAGGGTCATTCTCTCCTCCGCGCTGCGCCGTAAAAAGTAGATAAGAATGAATTGAACAAATGTAATGTTCACCTAGCTGATGAAACTGTATTGTTGTTGCGTTTTTCAACTTTGCATATCATTATGAGCGCTGTGACTAGAAACAATGCTACAAATGTATTTTTTGTCCCATGTATTGCATAAGCAAAAATCTCTGCAATCCTGAACACTAATTTGCTTACTCATCTGTTATCCGATTAGCGCCAGACAAAATCGATTAAAATGGAGGATAGCTTCGTGCAGGTTGCTTGATCCGAGCTTAGTAAGTCAGATTTGATCAGGAAGAACTATTGTAGAAAGTTTTGCTAATAAATCTCAGAACGCAACTCGGTGACGGCTGAGACTGGCACAATGCCAGTACTATTTAAACTCACTTAAATAAGCAAACAAACAGATCAGGACTTTGACCTGAACTTTAAATCCGTGATTACCTCGTTAAAACTGATCACTTTTGTCCGAAAATGCGTCAAAGAGTTAAGGCGATAGAAACTACCAGTTTCAGAGATGCAAGCTTTTCTGAAAAAAAACAAAAAAAACAAAGTTACGCGCGGAATTTAATCAGTTCGAAGGAACTTGTTTGATTTTACAACATTTAATTCCAGACAACTAAACTTTGTTCTTAGAATTGTAGTTTTGAATTTTTAAAGAAATAAATTCGGCAGTTTCTATGAGGAAACTTAACCTGAAGGAGTCAGCCATCACTAGCACTAAACAGAAAATAAACCATCTTATAAAAATATCAACTACTGACAGCGAGACTCGCAAAACAAGCGGGGACAACGTTATGTGATCTTGTTCATCTTCATTTGCACGAGTTGTACAACCGTGACTGAACGTATTAATTGCACCAACTATCTGGATAAGTCTTAGAATGACCCCATTTACTTACTTCTCGAAAACATTTTAGATTCTTTTTCATGAACAGATTTGTAAACGTTGAGTGCGAGCATAAAATTCTCGATTAGTGCAATCACCGGTATACCCGAATTCAGAAGTCACGACAGCAACACCGAGGAAGACGTCGATCAAAAAATGAATTCTTATTTTCAGTTAGAATTTTACGAATGGCTGGACGTGTTTACCATCTTTTTCGTTGCCATACCTGAACTTCAGCTTAATAAATGTAAGCAACGTTGTGTTCAAAAATAATTTTCCGTCGGGTTTCCGGCGTCCTTAATCCACGCAAATTTTGATGACTTAGCGTTTCTGTGTTGTAGAGGACGTCTATGAAATCTACAAAGTTTTAAAATGCACGGGGTAAGCTATCGTTCTGCTCAAAAGATCATTTCTTTTTTTGACACGTCCTCGTTGCTGTCGCTATCGTGGTTTGCTTAAGGTTCCTAATAAGTGGGCCGGATGGGCAAATTTTGTAAAACTGTCCCCTTATTATCTTGCTTTTTCCGAGTTAGAAGGCATTCTAGTGTTACTTAAATGAAAACTTAGGTGGTATGGTCTATGATACGGACTCAGAACTGAGGCACAGCTCACCTGTGGTAAAGCGTCGTTGTTGTTGTTGCAGCTGCCGTTGGAGCAAAGTTCTGAAGTCAGTAACCAAAGAATGTATAAAGCCAAACGTCTGATTGATGAAATAGAAAACGTTTATCTTGTCAAACTTATGTTTAGAGGTCATTCGCGGAGATGTGACCCCTGGCGAAAGCCAACGAAAGTAGTTGTACCCTCCCCCCCCCCCACCTCAGAGGAGGTGGGGGGGGGAGGGTACACTTAATGCAACAGAGTGAGTAGAAACATATATGTCCAAACTTAATGTGATAAACGAAAAATATGAACTAATTTAATCGGTGCTTCGGCATGTTTTCAAGTATTCTCTTAGAAACAAAATTGACTATCAAAAAAAGGCAACAAGTGGACGTTGGTAGCTAAGCTTAACACGAAACAAGAATACTGATTCCGAGTAAAAGCGCCCCCCGGGGTAGTTGTGCTTGGAACAATTCAATCTTTGGCTCCTTTTCAAACTACATCAGCCTAAAGGTGAGATAAGATGCAAGTTTATTGTGCACTACACTCTGCCGTCTGCCGGTGGAGCTTAAACTGTGGCTTACAAGAGTTTCAAGGTTAGTTTTGTTCGTAAGCAAAAATCTCATTTTGCTGGAATAAGACATTTCAAAGACAGAGTCAAATCTTCTTCTCAAATAACTTCTATTTATAACTTGGCTTTGTTTTCCTTAGACAAACTTAAAGCTGCGGATGTGGGTCAATGGATTATGTTTTGATTATGTTGCACAATGGAGACGTGATGGGGGAACTATCCAGTTATATAATTTAAATAAGCATATCCCCCCTCATCGATACTAAAATTTCCCAAAGTCATATTTTCCAAGTGACCCCTATTTAGGTAACAAAAATGATTATGGCTTCAGTCGCGATTCGACTTTCAACCACGGAGGGACTGGAATTGCAAGATTATTGGGACGGTTATTGATGCCAAAGATGACAGCAATCAATTTTGGGCGAAAACAAACCTCATTCAGCGAGGTCATTTCACTGTTTTTACATACGCGCTAACGCGGTGTCGTTGTCAACGACATCAGTCGGTGAACATTCCCATTAAGGTTCTTCTCTTCCTATCAGTCAACTCAAACTGCGAGAAGGAAGACGCTGACTTCGACGGGCAGCAAATTTCTATCCTAGATGAAAACACGTGATTCATACTCATACTTCTTGGTCCTAATAAGGAAGCATCTAGAAATGAAAAGCTAATGGAAAGCCATTAAGTGTTAACTGCTACGTTATCAGCTAAGGCATCAGTAAAGTTCGTGCCCCCCGTCTGAAAAGTATACACTTGGCTGTCGATGTAGCAAGTGAACTTCAGTAGTACGCGAGGAATAAAACATCATGTGATTACAGTGAGCAAAAGCACGTGAAAAGAGCGTGTCAGACAATGCGTGTTGTTATCGTGCATGCCAAACAGTTATAGCTTGGATTAGGTAGATTAAGCACGAAAATTTGAGCGTTAAGCTTGTGGGCGTCAATGCTGAAAATATGGTATTAGGCCAAATATTATGTTCAAGATGTTTCATTCTGCTCAGTCTATTGATTCAAAATAATAGCTCAACCACCCCCCCCCGCACCTCCCCATTCCTACCAACAACAGGTAAACTTGCTAAGTATAAAAGGTTCGCCAAAGTTCAGAACAAAACAATTTACTGGATCAAACTCCTAAACTTCAAGCAAGAAAAGCAGGCTCACCGTTCACAGTACTCAAACTACAGAAGTTATGTCTTGTTGAACAGTAAGATCAACAGAATTGTTTAGAAGTTTTGTCATTAAGCCGAGATTATGCTTCAAGCTTTGACTACAACATTATACCCAAAATTATGCCGGCATAATTTATCTGGCCTTCGCCACAGCCGACTATCACGAAAGACTTCTCTATCACTAATCTCTGAACGTCTAGCAAAACAAAGACCAAGCCTGCATTAATGCAAAGAGTCACTGACAATGATTTTAATACACCGATAAGTAAATACACGATCAAAGGCAAATAAAGTTACAAACAGTTGAAACTTGAATTAACAAGTCTGCGATCTGTACAATTAAGGTTTTATAAAATAATCCCCCAAAAAGCGGATTACCGAGTGACTATTCAAATGATAAAGTCGTTTTATTTGTAGATAATGTGTTAAAAGTGTCTAGTTTCAATTTCAGTGTTGCCAAACACCCGAACCAACGGAGAGTCACAGTCAAAGAACACAACGTGACGATTACGTCAACACGCCGAGGGCAGGAAGTATATGTCACGCATACCTCAGAGATAGGTTTGATTTCCAATCTTATCGACCACTAAATCGTCTCGGTTCATAGCAAGACTTTTTGTATCGAAGCCAAAAACTGACATTTACGTTGTTACACTTCTGAAGATTTTCATTTCATTTTACATTCGGCAGTAAAGCTTTCGTTACATTCATACAAAAGTTTGTGATTAGCCGAAGAAAAATCTCACGTTACTGATCACTCTATAAGATAGTACGCAAAACCTACCACGATTTTAATATCCTTACTTCCTGGCACTCGAAAATTGTTACTTATTTTCGTTCTGCTCTTAACATTGATTCGTTGTCACTGTAGGTTTGGTGTAACTGACGGGTTTTGATCTGTGAAAACTTGATCACTTATTAGCTTCAGGCTGTTAAATCGAGTGGTCAAAAATAAAATGTCTGGAAGTCTTGCAACAGACTCATATTTTCAAAATGTCGTAGATGATCAAAGGTCAATACGCCCTGCTTTCCTCCATGGCGTATTTCTCGGCACCTGTTTGTTTTTCTAAATCGTATCGCCTAAAGCAACGAAGAAAATCAAACTTCAGTGGTACAATTTCTCTCTCAAACAAAAACTTCAGCAAATACGACACCACAACAATTGTAACAAATGAAACGACCATAGCTAAGGTACGGAAAGGAAACAACTGGCCATCCAAGTCATTATAATACGGGTACTTTATGAACGGTGGAATTCCAATTTTATCTTCCCCTCCCCCAATGCGCAGCACCATGCCCAGTACATAACCCATGAAGGAGCCGTAGGTGTTGGTGCCATCAAAATAGATGACACAGCATAGCTGCGGAAATAGGATCACATACACCAAGTCACTGCACAAGGCCCATAAGGAGTAGATAGAGCCCACTGCTAGAGCCATGGCTGTAGCGGCCGCGCCAACTCCAAATATGGCTATACGCATCACCCACACAACTTCCTTCTCGGAGGCCTAACAAATAAGGTTTGTACTTTAGTTCAGCGTTGTTACTCAACGTTTCACATGTTCTAGATTCTCGGGTAGGGAGGAACTAAGAACTATGTACAGTACACAATTTATTACGTCTGTCTAGAGGCTTTCGTTTAGCTCCGTCAAGCGACACCAAGCATCGAAGTGGCAAGTCTCTAAAGAAACTGCGGTGCTGCGTCGGTGAGAGGTATTACAAAATGATGTGGTTTTATCAACTAAGAGAGTAAAGAAAATTGACCAACGTAAAAATTTCTTGAGCTGACGTTTCGAGCGTTAGCTCATCGTCAGAGCGCATGTCGACCAAGCAACAGCTGCCAAGGAAACTAGAATTTTTAAAGACTTTGGTAAAATCGTTAACTTTTATGAAGAGAGAAGGCATTTTGTGCCGTAAACATGTTCATGTGCTTCGAAGATTACTGCCAGGCAAATTCTCGCCAATAATTTAATTGGTGTCAACGCAATCGACTCAAGGAGGGTTTGACGAATTTTAAATCGTCAGTAAATGATGGGGCAGTGTTCTAAGGAAGTGTTTAAAAAAACCACCTTACAAAACTAGAGATCCCAAAAGAATATTCATAGAAGCCACATCAAATCCAAAAAACGAAGATACGTCAGTGAAGACGTTGTGATCACTAACTTTTATCACTTACCTTTTGTCTAAAGATAAGTTTATAGACGTTTCGAGAAAACATGGAGCTGGCGGACAGGATACTGGAGTCTGCCGAAGACATGACAGCGGCAGACACAGCACCCAGACCAATAAAGGAAACAGCTGTTGGTGTGAGGTACTGAAGCACCATGGGAAGGACTAGTGACTTTTTAAACTCCGCCGTCTGATTGGTGGCATTACCAGACGGCTCGAAGAAATCTGTTCTGGTCCAGTCTAGAGTGACATTACATAAGATTCAGGAATTTCTTTCAGTGATGAATTTAGTTGCCTTTAAAAGACCAACAACTCTCATCATAGCTAGTAGTTATGCTTGATTTCGTTACACTTGCTTGATTTCGTTGATGAAATATTTCAAATTTGCATGAAAGACAAACTCATTCAAAACGTTGCCAACATTGTTGTTTTTCTTGTACTTGAAGACAATACAAAAAAATCCAAGAGCATAGACTTTTGCAGAAAGAACCACATGCACATTAAGGCTAAAAAGTCCTGGAAGATGATGGAATTTTTATTTCTTGAGTACGGAATCTAGTGTTTACCTGCAGAGCGACCAATCGCTCCAATGAGAACTGCTGGGATAGCCATTAAGAGACATCCAAACGAAGCTGCGAAGGAAAGACCCTGGGCCTTGGCCGCTGTTTTACATGACAGCACTCGCTGAAAGTAAACTTGCCATGGAATACCACCAAATGTCTGCACAGGAGATAAAACACATATTACTCTCGTCAATATTCCAAAACCTTACCGACAGAATGTTCTTCAAAACTTGTAGCGAGAACTGGTCGATTTTTCAGTAACTTGAAATAATACCTCGGACTGACTTAACCATCTGGCACCCAAGTGTGACCAGCGTCTAATTTCTCCATTCAATACCACCCCTGAATCAAACATAAGGGTCACGAGAACAAATGATCACTAAAAGGTTCTTGATTGTTCAGCAAATTCTCCTTGTCAGTACCTTGCAAGGACAACTTTATGGAAAATGTGCAAGATGTTAGGTGCAAAGAGTTAATAATAATAATATACAAACAGTGTGAAGTGTCTAACCACATTTAATTCCCATGGATCATTGCGGTGTATGGTAGTAACAAGTATCTTGACATGATTACCAGACCATTATCAATACTCCGCACACGATTAGAGACCGTAGGAGAGTCGTTAATATTACCTGATTGCATCTCCTTATCAGACTCACTTAATAACCAAATTATTCTTTGGCTTTACAAAGTAAAAATGCATAATATAGTGGAAAAAGAAAGATATTTACCAGTAATAGGGCATAGTCGAGCCATACTCCAACATACGTGTTGGACCATTCACCCACCCACTGAGTGGATGTGTCTGAAATACTGCTCACTGCTGAATGTGTCATGGCGAAGGGAATACTAAGCCACTGTAAGGAACAGATCCAGGGGGTCAGTGCACAAAATATCACAAACATCCAGACTTATGAAACAAAATGAACAGCACAATGACGGCGAAATTGGAAAGACTGTTACTTAATACATCGATGTTTCCTTCCCCACAGACAAGACAGAAGTTATAATAAAATTACCTATTTAGAAACAAACATTTTCAGAAGCTACAGACGGTCTTTCCATCTTAAAAATTGAGTTTACCGTCTTCAATTTGGTCATGCAACCAATGAACATCTTCGACATCCATACCCATCCCTTTTCCGCGTCTGCATTATTTATTGGTGTTTGCGTACCCTTGCAAGTGATTAAATCAGGGTTTTCCTCATTTTAAATAAACTTGTCAGGCCATAATAATATATATATAACGTAGCTCCTTGAAGCCGCTGACCATACTCACCAATCCTACGAAGATGCAGATGAGCTGGATGACATCTGTGTAAGCTACAGAGTACAGTCCACCAATCAGAGTGTAGAAAATAGCAATACACGCGGACACAATGACGGAAGTAGTTTCATTCAGGCTGATCACTACACTGATGGTTGCTCCAAGAGCAGCCAGTATAGCTGCAGACCAAAATATTTCACCCAACAGAGCAGGAATGTACAACAGTCCGCCCATGCGCGGACCGTACTTTTCTTGGAAGGGATCTAGCATTGTGAAGTACTCTTTTTTGCGCATGATTTTGGCAAAGGCCAAGCCACCTTAAAAAAAGAAGGATATCACGTTATACCATTCTCTGCCTCTGAGTTAAAATGGTTTAACACCAGGAACGTAACTCGCCAGCCGGTCATTTCCTTCCCGAGCGAACTTGCTCAACTGCAAGCTTATTTAGGGAAGCTTTAGTGATCGTGTGCTAAGAATTATTTCCATTCCAGTTCCCTTCAATCACAGTGATAGAGTGTTGTCTTTCTTTTGCTACTTACCTATAACCAAACTTAAAGCGTATCCCCAAGGAGCCTGCGTCCAGACAAGACCTTGTGTAGAGTCAAACACCACTTCTGCAGTACCATTGATGTATCCTCCACCCACCCACGTCGCTATTGAATTAACAAGCACGTATAATTAACATCTTAAATTTTGTTAGGGACCTTAAACAATCAAAACGAAAACGCCGAGGAAGATGTCGATTGGAAAATGAATTTATATTTTTAGTACAAATTTCGCTAAGGGTTGGGTGTGTTTACTATCTCTAACGGCGCCACACCTCAACTTCAGCATACCATGCGTGAGCAGTGTTGAGTTCCAAATGGAAAATTTAAGAATTTACTGTGAAAATCTTGGTGATTTCACGCTGTTGTTTTACAGAAGACGGCTTAGAAACGTGCAAAGTTTTAGAACGCACGTGCTGAGCTATTGTTCAGCTCATTAGATCTTTTGTTTTGTCTCATCCTCGATGCCGTCGCGGTCGCTGTTTGCTTACGGTCTTTGATTGAATAAACCTTGACTGAAAATCGCATCTCGTTTCGTAATTTATCGATGTTTGTAGGGTGTATCTAGTTTGCAGAACAAATGTGTCAATATAAGGTTGATTATATGAAATCTTTCAATTTCTGGTTGCTGGTAGTTAAAATAAGTCTTACATCGTTAATAGTCCATTTTACAGTTGTGTGCTTGGTTGCCAAGCCTTTGAACAGGAGTGAGGCTAAGGGTGACCTTGTTATGATACAAACCTTGCTGCTTTTGAAATGCAAATTAATTTGTTATCATGCTAACTAGATTCTGGTCTCTAACACAACAAGGTCACCTTCAGCCTCACTCCAAATCAGAGGCTTGGCAACAAAGTACACAACTGTAAAATGGCCTATTGTTGTTGTAACCGCCTTGGTGAGCGTCATAACTATTTGCGGGATCAAGAATCAAGCTTTATTTCGTACTGAGCAAATAAAATTGCTATAATTTTAATGGTTATCTTAGAAAAAAAAATTAATTGGTTAACTTTCTTAAGTTGAAACATCGTTAGAAAGAGTGAATAAGAATGTAAATGAAAAACAAAACAACAAAATTAACAAAAAACTTAACAAAAGAACAGAAAGACAAATCAATGACGACGAGATTAATTATGAGCAATCAGATACTTCCGGGTGTGAACAGCATTTGTTCAGCTTTATCATTTAAATATCCTACTGACTACAACTGCATTCGCTATGGAATCTGAAAATGCAAAAAAATAGTTTCGATTCTCTCGCATGTCAGAACATCTCTTTTACCTGTCATAGTGAATGTACCCACGAATATTCCAATACTTCTGCCGGCTAGCATGGCTTCTTCTTCGCCTTCCTTCCGCCGGCGAGCCGCCCACAAGCCAACAAGAAGGATTAACAGATAAAACACTACAATGGATACCACACCAGCGATGTTTATGTCCGCCATGTCAGCTGAAAAATGTCAGTGTACGGAAAGTGAAAACCAGTCTAAAAAGCTCAAATAAGGAAGATCTTGTTTTGAATGATTGGATCCAAAATTCAACATTACATAACTTTGTAAGGCATGTGGCTACCAAAGATCCCGAAAATTTTCAAATTGAATCGCGGCGACCTTGTCTGCCGGTTTATCATTGAATACGAGAGCAAAGTCTAGTTCTGTGAACTTCGGTAATCCTCTGGGTATATCAGTCTATGTCCGTTTATATTGTATTTATACCCAAGCCTCTTTGAACCAATCACCGACAAGCAATAAATAGCTCGTGAACAACTTTTAATTTCAAACAAAAACCAAACAACATCAATCGACACATTTAAGTAAACGCATGACAACTTAACTATTTAAAACCTCTCCGAAGTATAAACTTACATATCTTGATCGATTCTGCTTATGGCTAAACTATCAACGAAACCACTCGGTACAACTGGACAACTATTAATTTCAGCTTCTCCGCTAAGGTCTCCAAAAGCTACGTTCACTTGATGTTTATTCAAGAATATTGCTTTTTACGATGAAAAGGTTATTAACCACGATAAAATCACGGGAGACTGCGAAATCCGGCCGCTCATAATATATTGTTTAGCAACAAGCACCGCCATAAAGGCAAATTCTTACTTTTGATTTCATTTTCGTTTTAAGTTATGATTCAAAAGCTTCACAAAAGCTCTAAAAACTGTATTCGAAGAAAAAAAAGCCAAACTCTGTCAAGCTGGTTTGTAAGAGGTTATACTAATTAATTAATCGAATTTAGTGAAGGAGGGCTTATGGAAACGGAAATTAAAACAGAGTAATTTTTTTATCTTGAAGATGGTGAAGGGATGAGCAGTGGAGGTTGTAAGGTCTTGTAATCAAGAGTTTTTAGATATCCCAGAAGATAATATGCCTATTTTGCAGAAAGGATCCCGAAAGTCTCTCATCAGAGAGAAGTAGGTTTCATTTTTCCGTGGTTCAAATAGAAGGCAGTGTATGAAAGACCGGCAGCCAGGCTCGATCTTAAATGGACTAAATTCCAGGCAGTCAGAAATGTTCCCAGAATTTCCACCGGAAGGTTCTTTCAAACCTCTTAAGAGTATCTCTTTAGAAATACTACGCGTTTCTATCGGTTTTCTGTTTCTTTTTTTTTAGTGGACAAATTTTCCCTAGCTTGTGTATTCTATAAAGAACCCTTTGGCCCCTGTCTTAATGAAGCAGCTAAATGAAATAGGACTTCCATTGTCACGGTTGCGCATGTACATTTTCACAACTAAACGTGAACGACGAACAAGTGAAAAATTGAATGATCTTAGAAAAGGTTATAAATCTGTATGAATTTCCGATACAATTCTTCACCAGTAAAATACACATTGATGCTATTGAAAATTCAAAAGAACCAAAAAGCTTAAAAATTGAAAAATTGCAAATCAACAAATTGGTCAGTTGTCTTAAAAAATTTACAAGCTTTGTTCGAGAGCTCTGCCATAAGTTCCGAGCTGAATGGAAAGAGTTCGTCTCCATTCGTCGAAAAAACAATGTGAATAATTCCGGTACTGAAGAGCATGAAAATGAATTGTCCTTCACCATTAGTTCCTTCCTCACGTCGACACCTAGGTTAAACACGAGGAAAGGAAATTGAATCCGTAATTTTTGTTTCAACCTAATTGCAGAGCGAAGCATTAGGAACTTCCAAAATATTTAGACTCTGTTTGATTACAATCATGCAAATTTCGGTTAATTTACTCAGCTTACCAAAGAACAATATTAAATGACAGGGTTCGCTCAAGAGTACTTCTTCCAAATTTTGAATCTTATCAGCATTGTAGGCAAATTCAAGACTCCACCGTCAAAATACGACACCACGACGCGAGAACCCTGGATTATGTGGGCAAAGTTTTCGACCGAAGTCAATCAAAACTTAATTCGATTACAAATGTAAACTAATGAAAAGATCATTCCGCAATGGTAGGTTAAAAATCTGATGTAAATCTAGTTTTAGTTTCGAGTCGTTCATCAATTTAGATTAAAAGCAAGCTTAACTTTGAAAAAGTAACGATTTGTAGAAAGGCATCTAATAAACTGACTCACCCCCCGATGCGTGTTAAAGCGAGATCATTGAACACTGAATTATCATCACGATCTGACGAGCATTCAGCTCGAAGATAAACATTACAAGCGTCGAGTGAAAAGACCCTTTTTTTTAAAAATTTTTTATAGATTGCTGCACCAAACTGTATCAAATACAATCCGTGAGGCCTTTTGACGGCAAGAGAGGTGATAAGAAAGAATTAAATGTTAAATCTGTTTATGTTCAAATTTAAACCTGCAACATTAGAACTTGTCAAGAGTGTAGTTGAATTTTACAATTTCAACGTTAAATTCGAATCAATTCTCGTAATTAAACACATTTTATACCAAAATAATTCATTCCCGCTTTACCTCAAGCGTTAATAAAAGGCACGTACGATATCTTTGAGGTCCACAACCAAGTGTTTGTTATGTAGCGAGAACAACACTCATTGTTAGACCTCCATCGAAGGAAAAAACAATCCAGCAACCCACGAAAATTCACCGATATCAATTAAAAAAAAAACTTTAGTAGTGATTCAGGCTTCACTGAAAAGCAATTTACCTGTTCTTTAGTGGCTCTCAAATCTAATCTCTGGTCAATGATGATAAAGACACAGTTCCCCTCTACTCGATCTTATATTGACATACAAGCAAAGGCATCCTATGCTTACCTTCGGAGGATCCCATGAGACTACCTTTGTTTTCACCTAATTTTTCTGATAGTAATAATCTGAAGAAACAAAAAAGACCAGAAAGGTCTACATACCTAATTAAATTTTTCTCCTTGCGAAGTTTGTTGTGGATGTGACCTCAGGGTTTACCCTCAACACTGCCAAGGGTCTGGAAATGAGCACTGAGGAACAACTGTTATGGCGACTGTGTAGTGAAGCAATATAGGATGTAAACATTTTCATTTTAAAATATTCTCGAAAGCTTTTACGGTTATAAAGGATTTTTCAAAAATATCACTTTAATTTCAAATTTTGACGTATTTAAGCATATCATGCTTGTCTGTGGTGGATAAATAAATGAGATCTTTCACAGTGTTTGGCGGTCGGTCGTATGAGCAAGAAGAGGACTTCTTCAGAGCTTCAAGCATACATTCAACAGCGGTATGAAGACACGGCCTTTGCTATTCACCGCAGAGGAGAAGTAGAGAAGAGAAGGAACTTAACTGGGAATAAAAGAAGTCCTTTTAAAGTCCAGCAAGCGTTCGAGAACATTGCTGAAGTTGAACGCAATCATCTGGAAGTTGGATCTGCCGAGACTCATCTTGCTTCTGGAACGAACGTTCAATCGCAAGTCTGTGTTATTATCTAGGGTCAGTTAACATTTCTTCGATTCAAACCAGGACAGGAACTTGTAGGAAGCAGGTGGCTTGTTTATGTTGGAAACATTTTCAACGATAGAAACTCAGCCTTATGTTCCTTACAAACTAACAAAAATTATTCGGACACAATTCACCTTTGTAAGTTGCTGTCTATCTCAATGTATTTGTCTTAAAGTATAAAAACATTGCACATTTGAAAATTATTAATTTCGACGCAGCTGCGTTGAAGGAAGACGGTTTACGGCTCAAGTTTTGTCTTCTCTAAATTCCTTTATTCGATCTGCACCACGAGCGAATTGGATTTGCTTGCCCCTCGCTCGTATTAGTTGTTTTAGAGTAGTTACAAAAGATATTCTGTAAACTCTTTAAGAAGCTTTATGGTCTATTCCTGGGTTCTAGGAGTTGTATTCTTAGGACAAGCAACCCTCTATCCAAACAGAGTTTGTCTTCTTTCCAGCTAATAAAGTTTTATGACTTCCAAAACCTCTTAACGAGCTTTCCTTGCTTACCATTGTGAAGGTAGTTTCAAAATAATTAGAAAATGGTCATTAAGTTAAGGTATTGCTCCTCTTGTTCTCTTCAGGAGACTAGTTTTTAGTCATTTTACACGACTTTCTCTTATTGACACTCAGATTCCATGACTTTCGTAGCCTCAAAAAATGTAGCTTTTCCATGACTAATACAAACCTCAGAGGGGTTCTCATAGATAGGACTCTCCAAGCTGTGGAATTCCATGCCCTACCTGTCTAAGCACTGTATGCCCCAAGTGAGGGAGTTAATGGCCAGCACTCTTTTTGCAATTATACCAACTGATAACACGAGGCTTAGGTAATCATGGTGAGACTACCTTTAATGTTAGCATGACACAATTTGGGGCTTAGAAAATTAAATAACAATTGCACAATAGCTTCATCACCATTAATACAACATAACAACTGGGGTGGAAATCCAAAGTGCTAAAGTAAAGAGAATGTTATATCATATTGCCAAAACAAAGCTGAGTTTATCACCTTCCAGACTATTTAGGGAGACTAAACAACCATTCAACTTAATTTTTTTTATTAAATAAAAATAATTAGAGTTAACAGGTACTTAAAAACTCTTCGAACAGGTCTTTACTAGGGTGGCTAGTGTTATTGGGAGCTCAATTAAAAAAAAGTGATGTTGCCAAAAAAAACGAGGAGCAGAGCTTCTTACTACTCTTCAGGTGCTACAGTGCTGGCTACATAGGTCAGTCTTAGGGACTCAGAAGGTTTCTTAGCTGATAGTGGGTCACCAGCTGACTAGTAAATTGACATTCAGACAGTGGTTGACCACAGCCTTGGTTGAGATGATGCATAACAATAACCCAACCATCAACCCATGTGTCAATCAACTACTGGCTGAAAAATTGTGTATTGCCACTACAGTTAGCATGATCCAACTTGTTAAATTACAACTCATCCAAAAATTTCTCTTTTTAACACCACTTTCTGCAAAAACATTCACAACTTAACATAAGGGTGCTTTAATAAACCTCATGTCAACTCAATATAAACAATTAATTGAATGTGCTTCAACTTAGGAAACATACAAAATGAAACTTGGTCTTAAGCCTCAAATCCCCTCCCCCCCCCCTCCCCCTCCACCTGTTACAATAGTTACAAAACATGAGGAAAGCCAAATTTGTTTACAGGCATAAAACTGAGCCCATAAATAATCAAAATTTTGAAATATGTATTCCAAAACATAAACAATGTCTCTGTAAGTATGAATTATCATTACTAAGGAGCCACGCATCAGCGTGTTAAGCTCCCAAAAATTCTTTATAGGGAAAAAAAATAACAATCTTTAAAGCTTTTTGAAAATCTTAAACTATCTGTCAATTCCAGCCGATTTCATATTAAAACAAATGGGAATTTGTAATTAATCATTTTTTAAATAAGTTCTCAAGTTGTGAAGAGGCCATTGATGCTTTTCTTTGCCCAAATAAAGGACATTATGTGGCTCCAAAAACTGCCACTAATAATAATTTTGAAAAAAAAACCTCTGGTATTTTAAACTCTCAAACTTAATATATTGTGTGTCTATAGCAAATACATACATCTATGATCCTTCATTTTGCCAAAAAACGTGTTTGCATTAAAAGCTATTGAAAGTTCTTAAAAACAGGTTGTTAATATGAATGTAATAATTGAACTATGTAGAAAATGAACAATTAAGGATCTTTTGACAACCTTGTATGCGCCCAACTGGAAACGTGATATGATATGTTTAGTCCAATTTGAAGTAGCTTAGTTTTTGCCAGAGAACTGTATTTTCAGACATGTTCCTGTGATTTGGTGCTTACCTGTTACCAATTATTCTCGCTTTGCTCTTTGATTGTTTTGTTTATTACTAGTTGATTTAGTTAAGTAGACTGTATTGTACATCTAATTTCAGATATCAGTAATACGATTGTGAGTATTCTTCAGTAATGGGTCATCTTGGTTTTCTTGTAAAACACAGGTACTGGTTTAAACAGAACTCAAAGTTCCCTATAAGCCTTTGTCCGCTGCCTTTTAGATTTGTAGAAACATATAATGCAACAGAGTGCTCTTTCTTAGAAGTTATCTTTATCAGAATTCAATAATCGTGCAGTGCACACTGTTCACCGGTTTAATTTGCATGTCCACCAGTCGTCAGTCTTGCAGTCATCTGTAAGCATTGAGATTACAATTTATATAGCCCTGGCTGCAAGCTTCTAAGCACTTTACAATCTGAAAGAGAGAGAAACAAATATTTTAAATCAACACAAAGTGCTCAGCAATCCCAACTGGAAGGAGGCAGACCAGTTGGCTATTCACACAGGAGCAGCCAAGAATAAATCCTGTGAGTGACAGGGTGGAGGACTTTAACCTGGGACCACCAGGTTACAAGTCCAGCACCTAATCACTTGGCTATACTGCCACCTTAATTTTCTTCTGTTCTTAATACCGACATACTGGTAATTGATATGGATAAATTAATGCAAAGTTTGAAAGAGCCTGAGCCTTAAGCTGATAACAAACTAGGTTATTCTAAACACCCATTGCAATAATTGGAGAAAATGGCTCAGTGTGCCCAGTGCAGAGATTCTGATTTTTGTTGTTTTTGAGAGAGGGGTAAGAAATTGCTAAAATTTGCCTTGAGTACCTGCTCCTTAAAGGCCCAAATCACACCAACTCTCAGGTTGGCCAAAGAAGCACTCTGGGTCAGTTAGCCTGTTGTGAGTCTTTACAAATAAAGTGATCATTAAGCTTTCACAAAAGCTGGCACTTGACAAACACAATATTTCCCAGTTGTATTGCCTTAAAAGACAATTTCTATTGAGTAATTATACCATGGTTGACCTAAGGCTTTCCAAAAGGGGACTTATTCCAGACTGATGAAAGCCAAAGAGCAAGTCACCATTTTCTCTTTACATTGTCTCCTAATTTTGATGAACACTGTTAACAGTACAAATTCCTTCAGTAGAGAAGCTTTTCTTAAATGCTTAGCACAAATACAAATCTAATACTTACTAATATTTACTAAAACTCAGGCTCTCTGGAATAACACCACCATGGTAGAGCCATTTGCATAGCATAATTATGGAATGGACTTTTTTACCTTGACTTTGAGGTGAGGAAGTAGGAAGCTTCTGAAGTTGTTAACTATATCTGTTGCATACTTACTAGTTCTATGTTGAGGGTAATTTAGTATTATCAACCCAGTTGTTAATGTAAATTGACCACCATAAAGAGTTTAAGCTTTTAAACTCTATGGTGGCCAATTTATGTTATCAACTCAGTTGACAATACCTAATTACCCTGTTATACTCTCCCACAGACATAGTATCAGTTTCTTTAGAAACTTACCCCCTTAGTTCTATATTGAGTTCTTTAGTTTATGCTGTACTTCCTGTTGCAGTAACTCAATCTTTAATTCCACCTCCTGCAGTTCATCAACACTGCCACCAGTGGAACAACCATACATCAGCCCCTGAAGAATGCGCTTCCTAGGAAGTAAGTAAACCACATACTTTGTTATTAAATTTCAAAATCAACCATTATACTTGTTCTGCCCTAACACTGTCTGTCTGAATTTCATATCAAGTGCTATTGTTCACCCCATCTAAAAAACTATTAAGAAATCTGTTTTTTACAAACCTCCTAAACTGCATAGCTTGCAAAAGAAGCTGAATTTCATCAATGCCCAGTTCACTTTCAGAAAATTGATCCTCAGAACTGCTTCCTCCTTCAGAGCAAAGCTGTTCCTCCTTCTGTGTGGAAAAAAAAAGGCAGTTGCACTTTAGTTGATGGCCTAACAGCACTAACAGTACAGTTCAATCCTAGCTCTTTGAGCAATTTGTTCCATTGATAAAATACTACCTTCTGGTTCTCCTGCCCTTCTGTTTTGAAATGTGGGCATCCACTGAACTGAAATTTCTATTACAATGTCCTTATTGAAGTTGTTAGGATGAAGTGTACTAAAGATCAGCTTCTTCTTTCAGCATTCATTTTGTAGGATCCTGATCAATATACTTTAATTATTTGTAAAGTGGATATGGTTGGATACAGAGAGTGAGCTCTGAAAAGGCGGAGGGTTTGGAAAAAGCAAGTGAAATGCAGTAGTCGTGCTTACATCAACCAATAAAATATTAAATAAGTTAACAATATCACTTGAAACAAGACCTTTGAAGTCCAGTAGTTTTTGCCTTCCTTCTTGAAACATTCTATTTCCTCTAACAAACTTGACAATAGATCCTCTGAATGATGGTCAAAGATTTTGAAAATCTCTGGAAGCCTAAAAAACAATCAGAAAACTCATTATGCTTTATTTGCTTAATTAATTTTGCTTCAAGCCTAATAAAGTTGTGCCAGAAGAAAGTATTAATTAGAAAAACATACCATGTACTGTAATAAACAGCCCATCAATCAAGACAGTTGACAAAAAACAGTAATTGAAAGAAAAAGAAATGCCATACAAAAAAAGGCATATAAATGTACCCCTCAAATTCATAAAGTGTGACAAAACTTCTTGGTTCATCTCCATCCATAACACCTGGAACTTTCCATCTAAAATGCAACATTACATCATTGAGTAAAAGAAATGAATTCAAAATTGAGATGATAAAACAAATTCAAACTCCAACATAATGTTTTAAAAGTAACATCTGTCTTCAGCATATTGAGTGACATATTTGAATATCAAGTGGCTATTCATGAGGGTCTCAGCAAGCTTAACCATTCGTTGAAAAACAGAAAAAATAAATTAGCAGTGAGGCATAAAAATGGACAATTTTAACCATTACTGAAAAAAAAAAGATGTTGATTTCTAAATTCTGTATTTAACCATAATCAAAAGAAATAAACTGTTAGCCATAAAATGGCCAAATTTTTAACTGTAGCCCTTAAAGCCATCACCCCCAAACATATGCCACCAGTTAATCTGGTATCAAGCTTACCAGAACCACAATACTAAGAAGGTGAAGGAAAAGCAAAACATTCTTCACATTCTTTTCTAACCTGATAAGAGCTTCAAATAATTCCTTATTTTCAGAACTAGACACAACCACCTTAGCAACAATTTTCTTTTTCTGGCGAAGCTAAAATAGAATGAAATTAGTTAATAAAGAATTAACATACTTATCTAACATGGATGTAACACAAAGTAATGGCAGTACAAGTCCTACAGTTATGCTCACTGCAGCAAGTTGCATTTAAAGAGTTGCTGTACTAACAATGCATTTGAGAATCACTGAGCTATACTACTCCAACAACAACAATAGCTCTTGGATGTGTTTGTAGTTATGGCAGGTTAAAAGGTTAAAACAATGGTCATGCATTCAATAATGATAGGCTAAGGGGCTGGTAAATTTACTTACCATGGATCTCAGCAAATCACTATCCCAAAACAGAGCTGAGATTTCTGCACTGATGAGGTATGGTTTATTTTCAAAATTGATGATGTGAAGTGAATGTTCATGAGTTATCTGCACCCTGAAACAAAAACAGTAAACAAACTGCTGACAGTTTGAACTTAGCTGAAAATTACCATACCAAGTGAGGGTTCTAAATGAAGGGTTGTCCAAATATTTTAAATAATTTTATGGAGTGCAATGTTAATTACACAACAAAGATATAGTTCCTCCACAATACTGACTTGTATTGCTTTAACAACAAGGTGTACTTTTTAGCTAAGTGATATCATAGACTTGTTACAGATGACAAGGTCTACAACATGGTGTTGTGTTGTACCTCTCATATGAATTTAGTAGTTCTTAAATTACGGATAACTAATATTTAGATAATGATGTGGAGAACCCAAAAGTTTAAAGCTATTTTGCTCACATTGGCAAAGGCCATAAGGACTCTTCATGCATGTTAGAATGTTGAAAAACAGAGGCTGGGTTTCCTCCAGTAGAAACCTAGATATTTGATGGTCCTTGTGCATGACATGTACAATACACATTTACTTATTACTTTCTATGAATCAACTATAAAAGACCAACAAAATGATTACCTCTTGATATGAAAATCAAATTGACTGTTGGGTGCATCTAGGTCCAACTCTTGATTTATTTCTTCTATCAAATCCAGTTCATCAGCATCCAAAGATGGATTTGCATGTAAATCTGAATTGTCTAGTCAATGGAGAAAAGCAACACTATCATTTTTAAGCAGAGGTTACTGTTACTGTAATAATCAAGGGATAAGGAAAAGTGTATCAATGAGTCCATTAAAGATATCTATAATTGTCTAAAAGAGTGTTTACACTATACCTCGTAAGTGACATTAAGCACTTAAAGACAGTTTTCAAAAGTTTGGTAATTCTCTGCCATCTCAAAATTCTGTCTATGATACAATTTCATATTAAATACTCTTAATGTTGAATGAATTCTGTGGAGTAAAATTTGCAATGTATATATCTGAGTAACTTACTTTGATGGGGCCATGTATTTGTTTGTACTAGCTGAGCTGTGTATAGAGCTGACTGATCTAACCAGCTGAGGAAAAAAAAAGGGTTTAAACATAGTTGGTACAAACAAATCTGTACAACAAAAAGGAGCAGTAAGGGGGACATACCTTGACAATACTCAAGGCCTATTTTTTTTCTCATCCAATCAGATACAGTGAATTACTGCAACAAAATGTTTAGTCTAGACTCAAAACAAATAATTGGATTGACCAATCTTGTTCAAAACACTAATTAGCTGGCTGCATGATTTACATATAGCAGATTTCATCCTAAAAGGTTCTGGTCAATTTACAAGTCCTGAAAAGGACTGTTGGAAATTCTTGCACTCAATCAAATTTCGGAAATCTCTTTAAAGTGCTATTGTTTTTACCTGATTAAATAAAATTTTTCTTATCTTTCCACTATGGGCAAGAGGGTGTCTTTATAGTTATTGACTAAGACATAATCATCAGGATACACTACAGGTTAAAGGGAATTTAATTCAAGAAAAAACTTGCCTTGCAACATCATGCTGGAAAGAAGTTTCAATTGAAAGTGGGAAGTCTAAATAAAAGGAAAAGAGACAAAATATTTAAATAACGGATATTGTGCTTATCTGTTCCACTTTCCTGTGTTTTAGCCCTAAATTTGAATGTTCAATTTTTAATCACAGATTTGTAAATCAAAATTGCATTTTTACTGAAATTTGGGCCAGCAACAGTGATGGTGTGCTTTTTTTGGAATCTGCATTCAAGTTTCCTTCCATTTCCCTAAGCCTTGCTTTGGTGTCAAAATCTAGGTTCTGTGCCTAAACATGTTGGAAATTGGGATATGTCCTTAAGAAAAAACAGAATTAGTAGGGGATATTTTGGGGCTACTCAGTGTGCAAGGAAACTATTTGTGGTACTTGTCCATGCCACTTCACTATTTGTGGAAAATTCCTAGTTTGCATGAATGCTGATGATTCCCTGTAACCCATATTACATGTAATTCTAACCTGGTAGTAAAGAGTGGTTACTGGATGATGCACACAGAGAAGACACAGTTTGCTGTTGTAAGTATAACTGTTCTGGGCTGAGAATGGAGAGACCTGGAGCTGGCTGCTGCGGCTGCTGCTGCTGTTGTACCTGTATCTTGGCTTCTCTGTCATGATTCTGAATGAAAAGTTAAACAAACTGTGAACACACTACAACAAAGACTAGGTCAGCCACATATCATTTACTTCAGTAACCATAAACTATGATACATCTTACCATTCTGCCTAAAAAAGTTGTTCTCATGTTGTTTTTTATTTAGAAGAACACCCTGGCTGATACACAATGTCATTTAAGATGTTTTCAAAAGTATAAACTATAAAAGCATACCAGAAAATATATTTAATTTTAATAAATACCTGTCCATCAGGAGATGAAGATTGGGGAGATTTATCAGGAACAAAATCAGCATAATCTGCTTTTACAAGTTCATCATTGATATGAAGGTCTTCTGGAGCATTAGTGTCACACAAGCAAAGGCACATTGTACCTTCCTATAGGATAAAAAAAATATTTTAACTATCACAAACTAATAACATTTCAAATAATGCAGGGATGTTACAAGTTTGTGAAGTAATAGTTTCCAAACATAGCTCCTTCCCTGAAGTAACAAAAACTGACATACCATTTTTCAGAAACTACTATCAAGAAGAAACCCTTACAATAGATTCCCTGAAATTAAAATCTCTTTCTATTGTTAAAAGAACAACTGACACAGGTGCAACTAAATCTTACTGATGGCCTTAAGTTCCAGCACCCAGGCCTTAGGAAGATTTCTTCTGAACATTTAATAAATATCACATCTCATGATTACCATTACTTTAAGAAGTCTGTAGTAAAAATATTCATATTTTGTTATACTAGTATTTTTACCTTAATACCACAAACAAGTGCTACCAGCTGTTTATAGTTCTTTGTCAAATGATAAAACTTATGGGTAGAACCAGGTGACCATTCTTTAGCCTAAACCAGAATCAGAAAAAAATGTATTCGTGATAAAAACTCAAACTACTTGATATCAAGAAATCTTATTTCCATCAACAGAATTGAAACTGGAGCTTCAAAATTGTACAATGACAATCACTTTTTTTATTCCCACAAATGAAATGTAAATATAAAAAATAAAAACTGCTTCATAATGAGCATACAGCATGTAACAGCTCTTCTGACAAGATAAATCCACACAATGACGAACAATTCTCCAATGCTCACAAAATTCCAATATAATACTAAAATTCTGTGTTCAAAGTTTCTACAAAAAGATGTTTTTCACTGTTTCTAACCACGAGTTTCCACCAAAACTTACAGTACACATTAACTTACCCTTCCAAAAGGTTGAATATGAGCTAATTTACAAGGAAGTCCTTGCGCTGGAAGTTTGATAAATTGTGACCTGAAAACATAAATCAATATCCTGTTAACACATTTTATAAATTACCTTCTTGGTTACAATTATCTAGTGTACCAAGTGAGAAGTAAAATAATTACTGCGGTCGCATGCATACATAGAAGTCATCAAATGAAATTTGAAAACTGAAACACGAGTCTATCTACTGTTTGGCTCACCTTAGCACTCTCAGACTTGACAATGGCAACCTTGCTTTATTTCCATAATCCACATAGAAAACCTGTTGACAGTATCACAATAGAAAGGTAAAGCTAACAGGAAGAAGAAAAGGACACTTCTAAATGGGTACCTTAGAACTGCTGATTTCACATTAATTCATAAATGAATTTCATACACCTTAATTGATGGTTTAACATGTAATAAGTCCCGATATTTTGCAAGTTGCACGGTATTTTTCTGAACCCAGAATGGGCCAGGAAAATTACTAGCAATGAGCAAAATGTGTGCTCATATGATATGTTAAACATTGAATAAGGGATTTATATGAAATACTTTACTATCATTTCATTTTTTAGTATGACCATTTTGTTACAGTGTACAGTGTAATACCGTGGTATACTTTGTGTGTTCTCATGACCTTATTAGGTAAAATGACGTAGTAATGGAATAATTGCTGCCCTCACAAACAACTTTTACTTTACGATGACTTTCACAAAGGGTGTCAAGACTACTCTAACAGTCACACTACAGGATCCAAGTTTCAAAATTGAATTGGTATATACCTCTATGCTGTCCACAGACTGTATACCAACAACCAGACCGCGGTACCAAGAACCATCTTCATACAGAGCACAGCAGGCCTGGTAGTAAATTTAAAACAAGCAATAACCTTGAAAACTGCACTTATGAGATGGGTACTCTTTATCACAAATTGTCTTAATAAATAATGTTGCTTTGAGTCATGAACTTTTGGAAACATTCTGATTCAAAAGAAAAAACACTATCAAAATTCAGTGTACAGCACTACTGTGGTTTTCAACTCTGTAGTAAGGTTAGATTATCAATAATCATTCTATCATAAAAACATTTTTGATTTAGGCTACACCTACCTGGCCAACTGAGACAAACCAACCAGGCATCTTGTAATGTGCACTTTCTCGACTTGAATAGAATTGTCTGCAAATAAGAACATGAAACATGAAATTTCTATAATCCTCAATTTTCCCAACTTAAAATTAAATAAAATACTGTTTGTCTTCTTTTGGTCCCAAGAAATCTGTGTTACCAAACTAGGCAGTGAGTGGAGGATAGCTAATCTAGCATTAAAAAAAACCTACTTCATTTCTTCAGTCAAAGCTCTCAGTGCTGGCCAGTTCTCAATCAGCATAACCCAAAAATGGTGTGGATCAATGATGTGTGTGACAGAGACTTCAAGAAATCCACACTCTGGGACTGTTATTTTTGAAAAGTAGACTCCCCTGCCTACTCCATCAGGTAGGTTCAGTGGATTACCAGGGATACAAGGTGAGACAGGCTCTTTGTGCATTTCAACTGGAGCAGGACTTACAGGAACTACACCATTTGCTTGTGTATGATCTTCTTTCACTGTGAAGCATATAAGATAGGAACATGTTAGCATCTCAAGTCCTTGCAAATAGCTGCTAACCAAATGTCCTATCAATTCTGTATATGGCTACTTACAATGACTATCCTATCAGTTAAAGTGTACTGTAAGCAATCAGTAATAATCTACTACCAGAAACAGAAAGGGAGGGTTGGATTTGAAAACTGCATGTTATAATTATTCATAAACCAGGGAGTTTATGAATAATTATAACACTAATACTAATACTAGTGAGTTGATTGCTAATCCTATTTGTTTACTCTCAGCAGTGTTTACAGTGCAAAACTTAGAGAGGCTGAGCAAATCAATCAACTAGAGCAAATCAATCAACTAGAGCAAATAATTCATTCAAATGGAGTGCACTTTATGGCACTGTACTCTAACCACTTGGCTGGTTTGTCTCAACTGCTGTTAGGTTACCAACTTCACATGACTGACGCCATTCTAATACCACATAATATTGACAAGTTGCCAGATGCCCATTCTTAAATCGAACCCATGTTGCTCAATTTTCATCAACAAGTATAATGTGTGTAGCTGTATACCAGATAATTTTACCTTTAAAGTGGTTCATTTCGTAGAGTTGCATTTACCTTTTTTAGCAAGGAGAAGAAGCCAGTCCACCTTTGTGGGTCTCTCTATTCTTACAACATCTGGCATTGCAGCCACAAATTCCACAACACTCATAAATCCATACTGTTTGATATTCAGCTCCTTGCCATGGAGATTCTGAAAAGTGAATTTAGATCCAAACCATTTAATAATTAATAAGCAGATTAAAGCACATTTCTACATGCTGTGATGAAATAATACACTCTAGCCTTTTTTATAACTGTTATACAGCACAAATTCACCAGATTTTCAAAAAAATCAAACACTGAAATAATGAAATTTCCAGGAATGGTTTTCACCTTGTATTCTATTGGAAATCGGGCAGCCCATATACCATTTGGTCGTCTAGCTAATACCTTCAAAGGAAAAAGGTGAACAAGTTATTTCCGTAATATTAGCTTTAAAATTAACAAATAGACAGGTTGCCACAATAAATAACCATTATTGCAAGGAACATGCCTGGGAGATATGATAACCACACATACCTGTATACACTCCTGCTGTAATTTTTTATTAATTGTACTGTTGCTGTCAAACTGGGCTTTAATTGAAGAAGCAGATTGCTGAATTGTTTTGGAAGGCTTGCCTCCTGTTTTGCCATTTGGTGTGGGATGCTTCTTACCAGTTGAAGCACTGTTGGTTCTGACAGGAAAGCTAACACCAGGATCAGGTGCTTTATCTACAAAAAGAACACTTCTAGTAAAGCATAATTTATTGCAACACAGGTGTCAAATGTGCTTTCCTCCCTAACCCAAATTTATCTCCCTGATGGGGTGAGTATGTTTGTTCTTTTTCTTTTTTCACTCCTAAGGGAACTGGTCATTCACTTTATTTTATTTGCATTACGTATAAAATTTGAGTCTGTAATTGACAGTAAAGACACTTAAGACACTACAAAAATAAAATACAACTCTTGTAATTCCACAAATTCTGTTTCTACAGATACCTGAATGTGCATGTGCAAATTCCCTTTAATCATCTCGTTTTCAAATTTGTTCACTTATTGAAAGTAGTTTTTCTTGGCTTTGCTCAAATTTAGGATGCCATGGCTAAAAATACCTTAATTTACAACTGTTAACTTCTTATCATAGGTAATTAATGATTTCATAACAAAAAGCCTAACTTTAAAACCCAAAGAGACTAGCTTTTAATTTCTTCTTACAATATTGCTCTTGAATCTAATGTAAACATTGCAAGGAAAAAATGAACTGATCACCAATTTAAGCACCTCCTGATTGCCAAACAAATTATCTTTATCAGTTCCTTCAGAAATGTAAAGAGAACAGTATGGAGAAAATTAATATTATAGTAAAATAGGTTTTGCTCAGTCATTGTGGTAAATAACACTTCCACAGGAGGAATGTAATCATTTGTCTCACAATGGTCACTTTGGATATGGATTGCGATCCACATCCAAACAAAATGACCAAATCTTGAGACAAATGATTCCATTTCTCTTTCAATATTAATCTTAGGTCCTAAAGAGTTTATAAATAATACCCCATGTACTACTTCAATAGAAATATTTCACCATTTTCTAGCTTATATTTTACCTGAATTATCTGTTTCAAAGCATTTGCCATACACTCTGAACCCTCCTCCTCGCATATGTTCAATCTCCACTATATCAGGGATTGCCTCCAGAAGCTGATTAAGTGATTTAAATTCCAATCTTTTATAGTTAATTTCCTCACCAAACCTTCGCTTAAAAGCTGCAGCAAACATGGAGCCAAGTAACCCTGATGGATAACCAGTCAGAAGTTCTTTTATTTGTGTTCTTATGAAGTGAGGTAGAACTGGTGTTTGCTCAGGTTGATATGAGGTGAGACGTTTCTTTCTCCTGGGAGAACTTTTCTTTTGCCTGGCAACTAAACGAGCTATGTGTCTTGTAGTAGCATCAGGAATACCTGATTGAAAACAGATAAACAGAGAAATAGATTACTAGAGAAATATGTCATACAATGTTTATTTGTACAATTAGAAAGCACAGTTCTTCTAAAAATTTACTACTTAACACATTTAAAGATTGCAAACAGTAACCCAGCTGTTACAAAATTGTCTATAATATGCTAATATTATTGATTATTGCTGCCGCTATTTTGAAACCAGTTCAATGACCTGAACAAATTCACATCAGATGGTAAGCAAAACAACGTAACCTGCTGCTCATAGCAACTGATAAAGAAGACTTCACTGTAAATTACGGTTTTGAGAGCTGGGCAACCCATGTTTCCACGACCAGAGCATTCAAGCACTCGGCGATTCTTCAAATTGTGCAGAGGATAAAAAACCTTTCATTCAAGACTTAACTTGGAATGTTGCAGCACATAAATGTTACTTTACTACTCGGGGTACTAAAACAAAAGGCTAAGATGGTTCAGCAACACTCACCTCGAAGAACCAACACGCCATTTTCCCAACTTGGTCGAGCAACATCTGACAAGTCTTTTAATAAGTCTAACGGAGTATTGTGACCCAATTCACGAAATGGAAACGGCTTTCCGATCATACATTTATAATCTCTCTGAATCTCTGCCACTGTGAGTCCATTTTGCACGGATAAAAGAAGCCCGCGAACATTTTTGGTGACCTCTTTGCGAAGAGCTTCTTCATCGTTTCCACGTGTCGACTTTTCGTCCTTGGCTGCCATCGTCTGAGCTCCTAACATGTTACTTCATTAGTTTCACGTGTAAAACACTACTAATAGCCTCTCTGTATTCAAGGACGAGAGACAAGGCTTGCTGCTTCCCTTGGACTTCCACATGTTAGGACTGGAGGATGTTTGAGTATCAGCAGTACAGCTTTGGCGGGAATGAAAACACACACTAGTTGAGTAACCTCGCCTCCATGAAGACCAAGGAAAACTGGAAAGCATTGATCGAATAGCACTTTTCCAAGATGGCGGACCATGAAAGCCATTCAAGACGAAAGCTATTTTTCAATTTTAAACACGAAGCGTAGTTGTAAAATAGAACAATAGGAATGATACTCTAGCTGATTTCTTTGCAAAATGGAGTCAGTCACGGAACAAATGACCAAGACAGATTTAGGTTACGAAATACCTACTTGGGACAACTGGTCTCCCCTCGCAAAATTTTATCACCCTTTACAAGCTGGCAGCATTGATGGAACTGACACAGTGCCACATGATAAGGCAGTAATGCGTGCGATGCTTGCAAAGTGTAAGTTAAATTAGCTATTCATCGCCATTTGGTGAAATGCAGCTTATGCATATAGGTTTGCTTGTAAGTTTGTTTTCCCAGCTGTGTTTTAGTTATTATTAATTGCAGTCATTTCATTTTCGCTCGCTACATAATAAGATAGATTATAAACTCATTGTGGTTGGTTCTTAATCATGATCTATTTGAGGATATACGCACAGATGACATCAGCATAGATGATAATTTTATCTTCTTCTCTCTAGATAAGCCAAACAAAAGAGTAACTGGTGATCCAGACAGCACTTTATTTGTTGGAAAACTAAGCAAGGACACTAGTCAAGGTTAGAAATATCCAAATTTATAATATTTTTTCCAACAAAAAGAGAGAAACTGATGGTTATTGTGATATTCACCAATAGTATTTCATGAACCTTATATGCTTAAAGAATCAGACTGTAGCAAAAGACAATAAATACAAAAACAGTGCAATACATGCAGCACTTGTAAACATAGTCACAAGACTGCAGTTGTATTGTTTATACTCATAATCCAGCTCTCTTTAATATTTTCTTTTAGCAACTGTGTACAAGATATTTGCAAAATGTGGAGAGGTGACAAGATGTAGGCTAGTTAGAGATGTTGGTAAGTAGAATTTCTCAAAAAGTTGAACAATATATTATATATCATGTCATAATTTCCTTGGCAATTGAGAGCATTTTGTGTATAGTAGCAGGAAAATGTTGTAAAGTAAGAGGACTTTCTTCTCCATATCTGACTTAACCCTTTCACCCCCAAGATTTCATTAGCAATTCTCCTTACTATCTGCCATACAGTTCTGGTGATGTTGGTTTGGAGAATTTGGTATTGGATCAACTTATATTCCCTTAATTTCTATTTTTCTTTATTCTCATCCCTTGTCTGTGTGATATTGTATTGATATTGTAAAGAGAAATTCTGTCTTGGTCACTCATGGGAGTTAAAGGGTTAAAAACAATTCAATTCATTGAAATCTAGCCACAGTTTTCTGAATAGTTGCTGTAGAATTCTCTCCTCTGATGCTCTACAAACACTCTACTGACCTATTAGTGGTCAACTGAACTTAGCAAACTGCAGAGTTTTTCTGTTTATATTGTGAGTGAAGTGAGTTATTTTTGGGGTTAAAAGATTTTTATGGCCCCCAAACACAACTTCAATAGGCTCTTTATCTGAATGATTACATATGAATTTGAACCACTTTGAAATAGATTTCAATTAATTTTGTTCGCCTTTTTTTTTCCATTCCCAAGGGCATTTATGAAAAGGGAAAGTATATATCTTACTGGTCTGAATTAACTTTTCAATTGCAGCATACTTACCAGGCACTTCCAAAAAGTATTATTAACTGCCTCTTGGTACTGAAAAATAGCATTAAAGTAGTTCCAGTAAAAGCTGTTACTGAAGGCTTACCATTGCCTATAAGTCTTCTTACTGCTATCCATTTAGCTTGCATGCAGGCATTCTTGTTTGAGTTTCTCCTTGCTTCCCCTTACCAGGCACAGCTGTCTATATATTACACCATTGGAAGCTGCTTTTGGAAAAAGTTATCAAAACCCCTGGATTAGTTTTCTAACCTTTGAGTAAAAGTAGCGACAGCATCTGCAATCACTGACAATGATTCAGCAAGAAACAATATTCTCTTCTTCCTACAGTATAACAGGATTATTTTTATGACTCAAAGTATTTTGATACAGAATTATACATTATGGGAAAGATTCTTCAATCGAGGTTTGTAATTTGAACTTTTCCTTTTCTTGCAGTGACTGGATTTTCCAAAGGCTATGCATTTGTGGAGTACAGAAGTGAGAGAGATGCTAATTTGGCCTGGAGGGTGAGTGGACTTTAAGTATGAACCTGAACTTGATAGCTCAAGGAAGGTAATGATCAGTTGTTTCATTCAATTACTCTAGGAACTACATGGTAAAGAAGTAGATGGCTGTACCATATTAGTAGAATATGAAGCTGCAAGATCTCTTAAAGGCTGGATCCCAAGACGTCTGGGTAAAGGCTATGTCTTTATTTGTTTGAATATCATGAAAACCTTTTGTTGTTAGAAGGCATTTTAAAAAGATATTCAGATATCCCGTTGGAAGCATTAGATAGTGAGTTTTTTTACCAGTTAATGGAGTGTTTGAGAGCTAAAATGGAAGCAAACAATTAAAATCATTAGTCAAAGAAGTAAAAACTCAGTTGAAGGAAATACATGCTGCGGTGATCAAAGTAACAGAGGCAAAATATGTATGACCAACTCAAAGTATTATTTTGGGGCATGGCTTTACCTCTCATGGGTTTCAAGAAGTTGTATTCATTTTTTGAATCAAAAACTGATGCAAAAGTTAACAACACATAGGTAATAAATGTTTTAGCTAAGATTACTTTTCATACCAGTGGATAATGTTGAACAAAAAATTCACAAGTTTTTATCATTTTAGGAGGTGGCTTTGGAGGAAAGAAAGAATCTGGACAACTGAGGTTTGGAGGAAGGGATCGTCTCTTTAGAAGACCAATGTGAGTTGTTTAAATACAGTTTGTTTTATTTGTTCAAAATCCCCACTCCACCCCAACAGTTAGAAATGAATTATATATTTCCAAATTAGGGACCTACTGGAATCCAGTTATCATGGGTCATGCCTGAGCCTTGGTTGGTTCATTTTGGTCTTGTGCAAAATACTTGATTATCACATGGCAAAGTAGTCCTGAGGTGAAACGGAGAGTTCTAATTGGTTCTTACTTGGTCCATATTTTGGCATATTGACCGTTTCCAAAAGCTGGCAAATTTAAAAGGAAAACGCTGGGGAATATTGACCCCCAGTCATTTTTGTAAAGACCTTCCTCTGCATTGTCTGTACTGTCACAACCTTGGGCCAATATTACTCAGTTAGTAAGAAACTATTAATTTTCACAGTACTTCCCTGCACATATAAGTGTAAACGGGTACTTACAGACTATCAAGGAAAATGGATGAATTTCTGGGAGGTAACCTGCAGAGTATTAGTATTTGGTCAAGTAGGAGTAGCAGTGCTTCTGGTTGTCTCATGCCAAGGAAACCAGGAAAAGCAGTAGTGGGTTCGAAGGGTTGTATCACTTCCCCCTGATTTCCAGTAAGGTTGAAATAATGGAACAACAGGCTTCAAAATAAAAATGAAGGCTTCTCCTGCACGCCAGGTGTATTTTTTTTTGTTCAAAGGGATGGGAAAGAAAGTTTGAAAGCTGCCATGATTGTGCATGAGCTGTAAAAGAATTTTTCAGTGGTTGTTCTCCCGGCCTCCACAGTCCCTGTATCATTTGTCTTTGTAAGAGATCTGTTAGCCAGGGCGGCTTGTATTTGAACTTCAAGTCGTTGTAAAACATAATGACAGATTAATTTACTTTTTCTTTACAGTCCAACACAACAAATTGGAAACCAACACAAGTTTTTACGGGGTTCGCGAGATCACGAGGGAAATCGTGGACCACGTGAAAATACCCGTGACACTTATCGTGAAAGAAACAACGACAACGTTCGTGAGAATTATTCCCAACGTGAGCGTGATCGTGATCGAGATGGATCTCGTGACAAACGGGAACGTGACAAAGAAAGCTCACGAAGCAGTTCTTACTTTCGTGATCGCGAGGGCGATACTGAAGGAAAGCAATACCGTGAGCGTGACAGTAATAGATCGCGTGATCGTTACAAAGACCGTGAACGTTATGAAGAAAGTGAAAGGTCTCGCGTTAAAGAAAGACATAGCCACCGCGAAAAACGAAGGGAAAGTTACGAGACTGGTGATAAAAGGAGATACGAAGAAGGAGACGGGGAGATGCGGTAGTGTGTAGTTCAAAGAAGCTTAATGCAGCTGTCGAGTGAACTATTTGTTGTCACCGAAAGGTAAGCCTTGCAATTCTAAGGATGGCAACAAATCGGTATTGACCTTTCAAGTAATGCAAGAAAGGAGATTCGCTTCTCGATGAGGCGGAAGAGCCACACAACATCAATAATACTCGAGGTTATTCTGCCACTTTAATTAGTTCGTCTTTAGTCTCGCAGAGTTGTTCATGATCATCTTGTGGATTGACAACACCGAGTTTATGGTAGAATGTTGAAAAGTTATACAAGAAAAAAAGTTGCTGCTTTTGGAATACTCGACTTACTTTGTTCGGACTCTTAGAGTAGCCTAAGGGTGATACCCCGAGGTAAATTAATTGATAGTGAACAAGAGATTATAATCTCTTAGTCTTAAATAAATTAACAGTTAAAAGGAAACTAATTTATTTGTGATCAGTTCACCAAAGCCTATTTTGTTTATCTCGGGGTTGTATGATATTCAACTTCCTTGTTTATACGAATGGTCTCATCTGCTGACGAGAATCAAACCTGCGATCAGGCGTTCTTTTTCCGGGGGGAGCGCGATACTGTAACAGCGCAGAAGGAGGCACCTGGGTGTTACTCCGCCTTCCTACTCTGGCGCAGCAGCACTATCATGTTTCCCCCCGGAAAAAGAATGCCCGGTCGCAGTATAATTAGATGAAGATCTTTTCCAGTTCCGCGAATTTTGCTAACTGGCGGATATTGCTTGCGACGACTATTTATCATCAAAAAAACGTTTGAGTAAAGCTTATGGAGCATTCTTTGGAGATGAAAAAGTTCGTTCCTGAATTATAGTCAATATGACCTCTATGCAGTAGCATTTATATCCTTTCATTGAAATGAAAATTACTTAGCAAACCCGCGCGAAGCATTTTAAGGAAAAAAAAATCGTTAGTGACCAATAATTTTTGTCAGAGCAAGGGACCTTGTGTTTACCGTCTCTTGATGAAAAATGTTTAAACTGGTATGCACGACTATTGAAATAATGCACGTTTATATTTATTTATTTACTTGTCTGAAAAAAGGAAAACTAGGTGACAAAATCGCAGTATTATTTTCCCACTCAATAACAGTCAAAATAAATTGTCATGCCGTTACACTATAGATCAAGTCTCCTCAAATGAAGAAATAGTGGGGAACAAAACAGTGAGAGAGGAGAGTCATTGTAATTTGCATAATCAAAGAACGGCCAGTCATCTAACGTAGCCAGACGTTAGCTTGGTCGTTTTAAAATGTTCGTGACGCACATCGTTCATTAAAATTATTATTTCTGTGCACAGCTGCGTAAAATTAAGCACTTGTGGGAACCGTGACGAATTTCCTTTGTGGTCTGTTTTGAGGTCAATCAAAATCCTTGCACAAATATCGGGCTGGGTAAAGTACGTTTAGTAAAAATCATGAGGTTTCAAAAAAAATGAACCCAAATATCAGACGTTGACGTGCATGCAAATTTTACAATAATAGTGTGGTAATGTACTTCTAATAAAGTGACTCTTAATTCCATGTGACTTGTTGACTATACACAATATTTTTAGTGAGTTGTTTATTGGTCTCTTGGGTGTTTAATCTGCCATATAAGGCAAGGCACGAGTTTCCAGCCGGTAGGTCTATGAAACAATGGATTTTATAGGCTACAAATGTTGAAACGTCCGATACAGCATAATGAGCCATAAACAGTATTAGTCCTTACGGCAAGTAGGCAGCTATTATCGATTTGTGTTGGGGTCAGATGCCATATTTATACTGCTGATTCACAGAATTAGAATTTTCGTCCAATATTACTCGTTTCGAAATAATGACGTCCTTATTCTAAGCAAGAGGCTTTTTATTTGACAGTAATTTGCATGAAAATAGTAGTGTCGTTTTTCGGCGAGTTTGTACAGAACTTAACTATTTCTAAAGAAGATTAAGTCAGCTTTTAAGTGATTTTCTGCATTAATAAGGTTTGTTTTGACACTTGGCTATTATGCAAAGTAATATCCGTCTATGCTTGCTCACAAATGTTAAACTTTGTGCAGAGGTCATTCACTAGATGAACGAGAATGGTCAATTTTTGACAAACTCTGAAAATAGAATTAGACTGGAAAGTTTTTCTTCTTTTTCTTCTTCCTTGATGGACTAGTAACGTCCATTTATCATGTTTTCCTGAGTCTTCCTTTTGTGTAAACCCTTTTGAGAACTATATACATAATAATTAAACACGACCGACTGTCGATCTAACCCTCATCCAGTTAGAAAATTTGCATGCTTTTTCCAAAGGAATTCAGTGCTAGCAACTGTAAACAATTAAATCTCCTGCAGCGATTGTGGAAATTTTAATCCAATAGGCTTTTGTACATAAAGAACTTTAAATTTTCATATAATTTGTGGTAAACAATCGGACGCCGGCCAAGCGATTGATATCACCAATCAGCGAGTGTTATGGCCTGTTCAAGTGCCTGCTTCAAATATTTATTTAACCGTGTGACATCATCAATACACTTCCACGCATCACCGAGCATGAGCGAATTTAAGTCGCGGTTCTGGGAATTGTCGCGTCATTTCATAATCCTTTTAGACTCGAACTGCCAAGAGATTTCAAGCATTTAGGAAGTTTTACAATTTTCTAAAGGATTCATAATGATGGAAAAATCCCTGTCAAGTAAGGAGCAGCTTTGTCATATCGTGGATCGTTAAGCGCCGGTCGCTGAATATTCATACAAACAGGTTGTCCATTACCAAGGAAAAATCTTTCGATATGACTACCGTTTTACCGGCATGGAAAGTGGAACTGATAGAAAAGAAGAAGAGAAAGGAACAAGACCAGCGACAGAAGCTCGAACAAGAGAAATTCCGCAAAACATCTATCCCAGAATGGAAGCGATCGCTGATAGAAAAGAAAAAGGAGAGTACCATCGATTCTCAGGAAGTTAAGGAACAAGCCTCACATGTCAATACTTTGTTTGGCCCACGGATTGTACGTAAGGCATCGCAGACCAATTCATTGGTCGTAAATTCAAGCTGTAAGCAAGTTGTCAAGAATGGAGAAGTAGACAAGACGAGAAAGATTGTAAATGATATCAACGCGAGCCAGGGTGGTCCTGCATTGTATTCAAGCCCCGCCGACACAAATAGTTGTGTTACCAAAGGTGTCGAGATTCCGACAGAACTGGAACACAAACCAAACAAACCGGGCACTCGAATAGAGATCGAAAGCAACCAGGAAAGTTCACAACGAGCGAATTTTATTGCAAACGGAGTGGACTTAAAGGCAACTTTGAATGATGATAACCCTTCCGTTTTAAACCCTAACAACGACATTAGACACGTCAAGACACCATCTGTTCTTAGCTATCGACGAATGTTCGAACATTCGAAACCAGAAATAAACGGCGAAACGAACGTGCCGCGACTCCTTAAAGGCACCGAAAATAAAGCCCGTGTTCGAAGCGATAAGAGGACTGTAGAAAGTGCCTTAGGCGCTGCTAATGGCGAATCACATCAATCTTCCTCACAATTGCAAATTTTGACCACAAGTGCCGTGGACAGTGTACAATCAATCCCTGAAACTGACAATTCATCAAGTTTGCACGTAGATTCGATCGAACGAAAATCATCTATTCTAAGACCTTTTGTCGCCCCTAAACCATACAAAAATTATGTCGCTACTCCTCCGTGGCTTAAACACGATGCATCGAAAAATTCTGCGTTCCTGGCTGGCAAGGAAGAGTTACTGGTAGCTAATGTTAATGGTGAAGTACCTAATGCCACAAAAGATTTGGAAACTTTAGGTCACAAGAAAGATGTGGTTCTTGATTCTAAAGGGGAAGATGATTTTGAAAATTTTGATGGACAGCCACTGCGAGCCAAGTTTAACGATCACAGTGATCTGGTCATACCTCTCATAGATTCACAAAGAGAAGAAGCTTTACAAACATGTGCTCAGAAGACAATTGTACCACAGGAACAAAGTCTACAGAAATATTTACTTGTCAAGAATACAGACTCAAAAGAGGAAGTGAGATCCTTTAAGTCTGATGAAAATGTTGACAAACAAAAGTACATTCTGATGGAAGGGAAAAGTCAACAAGAATTAATTTCTTCCAATAATGTAGACAAAAAAATAGCTAGTGCCACTCTAAACAATGTTTCCAACGTTCCCCATGAATCTTCAACTCCCAAAGCAGATGATATTTTAAATACAAGCTCTATTGATTCATTGCGGAGTAAGTTTGGTGCAGTGGGTGGTTTTCGAAAACGGACCCCATCTGAAGAAAATCTCTCTCTGGGAGGTAGTCAGTCTGAACCATTGAGTGAACAGGGATGTGTTATACATAGGTCTGCAGAGTTAAAGAGACCTGCTCCTCCCATGAAGAGATGGTCAGCAGATGTTTTAAGTTTGATGTCAAAACCAATCGATGATGATGATGATGATGGAGATGTGTCAAATCTGTCTCCTCGCAGTGACACTAAATCTGCCCTTTCATCAGCTAACAGTCAACCCAAGAGACCACCTGCTCCTACAAAGAGATGGACAGCAGATGTCATGAGTGTAGTGTCACCACGGACTGATGACCGAGCCATAAATTCTTCACCTAGAAGCGACTCTAGCAAGAAGTCTTCACCAAGCAGCAGTCTTGAAAGAGGCAAATCATCATCACTGATTGATGTTAGAGAAGATGCAAGTCATGAGTGCTTCCAGCATAAATCGAATGTTGCTCATGGGATTGAACACCGTGTAAACAAGCTGATAAGAAGAGCATCAGTGTCAGACCTGTTGCTTGTTGATGATGAAGAATCAGACTCAACAACTGAAGATGACCCTATAAGTGAGGCATACTTACATGGCACATTTGAGAATGAAATCACCTCCACCGATCATTTATTTACACCAAAAGAAAATGACGAGTTTTTGCCAACCACTGTTCATTCACCTGACCAAGATATCAAACCAGTATTTGCACGAAAGCGTAGTGTTTCAAGTGACATTGAGCACAGGGTTACAGAACTTCTTCATAGGCAGTTATCACAGCAATCAGACAATGATGATTCAGAAGAGGAAAAGACCTTAGAAAGTGATTCAAAAGTGACTGTTGTCAAGGTGGAGGACAGTGTCAAAGAACTGACTCCAGAATCACTGAAAACTGAGACTGTGCATTTAGTTGAGACCAAGCCAGTTGCTCCTGCAGACCCTGAGCCTGCTGAGGCTTCGGAGCAGATCAAGCCAGCGAGGGGGTCTGTTCATAAGCTGTCAGCATTGTTTGGTTCCAGTATTTGGAAACCAAACAAGAAAGACAAGAGCGCACATGAAGAAAAATCCAAGAAAAAAGTTAACTATCTGGACATGTCACATGCTCCAGTGAAAACAGGCAAAAAAAGCTCATCAGAGGAAAAGGTTGATAGCAAGAAATCCACTCTCTTTAACAGGTCTAACAAGACAGAGGCAAAGTCAGTGCAGAAGGAGAAACAGCAGTCAATATTTCCTTGGATGAAAAAGAATAGCAAGGATAAAGAGAGTACACCAAGCCATAAAACAAAAGAGGTTATGGACAGAAATCAAAAGAACAATAGTGGTCACCCAAAGGATAATTCTGAAACAGTATCACTCACTTCTCATGGTTTACGACCAGTGGGCAAGACTGGAAAGGTGGAGCAGCGGTTGGTGGGTAATGTTGTTATAATAAGTGATGCAAGCCATGACAACACACCTCCAAAGGGTGTTTACCACAAACCAAAATCAAGTGTTCAGATTTCTGAGCCACAGAAAGAGGAGAGTTATATGGGGAAAGTGAACCATCCAAAACCAGAGGAGAAAAGAGCTGAAATTTGTACTTCAGGTGTTGTGACCCAGGAATGGAATGGAAATTTGCAGAGCTCAGAAGTGGAAAAGAGCATGAGTGAGTCAGTTCCAATAACATCAATTGATGAGGTGCCAGTATCTGCCATTGACATCCCAGAGTTGCCCCATGATAGTGATGTCACTGTATCTGTGATTGATGTTCCACCTTCTCCAGATGTCCGTAGTTTCCAAAATGTTTCCTCTGTGAATGGTTTCCAAGAGAAAGTGGAACACACTGATGATGATGTTCATATTTCAGTGATTGATGTGCCATCACCTGTTATCAATGAACAGACAAATGCCTTCCAGGATGGGTACTTGGAAACAGATGAATTTTCTGATGGCAGTGATGTGGATGATGTGGAAGGAAGCTATGATTTTGCCACTGGTGAAGTGACACACCTAGTTAATGGTGACATTTCTGAGGATGAGGATGAGGATGAGGAGGATGGTGAGGAAGAACAGGAGGAGTACAATGACAATGAAGAGGATGTACCTATATCTTACATAGGAGCTGCCCCTCAATATCCAGTACCTCAAGTGGTCTTTAACTCAGAACCAGTCAAGTTAAAGTCATGTTTAAGTCCAAAGACAGAGAGAAGGAGGGTAAGTCTCATCCCAATTTTTTTATACCCTTTCCCTCCCAATATCTCAGTTATAGTAATTATCCTTTTTGTCTTCCAAACAATACCTATATTAGTTTAGAGAATTTGGTTTTGGATTGACTCATTATTCCCCAAATTGATATTTTCTTTCTTCTCATCACCTCTTTGTTCATATTGTAGTGATATTGTAAGGAGATATTCTGTCTTGGTCAATCATGGGAGTTAAAGGGTTGTTGGAGCTACATCATGGTTTTTCACTTTAAAAAAATTCATTTTCAATGTACAAAATTCATCATTTGTATTACTGTGTTTATCTTTATTATTGTTAACCATTCTAATCCTTCTTTGTGTTTTCTTTCTTCTTTTGTGTCTGGCTATCTTAAGTTAGCAAAATCAATGATGATTTCATAGTTTTTTTGCTGGTTCAAGGCAATCTTCCTTGACTCTCAATAAATTGCAAAAGGACTCAAAATATTATGACACAGATTCTTCAAGTAGATGCATTTATGCCACTGTGTAGCTGTGGTTGTGAGATATTTTCATGTGAATGGAGACAATTCTAATAAGCCTTTTGTTGTTGGTGATGGAAAAACCACTCAAACCACCATAAAAGAAAACTAGAGGTGTGAAATGAAATAGTAAACATTCCCTAACCCTTTCATTTTCAGTTAAACTATTATAATTTTATACTAAAAAGTAAACATTTAGTTTTGTAAATTTGCATCATTTGACCTTCACCACTTAGATTAAAATTTGCCCATTTGCCTCTTCATGGTTATACCAATTAAATTAGGGAAAAAACCTCAATACAAACTAGTCTAAGATATATTTCTTTTCCATGAAAATGTGAGAAAAAATGGAGACCATTGTTTCCAGACTAAGAATTGTTGACAGCAGATGGTTTAATATCCATTTCATTAGGTCATTCCAATTTATATTAAATTTAAAGTGGCAATAAACAGTTTTAATTAGTAATGAAATGTATTTGACATTGGGGAAAAAAAAGAAATCATGCAAGGAGTAATCTTTACTTAAATAGCTGTTTTGTTTTATTAGTATTGAATATTTAAATTAGTGTAAATAATTCATAATTTTTACTTGTCCTTGGCTGGATTTTCTTTTAACTTTTGAGCCAGGAAAATTTTTTCACTTTTGAAAATATTCAATATTGTTTTTGTACCTGATGAAAACTAATTATGGAAAACAGACATTTTAACAAAAAAGCATTAACTGTCAAAACTTATGCAAGGCTTTTTTCACTATAGTGCTAAATTTTACTATTTCCATAATATTGATGAATCAATGAAATTGTGTGTTAAATTTTATTATTTGGGGTTTTTGTTTTGTTTTGTTTTGTTTTTTTGTAGATCTTAAAGAGATACTCACTTATGATTTCAGACCATGAAAACTTGAACCAAACGGCTTTTTAAAAAGAATCTTTCCTTTATTGCTCATCATTTGTAATTTGATGAAATCTTTAAGAGCTGCATTTTGCATTAAATATTCAGCAAATATTCAACCTGGCCCACCTGCATTTCTTTACCAAGATAAAAAAAATGTCTGTGATATTTAAATATTAAATATTAATGTAGTATTTCTTTTGTTCACAGTAACACATACAGATAATTACTTTTAAAGCAGCTTATCACTTGAAATTCAATACATCAGATGACCTTAAAATAGCTTTTACACAGAAATCAATGTTGATTTGAGGATTACCTGTGATTCTCAGTAAAGGGAAAATGTTTTTCATTTTGCTAATGAAAATTATTTAAATGTGTCTTTATTAACTACCATGTCATTAAAACATGTCTCATTTCTCTTTCCTAAGAACATGAATTGATAAGTCATGGTAACTGTCAAGGCAACTGTGTATTTGTCAATAATTTTTCCTTTTAAGCACCAATATAAAAAAAACCCTAAAAATCCTTCAAGAATATTTAAGCAGAGGCAAAAGACTAGATTGTTAGTGTCTGAAGTATTACTTACTATGATTTTTCAGTTTTTATGTTAACACAGGTGTAGTTTTGAAATATACACTTAAAAAAATAACATGTGAAGTTCTCTGACTAGATTGTTCAATTGTCAAATGTAAATATACATGTGAAAATTTCAGCCTACTCTGCAGTTGAGAATATAGCAATTAATCCAAACCTTGCACAAAGTTGACATTGTCTGTAGACTATGAATATATGGATTTTTTTTCCACACAATGTGGAATCAATAGTCACATTCATTGACCGTCCATTATGAATCAGCAACTGTTTTTTTTGTTTTTTATTTTTCATGAAATTTGAAAAAGAAATGAGTATTTGTAATGTACACCTGCTGAATAGGTGAAGGCTTCTCAACAAACTTCCTTTGATGTATCAACATTAGATTTAAATCATTATTGTTTGGAAATAGATGAAGGAAACTGAAGAAGCATGCTGATTGGATTTCTTTGTGTCCTCTGAACAGCTCTTAACTTCATTGTAAGGAGCCCTTTGAATCCAGCAAAAACTTTAAAGTCAAACTCAAGCATAGAAAAATGCCCTAGAGCAAATTGCAACAAATTGTTTTTCCACACTTTGTTTGCTGTTATTCCTTTGGGAATAAAAGTTAAGTTTTTTGTCTTGCAATGTAGTCACATATAATGTAGATTGTGATGTTTCAACTGCATACTGCTAGTCTTCTTCAGGCGATGAGGTACTTGACTGGTCATGCATGATCTTATAAAGCATGATGCTCTGCTGTGATAAGTCGTTTTTCAGCAGCTCTGCTTGGTGCATTTCGATCCTTGCTGTTTCACTCAGTGATTTGCTCCCTCTGCAGTCTGCTGTTGCATAGCTCTCCTGTTGTTGTGTTTTTTGATCATGGGCATTTGCGCTTCTGGAATTTCTATTCCACTATCCCTTTTGATGTTAGGGTAAGTGTTATAAGACACAAAACGTTGTGATCTACATCATATGTGACTACTAAACTTTTTTTACAAAATATTCCTTTGGGGTTTCTTAATTATTTGCCTCAAGTAATTAAGCCACAAAACTGTTTTGTTGACAATGAAAAGTCACACATCAGCAGAGATCTTAATAAAAACAATATCACTTTGATTTTCAGGTGAACAAAGTAAGAGTTTCTTTCAAGAGCACTCATACAGTACATGACTATCCTTCTGAAGAAACTGTTGCATCAGTCTATGATGACTATGAAAGAAATGGCTCTAGGGAAATAAAAACCTTGCAAAATTATCAACCTCCTGGCCTGGTCAATATGGAAAAGCAAATTGGGCAGATGGGAGGCCATTTTCAAGACCCTGTGACAACTCCACAACAGGCTGGTAAAAGCATTGTCACTGTTAATGAGAGTCATTCAGAGATCAAGTATGCTGATGAAGGACAAGGCTTCACAGATTCTACTGATTATGCAAGTGCTCTGTTGTTTTAACTCATACACAGTGAGAAAATTTTCAGGATGTTGGTAAATTGTGCTCACCCATGAAAACCCATCCACATTAACATTATTTTTCAAGCTTTAAAAATTGGACTTCAGGAGCTAATGTTGATAATTTAACTAATGAGCATCTTTTCAAAAATAGAGGGTTGTAGATATTATGTTTGTTACAAGCATCAAGTCAATACAGTTAAGGTTAGATCTTTTTAGTGTTTTTTTTTTTTTTTCGTGCAATATGCACAGGAAAATTAGATCAGTTTAGCAATGCTGTCAAGACTGCAATTTCATAGACAAGTTGGAAGAATTTCATGGGGTGATTATTAGACAAACTATTGCAATGACCAGACAAATCAATTATTGCGAGACAAGTTGCAAAAAAATTCAATAGCATTACAAGTGGTTATGTGTAATACCAATAGTTGTATGTACTTTCAATGAGTGAATCCCACAATAAGCTAGTACTTTCCAGCATGAAAATTATGATTGAAATTTTTTTAGGGGCTATATTATTTTGTGATTCTGAACATTGACATGGAAAGAAATTGACTATTTTCAACTTATTAGACAAACCATTGTAATGACCAGGCATATCAATTATTGCACGACAAATTGCAAAAAAATTCAATAGTATTTCAAGTGGTTATGTGTAATACCAATAGTTGTATGTACTTTCAATGAGTGAATCCCACAACAAGCTTGTACTTTCCAGCATGAAAATTATGATTGAAATTTTTTTAGGGGCTATATTATTTTGTGATTCTGAACAATGACATGGAAAGAAATTGACTATTTTCAACTTATGTGAAACTTGTTTAGTTATACTGATGGCAAGGTCGCAAAAGATTTAACTTGATTGACTGAAGAGTTTTTTCTGATGGTAACAAAATTTTGCAGATTCTTATTTTGTAGAATTTGTTTCCACAGGAACATATTTCTGGGGGTTAGGGACAAACCCTGAAAAGCAGAAAAAAATATATGATTCAGGCTTTACACACCGTAAAGCAGATTGAAACAAGTTTTCGTTAAATGTATAGTTTTGCAAAGAGTGACATAGTAATTTATTGGAAAGGACTATGCTATTACTGTATGACTAATCAATTACTGCCAGTCCCTGAAAGAACTGTACCAGAGTATAGCTTTCTTTGAATTAAGTACAGCAATTCACTTTGGGCTGGTCAATAATTAAAGAATTTTATTTTTAATTTGTGCATAGCAAGACATAGCAACAATCATGCATTTTTATACGTGGAATTTTTGGTTGAAAATATCACAGAATTCAGCCAGTGGAATTATTTAGCCATTCAAAAAAGCCCTATGAGAAAAGGAAAATTTTTGACAGAAACCTTTTTTAAACCAGTGTCTTTTTTCTTACGAGTACTTCTGATCTTTACATTCTGCAATTGTATTATGAGGCATGTGTTTCTAAAAACAGATGAAAATCTTAGAAATTTGAAGATTATTCATATTCATCAATTGATTGGTAAATGCTCAACTTGAGTAGGGTTCTCTTCAAGTATAAGACTGAAATGAGTCATTTTTATCACTTTCCTTGATATCAGCTTTTTTTTAACATGAAGTTGCTCAACTTTTGAAAAATACAGCCTGCCAAATGTTTCTTGATACCAGGTTGAGCTTCATGATCCAAGAGGAACACAATTACAGTGATGCCTTACAGACCTTACTGTGTTTCTCAGAGTGTATATTTTATTGACAGATGTTTGAAATAAAGGTAAAGGGTGCCTTTCTTTAATTAGAATTTTAAGGGTTGCAGAATGTAAAGAAATGAAGTAGAGAGATTGTTAATGGTAAGTTTTAAACAATTTTTAGGAATAATGTGTGTGATGTACAAAGTAAATGTAAGTATTGTGCAATAGAAGAGTGGTGTAAATAGAATGGGATGAATATTTCACTCCTGGAACTGTTGCCACATGAGTTCAATCCTTTTAATTTCTATTAAATGTAATTTTTGAGTGATGTAAAGAACTATACAATGGCTAATAAAATAATGGTTAACTGTTTTAACTTGAAATAGTATCTTTTTTTTGTTGATGATGATATTTCAACAATTTTTCAGTTCTCTGTTTACTTCTTGTTTTTGAGTGCCCTTTCACAATTCTTAACTTTTAGTTAAGAAGTTACCATCAGCAGCAATACATTTTTTAAACCTGAGCCAAAGAGTGGGAAATGTGCAGAGGCTTTTCCAGGCAAATATTGGAACCTTAGTACTTCAGTGGAAAGATACGTAACAGTATCTGATCTGTGCTTCCATTTATTTGCCCCAGCTTCATATATTGTGTTTACTGGAACAACAAAGGTTAGAAATTCCCATATGGCTAGTTTGTGATGACATTTGCTGTTATCTGCCTGACTTGGGTAACCTGTAAAATCCATTCACAAACTGCAACTCTTGGTCTTTAACTTTGCGATCTAGGAACCTTCTCAGGTCATCCACACTGCACTGGCTTGATGAGGGTCCTTGCATAGCAAACATCCGCAACATGGAATGTATTCTGTCTAACGGCAGACTTTCCAGATTGGTCAGCATACCAACAATGTAAGACCAAAATACCTTGTAGAAAAAAATTGAAAAAGCTCCACAAATTTTATCATTAAATAAACAACTTATATGGAAGCAGGGCTGGGTTTTTTCCCGTGGTGACCAAAGTTCAACTCATAAACCATGCTTAAAAAATAGGGAGCAGGTTTAGTTCCGATCAATCTTGGTTTTAATCATGTAATTTTTGGCGATTGACAAGCAGGTAGGGTAGGGTAGGGTAGGGTAACTTTATTTATACATGATATGTATAAAAGCTGAAAGCTTGTGGGGTTGTGTACAATAAATTACTTTGATATTAAAAAATAGATAAAATGTTTTTTACAAAAATTACAATATATTACTTCGATCAGTAGTTAAAATGTAAATAAAATGAACTTTTACAATATATATCAATAAGACAGAAAAACTAACTTAATTTCAATTATATACAAAATCGTCATGTTCAAAACTAGCAGTCGAGGCTGATAATACGTTAAATTTAACAGCCTTAAAAAGATTAGAAGTTTTGAGCTTTTTTACAAGGTTACAAAGGCTTGTGTCAGCAAGGTCAGTGTATCTGGAAGACAGCATATTCCAAAGGGCAGTGCCTCTATATAGGTAAACTTTAACCATAAAGAAGCATTTACATCTCATTTTCTTTTCAACAACTGACAAATGTTTGCACTGATTCAATACCTGTAATTCCTCCTCCCTTTGATCATGTGAAGAAGCCATAACAGATTCTATCTCTGCATCCATGACAACTTCTGCAGACACAATCAAAAGTTTTTGCAACTAAGAACTTGTATTTTTCCATTCCACAATTTCTTTCAGATAATTATGATAAACGAATAAAGTAAAATTTAGCTGTGCCATATCCAGAAGGTGGCACAAAATTTTAACCTGACAGAACACAAAAGTGAACCACTGGAAACTTGAGAACATTGTGAATCATGTTGAAAACCTCAAGCTAACACAACATCTTAATTAAAATTTTGTCCAAAAAACACATCACATACTACACAGTTTGAAGTTCTCACATCTCTAAATAACATCAGTCTTCTGGCCATTTTCAAAGGTGAACCACACTTTTCAAAAGACCAGTGAATAAAGCACGTAAAGTCAAAATGTCAGCAGTGATGTTGTTTGTTACAAGTAATGTTAAACTGTACATGTAACAAGTATGCCTTATCAGGCAAATACAAAAGCTTCAAGAATGAGCTGTTAACATCTGACCACTGCCATAGTTGTCCATTAACCTGTTTCCTTTCTTTGTTGGAAAAATGCACATCGAGGTGTAACCTTTTCATTGGAATGTTACTGTAAGATTGGCTAGTACTTTTGCTAATTTGTATCATCGTTAGTGCAAGTGATCAACTTAACCTGTAGCTCGTTGTTGTCCTTTTTGTTTTTCCATAACAATAAACGTGTCTGTAGACTCCTCTTTGAGAACACCCTGACTGACCCAGAATCCTAAACGCCTCCTCAGGAGACCAGGAGGAACATGCATCACACCACTAAGCTCTTCCACAGTCCAGCGTTCTGCAAGAGCCAACATATCAAAACAGCATTCCAGTTTGAGCATAATAAGTTAATATTTCTCATGGTTGGATGACTGTGGGAGGGGACTTTTCATTCATCTATTTATTTTCCTTGTTAGAGCAATAATGTGATCTCACCACGACTTTTTAGCACCCTTTTGTTAGATGCTTTGAAAAAGCCCCTAACAGGGGTTTATTAATTTCCGGAGTGTTTTTTAATTTCCGGAGTGCGAATTTTACGATTATTTGGCTCAAAAATCCTTAAAGTAAGACTAATAATCGCAAATGGCATTTCTTGCGATTAATAGTCTGAAAGCGTCTTCTATCACGAATAATAATCGTGGTAAGTACGACTATTAATCGCGTACAAACTCATTAATAGTCGTGTTTGACTGCCTTTTAAACTTAATAGTCGTACATCGCACGGTTAATAATCGCATCTGACAGCAAATGTCCTTATTTATCGCGAGGAAACGTACTCTTCTCCAAAGAAAGTTCAAGCTCAACCTTTTTTTGAACGGCCGCCATTACGACCAAAAATTCAGAATTCAGTATTTCTTCGCACATGGCTTTTTAGGCAATAAATGTCACATATTTGAGGTTTTCTCGGGTTCAAGTTCTCAGTGAACTTCATTTCTGTTCAAAAAATGCGTTTACCAACAAAGTTTTCTTTGTTTTTCACTCTTCCACGAAGTACAGCGCGGGCTTACGGTGTTGTGAGAGACGTAATAAGCATTTCTTCTCGATGATAATGTACACAAATACGTTAATTTTCGACAGGTTCGATTAAATTGAAGTTTAACCGAGAAAAAATACAAACAAACAGCCAAGTAAGTCGAAGTACGTCAAATTCTTCCCAATTACAGCTTCTTGTGAAGCTGGACGTAAGTTTACGAGCAAGCGACAGATGAAAACGGCAGCGGTGAAGAGTGCCAAAGATGGAATATGGTAAAATTTTTTCATGCTTGGATAACTTGCATTCCCTTGCACTAGTAGTCTTGGAAATGCAGAATTGGAAATTGCCAGGCTTAATCCTTTGAAAGGAAGAAAAAGGCAATGTTTAATTGATATCCTTTCCTCGTTTTGTTTTGAAGATACGTAATCCTAGAAAAAAATGTATTGCATTTATGTTGGCGAAGGAGAGAGAAATATTTGAGTCGCGGCCAAATTTCTCCACGCCGCCAGACTCTTTCCAAAACTAGTGCGTTTCCAAAATGGATTCTTCAAGGGCAATAGGGAGAATAATCTAACGGAATGGAAAAACCATTCGCGATTTTTTTTGTGAAAACGTATTTAGAGTTTGCAATGTCACGCCGATTCGGTGAGATGTTTGTTTTGTGATGGTGATATTTATTTAACGGCAAAATATAGTCGTTTTTTACCCGCAACTGATTGCAGGCAACAACAAGAACGGCTTTCCTTCATTTCTTTAAAAAAAAAATAGCTATACTCTTTCATTCAATAAAGTTAAAAATTAATAAAAATATCTGACAATAGTGCGTGACCGTCGACTCAATTCATAGCTACGATTGTTTAGATACGAATTATTTAGATCAGAGCACATACTGTCGCATGGGTTATCATGTTTTCGAAACTTCTTTAATTGATGAGTTTGAGACTACACATACTAGAAACAGTCACAGAGATTTTGAGAGTATTCTTTCAGTTCATCGCAATAACCAAATTGACTCTTCAAGTTGGCTCTTTCCTAACCGCGCGAAAATCATGTTTTCGCGGGAAAAAGTTAAAAAGCTTTTCAGCTGACAGTTGTCTGTAAGGGTCAGATTTATCTTTAATATTATTGTATAACTTCGTACCTTTGTTTTTCACTAATCTCTGGAGCAGTACTTATGAACAACCACGTGTAGATTTCACCAGCTATCTCGCGTATTAAATCTGCAACGCCCCTTCCGTTTTCCGTCGATCGCCTTGATAAAAATCAGTAATCCGTCAACTCATGTATCCCCATCACCATTTCAATTATCTTCGACCACAATTTTACGTCCCTACTGTCTCCATAATCATGAATGTGGTAAAGACACCTTAGAGATCGAACACATTGCCAAAAGAAAGAGCTTCTATGGTGATCAATTGAAAAACTTGCTGTCAAACCTTGACCAATCACAGAGTGCATTTTGCTTCCTACCTTAATCGTGTCTGAAGTATGAGGCGCGATGGACGATACTCTTCGTTCACGCTTATTACCCGTAAGTCACTCCACGTGACATGTAGTGGATTGGTGTATGGAAGTAAGTGTCGATCAGTATTCTGACCATAGACGATGCCGAATATTTTAATTGGGTTACTGTAATATAATCAGCTTTGTCTTTAAAGGGTTGAACTGTTAAACAATTTAATTCCAACTTTCCCCTACATGTCTTTAGAACTATTTTTGTTGGTCTTTGAAAAGTTTTGCTTACTTTTCTGTGATTGGTCAAGCTTTGACAGCAAGCATTGCTATTGGTCACCATGGACGCTCTCTGTTCTGGCGATTTGTCGATCTGCAAGGTCTCCCATCCACACTAACGATTGCAGAGGACGTAGGATTGTAGGGACGTAAAAGTGTGCACGAAGGACAATTTAAACATAGAAATGGGATATTGGCGATTCATCAGTTGGCAGATTACTGGTTATTACTGAGGCTATTAACTGAAAGTGGGTTTGTTTGATCGGAAGAAGAAGCGTTGCGCGAGATTGCTGGTGAAATCTACCTGTAGTGCTCATAACCGCTCAATGAGAGACCACCGTAAAACAAAGGTACGAAACTATATTATCTTACTAGTAGGGATAATTCCACTTAGTCTGTTTTCCAGTAATTGCAGCCGGACTCAAACTCCTCTGAAACTGAGAGAGCTACAAAAAATTATTAAATGAAAGAGCCACGATGGATGATGGTTTCTAAAATGCACTGTAGAATAATAATCACATCACTTCAAGCGGTGTGCAAAGTTACAGATGATAATAAGAAATCGACCATAAAAATAAAGCTTGTCTTCGCAAACAATTACCAGCTGAAAAGCTTTTTTCCCGCGAAAATCGGATTTTCGCGGTAGGAAAGAGGAAGTCGAAGAGTTTTCTTTTTTAGGCCATGGCAAATAAATAAAAGAATACTCTCAAAATCTCTGTGAAAAATGTTAAGGCAGAAAGAGAGAGAAAACTTCTTATTTATATTCCCAACAGATTTTTTTTTTATCTGAGTGGTGCGTGACTTAGGCTTCGAATTCCTGCATATTGAATTTTGACCGCGGATCAGAAACACTTTCAATGAGAACCCATATTTGTTCTTGTACATTTCTTTAGTTTACCTCTCAGGAATATACTAATCGAACGAAAGAAGTTTCGGAAATCATGAAAACCCATTATGTGCTTAGATCTAAATAATTTGTATCAAAACAAAGCATGGATGAAATGAGTCGACAGTCACGCACTGTCGTCAGATGTTTTTATCAGGTTTGAAATTTTTTGAATGAAAGAGTGTAGCAGCTATTTTTTGAAAGAAATGAAGAGAAGCCGTTTTTGTTATTGCCTGCTATCGGTTTCGGGTAAAAACGATTACATCTTGCTGTTAAATAAATAACGCCATCACCAAATAAACATCTTACCGAGTCGGCGTGACATTGCAAACTCTAAAATACTTTTTCACAAAAAAAATCGCAAAAGGTTTTTGCACTCCTATTGCCCTCGAAAAACCCACTTCGGAAACACACTAGTTTTGGAAAGAGTCCGGCAGCGTAGAGAAATTTAGCCGCGACTCAAATATTTCTCTGTCTGTTTCGCTCAACTAACTGCAACGCGTTTTTTTGTTTGGATTACGTACCTCCAAAGCAAAACGGGGAAAGGATATCTGTGACACATTGCTTCTTTTTTTCTTTGAAAGGGTTAAGCAAGGGGATGAAAGTTATCCAACCATGAAAGAATTTTATCATATTCCACCTTTGGCACCCTTCACCGCCGCCGTTTTCATCTGTCGCTTGCTCGTGAACTTACGTCCAGCTTCACAAGAAGCTGTTATTGGGAAGAATTTGACGTACTTTGACTTACTTGGCTGTTTGTTTGTATTTTTTTCTCGGTTAAACTTCAATTTAATCGAACCTGTCGAAAATTAACGTATTTGTGTACATTATCATTGAGAAGAAATGCTAATTGCGTTTCTTACAACACAGTCAGCCCGCGCTGTACTTCGTGGAAGAGTGAAAAACAAAGAAAACGTAGTTGGTAAACACACTTTTTGAACAGAAATGAAGTTCACCGAGAACTTGAACCCAAGAAACTTTAAATATGTGACACATATTGCCTAAAATGCCATGTGCAAAGAAATACTGAATTCTGAATTTTTGGTCGTAATGGCGGCCGTTCAGAAAAAAGTTGAGCTTGAACTTTCTTTGGAGAAGAGTACGTTTCCTCGCGATAAATAAGGACATTTGCTGTCAGATGCGATTATTAACCGTGCGATGTACGACTATTAAGTTTAAAAGGCAGTCAAACACGACTATTAATGAGTTTGTACGCGATTAATATTCGTACTTACCACGATTATTAATCGTGGTAGAAGACGCTTTCAGACTATTAATCGCAAGAAATGCCATTTGCGATTAATAGTCTTAGTTAAAGGACTTTTAAGCCAAATAATCGTAAAATTCGCACTCCGGAAATTAAAAAACACTCCGGAAATTAATAAACCCCTGTTCCCTGTTGAAAGCCTAGGTTCATTAGTTCTGCATCTCTAAAGTTAGGTGAAATAATAACCTGAGGGGTAAGGTATTCTTTACACATGTCAAACATATGGGTAACTTAACAAAGGAAAGTGGTGCTTGCTGAAATAACTTTGTAAAAAAATTTGAGGTGAGATGACAATTTACATCTGCCTCTAAGACAAGTACTTTTATTAATAGAGTCCTGTCCATCAGTTCTTCACTTGTGTTGATTTTTTACCAAAGAACATTTTTAAGTGCAACATGGTAAGGATGACAATTGTTACTTGGATAGCTTTTTTTTTCTGTTAATAGCTTAGCTAAGCCTTGCTTAGCTGTGTAAAGTCCCTTAGACATACCTTTTTCTTGAAAATGCATAATGGCAGTGGCCTGAGTTGGTGTGACAGATAAAGACAGAGTGCGATCAGCCAGTTCAACTTCAACCTCAACCAGACCCAAATGAGGTTTCCACCTTAATGTTCGCATGCCTTTAAGGGCCTCAAATCCATGAGTATACTCATCCATGGCTCTGATATGAAAGATTACCCACATTACCCAAAGTTTCACCATCCATTTCACTTTTACAAGTAGGATGTTCTGCCACTGAGCTGAAGGAAACTTTTGGTCATTTCTGTTTTCCATAATAACTCTTGTGTCACATTTGCAACAAGTGAACTTGAAGCCTCTTTGAATCTATTGACCATCTTCCTAATGTACTACTGGACATATTGCAGATCTTGAAATGACGAATGTAACCCAGATGATCCTTTGTCCAGTGTCAACTCAAACACCAACAAATATTAAAAACATTGCCTTCACTAGCAGTTTTAAGACAGTTTCAATAATATACAGCGCACAGGTTGTGTGCTTACATGATTAAGGAACAAAATAACTTATTACTATCAAAGCTAATACAAATTGAAAAGAGAATTTTTTTAAGAATACCTTTGCACTTCCTCAGGAACTTTGAGTTTCTCTTCCCGAAATGCAGGCCAAAATACCGCAGATAAAACCATGGATGTTAAGGGAATAGCATTTGCCTGAAAAATTAACCAAACAGCAATATACCCTCTCACTCTCTAATCCTGAGTGCAAATTCTCCCAACTTATAAGTAAGTCTCTTTGTCTGATGCCTAGTGCTAATAATTTGGTGTTATATCAAGGAAATAATCTTGATTTGATAACTGTGAGATTTTCAATTTTAATTCCCAAGTAGTTGAGAGTCTATTAAAATTGTAAGATGAAATGACATAACACCCACTCCTGTGTGTCACCACTGAACTAGGGCCAAACTGCCCAAAAAAAGAGATCCCAGCAAGGGATACAGATCTTTTTGTTTAACAACCTGAATTATCTATCCATGTTGATTGGTTCTTACTTATAGTGCCTGTAGATCTGTGTGTTAATTCACCACAGTTCTAAGTTATCACCTAGACAATGAGGTATGAGCATCAGTGACACACTCAGCCTAACTTCTGATGCCACTATTTTGCCCTTGTCACATTTTGACATCATCTGTGATCTATTACTGAACAAACACCCAGCAACATGGATTTATTTTTTGTAACCCTTAACCACCAGAAGTGATTATCAATAATTATTATCCATAATATTATGTGCAAACAGGTAATGAGACTACTAAAACTTACCAGGGAGAAGTTGGTATCTCAATCTAACACCAAATTCTCCTAACTAATTTATAAGGAAATCTTATCAGCTATGGGGGGGAAGAGAGAATTAACAGTCAGATCTTGAGAGTTAAAGAAATTAAGCAGGTCAGCCCCAAATACCTTTTTATTATCAGCATTTTTGGCTGATGCCTGAATATGAGAATTAATTCTTCTTGAGTCTGCCACATCTTTCAACATAATCTCACAGAAGTGTAAGTGTGATTCACCAAAGCGGAGCTTCAATAGCTCCAGATAACGAAGCTGTAAAAAAAAAAAAAAAAAAACAAAAAAAAAAAACATATATTGTGTGCTAAGAATCAAACAAATCTTATATAAATTAGACCCAATAAAAGAGAAAAAATACAAAGAACTTTTTGATAAATACTGCATATTCTATGATGATCATGGATATTTTTGCTTGTTTGAAAATCAATTTATTTTGATTAGGAACTTAATATATCAATTTTGGCAAAATTGCAGATTACTGGTCTCCAAAAATGCCCTAGAGACCCTTTATGGGTCAAGCACACTAAGCAAACTTATACTAACCTCTTTTTCAGTATCATAGTTAAAGGTTGATAGAATGCGATCAGCCAAGAGTGTGCGATACTCAGACACAAACAGGTCTTTACTTCCATAAATGTTGACAAGCATGCTGTAAAGGTAGACATTAGAACAACTGAAGGTAAAAGAAGAGTCCATTTTTACTCTTTAGATATTTCACCTCTAAGATAACTATTATTTATATTATTATGTTATTATATTAATTATTTTCAGCAATCCTCGAGAAACATTTTGTAAGGGAATTTAAAATCTTATTTCTAAAGATCTTTATTACCTGCAAATGGATTAAAGCAGCTAATGTGATAGCTGTATGTATGAGATAATAAGAACTGCATTTGGTTTATATCAAAGAAAATTATGGAAATCAAAATAACTAGATTAAATGAAATTAAAAGATACATCTGTTCAATAATTATAAATCAATGTGTTAAGAAAAATAATGGACCTGGTTTGAGTGTAACATCCATAAAAAAAGAGACCTTGAATTCAACTCACCTGATGATGTCTGGTGCTTTTCTGCTACTTAATATTTTATCTGAGAAAAGGAAAATGGAGGGAAAATTTATCATGTAAATCTAAAGATTGTGTTGTACTAGCCCTGACTCAGGAACATTTTAAATTCATTGATGGGCAAAGTGAGATACATCTCTATAACATGTGCTAATGGAAGTTTTTCAGATTTGCAGTTTTTGAGGATTTTCATTGGTAATATTTTAGCTAATTATACATGCCTAATTTACAAAATGGTTTTGTGTAATTGTTAACAGAAAGTATAGCTTATTTCAAAATTAAAAACTCATTGATAAATTGTAAACTACCTGGATCAGCATCACTTGGAGCTGGCATCCACTTGTCATCATCATCCTCACTGTCAGAAGCGCCTAAATCATCAATGGTGCGTGGATCTCCTCGCATTAATTCCTGAGTTAACAAAAGAAACAAGTTACCTGCTGAGGGCACCATTTAACTGTTATATAATAAGAACTCTCTTGTCTGTTATGAGATAACAAGAGCAAACTTGTACCACAAAAGCAAAGGTTTTATGATGACTTCTACTGGATATCTTGTTTAAATTAAATAAAATTGTATCTGACTCACCTCTGCAAGTTCTGTGCTACTGTCGTCTGTCAAACTTGTCACAATACAGCGTACAGTATCCTCACGAGTTCTGACAATTATAAATACAGCTGATGAGGCTGTTGATTTTAACAGCTTTTATTATGAGTCATTAAGTGTATAATTTTATGTTGTTTATGTGTGCTTCTCACCATATTGGAAATTATTTGGTAACATTAAAAAATGATGAGCTTGTTTCTGAATTTTATCTTAAGTTTACAATAGCAACTTCATTTGTAAATATTTTCATCTAGTCATGAAGGAAAATTTTTGATTGTTCTACTGAGATCTCAGTAACAGGAAGTATAAGATTGCAGAATGTTTCTTGTTGCCTTTTTAATTATATACTAAATAAATTTGAAAACAGAAAATTATAACTGATGTGCAAGAGAAGACAGATAGGACTGGTGCAGACATGATCAGAGATTAAAAAACTGATTTCACGGTGACAGTACTTTCTTCAACAGGATTCACACACTCTGTCCATTGCAAACATGTCCAATGGAAACAACTTTGCTACTTTCTTTTGTAACATGTTTTTGTAGCTTTGTACCTGAGATATTGCCTGACAGGTAAACAGACATGTTCTAGAATCACTCCAGATGGATCAAGCACATGGAGAGCTCTGATGGCTGACACACACTGAGTTAGAATGTCTGATGTGTTGGCACCAGGATGAAGCAAACGTCTCTCAAATCTGCAGTATTGTTAGAACTAGATTGAGAGAACCTCAAATTGTGATGACTCAAAACCCATACACCATATGCCATAAAATCAACTTGCTTTTACAGGATACCTCAGTCTATATATACAGAACCCAAAATAAGCACTTTTAATTTGTAATTTAAAATCAGCATTGGATGAGCAGCTTAATGAGAAATTTAGGTCACTTTTTTTAAGAAATGATATTACTGTTCAGACTATCAATAATTGAGGCTTAATCTGCCTTCCCAAAATGATTGGATTATGAAGGTTTGCTGATTACTTAATCATACTTTGAGGCTCACAAACAATAAAATTTACAGTCATGTATGGTAAAAAGTGTAGTATAATATGAACCTAAGTTATTCCAGTCCTGCAGACCAGAAATGGGTTACTTACGCTGATCTGAGAGATGATATGAGCTCTTTTCTTTGGTCAGTAACTTCTAAACATGACTGGAATAGAATGGAAAGAAGTGTGACTGATTGAGGTATCTCTAAAGATAACCCATAATAGATAGTTCAATATACTAAATATCTAATAACTTAAAATATTGATGGGTGAGTTGATGAAACAGGAAAACTTTTTCACCCATCCATTCATCCTATGATGCACTTCAATGCATAATTTTCCTTGATGGCTGGTCACTCACAGGCAACATAATATCCTTTCGACACAATCCTTTCTCTCAGACAGGCTCATTGTGCCTTTCCCTTTTTGACATTCTTGACTAAATTTACCTTAAGGTCTTTAATTGCAGGGAGAGAGTCTGGATATTCCACTATTATGGTGAACAATTCACTGATTCTGAGAAGAAAGCAAGAAAAAACAACACATTTCTTTTACTTTGTGCACTTCCTTTTTAAAACCAGTACTTAAAATTGTTTCAAGAAAGGCTTACAAATTGTTTTAAAGTTTCTATTTGACCATATAATAAACTAAGATAACGCTGCTCAATGACTGTATATCAGTATTTTTTCTTATAACCGCAGGGTGTAAAGTGCTCCATGATTTTATAATTCAGAAATATTTGTAAGAATTGTACCTTGAAGGGCAAGTTGTATTTACCTGAGGTCAGCAAATGACTTGTACATGAAATACTTCAGTTTGGGTTTCCATGCATCCAGTGATGTGTCCACACCTTTTATTGCATCCTTGTACAACTCTTCAGTATTTTTCTTAGGGTCAGCATTTGCTGGAGATTTTTCAGATCCATTTCAGCTTTAAATAGTCTACAGAGTACCTGTCGTTGATTCATTCTTAAAACACTCACATCAACTATGGCTTTCAACATTTGGTTAAATGGAAGAAGCCATTTTTTTTAGTTGTTAATAAAGCTGGTTAATTAAGAAGAGCTAATAATAACTTTTCCCAAATATAGGTACAGTGAAAGCAGTGTTGCGTTGAATAAACTCTAGAACAACATAACATGACATTCAACAAATGGCACACCAAAGTGACATTGTAAGAAAGAAGCAATGTAGCAGTAGTTTTTCTGTATTATAAATAATAGATTGTCCAACACTGTTTCATATCTGGTTTGCCTTTGATTATCTTGATCTGTTGGAAAGGACACCACTGATATTTGTACTAACTGGTAACATTAGGCATTTCTAATTTATAAAGAATAATTTTGGACTTTTCTTCATTGTCCTCACATGTTATTTCTACACACACCCACTACCCACCACCACAGGAAAAATAAAATTGAAAATTGGTTGCAGCTTGGAGTGCTGATCAAATGTGAGTTGGTGATTAAAAGTTTCTAGACACACTTACCTTGAGATTGAAAAATTATCAAGAGCCAGCCACACAGTTCAGTATCAACCCAGTTTAACAAGGAAGACAAAAAGGATGTTTCAAATTCGCCTTTACACTTTTCATCAATTTTTCTTTGAATCTGAGAGAAAGAAAAGAACATCTCTGGAATTTAATAAAAAGGCAAGTGAACATGAATTTTACTGGTTAGTGACAAAATTAGTTAGATTATTTTGATCAACTCTTTCACTTCTAGGAGTGACAATTAAGTAATTCCATCTTACAATATCAATACACAGGCAAGCAAACAAGAAATAATGACATCTGATTTAACACAAAGTTGTCAGAACTAACATTCTAATAACTTGGATTGTTACTCAATGACCCTTGTCTCCCAACCCTGAGAGTCAACCAAACAGGTAAAAAAAATTATTCACCTGGGATTAAAAGTTAAAAGGAAAATATGTATTGAGTGAGCAAATTTTTTTTCAACCTGTTTTTCTAGTTTTTCAAAGAATTATACTCAGTGATTATATCTGGGTAGCAGTAGCTTACTAAAAGAACCCAACATGTTATGTATACAATAAATGGTACCTCTACCAAAAAATATATTTTCATATTTCCCTTCACAACTGACTTTTAAAAATAATATAGGTATCCTAAAAAATTCTTACATGTCTTGCAACACATCAGCTGACTGTTGGCCAATGCCTCAATGGCATGTTGCTAGTACATTGCTTGTCAGACTTGAGTATTCTTAAGCCAAGTTCACTTACTTGGTTTTTACAAGACTATTGTTGAGAAGATGGATGTAGGGGTTGGAGGTAACCAACATGTCTGGTTGCAAGTTGTCAGTTTGTCAGCTGATGCTTTGACCAAGAACCAGTTGTGTGTTGGTAATGTATTGACATGCATATTGGTTGGATCAGATTTGTCACCATCCTCATAAACGATGTACTGAATTTTCTCAAAAACTATTATTTTTGTATTTATTTTCATGAATTTCAAAATATGGCAAGTGCGTCCAAACAAAATTGTACACTTCTTCTAAACAACAATTATACCTCCTTATGAATGACTGACAGGAAAGCTGGTTCAGCAACTTTATTTATTAGTCCAAGTGAACTGAACTGGCTGTTAAGCTGTGAAAATCCTTCAATTATGTCTTCACAATGACAACAGTCCTTCTCTTCAAAACAACCAGAGCAAGTCAGTGATTCCACATCATCATCTTCATCATCACCTTCAGCACCTGGTGATGAAGCACCTGTCAGTTACAAGTTACCCCTAAAATTTAGCTGCACAGTCCTTAATAACATTTAAGACTTTAAATGAACCACATCATTCTATAATCACCATAATTTTACAGAAAACATAATGTGGTTCATTTAAATTTAGAGCCTTTTGAGAAATATTTGCTTTAAGAGTCTGGAGATTCCCTTTGAATTGAACAAGAGCATCCAATCCATATATCCATATTTTTAGAATTAATTATTTGAAATTGTAGCAAATGCTGTTGGAAAGTGCTCAATACACATGAGTGTAGAGTGAAATACAGTTCAAAATGACTATTAAAATGAAACACACATGATTCCCTGTAACTCTGAGTTTTGTGCTTATGCACTCGTCAGACAGAGTGCATAAGCACGAAACTCAGAGTTACAGGGAATCATGCGTGTTTCATTTTAGTCATTTTGAACTGTATTTTTAAAATTATAACTTAATTTATTTAATAGTATTAAATAACTGTAAATATGCAATTCAGCCCTTGGGTTTACTATATATTCATCAATAAACCATCCACTATTCAATTACATAAAGGTAGATATTCATGTCAGACTGTCTAATGTGTGCAAATATTATTGTTGTATCATCAACAAAACCATTTGAGTAAAGCATAATCCTAACCCTTTAACACCCAAGATTGAATTGCTAATTCTCCCCTCTAGCTAGTAGACATTTCCTTGTAAACTAGTTACAAGAAATTAGTGTTGGATCAAGATAACAACCTCTACCTAATAAATTTGGATATTCTCATCACCTGTTTGCTGTCTTCTGGGAGTTCAAGGGTTAACTCATGCTTGGAACTTAAATTTCTGATGAATAAATCCATAGTGAAATGGACTTTCATTTTGAAAATAATACAACACTATGGATGAAATTGGTCTACTCAGTAAAAACCATATACAGACTTAATTACCCTTGATGGTTTGGACATTTAAAAAGTTTCTGTCTTAATCTTCAATTGCAAGACAACAATTGAAGGCTTGATGTGTAGTTTAGGCAATACCTGATGTGTCCATTTTGTTTTCCTTTCTACTTTTGATTTGGTATGCTTGAAATGCTTGAGTGTAGGATGCATGTACGATACCTCTGAAATGCTCAGGTATATCACAAAAGATAACAGCCCTCACAAGTCTTTCAAACTGCAGATTAAGATCACTGAAAAATAGTAAAACAATTGAACTTACTGCAGTTGTGATTTCTACTGAATAATCTTGTACTCTTGTTTTAAACTGTTTCAGTTATAACAAACATTGGATGAATGTGTTTAACAGTACAGAGTAATAATTCCATGCAAAGTCCAACATATTAATGCCAGTTCACTATTAATAAATGTTTATTTACTATGTGTCACCCATAAGAGTGACTAGCCTCTAAAATCAATTATTCACATCACAGGGATGTGAAGAAGTTCTTGACTATTAAATATATTCTCATTAACAGCACCTTAGGAAACATATGAATGACAGTATAGAGAATATGCACACTGTTTTTGGGTATAAAGGGTTAATCATTGACCACTAAGCTGAAAAACCTCCTGAACTCTATATAGGTATCCTGATAACATACCCTAATGGAAGTGATCCTGTCAAAGATTGAAGAAGATCTACAAATGGCCTGTATGCTGATAACCCTCTATAGAGATCTCCCACTGCACATAGAAGGGTGTTAAATCCTTTTGCTTCAACCTGTGAGTAGCAAGATAACCACAACATATTTTTTTAATCACTTCCCACAAGATGACCCTTTCTCTTATCCTTATGGCATCCATAACTGTAGGTCTCAATACCAGGGCTATACTTCTTGGCTGCATATTTACCCTTGGTTCAATCTCTCCTACTTAAAACTACCATTTGCACTCATTACACCCGTGTCTCATTCCTTAAGAACAAAATCACCAAAATTGTGCAAAAAGGTCAATTCCCTACTCCAACAATATAACTGCTGTGCATTTTGTTGTAAATTGGCAAGGAGAATCTGGTGTTGTATCGATATACCAATATCTGGCTGATAAGTAAAGGACTGAGAGAAATTCAGTTTGGTTTGTAATTGGACTGGTTATTAACAAAGTTGGACCTTCATGCACACCATCCTATTAGTCCTCAAACCAGGAAGGTGATGACCAATCACGCTCTAGAATTTTTTTTAATAGGTTTTGATGGGTGTGCATGACTGCATACAAAATGCCTATATCTTTAAAAATCCTTGGTAAAAATTTCCGCACAGCCCCATACTATTGTAAAACAAATCTGTTTTTCCAATGGCAATGTATTGTTTTTGTTATTGTTTTCTCTATCCAAGAACTGAATGCATAATGTAGTATGGGGCTGTGCGGGAATTTTACCAAATCCTATGCTGTTATCGGGATAAGAAGTTGAATTTGGGGAAAGTACAGTTAGATTTTCCTTACTCACAGGAGGTGATGATAAATTCTTCAACGTGATTACCTCTTTGTCTTCTTGGACATAGGACCAAAATTGTGGTCGAAATTTATCTTTCAAATCTTTCTTGAACTTTTCTGAAAAGGCGAGATGCGGATTCATTCAAGTTAACAGAAGGCCAAATAAACGTCACATAGAAGGCTTCATCTGTCAACCTCGCAGAACTACTGAATTATATATTTTGTCACCTACCCAAAAACCAGTCTCGCATTCGAACAAACACGTCAGGGTTTTGAGTAAACTGCTCCAAAGAATCTAGAGTTTGTCATAGAAACAATACCGATTAGTTGGTTAAATGAAAATACACAGATTCCACCATTATTTCATTGATACCTGGTGCTTGAGTAGACTCGGGAATCAAGTAGTTCATTAGAGTTTTCCAAACAACTTCAACATTCCCGCCAGCCGCCATGTTGTTTTCGTTGGCATTACTAGTACTCAGATCTCTTGGCGAGTAACTCCAATAGCCTTCAGTGTCGTCAAACTGTTCTGAATTGACAAATTCTAAGGTAACATAGGGAAATCGGAAAACTTGCACAGAAAAAAGTAAAAATGGCATATCAAGTGGTGGATAAATCGTAAAAAATTTGATTCATTATTTTACAAATTCAAACTAACATGAATTTGAGGAACCTAAAAATCATGTCACAAAGACTAAAATTGTTGCCACGCCTCAAAGGATGTTGCTTTGTGCATCGTAGCCTTAACTCAGATCACCTGTGATTGCACACTCCTATCGTGTAATTTTCCTTTCCTCTCTGTTGTTGGCAGGAGCTATTAATTCCAAGTGTGACACTATTTCTTTTGGATCATACACTATTCTTGGAATTTTAATTGGATCTACTGGATAGTGGTTTTACTGCTAGACACTTGTCTGCTGTTAAGTAATTATCAGCTAATTCATCAGCTGGATAACCATTCATATGCTAGACAAGAAATACCACCTAATTTACATAAAGAAGAGAAGATAGGATCAAGAGTCTACTTAAAGACTCCCAAGTCCAGCTGAAAGGAAATTCTGTCAACTAGTAATTAATAGGGTCAGGTTGGGTATGGTGGTTGAATATTTGTAAATATTTACAAATTCATTCCACTGTCAAGGACACTTAACTCTCAAGATATCACTTTCCATGTTGGGTACAAACATATAACCAGCTACCAAAAACACTGAGAATTCTGCAGTGTGGTGTTGAGTAGTTGTTGTATATATAAGCTTCTAGAAATCTCCAGACTGCTCAGTCATGCTGACTTGCCCACCATAGAACTTTCTAGAACATTTCTGCGAGTCACGCATTTATATGATACTACTAAAATAGTTCTTAGGTAAGCTTCTGGAATGTTCTAGAACATTTTGTGAAAATGTAAAAAGAATCACTAATGTACTTGTAGTTGTTGTTGTCAGAGCAACAACTGTTTTGAAAGCTTTACTGAGAGAGTTACCGAGGAAGATTGCTTGTTTCAAGGAATTATGGAGACAGCAGTGAGATTGTGTTAGTGGTGAGCTGAGATATAGACTGTGGTGGGCTTAGTTAAGTTATTAACGGTTAGTATTAAGCTGCTTTAAGGAGTAGTTCCTTGTTGAGAACATGAATTCAAAGGATAACAAAAGAGTGTAAAGGGAACACCAGTTTTAGTACCACATGTAATGTTCCAGCAATATAAAAAGTGTTATATATATTTTTTCTCAAATCCTTGCAACATCTTACAAATCATTTTCAAGCTCATGCACATGATATTTCTGTATTGAGTCCCAAGCCCTTTGAAAAACCACTGATTTTATCGTTTCTCTGAAAATTGTCTCTATCTAATTTTAACTACACAAATATCTAAAAACTTAAGACTATGCAGCACAAGAAACTTGCAGGGGTTTTTAATATATTATATTATTATATCTATATTTAGCAAATTGGTGATATAATTGGTTTTTGAGAAAAAAAATCTTTATTAGTTCACAAAGACCAAAATCTCTCTATAGAAACTAGTTTTTTTATCTTTCTTATTCAAGCAGCAGATTTTTGATGAAGTAGTGACCATAGCAGTTACATCTTTCATTGCTCATTAGGTTAGAAACAAATCTATTTATTAGAATCAATTCACTCAATATTTGAAAGAAACAGAGGGTAAGCATCAGTGTATTGACAAGATTGAACAAAAATTAACCCAATCCCACCCACATTGTCCCTGGCATTTCTGTAATTTAGGTAAAATTTAGGTAAATTTTTGGGGTGTTTTAGTTTGCAATACTTCTTTCTATGAAAGCTTATTTTTACAGATCAAGGAAAATCAGGACTTACTATAAAAATTTATGCATTAACAATTTTCATGATACACGAAAGGCATGTCTAAAGTATATGGTAACTAAATAATTTAATTATACCCAGGCTCTGAAAAAGTTTGAATTAAGTTGTTGTCTAACTTTATATATATAGACTTACATTTGAAATTACACATTGTGGTGGCTGTAAAGGTATTTCAGAAAATAAAAATTGTCAAATAACGAGAAATGCAAAATTTGTCAGACAGTAATGGAAAAAGCTGTAAAGTCCAACATAGACATTACTTTTAGAACTCAATGGAACCCTACCCTACAAGCAAATGTGGAACAGTTTTGGGCATATATTCACTCAAAGCGACAATAAATCTTTAACAGAAAGCTTGTTCATTAAAAGCAGTTATTACACCCAATCACACCTGCTAGAAATTTGCAATCACCTGAACCTTACATCAAACCAAATCAACATTGACCTGGACCGTAGCAAAACATTCGACTACAAAAGGTTTGGCAGTTTTGGTATCAACAACATTACCAAAAAGAATTCTAAAAAATGCCTATTAATTCTACAATTCAAACTCAAGGAAATTGTTTGGTCATTAATTTTTGTAACCAATTGGAAATGCTAGGTAATGTAAAGAGTAGGAATTACAAAGAATCTTACAACTGTTTGTAACTTGCATGTTTAACCCTTGAAGCCCTGAGAGTGGCCAGCACCTACATAAAGTTACATTGCTGAATCATTCTGTAAGATTATGAGAACACAGGAAATACTGATTTTAGGGTGTAAAGGGTTTTAAAAATAAAATTAAAGAAGAAATCTGAAATACCCAATCACACAGTGACAAAAGTTATTCCCTCGTGGCACCTAGGATGTGCTTGTGCACAGCAATGGAGTTTTCACTTTCAAACGGAAGCTTAATTTACAAAAGGATGTCTAACAATTCAAATAATGTTCTGCTGATATTAATTACTGGTTGATTATAATGTTTCGTGTGAGTTTCTACGTTTCTAAATGAATGATAATCCTCCCTAGTTTTTCACCGCTTTACACCTGTCAGTCTTGAAGTCACGAGTACGGTAGATCCAATTCTGGAACGCTTTCGTTGAATGTGATCTAGGTAGAACACGTTTTTACCAGTTTCGTTTTCGAAGACAGGCAAATGAGCCACCATCGGTCGAACAGCGAAGGGTAACGGAGGGTTCTGAAAATCACTTATGCATAAATTATCATAAACCACCAGCTTGAGGTATCGTTTCATCCACTGCACTCAGCACAGTAAAATTGTGCATCCTTATATCTGAAATCACTTGAAATCACTCACCACTTTTCAGATGCAACCAAACTTGAAAAATTGTCACATGGAATATAAAAGTTCCTCGAGAAGGGGCCCGCACTATCAAATGAGTTACATTTGGATGAAAGTTCCATATATATAAAGAAGAAATTTCTGTTAAGAAGATCTCAAAAGCCTTGATCAACTACTTCCTCTATTCACACATTATTGATTCAAGTAAAGTTAGTTCAATGCATAGCTCTTTCATAATCCTTGTTGTCTTCTTGCATACGCTCCTAGGCAAGCACATATCCCCATGATGCCGAGAATTAGACCGATGATAAGAGCAGCAGCATCTCCGCCATCGAAAGCTGCAACCTGATCAAAAAGACCAGCCAAAATGATTGCAAGAAAAGCTAGGTATACTCCTCCGTACGCCATCTTCGATGTAACTACAGTTGTAAGCACGTGATTAGGCCACGTATGATGTCACTGTCTTTCTTAGAAATATGGACTTACCGGGTAGGGGTGGGTAGTATCATTACTTGGTTAAAAATATCCAAGGCTAAGGGAAGGTACGTTTTTTCTTGGCGGGGGAGGGCTGGGGCCTCAGAGAGGAGGGTCATCAGTGAAAGTGAGCACCAAAGGGGGAGGGCCATACCCTCTTTTTCAGCTATTCAAGGGGAGGGTCACACCTTTTCCAGAATTTTTAATGGAGATTTTTGTGATGTTTTTTTCCATTTTTCTTTAACAGACTAAGTTTTTTCTTTTCAACTTGTTTCTTTTAATTCGGTGCAGGTACTAGTTTTACAAGGTTACTGGGTGTCTACATCATGTATATTATTCCACGGCACATAATTTTCTCGGAGTACTCGTGTCCTTTTCCGTCCGTATCGTGACGTACTTGACTCGGGTATGGTTTCTTGTTCCAGCTGTTGTCTATCCGCTGCCTGATCTCCTGAGTCATTAAGCTCTGAAGAGTTACTAGAAGATCCAACAATGCCCTCTACCCTGTCGCTGTCACTGTCACTGTCAGACTCTGGATTTGAGTCAGAGGCTAGCGGAATGTTTGTCTGTTTTTCCTGCACAATTGAAGTCAAAATCTTACTGCTAACATGAGCCTTCACAACCCTCACTTTCTCATCTTTCTTCCCTTTAAATAGAATATTGTGATGATTAATATACAGTTCAAGTTCACCTACTCTTAGGGTTGACAATTGGTTTTTGTGATAAAGATCTTGCCAGTCAATGTCATTGTATTCCTGTTGCTTTCTTGCTGTACGCTTTCTGTCATTCTCTGTTCTCCGCTTATCTTTTCTTAGTTCAATGTCAGTCAGATGATCAATATAGTCTGCAACTAGCTTTTCTGAAACAATATATTTTCAGAAAAATCTTTGATCGCATTTTTATCCCCGGCTTTGAGCGTACCCTCTTGAAACATCTGTTTTATTTGAGCTCTAGGCTGATAATCATCAGGTTTGCGGCCAGTCGTTGGTGTTTTCGTACTTGGTAGGTAGTGAAAGTCAGGAAGTTTGCTGTAATCGGGATAGGGTCGTGGAGTAGGTGTAGCGGAAGTAGGACTTAGAAAATCAGTTGCTCGACAGTATTCGCATAGCTCGCCGTTTTTTCTTGACAAGACATTTTTCTGTACTCCATGAACAGTTCCCCTTTCTGAAAGAAAGGCGTGTATTTTCCCTTCTACGTTCAAAGCTTTTTAATTCCTCGAATTTATACTTCCATATTCAAACTTCATCTATATAAAAAAAAGTAAAGCCCGGATCCCACACTGATCGTTCGCATTTTCTTGTTTCAGCGCGCACATATTCATTATCGAGATTTATTCATATTCAAACATTTTGCGTTTACAAGCAAAATGTCGAAAAATGTTCTGAGGTTTCTATGGCATGGAGCATACCATGTGGTAGTGAGGGGAGGGTCACACTTTTGTCATTCACCTAAAAGTGGGGGGGTCAGGAGTTTTTTAATCAAAACATGAGGGACGGCCAACACTTTCTTTTGGAAAAAATACCAAAATTCCCCAGCCCTCCCCCCCCCCCAAGAAAAACGTACCTTTCCTAATAGGAGATCAAACCCTATTTACATTACTATTTTCTCGATATGAATTTATCTAATTTCAAGAAAATACAATACCTTAGTCCTATTTTAGACCAAAGGGACCAAAAACTCATAGAGTGGGTCTGATTGGTCGTTTGATGGACGATCTTTCTATCACGTAGTTTACTTTTGGCGCGAAAATGTGGTGCCCCGCGCGCGTCCCATCAGTGGTCGGCAAAACTTTTATTCATGTTCAAAAGTTTTTGCTCTTCGCTGAAGAAAAGTGTCTTGAAAAGTCTCACGATTCGAAAGATTCGAAAAAAAGGGTGAGCAAGGATGACTGATCACTGTTGACCAGGAATAGGGTAAGTGAAAATGTATTATTGTCAATGAACATCGGGAGAAGGCTGGATTCACATTTTATTCATTGTAGGCATCCGGACTTCGAATGGAAATGGAGAAACAAGATGCGATAAGCAAAACTCCCGAAGAAAACAAAGAACTTAATACCGAGGAAGACGTAACTTCAAGAGGAGACACTTTGAAGCCGTGGTGAGCCTTACTTAAACGCTTTAATATGGGACTACGTGTCTATAGGGCTTTTTGCTTGAGACCATGTGTTGTGTCAAGAAGACTGTGTTGAGGTTATTTTCAGCTTTCTTTTCAAGACTGCATAGCTTTCTCTACATCCATATTTTAATGATCTAAAAGGTGAAAAGAAAAGAAGAACATTAGCCGGTACTCTGACGTAGTCGCTTTTCACCTGATTAATACAAAGACGACAAGGAGGATTTAATATACATTTACACATGGGGATAAGCCGAATTGTTATTCATATCCTCCCATACTACCCCCACGGAATTTAGGATTTCGACTACATATGATAAAGATCAAAATGCTTTCTAAACGTGGCGGCTGTATGGAAAAGTCCCAAAACTCTGCTGACTACAATTTATTAATGAGTTTATTTTTGAAATTTGGAGTAAAATTTAAATGCACATGTTTATCAATATATTCAAAGAATAGCCTTCATCTGTCAGGAAAAGATGCTTGCATATTTGTCCGCGAAAAAGATTATCTGTTCCGAGAGCTTTCAGGAACACACAATGTCCAAGGACAAATATACGAACATGTATTTTAGCCAAATGGAAGATTCTGCGCCTATTGCCCTTCAATAATATTTTTGAAACGCGCAGAACAAAATATGTTTACCACAACAATTGGTACGGCCTTTTGTCAGTGTTTTCCTCTGCAACAACAGCAAAAAGTTCTCTTAAATTGAATTCAGTTGTAAACAATATCACCGGATATAATCCATCAAATAATTTTGTTCACAATTGGTCTAAACGGATATACCCCAAGGGATATTCCCCAATTAAAAACCCTACATTTACAACGATAAATTATCGTTAAAAACTTAATTCGAGATAGGAGAGCGTTTTGTGGTTATTTCAGAAGAAGGGATATGTTTGTCTGCTCACAAAGTCGTATCAGAGAACACTGTATAGTGAACATCGACAAAAGGTCATCTATTCGTAAACATGTTTTGACGCGCGTTGCAAAATATTTAAAGGATAATAAACTCAATGGTCTCTATTTTGCTATCTATTTCTATTATTCTAATAGTCTACTTGTCTAAGGACATACATCCATGTTTTGTAGAACAGTATTATCAAACCTAAAAACATTAGGGCTCTTCAATTCTGATTTTGGACTGCATTGATTTCTAGATCTCCATGCACTATCTCTCATCAAAATTTACTTTTACTTGTTCATCCTTTTTGCAGTGTTTAAGATTTTGGCATGATACTGATCCGATAAGTGTTTCTTTCATTTTTAGTGAGCCTCTTGAGAGAGCAAAGGAACTTGATCAACTTGCAATCCGTAGTTTATCAGCAACGAAACATGGCAATGTTACAAGTGAAAATGCCTCCCACGATGAGATTCAGGGGAGTTGCCAGCAGCTTATCGATGATATCAATGCCAAAAGAAAGCGAGACACCGATCTATTGAACGGTAGAGTAAAAATCCGGAATATTCTGATTCTTTGCTTGATCAATGACTATACTGTCTTAATCTGTCATGGCTGTTTCACCATTTTTCTGATTTAACCCTCAGATAGAAATAATTTGCAATCAAAGGGACACCTTAAGGGTGCAACGTTTTGTTCGTCAACGTATTTGTATTATGGCTGCTGTTAACCTGAAGCTTTTGCGCATTAGATTAATCTCACCCCGTTTTAGGAAACGTATCTGAATTGTAGCCCAAACTCTTGAGAGGGCCAGTAGGGTAATTATGGTAAAGGTAATTTTGGTAAAAAGGTAATTTTTCCCACCAGATGATTTCTCATAGGGCACCATCCACAACAAGACGAACTCTCTCGGTATCGAAGGAACTGAGTTATGAATGCACTAGGAAACGTGACCTATCGGTGCTATGTGGTTGAAAAGATCTTGTGAATCTAGTCAGATTTCCTTTTACCTGTATTTGGGAAGCGACACATTTTCTCTCCGATTTGGATTGAATGAATGTTTAAGTGTTGTCATGCGATGTTTGCCGACTGCCTTAAAAGCATGTATGTGATTATCACATGCAATTCTTCTCTTTTGCATAGTTTAAGAGTCGCATTTTACACCAACAGAGGGGCAAGGGTTAGTTTATTTTTGACATAATAAAAAGAGAAAGCAGACCCTTTTTCTTGAACCTTCTTTTTAATTGTCTAGCTCTTGACTTAATTGAATCCGATATGGAAGCAATGACCTTCATTTCCTTGATTAAGCTGTAAATGTCGAGAGCAGCGCCTTAAATTTCTTATCTAGTCGTTTCTTCTCGCTTTGCAACAATGCAGAACGTAGTCGAGGCTTTTTATTCGTTTATCATCCACACTTGGGATGGTTGATGAGCTTAACCTTTTAGGTCTCAAGATCTGATTTGTAATTATCCCTTCTAGCCTATACATATTTTTTGTAGATAAGTCAAAGTTCCGCATTGAACTAAGTAACGTCTCGAATACCGTTTTCGTGTATAATGATATCAAGTCCCACACATTATAGTATCACAACAAAGAAATGAGAACGATTCATTCACAAAAGCCGATTTCTACTAATCGTCATAGGGATGTATATCGTTAGATTCTAAAGGTAAACACGTGTGCTTCTATGAAGGGCATATACGTACATACGCCCTATCGAAGTATATGGACGTCACTCCCCTGATGAACCGCATAGTCTTCAGCGGATTCGGGGGCCCAACGTCGCGTCATCTTTCGTAAGTGTAGGTCCGTTGGAAGACACCCATCGTCTGTTACAGTTTCCTGAGTAATGTAGATCGCCTTACTGAAAAACATTTCATGTTCTTAGATTTCAAGAAAGCTCTCGAGGAACAAATCAACGCTTCTTGTGGTGTTCTGGAAGAAAATATCGTTCAAACTTACGAAAGGCACAGCAAAACTATTCAGGACAAACTTCAGGAATTGTTTGCGGTTCTTGAAAGAATAAGTAAGATACTTATTGTTCACAACCATCATTTTAATCACTAATTAAGACTTCAAAATTACCACCGTGGCGACTTCCATCTTAAAATGGGCCAAAATATTCGAAACAATTGTATCTTGCAGAGACAGCCGTGAGAATTATGAATGCAATATCAACTTCCCATTCGAGATGATCCTTAGTGAAGAAAGAGTGATAAAAATTTGGAACTGAACTTTTTCAAAACATGTTACCAACCCACATAATGATGTTAAGATATCGTGACCTTAGTTAAAGAGGAGAAAAGGATAATTAAAACCGCGAGCTGTCTACGAAGACACGATGGGTGCTAATGGGAAATTAATCACTTTTCAATTCATCTGGAGCGCCTTTATATGATATCATGTTGCGTAGCAGCTATTTCGGACCGGACCGCTCCGCTTCTCAGAGGTTACCGCCGTATGTGGGAGAGTGTGTGAAGAGTATGTTGTAACTGAACACCGTAAAGCTGCTTTATTGCAAGATTAACAAAGCTTTGATGAGGATACTTGTATACAGACCTGATTTGCCCTCAGGTGTAAGAATATGGGCAACATTATCTGTGGTTCCTTTTAGGGACAATCCCAAATTGTTGTCTGTTGTCACGAGTTATCGTGTTTTTGACCTCTTAACACACATGTTTTCGATTTTTTTTCCATTTTGCCGTACTTGTCCATCATTCACCCTAGGTATAACGCAACAACTGTTGACAAGACAAGTTGCTTTTTTTCCTTTCCTCTCGAATCCGTCCCTTCATACCATACTGTAAGATATACATGTTCTAAACCCCTTTGTTTTTCGTAGGTAAACTTGAAAATGAACTGATGGACTTCAAACATTCCCTTGGTCTCCTCTATAACGACATGCAAGTTGTGTAGGCGTGGATATCTAAAGAAACCTATAAACATGCTTTGTCCTAGAATAAGCCTATTGATATGATTTAAGAAAAGATCTTTCTATACTCGTTACACATTACCTCCTAATACCTACCCCCTTGGTAGAATAAAGAACGCACCCGTAAGGTTACCAAAATTTTGAATAACATATCGCTCTCATTGCAATTTTACTTTTCATTTTAGCTTGGACATTTAAAAAAACCATCCTTTTATCCGTGGTTATAAAATTAAATCTCCTTTTCATAACTTATTGTAAATAAACTGAGTTACACATTTCGTGCGTTTTTGTAAACACCACCTAAGGGGGTTAAAAGAAATCAGATTACCTCGCTGACTTTAAGAGCTGTCATAATGAAAAATTTATCAGTATCGTCAATCATACTGCATGTAATTTACAGCTTGAGTACCATCAAGTACTCCAGTGACTACAATGGTTGAAGCAAAGCCTCTGATGAGGGTAGGTTTTAATCTACTATACTCATAATTTAGTAAATATTCCCGAGGAGTTAATTACATCCAAAGTTGTCCGAACAGTAGAAAATCTGGCTGTCAAAGAAGGAAAATAATTGATATTTGTTCATGGCTAAAAAGGGGGGACTTTAGAGGCAAGCAAAAGCAGTAATCATTTGCAGTGGCCATGTTGATGCAATGTTTGGGCACCAGAGCCGGAGACCAACGACATCATAACCATCGTGGACAATGTAACTTTGAAACTGAACCTATAACCGCAAGTTATAATCGCCAATCGTGTAGTCTGAGGTCAAGATGGCGGAACTGAACAGCCATGTGTTTCTCGGTCTTTTTATCCGTTTCTAAGGAATGAGGTTGCTACACAGTTTTATATGTCACTTGAGAAAAAGATGGTTGAGTTGGCCTTGCGGCTATAGAGCCGGGTAGGGGTGAGACAGACAAGCAAGCATGACCATTTGTGAAAGCTTGACTTAAACTTGATCTGCGTGACAATAAAAACAGGAAATAGGGAAGCTAGTAAAGAACGAGCGTAGAAATGTGACATTGCAACATAAAACGTCATGCTCCTGAAACTCACCTGAAGCTCATTTTGTGTGTGTGTGTGTGTGTGTGTGCTTCTTGTACTTTGTAAAAGCTGAAAAAATACATTTGAATGTGAGCCCATTGGTGAAAATGTGGAAAGATATCCTCTTCATGGTTACTTTTTCTAACTGAGGCTATTGCTAGTCAAAATCGATTTTGACGGTTATCTTTATGAAGGGTAGAAGACGGAACGAGTCGTTAATAAATGAACAACAATTCCAGCTCGTTGTAACCAAACATTTCCTTTACATCGATCTAATAACTCTGATAAATCGAGGTCATCATTATTGATAAGGACCATTAGAACGAACCTCGGAGTTCATAGTGAGCAAGGTCGTCCTTGATCATAGGAAGGTATGAATACTTTTTTTGTCTCACCACCAGATTTAAAACCCAGTAAATCAGCTGTGTTGGTCAGCTGAATGCATTTGATGACTCCCAAGGGTACCTATAATCTAGAAAGAGATGTTTTTGTTTGCGACCAAAAGAGAAGATTATCGGCTGGATTATGGGTTAAGAAGTATTTTGAAATTGTAAAAGAGTTCCGGTGGTCGTTATTGCACAGTTTAAATTGTGACTCCCCTGGTTGGACAGGTTATGTAGGAGGACAATTTCTGACTATGTTATAACTAAACCGGACGTTGGGTTTGAAAGTGTAAACCATCTTTGAATTCTCTGGACGAACTTAAGCTTTAAGGAGTATTCATCAGGGTATCAGAATAGTGGGGTTTCGCCGCGTAGGGATAATCTCGTCGCTTTGATAAATCACTTTCGCGATGTCAAGTTAGTTCTTCCCCGAGCCTTCAGACTAAGCGTACTTGTTTTAACAGCCGAGCGTCGCGCATTACCCGAACATCTTGCTTTGTTCATTCTTTCGTCCTATGAGGCAAAGACGGTTTGGACTCCATCGTACCTTATCTCTTTCACTGATTTCACTGATTAGCACTGGTCAGCCTTCAGACCGCATCGCAGCGTAATCGAACTCCAAGCATTACCCACACTGGTTGGAAGCTCTCTAGACTGTAGAGGGATGCTAAAGCTAGGCCACTGACGGTTCAATTTTGCATTGTGACCAAAATGGCACTAAACCAACAAAACCCACAATTCTGATCACCAGCGCAGTGCTCTTTAATTATATAGGCCTTTTAAGTTGGAACTGACGATGATCGCTTACAGTCGTAAACATACGTGTTCTCTTTTCTTTCTGCATACTTTCCATTCATTTTGCTCTCATTTAATTCAACTGACGGTGATTATCATGATTTATTTGTGTGTATGTCTCAGAAACAGCGTTGCACATACAGTCACAGGTCAGGTTTTTTTTTAATCGTACGGCGAGAAAATGTAGTTTTTGTTACTGTCTTTGTCTCATTTTATTTTAGTTTGCGACCCTGGGTTTTTCAAAATGGTAGCCTTAAACAGCTATCTCAACTGAAGTGGTGTTTGAATGATTGAGGTGATTGCTGTTGAACTTTACTACATCTCAACATGTTAAGAGCACAGTGGGAGTTGACTCCGATCTTCCTGAATTTGAAGACAATCAGTGCAATGATTTCTTTGACTCCCTGTCCAGGGCTGAACTCAGTGCTGTCAAAACTAGACATTTCTACTGCTGAAGTCTTTGGCCAAGAACTTCTCGGTCCTTTAACAGCGCTAGGGTATTTAAATGACTTCCTTTTCATTTTACTCTGTGACAGAATTTTTCAAGTGGGTGTCAAATACTCTTATCGACTTACTTTTCGCTGAGATATTTATCGTCGATACGCAAACTTATCACGCTATAGTTTTTCAGTGAATCCTAACCACGCTTACATCAATCACCAGTATTTTGTTGTAACCTAAGCTCCGAGATTCGTTCTACAGCCCAGAAAAGCCAATTAGTCGTTTCAGTTGCTATTCAAGCTATGTTAAAGGAGTTTTGTAGCGCTTTGGGGTAGGATGTTCTGTTCCTACCTTTAGATGAAAGTTCAATTATGAGCTTTCATACATATATGCGAAACGAATCAGTCAAATTTGCTGACCGCATCTTGATCTTTTAATTGGCAGAATTTTTTTTCAAATTAGTGATACTCACTACAGAAGTGTTAGCTTGGATGAAAGGTTTTCGTGAGTGGTGATTCCTGCGATTCCTATCGTTCCAGTGCTCATGATGTACGCAGTGCATGTACCACAAGGCCGTCTTATCACACTTTCGGCTGGAGAACCCTAAGGGTATCTCCTAACCAAAAGAAAAGCTTTAGTTGTTGCTTCTGTAACAGATTTTCTGGTATCTTTAAAATAATCTTCCACTGATTTGCATCTCTTTTGAAGACCGTACTCCCTCCGATAAAAATTCTGCAGGAGCGCACTAAAAAGCGTTATAAGGACTCTTATTCTCTTTACTCAAACAGAGTTTGATCACCTGATCTTTGATTAGTAATCAGTACTTTTCAAATGTTCTGCAGCACCCTCCATTATCAAGTCAAGTTCTGTCAGTCCATCAGTCATTACTGCAGGTTGAACTCAGCTGGTCTCAGTCGCTGTAAATCTTAGTACCATATACTGTATTTATTTTCTTTCGTTAGAAAAATTAAGGTTGCCTTTACGTCACATCGCGTGACTTAAACTTCAGTTTGCTCACAAATATGGATCTCGTTTCTTTCTTTGAGGCCCTTTATGAAATCTATCTCCTTTTTTTTTTAATTTTATCTGGATAATAATGCATCACCTTATGCCCCATTCACACCAAAGCTTAAACATGTTTTTTTTTAAATTTTATCTGGATTTTTAATAATACTTGAATCCAATGGAAAATCAAGTTTTTCAGTTCTCTGTTTATAATTTTCATTCAATGAAAACCAGTTTAACAAAACATGTTTTGCTGGTGTGAATGGGGTATTAGTTTCAAGAGGTCAATTGGATTTTCACCGAAAACGTGTTTAAGGAGAGGAAAAGACAGCAATAATTAGTGAAACGGAGTCCAATAGTATTTTACCCGATGAAGGAGTCATCAGTTGTAATCATGGACATAAATTTATTGTTGCCAATTCAGAGCGCACGATATTAAACTTTACAACAAAGTAGTGAAAATGTATCAGCACACTGTGTGAGAAGCGCGGCACACTTTTTAGTAACACAAAACTTAACATTTCAATTAGTTCGTTTTTTTTTTTTTGCCTTCTCCAATTTACTATTTAAGTTGTTTTTTTCAAAGAAAAAACATTTTTGAAAACGTCTGTAATCATTTAGTGACCGTCAAGAAGCTGAAATGTATATGATAATTATGAAATTGTGTATCACCCTACGTCGAATCGCAAACCATTCCTGAGATTAAAACTGGACCAGTCAAATAATTTGTATGCTGACAGAGTGCTCATTTCCGGTATAAGTATTATTTCTTCTGTCTTACTTTTTCGGCTCAAAGTTTGAAAACCATACAGATAACCGCTTCTGCGTGAGGTCTTGTCACGCATCCTCATCAAAGTCTGTTTTCCGAGGTGCATTGACTTGGTTGTCTTGTCATTGGGCGGTATTTATTAAGAACTCTAGAGATGTTTAAAGTGACTTTTCGATCGTTCTTCATATCTGTCTCGTTCCAAGAAAAAAAGGATATTTTTAAAAATTTTGTCTCCTATCGTTGTCTTACACCCACCGCGCAACGGACAAAGGTCCTGTTGTTGTCGTCCTTGACACAAGCAAGCCACTTGGGTCCAGTCTGACGCATGGCTTGCATTGGAGATCGCGCGCTGTGTTTTGAAAACAAGGAGGCCGGCAGCAATCTCCACTCTGAAGGCTGCAGGTAGGACACGGATCGTCCTCGAATAGTGCTTTCAGATTTTTTGCGTATTTTCAATACGCTGTACAAACACTCATTGACGAACGCTTTGATTCGGGAAGAACCATCATGTGACGTGTAGGTTGATAGGTTGGCTCTCAGAGCAAGCTTATACGTAGAATAATGAAAACTTTGTCTCAATCAACACTGCGATTCTCCTTCTGATTATACATGGCTTATTTCATCGGTAGGTTTTTTTCATACTTGGCTCAAAAAAGGCCACCTTTGTCTGAGAGAGGATACTGCGTGACATTTATAATGGTTTCGTCATCTGACAATTCAACGCATCACATTCATTTGTCGCCTAGATTCACAGTGAGTTCTTGTGTGCTCTTGAGTTCCCTTTACGTAGGAACCTAATCCAGTCTCATTCTGTTGAAAGCCTTGCCTCGAGAATGCGATGATTACCACGTTCTTAGACAAGAAGGAAACAATTGCCAGCAAGAACTTGGAAAATCCGAAATCCTTCTGTGGACTTCTCAATGGTAAATTTAGAAGGTAAGTGTCCCTCACATCACGGTGTTTGTGATTTCACATATTATGCTCTCTTTTCTGTCCGGAAAGGTGTGAAAACCACAATTTGTTCGAAGGTTACGTGAAATACAACCCACCGTTGATAAAATAGTTGTCACACGTTGCAAAGATATATGACATCCTCTTTAAAATTCTCTTACAATGTGCTAAATCGCAATAAATACGAAATCAAATCTAATTGATAGTTTGGAGCAAAGAACTGGAAGCCTTATTTAGAAAGCGAAGGATTACTTCTGTTTCTCAGTAAATCTTGATGAACGTGACAGAGATAACCTTAAGAAAGATATCAGAGTCATCATGGCCCCGTAAGCCACTTTTCCACTTTTACTCGAGTGAAGTTGAGAGTACTAATTCTAAAGTAAACATGCGAGAAATTTATCCAGACTCATCTTATCTTAGGGGTGCTTTAACTCTTTTCATTTTATTTTCAGAAATCGCTCTGAGACACGGAATTAGCAATTTCATTTTTTTTTTTTGAATGTGAAATATGTGTGTTGCTTTCGGCCATTCTAACGGGGCCACATAATTATATGCTTTTACCTATCTTTAAGAGGGAATCCCCCTTTGCTCGCACATAAGCAGACCATAACATGTACTATATTGTTGTGTATTGGAAGTTGGGTAGGAGCATTTTAAAAATACCTTACTGAAGAAGGAACCAAATCAACCTGAATTTATGAAACAATCAACAAAGGCAGCCTCATACTTGCATGTATTTTAGATTTGTTTCTACTTAGCTTAAGAACATGCCATTATTGCTGCAAATCTCTTTTACTCTGAAGTTAGATATTTCTTAAATACAGCACAGAGTTGTTTTAATTCTCATTGTTAATATATTAACTTTACTAGCAGGTGCTACTTGTTAAGATATAGTGTTTTAAATTCCTAACTAACCATAATGAGAATAACATATTTAAAATATAACATATGTTCCATGTATTTCTAAACTGCCTTTGCTTCTTGGAAATAATTCAATTTCTAATTGATTGTAGTCAATGTAGAGATAGTTGGAAAAGAGTTTGTGTGCAGCATCTGCAATTTGTTCACCATTTGCTCTCTGCCATAGATATAAATATATAGAAGTAATTGTTGTTGTATATGTAAGCTTCTGGAAATCTTCAGACTGCTTAGTTGTGCTGATATGCATACCACAGAACTTTCTGGAACATTTCATCAAGTCACGCAGTCATTACATAATACTTCTAAAATATTTCTTTTATAAGCTTTTGGAATGTTTCAGAACACTTTGTGAATGTATATAAGGACTCAGCTATGTAGTAGCATTGTTGTTGTTGATGGGAGTGTTTAGAAAGCTATACTGCAAGAGAGAGCTATGGTGGAAGATTGCTAATTTCAATAAATATTGGAAGAAACTGGGAGTTTGGCTCAGTGGTGAGCTAAGATGTAGACTGTGGTGGGCTTGAGTAAGTTTATCAAGGATAAGTACTGGGCTGCCTTTAGGAGTTGCTCCTTATAAAGAATATTGCATGTTGTTTGATAAAGTAGTTGAGCTTGTAGAATTGTAGTGTTTTTCTGTTAGTTAGATTATACTATAACTATATATATATATATACATATTTATATATATTGTCTATAGTTTTCATTTTTTGGTAAGATGTTTCATTCTTTATGTGCTGTCACTTCATTTCAGATCTGTACTAGTTTTATTCTTTCTCCTTGTCACTGCAACTGCCAATGGACATCAAACGAAAGTTACCACAGAATCGATTGCTTCAAACACAACAGGTGGGAAGATTTGAAATTCTCCTTCAACATGCCTCATGTTAACAATAACAAAGTATATAATCTTAAGCATCTCAATCATTTCCTTGTTTGTTTACCCTGTTTTTCTAAAATGAAACTTTGTTAGTTTCATGTAAATGTGAAACTGAAGCATTAATAGAATTTCCAAAAACTAACTTAATATTGTCATAAATAGACAGGTATAGCTTCATTTGCTGGCAGATCTCAGCAAAAGCAACAGATATTCAGTATTTTGCATAATACAAACTGTTCAGTCAGTTGATTATTTGTGAATAGTCTCATGCAAAGGTGTGTACATCTGTAAAAGCACTAACTCCACATGTTTTTAACATGATATTAATTGTTGTGCTTAGAGAGTGACCTCAAAGCACATTCCTCAAATGTAGATTATATCCACCTATTTAACTTTGAAAATTGTCCTGAAAAGTGAAACTATATATACAACTGTCATTCTTTGTCTTTCTTTATCCTGAACAACTCTTTTGTACATTCATATTTAAAAAAAAGGAACATGTATACTAACTCTCTGATACTTAATTGGAGTCTTACAAATACAGAGCAAATCTCTCTAATTGCCTATGTGGGTCACCAAATCTCCAGAATTGCATTTTTCTTTTATTTTCCAATGTTTTGCCCATTATTTGACCTTTCAAGCATTTGAAGTCCCTTACATATTTTTTCTTAAACATTTTTCTCTCATTGTTTATGGTTTTAAGGGGTTAGTTGGTGATGAGGCTGGAGATAAGAGTTATATCGGGATTTAAGATCTCTAGAGGTTAACTTTTTTAACAGTGTAACTGTAATGTTGTTAAGGTGTCAGTGTTTGATGTATCAGGCCACTATGCAACCTTAGATATTACTAGTCCTTTCTTATGGATCTCACAATTCAAAGTAAATATGCTCTTTTATTACTTCCAGTAGATCTTCAAGGATTGCATACTTCAGGAATAAATGCATCAGAGAATAATATTAGCCAGAACTCCCCATACATAGAAGAAACTAGCACAACTGCACCATTAATACCAGAAAATGACTATTTATTAACTAAAAAGTCCTTGAGATACACTTTACTTTTGGTTTTTAGGCAGGAATTAGACAGTAGGAAATTTGTGATAAATATAAATGCTGTTGATGGAAGTTCATCTAAAACTGTCTATGTCCTTATAGTTCAGAATAGATCACTCTCATTTCAAAGAAATAGTTCCATATTTGGCATTGTTAAATTAGCTAGTGTTTCCTCATGGCAAAAACTGCTTGTAAGCTTTAATCACCAAGAAATCTCAGTCACCCAAAGTTGCCAAGAATTCAACTACCTATCACTGCCAAGCATTAGTAAATTGGAAGAGTGGGAAAAGATTGCTGTAACAGCACTCCTTGAGGATGCCCAAGATAGTGATATTAAGGTATGTATACTTACCTGTTGTAAAAAGTATTCATTCAACTGTTATAGTGATGTAAAGGTAGCATGGTTTGTTGTGAGTGCTAGAGATGGTTTTTTGAAAGTTCACCTATTGATGAGCCAACAAAATTGATAAATATAGAAAGAGAGAAAGGAAAATGCATTTTGCTTAGTAATGAGGTTGCTCACTGCTTGGGATGGTGGAAACCAAAGAAAGGAATACTGAACAGGGAGAAGATGGTTTTCAACCTCATTTATAACTTGAAAGACTACACACATATTGGTATATTAAAGAAAGAAATGATGGACCCAGATGTTTTGGCAATTATTTTCAAATTCTGGTTTAGCTGGTGTTTAACCTTGGTAGTATTAATATGTCTTTTTGTTTTGATTTCAAGGGTTTATGTAGTTATTTGTCTATTCTGCACATTAAACAAACTAAGTAATAAATGACATAAATGTTTCTATTTATTGGTACAAGAACCTTGCTTTGGTTATCAAAATGTTGATGGATTTAGACAAATTTAGATGAGAAAGAAGAAGATTTAAATTTTTTCTTTGAGAATCTAGAGAAGGCCTTTGCAACATCTTCAAAAGAAATTAACTTGTCGTCTCCATCTGGAACCCCCTTGCCTATTATTAACCTATTATGTAACTCTTACACGAGTTTATTGATTCCACCTCTTTTAATTAGAATGACATATGTGAACTATTACTTGTGGATCAGCAAGAAACTGTGAATGCTTTCTGCCAGAGACCATTGACAAGTGATTGCTCTAATAGAAAAAATCTTCATGCTAAACATCAGACTAAGGTTAGAGATTTTTCTTTTAACTACTCATTTCATTACTCAATCAAATATTTTGGATAGTGTACCTAATGGTGAGGTTACGAAATTTATTGCAGGAAAGTTGGAACAGCACTGAAACACAATCAGGCCAAGGCTTTGTAAGTGTTTGAAAGATGGTTTTTACCATACTATACTTTTTTGTCGTTAGCTGACTCAGAAGATATTATTGTTTGTGACTTTTATGGCAATCTGTAACAGAATGAACTTTTAGGTCATATGGGAAAAAAAAGGGCCTAAGGTATTTGAGTACTGCACTCAAGACCAAGGGCACAGTTTGTTGCCATATGGACCAACTCAGACTGGTAAAAAAATTATTAATGTTTTTCTGTGGTTTTGTTTTTTCTGCTTTGTCAAGAATGGAGTAACTACCCAATCAGATTAGAGGATTTAGGATTCTGGCCCAAGGGCATGATTCTCGACAATTAATATTGCTTATTCAAAATTTTACAAACATGGTTTACTGATAAATGCTTACATTAAATTGTTATGCCATTTGGTAAGTGAAATGGACATTTGGTTCAGAGTTGGTACTGACAATTTGATTACATTGTTGTACACTTTTGGACTTTAAACATGGCTCATTCCACTTAAAAAAAAAGTAAATACTAAAACATTCACACAAATTTTATTTTCCTTACTTTTCACAGTAGTTTAGTTTTAAAGAACTATCAAGGAAGTCAATATCTATTCTGATAAATGTCATTGTTGTATATAACCACTTGTGTTTACACTTTGACTGACTTCCCTATTTAGGTTGCCATGCCAGCACCTGCTGGAGTCAAGGCAAGTTGTTAGTTCTTATCAATAGTGTCCAATAATCTCCTTACTACTTCAGCTCTACATGCATTAATTATTACTTCTTCTCCTATCTGGTTTCATCACTTATTATCAATATTATTATTGTAGGAGGACTACTATATTGCTAAACCTTTGTAAAATTCCATCATGTGTACTTTGTTTTACAATTCTCTAGGGTCCTCCCAGTAACACAGTGACAGAATTAAGAAGAGTGGTAACAGTCATTGAGTCCCGTGGTCATCCTGTATGTCATATTTACTTCCTCTAAAAATTTGCATTCCACCACTTTTGGATGTTGTAAGTGATCTATATTCAACCTACATGTTGAATATGGATACAGATGTGGAAGTGGGGCAGTGGAGTGCAATTGTTATCGTTTTTTTATTATTATCTTTTGTGTGTGTTTGGGGTTCTGATTGGTTTGACATTGTCCTTTTCAGATTTAGTAATCACTACTGCAAAGTATAGTTTATGGCCCATTTTGCACAAAATATTAATATTTTGATTAGGCTATTTTGCAAGGATGTAGTCCAAACCCATTGAATAAGCTAATTTGCTGAGAATCACTTGGCTCAGGATATTGATACAATATCAAGGATAAAATTAACCATCTTTCATTGCTTCTTTTGTCTAATGGGATGTATTTGTGTATCCACTATCAAGCTATAGCAATAGACTTTTACACTTTTTATACTAGGGATTGGTTGGTGAAATTGGACCTAAGGGTTATAAAGGTGATAAAGGCATGCAGGTAAGACAGGCACATTTAGACACAATATCTCTTAAGAGTTTCCTTTTCTGTGAATTTAAAAAATGTATACACCTTGTTTCTGCTTGGATCATCCCTCTTATGTCATACAACTTTTTTATAACAGGGTCCAGGTGGCATCCCTGGAAAGCCTGGTTCTCATGGCCCTCCAGGTGAGCAGGTAGGTTGCTTTTTTTTAATGTTGGCTGAAAATTATAATTTAGGCCAGACATGATAATGAACACATTTTTTAATGGGGGAAATACCATCTGGCTGAATTATGTACACAAGCTTATTGGAAAGGAAAATTTAATCAATCAATTTTAAGAAAATGATTTAGTAAATTTGTAATGCAAACTACCAGGATGAAATGTATATTAGACTGTACATCTTTTTTTCAGTAGATTACCCAGAAAGAAGAAGAATAAATCACTTACCATGCTAGGATAACTCAATTGATCGTTTTTCTTTTTAGGGTATTGTAGGACTGAAAGGTGATCTTGGGATTATTGGACACCAGGTAAAGGAGAGTTACATATTAAATAGATTGAAATAAATTATTTCAACAGATAACAGTTTACTTTAATTCGTGAAATTATTGTTGGTTAATTATGGTTGGGTGCAACATTTGAATGGGTTTGATTATTATTTCAGTCTTAAGGTAAGTATACCTTTTTATAACCTTTTTTTATTAATTTTAGCACAATTCTATTAGCTACTTGATGTCACATGGTGGAAAATTACAAGACTGTTATCATATCTAAAAATTTCACATTTGTCCTTGAAGCTTCACTTCTCAGCCAAATTATTAATTTCTCTGACAATATCTCAGGTGCAGACATTATCAGCCAACATACCAGCCACCTGGAGGGGTTTCTTTCTAAATGTATTCAGTTATCAATCTTTGATCCTATGCAATGTTTCAATTGGTGAACATGTGATTAATACTGTCACTAGCTTAAAAAAATTGAACAGTTGTCGTATGTTTCAGAGTCAGCATATGGTTAAATTTGCAGGGTCGTGCTGGAAGAAATGGACCTAAGGGACATCCAGGACCTCTGGTAAGTTTCATGGTCACTGACTTAACATGCTCAGTCAGAAATCAAGCATCATTGGCCAATGCAAAAAGAATATAGTTTATTTAATTTAAATGTAGATAATTCAAGGTTAAACCGAACATTCAGTTTAAATTATCTTATGCTAACAATGTGAGTGTTGGAGGAAAGGAAAGGAGGTTTGAGATTTTTCAGTGGTTGACATACTCAGAACCATACCCTTGCCTCTTGACTAATTGAGTACTCATTATTTTACAGAGAATTATCACAAACTTTCTTTTTCTCTGCAAAATGGGCTCATTACACTCTGTTTATATGACATGCTTTTGAAATTCATGGCAAATTGTTTGGTTTTAATGTAAATGCAACCCAGAAACTTTTTCTTTCTATATTGATTCTACACAGTTACTAAAACAGGGAATGACCTAAAATGACCTAAAATGATTTAAAATGACCTAAAATGACCTAAAGTGATTTTTAAAATGACCTAAAATGGCTTGAGTGACTTGAACAATGACCTAAAACGAAATAAAAACCTTAAACACAGGTGTCCCAAGGTCACTGGAAACCACAACTGACACACAAGATGTGAGTTAGTTCTATTGATTTTACATATAAAATGTGTATATCTCAAAATATTAATTGTTATAATTCAACCATATTTCATTCCCCATATTATTCCTTATAACAGCTTCAAATTCTTCATAGGATCATCTTGTAACCCCAACACCAACTCACACAATGCATGAAGCTTTCTTGAATTAATCATTTGCTTTTTCCAGAGACATGAGCTGGGGACGTCTGTGCCTAAAATAACTTTCACTGATGTCTAAGATGACCAGAAATAAAACTAACCTTGACTGATGTGTAAAATAACCAAAAATAAGGTTTAAGTCTAGCTAAAAAGATCCACAATAGCTGGTAGTCACACAATGATCCGTAAGTACTAAAACATGGAACGACCTGAAACCACCTAAAACCACCTAAAACCACCTACAACCATCTACAACCACCTCAAAAATTTCAACAGCCACTCGCAAACTATCTAATACCATCTAAAACAAGGCATGAATGTCTTAAATAAGGAAAAACGATACACATCATGTACATGAAATATGAGAATCGAACGAAACCTCCACCTCCCCCTGAAATCTTACTCCCCCTGGTCCCATGTATAATCAACCATCTCACGAAATAAAATGCAAGAGCATGCCAATTATATTTTTTATTACCTCAGTGGTAAAAGGCCTAAAGAACTTTACAAAATGAACTATCAAGTTACAAAAAGTAACAAAGTAAAATAACAAACTCGTAGTCAAGACTGATTTGCCTTGGCTTTTTCTACCCTGGGTACCAGCAGATGTTTTGGCTCACGTCTAGAAAAAGTATGAGTAAGAATGATTATTAGAAATATTTCAAGCAAACTGTACGTACATTTGGAATCTTCTTTTGGCACTATTGCCATCATGCTGGCATTCATACAGCATTCAGTTGTATGAGTGGTGCCACTTACACAATAGTGACTCACATTTTGCTCCAATTACATTTAAATTGCTGAGATTATAAATGGAGAAAAACACTACTTTGGACCATTACATAATCAAATGAAGCGTGAGCCAAAGCGTCGGCTAGTAAAGTTCTTTAGGTCTTTTACAAATGAGGTAATAAAAAATATAATTGGCCTGCTCTTGCATTTCATTTCGTGAGATGGTTGCTTATACATGGAACCAGGGAGAGTAAGATTTCAGGGGGAGGTGGAGGTTTCATTCGATTCTCTTATTTCATGTACGTGACGTGTTATCATTTTGCCTTATTTAAGACATTTATGCCTTGTTTTAGATGGTATTAGATAGTTTTAGATAGTTTTATTGAAATTTTTGAGGTGGTTGTAGATGGTTGTAGGTGGTTGTAGGTGGTTGTAGGATGTTTTAGGTGGTTTTAGGTCGTTCCATGTTTTAGTACTTACCCACAAGGATCTAAGGTGTTCTAAGTGATTAAAGTGGCATACTGTTAAGTGAAACTGAGAAGGAGTTCTGTTGTATATTGCTGGCAATTACTATTTTTTTAATTGTTCTAGTAAAGTTTAAATGTCAATTTATGTCATTTTAGTCAGCGTAGGTTACTTTCAATCATTTTAAGTCAAGACATCAGTCAGGGTCTTTTTAGGTCATTTTAGAAATCACATAAGGTCATTTTTAGTCATTTTAGAAATCACACAAGGTCATTTTTGGTCATTTTAGGAATCACTCAAGGGTCATTTTAGGTCATTTTAGATCATTTTAGGTCATTTTAGGTCATGTTAGGTCATTTTAGGTCATTTTAGGTCAATTTAGGTCAATTTAGGTCATTTTAGGTCATTTTAGGTCATTTAAGGACATTTAAGGTCATTTTAGGTATTTCTGGTCATTCCTTGTTTTAGTAACTACCATTGATTCTATCAGGGTGATACAGGTGAACCAGGCATAGCAGGACTACCAGGTGTAGAGGGTGATCAGGTAAATCAGGTGGAGCTTTTTTATCTCAGCATGGATTGCATAATAGTAACTTTATTGGCCATGATGCTTCTGGATCAATTATAGTAACTTTGATTTAATGAACAAAAATGTTAACAGGCCATCAAAATGAATATTATGTAAATTTTACATCTTCATATGTTGTTGACTCAAAGAGTGAATCATGCAGTGTTTCCTAGTGTTTGTGTCTGGAGTATTTATTGACTTCTGTAGTGTGACCTTCAAGAACGTTCTAGAAGTAGCTGTGTCATACTGAGTCATCCCTCAATCAATATGTAAATAGAATCTACTGTAATGTTACGGAACACTCTAGATCCTCAACTGTACCTATAAAAGCCGAGCTTGTAACTAGATGTAGCGAGTAGTTTAGTTGCTGGTATAGCCCGTCAGATATCAATAAAGGTGTATCCTGCAGAATACAAGACATCCACACTTCAACTTCCATATTTTACTTGTCACTGTTTTCCTAGATTTCAAAGACGCTTATGATTGACTAACTTAGGTAGACTTTGTGGATATATATATATTTTTCTCAATCTGACCTTTGGCCTATTAAATGAAACTACTGAGTTATTATCGTAAGATGTCATTTAACAAAAGGGAATCAGCTGATAAGCCACATATAAAGTCAAAATTACATCTGTTTAAACATTTATAAATATTAGTCGATCAATTTCTATTTTAGGGAGACCCTGGTGATGTTGGTGAACCTGGAGATCCAGGACCTCAAGTAAGTCTCTAGTATGTTGTGCCTGAGGGTGTATCAGCTCTGCTGGTAGCTAGATATTGAATTTGAGTCTTCAAACTTTCCAATTTTGTTTGCACTTCTGTTTTGTGATTTTCTGTTCACCATAAGTTGACAGAGTCAGAAAAACACTATGTTTTAATTTCCATATGGCTCTCTAAAAATCATGTGCAGTGTCCACAAAATGCTGTGGGTCATTATACATGATAGACTTTTTTGGTCAATATAGTAAATCTCCAGCTGACTAGTTTATTTAATTTTTTTTTAATGATTTCAAGAAAACTAAAATAATTACAATATCATGTACTCCTGGCCTTGCACTGTTTTTTTGTTAATCTCAAATCATGAATTGATAGGGGTTTCAAGGCTCCCGTGGACGAATGGGTCTGACTGGAGCATCTGGGAATCCTGTAAGTTATTATTATAATACATCTGGGATCTGAACTGTGTAAGTTTACTAAATCAATAAATAAATGTAAGTATTATTTTAGAAATTTGTTTTCCTCTTATTTCATCATTTTACTCCATGTCAGTCTTAATATTAGATCAGTCCAGCTGGGAATAAATCCTGCATTCATGTGGGATTTATTCTTTTCACAGTGGGAGTTGGTGTTGTTCAGCCTTGCTCAACAGCACTGCAAGGTGATGGATTTGGGAAGGATTGAAATTGTATGGCAAATACATACCGTGTTAGTGAGTAATGGAAGGGAGAAATTGAAACATAACTTGTTGCCTTCCCCAAGAAAAGATAATGGTAGGGTTGGTGAGAAATGAAGTGCACAAGAAGAGTAATTGAATAAATTTTACATATTAAACAAAATGAAAAGAAGAAGATTGAGATGGTTTATATTTTGTCAATTGAGCACCAAATCACTCTTGAAAAGGAGAGATGGATTGCTAAAATGGGGTTAATTATAAGTAATATTTCATGGGTGTGACAAAAATTACCATGACATTGATGGTCACCATGATGGTGAGCATGATAATAGTTAATTGATATTCAATCATATTAACTCTACAGGGAGTTCAAGGACCCTCAGGTTCCAGGGGAGTTCAAGGATATCAGGCAAGTGTTTGACAAAAGATCTCAGATGTAGTGCTTAGGTGTTATGGTGTAACTTTTAAAGAGTTTTGAAAGGGCTTATGCCTGGAATTGCTCACATTTAAGGACGGGGGTTTATAACTTTTATCAGCAAGCTGTTAGAAAAACATAGTGAATTTCACAACACAAAAAAATTACACAATTTTTTCTTATCTACATTTCATAAGGGTCATCCAATGCAATTGACATTGTATGATGTTTGAAGACATTAAACATCTCTTCTCTATTCTCTTATTCATAGCAAAGTGTTTAAGAATAACAACAACTTGACCCATATTTTGCAGTAAAAATGAATAGCCTTCCTGTTCAGCGTTTGTGATACACTTCCTTGGAGATATAAATTGACCAGAGAGAAAAGTGTCTTTGATTGATATGATTAATTAAATAAAATGAAAAATTAATTAATATTGATTAATTCATTGATTAATATGCATCATTTAGTTTTGTTGTTTCTTTTGGTAAGTTATGACAGGAAATACTGAGCATTTTGTGACATGGTACCTTGTAAAGACTAACAATTGATAATTACGCAAACAACTCACACATCTCAAAAAAAAAAACACAATTTGGCAGTGACTGGGACCAAGGTTTGACAGTGCACAATAGTGGCAGCAAAACACATAGCAAAGTAATTGTTGGAGGGGTGGTAGCAACACATCGAGCAAGTGATGGATAATCCAGTAACATGTATGCAATGAACCACACCTGGTCAAAAGCACATCAACCATAACAAAGGAATAAATCACATGTCATGTATAGCACATGCTACAGTGGGGTAAGATCAATAATGAGGTTGGGACAGAGTTCCATTCAGCCTACTCTGCATGTGATGCCAATTGGCAGGTGGATACCTAAGCCTGTAGTCAAGCTTAGCAAGGAGAGGTGTGGAAAATATTCACAGCTTGCAAAGAAACCTAGGGTACAAAGAGCTATATTCCCGACAACTACATATCTCTTGCTAAAAGAGTTTAAGGACTGTACTTTAATTTACAAACCAAGCCTTTTTCACTTGGAATTATGGCCCAAGTGCAAAGGTAAGTTATATTTGTTTCATCATTATTATAGGGTGATCGTGGAAAGCAAGGAGAAGGAGGAAACCATGGAAAAAGAGGAGCTAAGGTAAAACAAAATTAATTGAAAGTAAAATGCACTTGGTAAATTAGTAGCTATCATTTTTTAAGAGGAAGTACATAGAACAATCACTCCATATCACTCCAAACAAAACAGACATGAAGGAAATATACTTTGTTCCTATATACAGCTACAGCATATAATTTACAGAGTTTAATTGTTGAAACATTTTAGTTTTTTTACTTTCAAGATGGGTACTAAATAGTGCACTACTTTGATAAGGATTGCTAGTTAGAGTTTATTTTGCCATAGATAGTTTTTAACATTTTTGTTTGTTAAATTTATAGGGAAACAGAGGAAGTACTGGGCGCAGTGGCATGAAAGGCAAAAAGGTAAAGGGTAATTAAAACACTTTACCTTGGCACTACATGGTCATGACTTCTCTGGCTCGATTTGATGAGAAACAAAATATCTGTAATTGATTTCTGCACTTTTGAGATGTGTTTAATGTGTAGTCATTATTCATGAAGTTCTACTAAGTACTGTTTTTAAGTTTTGGAAAGACCATTTCTTTGCAAAAATATATTTTTAAAATTTTCAGGGTATTTTAACCCTTTCCTCTTTTTGAGGTACCTTCATTTTGACCAACCATTATGTCATAGGGAAATCCAGGTCCACTTGGCCCTAAAGGAGAGGAGGGTGAAAAGGGCCATAAGGTAAGAATTCTAACTTTTTTTTAGGCAATTCATTTATTGCTTTGTTTTATCATTTGTAGGATCACAACTATTGTAAGAATAATACACACCACACATTTTGTGCAAACATTATTGATATGCTGCACATACATCACAAGTGCTCAATTATCACCATAATTGTTGTTATAGTATTCCAACAATGATGAAAATGACTCAAGTTATTTGTTTCTATAAAGTTCTCAATTGTTACAAATTGTTTAATGTTTGTTCATGCATAGGTAAGTCCTAATTATGTATTAGCAATAAATTTTTAGCACTCCCTAATGTAAGGACAGTTGTCTACCTAACCTCAAGTGGCTATAAACTGTTGAACGGGAGAGAGGCTAGGGCTGACTTTGTCTTGAGACAAATCTAACAATCTTTGGTATGCAAGTCAGTTTAAGATCATTAAAATAATTACTTGTGTCTGTCATTCCAAGGAAATCTCACCATCAGACAGAGACTTTAATACACTTCACATAATTTTTAACTATTTCAATTTCTTTTGTGATCATCACTTAAAGGGCATTCCAGGTCTTGTGGGATCCAGAGGTGCACATGGTCCTCCAGGAGCACAGGTTAGTAAGCAGATCACCTATTCTTAGCTAGTTACAAATACATGGGGAGAACTGAGGCAGAAGGAATGTGAAAACTTTATAACATTGGCAAAACAAAATGTCATATGTTGAAGAATGTTATAACCTTTGACAGGGTCCTCCTGGAGATCCTGGGCATAAAGGATCAGCAGGACTTCCTGGTCACAAGGTAGGTAGTCTGAACTCATTCACTTTCAGTTCAATGTGTGGGTGCATGACCTCAGGCACACCTCTGCACATTGTGCCTTATTGGACTTGGATCAACGCACTGAGGACATACTATTAAAATTCTGTGCATGTGGAAAGTGTATTGGTTTGCACATAATTGACATTAGCATTGTTTTGTGTTGAAAACTTTGGTTCATTTTATTTGTGTTGATGGAACACAAAAAAGAAGCAAAGCAGTAATAACTTCTCACTAATCAAGCATGAGGGCTGTACTGGGGAATATTGGCCCTTGGTCATGGCATTAAAGACTAAGAGGTCCCCACAAGAATAACAGAGGGCCATTATTCCTCAGCAGGGCTCAAGCAAGCAAGTTTATAGGGCACTCACCAAACATTTTTACTTAGAATTTTCTGGCCTTCATGACCAAATTACATGGTTTATAACAATCTGGGTGGAAACTGTCTGTTTGGTAAAATATGACTGTACTTAGTAAGAACCAATCAGAACACTCAGATTTACCTTGCCATGTAATGACATGATTTATGTTATACCTTCAGGGAATGCCTGGAAAGCTAGGTAAACCAGGAATCCCTGGACAGAAAGGCAGTGAGGTTAGTAATTTTTACTTTACATTAGCTTCTGATCTTGAATTGTAAGTTTGCTCAGCCTAACATTTTGAATTGCAAATCAACATTCACTTGTTTGATAACTGTTGTCTTATTCCTGTCACTCAAATGAATCTGAGTGGTAATGAGAGGAAATCCCTTCAACTTATAACACCTTGTTTAATCTTGCCTGAGTTATTGAGTATTCACTCCTACCTTGATTTTTCTGTTAGTTTGTAATAGTGCTCGGACTGATTGGAGTCCAATTTGGTCTTTAATCATATGAGTGATTTGTTTATCACAAGTAAGATTACAGACCAAATTGGACAACATGAAGTCTTATTACCAATTAATCATAAAAATTGTGATTTCCAAGGAAAAATAGAATAGCCAAGTTATAAAAGAAAGGGAAAATTTTGATTTAAACTACATTTTTGAATGTGATTGGTTGATTTAAACTACAACTTTGAATGTGATTGGCTTATTGAACTGTCCAATAACAGCTTTTCAAGTGAGTTAGTGGAAAGTTGGAATTTTAAACCAATCACAATTGAGGAAATTGTAATCTTTAAGGTTAAAGCAGTTATACCTTTACAGAATTTTATGCCTACATGGTCAAACATATGTTAGTTTTTCTGTCAAATTATACATGTATCTATAATGTAAAAAAGGATAATTCTATTTGAAGGGTTCTTCTGGTGAACTTGGATTTTATGGCCCCAAAGGAAACAAGGGAGATAAGGTGGAGTATTTAAGCTTTCTTATACTTTTTTATTTGCTATCTGTCTTGTTATTTGATCATAAACCACTACTGATAACATAAATTACCATGTCTAGGGGGACAGGGGTCGCCGTGGTTTCCATGGAAAACGTGGAGTAAGAGTAAGTTTCTTCATGAGACAAAACATTAATTTCTCTGCTTAATAGTTTGCTAGCACGTGTGGTAATCTGAAAATAAAAACTTATGGGAATCTGCTATAGTGCATTTGAAAGCTATGTTAGTCCTCAGCAGCATATGTCCAATGTGGGGTGTTTAGCTAACACTGTAGGATGGAGCATGAAAAGCCATGTTTGTACTCTATCAAATTCAGAAAATTAAATTCATACTAAAGAACTGTATTAACTGCAGAGCAAGCCATCACATTTGGACTTAATGGAGAGCAAGCTATCAACAAGGCATTTACTTATAAGCCTATATAATGTTTTTTTTTCACTGTTTGCTCAGGGAGACTCTGGGAAGAAAGGTAGAAGGGGCTACAATGGTTTAAATGGCGATAAGGTAAAATGTGATTTTGAAATTTAATAGTATTCATGTCTGTGCCCAATTTTGGACAATTCAAAGTTCCCCTTTCATGTTCTTACTTTAGACATGTGTTCATTTTGTATTTTGAACGTATTCGTTTTCAGGGATCATCTGGAAGGATTGGAGAAGCAGGACCACAGGGTCCACTGGTATGTTGGCAAAAAAGGAACTTGTTAGTGTGAGACCAAACGATAATAATTTTGTGAAATGCTTAAAAAACAAAACTTTAGCATTTTTAACACCAGATAATAAGATATATGTTCCTCAGGTTGAAGAAATAAGTTTCAATTGCATTTTATTGCCCCTAAAATTAAAGAACAGCTGGGAGTCAGGGCATATATTTACACTAAATATTACGAACAAAACGTACGGTAATCATACTTTCATAGCTCGGTGGTTAATTCCTTTAAGTGTTAAAATACCACACAATACGTAAAATTTCATTTCTATTATTTTACCCCTGTTACTGAAAATACAGTTGCAAAGTACTTAGAATATTTTTGTTATCGTTTTTTTTTCTATTCCTGACATCGATATAAGAGTTCAGATTTTAAAGTGGTGTAAGTTGTTGCAATAATCATTAGAAAGTTCATTTTCATGTAATTACTTCTTATTATGAACTCTCGTATGACATGAAGTTTTATTTCTCCAAGGGAACACCAGGTGTCCAAGGAGTTATTGGTAGTCCAGGATTAAGAGGACCTCCGGTATTAAGTTTAAATTTTCTGTTAGTTTTAAGAATCCGGTGACAAAATGTTTTTAAGGAGAACAATTTTACTCAAATCAACAAGTCGAATTCACTATCACTGAATTGTAATTAGTTTGTATCTCTAAACTCATGATTTGCACATTTGATTTCAGGGACGTCGTGGTCCTAATGGCACAGTTGGCGTAATAGGAAAACCAGGGCCTCTGGTAAGTTAATGATACCTAGGAACCAAAGCAAACCTGTTCAAAGTCGCAAATAGGTTACTTTCCGCCGTGCTTCTTTTCAGCAAAAGATATAGAAAATATGGTAAGAACCGTTAAACCCCTTTGCTGAGTGTGTCAAAGATGTTTTTACCATATTCTGACGTTATCAGACTCTTTAGACTACAAGCCGTCCCTCTTTTTCGGCGAAGTTCGTCAAAAAACTATATATATACAGTGAAAAAAAATTATGTTAGCGCGCGGTGTATGAGGTGGGACTGGTTGTAGACTACTGACTCATGGCAAAAATGGAATTTATTTGTTTTGTTCAACGAAGAGGAAGTTAGGATTTGTGCTTGAATTTTAGCGATTTTTAGCGAGCTCTGCAACTTTTTTCACTTTTATTTTGTTGTTGTATGTGGTGTCCATAGGGTATCGAAGGAAAGCCTGGCGATCAGGGAGCACATGGCCCAAAAGGAGAGGATGTAAGAAATTTTCTATGTCAGTTGCTGGATCTCAAACGTCTGAATACCTCTAGGACTGAGGTCTTTAAACATGTATGCCGTTTATCAATTTAAAAATGGTGACTTGCTGGCGCTTGAATTGGACTGTGGCAAGAGCGCGCCGAGTTAGAGTTGCACAGTTCCGCATATTTCTTTGGAGGTATTTTAGAAGCAATTTATTAAGTCTGACTTAAAAACTAATGGCCGCAAAATCTGAATCAATAGGGTCCTGCTGGAATAGCTGGATCAGTAGGAGAAGCCGGGCCCCAAGGATTGCAGGTGATTTTATGCAAATTACCTTATAGTATTCCACCTTTCTATAGAAACATATATATATCATTGGATCTGTCTTCGTGTATACTACTCTATTTAGTGCCCCCTTCAACTCTTTGCTTGTGCTTAAGTTATTATAACTCTGCTGTTTTCTATTTTCAAACGAAAACAGTTAAAAACACAGTTGAGGTAAAAAAAAATTATTTTCATTTTTTACCTTAGGGTGAATTAGGGCCAAAGGGAAGTCGTGGAGAAATCGGAGAGCCTGGAAAACTGGTAAGATATCGGGAATTGCTGTATGTGGAGTGTTCATACATAGCTATAACAGCTCGTCAATCTGCTTATTGGTAAAGGTTTATCGATATGAAAATAGGTAGCAAAAGAGGTCGTAAGACGTTACTCTAGACTCAACTGCCTTTTAATGATATTCATGGGATATTTGTTAAGACAGTATGTTACATTGTGGTTGTATCTGTTTGTGACTGCCTACTCCTAGGGCGCTGCTGGTCATCCTGGAACTAAAGGCACGCACGGAATTACGGTGAGAAAAGAACTAATTAATAAATAACTAGAAATGATTAGCTAAGCACCTGGATGAATGGATGCAAACCATTGGAACTAATCAAGCCAATCCTTTTTGCTTTGCAACAGCTAGTGTAGCAGGATTGTCATATTAATATTTTAAAGTAGGGTATCTCTCTGATGCCTAAAGTAATAAAACCCTATCATGGTGTGTTCCTGGTTGGTGCATGTCAGCCTTGACTTTCCTCCTATACGAAGTCTGTTCCGACGGTTACTTTTGTCAAGTCCAATAGGCTAAGTCGTCGCAAAAGTAACATCTCTTTACGTGTTAGCTGCCACAGGACTCCTCTTATGAAATGACGTTACTATTAATTAGATAGATGCTAAGTTTAATAAAATCTGGTCTTCTTTTTAATTTGTTCTTCTTTTTCGCAACTTGGTAGATCTTTAAAAGGAGCAGATTGTATGATTCAAAGCCAACATCTTCCTGTGGCATCTCATGTAAAGAGGCAATCGGACTCTTCTCCTCTTTTCTCCTCTCGGACCAGTCTCTCTTAATGCTTAACTTGTCTTCACTTGTCTCTCCTAGGGAGAAAAGATAAAGAAGAGTCCGACTTGCAAATGCATAAAGTTTTTGGACTCCCTTCCAGGTTTCTGTAAGCTCATTAAAATATGTTACTCATGTAATTTGACAATACTGATTAATGAATTAAGAGTTATAAAAGAAACACGCAGACTCTAAATACTTTCCGAGAATCGACCTTAATTGAATCCACATCACAGGAGTTGCATTCCCTGAAATTATTGCGGTGTATAGGGAAAAGCAACTTCATTTCCAAATATGCATGTAGCGTGTCATGACTGGAGATTACACCTTGAAAGTAGTCAGAGTAAGCGCGACAGCTACAGGGACAATGCTTTAAAATCTGGGAGACATTCAACACGTGGATTCGTTCATAATGAAGTTGGACAAATCAGTGCTAGATCGCAAATCATACCGACGACATTTCACGTAAGGAGTGGCTCATGCATCGCCCTATGGTCGTTGAGATTTGAATCTCTTGAGAAATTTGGAGATCTCTCGCAAGAGATGCTCTCGGCCATGCCTCGAACATCTCTTAGGCATCTTTCGTACACTCCAAACATCCAGCGTGCTGTCAAATCTCGATGAACACACGTTAACGCATGAACTAATCGTTAGGGAAGTGAAGCTTCAAGTGAAATTGCCTGCCTGTTTGGGATTGGTAGATCTTTCTTTTTTCTTCAAGAATTTTGAATTGATGTTTGAAAATATTCTTTGCAGGGGCCAGACGGTGTTGAAGGGGGTGAAGGGCTCGTCGGTGACCCAGTGAGTAAAAGTACCAATATACCTCGCTACTTTGTTATCAAGTGGATCCTAGAGTTTTTCATTATGGAAAGTGACTTTTATGAAGAAAACTCTCAAATGTTTTCATAACCATACACCAAGATACATAACTCTGATTGTAGGTATTGGTATCCGTATATTTTTTTCTAGAAAAAGTCATATATTGTTTTTCAAGAGAGAGAAGGAATCATAATTTTCTTTCGATTTTGATTTTCCGACGGTATTTTGCAGGGCGTCAAAGGTTCAGGAGGGATTCAAGGGGTTATGGGCATTGCTGGACCTCAGGTAAACAATTTCCTCTTTGCGGTAAACTGCATGTGCTTGTTGTTACGTGCTTTTTTTCGTAAACAGTTGGTGTTTTCATTACCAAGTCAACTTTTAAAGATAAACAACCACTCTTAAAGTTTAAGCACATTTTGTAGTTGAGTCATCAGACAATTGTTGTAATACTGTAACTATCGATATTGACTATAGATCCATGATCGTAGGGTCCACCTGGTCCATTGGGAAAATCTGGCCTGGAAGGGAGTGAAGGAGAACAGGTTAGTTATACTTAGAACTAACAGATATGTTGTTTAGCGTAGCGTTAAAACAATCAATCCTTAACTCTCAAAAAATATCTCTTCTTTAAGGGAAATGATGGACTACAAGGCTTCCTAGGACTGCCTGGAACCGCCGGTGGAAAGGTTTGTTGTTGAAATTAGTTTTTAAAAACATATAATCCTCGTTGACTTGTCTTAGTGGATTCAATGCTATTATATCTCAATAGGGAGACAGTGGTTTGGCTGGACAGAAAGGTCCACCAGGAAGTCAGGGACCTTTTGTAAGTAAAGTGTTGTTTAATTTGTACTGAGTATAGTAGCGCAAATTATTAAGTAAGATACATCTAGTGAGCTTAGTTTCAAGCAATATTGTAGCTGTCGTTGATATGTGCTGTTGGAACTTAATTATGCGAATCTTACTAGATATTTTATGTTTGCTTGATTGGGTCGAGGTTAAATTGTCTTCGTATAGAGCGTCTATCGTCATAGCGGTCTTTTTATCCAATGGTTTAATGGCCTTCTTCTTGAGTATTTTTTAGTCTCGAATTGACATAAGAGAGAAGAGTTAAAACCGAGGATATCTTAGTCATGGACATTTGTTATCATAATAGTTTTGGTCTCACCGATAGGGTGCACCAGGACCACCTGGCTTGGAAGGAGCCAAGGGAACAAAAGGTTTTAAGGTACAGTTCAGAAATTAGATATTGTGGAAGTCTAGCATCTACTGTTAAAGGCAAAATTCAAATTCTGACTGTCGTCATCTCAGCCATTTATGCTTCTAAACAAAAACGTTTCCATATGCTGTTAATAAGAGATTTTTTGGCTATTTTCCTGTAGGGTTTATTTAAGAATTATTGTTGAAGGGAGTAAAAGTAGCTAATCTTCGTCGTTTCCGTTGATGTCATGTTTGCATTTATTGTTTACTTCCTTTTGGTTTGCAAGCCTGTTGAAAATCCTTTGTTAGTCACTTTAGTATCGCTGTTCGTCTTCAAGAGATTAACGTTATGAATTATCCGGCTTATAGAAAAATATCATGATTAGAGTCATAGCCTTCATGCTTTTTAATAGAGATAACAATTTCAATACCTATAGGACAGAGAACTAGATGTATTTGTTTTGGTTTTCTGTCAGGGTGAGAGAGGTTCACCAGGACCAAAAGGGCCTCAAGGAGATCAAGGGCCAAAAGTAAGTAGTTTTTTATAATAACATTGTTTCTTTTGGTTGGCTTTTGTTTTGCTTTGTTTTGTTTTGTTTGTTCTTTTTGTATTTGTTGTTGTTCATTCTTAAACCTTTGGATTTCAATATAAAAAGGGAACTGGTGGAGAACATGGAGTACCTGGAATTCGAGGAAATCTGGGTAAAGAGGTAATATGATGTCATCATTCTTTCACGAATTAAGTTTGGTTTGTTTTATTCTTCAAGTTAACCGTGGACTTAGCGTTTGATTTGGTATTGTTCTTTCGCTTCAGGGTCAACCAGGACTTGTTGGTTTACGTGGTGTTCAGGGAATGAAGGGATCAGAGGTCAGTTAAATGTTGCTGTTTCTTCTCTGTCGTAGAAAAATGAAAATAAATAGATACAAAACTACACTAACACAAACTTCTTTATTTCCTTGATGTTTCTTCCAAAGGGCGAAGACGGCATTGCTGGTTTATGGGGAGATCCTGGGATAAAGGGTCACGAGGTATGTTTAAGCGAATACAATTTTGTGATTTGGGTAAAACTGACCAATGTAACGCTTTAGTCGAAACGAGAAGAAAATAACTAAAACATAAATACTGATAAAACCATAAGATTTCTGCAGATAAGTGTGTTGTATCATGTCAGTTAGGAAGATCTCTCTAAGATCAGTGAAAATTGTCCACGAACAAAATTGAAGTGATTGAATTGGCCAAAATGCGAGATGCGAACAGAGACTGTAATGATAGTAGTGGGTGCACCAGCACTTATTGTTGCTTTCAAAAACGTTTTGGAGGAGTAATCATAAAAGGTAACGGATTCAGTCTTTAGATTTGTTAACTTCATAAGATCAGTTCACTTAGCAGTGCACATATTCCCCACATAATTACGTAATACCTTTCTATTTCTGTGTTTGATAGGGAACACCGGGTTTACGAGGACATCCGGGTGCCATAGGTGACATGGGCCCAGTGGTAGGTATCTGGCATGTTATGGTTACAAACTCTTTGAGAGAATTGTATCCCTGGTACAAAGAAATAATGTCTAGTTTCTAATGCTAAAGGCGAGGTTAGCTCGGACAATAATATATGAGGTGTATCGCAAAAAATTAGATTCGGAGTTCACACAAAACTCTAAACGGATACTTATTAACTCTTGGTTATCTTCGTGAGAGAGATGCATGGTTTCCACAGGTCAGGAAAAAATCAGGGGAAAATAAATCTCTTTAAAGTCAAGAAAAATGGTCGATTTACGACGATAAATTTGATTTTACGTGTAAACTATTCATATTTCGAAATATTTATCGTTGTAAATCGACCATATTTCGTTCTCCATACTATTCGTTGTAACGTGTTCAAATTCTCAACGGTTCCTCTCGTAACTTAACACCGAGTAACACAACGAGTGACACTGTACACTGTAAGCAGCGACTTGCTAAAAGCATAAATTCATGGGTGGAAAGGATGGCTGTGAGGGGTGATTGGGGACCATTATCAGGACTTATTTCTGAAATTGTCAGTTCAGTTAGTCAGAGAAATTTTACATTTGGGAAAAATCAGGAAATTTCAAAAACCTACTACTGTTACAACCATGAAGAAAATTGAACGTTATATTCTTTTAGTTGAGTTTTCCGCAACAATAACTTTGATATCATTATCCTCTAGAATAGTGAGAGTGGTGCTCGTGGAGAAATGGGAGAGGAAGGCGAAATCGGGGAGACGGTAAGTAAAAAACATTATTCTTGTGATGTTGTAACGTAATCATCTGGAGAAATGCACAGTGTCATTGTAATAGTAGCATTATGTTTGGCTGCATTTCAAACTGACTTTCAGCTTATTTCATTTATTCTTAGGGAGAAGACGGAGAGAAGGGAGATAGAGGATTTTCTGGAAAAAACGGAAGAGCGGTTGGTCTTCGCTTTTGGCTAAGTTTTAAGGTTTTCTCTGGTGTGACAATGTTTTGCTGGACAGGAAAGACAGAAACTATCTCAGTCTCAACGATACTACTTACCCTTTCTCAATTCGAGCTTATCCAAGAGATTTTCAGCTTCTAAAGTGGTATTTGACCTGATGAGATATTTGTCGGAAGAAGTTCCAAATAGTTCATGTTGAAATTTAGAGTGAATTAGCCCCATAAGGCAACATACCTGAACAATTGTCAAACATTTAAATTGAGCGAAAATTTGTATTTATTGTGGAGTGAGGGAATGAAGACTGAAACAATTGGGTGGGGTGCTGGAGGCGACCTTTGTGTGCGTTAGGTTGGAGAGCTACTTGTAAGTTGAATAGTGAATATTGGCTACGGAACATATTCTTCTTTATTGAGTATGAGCAACCATCCCTTCTAATTTCTTTGAATTTTTCGTATACTTCTAGGGTTCCTCTGGTGAGAAAGGACTGCCTGGTGATCTTGGCGTGCCTGGAGTATCGGTAGATATATAACAGATTATAACAACCCCATCAAAATGCCCTCGGATTTCAATTTGATCCTTGCTATTTAATGTTAAGTACATGCACTAAATGTTTTTATACGGTAAGCTGAATTAAACGCGAATTTTGATATGTTCTTACTTATGATCCATCGGAGTACAGACTCGTAGATGAGACGCTATGAGACAAAATTTTGTTTTTTTAATATAAAGCGAATGAATTGCATGTTGCCGTGGGTCTGTATATAGTAATAGATCATAGATGATGTCAAAGTGAAGTAATAACTTCTTCGTGTCTCGCACCTCGTGTGCCCTTTTTTTTTTTTTTTTTTTTTTTTTTTTTTTCATTCTTACCACATTTTGATTTCATCTATAATCTATTACTGATCAGGTCAACATGGGTCTATTTGTAATTGGACTAGGCGGTCCTGTACAAGGAAAGACAATGAAAGAATTATGTTGAAGGTAAAGGTATGCAAAAGTGAGTTTTTGTTTCTTTTTCTTTCAGGGATTTGCAGGGCCACGCGGGGAAAAAGGACCTAGAGGCTCGACAGGAGGTCAGGTAAAGTTCCTAGTGCCTAGTTGTGAAACCGTTTTTTTTTTATGTGTAGGAGAAATTCTTTAACTCCGTAGGTTTTAAAGACTTGTTTACCTTTACCTTTTTACTTTCATTTGCAGGGCTTATCTGGAGCCCCAGGCTCTCCTGGAGATACTGGAGTCATTGGTCATGGGGTAGGTAGAACTACTTCAATTGCCGATTTATGAAATATCCGATACTAAACATCACATCTTTTTAACGTTTTTTGTATTTGTAGGGACTTACGGGCCTTCCCGGTGAAAGTGGACGTATCGGTGATCCTGGAGGAGCGGTATTTTGCTTACATCATGTTTACCATTTTATTCAAAAGTTAGAAGACTCCTTTGTAGCAATAAAAACAGTTTTCGACTCTTTGTGTATTTTGCGCTAACCCACCAAGTGTGTTTTATCATTGGCTCATTCTATAAGTTTTATGATGGCAGTTATCATATGCATTCCACCATTTTATTTTGATTTATTTTCAGGGTGAGCGGGGGAAAAAGGGAAAGGAAGGCAGGAATGGCTCACCTGGACTCAAGGTAGTTTGAATTTAATCCTTTTTTGGGGTGATATAGTTTGCCTTTACTGACAAGATTGTTGATTTGCAATTTGAGGGTCATCGTGGATCGAAAGGACAAAGTGGAGAGCCAGGGATGAAAGGACCAACCGTAAGCATTTCCACTACCCACTTTTCGTCTCCTTTTGGTTAAGTTCTTTGCATGCCAAGCATGAGAGATTCCTTCTTAACTTACAGACAGTCATTTTTTTTTTATTTTCAGGGAGGTAAAGGAAACCCGGGTAGAAGAGGGGATGATGGAAAAAACGGTGAAAAGGTACCATCTCATATGTTTTGTCCAGTCTTTGAGCGTTTAATTTCCGATCAATCCAGTCAGTCAATATTGTGTTGTGTTTGCGAGTGCGGCAACTAACTCTCACATTAGGGCCGTAAATATGAGAAAAATAAACTGCTGCTCATAATAGACGCAAAGTTATTGCATGAAAATATTACAAGTTGACGCGTTTGCGTCTTACTGAAGGCCTGATTGTGTAAAACGCGAAACAAACCGTGACATGGTGACTTTCTTGAACAGCGCAATGGTGCATTCCTCCTTGCTAGCGCTTTGCTCACCTTCAGAATTTGCTGATTCCTCCGAGCTTCGAGCTCTACTTTCAGGCTTCAAGCTCTGAGGGAATCACTTTTCCAGGCTATAATGAAAAATAGGCAAAAGTGTCCTAGATCTACAGGAGAAGAGCTGTGTTTAGGATGTGTAAGGAAAACTTGGTTGCAAGGTGGTTTGGTTCTTGAGATGGAAAGTAGCTGATGAAAAGCTCTTCATCCACGCCATATTAGCGAAACCAATTTGTATTATACTATGAGGGAAGAGCAGGAGTGGGTGAGCATCAGTATACCATCTAGTGTCCCGTCAATGACGTTCATAATAGTGTATTTATAATATTCCAGGGAGAGAGAGGCGACCAAGGGAGTCTGGGACCCTCTGGACAACTAGGGCCTGAGGTATACACACAACCGAAAAGCAGATAATGTGTCATAGTCTTTTAAAGTGTTTTACCATTTGTAGAATTTAGAATTGTAATTTTTTTCGGCACTCATGCTGTGAAACACGCTGTGGTAAGTCCGAAGGTTCCATACGAAAGTCCTAGATTACAGAACTTTACAAGTGACATTTTTACGTCCTAAAAAAATCGATAGTGATAGATCATAATAAATGACAACGGTTTTTTATAAGACATTGTTTGTTATGTTTTGTCATTTCAATTTTAGGGAAGCGTTGGCCCACCTGGATTAAGGGGAATGCCAGGTTCCCTCGGGCAACAGGTAATTTATTTGGCAAACCTTATATCTGGCATATTTTATCCCCCTTTTATATGTTTTAAGATTAAAGCAAAGTTATGTTTAAGAATAACAAACGTTGATTGAACTACTTACATCAGATATATACTATATCCCCACGTAAACGTTGTTTTCTTTTGTTTCTCTTTGTTTTTATTGTCAAAGGGAAAAAAAGGACTGTTCGGATCATTAGGAGAGACGGGGACGATAGGTGCAGAGGTAAAAATGGGCCAATGGGCTGAGAAACTCTGAACATTAAATTATCTGGTCTGCAATACGTAAATAATTTTTCATAATATTTTGAGGTTGAGGAATGTTAGATGAGGATGTTAGATGTAAAGTAGATGAGGATATTAATTATGCAGTTTATTATCAAAAACTACATTTTTTTTGACAGGGACTGTTTGGAGAAAGGGGTGCGCAGGGAGACCCGGGAATGCGGGGCGAGAGGGTAAGCTTTTGATATTTACATAGCTGAGAGGACTAATCCGCGCCTGAGACTTTGATTTGAATGTTTTTCTTCGCTGTTATAGGGTGAGAGAGGTATTCCTGGGAATAAGGGGGCTGTTGGACCGAAAGGAAGACAGGGTTCTGTTGGCGTCAGTGGAGATCGAGGTCGAGGTGGCAATGCAGGACAAATGGTAAATTTTACAATAATTAGCTAGATTTATACTTGATTCACTTAAAAATCATTTCTTGACTGTTTCGATTCTTTCCTACTTGTTTAAACCTTTTTTTTAATTTCATGATTATTATTATATACTTTTTGTATAGTAGAAACAATTGCATTTCAGTGTTTTTAGCCCAAGTTTGGTCACTACGATTTTAGAATTTGAAATGTCCCTGTAAGGAAACTGATGTTTGCAATGAATTGTAGGGCGATCCTGGAATGTCCGGTCTTCGAGGCAGCCCAGGTTCAGAAGGAAATCAGGTAAAAAATGTGACAAATATGAAGTCTCCGATACGAATATCTTTATTTACCCTATTTTACTGCAGAATAGTATGGAATGTGGATATGTTTAGTGTCTGACTCTGGGATTAAAAATTGAATCGAAAACAGTTCTTTTTAGCTCTAGTCTTACATTATACGATAAATGTTACGTTTAAGGTCAAACCATTTACTGCAGAGGTTAATGACATATGTGCGAAGTAAGGCGTCGCAACTCCTCCTAAAATATGATTCACTTTTTCTTTGCTCTCTTGCTTGTAGGGTCGAACTGGTTACGTGGTAAGTGTTTGTTAATGTAAAGTTCAGATTTGTTAAAGTATATTAGATGTTAATGGATAAGCACTCATTTGGTCGTCCCATAATCATAACATGTTCCTTTTTATTATTTACCAAAGTTTCTATGTGATCAGTTTTGTTTGCGTTCTTTTTGTCGCAGGGAGAAAAAGGCATTCCGGTAAGACGATTTCTTCTTTATTATGAAGATTTTCTGTCCTTTTCTTTAAGAGATAAAAAATGCTTCTAGCTACAGGAAAGTAGGGCGTCAACTGAAGCTTTTCTTGTTAATTAAGTGATGGGTCTCAACAATATTTCCCATTTTCTTTAGCCTGGGCGTAGAAGACATTGGACTTGAAAGATGCTTAAGCCTTAACTAAAATACTTGACGACACCTTAACTTAAAATGTTTTCTTTTTCTTCTTTTTATTTCAATCTCCAAGGGAACCTCAGGATTAAAGGTATGTCTGGCTTATTTCTAAATTTTAATTTGATGAAACAGATCTTTAGACCTCAATCGTGTTTTCTTTTCTTCCGTAGGGAGTGAGAGGAATTGTGGTAAGTGACAGCTTCTTTACAAATTTCTGTAGTTGCCTTTGTTCACAACAATCATCTGCGAGAATATGGTATCAGTAGCGTTTATCAATGTACGAAGGGTTGTTGCGGTGTCCTTAATAACTGTTAGAAGTAAGAATACTTTTTAAGAATTTGGCATGTTCAGCACCGAAGATGTTACGAGCTGCTGTGTGGCTCTATACTTAGTTTGTTCCGAATCTTAGTTGTTCTGCCTATTTTTTCTAAGTTTGAAAGTGCAGTGGTAACATCTTCATCAGTAATTCAGTCAACGTCTAAGTATAATTAAATGCCTCAAACAACTTTTCCCCTGAGGCTGCAGATCAGTTGATTGGTTATCGGTGAGAACAGTAAATGATGCGCCAGTGGACCATTTACTTTTGTGTTACTTTCGGTCGGTACATTCGATCTCAGCCTGTGAGACCCTTCATATTATAAAGTACGTCTATGGAATTTCTGAAAGGACTAGATAGGAGCTGTAACTTTTTCCTATTTTTAATCCATTTTTAGGGTGCAGTTGGTCTGCCGGTGAGTTTTTGATTAATGATTAAGGATTTAATCTGATTGATAGAAATGGCAAGTAGCTTAAATTAGTTTGAAACCCTTATTTCGTTCATGACTCCTCGCTAGCTTGAGATATAGAGGTTACTTCATGGAAAATGCGCGCGTACGATTTTTATTCACGAGTTGTGTAGCATCAACGAGTGAATGAAAATCGTACAAAGCATTTTCCATACTGTAATGTGTTTATTTCATAGGTGCTGAGATTTTTTTCGTGTTGTCTTTGGTAGACAAATAGCACAAATGGGGCGATGAAAAGCGTAAAAAGTAGTTTAAAAATTTCTCAACAACAAGTTTTTTGAGCGGTATTTTTGTTTTCGTGTTCTAAAATGAATTCTTCAACTGATTAAACAGAAGCGAACCTTCCCTCGGCCATTTTTCAAAGCGCGCGGGTTTTGTGCAACGGCTCTCGCATGACGTTCTCTTCAGTACGTTCATTCATCATTAGTGAAATTTCGTCGTTCGCGTTGCTGATTGGACGAACGATAATTTTTCACGGTGAAATTTTGTCGTTCGTACTCCTGATTGGCTACATTTAGAATCAGTACGAATTTTATTCAGTACGATTTTTGTGGGTAAATCTCAGTACCTATGAAATAAAAATCGTTCTCGAATCTCTCTCTATCAACCCTACCTACCCCTCCCTTCCTTCAGTCTCCTTTATCCTCTCATCGAATGTAATATTTGCCAAGAAATATTGAGACAACAGTAAGGAATTAAGTTGATTCTCTTGCTCACTTTGGTATTTTTTGTTTTACTTTTTACCCAAGGGCCCTCCTGGTCAGGTGCTGGGGTTTCAAAGATTTACCCAGAATGATGACTTTGATCAGGTAATTTTTGAGATGTTTGAACTCAGTTTCAGTGTTTATTATACTATTTTCTTCTTTTTTACACTATGATTGTTTGGTATCTTCTCAGGCAATACAAAACATCAAGTCTTTGCTATACGTGTCTTCTACGGTGGAGAAATACAAATCCCCTTTAGGTACCAGAGATAATCCAGCCACGTCCTGCAAAGACCTTATGTACAGTGACAACTATCAAGACGGTGGGTGAGGAGTTCCTTTTTTTTGGTCAACAAACTGTTTCCGAAGCGTTTGAAAACTCACAATTTGACGTAGACAGTCGAGCTTGAATTGAGTAGGACCGTATTTAACGGTCACCCTATACGAAATGGTTGGCTTCCAAATTTCAAATTGTTTTCCTCTGGATTAGTATAATTTTCATATCAAACAAGCAGTCACTCACCTTTGACAGAGTCCTGTAGGCTTTTTAATATTGTTGAAATCTCTCTTGAACGGTCACCAAACAGGAACCACTGAAATGAAATAATTTTTTTTTTAAATTTTTTTTAGTAAAGCATTTCTTACGTTTACATACAAAATAGAAATTAAGAAAGAAAAAAAAAGAGAAAAAGACACACGCACTTATAGTACAAATAGAAGAATACCAAGCTAAACACTCACACAAAGCTATTACAGCAATGCAGTTACCTAGTATGTAAGTTGCAATGACATCACTTTTAAACTAATGATGGAAATTAATCATGACATCGCTTATTCGTAAAAACGCTTATTAACCTTTCCCACTTTCTAACATGATAACTAAATTTGTCTCTTTTCCCAGCAATATGGAGTTCGATATTATAAACACGCCTTGTCCTGGCTATAAAACCTTGAAGAGAAGGTATACCATTCTGGTATTTCCGAGAGTAAATAGAAAATTACCTGGAAGCAAAATATGGTTAAACAGGAGAAAATCTTCTGCAATGTCGAACTTACTAAAATGACATCTTCCTCTTCAAGGTTATCAACAGGAAAAGAGTAAATGTTCTACGGATTCAATCTCTGAAATCATGAATCCCTTTCTTAAGTAATTTTGTTAACCGTACAAGATTGCACTAAATCAACGTTTGTTATTTAAGTTCAAACGTCATCACCGCATTCCACATGATATTGTTCTCTCATTTCTCACTCAAACAATTATTTGAAAGTAGAGAAGTTACCCTCTTAAAAAAGAAACTGACAAGGCACTTCAAGGCTATGACTGCCGCCTTGGCTTAGCACACTTGCTTTCAATAATAAATTTTGGCATATCACGGCCTCTTTATTACGTTTGATCTCTATTTTGTGGAACCTTCATTAAATGCATATGGTCGTTCATACATTCTGCGAGGGTGACAGTCTAGTACAGGTTCGATTAAAATAGTGTTAACCATTTCTGGTACAGGTCATTTCTGGATTGATCCCAACCTTGGATGCCCTGCTGATGCCATTAAGGTATACTGCAACTTTACCGCTGGAGGAGAATCTTGTGTTTCTCCTCTTCAGGATAAGGTATGTTCGTTTTCTTCCAACAGGAAAATTAGTCAGCATCAGAGCACAGCCAGTTCTTGTGTATACGGTTCTCTTGAGTCACGATGTTTTTTTTTTAATCAAGTCCCTGAAACTCGAGCTATGTCTTTATGTAATCTACAGATTCCGAAGAAGACCTGGAGAAATGATTCAGAATCATCGTGGCAGAGATTTTCAAATCTTAAACAAGGTTTTAAGGTAATGACGGCATATCCTGTTCGCTGATTAGCAAAAGTGCAACTGACTTCTTGCATTTTCTTGATAACATTTTCTACTCGTTAATTACCACCTGCTTGTTAAAGAAGCCTTCTCTCCACTAATTTATAGATCGGCTACAAAGTCAGTAAAGTACAGCTTAACTTCCTGAGACTTCTCAGTACCAGGGTAAGCCAAACAATAACAGTCAAGTGTAAGAGGGTTGTAGCATGGTTCCACAGAGCATCAAAAAGTCATCGTTATTCCTGGATCTTTCATGGAAGGGGAGGCTTCGACTTCACACCGACAAGCAATCCAAAGCCAAATGTTACTCGAGACTACTGCCAGGTATAGACAAGTATGAGTGCTGTTTTGATAGCACAACTCAAACGTTGCACAGTTAGCAAGATGATATCCAGTTGTTTTTTTACTAACACTTTTTTACTATTTTTCAACAGCGCGATGATGGAAAGTGGCGCAGAACCGAGTTTAAGTTCGAAACTGACAAAGTTGATGTTCTTCCTATTGAAGACTGGACATTCTTCCATCGTGCAGTGGGAAGAGAACAGTTTGGTGTCAAAATTGGACAAGTTTGTTACCGATGATAAAGATTAGCGAGGATATTTGCATCCGTGGAAGACTTAATTTCTCGAATAGAAAGCGACTGAACCAGTTATCACTAAGTTGCTGTATTTATTTTTGTAGAAAAGGAACGTTATTCCGTTCTCGTTTATTTCTTGCCTGAAATCATAACTGTTACCGCGTGTTTTGGCGATCTTCCAACTTAACTAACGACCGTCTCCTAACCGGATATGGTAGACTGGAAATGCGTCATTACAACGGAAAGGGCTCTGTACTATTTAGCGTAAGAAACAGATTAAAGGCTGAAATGCCTTTTACTTACGAAACATGTTCCCTCGACATATGTTGCTTTGAAACCCTGTCGAAGCTACCTTGAGCCAGTCATTCTTATTTCCAAGTTTCTGTTCATTTTTTGCTCGGAGAAATGCTCAGAAAATGAGTTCTTTGACATTTCAGGCTTCGTTTTGTTATGATTATAAAAAAAGAAAACGTTGTATTTTTAGCCAAACGTATGGGCAGAATTTTGTTTGGAATCACATTTGGAAATGTATTGAGAAATATGTGACTTTTACACTTAAAAAGCTGATCGACGGGGCGAGTTTTTTAAGTGTTTTTTTTTAAAGTGATACTTAGCAATTTGCCTTCGTGGATGCGACTGACCGGTTGATCACGGTTTTTCTGCAAGTTTCTAGCAAGTCTTAATAAATATAGTTTAAGGACTTTCATGCGCCTAAACGCATATAACTTAAAACATCTGCAGCTTTTAAAACGTTTGCAACTCTTTTGGGACCTCGCTAATTCTCTTTTTTTCGTGCAAAGTAAAGCTTGCTTCACTGCGGCTTTTATTCATGTTATTGAATGAGCGTTATTTCCGATAAGAACTCATGGCTGACAGTAGGAATCCTTCTGACCCAATAAAGTTAAGTCGGTTTGTGATAATTTTTTTTTTTACTTGCGCGATGATCTTCGCCGAAAGGGAGGGACTAATCATAGTCTAAACAGAACATTGCTTGCTTATGGATACTAATTTATCTTCTCGTGTTTATAAAGTATCTCGCCCGCTCGTGAGTGACATCGAAACTCAAAGATCAAATTTGTGTCTACGCACTGTTATGAAATTTCCTTTTTATTTCTGGCAGAGGAATTAAGAAGTTTTAGGATTCGAAAGAATTCATATACAAATCTTGAATCTTTAAACGTTTAGAAAGGGTCAAGACTCTTTCTAGATATGACCTCCAGTGTTAGGATCCTTCCTGGCCATAAGAAACCAGCCAAGAAATCGTCGAAAAATTTGAAGACAGGATCATTCATTTGAAGGAACTGTGTACTCAAGTGAACATAATAGTTGACAGACTTAGACGAAGACCTCTGTTTCAAAACATATATCAATGGCTACGTCAAAATGAACATTCTAAAATCAACGTACAAAAAAAAAACAGAAGTAATCCCGAAAGCCATTCAGAACAAAAATATGACAAGGAGTTCGTGAAAACCGTAAAGTTTAAACGAAGAAACTCTCTGGATTTGATCTTGTCTGATTGGTTGAGAGGGTTGCATGAGTTTTGAAGATCAGTGACATAACTCTCGAGAACCAATTTGACATTACTTCATAAATCAAGAGAAATGGTGAATGAAAGAAGAAAGAAGCTGCAACCTTTCCCTGGGTATTTGTTGGCGGGAATAAAACGGGAGGAAAAACTCTAAAAGCCTCACTACCGTGACTTATTTGTTACATTATCAACTTTTGAAATAACGTATATCAATATTAATTTCCGAAATATGGCTGCTGTATAGGCATCTGATCCCAGATTTTGTTTTCTTCGGCAATGTTTTTTAATATCAATGTTTCTGTTTCCTCACGTGAATTCTGCCCAACAGTTCGGTTGTGTTTGCAAGGAGCAATTAAAGCGTAGAATCAGGATTTTTGCACATTATATGTAAAACTGACATTTTTGTTACTGACTTGACTAACTTTATTCTATCCTTGCGAGTGTTCTCCAGTTACGCAATTATGATAAACCGACTGGGAAAACTTGAGTGGTTAGGATTGTCCCCAACCAAAACACTGTCGCTTTTTTTTTTAAGAAACGAAGGGCAGTGTGTTACTAAACCTGTTGATAAACAATTTTAAATGATAGTAAAAAGTGTAGTAGTCGCATTAAAAGTATAGTATAAACTTCACGCTTATTATCTTGAAATTTAATAAGACAGAAGACAAGACGGAGAAGCGAATGATTCTAACCATCTGGCAGTTCAAGTTCAGTTTAGAAAAAGAACTCGTTTTTCTTATTGACCCTAACACACTCTTTTTCAGTTTTCGATTTGGCATTAAATTTTGAACACCTACCATTTGCATGCAATTTGAAAAGGCAAAGAAATTCCATGGCAAAGAGATTCTATAGCTAAAAGGAGAGTCTATAGCTATTGAAAAATATAAAGCTTCCACTGTCCCAACTGTAACGGTTATTTCTTGTATTCAACAAAAAAATTGATTCTCTAATCTACTGGAGCTATTAGAAAAAAAAGTAAAACGGTTGGGTTATATTTAGAGATAGAGGTATTTAAGTTGAAACCTATCTCTCTTTGCAAAGAATTAACTACAAAATCTGAAAAGCTTTGTATATTAGTATTTCAATTTATCATAATATTTCTTCTCTTTGAGGTAATAAGCTAAAGCGTTCAGAATAATTTAAACATATTTGAATGCATCACTTCATATAAATTTAACATCTTTAAATTGTAACTTGTTACATCACGCTGTTAATATAAATTACTCTTTGAATTCCGTATTGTTCGCTTATGTAAATTGTTTTGATCAAATTAATGCAATATATATAGATTTTTCTTCAGATCGTCATTTGATGACTGTGACTAGCATCGTCAGTACACAGCCGCTGAACATAGTTTTCGCGATGAATTTGTTTTCTCGGCATGGCGAGCTCCGCACAGTGGCTTGTCGTGGAAGAAGACCCCCTCAGAGCTCAAATTTTAGGAACCTTTCAAAATTAACTACGTCCTACAGGGATGCGATGAAAAATTTCACAGCTAAAACTTCTCTTCAGTTCTGTCGGCCCTCACATGTTCCTTCTCCTAGAGGAGCGCAACCGATGGAATAATTGGACAGCTGTCGACGCCATAAAACCACGACGAGTTCCTTTGGTGTTGGATTATTTAAATTCACCATATTAAAGCCGGTCTTGTTAAACTGCAGCTTCCAAATTTTCTTTCGAAGTTCTTTGAATAAATTCTAGAACTTCCTTCAACTATCAGCACCAATCATCCGCATCGTCATCTTCCAGCCCATATATAGCATATGGACTTGCTCCTCTTTCAACAGCTTCCTTTATATGAGTGTTTATTCGAGTTATCATGTCGTCATAATACGGATCTCTCCTTAAATGGGGTCGATCTTGATCCACTTCCACTCCAGTATCGCTATCGCTAGAACTGTCAAGATCTAGAGATTTTCCCTCCATAAGAGCTATGAAGCCAACAAAAAGAGGACAACTTTTCACAAAAATACTCTACAAGCACCTCGGAACACAAGAAGTACTGATCGTTCCTTTTCGAACGTTTCAAAATCTTTATGTATTAGATTTATCTTCACTATAATGTACAATTTGGAATTTATTTGGATAAAACTGACGGTTCAAGAGTTTTCGAAACATAGGAAATACTGACTATAGCCAAACACATAAGATTAAAACATCTCTGAGGTAGGATTCATAAAAGCAAACTAGTTGCTAAAAGAAATTTCCGGCAAGTAGAAGTTAGAGAGGGGCCTAGCTTGAATGAGAAATTGTACCTAGGTCACCTTTCTCATTCCTTCTGGTAGTCGGTGTAAGGTAAAGAGCCGGCAAAGCGGCTTGGTCCCTAAGCCGCTCGGCCACTCTGGGCGTGGTTACACTACAGGGTACAGAAGCCCCCACCACACCACGAGAGGAGTCTGGATAAGTCTGAAACAAGACCAAGCAAATCATGAATATGTATTGCATTTAGCGTTGAACTGCTAACCAACATCTAACATTGAACCTACGCGGCAAACCGACTCGAAAGGATAAACCTCAGCAACGTTGAGATTCCTACAGCAGCTAAATCTGGAATATTGTGGTAATCAGGACAAAATTTAACCAGGTCGCGTCAACTACAAAGTTTCCAGTCAGGATGAAGGCAAAGCACTGACGTTTATCCTAGTGGAGTCAATTACAATCGTGTAACGTTGTTTAGAAAGTAATTACCAAAGGTATCCAATTTTTTCTCAAAGCAAAGTCATTCTGACCTACCATCATCTTATCTACGCGATACACTGTTTCTTGAAATCAGATACACGTATTCTTTATTCATACCTGCGGTCCATTTTTGTTGACGTCACCATTCGATTTGGATGTCGGATCCAGGCTGCTATATCGTCTGACATGTTCTTTTGGTAGGTTTCTGTAAGATAGTAATCATACAAGGTGAGGTAAAGCAGGACAATAGTAAGATACGAAAAAAATTGTTCAAGATGGCTTATGGGAAAACTTTGATCCTGTGCCAAATCAGATTTTTTTGGTCAACCACAACATTTTGAGACATCAGTGAAGTTGTGCGGGATCATTACTTTTCGAACTCATGCTTAGGCAAGTCACGTTTTTAACTTGTTTATTGGATGAATTTTTAGCAGCTAATCAAGTCGACATAAAATCCATCGAACCGACAACCGAGCCATGTCCCTGGTTACCAGTCCTTCGGTGATGTAGGAACAACCGTTGACAATCGGCACGTAAGTTCCGAACGGTTAGAGCGATAACGAAAATTTTTTTTTTGGACAATCTCGATGGAAGTCACTCCGACAGGCGGTTTTTTTTTACAAGTTAAGAATAACTGCACCTGCTTAATTGCATATGTAAATTTGAGGTAAAGGACACAAGGAATATATTGCAGCCCCTTCACACGGAACAGAAATAGATCTGATTATGTGAATTTCCCACAGCGACTGCACGTAAGTAATCATCTGAGGACGGTGAAAGCAAAAGGGTTGTCGCTACTCATCAGGTGAGTTAAACTGGTTTCAATGAAGCAAACTAATTCTGATAAATTTGAAACAAATTCTAAGCAACTGCAATGAATCATGAAGGATAAAACTGGGTTTCCACACTAAGCTTAAGAAATGTTTGACATTTCGTTAGGTGTTAACATTTTGTAGGACTTTCTTTGAATCCCAGATTATTGTAAGCTTACATAAATACAAAACCCAGATGAAGGTTTTTTCCCCGATCAAAATCAACCAAGTAAATTTTCGTTCAAGAGCGTAAACACCAGACAGTTTTAATATTCATGAAACGAAGTTATTGTTAATTTTCTTTAGACTGGTTCTATCACAAAAAACGGGCGTCTTCCTCTGAAAAAAAAGTAGTGAGTTAAAAGTGAATATTAGCCTTTATTTCAATATTGTTTACTGCATTTCGGTAGGGGGGAATAGAAAATTTGTATACAAGCTCTAAGTGTGAGGTAGCGTGGAGTCACTAACAAAAACTGAATATCACGAGTGTGAAAACAATCTCTCTGAATTAACTCAAATGCCGCTTAATTGGTTCTGCGGTTTGTTTAGAATATCGTTTTCTCCTTTTTTCCTCAAATCATTCTGTAAATGAAATGTCACTTAACGAAACTTAGCATAAATTTTCTTGCTTAAATCACAAAATGCATAAAATTGTTCTCCCTGAAATATTTCAAAGCCACTCAATTCTCGCTAAGAGGAAAAAAATCATGGCCATTGAATTATACATTGCCATTTTCACACTTATGCAAACCAAGACCTGAGGAAAAATTAAAAGAAAACCTCATTGTTCATTTGTTAATGCATGCACACTTCGCAGAAATCATGATATCACGATAAGTTGTCTGACGAGAAAGCGAAATTAAAAATGCCCAGTGATCAGATATTTCAATAATTCATAAAATTCTGACAAATTGATGAAGTCTTTCGTTGCAACATCAGTCTGATGGGCACATCACTTCCGTCAAATGTCAAGATCTATTTAAATTTCATTTACGAAATTAAAGAATGTCGGACGAAACTAAAGCGCTTAATTAAAAGCATTGCTTGAAGCGAAAACATACTGTCGATGATATGCCACAAAATAAATATTCACCAGTTGTAAAGCATCACAAACAAGAACACAATATCACGGTGAAGATCTTTCGCTAATTGTTAAAATCCTTTACTTATTCCTATTTTATTTTACATATTTGTCTTTATCACCAAAACAGTAAATTGATGTTATTTTTAATCATTTTAAATCAAGTACATATTCAATAAAAACGGACAGAGAATAAGACTACTCAATTGCATACAATTTCTTCGAGACAATATTTTACTTTAAAATTAAATTGCATTGTGAAAAATTCTAAAAATTGTCTCAAACAAATTTTCCACTTGCGGAGGTAAGACAAATAATTTTTCCCCTCATAATTTTGCATTGTGAGGTGTCATTTCTTCGACATTTGAAAAAACCGCAAAAGTAAAATCGTTCGTCGAAGGAGTAATCCTTTCCGGACAAAAATTTTCCAAGGATTGAAAAAATTCTGGCGAATGACCATCATAAACTTCTCAGTCGAGTAATAGTACTGCTTTTCAAAGGAAGGTGGACGAAAAATTGACTTGGCAAGATTCTAAGAGCACCTGCCCATGGAATGTATGAAGAAGGCGGTCGCATCCTCTTTCTGTTTTTCATCTCATTTATGGCAAAAGTGACGTGGGGAGTCATTTGAAACAGGAAACAACGAGAGTGGATATCTAAAAAATCTACTTAATGCTGGACGAAAGCTTTTACCGATCGATCTGTAGGGATTAAGCCTCAAAATAACAAAAATTTCACTGTGAATAGAAACAATAACAATCCTGAAATTCATTCCGGCTACATTGAGAGGTGAACGTGAATCTGCAAACTTTCATTCGCTACTGTAAGATATTTCACATTGAATAAAATAGTTTGCTACTCAAAAAGAAATTTACAGCTATCGAGCCGTTTTGAATCTGACACAATTCAGAATAATAATTCAATGCTCGCATTGCATTCTGGATTATCTAAACAGTTTTTCCATAGAGAAAACTGAAAAACCAATGGATGAAGAACAGCGATTTCCAAACGCCTCACTACTACTCATTCCCATGCAGGAGCAGGTTCTAGAACATTAAAATGGAAAATGAAAAGCCACAGTGTTTTAATAAAGTCATGTTGAGAGAAACACGGAGAGAGGCCATAAAGTGCTTCCTTTACTTTCACTACCTGCGTTTTAAGACGGGTGCGGCTTTAAAATGTACCGTCGATCTAAAAGGTTACGAATGGAAAGAGAATTTGTGGAGTAAAACCTGAGAGTGAAAAGAATGAAACAATCTTTATGTCGTTTTCAAACAGAATGCAATCGTTTGTTTGTTTTTTTTCCATACCAATTGATTCAAACGTAGGGAACAAGACATAGATAAGAATTGGAAAATTTCAAGATTAAAGTGGAAATTAAACACATATCAAGAACGCTAAAGCACATGCTGTTTGATTAATGTATACGAGAAAGGCTATTTTCCACGCTTACAATCACTGAACCAAACCCCCTTTCTCTTTTCTTAACAACAAATTTCCATGCTGCTGAAATTTTCATCAAAGAGCGGACAAATCACGAGTACAAAATCTATCAGGGAAGTGTTTGTTCCGTGGTTACAACCGCTAAAGAATACCACCACAAAAAGTGTTCATCAAGATGAGTTGAAAATAAGTGACAACTGAAATAAGCGATGATGTGTAATGGGGATTGAATTTATTTTTAAATGACTCGATGCAAAAAGGGGAAATTTTAAGTTTTCTCGTCACCTCATGAGCCAATTTTCTATCGGATAAGTTCAAGGAAAGGATCGAAATAAAATGCTAACGGCATGCCTCTTTCTGACCATGAATCGTCTGAGCCCGCGGTTCTATCAATGTTTTGCCTCGTTTTCTTGCTCCCATTGGAGTAAACATGTGACTTGGTCCTAGCCGATCAGTGCTAAACCAGAAAATGGAAAAAAGTGCATAATAGACTAACCTATTGATTTCGATTGCATGATTATTTCTTCTGTTATATATGTTTTATTTTTACGTCCCTTAACGGGTTTATTTTAAATCAATTGTAGGCATGAAATCATCTTGCACCATATTTCTCCTGTAAAGTAGAATACTTAACTACAGCTGTAACTGAGCTCTTAGTCATATTTATTACTTCTCTTCAAGGGAGCTGAAACTTCAAAACAACAATTGTTTCATGTGCAAGATATAACGTAGTTAAAAACAACAAGTTTCACGATTGTCAAGGCCAACATTCCATTAGCGGGATAAAATACACGGACAGCACACCTCTCATACAACAATCTTTGGCGAACTGAACGGAATTCATGATCCAACTTACACTCAGGAGTGAGGGAATTTGGTTGGTTTACTGCTTCGTTCACCATGAGCAGGGTACCAAAACTCATCACGTAGAGTTAAGCAGACGCTATCTTCTAATTATTTTCTCTAAAGGTAACTTATGATCCAAAGTCGGCTCCTGAACACAAAGTTTATCTCCCTGGAAGGAGCTAAGTTCAAATAGCCTGAGGCGTCAAACGCCACGGGCTGTCATTCAAGCTTGTAATGACGTCAGTACTGTCATTGAGGCCAAGTTAATACGCTACAGCTTGCCTTTGCTTTGTAAAAATTAAATTTTTTTATGAGTTATTCTCTGTTAAACAGAGTTGCAGTTGTTTGTGATAGACAGTCAGATCCAAAATTTCAGGGGATAGGGGCCGTTTTCATGGACATGAGTATGGGACGGTAGGGACTCGAATGATTCTTGAAGTGTTTCTTGACTTCTTTCACTGCAAAGATAAAACGTATATCAACTTGATACTAATGCCCTAGCAGTGAGTGTGTCGCAAAAAATCTCATACCTACCGCTAAACAATCACCTGTAGAAAACCGAATCGTCTATGTTTTGCAAAGGTAACATCAAAGCGAGACAGGCCTGATTTTGACGAAAAATGAATTTGCAAGGTTTGACTGTTACTTACCATCTGACATGCCGAGTTTCATTTAGCAAAAGTATCCGCAAAACTTCATAATGCGCCTCTCAAATTTATCGCTCTGTTATTATCCTTATGGATGCGTTATAGAATATGGCACTCTTTCCGGTTGTTACCATTCACCTGCTTTGAATTATCAAAGTGCCGGTGATCCCGAAGAAAACCAACCTATTAGTTCATTTTACAAAAGAAATAGACCACACCCTATATCGATTCACTGGCATGATAACCCATCAGAGATATTTCTAGGATACTCGGAAATGTGATGATCATTTGCTTCGTAAACAGCTTACATAACACCACCGAAATGCGCCGCAGTTTTGACTGGCTGCACCACAAGTCACTTTAATATTGAACGTAGGTCATAGCGCGGACAATCAATTACAGTTAACTGTCTGCTTCTCAGTTGGTTGACCATCTAACTCAAGCAAACACATAGTTGATACGAATACCGTTCACCACTAATTCATACAGTGTACGTACCGTGCCATAGTAAGTCGAGCGTCACTAGTGTAAGCTCTCTCTCTACGTCTTTCCACATTCCCAAGTTCTATGTCTTCCCTTATCATATTCGGCCTCCTCTGGCGTCGCAGGGAACCAACTAACTTTGAGAAAAGACCTCTCTGTTCAAATGGAAGAAAGAAAATCAGGTGAGATATGAAAAAGGAGGGATGTTACAAGACACCGAGCAGCAAAGTGTATATGTAATAAATAACAATCACCTTATTACCGAAAGGAAAAAAAAAGAAAGAAAAAACAGTTACAAACCTTCGAGTTTGTAGTGCTTCTTTCTTCTTCTCTTTCAGCCTTAAAACAAAAGAAAGTTAGAATGTTCAGTTCAAACTAAGTTATCTATTCCTATCAACTAAAAGGTATAGCAGGGACAGACATGAGTGTCATTCAAGGTCACTCAACGTACAAAAAAAATAATATGGAGAGAGGGGTGAGAAGCGTTACGTTGAACACCCACTAACAGAAAGGGGGGTAGTGCAAACACAATGGATCTGTTTTACTACTCACCCTTTCCGTCTGTGTGCCCTTCCTCTTCAGATATTTGTAGTTCTCGTGTATAAGCTTTGCACAGTGAATCTTTCCTATTGTCATTTGCTGACAACTCAGTTCTGTAAAATACATTAAACTGATCAACACTTTAACAAGGGGAAGAACGAAAAAATTCATACCATAGTCAATCAGAAGAAAGTCACTTTATCTCTCTCTCAAACATCGATATTTGGCCAAACACAAAATATGAACCAAGTTGATATTTTCAAAAGTTAACTCATACGCTGAATAGCTATTGAAAATAAACGAGCATCTCCCTTAACAGGTGCGCGCCCTTGTCTCTAAACCACTTTACATATTAACGCTACAAACAGCAACTACCTCATATAAAAGCAAAAACATTTAAAGACTGTTTGCGATCTTAAATCACTTACCTAACTGTTTGGGTATCAAACTATTCAATACTTTTTGTGAGGTTTTTGGCCAAACTCTCTTGATCATTCGCCGTAGCTCTGTGTCATTTGCATTCATGTTTCCCCGCAGTTTGATGTTCAGTGAGGTTCGAATCAAAGCGAAGAGAGTCGTACTGAATGAGACCGTGTTATCGTCGTTCAGTGGCATGTTCATCTTGATCAGGCGCTAAGTAAGAGGAGACCAGGGTAAGACACCTTCCGTTTAGGGATTTATCTCCCTGTTCTTATTTCCAGTATTTAAACTTGCAAACCCTCCCTCAGGAATTTTTGCTCTGATTTAGAGCTAACACTCAAAATATTCGGGCATAAAAACTCTCTTTCTTAAGAAACTCCCTCCCCCCCACCGTTCCAGGGGAGATTGCATGGAACAAGATGCAGACTAAAGACGTTTCTTTTAAAGACGAGAAACGCGTTACTCAGGCTGAATGTAAGTGAGAAATTAAGAGACATTATCTTTTCTCAGTTGGTGTCGAAACACTGCATACCTCTGAATAGGTGTCAAGTTAAGTCAGTTCAACCAAGTGTAAATAAACTTACACACCTTATAACCAACAATCTTTGGACATTTCTTTCCAAATCCAACTGGAGGTGACATACTGCACATCACCCTATAGATTTCGCTATGGTGGATACAGCCACTGAAGGGGAGCAAGAACGCGTCAGTATCAGAAGCAATGTAGCACGACAAAAAAAAATGCCATACGTATTAGCTATAATTTTATATACCTGGCGCCAGGGTCGAACTCAGACCACACGCGGACAAATTCATCCAAGTGGTGAGGACCAAGGATGGACTCGTCACGAGTCAGGTATTCGAAGTTATCCATGATAACAGCCACAAATAAATTCAACATCTGAAAGAGAATATGACAGTTCACTTGAAATAATGCCTTTAACAGCGGCCGAAGGTTAGCTTGTAACTGAGACGGATAAAAAAATAGAAAGAGAAAATTCAGTATTTCTTTTGAAGTGTTCTTGTATTCGTGAATTTCGTCACTCACCAAGAACATACAGAGAAATATAAATGTGCAGAAGAATGTTATAGCCCCTGCCGTTGTTCCGCAATGTTCTCCATATTTTTTGATGTCAACACTCTTATCACATTTAGCAGCATCATAGCAAGCCAACATTATCTTGTGCCAGTCTTCTCCGGTCGCCGATCTGGTAGAGACGGGAAAAAACATTACTAAGAAAAGAGAAAACATCAAAAGATGTAGAGATATGTTCCTTGTAATTATTACTGATTAGCGATACAGAAATATTCCAAATTAAGGATTATGTATCATACTCATAAGTATGATCACCTTCCAACTTTTATATTCCCGGCTTAGAGTATTTAATACTGATTTTAGAATTAGCATTTCAGTTTTTTATCTTGCTTCCATAAAAATCAAAAAAAAAAACAATCTAATTCTCACCTGAACAGAACCTGCAAAGCTTGAGCAAGATTTCGAAAATTATTCTTGGTGTTAATTTCTGTAGATTGGTCTAATGCTATTTTTCCAAAAAGCTGAAACATAAAAGAGAACACAACGTATGCCGTTGGTTTGATTTCGTTCATTTATTGATGGACGATAAATAAAAAATATGGCCAACTCCTTGCTTGCCAGCAACGAAACTAACTCTAATCAACATGGAAAAAACCGAGTTCCAGTCTCTGCAACAGAAGCTCAGATCAGATAATTATCGTTCAATGCATATACGTCTGCCAGAGAGGCATGCCTGGCCCTTTTGACTCATGAAATAATGTTAACCGCAATTATAATATACAAAACCACGCAAGAATTGAGGAAAATGATTCCAACAGCCTACCTGCATCCCTATGACGGCATACATGAAGAACATTAACATGATAAGTAGCGTGACGTAAGGTAAGGCCTATTGGCATGACAACAAACAAAGCCTATTAATATAATCATAAAAGCCTATTTAAGAACAAAGTAATTACATTATATCCTTTGTGGATTAATGAGTTATTATATAGCAGATGCTGTTACGACTACAGAAACGAACTCGTGAATAGGGAAAAGTCGTGCATTACACGATCAAGAAGTCTATTTCGTTACAAATATTTCAGACAGTCACAAGTCTATGATAGGTTCAAATCTTGCTCCCATTGACAAACACTGATTTGTGCTGTACGAATCTTAAACCTGAGTCCAAGAAAAACTCAAACACAAAGAGCGAACCTTAAATGATTGAAGGAATGTCCACAATAGTATTCTGATCGTGTAGCCTCGTCGAAGCAGTTTGATAAGTCTTGCTGCTCGAAACAAACGGAACATACTGGGGTCAATCCCAATACCTAATGAACCACCTTCCTGCAAAATTAGATTTACAACTGAAATTAATTATTTGCCCCCAAAAAATAACGATAAAGTCAATCGTTCACTGATTTTATTTCTAAGGTTAACAAATCTTCAATCTCTCCGCTAAAAGTACTCCCTAGGTTCTTCGTCAGAATCTGAGTTTTGAAGAACACTCACTGTGTAAACCTCACCATGCTAATGCGAACATCTTCCAATTTTCTTTAAAGGCATGAAACAGAGTCATACCCAACTGAAATAAGTATACGGAAATCACGTTTCCTAGCCCCTTAACTCTTAAGACCAGCTGATTGTTAATTCTCTCCTCTAGCTACTACACATTTCCTTGTAAAATAGTTAAAAGAATTTGATGTTAAATCAAGACAATAAATAAATAAATTCTACCTAATAAATTTGAGAATTCTCATTACATTTTTGCTGGATACTGTATGGATTTTGTAGGGAGAAGTCACTTGTCAATCACTTCTGAGAGTAGAAAGGTTAATCATGCGCCAAGAAATAGTAAATGTGGCAGATCTGCACCACCTAAGTTACCTGCTGCGTTTCCTTGGCAAATTTGTCATAGACTGTCACCAGAACATCCATCAGACCTCCTAACACAACGATGAAATCAAAAATATTCCAGTAATCTCGGAAATATTTCTGAAAAACAAAAGGACAAGAAATATTCATATAGTTTCTTTGCTCGAGTGTTTTTCTTCCTTGGAACGAAGGAATGGCTAAGAGAGACTGGGGGGGGGGGGTTGTTTAGGTGCAAAGCAATCATTTCTTCGCCAAGAAAAAGTGATAACTTTGAATTGGACTCTTGCACTGGAATGATCCCGTGGCTCTTCAATGATTCACCTCCACGCAAGAGATAATGTACAAGATGAAAACGTTTACATTTCACGGTTAGATTTATTACTATACACAGTATACAAAAGAATAAACAGCATACAATTTTGATAATAAAAAAAGATGGCTATAGAGTTTGGCCAAAAATTGCGCCAGAAATTTTGAGCCTCTCCGTGTAGACGAAACAGATTATTTCAAGTATAGTTACCAGTCTTAAAGCAAAGAACTTCAGCCCAGCTTCTATCATGTAGAGAACAGTGAAGGCAATATTTAGGTACATTAGAATGTCTGTATATTGTTCGTCTTGCTTGTAATGCTGTATGAAAATAACAGAACAGAAATTCAGTGAACTGCGCTCATTTTGAAGCAAGTAACGTGACAGAGGGATACATGATTTCATAGGTGATGAACCAACCAAATGCTTTGCAAGATAAAAAATGACAGGGAAGCAAAATTCTATTCTTCATTGAGAATAGGGTCAGGGGTATCCTTTTAGGTTGAAAATTTTTTTCTCCGCTTTGAAAAATACTAGAATATCCCTATAAACGGAACGGAACAGTCTGTTAGATTAAGACAAACTTCGTCCAACTTTAGTCTACCTACCTGAGACATAAGCACACCGGTGTTCAGGGCTATCAAGACCAAAATGAATGTATCAAATGGCTTCGACATGACAATTACCCAGACCTTATACTGCAGGCTTTTGTGGTCAGCCGGCATATATCTCTGCGCAGGCTTAGCAGTAAGTGCAAACTGAATGCAATCACGCTGTTAGAGAGAACATGTGACAATTAGTATACTCCCCAGTTACTAATAACTCTCTCTGCAAAGGCGAGAGATAAGATCTTGCAAAATTCAGCGAAGAGCGAAAAGTCAGAATCGTTTTCTCGGTGTCGCTTTCTGTGACGAACGGAATAACTTAAGCGAAGCAATAATGTTACGATGGTAATGAAACGAACAGATGCCTTTGTTATGGGTTTTGTTGGAGGTTCAGTGACCCACCGTGCTCAAAAGTCAATAGCACCAACTGTTTTGAACTGAATGGCCACTAGAAACAACCCATTGACTCATTTAGTTCGAATGTGTGAACACTTAAGCAAAAGATTTCACACAGTCTGGGATCCAACAACCTTTAGCACGAGCACTGATAATTCTTTTCGTCTCTGAATTTTTCCGGCTTTGCTAACCAATCACTTCTACTGATTATGGCAAGAGGGAAATCACAAATTATTAATTTGAAAGTTTGGCAAGATAGAAAAACTCCCAAAGGGGAAGAATAAACCAAAAGGGATGAAGGATAACTATAGGTAGAGCAGATTGACACAGCCGACTACGAGCCATCGATGCACGAAATAAATAGCCACACAGTTTCTTTAAGTCATTCTTGAAGGAAGAGTACGAAAAGATTTACATACCTGATTTCTGTCCAACTCACAACTCGCAATTTCCCTTTCACCCTCCTCTTGGAAGGTGAGAATTATTAACGCCACAAAGATGTTGAGGAAGAAAAAAGAGAACACCACAACAAAGGCGATGTAATAAAGTGCGTATCCCGGGCTGTAATTATGGATTGGACCTTTGTCTATTTCTGTAGTATCCATAGTGGTCTTCATGGCACTAGATCAAGAAGATCAATCTAAATATATCAGCTTATTAATCACGGATTTTTCAATCTGGTTAGTCACTTCGTCTTGTTGGTTTATCTATGCTACATAGCCTACCTTACTCTTGTCGCGGATTGATATCCTGTTTACTCCAGCAAGTTAAACAAGTTTTAATTAACTAATTTTCAATGAAGGTCTGCGATCGAAAATCACGAAGAGATCTTCTCTTTCTCTTTCGAAAACTCAGATGGAAGATTTTGTTGAAGGCGAGGAGTCAAGAAAAATTGTATAAGGACAGAATTCGTTGGTTAAATAACGTCTTTTTAAACTTTCTTTTCTTTTGCTGATGCATAAAGCTAACCATCGTTCTCTTTACGCAAGATGTACTCGCCTAGTAAAATTGTTAATGTCAATTCAAAACGCTAGATAACTCAGAAAAACGACCCAAATCTACAAATAAGGCGAGGCTTCCGAGCACTGAGTAAGGACCAATTATGACCTTGTACGATTTTACCCATAATGCCGCACGATTTTCATAAAACGCCTGAAAAACATTCAAACTAAAGCTATGCAACCCTAGAGTTTTCCAATAGCAATTATTAACTTGTCAAAAAGAGCCTTACCTGGGCCAACCTTCACCAGTAGAAGAAGTGTAAAGAGTCAACATTGCTTGTAATACGTTGTCAAAGTTAAGGGGTTTATTCTCCCACGTGCGATTCTCAACCTGATAACATTAATAAAGAACAGTGTGTCAGCCATATCACCATTAAAATTATGATTTTATTGCTATTTTAAAATAAAAAATGTAATTATTTCTGCATAATTTTGGGGCTTTAGGCATAGCAGAACTAATAGAAATAAGGTGCAAATCAAACAAACCTTTTCAACTGTTTCCTGTTGGTAGAGCTCATCGTACTTGAAAACAAAAAAATACCCTCTGCAAATGAACCAAATCCATTATAAGTCACAAACTTCGCCTCTTCCTCAAAATCCATGGGATTTATTCAACTACCTTGTGCACCCAACTTATGGCCGGGAACTGTAGCTTCATGTTAACATTTAATCAAACTGTATGCTAAAGTTCCGTCAAATCTCACGAAACATTTTTATAGAAATTCTCAAGATGTAAAAAACGGCCTTGAACCAGATAGGGGGACATTTAAGCTTCTCATAACACTTAAATCACAGAATCAATACCAGGTGAACCGTCTAAGCGCACGACAACGACGTTGAACCAGAAAAACATCTTATTCTAATCGTATTCAGAAGGTGTGCTCAGAAGTAATTTTTGTAATTTTATTTCTATTTATCATCATAATTTTAATTATTCTTTTAATGCCTAGGGCATCCAGTTATAGCAGCTTTTTGCTGAAGGGTTTACCCTGGTAAAATATGGTGCTATCGTTATTATTATTTTTCAGAAGTGGTTATGCATATTTAGCCATTTCTTGCTAGCAAGACTAGGTCTTGCCACGGCACCGGCTTAGACGTAACAATAAAAAACTGGTCTACCCTCAATCTGTCGCCTCCACCCGCCACCCTCCCCTCCCCACCCTTACCAATGTCCCAGACATATAAAAGGAGGAAAAGGAGGAATGTTTGTGTGGTCTTACTGGCACTCTTCCTTTGTGCGCTTTGAGGTGTCGTTGCAATATTGAAACTTTCCTTTGAACAGTTGTACACCCATGACGGCGAAGATAAACAAAAACAACATGGTGATCATCAGGATATTAGCAACATTCTTTACTGAGTACCACATACAGCGAAATACAGCCTGAAATAATAAAAACAAAACAAAACAAAAGCTCTAAGTTCTCAATACTCAAGGTTAAAAATTGCGATTTTATGACGATTGTCACGCGTAACATTGTTTTGATAGCTCTTACCTGTAATTTCTTAATTTTGTGCACGCCTTTAAACGGTCTTAGCACTCGGAATACACGGAGTGCTTTAATTAAAGAGTGGCCACTGCCAGATGAGTCTGTTTGTCTAAAAAAGGACAATAATCGAAAGGGTTATGACAACAGAACCATCGCATGTTACTGTTCATCTCGTTGCGCCAGCGTTTATGATTTATTTAGTAACTTCAAATCGATTGAATTACATCACGCAACCTGCTTTAGCAGTGCAAAGCTAAAATGACGGTTTGTAGCCAATCAACCAAGAAACAAACTGTGATGTTTTTTATTTTCAGTTTTGTTTTAAATACGTAGCGTCGCAAAAGAACTGGTAGAGAACAGCAGTGTGAAACGTGGGTTAGGGGAGGGAAAGGCAATGAAGTTAGCTCTAGGCTTCCCCAAGTCATTATCGTGGGCTCCTATAAGCATATCCATTGTGGTAGTTTTAGCTCCGCAAACAATGACAGTGAGAATAGGTTTATACCCCTCGGTATCTAGGAATTTGTCAAGGAATACAATGGATTATCAGTTGGTTTACAGATAGCAGAAGTATATTTAGGTGAAATATATAGAATTAGAGCTATATGAAATTGCTATATTGTGATATCACATGATGTGCACTTACTCTAAAATGAGCGAAGCCATGTTGAAAGACACCACAAGAGCATCGATAATATTCCACCAATCACGGAAATAGGCGCCCTTATGAAGAATGATCCCCACATCCACAACCTGAGCACAACAAATTTTAAATGAGGTCAGTCCTTTTTGGTCAAATAAAACAACTCCCTGTGATAAGGATGCTGGTCCGATCGACTGCCGATTGGGCGATTTAGATTTGAGCCTCGAGGAAAAAAATTGTCGAGTGTCTTCCCCTGTTTATATTTTGTATAAGAAGTTTTAGGAGCGGAAACCTTTTAAGCGCAACTGCATGTATCAGTTAAATTGGTTCTGTCAGCATGAAGATAACTTTTGAAATAGCTCAAATCACCCAATGATTTGAAAAGACAACTGAAAGCTAGGGTAAACCCCGAAATTAAAAAATTGTTTCATAGTTACCATAGGAGCATTTCGAATTTCCCTCGCGAGAAGTGACAGTTAAGATCAATTACGCGCAAGATCTGCACATCAAATATGTATATAAAAATATAAATCATGCTAGAAGTGAAACAAACTTGATTACTCTTTACAACTCACCTTAATGAGTACCTCTAGAGCAAATATCCCAGTGAAGACATAGTCAAAATACATCAGCACCTAGAAACCAGATTAGAAAAAGTTTAGAAATTTAGAGAGAAGTTAAGAGAACTCTTGAATACGAATTATGAAAGGGAATCCTTGACCTGAAAGAGGTAACAACACTGAACGATGAAGGAACAGCGATGATTAGGGACAACGATCACAGACTACACGTTAGGACCTTAGAAACGTAAAGGTATATTTAGAACTGTTCACGAGAAGACGCTCACAGAGAGAGCGACACATTCCGCTAAAAGACATGTTGTGATAAAGATGGAGACGCGTGTTTTAGAAACAGAACAGCACTACGCGTAAGGACGTGAGTGGCATCTTTTTAACAAGATAGTCCTAACCCTTGCAGAGAAAAAAAAAACACTAGTTCCTACTGTTCGTCAAACAGAAAATAACATTGCCTTGTTCAGTTTGGCGTCATCATTCACTGGATCCTCGATGGCAATTGTAATGCTACTCAACAGGATTACAACCAACATGAAATTGTCAAAGTGTCTTAGGTTCACGATCCGGTGGCATTGACGTCGTAATCTGTGTGAAAAATAATGATAGATAATAATGATATTCCTAATTATAACAGATTAATAACTTCCCTTGCCTCAAAAATTTTTAGAATGGTTTATTTTCTCCTCTGGAAACCCCAACTTCATGCCATACTGAAGTGAATTTCCAACAAACGTTTGATATGATTTGTTCACCAAATCCCAAAATCAAAGGGACCTACCATTAGTCAGAAATTTACCAACCTAACAGTCGATGCGGAAATGAGAAATGCTTATCCCAAGAGGTTCTCGAATTTTTGGTAAACCAAAAGAATCCAGTATGTTAACTGATCTAACAGGCAAGGTCAACTCTCACTTATGACGAAATTCTCATTATTAACGCGAAGTGTTACTCTTTAACTGAATACTCACTCAAATGAAACTATTACCAATTAACGCATTTTTTAAATGCAAACCCTGCATTCAACCAACCACTTCGAAATGCACCATACAGATAAATCAATTATTTATGACAGCAAGTCATTTGTCGAACGTAACTTACATCTCATATAGAACTATGTAGGTCAGGTACAACAGGACACATTTCTGGTATCCTCTGTTGAGACACCTTAAGTCCGCATAACACGTGCCTACACATCACGGGACTGCCTTTCACAAGTCATGTGTTATTCCATCTCACCTGTTCTCGGGTCCAAATATAAACAACGTTTTGGTCTTCAAAATAGGCTTCTTTTTCCGAGGATTCCGCCGACGATTACCAAATCTTCCTCCGGTCTTCAACATCTTTATGATGTTCCTGCGACTTACGGGTGGATCGTCTTCATCTTAATTAAAAACAACAAAATGGACAATGCTTTTAAGTACGCAAACATATCGTGTTTCCCGTTTTAAAAAAAAATCAGCTGCTTACGCAGCTCCTTCGTTTACACAAATAAGGCATATTATGGTAGCACAAGATGTGTAACGAACCAACGGAAGCAGTGTTGAACGTAAAAAGTCCTGAAGTATGTGACATAAAAAAGATGAAACGATGAATTCTTATCTTGATAATAGAACAAGAGACGAAAGAACGACACAATTAAACGAGAATGAACTTGAAACATGGAGCTTTAGCCTGAGGTATCAGAGGATCCTTTTTCAAAAGATCAAGTCACGTGGTATCACACTGGAATAAGTGATCCATTTTATTACAGAAATCTTTAGCCGTGTCAAATCACACTGGTTTTCTTACTTGGCCTTTTCTTTCTGACGTGACTTTTAAGAAGCTTTCCTAACTGAGCGACTCGTTAAGTAATGACTCATCACGCTATTGGTCGTATTACTCATGGCGTCATTTCGTCGCATGACTTCTCGCGGCGAAAATTTCATGAGATTTTCTCACCTTCGTCATCGTCGTCTTCCCTTTCCGTGTCTCCATTTGCTTCATTCTTTCCTCTCTTTATCCTCCTTGTCTTGTGGTTCTTCTCACCCGCATCACTACTCGTCCCAGGTGTTTCTTTGAGTTTGGCAGCGTCTGTCCCGTTTATTTCTTCCTTGTTTTCATAAAGACTTGCTTCTCGCCTGTACGTTTTTATCTTTCTTTTCAAGGACTAAAACAGGAATTGACGGAGTTAAGTGTAGGTTAACCGAAAGTGTTCGTCCCTTCGATTTTATATGCCCAAAAAGTTTGAAAGTATTATCGTCCTAACACCAATTTAATCAAACTAACTTATATATGTGGCGAGTAAATTCTACTCAGCAACTGAACGTGCTTCAGAAGCCTACAGTAAAATCAAACACAACGAGAACGCTCACGAGAATCTAAACGGTTACTGCTGAATTCACACTGTCTGTGCAACTACATACCGAAGACATCGGCGGTACACTAGTCTCTCCGTTCTCTATAGTCGTGCTGCAAATATGATGAAAGCAGATTTGATTTCAAATACTTTTTAATTGAAACAAAATATTAACAAAGACGCCCAGTTTACGTCGCGAGACAAGTCTTCATCACACTCAAAAATAGTATAAGTTTTTAACTTTGTAACGAGTGTGAGCAACACAACAGAAACAGTAGAATCGGGAACATGATTGCAACGGAAGAAAGCCTTGTTTTAAAATTCATTCATTCTTTGGATCTTTGGTTTATCGGTTCCATGGTCCTTCAGTTCACTGATTCCTCTTTACGTAGATCCGCCAGTCCGTAGATTTTTCGGTCCCATAGTTCGCAAAGTGGTCAGTTTGTTGATTCGTCGGTCGTCAATGTGTCGATTAACGTTCGTTGGTTCGTCGGTTCATCAGTTTGATAAATCTTCAGTTCGGGCAATCTTTCGTTCTCTCGTTCTCTAGCTCACCATTCACTATTTACCTGTTTCCTTCCCCAGTTGAAGTTGCTGCATTTCCATTCCTCTTGCGTACCATTCGATTGATGGCCATGATCATAGGCAGTTTGTTCCCAGCCTTCCCCCAACCCTTGTTGCTGGGTTGGTACTTTTTTTTGTTGGCTGCTCGAGCGCGTTCTCTTTCAAGTTTCTCGTTTTCTTCGTCCTCTGTCAAGATTTGTGCGTTTGCTAAGTTGTCGACGGCGATAGCCAAGAAAACATTCAACAACGTGTCTGTTTACAGTTAAGGAAATATGATGTCCTGGAAAACCATTTTGAATGTTACTTCGACTGACTCGTAATTCTCACAAAATCCGACGAAATAACGAAATTCATAAAGAAAAAATCAGCTTTTCAAAATTGAAATCTCTTTTGCTTTCAAGGATACAATTTCCTAAGATAACCAGTAGAACAAAATACAGGCTTACTGCAATCCCTGATGCATCATGAGGTCCACCATAAGCCTTCACTCCACTGTACATAACAGAATTCCAGTCCTCCCCTGTGAGTATCTTTGTTGACAAACAAAATAAAAAAACGATTATTGGTTCACATCAGTTCTTCTACGTCATTATTTCATCGTTTGACTGCTCGTTTGAAATTTTCACAAGGCAAAAAGGAAAACAAAAATTACTATTGATGGTAAATCCTACGAAAAATTTTAATAAAACCAACCTGAAAAACAGCTAACATGGCGTTCTGAAAATTATCAAAGTTCGTTGTGGGAGTTTCGCCTTCTGTAAATCTAGGGAAAATGAATAAACCTAGTTATTAATATTTTTTTTCTGCACTATGTTCCTTCGAGTATTTGAAGCTTTCATCATCTATTTGGTTTAACAATCGTACATTAAAAAACTTTTAGAAAATTGACGAAACAACGCTTCCTGCAAAACAAGGTATAAACGTACAACTTAACTAACATTAATGTAAGAGAAATAGAAATGGAAAATAGGAAAGTTCTATATTGCTTTTATGAAATATTTCTCGAAATTTTCTAAAAACATGCAAAAATCTTAACGTTTCAAGCGTGATGTCATTATCTTCTGTTAATACGCCTAGTGACCAACGAAACTAGTAAGACATGAGTGAGTTTAAACCAAAACAAAATTTTTCATAACAGCCAATCAGAAAAAAAGCAAAAATTCGCTGGATTATTTTCGACACTCACGTGAGAACTGCTGCAGTTGGCCCGACGAAATTTTATTACAAATATAAAGTAAAGGATTATATGGCTTCATGAGGACATACGCTTACCTTCCACCAAATATCTGCATACCAAGCAAGGCAGCAATCAGGATAAACAGGAATAGCAAGAAAATCAGGCTCACGATAGACTTGATGCTGCTGACGAGAGAGGTGGCGAGGTTCCTTAGCGATCTCCAGTGTCTGTAACATAATAAGATGGAAATTACTGAATAGATACTGATCTTTGCGCGTAATCAAGATGGCGGTTATCAAGGGGTGATAAAGGCGAAATTTTGAACATAGAAGTAACAGGAAAGTTGAAATGACACGTTTGATTGAGGTATGTTTTTCAACTTTGCCTTAAAGTTTAGTTTAGTCAATGAATTTTTCCATGAGAGTAAAGGTAAAGACAGACCGGCACGGACTCCCCATGTGGCTTTTGTGGTCGCGTCGCATTAACGCCTTCAAATTACATTTTTGCTCTCACAAGCATTTGTACAATTTAAGCTACAATCACAAGCTCCAGTCGAAAATAATCGATTTAGTCTGGGTTATCAAATTCGATAATAACCCGGACTGTTAAAAACAAAATTGAAATATCAGGGGATGATGCATATGCTCTTTAAAACAAGTCTCCTGTGAACTTATTCACCTTAGTCAGTGAGTAAATAATGACAACTTCATTTATTCTCATCACAATCTTACCTGGTCACCTTGAAGACTCTGAGAAGACGAACACATCTCAATACACTGATACCAAGTTTTACTAGCACAGTTTTAGAGAGTATAATGTCCAGAAATCCTGAAATCACAATCTGTAAAAAGCAAAAGTAAGTTATTCAATCTACGGGTAAATTTCTTAACTGGGAGGATTTTCATTTTTTCAAGAGACATAAGGTTATTCCTTACCGAGCAATCGAAACAATTGAAACTTGAGTTAAAGTAAACGTGAAATCCAAGACCATAAATCTTCAGAATCATCTCCACAAAGAATAACGTCAAAAACACGATTTCAGCCCATGCTGAAAGACAACAATGATCGTCAAATTTGGTGGTTAAAAATGTTACAATATAGACTTATCGATGGCTAAAATATTTTCTTTTCCTTTTCATCAACCAAAATTTGTCTTTGGTTACATTACCTTGAAAATCTGACAGCCATTTCGGTTGGCCATAATACTCCACGGCCAGAACAATTGTGTTGAGGAAAACGCAAACCAAGACAGTCCAATAAAACGCTTGAGTTTTCACCATGCGACCGACTTTTACAGAGAATTTACTGTTCCACTGCAAAAACCGCTGAAGTGCACCCGTGCTAGAAAAGAATACTCAGTTGTTAATACCAAAATATCTAAAGGGTATGATTAGTGATTTGTTATCCCACTTTGATGTTATTGCAACAAATGAAAAGAGTGCGCAAATTATGTGACCATTAACACAGTGCAGTATCTCAGTTTGACTGTATTACAACAGTGATAATACGGAAGGAAAGACACAAATAGCGTAGAAACAGCCGGCCTGGACGAATAAAAAGCGTTACATCGAACTAAAACTCAGCCAACCTCTCCGGCATGTTGACTCGGTAACAGTTCCCTTCTCTTCTGGTGACCACTCTTCCTGGATTACTGACCACGTCGCTGGTAACAAGTTGTGATTGCGAGTCGTTCAAGCTGAGATGTTTCGTCCTGAAGTTGTCGTCTGCTGCCGTTTCCGCTGTATTAGAAATTAAAGTAAATATGGAAAGCCTGATAAGTTTGATGTGGACATGATATATTTGCTGAGATTAGATAACAATTATTTAACCCTTTCGGTGGTATTAATTGGTACCCAGACGTTTAAGAAAGACCCTCCTTCCATTTTTTCATTGACAAGAACATGAGTACACAGACCTGAGTCCTGGGGCTGCACCTCTTCCGCCTAAAACGAGAATATTCTGTATATTTTTTATCACCCCTTTTTGACCTTTTCCCGGCAAACTTCCGAATGAAAGCTTACTAAGTATAAATATTTCTCATGCTGTTCTTTCCATATTTTCTGAGTTGCTGATGAGGAGAAGCTGTTTAAAAATCAAGAGCTTCTTTAGTCGCGACCTTAATGTTTGATTCAGGGGTGATATTGTACGGAGAAACTAGATGCTAGTTATTCTTAGGGGTAAGAGGGTTAAGTGTTCTGTCTCTTAGCAAAAGTTTTTTCAGCTGTCTATCTGTAAAACCTACCGGCTTTGGCTATCCACGACAAGTACGCATCCACCTGACGGTTCAGTTGTTGTTGTCTGCGAACTTTAAAGAACTTTCGTCGAGTATCCACTCTCTCTCTTTCCTTTGCAAATTCCCTGATAAGAAACAGTACAAAGATTCAATAACTCACCACTGTTTTCACTGCTCTCATTGACTGCTAACCAGCCGAATCCGTTTCTTCAACGTTGTGGAGACGTTCTCATTGGTTTAGTGGGGGACATTTGACTTTGAGAATTGACGAAGACACTTGCAAGACATAGCACACAATTCTATCTACCTACAGAAATCACCAACCTTCGAGTTACACCGAGAAGACAAGTTGTGAAGTCGTTTTCTGAAAAGCTAAAATTTCGCGTTGAAGTGTATCGCAGATCGTGTGAGATTTCATCACGAAGAATTTAAGTAATGAACACAATTATAACAATTATTGCATGTGATGCAAGCAGCGAGATTTTGAAAAATATCTGAGATCAATTTTTTCTCACTCGAGCGTCTAACGTTTGTCGTGTATCTGTTACCCTGTCATTTATTTTATGGTGGAAGCAGTTAATACGTAACACTCACCCACTCAAAACTCCAAGCACAAGATTAAGGACGAAAAAAGAACCAATCACAATTAGCGAGACATAATAGCAGGCATAAAGATATCCGTCTTCATCCATTGCATCAAAAGTCTGGGAAAACAATTTAAAATTTTTTACTCAAAATTCAAACTCACTAGTTTTCTCTACACAAATGTTCCATGTGTTCTGGTATTGAAACATAAGGGCCTGTGCTCGAGCTGGTTCAGGCATGCGCAGAAGTTGTATCAGATATTTCATGTGTATACGCTCGGGTAGATAAGAGGGATAAGAGAGTAATATGAGAATGAAACGAATTCCGGCGTCAGTGAATGGCCAATCAAATTGCAGTGTTTAAAATCGAATATCTGCTCTTGGTTTTGTCCTTATAGGGCATTAGAACATCACTTTCGAAGGAAGAAAGTACCCGGAGTACGCCTAATATTTCCTTCTACACTGCAAAAGAATTAATCATTTTTCCTCATGAGCGCCGGTATATCAAAACCCATAGAATCAAAACGGCCAATCACAACAAAGTTAATTATCGCATGGAATACTTGCTACTAATCAAAATCGGAGGAAACGTGAGTGACAAAAACATAATTGGTTTCAGTTTCAGGTCGGACGGGTTGCGCAAGTTTTCTAGACCAATAACAGGCCGTAGTAAGGCAAGGCCAATGACAGTTTCCCAAAAAATATAATGAGAGGAAGTATTTCTTACTTTGTACATAATCGACGTCCATCCTTCCATTGTTATGCACTGAAACACAGTAAGCATTGACAATGCGATGTTATCAAATAACGTGATGCCAGCGTTCGGACCAATCCAATACTCTCGGCATGTCGTTTCCTCGGGACAACTTCGACCACGAAAAATCTTCCTCACTCCGGGAAAGGGTCCCTTGTCACACGGCTCAGGATTTGATGCTATTGAATCTACAAGGACAGGTAATATGGTGTTTACGCATTGCAACAACAAATAGCAACTTAAGCAGTTCGAATGCCATTATGGCATTATATAGCAGATCACCAAAAAGGTTTTTTTTAAAGAAATAGGTCGGTAATTAAACATATAGAGAAGGAAATTTAATAATGTATAAAAAGGGAACAAAGGAAAAGGCCCCTGTAAGTATACATGTGGCTAAATAATCGAAGTATTCTCAGACTCAAGTTTGATGATTAGCAAAGAAATAGTGTAGCAACGGGTATATGTTTCTACCTCAAAAAATCAATGCGAGCTTTCTTGTAAAATGATTCACAGTTTGAAAGATACCCACTCCTTCTTATGTATCACTCACATTTACTTTTATAAAAATCTTGTAGAAAAAAGGTATGAAAGGGTTATTAGTGATGAATCACGCACAGGACAGTTCAGGAATCATACATAAAGGAAACCTGACATTTTTAATAAAATATTCAGAAATGTTGTGAGCCTAGAGAAAGACGCTTTTTCCATCTTGTGACTAACTTGGGATAAAGGAAAGATTCTGAATCCCCATGAGAAACCGAACCTCGGAATTCTCACTTTTTGTTTTTTAGCCTATTTATATAGGCTAAGAATTCATAATTCTCTTTACTGTCAACCATACAATTCTTATAAAGTTAGTTCAGAGAATTTAGTAGTGGATCAACTACTTATCCCCAAATTGATATTTGTATTTATTCTCATCACTTTTCTGGTTGACATTGTAGGGAGAAATTCTGTCTTGGTCACTCATAGGAGTAAGAGGGTTAACGTTAGTCACATTATGAAGAACAGGTCATAATGGAAAAACGGAAAACTACGAAGCACTCACTTGTTTTTTTGTCGAAGCAGGTGGTGTGAAATTTATCTTTGAGAAAATCTAAACCTATAATTGCATAAATAAGAATACAAAACAAGACTAAAAGGGCTATTTGCAAAAGAGGAACCATGGCACGGACTATGGACTTCATCACAACTTGCAGACCTAAAATAAGAAAAAAGAGAAGCACAGATTTTACTTTGTGAGAAAACAAAAGGGTCTCATTTATCAGCTCCATTTTCTGACTTCAGTCTGAGAGACTTGAACCAAAAAATGACACATCAACCACAGTTGGTTTTAAACAAGAATTAAGTCTTTATATTAAAACCTATACCTATTCTTTATACTATCCTGTATGCATTTCCATTGTCACTGAAAAGAAGAATTTGTCTGAAAATCATAAGCTTTTTTGTTTGGTCATCATTTCCTTTAATCTCATGATCTTCATGTGAGATTCAGCAGTGAAATGCTCTTTTTATCCGTGACAAACTAAACGCTTATGTTGGATGCTCTTCATTCGCACAAAAACTCAATTTTTCCCGGAGGGGGAGCATCATTGGAAAAGCTTGTTGCCCTGTTCTTTCCAAAAAAGATATCATGCTGATCCAAATTGAAATTGGAAAGCAGCTATATTAACGTATTGAACGTTTACACGAACAACTGACCCATTCTAATCAGAACGCTGGCGAGTCAATGTAGAGTAAAAGAATAAAGAGTATAGAATAACTTTATCACTTACTTGGTACACCAGAAATAAGTTTAAGAGGCCTGAGCACTCGCACAGCCCTCAGAGCTTTTACATCCAGGGTACCATTTCCTCCAAGAAATTTGCTGACGGGTGGAAGACTTATAACTCTGAGGTGGAGGGGAAAGAAAGTACCATATAACTCATGACTATCTGGTATAAGAACATTTTTGGAGCAAATTGGGCAACTGAAAGCTTAACCACATTTTCATTTTAATTCATTACCATATTTTGTCTTGTCTTTTTAATTGCAGTGTATTAAGCTAGGATTGCATTAATTTTCCTGCCAAATATGAGACGTTTGCTGTTGATTATAAACATTTCATTTACGAATGTTCCATATTGGTTATGAACAGTTTGTTCATGACTGCCCTTAAGACTTAACCTGTGTTAGTTTGCACGAAAAAAACGCATTCATTAAGCGAGTGTTACTTAGGTTCCGTTCCACTCGATAAGGATAACATCTGCTTGAAGTTCCATAACAATTTTTACACCCACGTTTGAATGAACAACATCTTTCGACGAAAATTCACAAATACATACAATTATCTTCCTTAGTCTAATCATTACACAGGATGCTTTCAACATTGCTGATCTCAGCATTATGCTAGCTTGGCAGAGATACAGATATACAGTCATATATAAAAATAGTAGGTCATGGACCCAACCCACGAACGAGTTCTTTGAATTCAATAGGAAAGGCGAAGGACTGCGTGATAGCAAGGTGTGAGGCCCGCATGTGACTCAAGTTTTTTTTACTACGATCGCAACAAAAAAAAATGACATCTTTCTTTTTCCTTTTCTTTACCGGGGATTATTTCTAAAACGTGGGCAGAGTTTCGATGATTCAAGATTTGTAACCATAGGGATTCCTAGTGATCATATGCCATCTATTTAAAAGTAACAAGAAGATAAGTGATTATTCATGCCAGCTGTAGCTGAGAAAAGACACGTGCTCACGCTTTGCAAATGCACGTCCCTACGCTTTACTGTTTGAGCATAAATTTAACATTTCTTTGCATCATACGAGCAACAGACGGAGTAGAAGTCTCTAATCCTCGCTCAAACTTACTTCCGTGTCTGACTGGCCCTGGATGTTGGAGGGTTAGATAACAGAAGTTTTCATTCCAAGTGCTATCCGTACCTTTCTCGTCATCACAGTTTGGTTTGAGATTCTAAACGACGCCCTACAGTCGATCCATTGACGTCAAAGCGCAAAATAATTTGTTTTATTCTCAGTCTTCCGGTTGCCGTTCGAGTCTCAAAAACGTCTCTGCTTAAGTTCTATAAATTATTTGAACAGCCATGCTCTGGCAGGAGCGTTCGTTTTGATGTCGTATAAGGTTCGCTTCATATTTTCGTGACAAGTCAACATCGGTTATCAGTCCTACATTCATATCCCTGCGGTATACTTAGTACGGAAAGCAAAGTAACTCTAAACCAATATAATCGTTCGTGAATTACGAAAAAAAAACGAGCTGCGGATATCATTTTTTCAAGCTTCCCCACACACACTGGCATGGATTAGTTTGACTGTATTGAGAAGAGCCTCAGGTTTTAATAGCAGCCGGCCTGAACACCAAGACATCTCTTTTTGTCGTAGTTTAAGCCCATGCAAGACTAAACAGAACCTTACACAACAAAACCAAACCCAAACATTAAAGTAACAAAAAGTTTTAATGGAGATAAAAAACAAGATATAGCGTGTGTAGGTAATTCCAGAAGTTTCAAGACTTCTAAATAATTAAAATTTTGCTTCTGGGGAGAGTCTAGATGCCAAAATCTACAAAATTATAGCTCAGTATAAATTATTGTCCTCCGTTCATCCATCTGACGTAAAATAGATATATCAAGCAAAATAAATGTAGTTTTTCAACCAGTTTTGGTAACTTCAATATATCTTTGTTAAGACTTCCGGGAAGTAAATATTATAAACATTATAATTTCCATTATCAATATTTCGTATCATTCACTGCAACGGTTAATTTCACTTCAAGTACTTGAACAGAACGTTTGGACACAAAAGAGTTATATTATTTGCACGAGTTTCATTCGAAAGGTTACCGTTCCTCAAGGCTGACAGTGATACGGTTCGACCGACAAATCTGATTGCTTCGCAAAGCTGGGGATTTTGCATTTTATGGTACAGTATGATTGGCGTATTGTCATCACATCGCACAGTGACAAAACTATAACATGAAAATGCGTGGGTTACTAACATTGAAGTTCCTTTAATGTGAAATAGTTGGCTCACATGTTATTAAAAGTCACGTTAAGAACTGAGAGAAATCATGGACCAGGGTTTACTTCGTGAACAAACAAACAGGTGCATAGCCACTGACGACTACGGATGTACTCAGTTTTATCAGTTCTTCAAATTGTGAACATCAACATCGAATGAAAATCGAAACAGAGAATGAATTCATTGATTCAACGGAATCTATGTTTTGCATTACCTCAATTCTTCTTGGTTTTTCACTTATGAGAAATAAGTCACAGGTCGTAACGAGATGAAAAGGTTTTAAGATAATCGAGAATTATTCCGTCCTTCTCTGTGACGAGTAAAGCCTCTCAGAAATTTAAAGTTCTAGTCTTTTTCAATTCATCACAATCACACATGGTGCATGTATGCTGATAGGAACTACTGTATGACAACAAAAGAACAACAAAACAAGTGATTTAATCAATGTGTCTTATAAACTGCTGCCTCTTGATGGACATGATTCTGTCGCAAAGTTCACTCAGTTTTAATTTCACGTCGAAATGGTTCGATATTTTAAACAATTCGTAGGCGACCACCTGTGTGTAGGGCTGTTAGAGCGAATTGAGAAATTGACTGGAATTTTCCACCTATTTCGTAGCGAGATCAAGAACTTTGACGCCTTTTTCAAATAAACAATCATAATTCGTTCGAAATCTCTCTTTGCAAAACGCTGTAATTGTATTTTTTTTCGTCATGTCAGTGTTCATTAGAAGGCGCCTAAAGCGTGACCACTCTTGTTAAAATGTCCGAATAAAAAATAGACGCCTTATATCAGGAAATTTCTACGAGGAAAAAAATGTGTTTGCCTCAGAACAATAGAGGCCGCTCAAATTTTGCTAGAAGCGAAACGTTGACTGAGAACTGTGCTTAACAAATAATGATAAAAAAAAAGAAAGTACTTTTAGAGATAATGACTTCTGCGAGTGTTAGGCCGTCTGTAGCAAAGGAAACGTACGGCTGAGGCAATTTACACTCCAAACAGATTTCGCCACAATATGCGCTTATCTTGTAGAGCGCTGCGCGTGCGTGAGCCGAACTCCAACCTACAATTATTTAGATTACATGGCTGTTAAGACCACCGCGCTAAAAACCTGATCAACGGAACTGAAGCCACAAGAAATTACAGCTGGGTACTTCGTTATGCGAATAGAGAATATTTTTAATTTTAAATGGTAAAACAAAATGTAGAACGAGTGCTTGGTTAGAAAAAAATATAGCTAAATAAATAACCAAAACAAACAACTTTCAAATTTTCGTTTAACGCCGCACAAGCGAAAGGTGCGGACGTTCAGAGCGATGAAATAGCCATATGTCATAAGATAACTTACCCCACCACAACAACAGTGAAATCCAGAATATTCCAACCATTTCTTAGGTAGGACCCCGGGTGAAGCACAAAGCCAAAAGCCATTATTTTCAACAGCGCCTCCACACAAAATATACCAACGAAGTAGTATTCAGCAGCTTCCTGCAGTAAATACAATAAAATATAGAACAGTTCAACACCATCTTTTATCGAAACCAAGGCCTTACGTCACTGAGCAAATGGAGGTTTTCAGGCCTACTCACCAACTGTTGAGCCATGTCTGTGCGATCATTTTTTGGAAGCGGTGTGTTTAGAGCTAACACGATACAATTGGCTCCGATAGCCAGCAAAATAAAATATTCAAACACTGTAAGATAGGTTAAGGATCAAATGAAGTTCTGTGTGAGAAATAACCAGCCTACGACTTTAAGATAACTACACATATTAGGTCTGTAAACGTGAAACCGAATAGAACGATGCGAGCTATTCAACCCCTGAAGGCCGCTTTTGTAGGCATCTCTATCGAGAACATAACTTATAAATACTTAACCCCGCAAGTTATAAACAGTACTACATTGCACAAAAAGGATATTTCGACACCACGATCGATTTTGATAGTTCACGAAGCGGATTAGTTTCTGACAAGCAAAACAAAGCATGTGTGGGACTTCTCGCTTCTTGGAGAAATTGACTGCCGTACAAAGACATAGAGCGCGCCTTCTGAGACAAGTAGGACAAGCGCTCATTGTTATCGGCTGAAGCGTTAGGCATTTCCAGGGACGAGTCGCCTGTCTTCTTTGCTGCTGTTGCTGCATATCTGTCTTTATCCATCCCTGTAGAGAGCACCAAATATTGCGTCAACACTGGTTGTCCGCATTTCAAATTGGTGAACACCGTACAGGTCTTTTGAGCGGGCGGTGAAACGAACACCACGCAACAACACTAGTCTCAAGACGCGACGTTAACAAGCAGCATAATAAAGCCTTAGTAAATCTTGATGAAATCCCACATCGTAGAGACCTAAATATGCGTGCGTATAAATTGACAGTGCGGTCGCTATTCTCGATGACTCTCTATAAAACAAGCTCATCAGCCTTCAGCCAATGATGTCGAGGCGACAGATTCTTTTCCTCCCCTTTTTGAAACGGACGTCGCTAGCGGTAACCAGCTCGTTCAGAAATTATGGTCCTCTTTCTCGGCTCTCATAACAAAAAAAGTACCGTAGCGAAGTACGCATATTAATCAGTCGATAATACACCTGCTAGTAGCAAGAAAGACCTTACTGGCTATTGATATTCAAATTCGGCTCTCTCCATTATTATAATAAGACATCGAGCTGACAGGCTGCCACCTAAAGTCTTAACCTGTATTTAAACTCCTAGATATAACCTATCGTTCAAACCTCACACGACGAATTTGGCAATCTTCCCAAAAACAATTTTAGAATAATTTGAGTTTTTACGCCATAGGAAAGCCTTACAGCCATTTTGCCGCTGTTTGTGACTCGTTTATTATTCGAAACGAGTTACAATAGAGTGAAAAGACGACAGATATGAAAACTTGTTTTTCCGTCTTAGTGGGTGAACATTGACCAACATCTGTTCACAAACCGACATTTTTCACGCAAAAATTCTCGTTGTAATTTTTCTTATCTCCCAAAAAAGTAAATTTATAATTTTGCTGTGAGAAATGGCTGACTTAGAACTTTCAATTCATTCATTAACTAATACGAAAAGGACAAACAGCCTCAAAGCTATCACGACATTCGAACGAATAAGTAAAGTTTCGAGTTGCAATTGCAGAGGAAGTTCCCCTATTCTTTCATTTATTAAGACTTGTATAACAAGTAAGCTGTCTACTGTTTAAAGCTATAGCTAACACCCTATTCTAAGTTTTCAATACTAGGATAAACTTAACAGCACACATTTTGTAATAACTCTTGTTTCACTGAAAATTTAACGTATTGTTGCAGGAGACATGAACATAAATTAGCTTTTGATTGAGGTCCGGTCGAAAACGCGATACAATTCAACAGCATCCCCTGAAGAGATTCATAAGCCTAATAAACTAATCTATTTTAGAAGATAGAAGCTGGGTAATAATTCCTCTATTTCCTGGGTTTTCCTTTACCAACAGCAATTTGTTTTCAGGGTAGAAAAATTGAAATTTTCTTTGTCGTGGGGATGCCGTTTTCTTGCCGGAAATGAGTTTTGATGCATCATCTAAATGACTGGGCATGATTCAGAGGAACTGAGATATTTTAAACAAAAATAATTAGAGAGAAAGCTCACAATTTTTTTTTTTTTTTAACATAAAAGGTTCCCTCTGATAGTAACATAACAACCAATCCTGCTGTACTCGGCTATTCGCTCGTTCAATTATGTCACATTTCAAACGAGTTTTCTCTACCATCATTGCGGAAAGAACTCGCCGCTAATTAGATTTCAAAAATTCAAAGGCAGAAAAAAGCATTTAAAATTAAAATTTTAATGACTTTTTATTCAGCTAGGAGTGACAAACACAATTAGAAAGGAAAGAATGATCACAGAAAAAAGAGGTGGCAAATAGGAAGATGGATAAAAATGAGAGGAGGAAAACACGGAATCAAGTCGAAATTACGTCCGTCATGAGAGACAAACACTAAGGAACTGCTTACGAGAAACGAAAATATTTTAATTTCCACGCATACATTACAGACGACTCTATTATCACGAACAGCCGTAGTTCTCCATGGAATAATGCAGTGAAACGTTCACCACAAATTAAAGAATATACGCTTTTCCTTTTGCTGTGCAGCCTGAAAGACTGATTTTCGTGCTAAATTGAATATCACCATATCAATACAAACTATCTGAATTTATCTCCTCTCTCATCTCACTGACCTTAATCTCCGCGGAGAATAGTTTGCCCAGCGATGCATTCTGTCGAAAGAAAGAAAGCAAAATTATTAAGTAGAGGCAATGTATCCATACACGAAAATGTGTCGAGAGTATTTTTTTTATCAATTTCTCTATTGTTTGCAACAGACCTCTTTGCAGAGGTATATGCTAGGCTATTTCTATCTGATTAATCATGAGGAATTTAAAGATAACTTAAATTTCAGCAAAGATCTTATACGTCAGCGACGTTCAGCTCAATAATGATAACAAAAAGCCCACATTAATATTCACAATACAGCGGCCACAAGTTTCATTTGACTATGTTACTTGGCAAGTTACTCATTGAAATTTCACTCCAGGGTATTTGAAATGACACCTGAAATTTGGCGTCACAACAGAACGAGTTGTTTTGTCCTACTCCAAGACGATCTTTTCAATTTACTTGTATATTTGATGAAGTTATTTATTTGTCTCGGGGACAATGTTCAGATTGTCAAGTGATATTCCCGCGCAAATTCAATGGTGCACTTGCGCGCGACAGATACAAGCCATATAAGGAAATCATGACCAAATTTGAAAATTATGACGATGTCGTAGATCTTTCCATGGATAGAGATTGGCTCTCGGGGAGGAAATATTTTAAACGAAAAAAAAGCTGTCTACCTTGCTAATTTACCATTTGAGAAAACGCTTATGGCAAAATTTCAGAACAAGAGGGAATTTTAAAAATTCCAGCCGTTTTCATATTATCACAATTTCACACTCTGAAATTTTGTTCGTGCTTGTATCTTCTGGATATTATTATTGTTATTATCATTATTGTTATTATTATCATTATTCTCGTTATTATTACTTTTACAACAGTAATTATTATTATTTATATTATCATCATTGTCATTATCACCGTACCCTTTCAGGGCTACCAGCGTGTTTCAGTCAAAAACTAGCATCCTGTAATACCTGAGTATTGATTTGTTTTCATGCCATGTGACTAAACAAAGCATAATTTTTGCACTGTTTATCACGGATTTTGTAATATCTATATGGGTGATTTTGGTAAAACAAATTGTTCCACTGACGCTGTCTGGAGATGATGGAGTGAACAACGGAATATCAACTAACTGATCCTCCCTTAATATGATAAAGCTGTGGCCACTTCGGAACTATGCACGTAGCTAGTTATCCATCATCTCATATCCAACACGCATTTGAAGGAAAATTGTTGAAATTGTCGAACTAAACAAGCATGCTTTACACTATGCGAAGAAACATAAAGAAAGTAGTGACTTCTACAGAATACTGGGTGAGGTTCCTTTTAGAGATAATACGGCAACAGATGATAGGCATAGACTGTAATATTTAAGCAATAGTGCGAGCTGACTATGGACCTGGTGGTTTCTTTAAAAGTGGTTTGTTCTAAGCTAGTAAATGTTTTCCCTTGTTAGCCATAAACCTTCGTGACATTACTAACTGAAATTACCGCTTCGATTTAACTTTAAGCCATACTTAAGATGGTTTAAAATGTGGTTTGGCTAAAAAGCGACTAAACTTTGTTGAACGCTTTAAACCCTGATAGTGACTAATATCTCATTTTTCTTCCCAATAGCAATCCTGAATGATTCATTAGGATCATGAGAGTAAAGGAAATTATCGCCAACCTAAGACTGAAGCTTTTATCGATAAACGATTTCTCCTTGTCAGTATCAAAGGCAATGTACAGACAAGAAAATGGAAAACTTGGATGTTGATGTTAAAGGAAAGCCAATTAAATCATGGCGCTATGAGTCTACGCGAGTGTAAGAGGTTTCGTGACTCTCTCTCACACTTCTCAAAATTTGATTCGAAAAATCATCTTGTAGTTCTCCACATGATGCACGATCAGCTCTTTTCTCTGGATTCTACTAAGTAAACCTTAAGCAAAAAATTTGAAAGCCCCGCATGGCGCCCATCATTTTTTTCTGCACCTACAGCGTGCAACATTACACAAAAATTGTTGCCTTAGTAAAATTTTATATTACACGAATTCGAGCCTTTAGCAACATGCATTAAAACTAAGTTCAAATTAAAGCACGACATCCTGAATAACTGTTCAGAATAACTGAACACTCAATGATGGATGTAAAAGAATACCAATATTCTAATAATGTTTTACCTTTCATGCGTTAAGTCCGTTATCTACTTTGGCCTGCACGGCACAGTGCAGTAGTAATGTGTTACGTTAAGTAACTTCCCCTTTTAATCCACATCTTAAGTCAAACTCAGGAACTTGAGTAATTCTTTTCAATGGAAGAACAATATTAACGTCGTCTTTTTAGTTCCTGTTTGGTTTGTGCCAATATCATGTCTTAAAGTAAGATCTCTCGCAGATCCTAAGGAAAGGCTGTGTACATATGAACATTACAGGTTGCATGCATTGGGTTCTTCCCACGTATGAACGCCATTCACATGACCGACTCATGATTCTGACAACATGGCAGGAACAAAAAATTATTTTAACATAACAGAACCCTTCACATTCTATCCCTGAAATAATTAACAAATAATGACTTATCTAAGGCGCTCCAAATGCACAATTTTTAGCAGACCGCACGCTTTTATTCGAAAAATTCACACACGCAAACATTAGGAAGGCTAAATCGTTTGTTTTATCTCCACTAACTGCACATAAACAACTGTAGGTTCTTAATTCGTGTTTTTATCAGTCTTCTACAGTTAAATTTTTCATTTTCTCTATTTTTATTCCGTAGAGATGTTTTCATGAAACAAGATAATTGACTATCTCGCAATTTTAAGTTAAATGAATATGTGCTTTTGTTAAAAGAGTGTTTTGCGTCATCACAGAAGGAGACTGTCTGGCGATAAAGCATTATCAAATTTTAACCCACACTAAAAAAAAAACAACGCATCAAGATCAATTGTACATGGTCACGTTCAAAGCACACAAGTTCTTTGGAAGATTTCAACCAAAGAGCCTACATGAGGAAGAGAATCCCGCTCAATCATGAAAAAAGAGATTTAATTTTTTTTTGGAGATATTTTTCAAAGTTATCTTCAAAAGATATTTTTTAAGACTCAATTAATCTGAAAGAAGTTTTGATAACAATATCAAAATTCATTGTAACAATCTATATATTGGTCACTTATGCTTGTGTTTCAATCGTCCGAAACGAGGCTTGCCTTCGTGACGTTTTCTCTCTGTGTCGCATCCTGTTTTGACTTTTGACGAAGTACGTAAACATGGATTTTTAGTTCTCGAAACAACATTTAAATTCCACCAAACTTCTTGCATGGCTTGACTTCCGATCAGAGACTAAAAATAAATGAAATTCAAAGTGTTTCTTAACAGGCTTCTAAGCGAGGTGTTCATGTTCTCTCAAAGGGAAAAATATATTTGTAAAAAAGGAATATTTAATTGCAACAAGAATACCTTGTCACTAATTTCATTGGTGGTCAGTAAACACAGACTCGATGGAGTGCAAAGTACGGAATACGTAGGTAGTTCATCATAATTGCTTATTCACTTTGAAAACAATGGTACGTGGAACCAGCTCTTAATGATACTGATTTCCATAAGCAAACAACTGTCAAGTCCCAAAATAGCACAAAACCACAAAACTGAATCTCACCGACAACAAAATAAACCCAAATTTAATTTTTCGTGGTTTTGTGTGCTGACTCACTCCGGCAAGTGGGTAACCAATTAGGTTTTCCATGTTGGGTCTGTTAGCCGCAACAGCCTAGAGACTGATAACGACGGCATTTAAAAACTGTTCAGTAAGATACACTAATTTAAATTGGTCATTACAAAAACGTTTATAGCTAATTTAGTGGTCAGAGATCTTTCCAATGATAATTACAGACAAACCACGCCAAGTTCTTGCTTAAAGTTGCAAAGCTTAGACTACAGTCTTAAGAAGACTTTAATTTTTTATCAAATAAAGGTATAATGCTTTTGAAGGTTTGAAAATTTTGTGTTACCGCTACCATTTTCTTTTGTAAAAGCCGACGAAAGATCTCTGTATTTCATGAATTCGAAAAACTCTGAAAAACATTGCAGAAATGCACCGGAAGGTGTGAGGTCCAGAAAAAAACCCTGAATACAGAAGGCTGGACTACTAAACCCTTAACAAAGATCCTGGTGAATACGAAATTACCAGCATCCAAGAGTGCAGTTTAAAAATAATACACTGTTGTTTAAACTCTGTATATCCCACAAAAAAAGGCATGCAACGTCGTGCTAGCTATTGTTCGATCACTTGAGCTCTCAAAGAATTAATCCGCCAAAAGGCCAGTTGGGTATTGATCAAGAATATTTGTTTACGTTAAACATCGCTATAAACTTGTTCTGCAATGTCAACGTTTCAAGCACGAAACTTGACTTCATCAACTTTCTGAGTAAAAGCTGTTCTTTAGGCACTGTAGTATATGCCGTCAATTCAAAGAGAGGAAATTAACATGAAAAACTCTGTGCTGGTGACCAATGTGTACAACTTCTACTTCAATCCAACCTTAAACAGCACGCTCGCTCGATGAACATTCGACAAGTTTCGTAGGCAAGTACTAAGCCCTACAAAAACCCGAAATGTCCTATATGGCAATGGCTAGGTCAGCAATCAAAACAGGGATTTTTGCGTCGCGGGATGCTAAATGGCACAAAAGAAAATAATCTTGGTCGCACACAAAACGGATAAAAACAATTCACTTTAAGTTAATACTTGCAACGCTTGCAACTCGTTTCAAAATTAAGATCATGTCGTGTGTTTAGCTATATCTTAAAATACGATTTTAAATTCAGTGTCGAAAGTTTGTCGGGAAGACCGATGATTTAACATTACCTGTGACTTTAAGACTTGTTGATAAACGAAGTTCTTTGCTCCGACAAACGAAAACAGTAGGAAAGATCCCTTTTGAATGATGATAAGCTTGGTGTGATTTTTTCGAGGAGGTTCTAGAACGCATCTGTTTAAAGACACAAAATATTTGAGTCAGTGCAGTATGTTACCCGGTCGTCAAAATTGTTGTCACGAGGCAATTAACTCCGCATTTAAAGTGACACAGAGAATATAGAAGAAACTCTTGCCTTTCAGATCATCAGAGCTGAGTCAATTTTTATCTTGTCTCGATGGCCAAGAGATTTTAAGACAGAATTCTTCCAACTTTTACATACTCTTACATAGAAATACACAACGTCCGTTTTAACCTGTTACATAGTTCGCGCTAACTTTCATGTCGAAATCATTGACCGTAAAAACCATTTAAATGCAAATTTCTTCTTTACCCAAATGATAACAGACGGAATTTGAATATTTGTAGAAAAAAAATTGTTTTGAATTTTTGCGAGATTCCTTCGCCTATGGATATTCATTTCTTGAATTAATATCGATTATCCGCACTTGCAATAAAGTCAAAGATGTTGGCTATCTGCGATTGTAATTTTCACAAGTCTGACAGAAGAGTGATAAAATTATTATTCTTGGAATTATCAACCACAGTTGACCTTCACACTGCTTACAAGTTGATGCAGACTTTTAAAACAAATTCCACGCTCAAACAAACATCTCCTCGGAAACATTTGAAATTTGCAGACAACAAATAAAACAATGAATCTGACAAGAAAAAAATTTTTATCGTTTAAATTGTCAAATTTTATTATTATTTTTTTATTTGGAGTTTATGCTAGCATGAGCAAAACACCTTCCCTTCAACATAGAGTGCACATCGTTATTCAAATCATCTGTCTGGCAGAAGTCCTCAAAACAAACTCACACAGCATGTGTAGAGGACACAAGACCCGTAATGAAAGAAAAACGTTCCTAATGAATAATGATTTGCTGCCAAATGCAAAAGATGTTCCTTGTTCATTTCCACAAGAGAACGAGAACTGCTTCAAGGGAATTGGGGAAAGTCAGTTAAGACTGTTTCATTCTGAATTTCTAAGATCACAACAGCAAGAGAGCAAACCCGTTGTTTTTTCATACAGTGCTATGAACAATCTTTAGCGGTATATGAATTTTTACCTAATGAAAGTTCAGAGGGATGTTTTTAATTTGTTCCTTCATCGATTTTCTTGCATATTTGGCATGATTTTTTTAAGGCTAACAAACACCAGACAACAATTTGCAACAAGTAGTGCAGCTGAATTGCTTCTCATGGCATGGAGAAATTTTGCAAAGATCGTCATCTCTGCGAAAGAACTTTCTTTCTGCAATAAACTAACTAGTAGTAAGAGAAAATAAAGTTTTTTTAAAATCTTTTGGTCGTGGGTCATTGATTTTAAAGAATAACACATGAAGCGGTTTCTCGCCGAAATTGTTGCAGTGACAATTCGGATCGTGTATTTGATAGCAAACTACCAAAACTGGGGCTTTTGTGAGACATCGGCTGAATACTGTGAGAACATTACGTCTTCGTCACATAAAAATACTTAATTGTGTCAACCGCCTACTTGGAAACGTAAGACATGGACCGAGGCAATCAATATAGGGTCGATATCTTTTCACGGTGTCCTACAAAGATTCTTGATGACGACTCTGTGGCAATAATCGACGCGGCGGAAAAACGACAGCCGCTTTAATGAAAACTAATGAAAAATAGTCTGCCATTCATAAGCCGTATATTTGTCTTGGGCTTTATTTAAAAATGAAAGAACTTGTCAACTGGGAGATAAGAGACGCAGTATTTTGAGCTAATATGATGATGATGTTGAGCTAATACTGCGAGTTTAACCAGTATGAACAACGGTTATATCGCAGAAGACGCTTCAGCACAGGGTCGTTTGGTCAACAAAAAAACAATAAACAAACAAATACACGCCTAGCCCTGCACGCCGAAATGAACGGAAAACGGGACACTTTCACAAAACAAGAAGGATAAAAGCCTTCAAGAACTCCGAGTTAAATTTCAAAAACACTTTAATCGATGCAGTTTTAAAGTATATATATATACAAATGACATTTGCTTTGTATCAGTGATCCCGCACAGAGGTTTGGACTAGTAACATGTATGTACTCACGGTAAAAAGAATAACCTCACAGCAAAAGTTAACAACTCACGGCTAGAGAAATCACCTTGTTATTTCTTTCGAGTGAGTCTTTTCTTTTTGCCGTGAGGTTTTTTCTTTTGTCGTGAGTCTTTTCCTTTTTGCCGTGAGGTTCTTCTTTTTGCCGTGAGGTTCTTCCTTTTGCCGTGAGTCTTTCTTTTGCCGCGAGGCTATTTCTTTTGCCGCGAGGTTATTTCCTTTGCCGTGACAGTTGTGGGTCACCGTATGTATGTGAATAAGTTGGGACCAATATCTTTTCGGATAATCTGACAATTTTCACAGGAATTATTAACAAGGTCTATCAGATTCGCTCTGTCGGAGATCAATCGGACGTCCACAGCTTGAATGTGCGATCGAAGGAGCTGGACACAACGTACTGACCATCTGAAATGAAGGAACAACTTTATAAGAACACAGAGAGACAGTTGCAGCGCCTAATGTGCGATAGTTTGCGAGCATAGTATGAGCCCTTGAGCAACACAAGTCGGCCATAAGTTTACAGGGAGTCTTGCACTGACAATCACTAGTGCTTAATCAGTAGTGCCAGGCCCCCGGCAAACTTCTCCCCGACTCATCTCAACTCTTCCCAAGGGCGTAGAAACGCGCGTCCTGCAGCACTAAGAATGAGGGCCTACCCTCGAAAACAAACGAACATTTTGAAAGAATCTCCCGTAAATTTTTTTTTCAAGTACTGTAACAGTTCAGACACTCTATCTCACAGAGTACAGACCTGGTGAAACATCGACACAGCTTATTTTCTGTTCATGACCTGTCAGGGTCTTCAGAGGCGCCCAGCCAGGGTGGGACCAAACCTGAAAAAGAAATATGAACTTAACTAAAACAGTGAAACTAAAAATTGTAAAGTTAACACTGCAAACTAAACAATAGCTGAAATTTCGAGCGTTAGTCGTCAACTTCAGAAACTCAGACTCAATAGCGACCAACTCACATCATTAACTCAGTTGATAAAACTGATTTTAGATTCCCCCTTTCCCCTCCCCCCACAGATGCAGTACCCCTCCCCCCACAGATGCAGCACCACAGTTTCTTTAGAAACTTACCCCTTCTATATTTAAACAAACGTACCCCCTATAAACTAAACAATGGTGATGTTTTCACGACGCCGTATGTCTCACTTAACAATCCTGACATTAGTTTGCTTACAGAAGGTGTTCCCTTGTAGCTGAATGCTTTGCATTTCTAACGACGTAAGGAAGAAATCTTATCTTGAACTGCTTACGTGGATCATTTGAAGAAGGACTTCGAAAGCATCCGAGATCGAGACAGATAATTGTCCAACTTATTTTGCGGGAGACATTAAAATAGAACGCGTGCTCTCTTTCCGATTTGACGGCTTCATCAGATGGAAAAACCGCAAGTTCCCCCTCATTGGCGGAAATCCACTGCCAATTCGCTTAAGCTACATGGTTTGGTGGCTTGAACTAAAAGACCATTGCATTTTGAGTTTGGCGACTAGCTTAACTTGAAGCGCGTTGGAAAGCAGCTGATTTCAAGATATTTTTGGTAGTCGTTCGCAAAGCAACTTGAAAAAAACGCAAGTGAAAACACGGCCATTGTAAACTGAAACAGTGTAGACCACACAATCTAAATTTGACAGTGTAAGCTAATAAATGCAAACTAAACAGTGTGAGCTGAAAATTATGAAAAAAACCTTGTCAACTAGGCTAAAACAATACAACTATTCTTAGGTAAACAACTTTAAGTACTGATGAGAAAAGAAATGAATGATTAAGACCGCTTTCTCTCAACCGAGATATGTAATCCTCCCTCTAGGTAATTCTTGTGCTATACAACAATTAACATTACGTTGTTCGCGACACGAGACCTTAAGGCTGGGAAAAATAAAAAACACTGAAAGCTTCTTCCTCGCAAGCCATTTTTTCCAGCTACAACTTCATCCACACACTCACGAAAACAGTAATCTATTTTCATTGATCAACTCTCCACGCCCCAAGAATGAGCACCATAACAACATTCATTTACTAAGTTACCTTTACTGTTTTGTCGTAGGATGCCGAGACCAAGAAGTCTTCTACAAAATGAAAGAAAGTATTTAAGACAACTCAATAGACAAACTAAAGTGTGGTCCCTGAAGAAATATGAAGAGACAGAAGAGCCATAAGTGACGGGGTTGGTGAAGAACACATTGCAAAAAAATAACCGGTGATCATGTCATTTACGGCCTTCCAAGAGATCGTAAGAACCACTCGAACAGCGTACATAATTCGGCTTAACGTATAATAGATCATAGATCATGGATAACAACCAATCGAAACTCATGCTGAATGAAGCATTTTTCAAACTAATTGCAGATAACATGGCTTACCTTGAAACTTGACGTGTGATATAAGGTTGGTGTGAGCAGGAATAGTGTACACGCACTGCCTCTTCCTCAAGTCCCAAATCATAATTTTCTGGTCTTCACTTCCAGTAGCTACACGATATCTGATACAAAGAGGCCATTTTACAACTTCAAATTCCTTATACAAGAAGGCCTCAAAGTCCAAGTACACGCACAAGTTAATACAATTTTATCCGCATTACTTTGTTACCGTTTTTAAATGGTTGATATAAATTCTTCATTCGTATGTTACATTAAAATAAGCAGATTTAAGTCTAATTTACATCTAGCAGCACCTCTCTCAAAATGACGGTTTTCTGTCACTTACATTACTTTCTGTCACTTTCTTACATTAGTTTCATTTCCCTCGATGTGTTCAGATTGCCCGCGCGAACGCGTTTGGTCTTAAAGCAAAATAAAAATTAAACACAGCAATTGCCACTGAATTCACGAAATTCATCGCAGTTTCCTTTATTTGGATTGTCTAAAGACGTGTTCGCGAGCCTGCTGGTCCTAAGACCTTTCTTTTTTGGGCGATAAACAAGAAAAATGTTTGATGATGCAGTCGTGAACCAACACTCGGTAGCCAATCAGAACAAAGTATCAACTTCATCTTAATAGCTCGCGGGGCTAACCATACGATAATTTGATATGTTTGGCATATTTTGCTTTGTTTTGATTGGTTATAATTTCTTTGGTTTAAAATTCACGCATGCGTAGACACCCTATGGATGGGTGTTCTTAGGCGTAACTCACCCGTCAGGTGCAAAGTCTATTCCTAGCACTTTTTTCAGATGTCCATCCAATCCCATAATACACTGACCTGTTCTAAGGTCCCATACCAGGCCCCGCGCATCGAGGCCACTGAAAATATAACAGAAAGCAGCTATTTTGACTCGAACTGTACGCACAACAAAAGGTATTTAAGTGAACTTCAATAAATGCCATCCAACATTGCCTCCTCTGTACAAATAATAGTTACTTAACTCCTATTTACTGTTTCGACAGCCAAAAATGGTTTGAAAGAGCACAGGAGTAGACTTTTTACATTGGAGAAAAACGGGCATTGAATATGACATGGTTGCCACAGAAACTCTATTCAAAACTCCCCGATGAAAATAGAATTTCCCTGACCAAACAAGTAACATACACAAGCAACCCCTAAGCTCTTCACACATCCTTCCTTTCCACCCGCTGATTTTTTTTTCAATAAATCACGACAGAGCATTTGTAATATCGCCTTAACCAAACAAATTGGACTAAACCAAAAACATTGTCCATCTCAAAATGATGAAAAAAGAAAAGGCCTTCCACCCATCCAAAGCATTTACACTGTGGTGTCATACTCTCAGTTATCCCTGAAATTCCTAAAATTTTACAACTCAACCAAAAATCCCCGACTCAAGGACTTCTGCTCATCCCTTTGGCAACCATGACAAAATCTCTGGTGAATATAAACTAGCAACTGGATAAGTAATGATAAACCATACCATGTGGCTGCAAGTGAGCCATCAACCTGAAATGCAATACTGTACACCTCTCTAGAGTGACCCTCCTACAATAAGAACATTCAAAAACCATCAAATAACCATTATCAAAAGATCAATCACTTGGGAATGGAGTAAATGGAGTAGTTTTGAATACCTGATGAAGAACCTCTTTTAGCTGTTCCAAATCCCATAACCTCCAGGAGTGATCAAAACTACACAAACACAAACATCCAGGAATTAAAAGAAAAGCAGACTTATATTTGTCTGACAGTCAAAAAACAAAAAACCATGGATTGAACTACTGGACTGACAGAAGGTAACACAGCTTACCAACAAGATGCAAGAAAGCGTCCTGATGGATGGTAAGCCACACGGGACACACGTTTCTCGTGTCCCTCAATGTTTGCAAGTGGTGTGTCCCTAAACAGATGATGGGAAAAGGTACCATGTAAGTATCAACCTTTTCACTTCTGCTATTAACCCTTTACACCCTAAGATCCTTGTGCATATTCTCCACACTGTTTTGTATACATTTCCTTTGGTACTAACAAGGATAATTTGTTTAACGGTCAAAAGCTCCTTTAGTTGGGGATAAATTTCTTGTATTCTCATGACCTTAATGTTTGATTCAGCAGTGCTACAGTTGGGAGAAATTAGCTGCTTGTCACTCTAATGACTTAAAGGCTTTTTCTTCTGGCAAGATTAGAATTCACACTGATGATGACTTCTTGATGAGGTTGTCAAAACATCAGTCACTGCAACCAACAACAGTTCTTCTCACTACCAACACTCAGACTACACCATCAAATTAGATTGCAGAGCCAGGAAGACAAGTGATGATGATAAAGAAAATCATTAGATAGTATCATCTACTGCGTGATTCCATACATGTTCAGTGACCACAAAAGCACAACACCATCTGCATCACAGGATGCCATGCAAGGTCCTGATTCATCCAATGACAGTGTAGCTTGGGGATGGAACACAATGGAGCCAACACGCTCATTATGACCTGCAAACATGCATAAACAAAAGCATCACAATTTTTAGAAAAAAAATTGCTGGTAGTAAGGAGAATTTCCAAAAAATATCAACAATGGAGAGAAAAAGAGCAAGAGTACCAAAAAATTCATGATTAATTGTTGCCCAATTCACAGCCCAAATAGACAAAAATTAAGCCACATTGTATTAGGAAAGAATTATTTAAATAAAAGTTTATGTGAAAAGAAAACTATGGCACTGTAGTTTAACTTTCAGTGTTTGAAAATGGGAAAGAAAACAATTAATTATTGGAAATTGCAGATTCAAGGCCATTTATGGTACTAAAAGTTTGAAAGTAACCAAAACACATAACAACATTTATCATACACGTGGTACCTCGCAAAACTGCTATTGGTTCACAGTCAGGAACTGACCACAGCTTACACAAGCCACTCCTAACAACCAAAAAAGGGACAATAAAAATAGTGTTAGTCTGCTATAACATGCAGGATACTTGGCACATACAAATCTAGTTTTAGGCCATACCCACCACTGAACTTTCTTTAGCTCAGTGGAAGAACATCAGGCCATTAAATCAAAAGGTCTGGTTTTCAATACCTTGTTGGGGATTCATACTTCCCATGGTTATGAAAAAGCAAATAAAATCTTCCTATGAAAGGTTATGTGTAGTATGGAGCTTTCACTATAAATAGGATTACATGTATGTCTGCTCAAAACCTACCATGATGCAGTGGCTAGCATGGATGAGTCTGGGGAGAACTGGCAGTAAGACAGTGGTCTATCGTCACCAATCTGACTACAAAAGTTGTTCAGACCCTGCAAAACAAAATGTTTTCTTTTTTTAATAGAACCAAACTAAACACCTCCTTGCTTTCAAAATATTGTGCACACAAACCCGCAGCTTCCGATGTAACTCCTGTGTCTTGGCAGCCTTTTCTGGATCAGGTCTAGCTTGCTTGATACGCATTTGCTTTAATCTTTCACATGCCCTGCAAATCCAAGACGTATTCTCAGTAAACCAAAAATTTATGTAAATTAGATTTTTGAAAACTACAAGGTGAGAAATGTGTACACAGACCAAAAAACTGACAGACAGACAGAGCAACTACATAAGAATGATGAAACATAAGAAGTACACAAATAAAGGTACCCTATATGTTAAACTACAATACATCATGACATTCATGTCAATACAAAATGGCCTATGTTTAGTGAGATGAACCCCATCTTAAGATAAACAAATTTACTCCAAGGTCAGTGTCAACGCTCAGTGTCCTGAATTAGTATAATCACATGACAGGTTGACTTGAGTTGGTTCAGAAAAAGCCGTCCTTGTGCACTTACATAGCTTTGTTACAAAAAAAAGAGAGAGAAAGACACTTTGTTTACTTCTAATGTAAAAAAAAGAGTAACAAAATTGAGAAAACAAGTCACGTTTTTCAATGAATTGTGATTTTCTTGTTCTGACTTGAAAAAAATAAAGGAATAGTTTTTATTGTAAAATCTTTTTATGTGGTTTTCCCTTGCACACCAGTCTATTCCATCCCATTTAAATGACAACAAACTTCTTGAATTTTCCAAAACCTATTCAGTAGCCTCATGATAAAATACTTATTGACTAAGTTAGGTCAAGCTAGATGGGAAAATATTTTACTCTCATTCATGAAGTATGAATCTTGCTACAATTGGTGTGTTTGCCATAATCACGAGCCAAATATTTTCCCATCCAGCCCTCCCACTCAGTCAATTAGTACATATTATGTCCTGAGCATCTGAATGCGTATGTTAGAGCTGGCAAGATGTCAGGAAAACCAAGTAAGATATTATGTGGGATAATGGAAAATTTTGCAGGCATTCATTTTGAAAGTCTACTACCCTCAATCAATCAAAACACCATGTATAATAGGGGTCAAGAGTCAAATTGTATGCTATCTGTTCAGACTCATTCAAACTATCCACCCATGATTCATCAACCAAACAACTTCTCAGTGCATACCTTGAAAAGTTATTGAAAATTTGCATGTCTTTTGGCATGATACTAAACCCTGAGGTACCAAACTTTATTGTTTAGAAAAAACCAAGAGAAGGACCATAGAATGAAATCATGAAAATTGGTTAACAGCATGAATTTCTTTGTCATCTTGACCAGCCCAAAAATTGTTCCTATATATTGCAAAAAAATCCACATTTAAATAAGTCTTCAAAAGTTTTTTTCAGATTTACGCATTCTAATCAAATTGCAATGGGTCAGTGACAGTGACTTACCGAGGTAAAGAGTATTTAGCCATCCACAATCGAGCTATTTTGAGTTCAGGATCTCCTTCATGATACCAGACTTCTTCCTGAACTTCCTGACAAAAAAAAAAGTAATGTGAAATCAGAAGACATTTCTCATTACACCCATAACATGGCTTATATCCTAGCTGTGTGATTTAGCCATTAAGAAATACAGCTCAGGCAAGCTGTCCTTTGACAACATTTTTTGTCTATTTTGGTGACCAAATTTTATTCCTGGCAACCATTTTAACACCAAGTATTTGTTAAAAAAAATAATGCACTTAATCCGCAACAAAGAAGTTACAATTCAATTAATTTAAAATCCTTTCCATAAAGGTATACTTACTGGTTCCTGTTTTGACTTCTCTGCAACTTCCTTATTTCCAAAGGATACATCTTCACCTGTTTAGAAAACATTTTGCAATGTAAACCATAACAAAATCCTCCTTACTGCATCTAAGCATGCATGCAGATAATCATCAGTTCACAATGCATTCAAGTATGCTTTCATTCAGATAAACAAGATCTTACAATAATTACTTAATTCTTACCAAGTTCAGACAAAAGGATTCTCAATCTGTCTCTTCTCTCTGGAGGACCTTCTCCAAACAAAGCTGCAAGGAAAAACATTAAATTACTAACAACAAGATGGCCTAAAGTTTTATCCTTATTTAAGCATGCTGAATTCACACCATATTAACCCTTTACAACCTAACTGTAACATCAGTAAGCATATTCTCCATAAAATTCCTATACATTTCCTGTGGTGCTGACAAAGAGAATGCGTTTAACAATCTTCTTTTGTTGGTGATCATTTCCTTTATTCTTGTCAGTTTAATGTGTGGTTCAGGGATGAAGAAAAAAATAGATGCTAATTACTATTTGGGGTAAAAGGGATAAAATAACTTACTTATTGGTTCTCCAATTTCTCGGAGTCTTGCCTTAACTGAAGCATCATCTGTTGGTACAGTTATTGCCCGTGCCTACAATAAAACACCATCACAACTTTTTTACCATGTCATATCATAAAGAAAACTCCACTCTAGACAAGTTAATGAAAAAGTGTTCCTAGCCACCAGAGAGAAATTGAGTCTATCATGTTTTCTAAAACTCAACACAAACCAAGTCTATGGTCTCAAATGAATCTTCTGAGATGTAATGTAATCTGCAGTGTTACCTTTTTTCTTCTCTCAAATTCTGCCAAAAGTTCCTGATGTCTCTCACTGGTCTGGTCTTCTGACAGCTCAAGGTATTCTCCTGTTTTATTAAGTGGAAAATATATAAGCAATATCTAAAACTAAATGCAGAAATAATCAATATTGAAAGATAAATATTCCAGCTGTTAATTCCACCTTTTCAAAATCTTGTCTGAGATGGAAAAGAGAAAGAAATACAGGGCCATAATCATGCCCTTACTCATCCAAGTAGTGACACTTTATGGCAAAGATAGACAATCTAGTTTTAAATGTATATGGTGACTAGTTTATAAAGAAATTGTTATTCCAACTGAATAACAAAATTTAAATGAATAAACAAAATTTAATTTTAGCAGCAGCAAATCCACAGAGTAGTCACATGGCTATTTGGATTGTTGGTTTTCATAGAGAGGGGAAAATCGGGAACACAGAGAAAAACCATGAAGCAAAGATGAGACCCATCAACAAACCAAGGCTATGCCTGGTGTCGGCTTTGGAAATCAAAGCAAAGCCAGATATATGGAAGGTGACTGCTCTCATAAAACAGAATTCCTTCTCCATCAAAATACATTCACACATGTACCTTGGAAAAACATGGGTCCCACACTTTTTCCAGAAAACCACAGAATCTTATTGTCATTTGCAGTGATTCTAGAAATCTCATTTGTAGTATGTTCATATTGATCTAAAAGTTGTTTTCAAAGCTATCAGTCTTGGACTTGTCCTCACAATGAAGAGTATCAATCAAAAGGTACAGTAACTAAAGTTTGTTGGGGTTTAATCTTTCCAAGCCACTGAAGTCTGTTTACAGACCTTTGCGTGACTTAAACACATGCAATGATCCTTAAAGATGCTTCAGTAGTGCTAGGGAATGATCCAGTTGAAATATTTTAGCATCTGTCTAAAAAACTGACACCAAATTTTTATGTTCCTACAATCAGTGTCAACATTGGTTGACACATCATGTTTAAACAGTCCTGTTTATGTGTATAACAACACTCCTGTGTCTACCACACTCTTGATCATTAACAAGACCACCCCTTCCTATTCAATGTTGCCTGTAGCTAAAAGAAGTTCATGGAATCCCAATACAACATTGTTTGGGAGGGGGGGGGGAGAGGGGGCAAATGGGTTAACCTAACAAGAGCAAAAGAGATAAAATTGAAGTAATAGGGGTTGAAAGTTTCTCATGATGCAAGAGAGTGATACTGTAGGAATTTGTGATCTTGAGACCATAGCAGCAAAAACAATGACAGATATTGATATGTACGATGCTGTGCTTATTCAGTGCCACACATAAATACTGTAAGAATCCGTGATGAAGTCAAAGTCTGCCCGCAGTACACGGTGATTTTAAAACCACGACAACTAACGCTATATACAACTAAAGACGTTCTCGTGACGACAAAGCAGACGAATATATTTCTAAGGAGGTAATATCGTCGAAAAAGTAAGACACTAGACTTATTTACAAGCTGCAGAATAATAATTACCAGCTTACCTTCGGAAATATTTATATTTCCCGCTCGAATTCCAGCTAAGACAGCCGCGGACACTTCGTTGTCCTCACCCTCGGCTTCTTGATCGTCATCATCTTTTCTATCATCATCATTATCGTTGGACGATCCAGTGACTAGACGTTCTCTTTCTACAGTTTCAAGGCTTCCAAAGTGAATCCTTTGTTTTTTGACTGCTGGGGCCAAATCTTCGTCGTCCGACATGGTTGGTTTTCACAAGCAAATTGTCATAATTTTGATTTGCAGCACGAGGGGTAATGGCTTGGGGACCGCGCTAAACAAATTAGTAGCCAAGCCTTCTTGTTATCGTCTGAACCTTGGTATGTGCTGACAAATCATTTGGGCCTGTGAGTCTCGATTCAAAATGTAGTTTCCGCGATACACAGGAGGATGCAACGCTCGTAAAAACTGGTTTACAATGTCAGCTGTTCGGGTTTTGGTCCGGTCACTTTTCAGGCAAATTCATAGTATCGGTAAACCATTCTGTCGTTACTTTCTACTAGTTAATTTTTTGTTTGTTATGACGTTGTTTCCGACCCTTTCAGTTTCATTATATTTCGTTTCCTTTTCGTTATTCGTTTTTCCTGTAAGTTTGTTGATGTGACATAATGCTTTCAAACGATTAGGACAAGTTGCAGCAAGATCAGGCTATAACAGTGCTGGTGAATTCGCAGCAGTTAGCAGTGTTGCTAACGGCCAGTCAGCACTCATTCCACGAGCTCCAAAGAAAAATGTTGGTGTGTTCGCAAGAGGTCTTTGGAGTGGTTTTACTTCCAGAGTAGGATCAGTCTCTCAAGCTGCCTCCCTAAGGCGTAAGTTTGAAGCCCTTTTATATTTGCGATCTTTACGTTCATATCTTTAATACGTAATGTTGATCAAGTGTTAATCACACTGCTAGTGGTGAAAATAATACGTACATGCATTGTTATGAACTGTCGTTTTTTATGAACAGAACGTTCTCTTCAATTCTTGCTATCTAATGTTCATGTCATCTTTCTTTTAATTTAATTAAGTTCAGATAAGATCTGTTCTAACCAAGGTCCAAGTCAGGAAGAATCATGTCCAATATTCCACTAATCATCATTAATCCTTTATACTTCCTCTAAATTTCTATATTAACCTTTAGTCTAATTCCAACATTGGATTTATAATTCTAGGTTCAGGCCTCTATATTTTTCCTTCTAAATAATTTAGGAGATTTTCACATTACATCCAGATGACTTACCATTATGTTTCTTTAACCTCGTCATTTGTTTGTAGCATAATGTAAAGATGTTGTGAAATTTTCTTATTGATCACCACATAATTAACTGACTTAATTTGACATATGCAAGAGGTTGCTAACTGAATAATTAATGACATTTTTATTTTTTGTTATATATATAGGAATGGCAATTGCCCGCATGCTCAGAGGTTGTGGACCCAAATCCCCTATGTTTGCCTTCCTTGGGTTTGCAGTTGCAATTTCAAGTAGGTTTTTCTTTTAGTTTTTAATAACCTGAAATTTACTCCTTAAGAGGAAGATTTCACAGCTTGACATATATGTACAGTTACTCACATATGTGTATGTTGTTTTAACAACAAAACCTTGGCAAAATAAGGGGGGGAGGTGAATTATAGAAAACCTATTAATTTTATCAAGGCAATGTGAGAGAATGAGGAAATGGTATCCCTTGGAGGACAAGGCTGAATAGTTTTGGGACATGACTCTTTTAATTGTTGCAACTCTGCTCACTAAAGGATTTCTCAATGACAGACTTGTAAATGGTAGCCTCAAGTTTTGCTGAGTATGTGAGCCAGATCTCTTTACATCACAGTTCACCCTTAGAAGGATGTTTATTCCAAACACTTTTAATTTTTTTATAATGATCCCTCCACAGTCATGTGTAAGTTACTTGGGTAAAGTAACAACCATTTTTGTTTCTGCAGGTATAAAATGGTAGAATTGCACCACGTTCGCCCCCTATCGAGTTCGCCCTTCGAGTTCGCCCCTACCTTATGCCGTGTTCGCCCCCACACTTTTCGAGTTCGACCCCATCAAGTCGAGTTCGCCCCTTGATTGAGTGATATCCAGATGAGTTGATTTGTGACAAAGGCACTAGCAGAATGTGCCAAATGTCATGTCCGCGACGACCATTTTGAATTTCGGCAATTGCATGGAACCTGCTTGGGAACTGGGTTGACAGAATCAACTAAATACTCCGCATGGGATCTGGGGTTACCAGAAATAACTGTATACACTGAACTTGTGATAAAGAGAACCACACGGTTTATCTAACGAACACGAAATGTGTTGATTGTAACAACCAGACTTGAGAAGATGCAAACCACGCTTTCATCGCGACAGCATTACTTAAGTTGTTAGACTTGTACCCGTTTAGCTTTATTTATGAAATTAAGACTGAAGAATTTACTCATCAACTTACGAATCAACTCATCTGGATATCACTCAATCAAGGGGTGAACTCGACTTGATGGGGTCGAACTCGAAAAGTGTGGGGGCGAACAAGGTATAAGGTAGGGGCGAACTTGAAGGGGTGAACTCAATAGGGGGCGAAAGTGGCGGATACCAAATGGTACATTTTATAGAAGTTCTTATGTGCTAGTCTTTTTTGAACTTTGTATCAACATTACCCTTGTATATTGTATTTTCAATAGGTGAAGATGGACAAAGAAAAGAACCATATAAAAAACTACATCAGACGGCCCAAAGAGCTCTTTTGACTAAAAATATGTTTGCAGAGGTACAATAAATTATCTTTCAGTTAAGTGATCTTGTTCATGTAGACTGTATAGTCATAATAGCTAAGTAGTGTAATCATATTAATTAGCATCTGTGGTGAAAGGACTAATTACTGCTGACTGTTAGGATTTAATGTAACTGTGCTGTTTGGAGTCAGATGAACAACAAAACCATAGGATTGACTGTGAATCAAAGCACACTTCTCACAACAAGATGGCTGGTTCACTACATACATACATACATACATAACTTTATTTGATAACGCAGGTTAAAATTTGCGCAACTTTACAGCTGATGTGGACCTGCCTAAACTAATTAGTCTATAATTATATAAAATACAGATATGATAAAATTTATAAGTTGAATAAATCAAGTAAACCATAAAGTTTTAGTAATAGTGAAAATTTGGTTTCATGTTTTGTATAACATTACCTCCCTTTTCAAAATTAATATTCATAACAGTTTGCTTGGATTGTTTTAAGTTATATTTAAAAATAGATAAATTTGGAGAATCTTTAACATTATCGGGAAGTGCATTCCATGCTACTGCAGATCTATGAGCAAAGGACCTACGACCCAATTCGGTTTTGGGCCTATTAAGTACAACATTCAGGGATTTCCTTAGGTTATAACTGTTAGAGTTCTTGGTCACCAAACAATTAATTTCCGCAACCCTAAATTATAATAAGCATTATATGTAATAGTTAAGATACGTAGCTTATAAAAATACTCTAAAGGCATCCAGCCAACCTTAGAAAGTACATCATTATCCCCAAAACTATTTGGTATCTTATGAATTAGCCTGGCAGCCCTGATGTGAATCATTTCTAGATCTTTAAGCTTGGATCCAGACCCCCAAATTGCAATTCCATATAGAACACTTGGTATAACTATCCTATAGTAAAAAGTCTCCAAGATAGATGTACATAGGAAATTTATACGTCTCAACATTTTAACTTTGGCATTAAATGCAGATCTAGCCAATGCAACATGCTGAGACCAAGAGAGTTTATCATCAATTGTAACCCCAAGGCAATTGGTGGAGGACACATACCGAATGGTGTCCATACCCCACTTCAGCTGTTTCAAAGGACCTATGAAGGGTAACCAGTCAACTCGCCGACGGACCAACTCGCCGACGCCAACTCGCCGACGTATAAAATCGAGTAGAGACGTCGGCGAGTTGGTCGTCAATCCAATACAACTTATTAGAAGTTAAACATACAGAGAAGTAAACGATATTTAGTAAAAAAACACTGGCGAACATTGGTGAACATCAAACAGAAGCTTAAACATCGGTGAACATTGGTGAACGTCACCAATGACTATAACGAACGAGTTATTGTGCGACAACAACACCGTAAAGACTCATCTTGTCAATCGCTCAGATTTTTTAACGAAAACGTGGCTTTCTAGACGAGATCTTTAGTAAAATGCAATTATTTCTATTTGCAACAAAGTTTATAAGGATCTTAAGGCGAATAAAGCGAAGTAAACCTCACCAACGACTCTAACAGCTTCAGACGCGAACGAGTTATTGTGTGACAACAACACCGTTAAGACTCAGCATGTCAATCGCTCAGTTTTTTTAACGACAACTTGGCTTTCTAGACAAGATCTTTAGTAAAAAGCATTTCTTTTTATTAGGCAATTACAGAGTAAGGTGTTTGGATTATGGGAGAAATATGAAAATGGTGAAAGAACAGCGGCCCAATTATTGAAATCGATGTCGAGATTAAACGGACCTACAAGAGCAGAGTAATTGCATGATATACATTACTTTCACATGTTCATCTGATCTTTATAATAGATGGAATTTTATCGTTTTTATCGTAAATCAAACGTTCTCGATCATGAATAAATCTTTCTTTAAAGTTAAAAAAAAAACATGTGGTTCCGCGTGGTTGCTATGGTTGTCACACAATAACTCGTTCGCGTCTGAAGCTGTTAGAGTCATTGGTGAGGTTTACTTCGCTTTATTCGCCTTAAGATCCTTATAAACTTTGTTGCAAATAAAAAGAATTGCTTTTTACTGAAGATCTTGTCTAGAAAGCCTAGTTTTCGTGAAAAAAACTGAGCGATTGACATGATGAGTTTTTACGGTGTTGTTGTCACACAACTCGTTCGCGTCTGAAGCTGTTAGAGTCATTGGTGAGGTTTACTTCGCTTTATTCGCCTTAAGATCCTTATAAACTTTGTTGCAAATAAAAAGAAATACTTTTTATCAAAGATCTTGTCTAGAAAGCCAAGTTTTCGTTAAAAAATCTGACCGATTGTCATGATGAGTCTTTACAGTGTTGTTGTCATACAATAACTCGTTCGCGTCTTAAGCTGTTAGAGTCATTGGTGATGTTTACTTTACTTTATTCGCCTTGAGATCCTTATAAACTTCGTTGCAAATAAAAAGAATTGCTTTTTACTAAAGATCTTGACTAGAAAGCCAAGTTTCCTTTAAAATCTGACCGATTGTCATGATGAGTCTTTACGGTGTTGTTGTCACACAATAACTCGTTCGCGTCTTAAGCTGTTAGAGTCGTTGGTGAGGTTTACTTCGCTTTATTCGCCTTAAGATCCTTATAAACTTTGTTGCAAATAAAAAGAAATGCTTTTTACTAAAGATCTCGTCTAGAAAGCCACGTTTTCGTTAAAAAATCTGAGCGATTGACATGATGAGTCTTTACGGTGTTGTTGTCGCACAATAACTCGTTCGCGTCTTAAGCTGTTATAGTCATTGGTGATGTTCACCAATGTTCACCGATGTTTAAGCTTCTGTTTGATGTTCACCAATGTCCAATGTTTTTTTACTAAATATCATTTAATTTTCTGTATGTTTAGCTTCTAATAAGTTGTATTGGATTGACGACCAACTCGCCGACGTCTCTACTCGATTTTATACGTCGGCGAGTTGGTGTCGGCGAGTTGGTCCGTCGGCGAGTTGACCGTAAACCCTATGAAGGGGGTAGTACTTAAGACCATTGCCTCGGATTTACCTTCATGTAGAATCAATCTGTTACTAAGACACCAGGAATTAACCTGGTCCAAAACAGCCTGTAACCCTGTTGTTATTTCATCAACAGTATTCCCTACTACATATATTGTTGTGTCATCAGCATACATATAGACTTCTCCACTGGTAATAGATTCAGGGAGGTCATTAACATAAGATGCAAACAATCTTGGTCCTAGTAAGGATCCCTGAGGGACCCCAGCTCTAATGGGGATTCTATCAGATCTAGACCCACTTACACTAGTCCCTTGTACACGGTTGGAGAGATAGTCATTGATCCATTTCCACATATCACCTGCCAAGCCAACAGCCTTGAGTTTCTCAGTAAGAATACTGTGGTTGACACAATCAAAAGCTTTGCGGAAATCAATGAATAAGACTCCAACCTCTCATGTCCCATAGTTCTTTTCGCTTGTATAGGTCTTAATGTCTTACTCAGAACATTACAATAACCTTAACAGAAATCATTTCTAAGTACACAAGGGTTTAATGATATCAAAGTATACCTGGTACCATGACCCTTTTTTTTCCTCTCGCAGCTTCAAAAAGATTTTGAGGAACCTTCCCTTGCTCAGCTCAAACTAAAGGACTTCAAAGTTGGTGAACGACTTGGCCAAAGTTCCTCAAACTCTGCAGTTTATTCAGCTGAATACATGGGCTATGAGGTTGGGGTCTTATAAAATTTGTTGTGTTAGTATGACAATCAATTTAGAAGCACAAGGGACTAGGTGTATGTTTTCAACCTCCCCTTTCCCAACCCCCCTAGATTGAAGGTTTACTCACAGGTTTACAAGAAGGTTGCTATTAACCAAACAAAACTTATACTTTTCTAATACTTAGAAATTTTAAGCAAGTAGTCCCCCATTATGCATGGTAGGCAACATTCATTACCAGGAACTGCATGTTATACTGTAGGAATCCACTGGTGACATCATTTTCCATAGTTTCTTAACTCTGATGCATTAAAACACTCCTGGTATTTTGAAAAGGTAATTTATTGTACAATAATATTATTATTACTCTGATAAATAAATGTTTTGTCTTAATCAAACAGTATGCCATCAAGATGTTATTTAACTATGGAACAAGTTCTCAGAGCAGCTCTTTAAAAAGAGTGAGTTTTTATCTTTTTCTTTTATAAGCATATAACATATTAGGTGCAGGGATGAAGGTAAAACTTTGTACAGATGGAGATGTGCACTTAACAGGCTGTTACTTTGGGCAGAAGGCCCTGTTTGCCACATGGCAGATGCACCTCTTGTTGGGTCCAGGGGCATGCTCCCCTTGAAAAGTTTAAAATTTAGGCTCTCTTTTTTGTGCCAAAATTTCAGCCTATATGAAATGTAGGTTACTTGACAGGGTTGAGATATAAAGTAGAAATACTCTGAGGAGCTAAGCTTTTAACAAACACATGATCAGTCCTAGAAATGGAGTGTTTATGATCTTGATACTTCTATAAGAAAATAACTGAAGTTTAAACATACAAAACAATATCTTATTTCACTGAAAACTTATATGAAGAAGCAGAAACTATTTGAAGATTTATATTCTTTTCCAGCCATGAAAATCCTTTTGACAACTGGATATTTTCAGCTGCCCATGTCTATTTTTTGCATTCCTAAGGTGGTTCATAGTACTTACATATCTGTCAACTTCCATTCTTAAATTGATGAAGCATCATTAATATGAATATTTCCCTTTTTAACAGGAATTTTCAAAAGAGTATCAGGTTCTTAGTGCCAAGAATGAGTGCAATGCCTCCCAAGCAGGTACATGTTATTGTATAGCAAGTTTTTGGAGCAGACTTTGATAACATCAGAATAAAGTAATGCCAAAAGCCAATCAGAACAGACTTAATTAGAACCCATTGAGACAAAAGCCTGTTCTGGGCTCCCAGTTATTAAAAATGAGTGTAATAATAAATGGCACAACAGTAGTGGTGAAGCGCAAAAAGGAGAGATGTGTGGGTTGGGTTGCCTGTAACACCTACTGTGCTCTCTGTGACAGAAAGAAATCTTATTTTACAGGTTTACCCTACACCAGGCTTTCAGCACATCCAAACATCTCACCGATCCTGCATCACTTTACTGATGACACCCCTGTCCTACCAGATGCTTCCACAAGCTACCCAGCTGCATTACCTTGCAGTAGTGGTGGACTGGCTAGGAATCGCACCATGTTTTTGGTCATGCCAAGGTTTGAAACTACATGTATTCACAAAATATGTCCACATCAGACTCTAAATGTTTTGTCTGCTGTGATAAACATCCCCATCTTTTAAACCCAATGAAGTAAAGATTTTGATTGTGTATTATTTTTGACAGATATGACAGAACTGTCAGAGAATATTTGGCATCAAATTCAAAGCCAGATCTGCAGGTATCTTCACTGCTTCTCCTGCAGCTCCTTGAAGGCATCAGGCATCTCACAAGACATGGAGTGGCACACAGGGACCTTAAAACTGACAACTTGCTTCTGGGTGAAGACACCAATAGTTCATTCCCCCAGTTGGTGATAGCAGACTTTGGTTGCTGTCTAGCAGACAGATCAAGGGAGCTTGTACTCCCTTTCCACACAGCAGAGATTGATCGTGGAGGCAATTTCACTCTGATGGCCCCAGAGGTAAATGATCAATGACAGTGCAGTGATCAAGGTGTTTAATCAGATGTATTTGGAGCTGAACAAGTACACTGTACTGAGTGATATACATTGAATTAAACAACATAATTCCAGTATTTTTAGCAGCTGTAGTGACTTGTAATTTAGTTCATTACACTACCATACCTGTAAATTTTCTAAATATTACGTCACTCTAATTTTTTTCCCAGATTGCATTAGCTGTTCCTGGGAAGGATTCTGTCCTTGATTTCACTAAATCTGATGGTAAGCTTTAAGTGCTTTTCTTGTCAAAGGTTCTTTTCTCTATGAAATAAAACTGTGTGCAGTTTGCAAGATCCACTCTGTGACTGCTGTAATGCATTCGTGTTAATCTTTATTGCAAAAACTGTATTCACTTGTTGCTAAAAAGATTTGTGATGTGCAAGATATGTATTTTGTGTCCCTTCCTTGTTCTTCAGCATGGGCAGCAGGAGCCATTGCATATGAGTTTTTTGGCAATGTCAATCCATTTGGATGGGATGGGTTGGACAGCAGGAATTACAAAGATGATGACCTTCCTGTTCTTGTCCAGTAAGTGAGATACATCTTTTCTGCAGAAAAATAATTTTTTCTTACCGAAAACAGTCATGGGCTTAAGCGCTGACAATATTATTGTGTTGTGTTCTTGAACACTTTATTCTCAGAGTCTATCTTCTCTTCCAAGAGGTGAGGATAAGTACCAGCAGACTGTCTGGGAACACTGGCAGGCATCCATCTAGGGGGTTGAAAAACTATATGAATTGCTTCATGTTACAGAAACCTGGATAAGCCCCACCCAACTCACAAACCATTTTTAAAATTATAACCAGCCAGTCATGATTGCAAGAGATGGCCAAAAAGTTGCCAATAGTGCAATATTTTATCACTGTACATTAACACTTTTTTGCCCCAAACAGAGTCCAACCAGGTGTGAGAAAAGTAGTGTCACTGCTCCTTAAAAGGGACCCTGCAGAGAGGATAACAGCAGAAACAGCAATCACTATGTTAATCCTAGTGTTAAGGGCCCCAGCTGAGTGGCACCAGGGGGAAGATGTGCAGGTTGAAAACATCAATTGGTGAGTATTTTTAATCCTCCAGAATTAAGTGGAAAGTATATCATGTTTCAGGAATCAGTCAGTGCAGAATAGGGGTGGTTTGGAAAATAAATGAGCCAGGCCTTTTACAAAGATTTGTTTAGATCCACAACATGTTGTTTGCAAGTTCAGCAAAGTTGTTTTCGAGAAGGAAGTATTAGCAGTTTGACTGGTCTCAAAACACTTAATTAACAACTGCTGTCACTAGATAAGGAGAGTAAACTTTCTGGCCATGATTGTCTTAAAAAAACAAGCTCCTAGGGTGGTAGTATGGGACAAACTAAATCAACCAGTCCAAGATTAGGCACAGGCTTAAATCATAGTACTCTCTTATGCTCAAGGGATTTAACTATTTGAAGAAAGTGACACCACCTTGACAAGGAGTGTAAATGGTTTTGGCAACTAGTTAGAGAATCCATCATTCCTGGGTGTAATCTGTAGCAGAAGTCAATAGAAAGTGATAAAGAAAATAACCCAACACCATGTGAAGAGTTCACACACTTCTTTTCCATTCACTTAACTTTCCATAATACACATACTGCCAGGATTTCTTTCTATTTTTTTTCCAATTTTGTTATTGCTCATTTTAAGAGTTGTGCTGGGGAACAGGGAATCCTTGGATATGTGGAGACTAATTTTGTTTTTTAAGTATTTACCTTTTGAAAATGTATTTCTGATGTGCCCTTGGTACTTTCAGTTACCACCAATCTTTTAGCAAAAACCTGTGGTTGATTTGTGAGGTGGCAGTAAGTTATGTTTTCTTACAGATGAAAGCATCTCTTCTCTTTTTTTCTCTTTCTTCAGGTGGCTTTTCTGCATTTCATTGGAAATGCTTGGGTCTGAATTCCAAAGAGCGTGGACTCTTGAAGATAAGGTCAGTTGTTGGGCACAACTTGCTAGAAACCCATGGGAGTTTGTCGACTCAAAAAGTGTAAACAATGACAAACCACAATAATAGTATCTATCTGACCTTTTCAGGAAGGAGTAAGTCAAGTTGTAGAATACACTTGCAAATAGTGCCCTGTAGAATTTCCTCTAGTTGTGTACTAGATTCACTTGAGGGCTGAGTCCTTTCATAAATGTCTCATAGTTTATCCAATAGTCCAGTCACTGTTGTATGTCTGTTGTTTTTTATTACGTTCCTGCTTGTGTGTTTTTTTGTTGTTCGTTTGTCAGTCCACAACCAAATTTACTTAATCGCAAATAGACAGAAGCAGTCAGGATTCAATTCAAAAGTAGCCACATGTTCATAAAAGGAACCATTTTGCTACTTATATATTTTTTCTATAAAAATCTTGTCTTATGTCTCATTTTTGTTATTTGATCACATTTTTGTTTATATGCAGCAACTGAAGAGTGACCAGTACATACTGATCATTTGTGTTTACTTCAACAGATCATGTATCGCTTCCTGTGCCGTGTTACACCAAACCAAATCAAAGATGCATTGGAACTGCTGACAAATGATGTTTAGTGGACTGGACTTGTAGTTGCTAGACTCGTTCTGGGTTGGGGTGGAAGTTATCAATAGACTTACATAAAGGCATCACTGGAATCAAAAAAGAACAGTACAAAAATGTTGGAGACATGAAACAGATTTATTGCCACGCCAACGTACATTTCTCTTTTGCAGTTGAAACAGATTTTTTGTGACTTGTGTTTTGACAACACGTAGTGGATTTATTTCACTTACAAGTTGTCTCCCAAGATTTCCGTTAGTGTGGAAGAAAGACTAAATTAGTTACATTTGTTTAATTGTCAATTTCAAAGTTGTAGTTGCGAAAGAGAACATTATCTCTGATCGCTGACCAATAAGATCTGGCTTGTTGTATTTATCTACGAGGCCCTCTTCGCGTTTAAGTTACGCTCTTTTTGTTTCATTGAGTGTAGAAATTCAAATGCATCTTGCTGTGTTTCACTTTAATCCAACTAAGGGCTATATTCGTTGCGGTGGTTAATTTCCCTTAATCAACTTTTACTACTGAAATTCAACCAAGTGTTAAGAAACTAATGATACATACAAATAACCTGTCAAAAAGTAGACTATTGAATGTAAAGAAACTTTTGATTGGTATGTTTTTTACTTCTGGCAATTTAATCGGTTCCAGTACACTTTATATTAGTGTTTGTTTGTACCTTGGTACATTCGATTCTGAGGGTTTTACCCAACGGTTGTACATTTTGAGTTCGCTTTTTAGTTTTTTTACACTATGAGGGCAGCGAGTGATTTATTAATGGTACCCTCAAAAAACTAATTGTTTCGTTGATTCGAATTTGTGGTCAATCTTTAGTTAGATCGCTTTTTATTGTTGAATTCAATTCCTTGACTTCTATTTCTTTTGTTTTTGTCTCTTTAATTAATTGATGATTTTAAAAATCCCGTGTAACTCCTAGCAATGAAAGGTAAAACTTTTCTTTACCTGCTCAAGTTCCTCTATGTTTTTAGCACTCTGATTCCACAAGAGAGAGGTCTGGATTCGAGCGGGGCCCGGTGCACAAAGCATCGGTCACCTTGTCGCCACACAGGAGAGTGAAGTGTTTGCCACATAGATAACATTGAAAGAAAACTGAATGTTAAAGCATCCCAGACCAGGTGGATTTTTTTAACCACCATCGCCGCCTCGAGACATGTTGATATACCGGCTCTGAAAGCCACGGGAGCCATTCCTGTTTTGCTATTTTCTTATCGATTTTATCACGTCATTGTAAAATCGTGAGTTTCTCCTTTTTTCCTCTCTCTCTTTTTTTTAACTTGTCAGAATGGTTATTCAGTGCATCTCTCTTTGGTAGTCGCCCGAGGCATTTTGCAGTATATGAAAGGCACATTTAGCCCCTCTAGATCAACACGACTTTTATTTTGTCTGTTATCATAATCTGAGGTTAGGAATACAGTCTTGGAAAACAGGGAAACGTTTCAATTTTTTTATCCACCTCCTTTGATTAAAATGCGATCTCCAAACACCTGATCCTCTTTCCTGAAGACCAGGCATCGCTAAACAACAAAGAAACTGAAATTAAACAAGCCTTTGAATAACTGCAAACAAACAGACTCCGCCTCTAATTGTTTCTGGATAGCGAGTGAGGAAAACCGCAATGGGGTTCTAATGACGGCTGTCAGGTAATGAAAATACTTCATTGAATATGTCACCGCTAAATACAGCGGTATTTATCAAACTACCGACCCGATATATTGGAAGGAGAGAAAACGTGAGTTATTTAATATGATATGTAAATTATCCATATCACTAAGGATTAATAGGGATGGATATTTCGCAATCAATTTTGAACCTTTTGTTTCGGGCGTAAGACATAAAAGGTTGACGCATTTACGTTCTAAGTAGATCGAAAAACTTGGATTCTCAGATGAAATTAGTTTTCAGAGCGGTTCGGTAATGATGACTGGAAATCTGTTTTTGTCTTAGATTAGGATCCAGTTTTTTTTTTCATATTTTCACGCCTTGGAATAAGCATTTAGAAATGTTTTATTAGCGTGTATCGCGGCCTAAAACGCACTGTAGAAATCGAGATAAAGAAACTGAAGTAAATTTTGTCAGCGTTTGATTAACAGACACTGCCAGAAATTTCTAATATAAATTACTCCCAGTGGCTGAGCGAAACTGAGTCTTCTAAACCCAGGTGGTAATAACTGCCACGTGCACACATCACGATATTGTGTCTAAATCAATATTTCTAAGAACAAAACTTTCAGCTTCCTTCTTAAAATCAAGCAACACTATTTACTGGTTGCGATAAATATAGAAACGTTTTAGCGAGCAGTCGTCAATCGAAGCGATGTAATGCTGTCAAAGTGTTTCGCATTCTTACTTCGTAAAACCACAGTGATAAAAACAGTTAGCGCCAGATAAAATGGTCGGCAATTAAATATTTGGAATTAGGTTTTCTAGTGGTCGGACATAGGAAAAATTATTGTCTCATTTTTCAGATTGTGTTTTACTCTGCAAAATGCTGCGGTGAGTCCAGTCCACTTTCCTCTAGACGCGGTTCTCGAGCTAGTGTTTCAGTCATAAAATATAAAACTCATTAATGGTTTGACTTACGGACACAAGCACCGTAAATACTTTGTTAAAAATAATCTTGTTCAACAAAGAGACACCGCAATATGTGCTAAGGTCAAAGTCAAACTCAGGACATTTTTGTAATTTACCTTTAAAAATAGAAATCTCTCTATTGAAAAGAAAAACACGTCTTTGAAAAGTTGTGTTTTTTTTTTGTTTTCTTTCCCCGTTTAGTCCATTATTTATTTTATTCAAAAAATCTAAATATTTTTTTTGTTGTTTATAACTCTCTACCGAGCCAAACATTTGTTCGGGCATAAATCAATCGAAAATCAACTGAACTCAACTCACTTCTAATTTGAATAACCGAAGGCGTTTCAAAATTTAATTGACGCGGTTTTCTCTTTTCACAACTTTTGAATCGGCTGCGGGCAGAGCATCTCGTATGATAATTCACCGGATAATCAAACCACTTGAAAATTGCATATCTCGGTGTAAAAGAAACACCTGTATTGAGGTCGAGAAAAATATTTTGATCGCAAGGTTAGAAATGCGTTTTTAAGACTTTTTTCATTGTTTATCTTGTCGTCAAGTGTTTCTCAGTCAAACTTCATTCTTGCATCATTAGCATCGGATTTATACCTATTACTAAAAAAACTAGGTTAGCAACAAAACTCCGTGCTATGCTGAATAATAAATAAAGTGGAAAGAGAGAAAACTGTAAAGTAAGAAGGTCCAGATAAAATTCTGTTGAAATGATACGTTCAAGGTGATCCAAGAATATTAATGAAATATAACTGGAAACCCAAACACTAGAAAACGAAAACAGTTTTCTAGACTAAATCCGTAGAAGAAAAAAAAAGCAATTAGATGTCTACAAAAAAATTATTTTCTTTTTTACACCCACCCATCACGTCGCCAGCGAGACGCTTGTCTCATTTGCCATAATTAGAGTTTCAAAAAAACTAGACGTTGCTCTTCTAATTAAAAATAAATTAGTCCTAAAGAGAGCGACACGGGGGGGTTTTTAAAGACCGTCGTGTTAGCCATTTTGCGTGCCCAGATCGAACTGAATCAAAGTGTAAGAATTCTTTTATTAGTACCGATAACGATTAAATCCTTATACCAGGAACAGAAAATTTTGTTTAATATCTGAACTTGTCGCTTTATCCGTTTCTTATCATTTTTCAGGTTTTAATTAATGTTACCTAAGATATACTTTGTTAGAATCCGATGATATTAGACTGGGAGGAAATTGCAAATTACCGTGAGTTTAAATATGCTTTTTTTCTCTCTCGTTGTTTTTTCCTCCTCTATTACTCCAGCAAACAATGTAAGTTTTCTCTTTAGCTCTGTGTTTAATCAAGGCAAGCATAACTTGTGTCTGCTGTTTAGGTCTAACGTTATCCGTATGACGCATGTTTTAACGACTTGATTTGTCAAAGAACTGGGAACTCCTCACGTAGAATTGTGTTTAACCGGCGTTAAAATACTAAAACTCACTGAAACAATATCTTATTGATACTTATGCTATGACTTATTTCATAAGGGAATGCACGACTCACCCAGAAAGCGAGCTCACACGATAGACCGATATAATTTAAATCAAATGCAGCCGTTGGTAAACATGGATTTTTTTCCAATTTTATATCGGCAGCGACACCTGCATTCTGTTCGCGCGACAAAAACACTCCCGAAGCTTTCAAAATCATTTTTGAAAGTTGTTGTTTAATCTGAGCCTGTGTTTTCCTTCTTAGGCGCTATTCGTTGCTTTTCTCGCCAAAGACAGGCTGCCCAGATAATGAGGCAGTGTATTTTGTCTTCATTGTCAACCAAAGGTGAAGCGAGCAATTATGCAAATGCATGTTACTGATGAGGCAAACACAATAATAAATAACTTATCCCGTTCGCGTAATTTGTCGTTCATTTTTATCACAAAACTTTGTTTAGAAAACAACGCAGCTTAGGAAAGCTTTTGAAATAATGAGAAAGCTCATTGAAAAGTCCGTCATTAAGGTTTTTAAACAAAGTCAGTTCAAGCCATTAAAACTCACTTTACAAAGTACGCTTAAGATACTTGTCAATATGATAAAACGCAAATTTGTAAATTTATCCTCGAATTTACCCAAACGAAATCATTCGCATAGTTCACACACTGAACCTCATTAGAAATAAAAGACCTTTGATAGGAATGGAAAGTAAATTATCGCACTGCAAAACCTCGCTGAATCTAATCTGAATTTGTATAGAAGGAAATAATGTGTCAGTTTAAACTGAATAAATTTTTCTATCTGCAGTTTATGACGTTTCTCTCGACTTCTCTCCCGATCCAAAATTTCAACCCTTGATTTGTTTGAGCAGAGAATCAAAAGATCTTCAGTCTATTTAGCTCAAAGAGCTCTATCGACAAAACTGTACTTAACTGAAAACAAAAGGGAATCATTTGAATCGACTATTTGAGAACTGTTGCCATCTTAAAGTATTGTCATGCCTTGCTGACATTTTGAACTGGCTAAAATGAGGTATTTGTTGAAAGGGAAAATGTTAAATACCGAGTATTTCTCAAGGTAGAATTCCGTTTAAAACAAAAACGACGAACTGCTGCGGTTTTTTGGGCGAGAGTTAAACTTTTGAAAGGAGAGCGGTGAAAATCAGCTGGTGGGCAAGGGGACCACAAAAGATTGGTGCCATAAGCGGCGTATATAGTTAGCGAAAGGAAAGACTTATTATGCTGCAGCTGAAATTACAAATAAATAACGTTTTGTAAGTACTTTTATTTGAATTTTCCCGGCTTTTTACATCATTTCAGTCTTGTTTGCGAGATTAATGATAACAAAGTAACTTACTAAACTTTTGTGTAAGTTTGTGCTTATCCATGAGGACTTCTGAACGGACTAAAAACTGTACCTCCGTTAAGTAAATGTTGTTGTAATTATTGTCTTTTCAGGAGAACACGGTCGCATCACTATAAAGTGTTTAATTTCCTTTATTGTGAAAATTTGATCTAATGGATTATGTCGGTGAAGTATAAAAAGTTACGTGGTTATTCCATTTTAAAGTAATGAATAGTGTCGGTTTGTTGTTTTTTGAGACAAGAGATAAACTTCGTTTGAGTTCAAGATCTCAGAAAAATTTGTCCGTTTTTCCATTTCTATTAACAATGCACGCTATTTGTTACTGACGTATTTCTGACCATTCTCTTTATATCCATAGCATAAATTTAGCTTTGATAAATTATTGATTCAGCGCAAAAGCAAACTATACAGTTATTAGAAACAGGAAGAATACTTCACTACTTTGACCCTGAAAATTCATAAGAACTAAAATGTTACTGACTGAGTTTCATCCCTGTCGAGGTTTTGGTGATTTCTAATCTTTTCTTACAGAATAATTCTCACTTTTCCTTCTTGTATGTGGTACCAGGGCGTTAATATTGTTTTAGTTTATGGATAATACAGTTATTGAAATTGCTAGTTGAAAATGTACTTGCTTAAGGTGTGTTAGCACCTTAGGGTTTGTAAGTTCCAGGCGGGGCGAAGCGAAAAAGCCTTGGAAGTATTCACGGCTTCATTAATGAGCTTCCATTGACAGTCTTTCAAAAGAAAATTTACTAATAGCGCAAATAGGCATAAAGTACATCTTAAATAAAGTGCGTTCTTATTTTATATTGGGTAAAGCTTAATACTCTACCAAGGCGAAAACCTTTCGTGATGAAATGTCTTGCAATTTTTTTGTAATATAAAAATCTAATATACTACAAATGATCGTAAATTCATCGAGAATTCTATGATTGTTTTTCGGTAATTTTACAATTCTCTTTTCAGCCAAAAGAGTTCTTATATCCACTGACTTAGCTGAAAGGAAATACTCATATCAAAATGTTACTATTTGCGCCCAAGTTCTCGCACTTTTCTATAGTGCTTCACCTTGACATTTCAAGTTAATCTTTGGCTATTTCAACTGTTTGTCAAAAACAATATTCTTCGTTGACTTTACATCGGTGGACCGTTCTCGTTCTATTTTTTCTCTTGTTCGGCAAGGTAGCGTAAGCCGTGAACTAATGGTACGATGGAACGAATTCAAACGCAGACATTGAAGAGGCGTGTGACTTCGCCTTCATTCTCAACGCTTCCAGCGCCATCTTAGGTTGTTCGGCATGGCTTGAGAAAGCGGCGCCTTGGCAAGGCCAAAGCGTACCGTTGTGCATTGGTAGCTGCGATGAAGACATGTAACTAGAGTTTGTAGCGTTGAGAGAAGTCAAAATGCCTGGATATGTGTGGTGATGGGCGCTCACAGGAACTGCACCCGGTAAACCAAGGAAGTAGTTCGGTGGTCCACAGGGAATACTTGGTCTGGGAGCAATTGGCAGGTGCGGTCCAAGTTTTTCGCTTTGATAGCGCACTTTTTTCGTAAAACTCTGCGACGGGTTTTGTCTCTTTCGCCATTTGGCTCGTCTGTTTTGAAACCAAACCTAAAAAGTGAGAAAAAACAAGCTGAATCTCAACGAAATTTCTCCGTGTTCCTTCAAATAAGAGGGAACTCCAACTTGTATATGTGAGTCAACAAAAGACAAACAATTTAATGGTTTCCACAAAGAAGCATTTAAAACGTGTTCGGATGACAAAACTCGTCTCTTTTATCTCTAAATCAAAAAGCAGAAGTACTGTAATATAGTCAGTTGAAGGATAGAAATGATGTTTAGAACTTGGTCTGAGAAATGCCGGGGTAAGTGAATACACTTATACAACATTGAAGACAAACATTCTCGATGACCGATCGAAGTCCGCGGTGTTTAATTGTACATCTCAATATCGAAAGAGCTATGTATATATCGTATTAGTGGAAAAGTTACAAAATAACGGCAACAGGAAGTCTCGACAACAGCATGAAAAGACGGTTCAGATTGAGATATTGTAAAAGACTTAATGTTTTTGGTCACCAGTAATTTGCCACTCAGTTTTTTTTCGTGAGTGTCATGAAATTTGTTTAAATTTTTCGTAAAAGGACTCATAGAAGAGGAAACAGCACATCGATCGATCCATTTACTTTGCAGCAAAAATTTTTTAAAGGATGCACAAATCAAGCGCTGGCTATTAAAAGGCAGAATACTCAAAGTAATCTTATCTTCATCAAAAATACACGGACATAAATTTTACCTTACATTAGACAATCGATGGTATATAATTTTCCACTCATTTTAGTGTGCTATTTAGTGGAAAATCTTTCCAACAGAAAAACAGCTTTTCGAAACTCAAGAGAGAGAGAGAACTCGAATTTCCGCTTGACTCAAAACATCGAAGTCTGCAACTTTGGCAGAGTATTTTGCAGCAGTGTGCTAAAATCACTGGTGAAATATCGTGTGAAGCCTTTATTCTTGGTAATGTGTTATTGGCAATATATTCATACTTTTAAGGTGGAAAAAAGAAATTCAATTATGCACAAATTCACTAAGCTTGAAGCTATATCGTCGATCACACAATTTTCGCTAGTAATATAATCTTGCCCGGCGTCCTAATACAATTATGGGCCTACTATTACACAAGGCTATCGTTAACGACCACACCCGTTTACGTTTTATCTCATACATTATTTTTTCTTTTGGCGAAATTAAGATATATTTTCTGTGAGATTACTTTCTTCACACGCAACATGAAATCACTTTCGATGAGCTCTGTGTATTCAAAGATGAGGCTCAAGCATAGAGATGGGTGTTTTTAATTATTGTTAAAACGATTTACCTGGATTCGCGCCTCGCTGATGTTAATCTTGGCAGCAAGCTCTTCTCTGAGGGCGATATCTGGGTAATGCTTTTTATCAAATACTTTTTCTAGTTCTTGCAATTGTTGCTTTGTGAATGTGGTTCGATTTCTACGTTGCTTTCTCCTCACTGTAACAGAGCTTTCACCATCAGCATGTCCTTGGGGATCTGATGGTGCTTGGAGGTCTGCCGATGGAGTCTGATAACTTCTGTAAACCAAGGAGGGGACTATAAAAGGAAATGTTTAGAAGATAGTTAAAGTCATATTCGACACTGTCTTTTTTGACAGGCCTGGGTTATAGGTTTTGGACGTTCCCTGGCTAAAATTAATGTTGTTTTCAAATAAAGACAGATATACTGTGCTTACACTTAGAGGAGGAAGTTGCCAAGCTCTCGATTCCTAAGACATCACTGACTACATACTGGCTATGGGGTTTGCCCAGACCAAGAGATTGCTCCATGGCTTAGTTACAATGAGTGACCGCTATATTCAGTGGTACGTGTGCGAAGACTGAAGTCCGTGCAATTCTGATCCTTACAACTCGCTCTCTTTGAAACTTATTAGCTACACGAGCTGATTAGGGCCTTGGCGCTAATTGTTTTTGGCTGTGGAGCAGCTGCAATGATGCATGAATTCAACATCATAGCCGCAGCGTTCGTAGAGAAAATTGAAAATTAATATAAGCCCTGTTTGAATGCATACAATGGTAAATTTTATTACTAATGCCAAAGCAAGACCTTAAGACACCTGCCATACGCGTGTCTAAGAAATACCCTTCGAGGTTTTATTTGTATACGCCTAACATAAAGGCCATCACTATCAATACTAATGTTCTGTGAATAATAAGACAATTTTAGTAATGATAAAACGACCGGTTATAAGATATCTTAACAGTGTTTGGAGCACTTCCTGTAAAACAGGCCGCCGTTTAGCGTTGAACAAGCATTTGTAACATTTTTGCGAGCAAGCGCGGAAACCGACAACGCTGTAAGGAATGCGAGTTGTTCTAAGCGAGGATTTTTGGATGTCTTCCTCAGAAAATGAGTGGGATTCCACATTTTTAATTAATCAGTATAAATATTCTTCGGAATCGTGCGCTCAATTTGATTTGGTTTTCTTAGTTATGACTCAAGCTAAATTGGGATGGCTCGGTAAACATTATCAATAAAACCGGACTGTCATGGTTCAGAACAATTTTAGCTTCCCGCTAATGGACATTGTAATTTGCAAAATTAAAAGAGCATCATTTCATTTAATGGTCTTACTTTGTCCTCGAAATCATTAAAACCGTTAATAGATGTGAGCTGCAAAAAATGAAATTGCATGGCAGTTCATTTTCAAATATCGCTGGTCATAATGTTAAAATTTAAATAAAGATGTCAATAGAGATATTTATGTTGTGGCGCCAAAGAATTTAAGTTTGTTAAAAGATAAAAACATTGAGGTAAAAATGCCATTAAAAATTGCTAATATCATTGTAAAGAAAAAACCGACCCATTTTCGACATGAGACATGAAAATGATGTATTAAAAATTGTATGTAGAGTCGCATTTTACAACATCTCAGGTGTCCTTATGGAAAACCTCCCTCAACAGATCCGCCAATCAGAAGAAAAGCTAAACGTGACTCGATAACAAGCGCTGTTTAAAAGACTTTTTCTTTTGCGAAGAAAGTCAGTTTACGATAATAAGCAGATGGTATTTTAGGTCTTTTTGCATTGAAATTCAAGACAGTACGCCTTTCAGAGCGTAGTTTTTTCGTTTTTAATCCTCAGGCGCTGCTTCTGGGAAGGTTGTCGTCAATTCTTTTTCATATCTGTTACTTCTCATTTCGATCGTTTTTATTTACTTTCGAGTTTTGCTCATGCAAGGAATTGCTCTAACATGATAAAGGATTAACATTAGTATTATAAAAAATTGATTAAGACTGGTTTAAAATTGCAAGTTGGAAATTAAAATGTTTACCCCCCTATAAATATCAATTTGTCAGTTAAGATATTTTTATATTTAACTCAAGTCGGATCACACCAGACGGGAATCGAGAGTGTTTCGTTTTAAAAAGGCCTTAAAATCGCAAGGAATAAGATATATTCTTTCAGGTTATGCTAGATTTTGTTTGAATCAGATGCACATAATCATTCGTAGAGAGCACTTATCACCCAGCTGAAGAAAGATCATCCTAAAATTATTCTGAAACAATACTAAACCAATTGGAAGCCAATCAATGGAAACTTTGATGAATAATTTACAAGTTCGAATAGCTTCTGTTGTTAATGACAGTGAATATTCAAGCTAAGCCGGCCAATAGACCATTGGGGTTTCTTATAAGTTAACAACCTGCGCTATGATTGGTAAAAGTTGTTAACGACGTCTACTTTCTGTGAGTGCAATGGTGTTAAAATTGAACCATCTCGGTTCGAATGTTTTTGTTCGCATTAATGTCTTTTCGACATGATATTTTAGGCTTATTAATAGTCGCAAATTATTTGATTTATTGCTGCTTGTACGCCTCCACCACTAAACTAAAGAATTTTAGTCTTAAGAAGCCTAATATCAAAAAACTTTTTTCACGAAACGGTATGTTTTTTTTCAACCTCGCATTAAAAGCAAAGATCGCAATTACTAATTTTATTCCAGTTTTCTCGCTACAAGTGTTCTTTTGAAGATTTAAGCTCCATTCCCTGGTATTAAAAAGTGTTTTTTTAAAGAGTTTTTCCAATTTTAAATTATATTGCGTCACTGTTTAAGCCGGGATATGAGTTACGAAACATTCATCGACTGTGATATTGTTTATGCAAAAAAAGTAAATCGACTTTTAACATGTTTAAATTCATATCTACCCCTGCCACTTGTTCTTTAACCACCTCAATATTCGTTTTTTAAATGGCGTTTAAAACAAAAATGGTCGTAGCGGAATTACATTGTTTTATCTGAAACAAAGAGGTTTAATAGAGCCGCATATTGACATTACATTACTGAATAAATGTGTTCGATTCTTGGTAAATTATGAAATGCTGGTACAAAAGAACCCTATAGTTTATCGCTTTTGTCAAGGAGCTGTGATCATTTTGTAAACAGGGGCAAAATGTTTGACTTTACACCTAAATAAAGGAGAAATCTTGACGTGTATTTAAACGTTATAAACACAGATTTCACAGAGTTTTCCTAATTATCCAAGCTTTTGTGTGCTCGATGTTTTTGGTTTTTTGTTAGCGATAAACATAGCATTTTTATTAAAGTCACTGTAAGATCTCTTGAACAAAAGCTTTTGTCATTTTGTTCGGTAGAGGATCCAGCAGAGGTAAAAATAAAACAGAATTCTTTTAGCAAGATATTCAATCGAGTAGATTTTGTTTACATATACAACTAGTTCTTGAGGAGAAAACTTGCGAAGTGAGATGTCTCCGTGAAATGCTGACATCTGAAGTGCTATCTTATTTCTGCGTTTCTTTGTTTAATAACTGAGCCGATCAGGAAAATTTTTCCTCCTATTTTAAGTGACTATGAATTGCGCAATAATTTATAATCAGCTCGAAATTGATTTGTTAAGAATGACCATGTCGCCTTAAGCTACGACTTGCTATTTTAAAGCACTTCACAAACTTGTTGATCAGCCACGCGCGTTCGAATGGAAAGTTCAGGTGCCTAGCCAAGTATGACTTAAAGATAAGATCTGCGATTGCGAGATTAGCGATTTGTTCATGAATCGACACCACCTTTTGTAAACGATTGACTTGTGTTGTTATAATGTTACGTTTTTGGATGTGTAGATTGCTTCACAGAGAAGCGCAACTTACAGTAAGCAAGGTACACCCAATCAATTTAAACGCTGTTTGTAGTAAAATATATATTTTCTTTTACCATGCTTGAATCCATTGAAATTCTTACAAATTGAAATTTAATCGTTATAACTCTTTTGAATTAGACATTACCTCATGATTTTCTAGGTTAAAAGGGAAAATACTCGGTAAATAATCTTCCAGAATTCTGCATGTGAAAGGCTGATATACTTCACGCCTCTGGAATCGCTGTCTAGGCGAATCAAAAACGAGAATGAGCCGTCAAAATCGGAAAAAAAACGGTTCTGTGGAAATCTCTATAACGATGAACACTAAATGCAGTTAATTGGAGTTTGAATAATGGACTTTATATATGATTATAGTATTCCTATTGAATACTATTCAGATAAACCGCTTTGGCTAAGTTAATTATGTTGGACTGGTAGACAGTTCTATTATGATGTTTTAACAATATTCAGCGTTCGTACACTTTAAGGTAAATGAAAGGATTTACTTCCTTAACTTTGTCGTGATCATCGAACCCGTCCTAACTAATTGCTGTAGATAACATCTTCAGAACGCACACGTGAAAACACAAAACTGGTTATCGATAAATGTCAACAAAGAGTCGAAAAACACATACAGTTGTAAGGTGAACACGCATCTTTTCTTTTAATTACCAACCCCATTCATCACTGTCGTAGTTTATTAAGTAGTTAACTTGTAAAACAAAGCTCTGCGAAAGAAAAGGAAAAGAAGCCTGCCGCAGGTAGAGTGTGGTTACCTATGTCTTCAGATAGTTACAAGAATTTGACCGAATTTTAAATGTAACCAAAATAGAGCGGTTTTGTCTTTATGTCTTAACCCTCGCGAATTTGCCTGTCAACACCTGAGTCGGAATGAGAAATGGTTTTTATGTCTAATTTTGCGCCATTTCCATACAAACGAGTGTAAATATCGAAAGCTTTACGACAATATTTATGGACATTTTGGGATAATTATCCGAGCGAAGTTTGCTAAGTATTACGTCAAACAACTTTTAAAAGTTAGATTGAAATAGCACTCTTTCGGTGTTTGCCAACTTGTAAGGAGAAAGTCTGCAAAATTCTGTGACGCACTTTGCCCATCCGTTTCACTATTTGTTCATATCGTGTACCGTGACCTTTTCCCTGCGAACTTTTTAAGGTTGTCTCACATAAAGAGCGCGAAATGCCAAAAGGTGACAAGTGTTTTTTTTTTTTTTTCGGAGTATTCTGCCATAGAATTGTGGGTAGGGTTTCATGTAACTCCTCTGGACTGATCTCAACAACAACACGTGTAAAGGAGATGAGAAACTTTGAAAGATGAGGTTAATCGATTTCTAGGCAGTTTTGGATCGATAACGAGGATTAAATCAAGTAAAATGACAAATGTTGAAAGCATTGAAAGACTGAGAGGTGTTAAAATATTAATTGTGAATAGTCTGCCATGAAACTTGAGTTGATTTCTGCACTCAATGTAAACTTGGACGAGTTTGTCAGTTTGAAAGATGCGGCCGTGAAGCACGTGCAACAGCCTGGCTACTTCTTTTTTTGAGAGACAGAGTGACAATTCAACTAGTTGGTGTCTAATGACAAGCTTAATTGCGGGTATGAAGTTTCAAACCTTCATCCAAAGATCGATCTCTGAGACCTGTCAAAACTAGAAAGATGTACCCGTGTCGACAGTCTCTTAAAAGTCCTCTCATTTTTTGCGGCTTAAGTTACAATTGATTTTCAAAGGAGAAAATTATCCTTCAACTTTATAATTACTGAAATGATTTTATCCCATCCAGCTAGAACAGTAACTCCATATTTTCGAAAAACACCAGTGAAAACAATTAAAAGTGATTTATTCATCACTGATCAGAATTAGACAAGTTTACTTTTCTGCTTGCCACCCATTTTGTAATCAGGGACAATACCTCCTACAATAACATAAAAGACCTTGAAGAGCGATAGGTCGCTAGTTTACCGAAGAGGAATTCTGAATAAAAGTGCAAGGCTCTCAGGGAAGTCAGCGTTTCGATCAGAAATAACCTCGAAGAGTACCCTTTCCTCAAGGTTCGGCGTGTTGAATGGATAGGACAAATCCTGATTCTAACCTTTCTCTAACCTACCTAGACCGTAAAGCTCTGTTATCATAAATTCTAAGCTGGGAAGAAAAAAAAACAATTGAATTCACGTGATATACTGTGTGCTGTCCCAAATTGAATTTTGACTACGCTGCAGCAATTAATTTAGTGTTTTAACCTGGGAATTCACCGTTAGCTACCGAATAATCCTGCTCTTTTAAAGACAATTTCATTTCTCTCAAATTATTCACCTAAAAACGTACTCTAGGTATAAAGAACAAAGGCTAGCCGAGACTTTCAGCAGGTGCAATTGTTAAAGAAAAGCTTCACACACCAATTTCAATAAAACTAAATTAAAAATTTCCCCTTTATCCTCTTGCATGGCGAAATACTGAAATGACCGAATGTTTTTTAATTCCAAGGTGATAAAATTAATTTAAAAGGATCAAAGTAAAGGAAAGTACTGTTGGGCAGATTTGATGTTCAAATCAGATCCTTGGTAAGGGATTGCGTTCAGCACAAAGCCTTTTAACTGGGCGGTGAATTTTCATGAAGGCACTGCTTACTCAATAGCATTCATTTGAATGGTCACACAAACGAACACTTGGGGTTTTTTTTTTTGTATAAAACTTCAAAGTTAGAGCTACCGCTTGTTCAAGAAAACAAATATTGACTCCACATGAAAAGGATTTCCTATCACGTTTTCACTGTTATATTATTGATCGCACGCTAAGTTTGTGTTCAGTCTTAGATGACCCTCATCCATCTCATGAAGAGCCCAATAAACGGCACCACATGGAACTGCACTGCTTAATAGCTTTGAGATAAAACGTCACACACTACGATTTCGTTTAAAGTACAAATTGGAACAACTGCTTGCAACAGCATAACAAACAGATCGACATGGAGACGCAACTAATAGGTTTCAATGGCTTTCACTTTCACACACAGGAGGGTTTTAAGGTACAGGCTTAAAATAGCACTGAATTTTAAAAGTGGAGTCAAATGAAAGGGCAGAGTTGAAAGATATGAAACGCTATATAGAGCATCGCTTCAATCAAATTCAGTCAGTGGTAACTAACAAAGCTCTTTAATTTACTTCTCAGCTTCTTACCAAAAACTGTTGATATTTACAAGTACCTGGTTCAAAACTCAATTGTGTACAACATCTTATGTTCTCGGCATCAACAGAATTCATAAAATTTTCAAGTCGAGGTCCAGACAAGCTAGAACTTCAACACTGAAATAAAATTCTTTCATCTAGAATGAATTTTTAAAAAATTTACAAAAAAAAAATTTAAAATAAACCCTTGATGTTTCCAAAATTTGCACTGAGTTCAACTCTAGGCTTCACTTTAACATTTTCCAAGACCGATACGCAGTCATTCTTTTAAGCATAACTGTGCAATTATGGAATAACTGCAGAGTGAGACACCTTCTTCTCTCTTATTGCTTATTTTCTTTCTAGATTACAGAATTATTTTATTCATGTATATATAGAAAAGTTCTCTGACTGTCGGAATTAAAACTCAGTACAAGGTCCAATTCGGGTGATTTATTTACAATTAGAAAGACATTCGCTTATCTTCTCCTTTTTCTTTAGTAGAAAAAAAAACTTTTCGAAAAGAAACCTGTGATCTGTGGAAAATGACTACACATAGTGTAAGATAAAGGACTGTACATGTGAAAATTACCATGTCAACGAAAACCCTTTTCTGGCCATAAAAAAGAAAAAAAATCAACACCAACTTTGTAAATAAAAAATCAAAACAGAGTCCAGAGTATACAGAATTACAATTTAGAATAATTTCATGATTGAAAGATCGACAACCGTGTTCTCGTAACGACCTAACAGAAACATATGAAATGGCATCCCAACAACCATGAACTAACAGCAGCAGATCACAGGAACACTAACTTGTAAGATAAATGTACAAAGTTCCCTTCTCTACACTCCAGAAGTCTCTGCACTAGTGAGATGTTCCGCGTTTTCCGAGAGCCATTGCAGCAAAGTCCTTAATTTATTTGTCCGGTTGGTGGAATCAGGACCCAGTCCTAACACATTTCCAATGTTGACTTTCTCTTGGAAATAATCAATGAGTTTAGCATCGACTACAAAGTCATCTTTGCGTAGAAGATTAATTGCTTCTACACGGAACTCTTCAAGCTGTTGCGTCAGAATGCGCCCAGAGTCCAAATGTGCCGATATTGTTTCTAACCCAAGGTCTACCTCAGCATGTGCCCAGTCATTGAGAATTTCTTCCGGGGTCATTTCCAGGTACCTGACCAAGGGTATGATATAAGGAAGGCTCACTCCGGGAAAAGGGCTGGGAGCCCCTGAGCTCAAGAGCCCTGCCAAAGGCTTGAGAGTGCTGTGGTAGAGAATCGCGGTAGAACTGCACTGGCGATGAAGGCATGACCACGCGTGGTGAAGTCGCGTTACCTAAAGATAAACCACGATTTAGGGATTTACAGATTCAAGGAAACAAAGACACAAGAGCACACTCACACACGCACTCACGCATCCATCAACCTAATATTTAAAGACTGCGGCACAAACTGGCCACGAAATTTCATCACTCAAGCTGGCAAGAAAGGAAAGAAAGAAACTCAACATATTTTTTACCAAGAGCGTAATTTAAGCCATCGATTCTTTCATTTGAGATGATTCGACAGGAATTTAGCCATGGATGAAAAATTACTGGCAATATAAGACAACACTAAATCTTCAAAACTATCAAACCTTCTTTCTTCTCAGTCTCCTTTTTTTTCATAATTTTGCACAGTCTTTGAGCAAACTTTATTACACACCAAATACGTTGCAGACTGCTCTAAAATATATGTCAATTTTTTTCAGTCAACGTCGACGTTTCTTATGTTGTTGCCGTTGCTCACGCTCCCTTCTGTACACTAAACGGGTGAATCAGGACGAAAAAGTACCTGAGGTAAGGAGAGTCCTTCCATAACAGCCATAAATGACACCAGGTTACCAAGTTTGTCGCTCAGAACGTCAGCCAACTCAATCAGCTTTTTGAGAACTTTGCCTCTGGTGCCCAGGTCACCCGCAGCCACGACTAATGTCGCTACCCAGTGTCTCACATTAGAAAATCTAAAAGAAAGAGGAAAGGCGAGAGTAATGACCGATGGTTTATGGTTAAAAAGAAAACACTCTGTCGGGCTTAAGTACTTTTTCCTCCTTGAAAAGTGAACGAAATTATGGCAACCAGAGTGGCGAAAGGTCTCTTACTTTTCTCAAATATATTTTATTTTTTTATATCTTGATGGGAAGGTAAATTCTTTAAAACATGCACGAAGGTGAAAAAAACGAAGGATAAGCCATATGGCGAGAAGAGAAGAGTAAGTTGTCATGTTAACTGTCAAAGTTGTCGTGGTTCTTCTATCCCCCTTAGTTTTTATTCCTAATGCGATGCTTAATAATCCCACAGAGAAATATGTAGAGATACCAGTATGGTACACTTGTGGGATATTCATTTGATGACTACGAGATGATAAGAACAATGATGACTACATCATGATAAGAACAGTGATAACTACATGATGATAGGAACAAAGGTAGGTCAGAGTCAAAACACATAACGTTTCCGTCCTTAGGAAGGAAGACATTCTTTTGATAGACTAGGATGGTGGAGTAACCTAAAACTTAGGAAAAACTGATTTTAAGTTCTAATTCTTAAATCTAACAGATACGAACCTTGAAAGTAATTGTGCCCTTTGGTCCCTTCCTTGAGGAAGCGTAAGAATTTCCAGGCCTTTGGCTCCTCCAGTGCCATCCTCAATGCTCCAAGATTGACGTTGCGGCTCCTCGCCCCATAGTTGTATCAGATCCACCCGAGTCAAGTGTCTTGCAAGGGCGAGGCAGTCAATCTCTAGGAACGGAGAAAGCAAGTTCTCGCCAATCTTTTTCATCACATTTAAAAAGATTCCCTGTTTGTCCACAGAACCTGATCGCTTAGGTCTGTTGTCTGCCACGTTTAGACTCGTTTGGTTCTCTTTCTCGCCATCAGTTGACTTTGATGGTGTCAGCACCTGTTCCGAAATAGCGCCAGATTCAGTTGGTACGTCATATATGTCTAGATTCTCAGGCGAGCCGAGGTCAGATTTTGATGACAAAGGACTTTCTGTTTGCCTTGATGGAGGCGTAGAGTAGTAAGCTTCAGACTCTAAGCTAACTCCACCTGGAGATGAATTCTTGGAAGTGGCTTTCCTCAAGAAAAACTCAGCCCCTGAATGCCTTTTCTCCGGAAGAGCTTCAAAGGAAGGACCCCGGCGGGCAGATGCGTCAGAATCATAGGTCCGCAATGCAGGCGCACTGCATCGTGACACGAGTTTGGGAGGAATTTTCGAAGAAACAGTTGGATCTGAGTTCCTGAAAGACTCAGTCCTTTTTGGTTTGGGGGGTGGTTTGTCGTATAGGTTATCCTGACTGGCCCGTGGTGTGTCGTACAGGCAGTCAATGCTACGTCGTGGCTTATCATAAACATCTTCCTGACTTTGTTCTCTGGAAGTGTTCGACAGGCTTGCTTGGCTGGATTGTCTCGGTGGTTTGTCGTAGTATTCTTCCGAGATTTCTATGGGAGACGGTTTATCATAAAAATCTTGGTCGTTAATCCCATTCGCAGGTCTGTCGTAGTAGCCATCATTCTTTTCCAGCCCTTCTTTTTCATCAGAAGGTTTTATTTTCTCCATGTCATCAACTGACGTTGGTGACTTTTCCTTTTCTCCAGGTTTGTCATAGTAATTTTCCAAACTTTCCTTTTCATTAGGATCTTCATAAAATGGCTCCGACGTTTGTAAAGTTTCCTTCAGATCCTCGACTTTCTTTTCTCCTAACGGTGTCTCATAAAATGGCAAATTTTCCTCTTTCTCGGCCTTTGCAAGGAATGCTTCGGGAATTTTCTCCCGTTGTTTCGGCTGAATTGTCCATGATAATTTTTCTGGGGAGGAGGGAACATTTCTTTTCACCTGAGAATCCATTGTAAAATGTCGCATTTTGACGCCATTTGTGTTAACCTCAAGATGTAATCCGGGATCACTGTTCTTGCGAGTAGGTTTGTCGATTCGTCTTTGACGCAGGGGACCAGTCCCAGGGGGATTGGGCGGACAGGCATTAGCAGGAACAGTGTTTGTTACATACCTGTTATGATGATTGGAGTTCATACTTTTTAAATCGTCTGATGACAAAAGTGTTGCATCGCGGCTGACAGCATGAGTGATTATTGCTGAAGTGTTCGGGGTTAATGGTTTCTTTTCTGTTACATAGTAGTGAATTAACTCGCATATGGAATCGAAACTGTTCTCAGATTCCTCTGTCCTATACTTTATTCTTGTTCCTTTGGATGAGTTTACTTTGACAAGTGGTATGTGAACCGCTGACCGTTTGTAGCGCACCACGATAAAACAGCTGCCTGGTTTTGCGGGGTCTTCACGCACCAAGAAGTTTCCGTCTCGCCGTAAGTAACGTTCTGCAAAATCGGCTGTGATCTTTCCATGAAACCAGGTTTGCCTTTCTAAGGGCACATTGAATGAATCAGAAGCTCCTTTACTTCGCTTTTTCTTCCTTTTCAAAAGATCCGCTAATCTGTAAACAAAAGAGCATAGTCAATATAATCCTGTACATCACTGTTAAAAAAGTGCAGTGCAGTGCAGTTAAGTTGTCACGCAAGGCTGACAGATGTGCGACAAGTAAAGAAATAAAAATAACTTTATATTGAGAAATAATTGATAGTGCGGCTATTAAGTCCCCAAAATAAACAAGATTTGTTTCAAACTAGTTTAAAAAGTCACGGCAGTTTAAATAGTTATGACCTCTACGTCAAAACCACATGGATGTAGGCGACAATTTTTTTCCAAGGTAATCTGTTTATTTTACCAAGGAAGGAACGAGGAAAGTCGTCGAAAGGGAATAAAATAAATATTTCGAAACAAACGCTGTTTCCAAATAAGACCCAGACGTTTATCTAATAACACATAGTGCTTATCTGCAAACTATCGTGTTTCTTCGTTTGTTTAGTATCCATTACGAAATTCAGTAACTGATTTGCCGCTAACGTAATATACACAAGACCTCTTAGTATTTCAATTGTGTCTGTAAAATTAGTAGATAACATTACCACTAAACGGTGCGCATCTTGATTAAACAATTCAATGATAAAACTATTTTATGCAGAACACGTAAATTTACGAGATACGACACCATTGCATGGGACATATTTTCAGTTCACACCACAATAGTATTGATAACCTAACTAACCTTCTGAAGGGAAGTGGCGACCTTGTTTTGGGCTCTTGTACAATCTTTTTCTCGATCTTAACTCTGGAAGGCAATGGCAGAGTCTTGCTCCGGCTTCGAAAGGCTGTCTGTGATGACGATGACATAGCTAACTTCTTGCTTTCGTTCGCGGTTCTTAACCGGAGATCAGAAAGCTGAAAGAAAATTTCAATCGAGTACACATTCAGCAAAACATTCACAGAGCATTCTTGTTCTAAATACGTGCTGTGAACGCCTAAGTCACTTAATCAGGCGCCATTGAAACCGTACCGATTAGCTGCTATGATACGGTCGAGAGAGGTCGATAGATGCCGCTTTGAAAGAAACAGAGACGCAAAACAGAGCAAACAACAGTGTGTACTTCAAGAATCCACGGTTCCGTTTGCTATTTGTCTTTTACTCTGATATGTTTTAAATCTTAACTAAATAGGAGCTCGATAATTGCTATGGTAACTAGTGTAGCTTTAGAATATCGCGTGTACACACATTGAACAGAACACTGGCACCTTCTGCTTTGGATCAGAAAGGATAATTAAACCAATTACACTCATAACTCACGACGAAATGACTGAGAGAGTAATCAATACATTGCCGGGAAAAAAAGCAGAGAGTATTAACTTATTCGCTTTCGATTCTGACAGGATTACTTTTGTCTTCACAGACGATTTTTCCTCTATTATTTAGACCACTTTTCACATTGCTGTCAGAATATTACGAGATCGGATCTGAAAGGTGAAAGTTTTAAGCAATTCAACTTCTGTATGTCTGCTACGATTTTCTTTTCCCTTGACTCATAAGAAACCTCAGGAGACAGCTTTGTTCTAAACGGAAGTTTCTGATCCTTGCTATTGTCACTAGTAGCTCTTAAGCAAAAAGAAAAAAAAAAGTATCCTGTTCCACAAATTAAGTAAACGTTATCGATATTCAAACTAGACAAGAAGAATGCTTAAGTAATGCGATTTTACCGATGAATACTAAAGTATGAAAAGCTCCGTCTGGAGTCTATTACAGAAGACACCACGTACCGACACTCGTTGAGGCCGGTTCCTTCAACAAGGAACGAAACATTTAGCACGTGTAAGGCGAATATAGAAGAACATGAATCATACTAAAAATATAACAAATATCTTCCGCGGTTTACCGATACTTACTTTCTGACGTATATTCTCGCGGTAAATATTCTGGTTACTTCATTAGGTTTTCCGATAAACAAACAATATACAAGCTCTGGCCGGAACTTTGTCAAGAAGTGAAACCTTCAAAGTACTTTACTTATGCTGCAATGACTTTTCCGATGAGCGCAGAAAGTGGCATAACCGAGAGCGAAGTGAAACAATGTAGATTGTGCTAAAGAAGCTGATGACCAGAAAATAATTAATCACCCTCACAATGTGAAAAGCATAATGGCATTTCACACCCTTCCGAATCATCTTTAAAAGTCATGGATCGCTAATCCAACACGAAATGAACGTGACACAATTATTCTGTTCTTCAGGATAATTTGGTGAACATTAGTCTCTCAGCAGGTAAAGAAGCAACTCACATTTTCTGAAGTCCAATACCAAGCAAAGTAAGATTATTTTACGATAAAAAATGTTGACGTTTGTCTATTAATTTGGGTGTCTCTTCTTCAATTTCCAGTGTTCTCGCACAAGTCTGCTAATGAGCCGGCGATTGTGGGGTCCCACTCGGAAGTATCGAAATCCAGCGAAATTTGAAGAACTTGCCCCGAGGATAAATCAAAAAACGTGTTCAAACATTTTTGTCTAGACGATCTCTACAAATCAAATGAATATGAATAGCCATGAGTTTTATTTTCATACACTTAACCCACCGGAAGTGACGTTTTCGACCGGTTTTTCGAGTTAAAATGCATTGTCAGTGCTTACTGGAAACGTATTTCACCAAAGCCAAGCGTATACGGTGCCATCTTTCAACTGAACGAAGAACTCTGCAATTGGAAAAAGCTCAAGACTTTGCCCTGCCCTAGGATCCTATTACCAGCTCTTAGCTCTTAACATGCATAGAATTTTACTCTCAGCAAGGCCAGTCAATCAGCTGAAACCGAGTGCTAAGCCGCAGAAACCAGCGAAAATTTTGCCAATTTACAGGGCAATTTTGTTATTTACACTCGGTAACCTCTATTCAATAGTGTGTTACAACTGGAATATGCGACGCTATATGTAAAAGAGTTCGTCTCGAAGAATGGCAATTATTGATGTTCAGCGAGCAATTTGCATGTAAATTCAGCTAATGAAGTACTCCAAAGACTATTAAACATTATTTATAGCTAAAACATAATTGCCTCAGCTCCTTTAGCTCTCCTGTCACAAAGCAGAAATCAGTTTTCTAAAATTTCTTCAGATACACAATTATGAGTTGTTTAACCACTAAATTGTGTACATTAGTTGATACCTCGAACACAATGAGCGCATACAGAATACGAAATGAAATCAATTAAAACAAAGAATATGGAAGGTAAGTACACAAGCAACTGGCAGAGTAAACGAAATAAAGACGAATGTGTACTTATAGCCGCGTCTTCTTAACGAATCGCAGGGGTTCATTGAAACAGCGAAATCATCCTCTTTAACTTGATACAAGATTTGGCACATTCAAATTTTTTCATCAGAAAAACAAGGCTTTCCAAGTATTGGCGATCACTCTTGATGCATGTAATTCATACAGGAGATTACAAAACGATCAAGTTATACCGCTGAGTTTTACATTAAACTTCCACATGTGCTCACGAACATTAAAAGCCTTGCGTGTTCGAATTGTTGACAGATGATACTTTACATTTTGAAAAGACTAAAGCAGGTATGAAAAGCTTGTAGATAAACTCAAGGAACGATCGAAAACACCTCTCTACGAATTATGGTGTTGTGGAACAGAAATTCCGCTTCTGTGTCACGAAATATTAACCTCGTGATAGGTCACAAAAGAGCAGAAGACCTTAGTGTGATGCCCTGAAGTTTTCTCATCTCAAAAGAACAAAAGCTTAAGAGTAATTCTTACCTGAAATATTCGAAATCATCTATCCCTGCTCGCTGTAATAAACAAGATTCATTGAAACGCACGATTGATCACAGAACAAGGGTTTACGCAGTTAATAATAGAACAATGGTGATTGGTCCAATACAACACGACTTTGTTACTCATTTGTGATTGGTGAAATACAATACGGCTTTGTCAACGCCAATGTCTGCCCACTTGATTACGACGTGTCGAAAGTTCGAGAGACGTCATCATTCGTAAAAATTGCCACAAACGGAAATTTTGACGACAATGTTCGGGTTTTCACGTATGGAAACGAATGAATTTAGATTTTTATCGACGCGAGGGCGCGGTTAGCAAATGGAAACAACATCAGAACGGTTACTGTTTGTCGACTTACCCTAAGGGCGTCTTTTAAATTTTGAATCTTTTCAGGTCCCAAAGTTCACTTAATTAGGTAATTTGCTTGATCATCAGGCTAATCAAATTACTACTGAATAGCTTCATGAGCAAATGATAAGGAGACAGGTGGTAAAATCAAGAATATTGCTTGTTCCATTCGGTGCTAAAGTCGTTTTAGGCAAGAGGGCATAGACAGTTAATTGTTATACACAGGGGGTCCAACGATCAAAGAAAAGCCTCAAGTGATCAACAAGGTTTCTATTAGTTGCGGTTTATGCGCAGTTGAGCTTATGTTTCCAGGACAATGACTCATAAGCTTTCCCTGCCTGATTTTGCACTGTTTGTCGTTTTCGGGTGTGGAAGGGTGCAACTGCTTTCCCACTTGGTTATTGTTTATCGTAAATCCTTAACAAAATTCCGAGGCGGTGATCTAAACTGCTTAAAAGGATTATCGTAACCGCGTTAGTGTGAACTACGTCGAGAACAGAAATGTATTATTTTTGGGAACACTGTAACAATCTGGAACACCCACAAAAGTAATCCTAGAAAGCCTTCTAATATCATTCGGAACACCCCTGGATTCTATTTTGACAATACACAAACAAACTAAAAATAATTTGAACGAGGGAACGCTGCGTTTTTCCGAGCAGAAATAAAGAGAAAGTCTCGCGGTGCCTGTTGACGTAAATCCGTTGACTAGAAAAGAAAGCAAGAAAGATAAACTTGCCAACCATTAATAGATATATAAAAAAGAAAATCGGATGAATAAAAAAAATGAAATAAACACAGATACAAATAAAACTAAGAAAACCATACACTCTCGATGGTTTGGGTGGATCGCTGGATTCCTTTTCCGTCGGTCAAAATATATATACTTTACGAAAGGCAAGTTAGCAAGGAAGTTCATGTGCACCGGTGAGTTGGGGTGATCGAGATAAAGCTCCTGTTTCTGAAGTGGCTGAACTCTTGCGCTCAGCTTCATTTGGTATGTTTTTGTACCATTTTGAAACTAAAATTCATTAATTTTGTGGACTCAACTTTATCAATGTCAGTTATATGGGAAGAACAGAGAATCAGAGGAAGATAACAACGGTGTAGACATTTTTGACGCCATTGAGCATTACATCATCAGTTCTCGCAAGCTTAATGGTTGGGTTTTTGACAGTTTTTCTTCTCATTCAGTTTACACAAACTATCTTGGTATGTGTTACGGTTTACTCTGTCATTTTAAAAAATCAGTTTTGGTTCCTATTATTATTTGGAATTCCATATCTTTACATGTCAATGTTATCGGCATAAGTATTTTCGAAAGTACGTGAAAGCAGCCATGCTTCAAAAAGATAGCATTTGAGTACCCTTTGACCCTGTCAGCGTTATCAGAATTACATTTGATAAAAATACGAATTTGCATGAAATACTCAATAAAACAGTTTCATTCCGAAAATGTTAATTTGCAGGGGCAAAGATAAACATTTCGTGAAAAAGCTCTCAGTGAAGTAAGCCCGAAATTAGTTGCTGTTAACTTAACTTGAGCGTGCATGCATTGCTTTCAGTTGCAAAATACTCTTTTTTGCCATAGGTTTATCTCTTTCGACCCTTTTAGCTTCATCAGCTTCTATTGAAGGTATCTGTTCTATGGCCCTAAACCGGCTACATGCTTGAATTTATTCGCCATTCGTAGGTTTCCGCTAAGTGCAGATGCACCTCTTAGGCTCTTGAACTGACTTCTTTTAAAAGAATTTCCTCAGCGTGATCCGAGAAAGCCTTGTGACCAAATTGGCGGCCGCACCAGTGAAGGCAAGAGCTGAGGGCTCTCTGGGCGACAGAAACTTCTTCTTCGTAACTTTCATCCCCAGTAACAGACTCAGTGAAATACCTAAACAATGGCTGCAGGGCTCAAACATCTGTGAACGCAGTTCAAGCTCAGGTCTAGCTGTCTGTTGAGGAGAAAAACTCTCTCTTTAATGTACTTTCGGAAGAAAAGGTATATATTAGTAATTACTATTCAGTCGGCAATGAGAAACATAATCCATTACGAACGTCATAGATATTGAAGTAGGTTGGGTTGTGGACCTCGCATAATAATTAAACCGGGAAAAGAATACTCCTTTGACGCAAAAGGAAGCTGGGATGTTATTTGATTGTCTGCACCTACAATACCAAGTTAATTTAATTTTGACAATGTTCAACGCTCGAAGATGATACGTAGTTCTTTTTGTGCGATAGTTGATCTACTGATCTGTTGGGGGAGGGGAGGGGAGGGGGAAGATGTCGAGCACGAGTCAGACGGCCCAGCCATTCCGTGCCTGGTGCACTAGATAGAAAATGGCTACTGCATTTTATCCGAACGCGACAAGAATTTTTCCCCTAATCTCGGGGAGGAGAGGGAGGGGGCTGGCATTCCTCAACAAAAAAAGGCCTTGGTTCTAAACCTTGCATATTAAGAACCACGAGCTTCAATACAACGACCCGGAAGCTTACACAGAAGGGACCTTAACTGTACACAATCATGAATAAAGACGAAATACAATCAGACACATGATCAACATTCACGATTAATTTTAATTACTTCTAGTGTTAGCCTGTTGAATTCTAACAATTACTCCTATACTGAATTCCGATATTTTGCCTCACAGTCGAAAAAGCGGCCGCTCTTGACCTATACTCTAGAGCTATTTCTTATTTTGTTAACAAACTAATTTGTTGTAATCCATACACCAATAAAAAATCAAACAAAGTACTATCTCACCAACACTAATATCAAGCTTCTAAATAACACGCTGTGGCACATTTCTACCGACACCTAATTTGTGTTGTATGTTAAAAAAAGGAGAAGAAAAATACTCATATTTTTTTAAGCATACATTTGTCAAGTGAGTGCAGAAAAATAACACTGACAACATACGTATTTCTTTAAAAAAAAGTTAACAAAAACAAAAAAAGCCCATAGTAAGAAAATTTCTTGATTTCATTTCGAGAGCAACAAAGCCCTGTATTGTAAGAAATATTAAACACAAAGCTATACTAGATTAATACTCCTTATAAATTGTCAACTTACTTAAAGCTACTTAAACGCGACCGAAAAATAAAATATTCTCGTCAATTGGAGCCTCCAGTAACCTCTTATTTCGCATTGTTAAGCAACATCTTACGTAAAAAAAAAACATTAACCCTTTCACTCCCAAGACCTCATTGGTAGTTCTCCTTACTGTCTGCCAAACGATTCTTATTATATTAGTTTGGAGAATTTGGTATCGGATCAATTAGTAATTCCATAATTGATATTTTTCTTTATTCTGATCACTAGTCTGCGTGATATTGTATAGATATAGTAAGAAGAAATTCTGTCTTGGTCACTCACGGGAGTTTAAGAGTTAGGCCCCCTTCACTCCTCTATTCTGCTAACAGATACGCATTGATTTTTTTTCATATCCTTCGCGTGAAATTCGCATCAGTAAGTCCAACATCAAACTTTTAATGATATGGTTAACCTTCACTATAAATTTTCATAAGATTTCCATCCAGTCAATAATGTTACCATCTGTCTAAGGACAAATTCAAGTAAAATGACGGTATACACTACTGTCCAGTTAAGCACCGTGCGATATAGTCTATCTGATGGGTTGTTTCTTTCGCAGGAACAGTTTTCGGCCAAACCTTGCGAGCAGACAACCAACCAAATTCAGCGGCTGAATAATCAATACATGAGACAATAGGACAAATTAGAGGAGGTGGTGGGGGGAGGGGGGTGGTGGGCTGGAGGACCAAACCCCTCACCCACACTGCTGTCTTTCTCACTGTTTACAAACCGAAAGCGGTGAAAATGATGACGCATTTTCTTATTGACAACGGACTTTCCCAAAATTTTAACCATTCAATATTATTTTAGTTGTGTTACACTCACTAATTTGTGAACCATGTTTCTCCTACACATATTCAATATAAGTGGACGGAACATATCCTTCCTCATCGTCTTTTAACACTTTCGTCCAGCCACTGTTATCTGTGTCTTGTTCCAAAACAACAAGCTCATCTCCTTCAACAACGGTGAGTTCACCATCATTTGTTGCTGAAAAAAGAATTGGGATGGCTTAAGTTAAGATGCAAAAAAGAATTGGGATGGCTTAAGTTAAGATGCAAAAAAGAATTGGGATGGCTTAAGTTAAGATGCAAATGTTGAGTTTTCGAAACGCGTTGTTCACAGAGCATCCCAAGGGTTTTAACAACTTTTATCATAAGCGGCTGCCGATTGTGAAATAGGTAGCAACTGGCTTTTATTGAAGCCTTTGCGCATGCACAGCAGTAACCATGTTTTGAGTGGTTAGTACACAGTCAAATGGGAGTTTGATCAACAATCAGACAGTAAAGACGCCAAGTAATACCTAAAGGAAAGAGAAAAGGCTTGTGTTACCTTGGAAATCGTAAATAACTCGACAGTGAGGCTCGTCTTCTTCAAACTCATCATCTTCTTCAACCGGTGGTACTAACATAGCGGGGGGAGGTGCAGGTGCAGGTGCAGGTTCAGGAGGGGGAGGGACATTGGATGGAGCCCCGTCTGGTACACTGCTGCTTGGTGCCGGTGGTGATTGGGAGCTGCCAGTTTTGGAGTAGACCTCAGGAGGCGGTGGGGCATCTCTGTTCTCCAAAGCAGCCAGGTAGCACTAGAAATTAGCATTAAGAGGTTTCATCAAAATTTTGGATCAATGTCGGTATTGGGGTTAATATTGGATTAGGGGAGGGGTAGGTACGCAGTTACTAAGATACTCACATTGATCCAGAAGTATTTTTGCATAACAACCAAAGTATTTTGGATATTTCCAGATATTTAGTATGAAAACTGATCAACCATTCAAAACTATTGAAATCGTCTTTGAGGTATTTACGGTAATCTCCACCCCTCTAAGGAATCACACTATATCGTTGACAGTATAAGGGAATTCAGGGGAACTTTTGCACTTAAAATTAACTGAAGGTGAAGATCCCTTCTCTACACTGGTTGGGATTCAGTTCATTAAGTTGCTCAAATTTATGAGGGGTTTGGTTTAGAAGTCTCTGCAGCAGAACTCATGTCTAACAGATATCATCACAGAGCAGTAGTCTCTAAACTGATATTTGTGGAGGGGGGTCTGGTTCAAAGTGTCTGCTGCAGAACTCACATCTAGTAGATAACATAGCAAAGCAATAGTCTCTAACCTGATATCTGTGGAGGTCAACATTAAGAGCATCCAGCTCCTTAGCATTATCACTGAGGTTTTGTTCAATAGTGGCTGGGTCACCGAGTGAAGGATTCTGCCTGTACACATCAATCATTTTTTCCATACCCTCCCTGAAAAAAGAAACAAAGGAACAAGAATAAACCCAAGCCAGTGTTCTTTTGAACTTGGAGTAGAGATGAGTACTGCTGAACTGTGACGGAAAACCAATAAAAAACCAATAAAATGTTTACACTCGAACATCAGTATGCATATCCTCCACACTGTTCTCTATACATTTCTCGAGGTGCTGACAAGGAGACTTTGTTTAACAGTCAAGAACCTTTTAAGTTAGTGATCATTTCCTTTAGTCTCAATACCTTAATGTGTGATTTGTGGGAGTGATATTGTAAGGAGAAATTAGATGCTAGTCACTTTTAGGGGTTGAAGGGTTAAGGGAATTAAAAAAATTATGATTCTCCTCGTCCTTTCATCACAAGTTTTTGTCTCGCTATTTTCTGAAAAGGATAGCAATCTGCTTGTATTTGTGCTCGTCTGTCGATGTTCTCTCTCTCTCTCTCTCCATTTCTCATTATCCCTCTCTGTATCTCTGTTAGAAGTTCAGTCAGTCACCTTTCAACTCCTTAAATCTCATGAGCAGTTCTTGTTACTGTCTGCCATACGATTTGTATTTTTTATATAGAAAAAAATGGTTATTGAATCACCTTATAATCCCCTGATTGATATTTTTGTGTATTCTTATCACTTGACTGCTTGATATTGCATTGATATTGTAAGCAAAAATTCTGTCTTGGTCATTCATGGGAGTTTAGGGGTGAAACAGTCCCTCAAGCAGACATTCAGACACTCAGCGAGTCAGTCAATCAGACTGACTATCTATGTCTATCTGTCTCATGGTCCATCCTCCTATAACTTTCTTAATACATATCTGATTGGAATAACTTGACACAACAATAACAAACTTCGGGTAACTTTTCTGAACCCCCCTCCCCCTCTCCAGTCCAAAACAAAAGTATATAAATCACAATATTTAGAAAAAAAATACAGAGTGACAACAGGGCTAGGTACCTGGAGTTCTTGAGCTGTGCCACTTGTGCCTCTAACTGCTGCACCTTCTTTTTAGAAGTGCGAATCTTCTGTCCTGGTGTCAATGTTTGATCATTACCATCTAATCCATTATCAACATTCTGAAGAAAAAGAAGATCTTGATGTCAGACATAAGGTAATAACCAATCATTGGATGAGGTTGAGCATGATTTTATGAATTATCAAAACCAACATCTAAGTTATCTGCTGAAATGTGAAGGCTGTGGCAAATAACACAAACATGACATTTGATTGATTCATTCACTTACATATAAGCTGATTTTTAATAATTCAATACTCTTATAATTGTTTCATTATACACTTTTTAAAAGCATTCAGCCATTTTGAGTTCCTCTCTGAGTTTATATAAGTTTGTGAAAACTACATGGACAAGGGTCTTGGAAACAAGGCAGACTCTGAACTCAACATAATAAATACAATATCTCCTGCAGATATTGCATTTATTATGTCAACTACATATGCTCTCTGTTGGTTCCAAACATCAGTGATTCTTAAGTCAAAATTTTGAAGGACTGTCATTAATAAAGGAAAGAACAATAAATACAAATCCTTTGCCCCCAATGACAATCTTCAACAAGCTTCACACACAATTAAAGCTAGGGTTTAGGATAATTTACAACTTTTCTTGTGTTTCAAAGTAAATGTACTACCTGCTGAAAATGGTGAAAATTTGATAAGTGCCCAGCCTTGAATAAGCATACATCTCAAGTAGGCACCCTCTCTCAAGGTCTAAAAATTTGACAAGTAATTATCCCAGGGTGCTTAATTGAATGAATATCATACCTTCAAACCTATTATGAATTTCAAAATTTGCAAATAAACCCACAAAGTGAGAGCAACTAAATTGTTAATTATGAAGTTTACTGCATTTGACCATTCAATTTCATTTTCAATACTGGTCAATGGCTTGCTTCATACCTTTTTCTTTTTTTTATTTCCAGTAAAGATACTCTTCCCTTTTTTTCCCTTGGTTTCACTAGCAGGCTGTCTGGTGAGAGTGTGCTTGCTGCCATATTCCTCAAACTGGATATCTTGAGGTGGCTTGTACTCAGTTTTATGTTGATCACACAGGAGTTTGCTGTCCTGATGTTGCAAAAAATATCATTCTCTTGGCTTTATCTACATGGATATGGGGGAAACACCTATAGCTGGGTAACCCTGCTTTCTGTTGTTTTTCTTGGTTCTGTTTATCTAAAGGTAAGGAGATGTACTAGGGGTGAGGTTATCTCACTTTCTTGCTGGGGTAATCTTCCTTCAAGGAACAATAGTTTTTGTGTTTGAGCCATGTACAGGTATAAGCCAGGGTCATCTTTTTCAAAGCGTCCATTTTAGATCATATTACTGTGTAGCTATGTTCTTCAAACTGAATTGCACAATGTAAATTAGCAAAAGACTGTTTGGATCATGTTGGACACCTCCTTAATCTTGAGATCTGAGTGATAATTCTCCCCTCTAGCTGCTAAACATTGCCTTGTAAATTAGTTATGAGAACTTGATGTTAGATCAAGACAACAACTTCTACCTGACAAATTTGAGTATTCTCATCACCTGTTTGCTGGAAAATGCTGGATATTATGGGGAGAAAATACATGTTAATCACTTCCGGGAGTTGAAGAGTTAAAAAGAGATCAATACCTGTTGTCCATTGACTGATTTTCCATTGTCCTTCATGTTATCCAGACATTTTTGTATTATAGGCATAACTTTGGCCTCTACATTTGCATACTCCTCTAATAATTCACCAGTTCTCTTTATTCTTCGCTCATCCATTTTCTGTAGTTCCTGAAGATTTAACAAAGGTATTTAGGGCTATTCAGCTCTAAGAACTAATTAATTTTGTTACCAACTCCTTTCCAAAGTGATACGAAAATCACACTAATGGGATTCCCTTTTCAGTTTCTGGAGCAACTTACTTTCCTGTTGTGACCTCTTAACATTCTACACTCTAACATCAGTATGCATATTCTCCATACTGTTCTCTATACATTTCCTAAGGTGCTGACAAGGAGAATTTATTTAACAACAAAAATCTCCTTAAGTTTGTCATCATTTCTTTTATTCTCCAAGCCTTAATTTTAATTCAGGGGTTATATTTTAAGGAGAAATTAGATGCTAGTTAAAGGATTGACAAAGATCTTTTGTTACTCCTCACAAGGGAAGAGAGGTACAGCTGAAGGAAGAGTATTCCAAAACACCAGTTGATTACAAAATGTGCGTGAGTGGCAAGCAGCAGGGGCCTGATTCAGACTTCAACCTGCCAGTTTAGATTTGAACTCTTGTTTGTATTATTGTGTTGTGCTCTGAGGTGAGAGACCAACATCCTCTTCACACAAAAAAGCACTTGGTCACCAGAAGACTGCCCCAATTTGAGTTACAGCAAGCTCAGTGCTTGAGGGATTCTGGTTTAGCAATGCAACATAGCAGAGGATTTTTAAGGGACTTGCACAGGACAAAATTCAGTTCATGCAAAAATATGTCAATGAATTAAATTGCAATAATCAGAAGCAATTGAAACCTTCTATATTCCTAAACTTTTTGATAACTATTATTGTATCTATCTATTGCTGTACTTAAGTTGAATCTAACATTTAATATTAAGTATCATTGTGCCCTAGAAAATTTAGTTTCTGACATACGTACATCGAACACCGCTGGCATTTCATTGCTGTAGTGTAAGGCTTGCTTGCTATTTGTCTGTTGAAGTTGGTTTCTGTATTCATCCTTTGCCCTCTCACATGCCTGGCCCTTCTCAACCGATATATTTTTGTGCTAAAATAGCAAAAACATCACGATCAGTTTATTATAATTTGTTTGGAAAATATATATGCTGATGTAAGGGAGTATAATTATTTGCTTTCCTTCCTTAAACTATACTTAATTTTATGAATGATGCTCTTCTTGTCAAGGGAAATTGTTGACATCCATATGCTACACTTCATGGTATAGAAGTCAAAATCATAATTTCTGTTAGCCAGTTTTAAACATCAGCCCACATGATGTGAAACTGAATATTCACACAGCTGATACTTTAAATGAAGAGTGGCTACTCCCAAAGGAAAAAAATGAGTTATGGTCAAAATATTCCATGAGTAGAAGTGTTCAAGTTGTGAACTGTTTCTTAGAAAAACAGCTCCCTGGATTTTTGCCCAGATTTTGAGTAGATAGCATTTTTTCCACAATAATAGCTCAAATAAATTAGGACCTGTTCTATGGAGTGATAATGGTTAAAACTGTACAACTTTATTTCACCTTTTCAATCTGCAATCTAGAGTTAGCCATGTCTTGATCAGCTTTCTGGAATGCTTGAAGGGCTTGCTCAGCTTCTTCACTTGCCTTCATATAAGCTCTTTTACTCTGCAAGGGGCAGAAATTGTTATTTATAGCAAGTGGCTTAAGCTATTAATTTAGACAACACCCTAAACTTATAATAACTATCCCTCTAACTCCCATGAATGACCAAGACAGAATTTCTCCTTATGATTCCCATACAAAAGCAAGCAGGCAAGTGACGAGAATATAAAAAATATCAATTAGGGGATCATTAGTTGATCCAATACCAAATTCTTCAAAGTAACATGCTAAGAATTGTATCACATGCATTCTGGAGAATCACTAAATAAATGATATCTTGTGAACGAAAGGGCTGATGCCACTAATACTTACAACTTCCATAGCTTTTATTGACTGTTCTAGTTGTTCTTGAACTTTTTTACCATCAGACAGATGCTGGAAATTACAATAATCATAAAAATAGATTTTAATAAGTCGAGTCAATGAGCTTCCAACAGTACATTTCTAGACCTATTTGCAAATGCATTTTTCTTTAACAACACATTCCACAATCTTTTTGAAAAGTTTTTTACCTATCACTAACTCCAAAATGAGCAATGACATTGACAGAATCAAAACAAAGACTTAAGTTTTAAAACCTATTTTCTTGAAAATGAATCAGTTACATGTATGCAATGCTCTGTTTCTAGTATAGGCAGCTGGAAGTGGAACCTTTTGAAGACCGATGTGAATAGCATTAATTCTGTCAATTCCATGAGCATTTGAGGAGTAAAAATAAGTATCATCTTAGTCTCTGAGGAAGAGACTCCTACTTGGTGAAAAAAAAAAAAAATGGAAAACAAAACACGAAAAAAAAAGTAAAAAATAAACAAGCAATTCCAAATTTGTTCTTGTAATTGCTGCTGGCCTATTGATACAACCTATCATGTTTTGTTACAAATTGCAATTTTTACTCCCAAGAACCTCCAAAAACTTATAAAAAAAAGGAATCAACATCTACAGCGTAAAAAGTTTCACCTTTCTTCTCTCTGTCTTAAGTTCATTATGCAATAAATGTAATTCCTTCCAAATCTTTTCAGTTAAACTCTCTGATATCAGCTCATGCTGTCCTGCCACATCATCTGTCTCTTTCACGACGCCAATGAAAGCCTTTTGAAAAGTAAATCTGTAAAATGAAATATTAAATTACTTATTTTTGCTGATAATCATGAAGTTAAACCTGTATGAAGCAGACCCAACACCTGATATCAATCCTACAACCCCCTGAGTTCACCCTTAAACTCCCAAGATCTCATTAGCAATTCTCCTTACTGTCTGCTATATAGTTCTTGTGATGGTAGTTTAGAGAATTTGTTATTGGATCAAGTAATAATCTCTTAATTGATATTTGTCTTTATTCTCATTACCTGTCTGCTTGACATTGTATTGATACTGTAAGGAGAAATTCTGTCTTGATTACTCTTGGGAATTAAAGGGTTTAAGGGTTGATATCTGTTGATATCAATACAATATCAAGCAGACAAGTGACAAGAATAAAGGAAATTACAACATAAATACCAAGTGAGTGTTCACATGAAAACATGATATATTCTTACACGGAGCACTTTTAAAAACATTTTTAAGTGAAATGATTGGTATTCCATTTGTTGCTCATATAATAAATAAATAAATAGAATAATAAAATGGCCACTTGGAGATATGAAATTTAGCTTCTCGTGTTGAAAATATTTCAGTACATTTTTTAACACTCACAGAGAAATTTTGTATCTCTTTATGGTCATGCTATATCCTTTGTAAGTCAATAAGGGGATTATTAATTGATCCAAAATAAAAATTGCAAAACAGTGTAAAACTTAATGGGTAGAAAGCAAATGATCACTTGGGAGTAAAGGGGTTTGGTGGAAATCAGCCCACATCTCAAACACATCTTTATCTTAAGTCACAGTTTGAGGTACAAGGACACCACTGTTATTTGGATGATAATCCAAAATACAGCACCGTTGTCATTAAAAACCTGTATAAAACAGACAGCTTCATGTGAGATTAACATGTCATTAAAAATCCATTATAGTGTAAAATGGTTAAATTGTATAATGTCAAATGGTAAAAAACTTGCAGATTCAAAAGTTCACTGACTGAGTGATAAGTCAGGCTGTCAGAGCATAAATGTTCACCACTAGCCACGATCCCACAACAATTCTTCCTTTAACTATTTCAGTTGTTCAATTTATAGAAACCTTTTCTCATTAGACATTAGTAGAAGTCTAATGGCTGCCTGCTCAACCATTTAAGTAGTGGAGTATGCAAATGTAGAGGCCAAAGTTATGCCTATAATACAAAAATGTCTGGATGAAGGACAATGGTGAATCAGTCAATGGACCACAGGTACTGATCTCTTTAAACTTGTCAACTCTCAAAAGTGATAAACACGTATTTTCTCTCCATAATATCCAAGCATCATCCAGCAAACAGGTGATGAGAATAATCAAATTGTTTACACTAAGGTAAAAGCTGTTTTCCTGATCTAAACCAAATTCTTGAAACAAATTTACAAGGAAACATAGTGCAGTTAGAGGAGAGAATTAACTATCAGATCTTGTTAGTCAATGGGTGAACATGATTTTATTTTTAATTCCTTCTGATAAATACCACAGTATGAATCTATGATTTATACTGTCAAGTATAAGATAACATGATGAGATCTGGTGCAAACTATGGTACAAATGATCTACGGCTTTCATTAACTATAACAATATATGTAGCAAGCTTGTGACAAATGACAGATACAGAATTTTGGATGCACAAAAATCATCAATTGTATTGTGGTATTTTGACAATCCATAGTTAACTCTCTACGCCCCAACATCATTATGCATATTCTCCATACTGTTCTCTAAAAGATTCCTGTGGTACTGACAAGGAGAATTTGTTTAACAACCAAGAGCTTCTTTTACCAGTTGATCTTTTTCTTCATTCTCACGAACTTAATGTTTGATCCAGGGGTGATAGTATAACAAGGAAATAGATGCTAGTCACTTGAAGGGATCGAAAGAGGAAAAAATGAAGAGTCAACTCACATATGTTCATCTTCCTTCTTCTTTGGGTTGAATTTCTTTACCAGTTGTCTGTGAAGTTACACAAAGTAGTTTAAAATGTGAGTCTAAGCATTAAGAACAATGATTATCTAATAAATGTTCCTCCCACTGCTTGAGAAAGGAAACTAATTGTTTATACATACATGTATTACACCAAGTTTAAAGAATTGGACATGAAAGTCATAATTTATTGCTAATCCTAAAAGGGATTCAAAATTCTCTTACTAATTTTGTAGGTCTTTCTAACCAGTTCTTAACCATTTCTTAAGAACTGCAGAGTACATATAAATTTTTTTATATAAGAATATATCTTTACTTTGAAAATTTCAATTTACTGTCAGAGAAGAAAGTTGATGAGGACTCAGACAACTGTCAACCCGGACAAAGAAATAAAAGTTCCTCATTGCATGAAGAAGATTGGGACTAAACTTGTATAATGATGAAATAATGATTGTGTATGATTTTGAATTTTCAATAGCAGAGAAATGGAGACAGGAGAATCCCTGAAGATTGCTAATTTTCAGGTCTAGTAACTGAAATGATTAAGTATTTCAATGCAACCTACTGTGAAATTATGTTTGGGTTTGCATTGTGTCACGATGGAATATTTTGAAATACTTCTTTTGATTTGAGTAATTAATGCTGAATTCTTCATGAGGAAATGAAATACGGATAACGCAATGGGCCTCTGAAACTGAGTGTCAATATTACGTGATGTCAAGTGACTCCACTGAAAAAATAAACAGCTCTTTCTTCAAAAACAAAAATCGAGCGAATCCTTTTTGATAATGTGGATTTTGAATTAAAAGTTGATGTGGTTGTCAATGTTTTAAATATCTGACAACTGTCCCTGTTAAAATTTGAGGTCGAAAAGTGAAATTCGATGATTGAAAATCATTAGTTTGTCGTTCTAAACTACGGCAAATAATCAATAAACGTCATAAATATGGTTTTCTGTTTCGATCCCTGCAATTTAACAGATGGTCTCCTTGATCCTGAATTAAAAGTATGTTCTAATCAGCGAAAGTAGAAACACGGATAGTATTTCTCAAGGACAGCGACACGCAGTAAGAACAGTCATGCAAGCGCGGAAGAAAAATTTGAGTGTATATGATTATTATAAGGAATGACACCAATCAGCTGTCTGTTAGGAAACATGCTCAGAGCAGCATAGAAGAGATCCACATGAAACTCACCAAAAATGCCAAATTGTTTACACATATTTTACACTTAAGCTCCAACGGAGTCAAGTAATAATTTGATGGTACAAGGACAATATACCAGTCATTCTATTACGACATATAAAGAATTTCGATTTCGTAAAATGAAATTCCTTTCTCTCTTACCGTAAGTCCCTCGCATACCGCGATTCGATTTCACACCTTTCCTTCACGAACTTCGCTACCTTTTCCACGAAATCGATTCCAGAAGACGTATGGTTGGCAATGAGATCAAACTGATCCTAGAAACCATAGAGAAAATGTGCAAGTGTTAGTCTCATCGCAGGAGAATGTTGAATATCGCGCAGTTGAATCACTGATGTCGGATAATACCAGAACACAAGCTGCGACAAGACAAGCGAGCACTCAAGCCCTTGATCACTTACCCAAAGCTCTAAACCCCAGGTCATTTTAACAATCAATACAACGAGACTTCAAGAAATTTCTGTAATCTACAGATCTAGAAATGAAGCCAGACTACCTCGCGTACACTCGAACGTACTACATGTCAGGATGCGATGGCACTCTCATTAGCATATGGAGAACCGGAGGTACAAGAATGTGCGGGCTCATACAGCTAGACGTGGGTGGAACCACCGGAAAGAGCTCCACGAGGTACCAAAATTGATCATTTTGGTGAAAATATGACTATTTATACTGTCAAATAAGGCGCTTTTACCCCAGTCAAAGGTTAATTTACTGACCTTTCAAGGAATATGCAAGCTCTATTCTATATTTTAATCAAGAACTCCGCAATTTTCTTAAATCTTTCCGCAGATCTGAGTTTTAGCGACCCCTCTCAATGGCGGAACCTCTACGCGGAGACGGAAATTAAGGAAGGAGTGGGTCTCGAAATGAAAGACGTTTGGAAGTGATGGAACATTCAAGAGGAAAAAAACATATCGCAAGAAAGAGTTTATTTCCTTAAGTTTTACTACACCATTTCACTTTATGTAAAGCCAGTAACAATCACGCAATTGGGTATGTATGTATTTAGTCTAAGACTCTCTGGAAGTTTTCAGAGTGATCGTAAAGAACACCAATACATTTCAAGATTTACTAGAAATCTTTCAAATATTTGTCACCTTTAACATGCGAATTTGTCCTCAAAAACTACGCTTTACAGCCTATACTTAGCTTCAAATATTATCTTTCGAGTAACAAAAAAAATAGGGGGGGGTTTGGCACAAACCTGGAGCTACCAATCGTTACGATTTTATTCGATTTAAAGTGAAAGGTAAGCTGTAGAAACAGCTAAAGCTCATCGATTGCTTGATTGAATTTAATTTTCTTGTTCCAATATGCCTTGATATCCAACTCTTACTGGTCAGACTAATCCTGTGCCTGCCTGTAAAAGGTCCTCTGTTGTGGGAAGTCCCTGTTGTTAGCCTGGCTGATGGACTTGGGTCAAAAAACTAATTTTTGAGTTGCAGGTAACACATTCCATGTTGTGATGAAGGCTGCTGCTGAAAAGAATCTGTTAACTGTAAAGGATACCTGAAGCTTTTTCTATGTTTTTTGGAATTATTATTTTTTTGTACTTATCTTTTTCTTGAAATATTAATTTTTATTGATGTCATTACCATGTCTCATAAGTAGTGGTAATAGTCTTAAATTTCATAAGATAAAAATCACATATGATATCTTGTTGCAAAATAAAATGATAAAAAGTTTTAAAAGGGTAAAAAATAGTTGAAACTTGTAAAAAGGCTAAACTTATGGCACTACCTTGTGTTGGAAAATTTGAAAATTATATCAGACACGAGAACTCGCACAGACATATGTGGCCAAATGATATGCAGAGGATGGTATCACACTTAATTCATTCCTAAGGGGGACACACAGTGCGCATGGACAACAGGAGGACAACCTGTGGTGTATGGGTTTTAATATTTAACAAAAGTTAGCTGAAACCATCACTAATTATTCAACAATGTTCACCGAGCCTGAGGCAAATAAGTATTGTGATAGGAAAAACATTCTCTTTCTTTGCTTCCAATTTGTGACACACCAAGGAAATGAACATGTGGATTCTGGTGAGTAGACCACATGTTCAATCTGTGAACTGCACATGACAGAACCAAAAACTGAATTTAACCGGACAACATGTAGTGAATGTGTCAATGTACATTTGAAAGAGAGTTTTATGGGTTAATCTTCTAAAATAAAGACAATAAAGGCCAGTTCAGTCTGAAAATGCCCCTGCTTTATTCTTTTATTATTGAGAGTAAGTGATGCAAGTTTACTAGACCAGTCACCAAGTTGAGCAAGGCAAAACCTATGCAACCTGGATTTACCTTCAACACTAAATTGAAAATTGATCTAATTCAAGTGAAGTTAACTTAAGTGCAGTTTGCATGTACATCATATTACCAGATCCTAAAACAGTTGCATGCATTTAGAATCTATTTTTGATGGTAGTAAGATGTGCTTGTGCTGTTGCACTATGATCACTTGAACTAAGTAATTGAAGCAAGATATAGTGCAATCCTCAAACAATCAGGGCAAGTGCATCTCTGAAATCAAACAAGCAGTTATACTGATATAAAATAAGGATAGGTGCAAATTGAAAGCAAACCATGCATCTTTTATAGCCGCATGAATTAAAAATCTCTTTTATAGGATAAGGGTATTCTTGTGACTGTTACACTGGGTTTAAAGTAAAATGCATGACTTTTAGCCAAGCTGAGGTCAATTTGCTGTGTTCTTTAGGTTGGAGGCTTTATTTCCACAATATTTCTCCTCAACCTGAACCAGGGATATAATCTGCTGCTCAACACCCAGTGATGGACTTGTACTATTATAGTAATAATCACTTCATGTCAGGCAAAAATCATTGGGCAGTCAGCCTTTTGATCCATGCTTGTGAAAAAAGCTAGCTACATTGAGAATTCTATTCATTAATAAATAAATTCTGTGTTGAAATATCCCTTCCAATTCCTAGCAAATGATGAACTCACTTAAAAAGTAAAACTGTGGGCAAGAGCACTAATGGTAAAGAATTACAATTTTAATACTGTCATTGCATATTCAAATTTTTCTTATCATTATCATTACTACTATTTTAATAATCATCACACTCCCTATTACAACCACTATCATTATTTTATGGGCCTGAAGACAAGATTCTATTCTATTCTTGGTCCCTTATTTTTTATCCTGTATGTTAATGATTTGAACAACGCTTCCCTGCTTGATGCAATCTTGTTTGCTGATGATACAAACTTATTTATCTCCCATAATGATCCTGTTTACCTAATTAACACATTGAATAGAGAATCAAACAAATTGTCAACTTGGTTTGCAGCAAACCGGCTCTCCTTGAATTTAGCCAAGACTAATTTTATGGTATTCAAGCCTTGGCAAAAGAAGCAATCCTTTGAATTTAAAGTTTTCATAAATGAGCAGCCTATTCTTCGTGTTTCTGAGACCATGTTTTTGGGTGTTTTATTAGATGACAATTTGACCTGGAAATCGCATATATCCTTAACAGCAAATAAATTATCCAAATCTATAGGTATTATTCATAAATCTAGGTTTTTCTCTCTACTCACTCCCTTCGTACTTTTTATACAATTCTATGATCCTTCCATATTTGTATTATTGCAATTTAGCTTGGGCTGGTACCTATAAGTCAAACCTTCAAAGAATTGTAACCTTACAGAAACGTGCGTTAAGAATAGTAAGCAATTCTACATACATTGCCCATACTGGCCCTATTTTTAAGGAACTTAAACTCTTAAAATTTCATGATATCCATTTGTTTCAATTAGGTACTTTTATGTTTTCATTCATGAACTCTACACTCCCTTCCAAATTCATAACTTTTTTTTACTGAATAGTCAAATCCACAATTATAATACTAGGAATGCTCAGTCCTTCCGCTTGCCACTGTGCAGAACGAACACCAGGAAGTTTTCAATTTACTTTAAAGGTCCAAACTTTTATAATTCGCTAAATTCTGACATAACTAGTTCTCCCTCCTCCGCTTCTTTTAAAAGAAAGCTTAAGGAATTTCTTCTCTCTAGGTATTAACTTCTGTAAGGCAGTAATTCTTAACTAACTTACTTAATATGTGTGTGCGTGTGTGTGTGTGTGTACGTGTGCATGGTCAAAGTTAATTACCATAAGTCCATATTGTAATTCTAATATAAGATTAGTTATTTTAAGTGAGAAAGCCTGACTTGTTATAAGCCTCGTGGTTTCTTTCAGGTTTTCTCGCCATTTATTCTCTGTCATCAATTTTCTTCATTTTTTTTTTTTTTTTTTCCATCTGTAAATGTCGTATATGGCAAAATAAATATTGTAATTGTATTGTAATATTGTAAGATTCCTTACTAAAGCCTCTTAAAAATCTGAGGTACACTGATTAACATCAGCCTTTCACCCCTCCCACCTTGTAAGATGTCTGATCTCAGAAACTTTGGTATGTACTGTGGGATGAACACCTTGAGGGAAAATTAATTTGATATGGTGAAACACTGTGCCACACAGTGGACTTTTGAGTCCAGCATTAATATTAGAATATCCTGAACTTTAGTTGAAAGGTCTGGATTTTCATTCTTAACACTTAACACCATAACACAGTATTCATAACCTCCACACTGTTGTTTTACATTTCCTACTGCACTGACAAGGACAGTCAGGAAAAGTAATAATTTCCTTTACCCTGATTTTTATTCAATCATGCTCTAGGAACTGTGCAAGTCAGTCCAGTATGCTAAATTGAACAGAAAAATGTCCCAAAGAAGGGGCAAAAAAGTTTTTTGTCAATCATGTTCAGCTTGCTTAACAAAATTGCTAAAAAAGAAAATGGTATGTTTCAAAATTTTTTTTAAGCACTGAACACTTGCTTTGATAATAAAGTTGTACTTTAAAAAGGAAGGTTATAATGAAGGACTCCATACCAAACTTATTTTAGTTAGAAAGGCTTTACAAGTCATGAGACACACTAGCCTTTTGATTAAGAATCCATTGTTTGAGAGCCTGGATTCCACCTACTGTCAGCACACAGTGTTCCTCCACAAATCCTTCAGGAAGTGGGTTGTGAAGTCCAATGGTCATACTGGCCTTCAATGCAACACTGCCGTCAAAATTAACAAAACACATGCGAACAGTGAGTTCTGTTGAAGGTCTAAGGAATGCTGGACCTCCAGGCATGAGTGCGACTGACACCTCTTCAAAGATTGCATCACACATTTGCTGTGCAGTGGTGATACCCCGATTGGAAAGTGCACATCTGATGACTTCAAAATCAGGGAACATGTAGAAGCCACCCTGAGGTTTCACAGCTCTCACCCCTACTTCTGTAAGGTGCTGATAACTATAATCAGCTACAGCTGCCAGGATGCGGCATTCATGGGCTATGTAAGCTTTTGACTCTTTGGATGGAGTAAGGCAAGTTACAGCAGCATACTGCATGGGTGCAGCCGCACATGAGTAAGAATGGCTTGCAGCACTTTTGACAGCATCTAACAAGGGTCTCAATTGAGCTGGGTAGATCTGATAGCCTACCCTCCAACCACCTGCACTGGCCCACTTAGATAAACCTGAACTCAGAATGGTTCCTTCTGGATAAAACTTTACCAATGAACAGTGAGAATCTGCAAAGTTCAAGCGTCCATAAATCTCATCGGACAGTACGATGGCATTGTGTTTTCTAAGCACCGGCAGTAATTCTTTCCAGTGTTCCTGAGTGTAAGCAGTTCCCGTAGGATTATCGGGGTTGACCAAAACGATGATTTTGTTTTTCGCGGATGATCGGCTAAGAGCTCGATCTAATATGTCCGGAGTGACCCGCCAGTCGTGCCGATACTCAGTTGTAATAACTATGGCATCGTGGTGCGCAAGGCGAGCTTGGGGCTTGAATGTTGTCCACGTAGGAGACAAAACAAAGACATCACCACTGAAAACCGCGAGGAGGAGGAAGATCAGTTCCTTAGAGCCTGGTCCCACAATAACGTTGTCTGGCAAAACTTCAAAACCGTCAAATTCTCGATGAAATTCACAGATGGCGTTCCTCAGCTGCGAGATTCCAGCCACGGGAAGGTAAGCATTCTTCTCGGCGTTCTGTGCGAGAACCAAGCGAGCTGACTCCATTACTGGAAATGGTGACTGACCGAATGCTAGATGATATACTGGCTTTCCAGATGCCATAAGCTCTTTCACCTTCTCGTTCAAAAGTAAGTTTGAGGCAGGAGCGTAGTCGTAAAGATCCGACCTGACGAGATCCTCACTGACTCTAGCCATAGTTCTTAATTTTTTTGTCGGATAACTTCAAGTCAAATCAATGTTCCTGGCAATGCATCGTGGGAATGTTTATAACCCTGTTGAGAAAAGCGTGTTGCTCAGTTGCTATTTTCATTAAACAGTGGTTAAACCTCGCAGTGTTGCATGGAGTGTGGATGATAAAGTTTCTTTCTTAGGTTACTATGGATGCTCCGAAACAACAGAGGTGGTTAAATGGTGGTAGTAACCTTGCCCGTGGACGCCGAGCTCCTTATAATTAGTTTGCATCGCTCGTCATAGTAAGGCGCACAACTATCTTTTTAAAAACAACCTTGTTCTAAACACAGCACAGAGGATTGACCAGCGCCCTGCTTGAGTGCATACTTATTTCGACAATTTTACTGAAGTTGTGATTTGTTCTTTAGGTAAACCCGACTCGTATCATTTTCACCAAGATCATTCCTTACGTTCAAATTGACTATTCTAGAAACTCACGAAATGTGGAGACAAAGAAAAGAGCTTAGCAGCGATATGTGCAACTTATTAAACAACGGAGACAGGAACAATTACTTGTGCTTCTTCATGTTCGGTTTACTACAACGCCGTAACAAATCTTACGGGTGCTGAAGCCACGATTCGGCTAACTGCAGAATAACCTGCTACTCAGTTACATGTCATTGAATAAGAATAGATTCTATTGTGCTATGCCTCATTCTTGAAAGCCACACGACACACGTAAATGAGGTGGATCAAAGTGGCAGGGTATTCCGCAGTTACTCCGAGAAATCTGTACAGGCGACCAAGGTCAAGATTCTCTAACACGGATTGACCTAACTCTAAATGATGATATTGCCAAATAAAGAGTTCAAGGGAATAATATTATTGTGTTGACACTTCTGCATGCTGATTTTGTGACGTCACTGGTGTGATGTTGAGGCTAACCAGAGGGCCATTGTCTAGTTCTCGCGATCCAAGCACAAGAACTAGGCTTGGTGCGAAGTTGCCTTCTCGAGCCCAGGGTCATTTTGGCTCCTCGTGAGTGGTATGGTCATGGGGAATTATTATCCACAATACATATTATGTCCATATAATGTCCTATAATAATTTCCCATACATGATTTACCAAGGAATTTGGCGACCATATCACTGACAAGGAGCTAAAATGACCCTGGGCTCGAGATTGGTCGGTGTCAAGAATGAAGAGTTGTGGTAGTGAAAATGGGCGAAAATTTCTCGAAATTCAATGTGGGAGAGAGGCAATCACTTAAGTGAAAGCAGAAAAGGAAAGAAAAAGGCAGAACTGATCGATCTATGCAAGAAGGTCGCCGGAAAGAAGCAGAAGACCTGACGTTCTAGAGCTCTTGTTTACATAATTTAACCATTGCTTTTTTTTTCCTGCTGGTTCGTAGCGAGAGCTTATGTGGCAGTGAGTTCATCAAGAATCTCGAATTCCTCTTAAAACCCATCGGCGTTGATTTTCTGTAAATGCGCTCTACTGTTTGTGCGACTCGAAGTACACGAGACAGAAGCAAAAATCTCAGTAGAATTGTAAATTAACTTTACAGTTCGTACGACTCGGAGTACACGAGACAGAAGCAAAAATCTCAGTAGAACTGTGAATGAACTTTACAGTTCGTACGACTCGGAGTTCACGAGAGAGAAGCAGAAATCTCAGAAGAACTGTGACACGAAACCTCAAGGGCTTCCATTACAAAGACTAAAGTTACGAAATCCTACAAAAATTCTTTAAGCAAATGACTATATCGTCACGCAGTTCTAAGTCACACAAGTCTTAGTTCACTCTGTTACACTTTCTTTAATTTACGAATGACACCAAACGAAACAAAATTGAAATATGTAATTTGCGAAATAAACTCGAAATATCTGTAATTTGCAAACAAGAAGTGCGCAAAACTATGGCAACCGGCGGGAAGAATCAACCGATCAATTCACTATAAATGTGGATTACAGCAATTTATAACAACCAGGAAAAGTGCCAAAGGAAAATCTTCGTCGTGTACTTTGCGAAATCTTGTACGTTTGCGATGAATTATCGGAATGCGTGACGCGACACTTTTCCCGAATTGAAAGCGTCACGCATTCCGATAATTCATCGCAAACGTACAAGATTTCGCAAAGTACACAACAACATATTCATGTGCATGTCGGTATTTATCCATTGTTCATTAGTCTTTTTGAATATATTAATTTGTTCCACTTATTAGAATTCATTGATTACCGGATAGCCAGATTACCTTCTGAGATTGTTACATGCACTTTCTTCTTTTTTAGGACAACTTTTCTGCAAACGGCTGTATACATACCAACGATACTGTCTGCTTTGTGAATAGTACTTGCTATTCTCTTCAGAACTAGCCAATCAGCCCAATCAGCACGATTCACTTATGTATACATATGCCAATTAACAATTTTTCACTGGTGCATAGTGATGAATATTTAAAGTGGTGAGGTAATCCACTGACATGGAGATTAATAATTCTTTTTTCTTAGGCCTTAAGTTACATACAGCAATCTTGCATCACACTTTGCACCCTTATCTGTTTTAAAACTAACATACACATGTAATTTCCTCAATTCAGATTTCAGATCTGACCCTTGTTAAAAATAGTCCTTATTTCCAACTGACCAGCCATATTATGATTAATCCATAATTTTTATTGCTATTGAACAAAAAAATAAAAATAAAAATGTCCCTTTGTGAGCAAAGTGAATGAAAAATTCATACTTAATTGAGCACAACAGATGTACTGCATGACTTTTGAGAGGGGATCCCCGATAAAAAAACCCCTTTCATAACATTTGTGCATTTAGTCCTTATGGTTGTTAAGGTCTGACACAGTTTTTTTCATGTTCAAGTATTAGCTGGGGTAAAATTAACTACAAGCCTCGCTGGCAGAGGCAGCTGTTTTTCCTCAACTCAGAACATCAGATCAAAGCAGCATCTTGACTGCATGACTCCCTAAGACTGAACTACAGCATTAGAGTAAACAACTTCCTCAAACAGCATATACACCATGACTATACCACAAAAGCACATTCAAGAAAAGCATAGAAGAACCGTACCCTGCTTTTAATAAACTGCAGTGTCTATTTGTAGCGTAAATTTGTACAGTCTATAGATTGTGTTAGTCACGTATTACGCCGTTATATATCTATGATCCCCACCCTCCTTTATGATACTAAGGGCAAGGAAGATGAGATTCTCACTTGGATCCAAGCTTAACAGGTCTTAGGCTTTTAGTGTTGCGTATATGTCTGGGTTGAAGTTTACTGTAAAGTTTTTAGTCGACCCAATTTTCCTTGAAACAGAGTAACCGTGAGCTTTAAGATTCTTATAGGACTTAAACTTCTCCGCCGTGAAATTTAAGTAAGTAAGTAACTTTATTTAACCACATATCGCATATGAGCGAATAGCTCGTTTAAATGCAAATGTGCCATAAAAAATTGACATAATTTACATGTATGTATAAGTAATAGGTAAGAAATAAAAATTAATTATCTAGAATGAATAATTGCTATTAAAGTAATCAATAATTTAATAAAAGGGAATATCGGTGACTAGACTATTTGTTTACAAAACAAACAGCTGCAGTCATACGATGAGGACAACTGTATGTCTTGCAAATTTTTCCTAAATATAGAAAGGGATTCCGACATCCTTATTTTGTCTGTCAGATTGTTCCATTGTTTGCTAGCCTGGTACGTAAAAGAATGTTGCATATAAGATGAGGTTGGTCTTGGAAGAACAACCTTAAGATGGCCACGTAGGCTGTAACCATTACTTCGCAGAGAAAACATTTCTTGAATGTAGTTTGGTGTCTGGTTATGAATACTTTTATATACAAGTATAAGTGCTTGTTCTATGTGCTGATGTTCTAAACTTTTAATGTTTGCAGTTTTCAATAACTCTTCGTAAGCAGTTGATTTAGAATAATTGAGAAGATTCCTCAGAGCGAATGAGTTGGTTGACTCCAGTTTCGCAGACAGACCCTTACTTAGACCCATAAACAGTGGTGATGCATATTCGAAGTGAGGGAGAATGAAAGCTTTGTACAATTTAATCATCACATCTGAGGGTATAAATTTACGAATGCGACGGAGAATTGAAACTTTTGTGTTCACTTTCTAGCAAACTTCTTTAATGTGTACGTTGAAAGAGAATGGATTGTTCAATGACTACTCCAAGAAGCTTGATATGTGTAACATAATCCAGTTCATTACTGTCAATAACAAAGGGTGTTGGTAAAGTTGCTCTGTTGAAAACAATGGATTGAGATTTACTATGATTGATCGCCAGAAAGTTCTCACAAAACCAGGAAGTGAGTAGACCAACGTTGTTTTGTAGATTTATTTGCAAGGTAGATGGACAAAGGTTTGAAGAGTACCCAGTAGTGTCATCGGCATAAAATCTTAAAGAGCACGAAATATCTGAAAAATTCATATCGTTCATATATATATTGAAGAGAAGGGGGCCCAAGATTGAGCCTTGAGGAACTCCACACCTCATAATTTGCCAATCCGACAAAATACCGTCAGTCTTGACATGTTGCTTACTGTCAGTCAAGTAAGAACGTAGAAGTTGTAAGGCGTCTTTGGTTACACCATAAGCTGACAGCTTTGCAAGAAGCAAATCATGATTGATAGAGTCGAATGCTTTGGAGAGATCTATGGTAACTGCTGCAGAGTGTTCGCAGGAGTCTAATTTTTTCCTAATGTCTTCGAATGTCTTGAGAAGGGCTGTCGTACATGAGTGTCCTTTCAAGAAACCAGACAAATTCCCGCTGAGAAAGTCAAGAGAAAACTCGTATGACTGATCAAAGATAACTCTTTCCGCTACCTTTGAAACAGCCGATAATACAGATAAATCGCCAGAACTACTCCTGAGACAATGCAAAACATCGCCGTAGCTCATTTGAGGCCACGGCAGCGGCGAATCCGACCTTAATTTCTCTTAGTTCTAAACCTCGTTAAAGTTTCGGACCTCGTCAAACCTCGTTCAATGGAAACTTTTAGCTTCTCAAAAGGTCTCCGCCACAAGCTCTTCGCCCTTCCGTCGCCATATTCCATCATGTCATATGATCTTTCGCATGCGCAGCACGATGTAAACAAAGACCTGGCTTCTCGCGGTTAAAACTGGAAACGAAATGATACTCCGGGTTTCGAGCAGCTAGGGTTCTCTTTGATGTAGTTCGTACCCACCATTTTGTGTCATGGATTGGGTCAATCGACAAACAGCCCATGAACGCCCTGTAAGTGGACTTAATCTTTTTTTTTTTCTGTCTTTTGTTTTTTTTTCCTAAAAATGGGATAAACTGCAAGTCATGTTCTATGCAGTGTTAGTAATGGTATTTTTTGTGTACGTCGGCCATCTTACTTATATTTGTTTCAATTATATTTCTGTTTATGTCGTGGGTTGTTATTACACTCGGGGCCAGTCCTTTATTTGTGATCCTGGCATCATTTTCTGTTGATGTTACAGGATTTATTGGAGTGGAGAAAGCGTCAAGGGAAGGCAGCATGGTATGGCCTTTGGTCAATAATTATAGGTAAGCTTGTACAAGCAAGCCTCTCTATATATAATTTTTAAACTTAAGAATTCTGATAAAAGTTTTGTTCTTGTGCATATCTTACCTAAAGAAGAGTTAGTAGAGGGAATTAGTCCGTAAAAATCTTCATGACGCAATAGATGTTGCACTTGTTGATCAGTTTTGAGGAACAGCTAATTGTTTTCCACCAATCAAAGATAATGGACAAGGTTGCTTTTGAGAAAACTGTGATCTGTCGGTAGAAACCTTTGCAGCCAAAGACTGAGGCTAATGATTGATCTGTAAGGCACTGATAAATGACATAATCTGTGGTGTGTGCTTTTGATCACTGAGTTTTCTTTGTCAATAAACATTTTAAGCAGAACCTAGTACTGTAGGATCATGGAGTAACTTCTGAGAACAGTATATATATTTGGTATATGCCACGCAAGTGAATAGTGCTTTTTGCACATGCTGATTGGCAAGTTGAGAAGTGAATAGGAAGTACTATTCACCTCTAAGGAGTGGATGAGACAAAATCGCATATCAAAAGATTAATTTTCTGACCATTTTTCAGTATAGTGATGCAAATAAACTAGTTTTTCATATCTGTGTTGTTTATTATAAAAAAATTATTCATCCTGATGCAGTGTCTGTGAAAGTGGTGGATATTTACCTTGCAACTTTGGAAATATGCACTATTATTATCCAACTGCACAAAGTAGACAACAAATAATGGGTGAATAGAGTACAAATATCCTGCGATATTGGATGGTTGTTTGGACAGTTGGTTATTTTGTACTGAAAATAAGCCTGTTTAACCAGTCAGCTGTGTGTGCTACACTTCTCTATCTACTTTGCTTTTCCTGCCTTATGAGAAATGAGCAGAAAGACTTAGCAGAAAAAAAGCGGTTGGATAATAAATAACTTATTAGACGTTTTGGTGTTTAGTATCGCTGAGTATTTTTACTTGTTTGTATTTTGATTCACCCTACGTGCTTGTTAAAATATGGCACAACTTGCAAGAATACTCGGCAATACTACACACAAAAATGTCTAATAAGATACATCTAGTTACCTCCACCTCGGTGAATAATTATTGTTGAATATTATGACAAATGTGCTGATGAGACAACACCTATTGGCACATACTAAACATAAATGTCTGATTGTCCACCTGGTTGCCGTGTGAACTTTAATATATTTCATGAATGACATGTATTGAATATCTTATGCAGTGCAAGAAATGAAGGAATCTCTTCTTATATTGATATGGACAGAAAGCTGCAGAAATTTTGCCCAGTTTGGAAATCTGTTCCATTTCTGGTGTAAATTTGATTGTTTCTTTTAGAAGGGGGCCAAACTCAGATACCCCCTCACCTCTACCAGTAGAGGTGAGGGGGTGGTACTTCCTCAATACTACTTTTAGTGGTTTTGTCTATTTAGTAAGTACATACAGAATTATTTCTTTGTTTCAATTTTTAGGTAGTAGCGTGACTTTTTCAGGCCTTTCGTTCTTCCGGCTGCAAATACCCAAGAAGTACATTCCACTTTTGTCTCTAAGTATGTGTTAATATAAGAGTTTTATTGATATACGAGATATCAAAAGTTCATTTTCCTTTTATATCATGACTGAAAATTCACTCTGAATGTATATATAATACAGTTGTATACTCACAAGAATGACAAAATTGGAAGAGTATGGGTGTGATTTCATGAAAAGCATCATTTGCTCATCATAATAACAGAAAAAGCACACATTTAAGTTGTACTTAGTTTGATTTGAAACATTCTCAGTAACTTCTTGTTTCACAACATTATATAAAGTTGCAGATGTTCTATGCAAATTACTTTTCAATCCTCATGAACTTCCATTCCAACAAAATGATGAAGTTTAATCTAAGATCCAAGTGCTGTTTGCCAATGCTGGTTACCATTAACTTTGTCACTCAGTGTAACAGGCTGTGTTCAGGCATATCTTAAAGATGATTCTGTCTATGGAATGTCATTTTCCTCTTTTATTAGAAATGCCTCCCAGCATATCAGTTCTGTTCTTGAATGTGCTAGTCAACTGAAAAACTTGCTTGAGTGTGTTTTAGGTAGAAAACCCCATGAGTAAAGGGTTTCTTTTGAGCTCAGAACCTCATGTATTCCCTTAGTTTTAACCCAGTTTAAGAATATTAAAGAAATCACTGGACATAAACAACTTTTATTTCTGGAAAGGTACTGCTCTAAGCATGAAAAATATTTTTTCCTCATATTTGAAGTATATTCAAGACCTTTGTCTCATAATGTAATCACGTCTGACATGGATCAGAATTGTTTACAATGTGAGAAAAATGATTACACTTCATGTAAAAATGTAGTCATTAAATTGATTTGGCACAGCCTTTTTTTACTTTTCTTCCTTTAAGATTGACATTCTTTTTTGTTTATAGCTGCTGGAGCTTGCTCTGGTTGGTATGTTTCACACAGAATTATGAGGTCTTCCTCTCCATCTGATGTGGGTTCTGCTGTTCCAGACATCAGTCAGTCATTAGGTAAGTTTAGGTAACCTTTTGTTAAACTTCTAAGTTACCACCTTTCTGTTCTTCATGAAAGAAAATTTCCCAGTGGTTTGGTTTGTGTTTGCTTAAGTCCTTCTTCCTCATTTTGTGCATGACCTTTTGTTTCAGGCCTTTGCTTAGTGGTCTTATATCCAAAGAGACAACCACAAACCCATTAGGCTTGGCTAATATAAGAGAAAAAGTCTCTTTTAAGAAATTTTCATGTAATTAAGAACAAGAAACTACATTTAATATTCCATCTAACTGACACCTTAAATTGGTTTCCAACCAAACACAAAATGTGTAGAAAATTAAGAAAACTGCAAACCACGAAGGACAAAAAAAACTTAAAAACTAAAAAATTTTTTCCATGGGAGGGCAAAATACAATTTCAAAAGAGGCTAGTCTGCACAACCAGTATAATTTTTGATCATAATGTTTTGTTTCCTTTTGCTGTAGAGAAATTTTTAATAAATGTGCTTGTATTATTTATGTGCATATTGCATTCAATTTTCAGATAATTGTTTATTTAATTCAGATACTAATTTTTCATTTTTTGTCATTAAAAATGTAGAGAACAATGCATCAGCTATGCAGGAATCAAAATTTGGAGACAAAGACTTCATTAAAGAGTGATATATCACCTGTGGTTTACCATGGTGTCCCTGTCTATCAATTGTAGAAAGGGGTGTTTTAATAATTAAATATATGGATTGTTCATAAATGTTTGAAACAATCAACCTTTTTGTTATAATGTGGATTGTACATTAATGTTAAAAAAAAAATCAATCTTTTGCCAATGCCATAACATCAGAATGTTGTGTTACAGCAGAATGAAAGACTGACTCAGCACAATACTTAGTTTTGTTTCATGTAATTGTGTTCAAGTTAGTCACTCTGTCGAAAAGTAACTATTCGTAAAAAAACATGGAAGGTGATGGAAAGGCAATTGTCAGGCCCTGGCGGTTAAAAGGGCAGAGACAGGAACAGAAGGGTTTATTGTCATGGTACACTTTGGGAGAAAACTTAATTGAGCTATTTGAGGCTAAGTCTTTAAATTTGTTGGGGCCCTTGAACACGCCTTGGAATTTCCTTCTTTGGTTTTGTTAGGCCAACATTATCTCTCCCTAATTTTGTGTGAGAATTCAATGTTTTTAGAAAAATTGGAGTAACTAACTACAGAGGAAATTTTTCAAATACTTAAAGAAACTACTACATAAACCTTGGGGGTAATTACAAATTTAGTCTTTGAAAGGATTTAAGAGTATTCTCCAGTTTTCATTGTGTGGATTAAAGATCTTCTTTCTATGAATACCTACATGTACCCAGTGTTGTTTGTGGTCTGTTCAATAGCAGAGGCGAGGGGAAGTCAACCTTTGTTCATATCCTGTCTTTGGTAGAGAAAAAAAACCTTTATTGGCCAAGATGCACAACTTCATTGCATAAATGCCCTGTTATTTATGGGTTGGAATTGACATCTTGGACTTGTCATTCTTGCATTTTTCAGATCTTCTATGTCTTTTGTGATAATTATAAAACATTATGAGTTTACTTGTTTCCCATTCCTGTTTTAAATTTGCATATTCAGTCATTTTCCATTAAAGGCCTAATATGGAACAGTTTGTTATGGTAATTGATGAAGTTTGCTGCTGAAGTTGCATGAATTCAAGAAATCCCAAGATCATGTGGCATTCAGCCAGAGTGCAAATATTGGGAAAAATACCACTTAAAGTGAAGACTTCCTTCATTTGAGAACTCAGCACTGTCATGTAGAAGTGAGAAGTTACTGCCTTTCACTTAAAATGACTGACATTTAGCCACATTCTTGTATTTATTGGTAGAGTAGGAGACAATCAAAAATAAAAGGAAATAAAGGAAAAAGAATTATCCAAACTAGAAATATAGATTGACCCCAAACAAAAAGGAAATGGTTCTCAAGTCCGTTTAAACCTTAAAATGAGTATTATTCGTTGGGAGGGGACCATGTGCTGCCATCATACAAAACCTATTTAGTCCAGATAAGCTCCCTTTTCAAGAAACTAAATGTGAAATTTTACACCCTGTTTCTCTGTTCACTGGCATATACCAGTTTAGGCTGAACGAGGAGGGTACCCCTCCCATTGAGACTGATACAGTAAAACATTTATAGATATTGTGTTCCTTTTCCCACCATACCCTACTTAGGTTCAAATTAATGTGTATCATCACCATTACCTCAGTACAGTACATCACACAAGAAACACAAGAAACTTATCTTGAACAAAAGAAGCCTTTTATCATGATAAAATGGATAAAATGAATAGATGCAGATTTGTGTGGGGCTTTAGGCAATGCGGGAAAGTGAAATTTCAAAAGAGTGAGATGAGGGTATAATTCAAAACTGAAAACTTTCCTTGTTAGATGGATGTTAATAAAGATTACTTGCAGTAAACACTTAACACTACAATCCATCCCAGCATGGCACAGAGGAAAATCTTTTGCCGCAACCACTCTATGTTTTGTCAAAATCAAAATTGAACAACGAGGTAGACTCAGTGTCTGGAAATACAAAGAGATAATAAGACGCACTTTTGGGTGCGGCGTAACAATACTGACCTTATTCCAGATTTCAATCTCACTTCCGGTGCATTCCGCAAGGGATCACGGGACTAAGCTTTCAGTTTTGTAGGAAGTAGCGGGGATTACAGTCGCTGAGGAGAAAATCTTGCCTATATTTCCATCACACCACTCTATGATAGTCTTTGGCTTCTGGAACGTGTTATAATTCAGTTCTCTCGACCTCCTTCCCGTGGCATGTGACGTTTTGAGCGCGCGCAAATCTTTTCACTGTGAACGACTTGTGGTGAAGGTATGCGGTAAAGTAAATAACTTAATGTGCCGTGTGTTCTTTCAGGGTGGTATATTTTTACCCTTTAATCTTTGAATAAGCCCCGTCTTTGGAAGCCATATGCTAGAAGATACTTGATCAACTACAGATGCGCAGAAAATCAAATTTGGCTTCTGCTTGCTCGCTTCTACTTTTGATCTCACTTCCAGCTGTTATCCCCTTGTGTCGACTTTTTGTCTTTCATGAAGTTTTTTAAAGTAAATAATATAGACCACATTCTTGTCACAAGATGCTGGTGTTAAAAACAAAACCAAAGTACTTGCAGCATTGTTAAACAAATTTTTGTTCGTAAAATGCTTAGCGCGTTCAAAAACAAGTTGACATAAAATCAATTTGTTCTTTTGCCAATATTGACGTTTACCCTGAAGGCTTAAAATGCCTAGATTGAAGTGCTTCAGTTGGTTTCTGTTTCTGACTGAAGTTGTCCTGAAACTGAGAGTTTTTGTTATTGTTTTTTTCCGTTCTCTTCTCAGGATTATCTCGGGCGAGGAAGGTTGTCTCTGAAACTATTTTGGGTTTAATTTTCATGCTTTTATTTGCACGAACAAGAATCATGTTTGCGTGTCTTGCGTTGAAAAAATGTTAAATTGTAACTTGCTAATTGTGACCGCGAATATTTCATTTTTCTGTGAGAGTCATGATAAGTGCCACAAAATTTGTCTTATTCACTGCATATTTATATTTGTTCACGGCTTTATCTGACCTTAAACTGATCTAATCGAGGGTTTAAAGGGATTGGAGAATGAAGCTGACTCTTTCAACATAAGCAATCTTCCCAGAGCCCACAACGAGCAAATAGCACGCTGTGGAAATTTTAATTTTGTATTCAAGAACACAATATTATTCGGAAAATATTTACTCTGAGAATTTGCGTGTGAAGAAGTCGACAATTTTTACAGCTTCAATGTGAGCGCACGAAAATGAAAGTTTCTCATGCGAAAAGAGGTCAACAAAGGTGGAATACGATTTGTTGGTGATCATATCATTTTGGCGAGGACTTAACGATGGTAGTTATATTGTTTTGGTTTCTTTTGGGTTCTCGCCCACCATTTCATGGAGAACGAGGTTATTTATAGCAGTGGTGTTACCTCGTTCACCTCCTTAAAAGGGAAATTCTGTATGTTTATGATTATTCATGAATTTTCAGCTGACGTTATTTATGCTTTCAAACGTATTGGATGACTCTAATTACCCTGGTACACAAATTAACAAACCAAGTCTATCTCTCTCGTCAGATCTTCACATCTGTCTTTCCCAGACATAGCAGAAATTTTAAGGAAACATACAAGTCACTACGTGTTTTTATCAGTATTCTGATATAAGCTTTAGTCACTTAGTACTCTGACATCATGAAATCAAGGATAAAGAATATTTTATTAAAGAAAAGTTACTGTTTGCTTTTAATTACTTTTTTTTAATTTTAACATCTTACATCACCTCAGAAATTGAAATCAAATGTCAGAATAATATACTACCAGCACATTGATAAAGAATGTTCAAGGGAATGTTGAATCATAGAATTTACTTTTAGGTGGTTCATAGTGAATGCATATTGTAGTGTAAGATTCTTGGGCTCAAAAATTATATGAATGGGAGAAATGTTGGCCTGGATTCCAGATTCCACTTGTCTAGATCAGATTACAGAAATAATTGTTATTCTCTTGCGAAAACTAGAATTGTCCTGACAAAATCAAAGGACAAATTTTGCCATGACAAATTTTTGTTTCCTCTGTTGCATCCGCATTGAAAATTTCAAAGCTGTAAAATTCTGTCAATACCTGATCTGTTTATAAGACTGGCTAGCATAGTTTGCCAAAGGATTCCGTCTCTAATTTCCAACAGTTTATCCTAGGTCATTTTAAAATTTCAGAATCCCTGAGTCGTGCAACTTGAGGCAATTTAAACCTTTCTAGTAGACAGATTTCAGTTCAATTACATGCTGGTTGTAGCTTTTACTACAAATGATCAACAAGTTTATCATGGTTTTGTTTGTTTAGTCAATTTTGTCCAGTTTTCACCTGGGACAAATTATGTTGCTGGTGCGTTGAGGACTTGTCTGCTCTGGCCAAAATCTGTCAAGTTGTAACAAACCATCTGCACTTGTGAAATGTTCATGAGGACAGAGAATTTGTCTAAGTAAACAACCTTTTGGCTAGAGTGGAAAGGCCTTTTGTCATTCATTCCATGATAACAGAAACACAATTTAGGCTTGATTTCTGTCATTCTTTAGAGCCCAGTTACAATGTATCTCTCCTCCCAGAGAGGACTGGATAGGATAGCAGCCCGCCATGTCTGATTTAACCATCTCCAGACATTATTGTTTCAAATAATGTGATTCATATATTTCATTGGCTTTTGATATATTAAACTATTTTGATTTTGATGTTTCTTTGTTTTGTATCTTGACTGTCATTGTCTTGAAAATATATAAGGTTTGGGAAAGTATGAAGAAAGCAAATATTGAACTACAAAGAATACTAGACTTGGAATATTTTTTAATGAAGAAAAATGTTTAAAAATATGCACATACTCGAGTGTGGGCAAAAGTAAGGTTATAATAAGTGAGAATTTTACCAAATGTGATTGTGTCGATTTGAAGATGTCAACATTCATGCAATCATGATAAGTGTTGATACTTGGTTTTCAGAAAAAAATGTGTTGTTAAGACTTGATTAGTAAGACAGTAATTAATTGATAAGCAAAACAGCAACATACTTACAAGGAATCTTTCAAAACTTGAAAACAACTTTATTACCAAATGTTACTTTCTTTTGCATATTATTTGGTTCAGTTGTGTTTGAGGAAGTGAACAACAGGAAAACTGTTGTCTTTGAGGCAGGAAATTATGCATGTAGGGTATTTGGTGAGGAATGTGATCTTTTTTGGCTGTTATTCAAAGCATCAGTCGCAATTTTTTTTGTTTATTTAGTAGTTATGTAAGACTGCTTTGTGACTAATTCTTGTCCACTGTGTCAATTTTATTTTCTCTGTAAACAGTGTTTATGTGGATTAAGGTGGATTTGAATACCATGTAACACACAAAGTATTTGTGTTCAGTTGAATTTTTGTTTTTGTTTTTCTACTTGCAGAATGGTGTGATTATTATAAGGCAAAGATGAATATTTCTTTGTGGAGTGTGTTACTTTTGGCAAGTGTCTTTTTTCTGTCTGGAGGATGTCATGAAGGTAAGTTCTGTTTTGGATCATCTCAGACAACTAATTGAATTGTATTCCCAGTCCTAATTGTATGTATTCACTTAAATGCAGCTTTCATGATATTAAAAGATGAATAGCACATCAATTAGACCTGTTTTCCTCTGCAAAGTGCGATACATGTGTGGTTTGACTAATTAAAAACAGATACAGATGTTTATGTATGGCTCATGAAAGGGAAACATGTGAGCAACAAGTAAACTTGACATTGTTCATGCAACACATAACTTCATTTACTGCTGGCTATTTTAATTAGGAGGAAGGACCAGGAAGGAACCTCCACCCTCCCCACTGAATTTAATGAATCAAAAGTGCCTATGAATTAAAACATTTTCGGCCAATTCTTGGCCAAGGAAAAAAAACAACAACAACAACAAAAAAGAACAAAGAAACACATGGCCAATGCTACACTGAATCATAATTTTAAGAGAACATTTTTGTTTTGGGGTCTAAAATAATCCCTAAGAAGTCCTGAGAACTGGTACCCATGAGCAGCCCTTATGACATTACAACCCATTCAAATCCATTTGCCTATTATACTGAGCACGAGTCAAGTATGGGTTGATATTACTTAGGTTTATTGTTATGCAAATGTGTACAAACAGGCTTAACTGTTTCACTCCCAAGATCTCATTTTCCTTAAAGTCTGCAATAACAATTGTTATGATGTTGATTAGGAGAATTTGGATCAACTGATGATCCCCTACTTTATATTTTTCTTTATTCTATACCTTTTCTGCTTGATAATGCATTGATATTGTAAGGAGAACTTCTGTCTTGGTCACTCATGGGAGGTAGAAGGTTAACAGTCTTTACAAAATGATGTTCTTAATAATGCAATATGGTTGCAATGGTTGGCTCTTATCTTTTGTTTGGCTTTAATCCTTTAACTCCAAAGATCTGATTGTTATTACTTCCCTCTAGCTGCTATACATTTCCTTGTAAATTCAGTTACAAGAATTTGGTGTTAGATCAATTAAACAACTGCTGACTGATATGTCTGAGTATTCTCATTACCTGTTTGCTGCATGATGTATGGATATTATAGAGAGAAGTTGCACTTTAATCACTTCTGGGAGTGAAAAGGTTTACACAATTAAGCTCATATTTTGTCACTAGGCTGCTCCATGACAGCTTGATAGCAATACCAGAAAACTTATTTTCTGCTAGTGATAGATTTGATTCTCAGGTGCAAACCATTATTTCATTATCAAAGCATTTGAAGTGATGATCCTCATCTCTTTTTACAGGCCTTAGGAATGAAAGCACATCTTACATTTGTATTGTGCAAGGGTTCATTAAGCTATTGCCTCAAACCTGCAAACATGAATCTCTCTTCTATTATAATTATAAATAGTTATATGAATGAATACATTTCTTCAAAATGATTGGCCAAGAGTACTGCACATTTTTGGAATGAGAAAACTTTAAAAATAGTAAAAGAAAAGGCAAATTTCATTCAATAGGTACTTCAAAAACAAAATCTGAGTCCTATATAGTTGAGTTTTGTAGGTACAAACCTTTTTTGAGAGTATCTCACCTTGGTAAGGATACTTTGACAAATATAGTCAAGGACACATGCACTGTATCAGTTTTAAATCAACAAGCCATTTTTGTGGCTACTGCCTCATGTAGAGGCAAAGTCACTCATGTCATCAAAGTTAGTGAGATATTAAGAATTTTTTGCTGTGTCATGGCAAAAACTGAAAAAGATTTTATCTTTGGATTTACATAATTTGTTCATGTAAAGGGTAAAATATTCTCCCTTCATTGAAAATTTTTTTTTTAAGTTTCATGATATTTTTGCAATGAAAACTATTGTTTTGTATTGCACGCAATCCTGAAATGATTGTAGGACATTTATCATCTTCTGCTGTCATCTGTAGTGTCATAGAAAGCACTGAAAACATCAATGTGCTCGTGGCTATAAGCCAGAAATTACAAAAGGAGAGAACTCAACTGTGTATTGAGTTTGAGTGTAAACCTACTAACTAAGATACACCGAAACAAACAATAAGTAGCACTGGGAGTTGTCAATGCCATCTCAGTGAAAAGGATGAAAGCCACAGAGAAGGAAATGACATAATTTGATGGTAGATATCTTTGAAATTTCACCTATATATAGAAAAATTTAGCCCAAGATCAATAAAAGAATAGCTACAGCAAGTAAAATAAGAGTCCTTACAAAATTGTTATTATTCTCTGCAGATTGTTTGTTGCCTTTGGGAATGGAAGATGGTCGTATCAAGGATGAAAACATTCGTGCAAGGTCTTTTCTACCACTGGCTAGTCCTACTAATGCTAGATTGAATCATTCTGAAGAATATGGAGGGTGGTGCCCTGATCAGACGCAATATAAAAATAATACAGCTCCAATTTATAGAGAGTTCATACAAATTGAGTTTGGCACTCTTTTACGAGTCAAAGGAATTGTGACACAAGGTCGTGCTAATGGAGCTGAAAGAGTGGAGCAATACTGGTTTAGTTATCTTGGATCAGAGGGGACATATGAGTGGTATTATGAGGGCAACAGCCACAGATTGGAGGTATGTGCCAATAAAATACCAGATACTTTTGATACAATTTTATATGGATTAAATATGAGCAACACAATGGGAAGCTATTAAGGGGCAACACAGTAAAGTGGTTAGAAAACAGGCAGCTGTACTTGTAATCTGGTGGCTGCAAACTCAAGCCCTCCCCCTTGCCACTCACTGTATTTTTCCTCATCTCTGCAGTGTAACCCAGAATCAGCAGGTATATTGCTATGGAATTGTTTGTATTTTCAGAATAAGTGACTGATTGTGTGAAACTTTGTTTGGAAAATGTTGAGTGATTATTTGATTCCAATGCTTTGGTCATACAGTTGTCATTGTCATAAATAACAATTGCTCAGATTGAGTTTTCCTGGCCTAGGCTTCCATTTTTATTGAACACTCCCACATCTCATCTAATTTTGATTATGTGTTTGGTGACCTTCTTTGACTTACATTTATCACTTCTTCGCAGATCTTTGAAGGTAATAGTCAGCAGAAGCCTCAGAAAAAAAACATACTGAGGCCACCAGTTGTAACAGGTGCCATCAGAGTTCATCCACAGATATTTCCAGAAAAACAAGTTTGTCTGAGGCTTGAGCTCCTCGGCTGCTCACTGAAAAATGGTAATTGAAGAAGTGTTACAGTTTTATTATCCTGTACTCATCTGATCTTTCATTTGATACACAGTGTGGGAAGTCTTTTGTATAGCAAATGTAGTGATAGAGCTTCACATTAACTAATGAGCCAGCTAACTTTACCTTTGAATAACCAGCTTTGGTTTTTGGTTTTTCAAATTTTTGCTCACAAAATTATCTTTTGCAGCCCTTATCCTAGATCAACAATCAAAATAAACTTGTCAAAATGCTCAACTGTATTTTGTTAACTCTGGCCATCTGCTCTTTGTGTCAATCAATTTATTTTGCGAATAATAGGTCACTAGAAGGACACATCACACACAAGAATTTTAGCACCCACAAACTTAATTTAAACATTGAGGGTTCCAGCAGCAAACTTTAATTTTTTATTAACTTTTAATCCTTTACACCCCAAGATCAGTATGCATATTATCCACACTGTTCTTTATACATTTCCTGAGGTGCTGACAAGGAGAATTTGTGTACCAATCAAAAGGTTCCTTTCCTGGTGACCATTTCCTTTATTCTCTTGACCTTTAATGTGTGATTCAGTAGTGATATTGTAGGGAGAAATTAGATGCTAACCACTCTTAGGGGTTAAAGGGTTAAACAAATAATCTTTATAGAGTATACTAGGTTCACAAAAAAGTGGTTTACAAAAGGGTCCCCCTAAAAAGATGAAAATCTAAAAAACTACCATCAATAATTATTGTAAATAGGATAAATAAGATAAGAAACCAGTTAAAAGGTAAAGTTTCTTGTACTGTTGTTTTTTTTTCTATAAGAAAGGTATCATAAATTTCACCAATGCTTTGCATGAATTGGTTGAAATAAGTTTCCAGTTCAATCTACTTTATTCACTTCTGGAAAGAAACAAAACAATTCATTATGGGCTTGCCTTACTGTAGTTTTACTTGCCCGTTGAAGGCACTTGGGTGATTGCTGGTGTCAAACACTTGATGAACCTCAGTATCTTAAATCTTTCTTCAGAAACACTTCAACTTTATTTTCTGACTAGAATTTAGGCGTTGTAATCTTCAATTGTTCAACTGTTGCAGTTATGGTCAAAATATGGGATGATATTTCTTTTTCCTTTTTGCCTCATGACTGGTTTTCCAACTTGATTTAACTTGAATTTCCTTTCACTAATCAGGAATTGTCTCATATGAGACTCTTCAAGGTAATTTGATGAGAGAGACCTACAATTTCACTGATTCAAGTTATGATGGTTTGGTCAAAGACAACTCCTTGTTCCATGGCCTTGGAATGCTAACTGATGGTCATCTGGCTCCTGCTGATTATGCAAACACTAGTGGAGTGGGTTGGATTGGCTGGAATGCTGAGGATACTCCAGATCCGTACATCAGGTTTCAGTTTTTGAACACAAGAATCTTTCATTCAGTGACCATTCACTGTAATGTCAGGGATGAAGCAGACGTCCAGTTGTTTTCTAACGTTACAATTAGATTTGGTGAAGATGTTGCTACATTTGACAAGTCACTGTCTTTCAAACCAAAGCAAATTTCAAGTGGGTTAGGATGGAAAAACTACAATGTCACAATTGACTTGTGCAAACATGTTGGGAAGTTCATGGAGTTAAAATTTACTCATGCTGGAAACTGGATATTGATCAGTGAAATTTCTTTCAATTCAGGTAAGTTTTTATGTTTTTTTTTTTTTGAAAGGCATATCTGGACTGTTTCCTTCCATTGTTGGAAGCACAATGCCTCTTCAAGGGAGTGATTTTATTTTTGCCCCTTTTGGGTTTGATGATGTTTTACAGCATGATATCTTAGTTAACCAAGTGTGTTATTATTATTGAACAGCTCTCAGTTGGTTTGTTAGCTCAGTTGGTAGAGCGCAGTGCACTGGTATTGCAGAGGTCATGGGTTCAAATCCTGTACGGGCCTGAATTTTTTTCTGGTCTTATTTCAATTACTAGTTCAATAGTGTTCACAGCTGTGAGGATCTCTTATATTTTGTTTCTTCACCGCAGTGCACATATATGATTTTCATATCTCTACAATCATTATTCATCACTTGGATGGTTTATTTGGACCCAACATAATGGCCAGCTCCCAGTTGGCTTGTTAGCTCAGTTGGTAGAGTGCTGCACTGGTATTGTAGAGGTCATGGGTTCAAATCCCGTATGGGCCTGGATATTTTTTGGGTCTTATTTAAACTGCTAGTTCAGTAGTGTTCATAGCTGCGAGGATCTCTTATATTTGTTGCTTCACCACAGTGCACATATATGATTTTCATATATCCACAATCATTATTCATCTGCTTGAGCAATATTTGCGCAATATGTGATACACAGGCAAGGCTTTTTCATTTTCATTCTATGCTTTGTGTGCCATTCACCACTCTGCTTGCTTCGAAACTATGTTTCAACATAAGCATTTGTGTTTGAAATTTTGCCAGCTAGCAAAGCTGTGCTTTCAGACTATTGAGCTCGATTATATATACTTGGCTGTCTAACTGATTTATTTTGAGTGCATTATATTTTGCACATCATTTTTATTGTGTCCTTTATTCCTCTTGAACTGATTAAAGTATTTAATTATTCAGTGGAATTAAATAAAAAACGTGAGAGGAAATTGAATGCTCATGGAACTGAGAAAGAAGTGAGACCTTAGACCTTACTTCTTCTATGTCAATTTTTGCTTAGGTTGTATTTTATGTTAAAGTATTTTCCTTTTGTTGAAGCTAAGAGTAGTCTTTGTGGTGAGTTAATTTGCTGATATAATGCACATTCTCATACCTTTTTTTCCAGATCCTCTTGGGAAAATCTCGCCTCCATTACCCGAATGTGCTTCCATTCCCCCTTTGTTCACAAGACCTCCCACTGATCTAAGAAACGATATCAGCACTAGCAGTCCATCAGATGGTGTTAAAGGAAAGACAGGTATGATACTGTCTGCGCTTTCCTACATCCTATCACCTACCTTACTCGCAGTCGTTAGGGAGGGAAGTTTATTAAATAAGAATCAGAAGTGTGGTGATTAGCACATTCTACGTGGTGAGTGACTTTCAAAACCACCCCCAAAAAAGTGAGCAAAATAAGGCTGACAGTGTGCTACATTTCCCGTTTCCATGACGCAGTGGGAAAGAGCAGAGCCATCTGCTTTCCTCACACGACTTAGCCGGTGACTTAGCAGATTTGGACCCCCTCTCCCAAGACCATTTCAGATTTGGACACCCCCCCCCCCGATTTGGATCTCCGAGTCCATTTTGACCTTTGGTTCAAATGCGCAAGCAGAAATGGACCCCGGGGTCCCTCGCTAGCTTCGCCGATTTGGACCACCTCCTCCCCTGTAAAATACAAATGGTCATACTGCTAGAGTAGACATGCAAAAAATACTTGAGAAAAGATATCAACCGGAACTCTTTTCTTCGATATTTAGGAAAAGGGACTGTCACTGGAAACGGTTCTTTGAGCGGTGGTGTAATAGCGGCAATCATCTGTGCCGTCGTAGCAGTCCTTGTGGCTGTTGCTTTGTTCATTTGCTGCAAGCGTTACCCTCATTGGTTCTCTCAGCGTGAAAAGCCATTCAACTCCTTCATCAAAGTCGAAGTTAAGCCGTACGCGCGTCACCATACGCCGCAGCGCGTTTCTCGACTTGATAGTACAACAAGTGAAAACGAAGAAAAGAGGTACAGCTTCAAGAACAATGTGTACAATGAGGCAGGGGGAAAGCGTGGTGCAGAGGTTACCATATGTCCTATATATGCTAGTATACAGGGTGATCTGAACAAAGGCACTATGAAAAGCGACGAACAGAACAACATACCAAAGGGTGAAAGACTTTACTCTGAACACAAGTCTTCAAAGAAAGGTGTGTATAGAAAATATTAACCCTTTATCTGCTGGAAGGAATAAGTTTCTTCCCTCTACGGTATCAGTACATTATCCCATAATGAATTGATGAGTAGCAAAAAACTGAACTGCGGGTGGTATTTTGAAATATAAACCAATTTTCAAAGCTAAGTTACGAGGAACTATGTTGACGGTGTTGCCAACCAAATAAAATTTGTTTGTACGTTTAATACAAATCTCCTTCTCATTGCGTTCGTGTTCCTTACAACACTCGCGCGGAAGGCCATGTTTTAAGAGAAAAAGAAAGGCTGTTAATACTCTATACTGTTCATCATCTATTTTTGTCTTTGTCTCTCTGCAGTCAAACCTCCCATACCACCCCCACTGAAGCCGCCTGAGCCTCGTTCTGAGGTAATTTATGCCGAACCTAATACTCCTCTACTACCTTCACCTACAAATGGTGGATCTCCCAAAGCCGCAATAGCCCAAAGTCTTCCTCAAGTAGACGTAACAGAGGAATCAGATGTTGCATATAATGACTATGCCGAGCCGGACTCCCCATGCGAAAAAAATCGCTTGATACCGGATTCTCCCAAACCTAGAGTTGTCAGCGGGTATGCTGATCCTATCGATGTCATTTCTCCCACATCAGTGACTACTTTCCCAAATCCTATTTACGAGGAGATTTACTCCGAGCCATTTCAGGGCGTATCGGGCACCAGTTTGTATTGTAATCCTGACGAGGAGCTAAACTTTAGACCCAGACTGGACACATTCAAGGAACTGCCTCGTCACAAGCTTCACTTCAAAGAAAAGATCGGTGATGGACAATTCGGTGAGGTGCATATTGGAGAGGTTGAGCGATTGGGAGACATTCTGGGCGGGGAGTTCAAAAACAGTTCTCATACAACAGTGGCTATTAAAACTCTCAAGCTGAACGTTGATAAGAACATTAAGGATGATTTCTTTAAAGAAGTGAAAGCCATGGCGGGGCTGAAGCACTCAAATGTGATTCGGTTGTTAGGTGTGTGTCGGGATGATCCCATGTGTATGATAGTTGAGTACATGGCCAATGGCGACTTAAATCAGTTCCTGAAAGAAAAAGAGCATACGCCCAGCTTGAATGAAAGCGAGGGGTGGCAAGATGTCGGACAGTATATCTCTTCTCAAGCTCTGTTTTACATGGCAAAGCAAGTGGCCGCAGGAATGAAATACATATCTTCGTTAAATTATGTGCATCGTGATCTGGCCACGCGTAACTGTTTGGTGGGACACGCAAACACCGTCAAAATTGCTGACTTCGGAATGTCAAGGAACTTGTACTCTAAACATTATTATCGCGTCGAGGGACGTGTGATTTTGCCAATACGATGGATGGCGCCCGAATGTATTCTACAAGGTAAGAGGTGGTGGCATAGTATACCACGAGTCCTCGGATTAGTGCCTGGGGTTTATCTCGAATTTAGGGTAAGACGGGGGGTTCAGATGTGATCGTTTTTTGTGATACAGCGTCAACGACAGCAAAAGCGGTGTATTGATACTAAGGGCAGATTCTTAAGTTTCACAGCGGCTCAATTGGGACTCGTAATTAGTCCTCTAAACTCAAGGTGTTTACCAAGTGGATCATATTCGGTATAACTTTGCAAGGGTGGACGAAATTGAGGAAATTCGCCGTTGTTATACGTTTGTTATTGTCTGAGCGTTTGGCCATTATACTGTGGGAGCAAAGGAGGTAGTTATTTTAGAGGGGGTGGGGTGTATATTTTGAATTTTGGTCGATAGGAGAGGCACTCGTTCGATGGGAGGTGTTAATATGGAACGGTAATTTAGGTGGTTGGTTACGACCAATTTTACAGAGAAGCGTGAGATTTACTGAGATCGGACGATATTTTCTGAAAGAAAACGAGACATGCCGAGAATGGGCTCCAGGGAACCCTTACGACGCATACAGAGGCGTACAAGTTTCAACTAGATAAATGCGGAGGAGAAAGCGATTCATCTCACGTGTTTTTTGCTTATTTCATTTACATTCATTTCACAAATGTGTCGATATTTTCAGGTCGTTTTACAACGTCTAGTGATGTGTGGGCGTTCGGAGTCACTCTATGGGAGATACTCACTCTTGCTAAAGAATATCCTTACTCGGAACTCACCGACGAGGAAGTCATTGATAACGCGCAGAAGATTTTCCATGGAACGGGTACGCCCTCCATTCGGTTACCTCAGCCGAAGACATGTCCAGACGATCTGTACCAGGTCATGTGCCGCTGTTGGACAAGAGAAATGGAGGAGAGACCCTCTTTCATGGAACTACACAGCAGTATAGCAGAGCGTGTGCGACTCAGTGAAGTCAGTATGGAATGTTAAAGTGCACAGAGAGGGTTGATGTTTGAGTACCAGAGGACAGTTTTGATGTGCGCCGAACAGTTTGTCGTTAACTCTGTTCACGTAGCCGGACCGAATGCTAGTATTTAGAAATGGCCCCGGCATCAAAGCAGTAGTCCTGACTTTGCGCAGCCAAGATATGATTGCCTTGGAGACAAACCTAGACCAACAAGTGAAACATTCGGTTCTACTGGGTTGGATAATTGTCTTCAAGACCCAAATTTTTTTAACATTTTTTTGGATCATAAATTTCGAATCGTGAACGGGAAAGCGAGGTCCCTCAAGAATGCTGTGACGATAATAAATTGTTTTATTGCCAATCAGTCTTTTAAGAAAACGGGAGTAATTTAGCAAACGTTTATAACAATGGGCATGATCATTTATGTTGATGTTTTGAACCCTCTTACCCCCAAACTTGTCCTAGAAATTCTCCCCTCTGGCTCTTATACATGTCCTCCAAAATGAGTGAAGTGAATTTGATGTTAGATCAAGGTTACGCCATTTAGCTAATATTGATGTAGCAGTTCTGGGCCCAGTTGTTCAAAGGCCGATTAGCCCTAACCCAGGGTTAAATTTTAATCCAGGTTTCTTTATTTCTTTGTTCAAAAGTCTTTTTGGGAAAATTTTCACTATTCTTTTTAGAACATCTAATGATCAAATTGCAAGCAAAAATATTTGAACTGAATTTTCTATCAAAGTTTTCAGACCTGAAATCAAATTTCACACTAACCCTAGGGTACCTTAACCCAGCTTTGAACAACTGGGGCCTGGGAGTTTAACTAAAGTTATCCCAACGTTTCTTGGGAAATTATTTTTTCATTTTTGTAAAGTAAGGAGAGACATTTTGTTTGATTTGTTGGAATTTTGTCTCTTTGTTGAATATTTGAAATTAAAATGCCGTTTGATATTTATCCGCAAGTCAGGTCAAGAATGATGTTCTTTGTATATTTTTGATTTTTTTGGCATCATTATTGTACAATACATTTTGCTGGGTGATGTGTTATTGACAACGAACCTTTTAGATATGACAATGTTAACATTAACATGTCATCTAACTTGAGTTTTATTTCGAATGTTCGAAAAATAAAGCATCTACGCCGTAGTATGAGTATCTTTGCAAATTTAACTAAAACTTTTTTGAAATTTGATGAATCTTTTCCATCCCGAGTCGTTCTCATTCCTCACGAGTTTATTCATCCCACCCACCCATCACAGCAAGTAATATGGGTTTTTTCTCTGTCGTTCGCTTTTGAATTTGCAGAAATACGTCTAAATATCTCAACAAAGCTTCTTCAATACAGGCAAGTTAGTCTTTTTGCAGCTTGTCAAATTATTCGTATAACGCTTACCGTAAAATTTACAGAATTTTCATAATATTCATTTTCTTGTTGGAGACTTTCTTCGCGTGGCGGCTAATGAATCCGCTTTTGAGATTACTTTTCATTGGTAATCCCTTTTTCGACTAAATCTGACGGTAATGGAGAAACTGAGAAGGGGTGTAGCTTTACAAAGCCATCTGAATGTGGTTTTACTTCCAAAGGGGACCTTAATGCGAGTCGGAGACTATTAGAGCAGTTTTGGAACAGGGACAACGCTGCTTCGAGGACATTCATAGTTGCGGAGAAATACACCACAAAGGGAATTACGAGATATCATTAATAGATTTTTATTGAACGTTTGAATGACTTGTTACGAAATGGGCCAAACTATCCGCTGCCAGAACTGGGGCAGAGTGTGATATATCGTGAAATAAATACTTAGTAGGCTCGGTATAGCTCTCAAAAACACGTGGCTTCCGAATCAACCGGTGGTTGTGTTAATCCCAAGGCATACGAGTGAAACGCTGATTTATATGTGTACATGTATATATATTCGAGAAAGATTTGAGTGTATAGAGTGCAAATACTGTTTGCACAAATCCTATGTGACGTCTTGACGCGGCAAGGATCGAAAAAAAAAAGGTATACACGGCCAGCGTGCACTGCGTGGTCTTTACTCAGGCGATTTGGACTTGGATTCAGGAGTTAAACATTTTCTTATTTCACGGCCAATAGCGGCCGCTAGGGGCGGTGGCACCGCATTTCCGACCTAACGGGGAGAGGATCAACAATATTAGTGCATGACATGTGGTCAAGCTGACTACGTGAGATTAAGTCCTCAAAAAGTGGGCTATCTGCTACGCATAGAAACGCATTTGGTACAGTCAGAATTAAAATAAATAAATAAATAAACATGCCGTCTATAGATAAACCACGGTTTTCAGGGTTCTAATAGCCAATATAAGAACGTTTGGAAGCGCACAAATGACGCAACAGCGTTTTCAATTAATAACAAGGAATAATTGACAGACTGCGTGTTTATATCACCCAAGAAAAAACCACTAGGGAGCGCCCACCAGAATGACGTGGATTCCATATTTACGGACGCCATCCCCTGAGGGAAGCTTTGCTGTCACGTTCGTTTCTGTGACCCTAAATCGTCTAAAATATTTGATGTTTTCATTCTCTCGAAAGAAGCTTCAGATTTTTTTTATACCTATTAGTATAATTTAAGTCATCTTGTGAAGTTTTTCCATCGCTTGGATTGATTCAAGGAGGTTATTTTTATTTTGCCTCGGACTAACAGGAAATTCGTTTAAATACTTTGTTAGTTGGGTCATCCAATTTACTGTGACTCACGATTTCCCCTTTCGTGAATTAAGCCAGCAAAGCTACTTTTAAGAATTAACGCTTAAAAAAAACAAAAATACGTAACTTAAGAGTTGCAAAGCAAGTATGTTCGCGGGTGTGATAATAGAAACAACAGAAACCTCGGTTTTCTCCTGAAGAGTTTAAGGCTTATTTTGGTTCGCCGCCAAACTGGGTAATTTCTAAGATACGCTACTTCCTGTGACCTAGCTTGATTTTCATACACCACAATCTTGATGACAAACGCACGGCCGTAATCATTTATCCGGAAATCCCTTATAATGAGACTACAACTAAACTCGTTTGCCTTGACGGATATTGTCTTTGAAGAAACCCAAAAAACGTGTCTTTTATCTACCGAGAAGGAATAATTCCCTTGTATGCCCTCTGGAGATTGAAAGAGGCGAGGCAGGGTATTGTGAGGCCAAATGATTTTTTTCGCTTTAAGAAAGGTTTTTACAAATCTCCTCGGCGGATCTAAACAATGGTACAACTTAGGTTAAGGTCAATTAGGCCGGTACATTAAAGTAAATCAGTAAATGAGATAAGAACTTATTCTTAGTTCATCCGATAGAATAAACATCTCACTTCATTCCGCGACTGCGTTCGAAATCTATCGTTTTTCTTTATCTGTTCTACGCTTTCAGAAATTCTATATATGATGCCAAAATAAATAAACCAAAATGTGGTTAAACAATCATTCACTTCTTATCTTTTCACGTTTTATTCTAAACTGTTAGACGCCTTCGGATTTTACATGTTCTGTTTTACCACTCACCTGTCGATGTTTGTCGATGATGCTTCCATAGAATCGATAAGCGTCGGGGAATCCCTGGGACCTAGCACATTCTCTCACACTGACAACTCTGTGTTGCTGTGGATGAAGGACTCGGCCCTAATCAGAAGAAAGAAAGAAGATCGGACATTCCAAATTTACAACGCAAACAGAAAAGTGGTCATAAGTACTCTAAGGAATTTCTCTGTTCTGATTGTATCGTAAATGCACCTGCCGACCTGCTTTCCCATGGGCTCAGGATTCGTGATGGTTGTACTGAAGTACCCGTCCCACTCCAGTCTACCGTACAGCCCCGCCCAGTGATTATGGCGGTTTCCCGTATGTGGAAGACACCATGGTATAAGAGTGTTGACCTGACGGTCAGCCGGGTCACATGGCTTGCGCTCTGCGCACGAACAAACTCCTCGCAATTCGTCGTTAGATGACCGACCGTTTTTCTTGTCATCGTGCGTATAAGCTCTGCAACGAGTGATACCACACATATTAGAATGGGAAGAACTTGTTCTACCCTCAAAGCAGGCTAGGAATTTGGTGGAACAGCTTCATGTTGGTACAGACAGCCTGTTCCGTCACAGGATTTCAAGATTTAAAAAGTAGACAGGAAGAAAAATTTAAAACGGCAGACAATGGGCACCCTCCAGACCGCTTAAGTCGTCATTCTGGTAATCTAAGTCGCTTTGAATTAACAGAGAAACCTACGACTGATACCTAGCAGAGAGCGAGGTATTGTGATAGTCTTATTCAACCAAAAGAATATCCTCTCGACTCAACTTAATAGTCAGAGAGCATATGCAGGTGTTTGCAAAAAAAAGAAGTGTTGACCATAAACGACGAGACCCAACGGCATTATGAGTTTACATAACCTCAATGATGACCTCTTTTTGGTCGTGTGCGATGAATGGTGAAAACTATCCAAGCTTTCCCAAAAGGAAAGAATTATCATGAAAAAGATTTGCCATAAAGAATGGGAAAAGTAAATATGTGTTTCTGTAAATAAACAAATACTGGCAAAAAAAGCAACCAGGTCCTAGTGCTCATCGTTCATACTTTCAATTGTCAAAGTTTTTGCAATCCAGTGGAAAGATTGAAGAAAGACCATAAAAAAACAATCGAACCCATAACTCACAGTTTGCTGGTGTAAGTACCGTCGGACAGACGGACGATATTATTCGGCAAATCTCTCCAGTCTGATCCTGGGGCAGTAGGAATGTGACGCATGCGTGCAGCAACGAGAGGATTCATTTCCTTACAAATGTGATCTCGAAGAACTGGCTGATCTTGACGGCCGCGCATCTGAGAAGTAATAAACGAATGTTGCACACAATTCTCAAATGTGGGTGTAACAGTATTGCATGCCTCATCATGCATAGGGAAATCTCTGTACGATTTCCTTCGTTTGGACAGAGTCCTCTGTTGCCATGTAAATTATTCTCATTGAGAAGCCTTGGAATAATAAGTTTTATTTTCTTTAGGTAATACAAACTAAGAAAGTAAGAGAGAAATTCATATATTTAAAAAAAATTAAACTGCCTTAAATCAAGATCTGGACTTACTGTTCAGGTTGGTCTGTGACTGGTTGAAAACTTGCTCTATCTTCATGAATTAATCATGTTTCAATTTTCCACACTTGTTGAAAACTTTCCTTTATTAAACTCAATACAACTAAAAAAGTGTAGGTGTGAAATGCATACAACATAGAGGAGAAAGTGTCAAAACTCTTACTTGTCTTTGAAAATGAGAAATCGAATCGCCATTGTAAGAGATCTCATCATTAGACGCGCCATTCCTTATCTCCGGAAGATCTGACATGGCGTCCCGTACAGTGATTGTTCGGTAGGGAGCCGACGATAGCCGAGTAATGTTCGATTGGAACTGGAAAAAAGAGACAAAGGCGCTGGAGGTTAGGGAGGCACAGTGCACTGTATTTTGTCACATAAAAATTAATCAGTGCAAGATGTAATTACTTTCTTATCGTCCACCATGACCGTGAGTTGAATGGCCCGAGGAGAAAAGCAGTGTGTCGGCTCAGGGTACAGCGGTAACACTTCACCTGGAGCAGCTGCCATAATAATGGCCCTGAAATATTACATAAAAGCAAGTTTAAAACACACCCTCTAATTCACGCTAGCAAATACACAGACGTACAAACTTCATAATCAACAACAACAACGTTTAAGTTTAACACGTTACCATTCACGACGTTCCACCAATGGATTGATGTGTTGATTGAGAACATCTCTTCATCATTTAATTAAGCTGGCAATGGTGTAACATTTCACCAAGAATAGAAACAACCCAAAACGTAGAGAATGAAAAATGATTTTGATAAAAAATGAAAAGTCTTAGTTCACCTCCGCCTAGTCTGTGGAACGCCATAACAACCAGCCTGTAGGACACCAAATGTACACTGCACAGAAAGTAAACAAGAAAGTAACGGTGTCAATTGACCATGGTAACACCCCTTAACAGAGCCAAAGTAACCACAACCGAGCCAAATAAAACTCACGTCCTATTCATACCAAAGCTTAAAAATGTTTCGTTAAACACAGTTTACAATATTTCTTTATAGAAGCTGCCTAAACCGATGCTTGTCGACTTTAAATGTAGCACCGTGACATTGAAAATACAAGTTAGCGATAACCGGCGTGAATGAATCAATGTATTCCATAGAAGATTCATTTCTTTGTGTCTCGATGACATTAAACCCGGTTTGACTCAATATGTTTAGCTGGTGTGAATGGGTTATCAGGCGAACTGAACTGGAAAATTCGCTTGGGAAAGTCGCCATCGATTTTCGGGATCAATATCAGTATCTGGGCAACTGCCCACCTACCCCTCCCCTAACTCAACAACAGTCAATTGACAACAACTTAAGGTTAATGTTGGGTTAGGGGAGGGGTAGGTGGGCAGTTTCCCAGATACTGATATTAATCCGATTTTTGTTTGCGCGTTTAGGCTTGTGAGGATGGCGTGAAAATCACTAAGGAAATGGTAGAACACCCTAGAGTATATTTCAGTGAAAACTCTCTGTAATTTCATCCAAGATAAATTGTAGAGCGAGTCAAGGAAAATTTAAATGAAATACACTCTATTGCCAAAGGAACAGGTAAATGTGCGTAACCAGTCACATGCAGAAAAAACAGGGATTCAGAGAAAAGGTCTCATTATAAACAGGATTGAAAAATATGACCTAATAGTTGCTTTTTCACCGGAAGAAGAAACTTATTAACTGAGTAAACTAAGCAGTTCTTTTCCAGTCGAACAGTGCGATGACCAGACGGGGCATAAAACTAACAATATTAATCAAGGGGGGAGATTTATAAAAATCCGTGGTAACCTGGTAACCAACTAACCTGATATCCCATCTTAAGAAGGCATCGTAGAGTTAATTTCAGCACCATGCTTCGCTTGAATGACACAAAGTTGCGAACATTTTCCAAAATGAAAAACTTCGGCCGATAGTAATCACAGTAACTGAGGTAAGATGCCACCAGAGAATTCTACAAAAAGAAACAATTAAACGTGGGATTGAAAGAGCAACCAGACCAACAAGTGTAACGTAACATGTATACAATAAGATTTTTTTCTGTTTCCCTCATGCACCATGACAACAGTGATACTTTCCGGACGGCGCGTAAATGGTCAGCGAACTCTCGTTGATACTAGATGACTGTATGTATTTGAATTAGATTTGTTGTTCACCTTAAATTTGGAGTAGTCTCTTGAACTGAAACGGTTCATTCCACTGAATCCTTGGCAGGGGGGGCCGCCGCACAACAGCTCTACATCTCCCTTCTGGGGTAGTGTCTGTCCTTTTGGATTCTTCTTTTCACCCTGAGAATGCAAAGGCAATAAAATTGAAACTCTAGCAAATAGCTTTGGCACTTGTGCTTCATTCAAAATAAATACATCTCTCATCAACAACAAAGCGTTCAATTGCGATCAATAGATGATCAGAGTCTGGTCGTTTCCATACAAAGTCGTTTCGATACAAACTGAAGTCGTACCGACACGACTTTTCAACGTTTTTCTACTTTGCCGATGCATCTAATAGACCTGCATCGAAACGACTTTGTATCGAAACAACAGTAAACCAGATGATCACATGACTTGGCTTACATCCATCACAAGCTTCAACAGAGAGTTACAGTCGTCAGTGAACACAGTACATCCGGGATTGTTCAAACTGAAGGCACTTGCTGCAGGCTCCTCCTTCTCAATGGCCCAACAGGACTCAGCCACGCCTGCTTCATGAAGACCCTCTGACAGACCTGGGACAAATACAGATGCCGACAATAAACCATTTGGCAATACGCCTACAGACAGTAACTCTTTCGCAAAATTTTCACTCACCGCCGCAGCCGGCAAAAACATCAAGACACCGCAGTTTGGTGACTGTTTCATTCGCTGTACCATTAAAATCCTTTTTTGAGCTCTGATTATCTGTTTCAGCAGAAGCCTTCCCTTTCCCTTTTCCTTTTCCTTTGCCTTTACCCTGAAAATCAATTTACAAGATTAGCGAGTAGAAATGAGTTTCACTCAGTCTTGTTATGTGCACAATTGAATTTTCAACAGCTGCACCGATGGCAACGTCACGAAGTTGCAATGATCTCGTCGCTTCAAACCAATTTCTTTTATCGACAAAGAAGTCTGATTTTATAAAATGACCGAGGCACAAGAAATTTGCACATTTTACCTAAACTATTTGGTTTCCGTGTTTTATGGCCATGATACCAACCTTTCCTTTCATTGCAGCATTACGCGCCTCGATTGGAGGCTCTTCAAACTCTTTTGTTTCACTGTTGTACGCCTGTGGGAAATACCATAGTGTGAGTACAAAGAAATCCTACGGAAAAAACTTCCTACAATTTGTCAGTAATGCAATGCACCGATCAATTCGAAGCTTCAACATCCCCTGCCGTCCGTGCCAAGGCCCCCCATGGGGAACTTAAACCTTACCTGGGCGGGGTGGAAATTTGAACCGTAGGAGCTGTGCAGTCTCTCCCGTCTAGTACAATAGACGTGTTTTATCTTTTTTACACTTTTTTGAAAATCATTTGACTTTATTACATGATAAAAGGGAAAAAAGCTACTCTACATAGATAATACGTGGGAAATATAAAATAGAAGAAGGAAAAGGCGAGGAAGTCTCAAGAAGCCTTGAAGGCTCATATAGGTTTTGAAGGTGTTCGAAGGTAAAAAGTTCACTTTTGCGAGCGGATGGCTCAGAAGAAAAGGTCTACAAGAAAGTCACTGTCGCGAATCTTGCCTTTTACAAAAAAAATTGACCATCAAATCCGGCACTTGGCCGGGGCATTTGAAAACAATTTTGACGCCGGGGGGGGGCGGGAATTTGAAAGAACACTCTTTAAAAGTTTAAATCCTCGGGGAATTATGTTGAAGCTTTGACTTGATCGACGTATAATACAATCACGAGAAAGTGAACGTTTATTTCTTTTATATAAAAATATGATCGTCTGTATCCACTAACGAGATGCGGGACCTGACGATAAGATGCGTTCCATTCTTCATAGGTGACTGGTGCCAAACATGGAGAACCATGGGTGACCTGGTCGTTTTTGTTTTAAACATACTTAGAGTATTGAGAGTGGCGGACAAAAGCGCACTAAAACTGCTCAAAATGCTTATGCTTTTGATACGAGAACTACTGAAAGGCTTTCTTGGGAGCAAATTAAATTTAACGTAGTTTTTAAAAAAAGTCCATCATATTCTTTACATTACGTTAGTTAAGAAAATGAAAATCACGAATGGCTAATCAATAATGATGAGGTCAGAAAAGGCCATGGAATTGCCAATATCGGGGACAACACAAACACAAACACGCAGTAAGCGACTAACGGAATATTATAATCACCTCTAAGAAGTAAAAATAGTTAATTCCTTTAGCTGTATATTCTTCAACTGAACAGTTAAGATCCTCTCCACAAGTAACCACGCACCCGCCTGTGACGTCATCAATGGAAATAGTTGCCTCTGAAACAACACAACAAGAGAGAAAAACGGAACGAAATCAAGAAAGCTTGCCTGAGCCAAAACATGACTGTTTCTACTTTTAATAATGTTCTAAATCTTTTCACTCTCGACGAGTTTTTCCCGTGCACAGAAAAGAACACTAATCCATTTGGGGCAAAAACAACATGGTATTCGTTCGCTCGTTCTGCCTTTAACTCCAATAAATGAGCTGGAAACCAAGATCTCTTTACCTTCTTTGCTCCAATATAACAAATTCAGATTTGCTTGGTGGCCAAAACTTGATCCCTTATGAGTATTCTCTGGCCTGAAAGGAAACAAAGCCTGGCATAAAAGCCTGTCGCAGTTTATGCAATAGGTGCCGATTTTATGTTGATTTGCGGAAGTTTTCGTTCTCACGCTCAACTTTCTTAGGTACTGGGGTTTTTAAGATCTTGTCGGTAGCAAGAAGGCGAAAGTCCTTTTACTCTGTGCTCGCTCAGTGGTCTATGAGGATTTAAAATTGATTGGCTGGTAGAGGTTGGAGCGCGCCTAAAGCAGTTGCATTCACCATCCGGTCCCCAGTGGTGTCTAAAGGCCTATTTACACGGTACGACTTTGTCGCATGCGACAAGCTTACGACAGGCCTACGACACGAATTGTATCGTGTAAATCAAACCTACCACTCGCTCACGACTGTCGTGCACGTCACGAAAAATGTCGTAGGATTTTAAAACATGTTTTAAAACGCTGCGACAGTCGTAGCCGAAATTGATAGAAAATGACGTATTTTGTGACAAATTTCTACTGAGTAGGGGAGGAAGGTGAAATTTTCTTGCGTCAAAATGGCGGAGGAAGTCGCCTCCGGAAAGTCGAAGACTGCTTCCAAAGCGAGAAATACATTCTCAGATGAGGAAACAGAGAATATGATATCACTGTGGAGCGAGGAAGAGGTTCTTTTCCTTCTCTTGCAAATTATTGAAACAATGACCGCGGCCGAAACGAGTGGAATTGCACGCGATTTTGGCATGTCGTAGGTGAAAATGTCGTGCGCGTGTAAATTGTCCTAAGTCATGTCGTAGGCCTGTCGTAAGCTTGTCGCATGCGACAAAGTCGTACCGTGTAAATAGGCCTTAATAAATGTCTGAGCTTTAGTGTTCCCCTTCCTAAATGCTCTCATTCACAGTTACGTAGAAGATAAATTATGAATAAGAGAGGTCATGAAATCGCCGGGCTTGCCGAGTAATTTTTCCTCCTAAACGCACAAGATTTTCTGCGCACGAAAATAGGCACTCCTTAAGTCTGATGGTACCTTCACCTACCTGTAAAATTTATTAACAGTCAACATAATATTAAGTTCTTCCGTTAACTTCCTGAACTTGATTTTGTAAAGATGTTTACAATGCGACCTGAGAAAATAATAATAAAAAACAAAATCAGGCAAATTAACAAACTTACCGATAATATGATAGAATAAATGACTGATAGCCTGTCTGACTGACTGACTGACTGACTGACTGTCCGATTGACTGGCTGGCTGGCTGACTGACTTATTGGCCAATTGACTGACGGACGAACTGACTGACTGACCTACTGAATGCAGACTGATCAACTGACTGACTGACTGACTAAATGACTGACGGACCGACTGCAGACTGACTGGCTGACTGACTGACTGACGGACCGACTGCAGACTGATCAACTGACCGACTGACGGATCGACTGCAGACTGACCAACTGACTGACTGACGGACCGACTGCAGACTGACCAACTGACTGCACATAGACTGCTGACTGACTGCAGCCTAACTACCTGACCGACCAACTGTCAGAATATCTCACAAAAACCACCAACTCGAAACGCGATAGGATTTTGTATTTCAATGCAAAGTTTTTTAAGGATTAGGTATGCCGCAAACTCGGTCTCTCTGACCTGTAATACTTATGTATGTGTTTCACCAACAAAACAAACGAAAGTCTCTCACAGCTTATTTATCTACGCTTTTAGTAATCTGTCGCTGACAACGTACCTATTTTAAATGGTTGTGGTACATCATAGTTACTTCCTTTCACATACTCAATGGGTTTTCTGTAATATTCAGGATAAACCTCTTCGTCCACCTAAAGAGTTTATACGATTAAAAATAATTGTAATTGGTATTTATGTGAATTGCTAGCAAATGAAACTCAAATAACTTGTAAACCATCGTCATGAATTCCCTTTTTTAGGTCAACTGGTATAGACCATAACCCTTTTTTTCCCTGGGGGAATATTTTTGGGATTGGCTGTCACCCTTTGAGATGAAACAGAGGGTCTAGGGCACGAAGTAACAGAAAAACGAGAAACAAACCAACAAACCACAAAGTGAATACCTTTTCGTTCTTCTTGAAGCCTTTCTTCGTCTCTTTCGGCTTGACACTGCGAAAAAAGAGCAAAATTTGATTGTGATTTTTTCAGTGACGTTTGAACCCTGCCAATCTTTGTTCTCAAACCTTTTCGCGCTCGGTTCCGGCTCTATAAGTTTGCTTTACATTCCATCTTGTTGAGCCCTATGATTTCATCGTTAGCAACTCAAGGTCATAGGACTCAGTTTAACACAGCAAGTTAACATAGCAGCCTCGTAACAGCATTCTCTATCAATGCATCACAGCACTCCTCGGTCAATTATGGCTGATCAAAGGTATTAGAGTTCAGGAAGAAAGGAGCATACAAGTAAATCTCTTACTTGAATGAAAATGCTTCAGGCGTGAGGAAAACACAATCTCCTAGCTTGTACTGCACGCCGTTTATGTTGCACGATCTAAAAAGAAGAAAATTCACGAAATTTTTTCTGGGGTGCAAATACAGCATACACAAACAAATAATCATTACCATGATACGACACTTTTTTTCCGGGAGTAGATAAAGGGACTAAAGAACGTGAAGACACATTTCCTTCAAAACTTTCATGAATTAAAAGGGTATATTGAAGCTAAACAAGCTGAAAATGATGGATTAGGAAGAATAGTTGAACAAATAAATGAAAGAGCCAAAAAAAAAAAAAAACTGGAAGAGACGAGTCTCCTCTGCGGAAGACGTGCAAATGACCTTGCCTGAATATCTTTGGCGTTCAAAGCTAAAAAAAATGCACAAACTCTGATTAAAACGAGAAAAGTAAGAAAATAGACATACTTGTAATACGTTTTAGAGGAAGATTTTGATTCTTTTTCCAGTGGTTCTTCCACTGTTGGTGTTTCTAGCTAGAACATGTATGATAAGTTAATTATGTCATACGTGGAAAACTAAACCAAAGGAACAAAGAACTGCAAAGATAGATGAACTCTATGGTGTAGCTTTGACGCACAAACACCTTTCGTTAAGTCATTAATAATAATAATAATAATAATAATAATAATAATAATAATAACAAAAATAATGAACTTTATTCAAATGTTAATACACTTAAGTTGTATGTAGAATATCATATAGACCTTATACTCAAAATGTGAAAAAGTATATACATCTAAAAATATTTATAAACAGGATAAAAAAATAAATTTAAATATTAGAAATAAATATTAACTTATGCAATTCTACCTCCTTTTGTGCTGTCTGTCGCTTACAGCTCTCACAAAATTTATGATTTTCTTTCCTATCTAAAGCAGCAGTGTATTCCGAGGGGGGATCTGTGAATCGACCATGTTCAGAATCATACCTGAAACGTTGAGAAAGCGATATCTCCTTCAGTGACATATGCGCATTTAGAATTAAAGACATCAGAGCTTTTTGACTGTACAATTAAGTTGATCATTACATACAACTTGTTTTAGCTTAAAGGATGGAAGAACTAGCAGACCCGAGTTACATCATGGCCACAAAATATGATTTATTACATTTTTGAGTTTAATTTCAAGACTTCTTCGGACTGGTACACCGAACAGTGCATGAGAAATTTAGCTCCCCATTGCTAGGGACCGTCCAGGGTTCATCCTCCTAAAATTGAAAATTCTCCAGTTACATTAAGTGAATGTTCCCAATAAACCAGTTTCTGTAAAATTTCAGCAACCTTACGAAGATCTCACCCTGCACTTGGGCAGTTTTGCAACTTACCCAAGACTCTGTGCAAGCTTTCTATATCGAGAGGGGAAGTTTGGGTAAAAATGGAAAAATGAATCAATGACATGAGTGACACGGACCCCACACTAAAGGACGCTGACTGTCTTCACTACTTTGAAACCTCTACTTTTCAAGAACTTTTCCTTACCATTTCTGATAGAAAAATGTGTTCCCATCATCCTCTTCCATCATGCTGTCGGCTTCCCGCTCTTCAAGTCCGCCCCTCTGGAACCAATCAGCTTCTGGTAACTTCTGCGTCACCTGTTCATTCATATCACATGTATTAATCTGTAGCCTATGGAAAACTTAAATGGCATACATATATGACACATATTATAAGCCTGTGTTATTCACAAATTCACAGACTTTGAAACATGGGTTTACCGATATTTACTGTACTGTGCAAAAGTAAAGCAAACGAATTTCGACAAATTTCCTTGCTTTTCGTGGCTTTTTGAGGAAATTTCACTCTGAACGAAATTTCCGCGAATTTTCCACGAACTTTTGAGGCACCTATTGTTTCAGTACGCCAAAATTTTGAAAGATATTTCACCGCGGACACTAAATAGTTGCGAACTTTCGAGGGAAACTTCGCTCTTCTAGAAAGTTCGGTGCGAAATTTGGAGAGAAAATTTGCTCTGGTTAATTGAGCAAAATGTTGTTCAAGTTTTGTTGTAAAGCGACGCAGAAATATCCGAAATCAGTTTCATCCACTCAATTCAATATTCTATTGCTCCTTTCTGTTGAAACCTCAATAAATGTTTAATTGTTGATGTGATCCGAGCAGTCAGGCGTTGGAGTCTCAGTACAAACGACTACCTCATAATGCTGGAATGAGGGCAAGGATAGAGTTGCATGTTTGCCAAGAATGCCACAAGCAAAATCAGTGTATTTCTTTTATGCACAAAATGTATTGAAAAGGACTAAAAACGACCAGAGGATATATTTAGATAGACTTACAACACATTTCTGTACAATGGAACCAAGAGGGTTGTCATCGCATTCATCCACAAGAAAAAGCTCCTTAGAATCACTTGTTTCACCCAAAATAGTTTCTGAGCCACGGCTAGAACCAACGATATGGTATTGAGAGAAAATATGCAGAATGTTTGTTACTTGACATGTGAGTCTGAAATGTTCAGAGTGGGGTAGCAAAGAAACTACACAGCTGCCTTTGCTGCAGCCATGTTGTTATTTTAACAAATTCGTTGCTCTTCTGCATAGAAAATAGAAAAGCTCACTATAAATGATCTACAATATGTGCTGGTAGACATCAAAGCTTTACAATCAATTGATTGAAAGAAACATGTAATGCCTGTTGTAAAATTGCAATAGGCACAGAGCATTTGGTTTGTACCTGAACCATCTGCAGTGAAACATCTTGTCACCATTTGCCGCCTCCCACATGTAGCACACACAGGAAATAAAAAGTGGCATGTGAGGATCCTCAGGGCGTACCTTCACAAAATCTCCCACTTGTACCTGCCATAGGTCAAAAGAAGGTATTGGCTTGTGTTGACAGCTGAGCCAAGATTCCACAGAAAAGGGAGAATACAAACCTCTTGGCTGTTGATAAGAACTGATGAGTAGTATTTCTTCTTTCCACTGACTTTAGCAGGATCTCCTATCCACTCAACTTTGGTCTAATAATGGAAAAAAAAAGGTTTTTAGAATCATTCTTCTTAAGGAACCCTTGACAACTGATTACACATTTTAATGAATGAAAGGCAGCTGTGGAAAAATCAAGTGATCACTCAACATGATATAATTTGTGCTCTTTGTATAATCTCTAATGAAAAAACAAAGATTTTAGATATAAAGGAGTAAGAAACACCTCTTTCCTATCATTATAAATGCCGTTTGCTGCCTATCCTTTTAACCCTTCTTATACATCAGCCATTTTCAAAACTGACATTGTTTAAGTGGCACTGTCATGAATCAAACATTTCTTTGTACTGTTGCTATTAACATTGAAGACACAGCCCTTCGTCAGAGTGATGACGAAGGGCTAACGCTCGAAAAGATGGCTAAACGTTTTCAACCCAGTTGTTCTCCCACCGACGCAGCACCACAGTTTCTTTAGAAACTTACCCCTTTAAACAGTTACTTACAGTTAAGCAAGAGCTGCACATAGCCTTTAAAAAAGTAAACTCACCTCATTAATCCCTTTCTTTGATTTTGCAGTTTTATGTGTTGTTTTTTTCTTCTTCACCATATCCTTGTTAGGACTCTGGAACAGGAAAAAATATACACAAAATAAATAACATTACCTCATGAACATCAGCTATTAAAATGTCTTCCTTTTACCCTTGAAATTTAAGTACAGTTTTACTTACCATTTTCACATTTTCTTCACTCTCCTCTGTGACATCTTCATCATCCTCAGCTTCTTCAACAGCCAAGTTAGGGCACCTATATTTAAAGACAAACTTAATTAGGTCTTGAGGAAAAGAGAATGAAATAAATCATTTTTTAAAAGCCAGTATGCAGCAAATTCAGGGTCATGGAAATGAATGCATTATAGAAGACAAAAAGAAGAACAAAAACCTTCTTTCTTCACAGCACTGTTTCTTTCTGCCAGTTCCACCAAACTTGACCATGTCCCTGCAGGATTTACACTTTCCACAGTCTGGCTGCTGGCACACCTCACAAACACCACATCGCTTCCTACGAGATGTTCTTGTTTCTTTACCATCGATTTGATCTTGGAAGAAAATGTCAAATATGTTCCGCACCAGGGGCGTAGTGGTGGCCTATAATAAATTCAGTTTCAAATTTTTGGGAGGCCATTAATAAATCTTTATACAAAAAACTTACAAGACACAAAACTGCTGTAATTTTCTTTTTTTTATAGTGCAAGAAGGTCAGAGGTCTGCCAACTATACAGTGACACCTTTGGTTAATAATGATCCAAGGTTCATCTTTTCAATATTGAAGTACAAAAGCATGTAGCACAAAAGTGATAACTTGTTTTGTATTTGTTAGTCTACTGTAAGTACTAACTTTTGATGGAACTGTATCTTTCTTTTTCTTGTCTAGTCGGACTTTCACTCCCCTTGCAGCACGTCTGAATAAAAAAAGTTGACAACTATAAAACATCTGAAGAACAATTGACTGAGGTAGTTTCTTATCAAGAAAATGTAGTGCTTTAATAGAAACAATTGATTCATCTACCAGATAAATATCTTGAATAAACAAGGAGTTCAAACAGTTACTTGAGGTAAACAGGTCTTTATCCTTGGTACAACATCTGAGACAACAACTATTTTTTCTACTAGGATATTAAACGCTCATCTTAAAAAAGCATCACAACAGATGCATAATTTGCAAATTCATGTCATTTAACTCATAGTACCATAAAATTTGATGAAATTCTCCTTTTCATTAAAAAGATAATGTCAGTCTAATAACAAACCTTTTTCCAAGTGTAACTCCTGCCAGCTTGATGAGAGCCCTCATGCATGGTGTCACCAATAGTGGGAGCTCATCATCATCAGCTGCTTGGTCATAACTTTCCACCTAAAGACATCATAAAGTCAAGAATGAAAGATGACAATTGCAAACTGAAAGGTTCCTATTAACAGATGCCTTACAGGTATTCAAGATGAATCTAAAGAACAAAATTTCAAAACTGCCACAATTTTTAGCATCATCCTCCTAAAGAATACCAATGATCTTCAGAGGAAAGACATTACAGTAATTTATTGTATCATACACCTTCAGACAGATTGTAATACAAAAATATGGTAAAGCAAATAGGAGTTGATATGAGTTAAATGAAAAGCTTTTACCTGTTCAACAAGGAACTGGGCATGTCTCAACAGTGTATCTTCAGTAAAAGTGGAACAGTTTTCTGGAGGCACAGAAGTCTTGGAAACAATAACATAGCAAAGAGGGGTTAACATAGATCACTCATCCTATGATTGGTTTTCTGTCTTATGTCATACAACATTGTACAGGGAATTGCATATTAAATTTATTTGCAGCTCTAAACTGTAGATTTACACGGAAACCCACACTACTAGGATTGGCAGCCGCAAGTACACATCTCAGTCCTATTTGTAACAATCAACTTTTTATTTATATTTGATGTATGCAGTTTCAGTGAACAAGAAAGGAGTCAGCAGGCACATTTATACATGACAGATCCTTTTTTGTGCAGAGGCCTGTTTCTTCTAATGGACCTACTTAACTTTTTACACCCTGAGATCAGTATGTATATTCTTTACACTGTTTTCTACACATTTCCTAAGATGCTGACAAGGAGATTTTGCTCAACAATCAAGAGCTCCTGTACTTGTTGATCATTTCCAATATTCTCATGACCTTAATGTTTGATTCAGGGGTGATACTGTATGAGGAAATCAGAAGCAAGTCACTCTTGAGGGTTAAGGGATTAAAGTTGTCCTCCTTTGATAGATCAGATTGATAGCTCTTCCTAGTTGTACACTGCACTAGTTGCACAATCAGCCCAAGAACTTGAAATTTTGTGAAATTAGCTACCAAATACAATGCATTAAGTTTAAATCTGTTCATTTATTATTATCAATTATTGAAATATACGACAATATTCATCTTGCTGCTTCTTATCACTTCATCTTCATTATAATTATGGTCAGTAACAACAAACATCAACATCATGTCATTACCTGTACTTTATTCAGCAAGTCCTCGTACCTTGCCTCTGGATTATCTTGTATAAATTCAATGACAATCTGTAACAGAGAAAAGAAGTCCTTACTTTCATGTAATAACTTATTTAGCACATTCATTTCAGGTAGTTTTTGTGGATTTACAACTCCCCATCCATATTCTATGAGAGCACTATTGGCCTTAGAATCCCGGTTATATGCTTCAGATTCTTGCTAACAATTATTTTCCTTTTACCACCTATAACAGTTGTGTGCTCTGATCTTTTAGTTTGTGATTCTTGCCGAACTAGAAAGATAAAATTTTAAATAAACATTACCTTACTCATAGCAATCTTCTCTCTCATGAGGTTCATAAAGGGCATATATTCCTCAGATGCCTGCATCAATATGTACTCTGCAAAGGCTAAAGGTATACAAACTCAATGTTATGGATTTCAGTGGATAGCAGGTAATAAATAATACACTAGTCTAAAGAAAGATTAGAGTTACAGTCACTGTAAATCAAGGGATTAATCTTTACCTGTAGTAAAACCAATGAGAGCATTCTCCCCTCCATCAAATCCTGTTGTCCACCATTCATTGATCGGCCCTAAAGCTTTTGTTGGAACTCCACCTATATATAAGGCACATTTTAGCAAGAATATGTACAAATAATTACTTTTTCAGTAATTAGTTCTAGGTTGTAAAGGATTCCCTATCTTTTCCAATTATTTTAATCCAATGTTTCTAAACTGTTTTTGAAATACAATGTACCTTCTGGACTTGGATTTTCATCATAGATTGGTTTAAGGTATCCACTGAAGAATAGTTCTATATTTTTCTCTATCAAGCCAGAGTCAAAAGGGCACAGGTGAGTGTTCTTGTCATAAATGCTATAAATAAATGCATAATAATATTAAAGAGTAAGAAGAACTTAAGGACAACTGTGGCAACTTGATGGACTGGTACGATGCAACTTAAAATGGAACAGATCGGAAGAGGTGGGAAAAGAATAGAAGAGGTGAAGCATGATAGAATGGTGCAAAGAAATATGAAGAGCTCTCATCATCTTAACTTTTATTTCATTTGATTAATGAATGTGACAATTGTAAAGATGCAAAAATTCCTTACCTGAAATTTGTTATTTTGTGTTGTGGTCTGTCGTTATAGCTGTCAAATTGTTCCTCCTCACCAGAGAACAGAGACAAACGTGGATCGGTTAAGGCAACAAATTCTTCCACCTGGTAGACAATAAGTAATTACTGGATGAGGTTGAGCATGATATCATGAATTATCAATGCTGAGGTCTGAGTTACCTGCAGAAGCTGAAGGCTGGGGCAGACAACACAGACACAAAGTTTGATGTATCATGATTTTATGGGAAAACCAAAATTCAGTAATTGTTTTATTATACATTTTCTAAACAATCTGCAAAATAAAAACAATTCTCTGAGTTTGCAAAAGTTTAGAACATTTCATAGACAAGGGGCTTGGAAACTAGTAAGACTTTGAACACAACATAATAACCTAATATCAGCAGCAGATATTGGGATATCATGTCAACTTCACATGCTATTGTATGCTGACTGTATGGTCTCAACCACTCAGAAATTTTATAGTAAGTCTCATGTATAATAATATCAGTTGACATGTTAGAACAAACATACTGGCTGTGACATTTCATAAGACAATTACAACCCTTAAGACAGGCAGGAAGTTAGAACATTCAATTTTAGTCATATTGAAATGGTTGTCAGAAGATAATATTTAGTATACATGTTTGTCAGATACCAGTCATTGTATAGCTAACTACAAGAGAACTGTAACTAGGTACATAGTAAGAATTATGTCCTTTACGTTTTCCACTAGTAAAAATTTGAACCATAACAAACATTTGCACAACTTCAAGGAACTTCAAAAACTGCCTAGTGGAGAGCAACATGTATCATAAACTTACAGCATCATCACAGTCACCAAGGAAAAGTCTCAAGTCAGGACTGTCCAGAAGTTGCTTGCATTCCTTACATTTGACAGGAGGCTACAGAATGATCAAACATATTATCATTTAAAAGAGCAAGACAGATGCCATTTGAAGAAAGATCATTTCACTTGGAGAAATGACTAGGTAGTTTTGAAATAAAGCATTAAAAATTGTGGCTTGAACAGGGTTCAAACTGATGACTTTCCTGCAAATACTTGACCTACATGTAAACCAAGAAAATGTTTCCACCTTCCATATTACCAGAACATTTAAGATTTTACTTTTTCTCTCAAATCCTGAGAAATATATTTATTTCTACAGAACTTTCATAGAGGTCTTCAGTATGACGAGAAGAATTCAAAAATTTTTAGCACCTGTGTTTTTTCCCCTTCACATTTTGCCCTTGCAGAGGATTCTCTTAGCTGATAGCTGTTGAACAAAAAAAGAATTAACACATGCAAGAGAAAGAAAAAATTTATTTACAAAATTATCATGTTGAAAGTTGGTAGGTGTTAAACCAATAACTACATGTTCTATGACTTGCAAAAACAATAATTAGAGTATTCTAATTTGATAGGGATGACTATGGACAATTATTTTATACATACATACATACATATACATATACATATACATATACATATACATATATATATATATATATATATATATATATATATGTATATATATGTATGTATGTCTGCAATGCATACACACCAATAACAATAAAATTTCTTGGATTGTGCTACTGACTGAGATAATTTTGATATAAGTTACAAAAATTTTATTTTTCATCTAATTTGGCAATTCTTTTCTATGATCAAAACAAACCCTGAGGGTCAACCAAACAAGATTGAGAATAGTATATAATATTCAAACTTTCAAACTCATATGAGTATTTGTAAAGTTGTCGACTCTTGCCTTTCTGTTCCTGTTTCTGTTTCTGTTTCTGACAATTCTTTTTCTTTTTCATCAGTGCTTTCATCTTCTGACACTTTAAGACGTTTGTTATCCTGCCCAATGAACATACTGATTAACAGTGATGTTGATGTTTTTATAAAAAAAATCCACAATAATATTTATTATAATGATGAAGTGGTACAGTGAAAGTAGACTACATACTTTGCTAATGATGCTGTTTGGTGAATCTTCACTGGTCTCACCAGCATCTTCACCATCATCTGCTGTATTCTTTCTTTTAGCAGGCCTAAAAATTAACATTCATTTACTGAATAATAATAATAACAATAATTCTAAATACAATCCACTAATTATTAGACAAGGTTGTTACGTATGTTTTGTCTGTGATGGAAGGAACAAAAGTTCTACTAAACATGTTGGTAGGGAAGAGCAGACATAATGTGAGAAATGAAGTGGCGGAACACTGAAAAGTAATGACTTCTGCTATTGACCAGTCTGGTTACAATTGGAGGCCATAATTTCACTGTGGTTGGGTCTTTGAGACATCACACTTTGCACAAACAGTGCTAGTAACTCTCTATCTGAGAGTTAACAAATACAGAATCCAGCCTAACTGCTGAAAATTGTCTTTAAATAGTCTCAACGCCCATCCAAGGAGATTGTAATACTTAAGTAACCAGAGATCCAATTGTGTTAAGCAGCCATAACCCTTTGTTTCTTGTCACAGAAAAACCATTAAAGTTTACATTTACTGCAAATCATCTTAGGATTCAAAAGGTTTCTGTCAACAGATTACTGATTCAAATCTCTTTCTTGACATGGTTACACTTGAGGAAAGTCAAGTACATTAACCCAGACCACAACATATCTGCTACATAAGGTCAAGTACAATTATTTAAATAAATCCTTTAAACATTATTCATTCTAAGTTGACTCTTATCATATGTACTTGTATCTTACCCTTTAGCAAACATCTCTCTAATACCCAGTTGTCTGCCAGTCTCTTTTCTCAGTTTGGTTTTTTTCTGCAAAAGAATTTTTTCAGTCAGACAAACAGCCTTGATATAGTTTTTAATATTCTTTAAAGTCACATTTAACAGTCACTGTGGTATTTTGTTAGTTATTTACATTTCCATTTCACAACAAACTCTTGTAGGTACCTTGTCCTCAGAGTTTGGAGAGGTTTTCTCTAATGGCAAAGATGACCCTGGAAAATTGGAAATAAAAAGCCTGCCTGTTAAGTAACACAAACAAGATAGGGAAAGTATGATGCTACCATTAAGGAATTTGATTGATTCAATTATTCTCAGTGACGAGATGATGAAGTCAATTGTTTGTACAGCACCTTACGAAGCATGATGATGGGCAGTTTTTGAGGTCACCTTCTAGAGGATGATCCCCAGAGAGTGATAGTGATTGTAATGTTCAGTACATGACAGTAAAGAGTAGATCTGAACCTCAAAAGGAGACTACCAACACATGGTTGACACAAGTGATCCACATAAGAATAAATTAATATTTTATTATTGTTATATATCGTCAAGATGGTTAACCACAACCTCTATCACATTCATCACATTATACCTACCTCCTTTGCCAGTGGATAATGAGGCTGTCTGCGCTTCATTTTCAATGTGGCCTTCCTTTGAATTGCCATTTGACGCCCCTGCAGTTGAGTCAATAAATGGTTTATTATCTGAGTCATCAGTCTGCATAATTTCATTAGAGTTTGTTCCTGAGGCACCAGGATCAGTGTTGTCATTACTACTTGTTCCGTTTCTGGAGGCTACATCTTCTGTCTCCATTGGATCTTCTTTCACAGATGACATTAAGCTATGTTGACCATCATTACATGATGCTGGAGATAATGGAACTGCACCACATCCATTGCTAGCTCTGTGACCAAACTCAGAGAGGAGCTCTTTCAACTGGTCTATGAGCTGCTCCTGTAGCAGTGAACAAAAATGAAAATAAGATCTGAAATGTAAATGCTTTGAGCATGCATTGTCTTTACAAAATAATTTTATAGCTTAGCACTTGCAATCAGCATATTACAATGGGATAATGTGGAAAAGCAATTATCAACTGAATCAGAAACTTACTTCGGTTGCCTTTCCTTCTTTGTGGTCGTCTTGAGCTTTCTGAATCCTACAATAGAGATAACACGGTGGTTTTCAAAATAAATCCAGTGGAAGGATTATGAGTGTAATTTCAACAAAAATAATTCCCACAACCACCCCTTCTCTCAACAACAACTACACCAATAATTAAAGTCTGCTTTTTTATCAGGTGATGTAAGGCCATTTTAGTAACTCGTGATTAAAATCACCAAAAAAAAAAAACAACCACAAAAACAAAACAGCACAAAAGCAGACAAAATAATTTAAAAAATATATATCATTCTACAGCTTACTTTTCTTGTACCGAGTTGGCCAACAACGGTTTTAAAAGCTTAAGCTTTTTCATCACATAGCCCTGTGTAGAAAACAATTTCTACATATTAAAGCTGGCCGGCGGACAGAAATTTTACAAAATTTCCACAGAGAGGTTTTCTCAGGTCTGCCAAAATTGATCCTCTTGCAAATGTCTTACGTTTGATCGCTGCGTTTACCATTGATTAATTATTGGAGATCACATTTCCGAAGGTCGACTTTACCTTCTCGGTGAAAACGCCATCCTTATATTCCTCCGCGAGCTCTATCAACCTGAAAATATATACAACAGAATACAATCTCGATCGATCCGAAAGCCCTTGAATCCAATTGACAAAAAGTCAGAGGCTGATTTTGTGATATGCATTGGTTGGCGATCGCTTAGTATCTGCTGAAATGTATCGAATCATGGCCAATATTTTATTTTGATCGCTGAATCTTACCGTTCAGAAATTTCCGTAGGATATTCAGGTTCAGTTTCATGCACCATTTTCACTTTTCGTTGGACAAAATAGAAGAAATCAGCAAATTGACCCAGGTTCGTTTGTGACTGAAAGCTGTCTGTCGATGGTCACGATCGCGTGGAATGTTGACTGGTTGATTTCCCGCCAAAAATTGTTTGCGCAGGCGTTCCGCTGTAACTAGTCACCAGCGTTAAGAGAGCGCGCGTTCAATGCTATCTTGTGGAGGCAAAAATGAATTTCTGGCGAAAGACTTGATCGTGAAATGCCGAATTTTTGGCATGGGTTCTCAGAGCCAGTCAGACGCAAGTCAGCTCAATTCTATTATCGTATCCTTTTTAATTCAGCCAGCGTGTATTGTTTAGTATTAGAATTATCAGACAACTTGTAAGTGTTCTCTACGCGAATACTCGCTTTCGAGCCTGAAAGCGTACAAGATTGAAAATAACGTTGCATGATAAACCTACGGGAAAAATTTCCACTGTTGCTCAAAAATAGAAAACTGATGTTCCTGTAAATGACTAATTTAACTTGAAGCAATGGGTGCGTGGAATTTTAAGGCTATCTGTACCGACCACTTCTTTTACCACTGTTGGAACACTTCAGTATGACTCTCATTAATTGCTCTGTGGGCATTTAGTTAGCTTCATTCATTACAAAGCTAACCAAGGTTTATTGAGATTTTCCGTTATTGTCTCCATGCAAATCAGTCACCATAGAAATTTAACCTAATTTGAAGTAGTACATGTACACACATGTGTACAGTACAAAGGGGTTTCCACTTTACAAGCGATACATATTCATTTTATATTTTATACAGTCCAATTCGGTCAATAACCCTATGAGTGATAAACAAAACAGTAGTCCGATTTGTCAGTTACAAACTTGTGTGATTGTAGACTGAGACTCACACAACATTACAGGTGTAAGTCCTGTTACCATTTAATCAAAACTAGGAAGAAATTTTAGGAACAAACTAGCCATCTGTTATGTGTTTTGATTAAAGAAAACACAGTTAACTTGGCAGAAGGTGAGACAGCAAGCATATATGCTTTGCGCTGTCCAATTACACAGGCATGATGCATATACCGTCGGATAGCACTATCCAATTATATGCATGAGGCATGCACTGTCTTATTTAGTGTTAAAATTGGGCTGGTGATAACCAATCACCTTGGAGAATTATGCTAATTTTTATTAAAGCAACAACCTTTCAATTTTAAGTCCTGAATTAAACCTGCACTGAACTACCAAATATATCATACCTAGATAAGAGAGTATCCCATCGCTATTGTGGCTTAATTACCTTACAGTAGTATCTTTTGTAAAACTGAATGATATCAGTATAATGAAAATTGTTCCTTAACAGTAATCCAATTGTATCAGAAATCCTTTGGTGAGACTCCAGATAGAACTGAAAAGCTAGGTATTGTTTTATAAAGGATAGTTTTGTTCTAATCAACATGTTACCTTAAACCAAATTACCAACTGCCACAGTTAACCCTATAACTCTCAAGATCTCATCAGCAATTTTCCTACTGTCTGCCTTACAGTTCTTGTGATGTTAATTTGGAGAATTTGGTATTGGATAAAGTAATAATCCCCTAATGATATTTGACTTTATCCTCATTACTCTTTAGCTTGATATTGTTTTGATATTGTAAGGAGGAATTCTATCTTGGTCACTCATGGGAGTTAAAGGGTTAAAGCTAGGGATGCTGATTTAAACAAGAATAACCATTACAATAACGATGATGGTGTGGTGCTGGTGATTATTATTATTATAACCATTAGTATTTCATGTATCTATACAAAATAAAAGTCTTTTTGTTTTGTTAGGTTATTTGAAAAACCTCACAAGTCAAGCTCTTCCCAGTTTATCCTTAGTTGAAGTAGAGGCCCAATTTTTCTCAAGAATCTTGCCAAAGGTAGCCACTTTTTTGTTAAAAACATTTATGTTGACTTAGGGCCCTCAATATACAGCTGAAGAAGCAATTTTCAAATTCAAAAAAGGACTTCTCTGTTAAGGAAAACACAACATCCAATCATACATTGTACATTGTATACTGTTATTTCATCTTGTAGCCATCTGTTCATCTGTTCATCTGTTGCTATGAATATAGACACATTTATAGATAACAAAATTACACTTTTTTTCTCAACTTCATGGGCTTCTTGAAATGTCTAATGATTATATTTTAACATTTTTACTCCCAAAATATCATCAGTTATTGCCCTTACTGTCTGCCATACAGATCTTGAGATGTTACTTATAGGGGATCAACTAATAATCCCCAAATTTATATCTTTTTCTACTCTCATCAATTGTCTGCTTGATATTGTATTGATATTGTAACTTGGACAAGTTCTTTCTTGTTAACTCATTGGAGTTCAATTGTTATTTTTCTTTGAGTTGTGAGTTATAAACCAGCATCACGTCAAAATGATTTTGTACAAGTTTGATTTGTATTTTTCTCATTTCGACATACATTACAGTATTTTCCAATACAGAAAATATATTTCTCAAACTAGCTTAAATTTTTTGACCTTCCATTTGTTTGAAACTATTAACTATTTGTACCTTGGTTGACTGTCTATTAGGTATATGATGCTGTTTATGAGGCCATTTTGGAAATAGAGCAGATTATTAAGTCACTACAAGCACAGGCTGTTGATCAAGAAAGAAGCCATGACAGATTACAAACAGTCCAGTCACTTCTACAGGTTTGTGTTCATGCTCTGATTACAGTCATACTGTCATAACAATATTGTAGCCAGTTGTTAGATATGTACAAATCATGATTTTTCAAACCTCTTGTGGGAAAGGAAATCTGATCAATCATTGCAAGGATAAAAAACCTGAGTTAAAATTAATGTGTTGGACGTGGAGAGAGAAGCCCTGCAGTTTTGATATTATGTATCTGGTATTTTGGGAATTGGAGGGTGTAATTAAAAGGGGTGTCAGATTCTGTCATATACAAAAATAAATGAACTAGGAAAGTGTGGAATAGAAAATTAAATATGAATTAAGACCTAGGAGACAAATGCAATGTCAAGTACTCACTTAATATCATACTTCGTTCTCTTAAATTTTTCTCTGTACATTTTACAGCTAGTTATGGCATTTATGGAGTGGCTGGAGACTTGTGTTGGGAATGTGACTCAACTTTCCCTTACAGAGGAACTCTTTATTGAACACATTCATTCTCTTCCATCAGCTGTACTGCAGACTGTGAATGCTACTTTTAAACACTGCAAGGTACATTCTAATTGACACTTTTTATTCAAACAAACTCAGATATTACAACATTAAATTGTAAGTGGTTAATTTATATGTGGGAAGTATAATCAAATCATAATTGCTCTACAAATTCGTGATTTTCCTTGCAGGATAGTGAAAAAGTGTATGGTGATTTGTTCCATGTTGTGTCTCAGGATCTAGCCATGTTGTTTAAGAGATCTTACCAGCTACAGAAGGTAAATAGGTCAGCTATATGCTTATAAAGGGCTATTGTTTGTTTTTAGATGCTTATGCCCTTGGCCAACCCATTTAAAAAAATTAAAAAGAGAAGAAGGGGGTGTAAAAATGGAAATATATCAAAGGAAAGATTTAATGAAAACTAGAAATTTTCCAGCATATGGGTTGAGACAACACACATCAGAGTATACAGTGTGTGGTGCTGGTTTGGTTACTACCTGTGGTTTGAATGCTTCACCTGGGCTCATATAATATAATTAAACCATTGGAGACTGGGTTTTTTTTATCAGTTAAAAAAAAAAAAAGTTGTGAAAATATCCAACATTTTTATTTACCAAAGGGATTGATGGAGTTACTTGACAAAGTCCAGTTAAATTATGATGCATCTGATGAGGATGTTAGAGATATTACAGAAGGTGAGCAGGGTATAATTTGAATTACTTAATAAATAGACGGTAAATTACATGTACTATTATTAAGATCATTCAGAAGGAGAATATTATGGAAAAACACTTGTCAGCAAGATAATTTTATTTTTTTCCCTTCTTAATTGCTATCAGGAATTGGTCATTTGTAGCTGATGAAACCTCAGAGTTACTTACTAAAACTGACACTACAATGATTTTGGTTATATTATGGTATAGTTATGATTAATTTTCATGGAGTGTTGCTCAAACTGTACTTATGTCATCTGCTGGTTTTTCTTTTATGACCCAGTGTGCCATCAGCTCCTTGAAGTTTGCATTCTTATTGGTGATTTGGATACAAGTATATTGGTGAACACATGGAAAGTGTTAAAAAAGTATGTCATTATTACTAACATCAAGTAACAGTAGATAAAGTGTAGTGTATATACATGAAATACATCAATATGTTATCTTGCTTACTGCTCAAACATATTAAAATTTAAATATTTGGATTAAGCATTGTGATAGACCTGCTTTGATGAGATCTAGGAAAGATTCATAAATGTCAGTGTCTGTCAGTTCCCATTTGGATGTCAAAGTTAACAAGTGCCCTTGGTACTAATTCCAGTATTTGTTGCAATGTTTCATTATTGTAATGCACTTGATGTTTCACCACCACAAAGTATTGAGTTGTGGATTTAAAGCATATCTCAAAATTTTTGGGGATCAACAGACTTGTAACCAAGCATAGAGATCACATCAAGAACTATTTAGAAGTAAGTGAAAAAGTATATGAAGTTTTGGTGAAAATTCATAGTGTATAGATTCTGAGTTGATAATCATTTATAATTAATTATTTATGATACACAGTGATTGACATTTATGTGTTAATTATGTTCTGTATTGCATTTCAAACACACTCCCTATAGAAGCTTTATAATGTTTATGAAGTGTGTATTTACATGTATGTCTTTGAAGACAACTGTTTGTCGTACCTTCTCTTCTACCCTGTAGGACATTGGTGAAGAGTAAAAATTCTTCCTTGGGGGAGATTGCTTTCAATCTCTGGCCATTACTCTTCATCTTTGATCTTCAATCAAAGATTCTGTCTTCTTGTCTGATTCTATCACAAGTCTGTTGTTGCTATGGGATTTGATTTATGTTCTCTGGTCTTTTTAAGTTGTGCCATTAACCTTCATTGTTCTTTAAAAACTTGTATGTTTGAGTAACTTTTTGTCTTACCTTGAGCTTTGTGTTACAGGTGGACAGGTTGATTTGTCATTTGTGTACCTCAATTGAGACCAAACTAATGCAATGTGTTCAACTTGCCCCATTCAGAGCAGAAGATACTGGTAGTTCTGATGGTCAAAAGGTTATACAGAGGACTGTCTAATTCAGTGAATATCAGTTGTATATTTAACTGTATGGTATAATTTGTTTATTTAGATTTTTGTCCTCATTCTTGAACTTGTGGTGATAGATGTTAGTTGATTTTTCAGGTTACTGGTGATGAAGTGGCTCTGGCTAAGATGCTTAAAATTATGCGATTTTTGGTGGGTCACCTTGTTCACCTCACAAAGGTAAGGAAATGGTCAGTAGATCACTAACCTGCTTTCCATCTCAATCAGTTTCATATGAGCTTCTGTTAAATAATCCTCTGTTTGAGATATATAATGTGATTAATTTGTTGTAGTTTTATACTGAATTCAAGGACATTAGTTTACATGTTCCTTTTTGTCATCAACATTTTTACAGGAATATGATGGTTACTATGACACATGTTTGGAAAATATTTTTCATTTTCTGTTAATGATTCAAAGGTATGTGTAAAACTGTGTTAAATTTTACTTTGACAACTCACATGCTTTTCATATGGTAAAGGAAACTGTCCATCCTGCTAATTTTTTTGAAAAAATTTATATACAAGAGGATAATGGTTCTAAAGTATTCAATGTAATTCACTTGTATTTTATGTACAGCAATTTATAATTAGCACTTGCCCACCCCCATAACACTGTTTCTCTTTAAACTAGCTAGTGTTAGTTTAAGTGTATAACAAGTGTTTCTTTATTTCCATCTCTTAGCACTTTACCTCCAAGCCTAAGTGCTCCAAAAATTGATGCTTCTGCAGTTCAGGGTATAAAATCTGCCTTATTAATAGTGGTGAGCTTAATGTGCAAAATATATTTCTTTGTTTAGTATATAAGTATGTTTTATCATTTTTAACTTGGAAAATAATTGATATTGCATTTTATTACAGCTTGTAAATAGTTCTTAGGTTGCACATGACATTTATGCTTTTTATTAATGGGAACTGTCATGCATAGGGTTAACCTCACAATTTCTGTCTCAAGAGGTATTTTTATTATTATTATTTGTATCTCCTGAATAAAGTATGGTATTGTATTATTGCTTATAGAAATTTGTTTCCTCTATATTCAAAAAATATTCAACCAAAAGTTAATACTGTTTTTTTTTTACAACTCTTTGTCATATATTTGTCTATAAAAGTTATCATAATTAATACATACATGGGTGGTCATGTTTCCATTACTAATCAAGTCCTTGACACTTCAACTGTGTCATATTTTATGATAACTTTAGTGATAATGAAAGTATTGAGTATGTTTATATGATAGTGGTAATTGTAATTTGAAACATCTTTGTCTTTTCCTAAGGTGGAGCCATTGCTTTCTGTTATTGTGAAAAATAAACACTTTGCCAAACTAATAACTAGGAAATCATTAGGTAAGTCTGAAAAATAGGAGGCATTCATCATTCTCTTTGGGCTTTTAGCAGTATGGTCATAGAAAGTAGTTTTTATCTTTGGATTTTCCCAGACAGTCATGGGAGTGTAGTTTCTAATGTAAATCATTATTTTGGTGGATTTTCTTTCAGTGGTGGATGACAAGAGTCACTTTGCACACTGCTGTTTGCTGGTTACTATTCTGAGTGTTCTACCAAGTACGCCAGGTAATTAACTTGAACAAACTCCTCCAATACTAACTGTAATGTCTACCAAATCTTAACTGCTAACTGCAACCGCTATAAACTCCTTTTTGATTAATACCAGCCTGGGTTGGGATGAAAACTTTTCCAGCTGAAAAATAACCTTATTTTTGTCATTTCTATCACTAACTAGGCTTCTAAAAGTTTCCTTTTTTTTGCTACTTAATTTACATTTGTCTGGTAAGAATTAAAATACAATCAGTGGCCCAGATCTTGATAGCCTTAATCTTTCACTCGATTGGTCCTAATGTCATTGCCTCCCCTCCCCAAACTCTAATGTTGAGTTTTCTATCTTTAACCTCAGTTGCAGACTGAGTTCAACATTATCTGGGAAAGGTTGTGCTTCTATATTGAATAAGAACTTCTAACGGAGAAAACTTTGGCATGTGCCATCATTTATACCTCTGATTGTGCACTTTTTGTCTGAATTGCAATGTGGCTGGTTATGTGGGTTGATTTGATTTGATTAAAAGAAAGGAAGTAATTTTTACTGCAATGTTTTTCTAAAGTCTTCACTAATAATGCAGTGTTGTTTTTGTTTTTGTTTTTGTTTTTGTAGAGGATGTATTTGCATATTGGATCTCACCTACTAATTACCCAGAGGTAAGGTACAGGGTGTAACTCTACTGTGGTTAAAAGAAAATTGCAACAGAGAGAAAAATGTAAAAAGTGGCATTGCCATGATAATTGCAAGGTCTGTTAAAGAAATATGTGTGTATATATAACAACAAGCAAAAGAAAAAAATTTCATTACGCCATTTAGCATGTTACAGTATTTATTGTCTTCAACAGGAGGAATGTCGTCATTCACTTTTGGAGGCAGTGTTTCAGTATTTCAGTCAGTGTAAGTATTCTTTGATGATGTGCTGTTAACATGCATGCATGTTTTAATATGTGCATTTCTATTATTTTCAGGTGTTGTGGAGGTTAGCCTGCCATTATGTGTAGAAGGTGTGATGAGCAAGGGAAAACCATTGAGGTGTGGCCATGTGCTAAAAGAAGAAAAAATTACAACTGTGTTGTTACATTAAACTAGGGAGTTAATAAATGTTATTAATCAATGAATATTATTATAGAACCTCATCCTCTTTTTACTTGGTGGTTGGCCTTGTTCTGTAGAATTATCGGATCATGTGTACTATAGGTGGCCTCGGTCGACATATCGGCCGATATATCGGTCGACTATCGACCAACTATAGGTTGACTATTGGTCGACAGCCGATCGACTATCGGTTGATAGTTGACCGATAGATCGGCCAACAGTGGACCGATATATTGGCCGACAGTGGACCGATATATCGGCCGACAGTGGACCGATAAATGTGCACATATCGACTGATGCATCGGCTGACAGTCGGTTGATATATCGGTCGACTATCAACCGATAGTCAGTCAATTGTTGACCGATAGTCGACCGATATATCGGCTGACAGTCGACCAATAAATGTGTACATATCAGGTGATGCATTGGTCGACTATCGGTCTATATATCAGGCGACTATCGGCCTGACCAAACTCAGGCAATAAGAATTTTATCATATGACCACTGAATGTTGAAAATTTTTGCGATAAAAGCTCATGGGACAACAACAAAACAGATTCTAAATTGGGAAGTTTTGCTTCTTCTTTCTTGTCAGAACTTTTAAAACCCATAATTCATAAAAAGAAAAAAACACTAATTTTTGTAGTCTGTGTGAGTGCAAGGCCCAACAGCTTATTAGGGACCAACCCACATCAACCTGTCTGGCCTTACACATGTCAGCTTTCACTATGGTTTCTATGGGCTTGCACACAGGGCCATAAATGCCATATGATAATAAATGTTATTGGTCAATAAATAAAATATTTTTAAACCTATTTGCCCCCTAACTAAGGAGTTTGGACAATTTGTTGCATTAATTGTCTAAAGCTTGCTAACCATTCAATATTTTATGCTCACTAGGCAATTAATTTGAAGACTGACAAAGATAAATTATCATTTTGATTCTGTTGTTTCCTCAGAGAGGTAACTTTGTATGAGCATGTTTGTACTAGAATGTGCTCTCTTGTGGCTTCCACACCAGCAGTATGTTTTTCTGCCATGGTAAGTAGTGCTAATAGAAACACAGTGCTCATAACTTGTCTTAAATGTCAGGACATTGAGAACCATGTTGTAATTTGCTTCAAGAATGGCTCAGTTCTTACACTGACAGACCAGTTGATTGCAATACCTCTGAGAAAAGACACCTTTACCACATTGTTTGAAATCAGAGAATTGAAATGTAGTCAGGTTGTGAACATTCATGCAATGGTTTTCTTTATTTCATTTGAACTTTTTTCATCTAAAATATTCTTTTTTTGGGCTTCTATTTTCCTCAATTTTCATGCAATGATCTATTTATCTTAACCCTCTGATTCCCAATATCTGATTGATAATTCTCCCCTCTAGCTGCTACACAATTCCTTGTATATCAATTACAAGAATTTACTGTTAGACCAAGATCAGAATTTCTACTGATTTAGTTGAAGTTTTAGTATTCTTGTTACCTGTTTGCTGGATCATGTATGGATATTATAGGGAAATGTTACATGTTAATCACTTTTGGGAGCTAAAGGGCTAACATATCTGGAGTTTTGCTTCAATTACACCTCTCCTTTATTTCCTTTCTCTTAGGAACGATGCCTGTTGGAGCACATCCTTCAGGATGACCTGCTGTGTGCTTTGCTCTCGAGTGACGTGTGGTGCTTCATGGCAAGGTAGACATACAGTGTCATGTTTGATACATGCTATTCAACTACTTTTCATTTAGTGCATAATCAGAAGACCCTACAACATAAGTTTTTTTGTCTACATGTAGGTGGGGCTCTGCCGAGCTGTGTTCGGGACATGTAATAGTTCTTACTCAACTGGTAGGTGAATTTTCGACTCTGGGGCAATTAATAATGATAAATAATGATAATAACAATGATAATGATAATAATAATGATACTGATGATAATAATAGTAACAATAATAATAATAGTAATAATAATAATAATAATAATAATAATAACAATAACAATGATAACAATAATAGCAATCATAACAATAATAAGATTTTAAAGCAGCGTACATTCCATGAGGTGGCTCTTCTTTTCTACCGTTTCCAGGTCAAATTGGAATTTGGGATGTTGGGAAGGGAAGTTTGAGTCTGGGTTTGCCACTGAGGCCTTCAAACACCAACCCTTGTGAAAAAAAAAACCTTTCATTCTTCTACCCTGCCTAGGATACTATTTCTCGCGTTTTGTGACAGAAGTAGGCTCCCTACTCTTCAGGGTTATAAGCAAGGGATCATTTATTCATGTTGGCTTACAGCAGGTGACTACCGTACTGGAAATATCCGTCAGCGAGGCCTTCATTTTCAGTTGACTACAAGGTCTTCGTTGCAAAGAAGAAAATAAAAAACAAAACAAAAATTACTGTCTATTTTGTCAGTGTGTGAACTTTTGGAAACACTGAATTACAAAAGGTATTTTGGGATTTAACAATAGTTGTCGATTAAGATTCCCTTGGTGGATAAAACGCTAAAGTATTTGTACATGCAGCGTCTCTGGATGACAAAAAGCAATAATTTCGCTCTGTGGTTCGGTTGGCCACAACGTATAGGAACACTTAGCGGAACGTTTTGTGGCGAACTGTGGATCAGTCTAACATTCATTACGGTCATTGTTGGCTTTGTTTCGCAGATATCACAGTTGCCTGCTTCAAGTGCTGGTTATGTCCATTTGTCGCTGCTCATTCAACGTCTTACTCGCCTTATGGCTGTGGAACATCAAGTACGTGTTGTCTGATAAAACTTCCTTGGTTTTCTTTTACTTGCCATTCTTTATGTATGATAATTATTGGCTCACGATTAGTTATGAAACACTTAAGTACTCAACGTCCGCTTTCAGTTTTCTACTTTTGTTTGAGAATAGCAGAAACAGTATCTATATATCATAGGTGTTTACTTCAATTTTCGGTCAAACGTTTTTCGGTAGGAGAATCTTGCCGTTTCTTTTCCACCGTCGAAAGAAGAAAACATCGCCGCGTGGTGCATTTATCCCTTACGAGATATGCCCGAGAGCGTCAAGAAAAAGGTAAAGGCTTGCTAATCTTGAAACGAGTACTCAATGCAATTGGAAAAAAAATATGCTTAATTCTTAATTTACAGATTTTAGAAAACAATTCGAAAGTACCTGAGCAGTCATACTAATACAATTATTCACCTCTGCCTCAGTGAACATTTTTGAATAATGCTCACTTCGCCTTCGGCGAATAATTGTTAAATAGGTATTGGTGGTCATGGCGAAGTTTATGCCTCGTCTCAGGGGCTTTCAAGGCAGGAATTTTGTTTGTGACGTCAATGGCATGGCTCGAATAGAAATTGTTGGTTCTCCACTTGGATAAGATACTCGAGCATTGCATTTGGCCTCGTGTCGCATGGTTCTTCAGAATTTTTACAGGTGCACAGGACTTAAAATCTGGAGTGCAGTGCACTAACCTTTACTTCAAGAGCTTTTTTATTTTTCTTTTCCTTTGTTTTTAAGACCTTAAGAATCAGCTTGTGAACTACTGTATCTTCGTTTGGTCAAAAAGGTTTAATCATCTTTTAGTTGTAAACGAACTTAAACACTGTTCATTTCCCCTTGTAAAATTAAAGACTTAGCTCTGGTTTCATGTCATAGGCTCAAATCTTGCGAATCCTCTGAAATGTCTTTAAATTTTAGGTTTGCCGTTCTCTTTTTCCCTTGTGTGTACAAGTTTGTCATTCGCGAATAGCGAACCAATCAGCAGAAGACAATGAGCTCATGGTATGTACCTTGACAATTAAACATAACAACTTTTTTGAATGCCACTTTACTTTACTTTTACAGCTACCGATATGTAATTAAGCCATCTCACCGTTTTCACTTTTTTCGCAAGCTAACATAAGAAAAGATGATACCGGAATGAGATTCATTATCTTCCAATAAAGGTGGTTCACTTTGTCTTAAATTTGCAGTCTTTTTCATGTTTTCTGTCACGTTTCCGGTCACTTTCGAAGTAGTTTCTAGACACTTTTGAGTAGATCTGCCTGATCCCGAATTTATCGACGAGCTTATCGTCATTACCACCATTCCATACTTACTTCTATGTTTCTTTCTTTCTTTGTTTTCGGTTGCTTCAGTCGCGCTGCTTAAGGTGTCTCCGGCGAGTTTACAGCCTACCCAAAACGGAAGGCTATGTACCTCCTGTTCATCACTCTGCTACCATTGGTCTTATCAACGACTTGTGGTCGCTTTGTTGTCAAGGAAGTGAGCAAGTAGAAGTAAGTTTTATCTAAGAAAAGATGAAAGGAATACAGAAATTTGGACTTGATCATGATGTTCACAGATCACTATTTTTCCCCGGCTCTGATCATCGTCAAAAGTGCGAGCGAAATAACAGTTGCTGAAGGACTTACTGATCACGAACGTTGAAGGCGGGTGGGGAATTGCTCCGGCGCTTCCCAACCCCTGCTCTGCGCTGCCTTGCTTCACTGGAAGGTAGAAACAAAACCACTGTGGACAGTGTATGACTTGAGTCCATGTAGTATAATTATCCCAGATTTTTTCTGTTAAGTAAGAGACAGTTTTTTCAAGACTTACTCAACTTACAATACTAACTTTACCAACAAATTATTCTACATATATTTACTTCCGAAACTACCCTTACCGCCAAAATTTCTCGATAATTTTGCAGCGATTTAGAATCCATATGTGGTGCGAGTTATTGGATTTGACGTCCGCCTTGCTTCCCTTGATCCAGCCTGAAGATTACGCAACGGTACAGTGCGGTTTTGGGTTTCCTGTTGAAAGCAAGTATTTGTGTTCTTAGCTCAAAGTAGAATTTATGTTTTTTGTTGTTACATTTTAACAGATACTTATTGGCTTACGAAGTCTCCTTGATAAGAAGCCCACTGTAGGAGTTCGCCAGGCAGCCGCAGAGTTTCTCGGGAGATGCGGCAGTAAAGAAATCCCAGAACACCTTGAGGTACGAAGAAGCTTACCGTTTTGGCTTTTGAGCTTCTGTGGAAAAGTCTGCCTTAATTTTTTTCGATAGGTTTAGGTGATCAACTTCACAAGTATTAGCAATGATTAAGACAAAATATCCTCTGTTTTGTTTTTGTTTGGTTGTTTGTTTGTTTGTTTGTTTTTAGCAGAGTTCCATTTACAGAGCGACTACCGTTTGCGGGGTCGCTTACAGAAAATTGAGCCATGCGATTGTAACAAGAAAACAAAAACAATGGATCCCATCTTAATCTTATATGATGTTTGCTTGTTTTATTCCCAAGCATTGATTGAAACAATATAGTGTACATGCAATTCCTGTTCGTTTCCTGTATTACTTCTGGTTAATTTTTTTTTCTAATAGTAGTGGCACTGCATGTAGAGAACTTTTCTCTCGATTATGGCAGTTATTTTGCTCTTGTTGTGACCTATTGATATTTGTTGCTACCAGTCCGCAGTGTTAAGCGACATCAGCGTCATGTTCTCCGCATTGGTCAGTGACACGCACTGGTTGGTTCATCAGCAAGCATTTCAGAGCGTTAAGGCATTCGCAGAGGTATTAGGATTTATTCAAACATTGAAATTTAAAATCATAAATCCTGTTGATTTTATTGAAGGGGTTTTTAAGAAGTTCATTGAAATCCAGTAGGGTGTGATGATAACTCAAGAATTTTCCACCTCACTTTATCAAGCTCTATGATTGTTGTTTTGTTCCCAGGTCACCCGATACACTCACGTGATGGGAGATTGTGTTCCAGAGAATTTACTTCCCAGTTTGTCAGATTTTCTAAATCAGGTTAGTTCATTTGCTACTATATTTTTTCCTTTAACCCTTAAACCCCTCAGTGTGAGGAACATCTGATTTCTCCTTGCAACATCAACCCTAAATCAAACATGAAGGTCATGAGAATAAAGGAGATGATCACCAACTAAAGAAGCTCTTGATTGTTGGACAAATTCTCCTGGTCAGAACCTTAGGAAATGTCTAGGGAGTGGTATGGAGAATATTCATACTGATGTTAGGAAGTAACGGAAATAGAATCAGATCAGTGGATAGCTAATATGTTACTTTGTTGTTGTGTTTAAGCTTCCTTATGAGCACAGTGAACTCGGAGATGGAGACTTGACTAATATGTTACTTTGTTGTTGTGTTTAAGCTTCCTTATCGGCACAGTGAACTCGGAGTTGGAGACATGACTGTATCCTTTGCCTGAGTCGCAGTGGTGTAACTTCTGTAAAAGTAACTGAAAAGTGGAATATTTTTTGCGCGCTTCTTTCAGTTTTTTTCCTTGACAGGATATGTAGGAATTCGATGTAGAGTTTTTAAGACAACAACTCGGAACGGAGGCATGGAGTAAAACACAGATCACGCCGTCCAATGACATTCAAGAAACAGAGATACCATTTATGGACACAAGGGGTCGATTACGGAACGATAGTGCGAATGAAAACAAAGAGATAGAGGTAGTCATCAAACCCTTCGAATTTTATTTTTAAAAAAACATTTTTATGATTTTGCCTTTATTCGCGTTGTGCATCACTCAGACTTAGTCTGGATAATGCACAACGTTTCACGTCGTACTCATAACTCTGCAAGTACTCGAAAAGGAGTCGCAAATGGCAAAGGGTTGTAGCTGTGTTTGAAACATCTCTCAACTTTCAAGAAAATTGCATCACCGAATCGTGATCCAATGATTGATGGACTTTGTGGGAATGGGATTGATGGAACTTTCTTTGTTGCAGCCTGAACCAAAACGTTTAAAAACACAGCACGATTTACCCAGTGAAAGTCAGGTAATGTGATAATAAATTTCTCGATTAGGTTTCTTTCCTTTCGTAGTATTTTCGTTTGCATACTTTAATCCGGCCGGAATATAGTAAATACTAATCTACGACCTTGTTGTTTATATTTACAGGGGGAGGCACTTTATAATGAAGCGATACAGAAATTGAAGATACCTGTCTCAACAATCCTTGATCTTAGAAAGCAGTTTGCCCCTTCAGCAAAAGTCGTAGAGAACGTGGAAGAAATTCAAACATTGTTGCAAAAGTTTCTCAGCGGAAGCGCCGCTAAATGATACACTCGCCGTGCAGCAAATCGTAACTGAGTGGATAATGAATGACAAGAATGCGCTTTATGTGTGCAAAGTTTGAGTTTGCATCTTCAAGGCATTCTACAAATGTTGCGCTCTTTTCTATAAATTCCGTATTTTTCACACGCCTGACCTTTCACAGACACCAGATTTGTTGACTGGACATATTAATATGTATGCTAGATTCGAAGGATGTTGTTTTTAAGTGAGTTTTTTTATAACTTGTAAATAAAGAAAATTGAAATCACCGGTACATATGTGATAGGTGTTATTTTGTTATTTCTCTTCTAACTGAAGCCAATCAGAGCAACTGATCAATTCTACCAAAGGGACAAATGGAAAAACGAATAATTACCTTTTCCTTCAAGGGCCTTCTGTTGTCCTGTCTTGAAATCGGTCCTAGTATCAGATGAAACTTAAACCCCGTTCAAACGGTCATGATAGTTGATGATAGTTTCAATAAACACACGCGTTTGAACACGAACTATCATGCACTATCGTCAACTATCATGTAGTTTGAACGTGTTGAAATTGCTGTTTGAACGAGCGGATGATAGTTTCTCGGTCAACATATTGCCAAAAACTGGCTAAAACCGAAGTGGACGTAGGTAAAATGACTAAACCAGCCGTCAAAATTTCGCAGAGTGTCTCGTAGTTCATTCTCATCATTTCCTGGTAGGCTTCAGTATCTTCCATTCGCAACGTCTTTACTAAAATTTCAAACACCACCGAAATTGCTGGCCTCAGCGCGCGCCATATTTGTTTACAATCATGCGATTTCATTGAGTGATTTTGTCAATTGTCATCAACTATCATGACGTTTGAACGGGGCTTTAAGTTTCTAAAGAATCTCTGGTGCGGCGTCGGTGGGGGGTATTACAAGATGATTTGGTCAGAATGAAGGACGAAGTCAAGACGAAGGGCTAACGTACGAAACGTCAGCCTTAGAGGCTCTTTACGGTGGCCGAGTTACATTATCAGCTAAATTGATAAAACCAAATGATCTTAGATTTGAGTAATTTGACTAACGTGCAGGCGTGAACCAGCAGAGTGTAAAGTGGCTTGGACTTCTGTACTGGAATGGGTAGCAACGCAGTAATTGGCTGTGGATTGAATTGTGTGTGTTTGTTCTGGCTATCGTCAGTAAAATACCTGCGCCCAGTTGTGCTAAGGCCGATATAGCTCTAACCAAAGGTTACATTTTAATCCGGGCTTCTTTTATTCATCTTTCAAGAGCCTTGTGGAATAATTTTCTCTATTCATTTTCGAGTATGCAATGATCCATTTGTTGGTGAGAAAAATTGTACTGAATTTTCTTTTAAAGCTTTCATATCTGAAATTCGATTTCACGGTGACCTTGGGTTATTTTAAACCAGCTTCCAAAAACCCTGACCCTATTGTTTGGGGAAAGATCGCTTATTTCACTTTTTCTCTCCTTTCGCATCTGTATGAATGGGTATCGGCAGACTGTTGGGTAAGCCCTGAAGGGTAGCCAGCTATCACTTTGAAACCAGCTTACTCTAAATTATTTTCATACAAAAAGTTATTGATGAGGTGAATTTGGCCATTGTTGGGATAATTATGATGGCCCTGGGAACGAGGAAGACATAAAAAGTTAGTTCCTCTGTGTCACAGCTCGGATATGAAAACCAAACTAGTTGTGTCTATCGCTTCAGGGAATCAGGAAAAGAAAAAAGGAGAGACCTTGACAATGAAGTTGAGATTAGACCCATATCAGAAGCGCCATAAATGGAACTTAGGGAAACTTAGGAAGAAAACCTTAAAATTTTAATGTAAACATGCCTGCTTTCCCCCTACAGTGAAAATGGCTCTCATTAATGCCATGTCTTCCTGTACCATTAATCACTTTGACGTACATCACGGCTGTATTACGACAGTGCAAGATTTGAACGCAATAATTATTCGTGTCTTGTAACAAATATTTTGTTGTGCAACGTGGGCTGTCAATAATAATTTTTCTGAAAACGCTTTCTGTCTGTGCCTAGCGGCGTGAAAACATTTCGCACTTGTTCTGATGCAGCTGCAATTCCTCAAATATAGGTTCAACAATTTTTTTCCTTTTTTTACTGCGACGATATCATTAAGTAGGGATCCGCCACAATTAAGTTGTCGGATTTTATGAATTACGGGGGCGTATAATACGATTTTGCTTTTTCGATACTGCTTCTAATTTTTCATAGTCTTTTTCTTTCATTTTGAACACATTTGAAAACTCGTAACCATAATCATTGGCTTACACGTGTTAACACTGTGAATTGGAATAAATAAACCTCCACTAAACTTCGATTTACATAAAGCGCTCTTATTTGTAATGTGCACCTAGGAGTAATTGTTTTATTTTTACGAAAGCGGCATAAATATATTTTAAATACATATTTATAGTCTTAAAATGTTTCTCTATTTTATATGGAAATAAAAAATTTAATCGAGAGGGATTTTTTCGGATTTGCAGTTTATATTTCAAGAGCCATAAAGTATTTTGAATGTTAAATGTACCACGGTCTTATTTGGAAACATGCAAATAAAGATTTTCGCTTTTTTTTCACATGCCCGTTGGCCATTTATGAAAAATTTAATTCTCTCATTGTGCTTTTCTGTAATTATTTCTGTAGTCACCTCGGCTAAAAATTCGTGCCTCGTGTAAAACACAGTTTTTATGGTCGTTGATTAAGGTTTGAACGGCGTAGTTGTCTAGGAACGTAGAAACTTGAGAAACGAAACTACAAGGCCACTCAGACCTTCTTTATGAAAGTTTTTCTCAAACGAAGTTATTTTGCTTGTTGAATTATTGATAGTAAACAGATTGCTTTTCTCATTTTGTTTTGCTTTTTATTCCTTTAAATATTGTTCACATATATGAAGCAAGCGGTATTGAAAAGTTATATTGAACGCCGTATTCACTGTATTCATCATTATGTTTGTTCAAACTTCATTTATTTTAAGCTCTGTGTTATATGTTACTGCAACAGACACCGTGAACTATAAGATATAAATATTCTTTGCTAATGTCCAAGTGGATCAGATAAATAAAATCAATATTATGCACAACAAATGCTTTCAAAACATAGTACGTTCAGCATACTTTTTCTTCTACCCCAGCAAAACGCTTCAACTATTTAAAAATATTTTTCTCATCGTCGCGACACTTCGCTCCTGATACGTCTGTGTAAAACCACTTCAGACTTTATCACATCCATCTCACGGTTAAATATGAATTTTTCAGTAACACGGGTGTGACTCTGTAGCGGTTGTTGATCGAATCACTTGTGAAAATATTTTAATAAACGATTTTAATCGAAAAACTCTTTACCCCTTCTGGGAGAAAATCAGAATTTGTTTCCAAAATGAATTTCTGATGCCTAGCTTCGCAATTTAGGTTTCGAGCTCATTTTACGAAACCAACTTTCTGTTTAAGTGGCAAATTGTCATCGTGGAAAGCTCGGATAGGTTTGTGTAATATTCAACTTCGAGTACGACGATTATTTGTCTACATGTTCAAGTAAGTGACGTGAATGTACTGATATTACGTTTCAGAAACTTCACGAATAAACAGCTCTCTTGGTTGTGCGTCTCTTTTCAATGGGCCTGTTTCTGTCGAAATTATACAGTACGCAAGCCTACGCGAAATCAGAAATATTTTCTTTGACATCACGGAATTCAGGCCAACGTTAAACTAATAATTTCACGGAATTCTTCAATTCGCAGTGATGCACTTGGTGCCGGTGTAAATCGTTGTCTCTTCCGTTCCAAGTACTTTGAAAAATGAGTTCCCAAACTGCATAAAATTACATCATTTGGTTTTTGTTTTTGAATGTGTCGAAACAGATAGGACGCGGCTTAATGACTGCTTTGTTGATCACGTGACAATACGCCACCTGCCCGCCGACCGCGGCAGAATTTCGTGAATTGAATATGTTGAAGTTCATATGAGACAGGTCTGAAAAATTCGCTTCGGATCGAACCATCATTCTCGCCGTCCATATGCCGGTCTACGATGGAAAAAAGCGGTAAGTAAGGTTTATATTCCATAATTATTTAAGTAGCTTTTCCTCTTGCCTTGTGATCGATGACAGTTCTGGTTCGGTTGTCGCTCACACGAGTCTGGAAAATCGAATGTGAAGACTACAAAAGCTTCATAGGGAACTATGTCGGTATTTGACACCGATTGGAAATTGTGCTCTTGGTCTTCAAGATAAGTTTTCTCTTGAAGGGGTCTTAACGAAGAATCGTCTAGGAGAATTTCAGGTTCTGCTTACAGTCAGGATCAGCTGTTTAGTAGCGAGCTTAAAATGAATGAACGGCGACTGAGGAAAATAACCAGCATGGGAGTTCACGATTATTTAATTTTTTACTTTTATTCAGTTTTCTTGCCTTCCTTCAATCGGTATTGAATAACGTGTCTCGACTAACACCACAAGTTCGTTTTCTCCTCAGACTTGCAGCGCTTTCGCAATGAATGCGTAGCTGCCCATAACTTCTACCGCGCCGGACATGGAACAGCGCCTCTTTGCTGGTCATCGCGACTCGCGGAGAGCGCGCAAAATTGGGCAGATTACCTCGCTAGTTCCGTCGGCGGCTCGCTAAGGTACAGCTCTGACAAGGACATCGGCGAAAACCTCGCCTGCCTATGGGGCTCTGAACTAAACGGGCAGAAAGTCACACGGATCTGGTACGAAGAAGGGAAGTATTTTGATTACAACAAGCCTCGAGTTAACTCGCGTACGCGCTCCTTCTGTCAGGTGGTATGGGAGGGGACGCGAGAGCTTGGAGCGGGAGCGGCTGTCACCAAACATGGAAAACAGATCATTGTGGCACGGTATTTTCCAGCCGTGAATAAGAGAGATGTGACGCGGAACGTGAAGAAAGCTAGGAGCACGCCAGAGAATGAACAGCCTCTGGCGTACGATACGCGATGGAGCAGGCTCTATGTTGGTAAGAGACACTCTCGAATGTCTCTTAAATATGGCGACCTCTGTGTTTTAGATTTCTCATTTGCATTTTATCCTTTAGTTTTTTCACATGAAATAATTATTTTCTTCATTTGAGGAAAAAAAGGGTTGCTTTGATTGATATAAAAGTAAGGAATTTCGCGAGGTTTAAGATCACTGTGGAAATATTTCAAACATTTTTTCTCGTTAGGTTTCGTTTAGTTCTTGGTAAGATATTTTTCTATTGTCGTTTGCTTGTTATTAATATGCACAACACGGAAAACTCGTGATCAACAGGAGGGTTTCAAATGAAGCGATTTTCCATGTTTACTGGATTAGAAACGATGCTGTTTGAAAGCGGTTTTTAAAAACAGAATCTAAACAAACTGTTCCAGCCTCTACTCAATCGTGGGGAGGGTCTATTATTTTTGAAATGAAGGACAACAAACATACTTTCGATCGTTTCATCAAAGACAATAAATTTGGGCCGGTCGACAGTGTCGCAAAAAACATAAAATATTAAAAAAACAAAAACCAGACATTCAACGAATATTCTCGAGTACGAGTACTGGACGCGGAACAAATATTGTTTCAAAGCATGAGGAGTAAAGTCTATTTTTGAAATATAAGAATCTGATAGTGTCATGCGCCTTACATTTGACGGAAGTGGTTTCGCTTTGTTTTGGTTCGCTCAGTCTTCTCACAAGGGATTGATTTTGATTTGCATCAGAACTAAAATTATGCCACTTTCCTGATCTCTGTTGTCTTATTCAAATGATTCACAGAATATTTTCTCGGTTTATTCACACCTAGAGAAACTATTTGTGCTAATTTTAACAATGGTTAAAGCATCGAAAAGAACCGATTTATTTGCTTTTGCTCTTCGTTACAACCTGTTTCTGTAAGCGGTGATATTTGCATATGATTTCTGAATTACTTCGCTCTTTTGTTCCGATTAAAGACTGTAAATTCAGTATCTCATTTACCAGCTTCTTGCAAAATTTCACTAGAATTTCGAGTCCTCTAAGTTGTTAGTCACAATTTTAAGATGTCTTTAAATTATATACTTGTCTTGGATTTTTTTTTAATTTTAAAACTGAGGAACTTAGTATCGTTTAGGGCTAAGTGCGGTTTAACTGATTTTCTTTTATCGTAAAGCACCTGTTGAATAAAAACAAAAATATTTCGTTTTCGGCTTGGATGTAATCCTGGAACGAAGAAATACCTGTTCTGTCCTCCTAAGTATCAAATTATTTGTACAAGTCCTGTTTGTGTGTAATTGTCTAAACTTCACACTATACAGAGCTTGTACTTTCTCAATTTTAATATAAATATTATCGCTTTACGAAGGAATTGTTAATATTTCTCGCCTTACAAATGAATCATTTTGCTTTACAAAGAACCTGGTAAACGACTAGCTGACACGTCACTGAAGCATCTTCGGCGTAAGAACAGTCCGTTTCGTTCAAAATTGTTTGGCATTGCGGCTTCAGCCAGGGTTAATCCCATATCGCACCCTATAGATGGACAACATTCTTATCTCTTTATGAGAATTGTATGTGAATTTTAAACACTTTGATAAATTTGGTGGTAAGCTTGTAAACGAAACGGCTTTATTCATCAAACAATGAACCTGTCGATACATAATATCACGTTTTCTTTCTTTCTTTTTTTTTATTTTTCATTTTTATCTTTTGTCCTGTACCAAATGTTTGATAATCGAGAATACTGCATTTAGCTTACTGGGAAATTTTAGCCGCACAGATTTTTGCGGCAAAATATCGAATGTGCATGCAAAATTTGTAACCACGTGTAACCCGCTATTAATTTACCGGAATACAGAATTATCTTAAAATTGTGAAAATTTTCTCCTAGATATCAAATATCGGTTTAGAAACGTTTCCATAACAGCAACAGTAAAGCAAAGATTTATACACCAGAGCGTAATGAAGGAGAAAATTCGTCTGAGGAAATTCAAACTTGGAAACAATCAACTGTCTTTGCGCCAAACATTCTCTTTAAAGCAATACATTATTAAATTCTTTGTGTGGTTGCTGGTAAGCGCAGATTACATTTAAATTGTTTTTGCAATATTTTTCAAAAAGCTAGTCATTTTAGATGGTGTCCGTCTATTTGATATTAGAGATAGAAATAGTGAAGTTTATTTTTATCCGTAGATAAACCAAGCTCTTTCAAGTAGAAGTAAAACCATTAGCCTCTTTAGGTTCCTTAAGTCGTTTTTCACCACTGATTCCTTGTGTCTGTAAATTGGTCATTTTTCAAATTGAATACGTTCCTTTACTCAAAACATTTCCGTCTGTCATTTTTAAGTTTGTGAGCAACACATCCTTAGAGCAATTTATCAAAGTTGTTGAGTTTGTTAGGTAGCGAAAACACGATATATGCAAATGAAGAAAATTAATGTAATGTAATCAGATAAATTTCGTGCGTAGGAAACCTACGCGTAACAGTGAAGACAAGAGTATCTGATTCCACAAATGTCTGCTTGTACGCGAATGTAACCTAAGGAGCTTGTGTAAATGAAAGAGAATTGAAAATATCTTGGTTCCTCTCTTGCGTGTCCCTCCCTTATCAAAGAGTGAAAACATGTTTTTGGTGGCAGTTTAGTGTGTGGGGGGGGGGGGAATTGTTCGATGTCTTTTTAGATTGGATATTTTTGGTGACTATACCATGGAAAACTTCAAGACATGCCTGAATATTTACCAAAAAACTCTCGGGGCGGTCCTTTTTGCATCATTTTTCATGTATTTAATCACAGAGTGGCGTCATATAGTCAAGCTATTTCAGTTACTTCCACCGTTTAGCTCTCTAACTAACTAACTGACTTAATTTTCTCGTGTTTCAGGCCTTAAAGAGTTTCACGAAGAATGCCTGGCTGTGCACAATGAGTACAGGTTCAGACACGGTGCCGCTCCTCTTCAGTGGTCAGCGGAACTAGCTTGGGAAGCCCAGCAGTGGGCTGAGAATTTGGCGCGAAGTGGTGAACTTCGACACAATGATGACGACACTGTTGGGGAGAATTTAGCAGGAATGGTGGGTGGTGAACTAACTGGGCGGGAAGCGACAGATATGTGGTATGACGAAATAGAAGACTACAACTTTGATGACCCGGGTTACAGCGAAGATACATCAAACTTTTCGCAGGTAATGTCCTCTTGTTTTCTTTCTTTCTTTATAATTAAACATTTAATGCTGATGGCCTTGATGTTATACGTTTTTGACGGAAGCCAAATAAGAAAGTGAAAAGCTTATAGGGTAAACTTTTCAAATTGTCCAAACTTTGGCTATGACTCCACAGAAACCAAACCCGTCTTTTTTCAGCACAGGCAAGGAAAAGAGATCCTAAGAAGGCGTCGAGTTCGTTCGACGAAATAGTCTGTTTTATTGCTATTCAGCGCTATACTCGCATACAGATAGTCTCGCTATTTGGCAAACTGTGTCATATCCTGTTTCTTCATGAAGTTGAAGGTCTTTGTAGAAACATCGAACACTTTTGATATCCACGTATTTTATTTTTTGCTTTTGCCATCCCAGATTGTTTGGGTCGCTTCAGAGTCTCTCGGAGTTGGTAGAGCACTCCACGATGATTTGTGTGTAGTTGTCGCTTTTTATGAACCTCCGGGTAACATGGAAGGATCATTTGGGGACAACGTTCTTCGTATGGGGTCAGCGGTGCGGCAAAGAAAGAGTAAAGAGCCAAGACGGTTTGTGCCGCCTACCCCTGGTGAGTCATACCACAAGGTTTTTTTTCCTGACATATCTTTGCCTAACATGGCAAAATTCTTTGGCTCAGGTAACTATTATTTGTTTTCTTATCGTTATTGATAAGAAATTGGTATCATACTAAGATCGATAAAGAAGCAACCAAGTGATACCAAGGAAGATACCAAGGAGAATTGGAACGATAGCCTCCTCACGACAAATATCCGTATATCTTTGGAGTCTACCTTCACTAAATTTCAGGTGACTCGTCAGCGCTCTAAGCTGAAACGTTTTGGTGGCTATAATGACTATTTATTTGCAGCGAAAGGTGCCAAATTGATGACCTGTGTGCGGTGGTAATCTTGCGAATTTTAGCCTTTAGTTACTTAGTCTTCATAAAATATTGCTCATGCTCGGTTGCTTTCAGCTGTAAAAATTTTCCGCTTTTTCCTTGATTGCCCGAGTATGAAACCTTGACATGACACATGAAACTTCTAAATCAAATACCAGCCTCACAGCGTGCTCCAAATGATTTCAGCAGTTTTGCACTTCATAATATTTTAAAATGTGTCTTCCTTGGATTTAGATTTCGACTTCTCTGCTGGACGCCACTGATTTAAACCTTGTATTTGCCCAACAGACTTAGAGAGTTTTCGCCTGGAAATGCTCGTCACCCATAACTACTTTAGAGCCCGTCATGGTTCTCCTCCGCTAGTTTTCAGTGGGGCCCTAACAGATGAGGCCCAGTATTGGGCCGAGCGCCTTCTGGTGACTGGCGCCATGGAAAGCTTGGATAATTCGAGGATTGGAATAAGTGTGGCGGTGCTTGACAAGGCCCAAGTCAGCGGTGTAAAGGTAGGGTAGGAGATTGTTGTAAAGAGAATAGCCATTTTATTATCCTGACAGATCATAGGACGCTAGGAAAATACAGCCTTGAACGTGAGACGCGCATTCTTTGGGATTTAATCGTAGATTGAAAAATCGGACTTATCAGCGCTAAACGAAAGCTAAAACCCAGGAACAATTATCTACCTTAAGCTTAATCGACCTGGCAAGGACTGCCCCGGATAAAGCGTCCCTGTTTCCTTGGCTATTAGTGTCGCATGTACAATATATGCGACAATAATAGATCACTTTATCAATAGTTTGAGCTTTAGATACCCAAACTTAGTGCGGTTTCCTACTCTCTATAGGTCTCTGAGCTGTGGTACAAGGAAATATTGAGCTATGACTTTGACAGTCCTGGCTTTAGTAACGAGACACTAAACTTCAGTCAGCTGGTCTGGCAAAGCAGTCGTAAGCTGGGTATTGGTAAAGCAACAGGTGTGGACGGAGTGACTGTCATTGTAGCACGCTATGAGCCTGTCGGAAATATAGATGGACTGTTTGTGCAGAATGTCAAGCGACGAGGACACGAGAGAGGCAGCTGTGAACCAATGATATTCCACGTGGAATATAGATACCGTGTGCGAGCCGACAGCAAGTCCACTACCAGCTTTATGAGTTGGGAGCATGAAGGTTTGTACTTTTCCTGTTGACAAAAGGAACCTTCTTTGTCCTGCTAATTTAACTGTTGACACATATAAATTAAATGAGAGGGCAGGAGTTTGTAACAGCGTGAGTCAACTTTTTAATTGCAGTTTTCGAGGGATATGTCGTGAAAGTTTTGATTATATCATACCATCGGCAACTTTGACTCTGCATGTTAGTTGATAATCTTACTTGACCAAACAGTGGTCTCGGTGAATTACAGAAAAGAAATCCACGTCAAAAATATCTCCTATCAGAAAATTTACGATCTGGGTTTGTGACAATATTTACTTTCTGATTATTTGGTCATATCCAGGACTACTTGGGTGCCCTTTGATTTTTGAAATGTGTCAGGAGGCAAACATAAGTAAATCATGACGTGAGTTGAAATTTAGGTGTGTCGTCAATGCAAAAACAAAGGAGGCAATTCTCCTGATGAATAAAAATCCTTTTTCAGATGCGCCGACTTTTGTTGAACTACAGACTGGTTCCGTGAGGACGAGGTAAGAGTTATATGGTGTATATACACGTTATCTAAGTAACGCATGCGTAACACTCGCTCATCATGATTTGCATTAAATGTCTCTGCGGTCAGTTTTGTGTTCTTACACTCATTCATGTTTGTTTGAGACCTCGTTGGGTTTCTTTTAAACGCGCAATGAATATTTTTCGTTTCTCATGACAAAGTAAAGGAAAAAAAACTAATTAAAACAGAGATATGGCGGATAGTAATTATTACGGTGCAGCAGGTAGGTAAACCATGCTAATTTCATTCTTCCTAAAATGGTTAAAAACCACACTTCCTCAAAGCTTCAAGCATTTTACGGAAACGTTCGTTTGAAAAATTTGTAAAAATGAAGAATAAGAAAGTTTTCCTGACTCAAACAATTGGTTAATACGTTGATTTTGTCGCCACTTTAGTTGTGAAGCACCTCAAGGGACTGGACTTAATCGTGCAAAGTTTCTGTTAAACCGTTTATTAGAAGACTTGGACCGGTGTCGTAACAGCTGTTACCTTTCCCCTCCCCTTAGTATGGCCGCCAGTTTAAGTTGGAGGTATGAACTCTCGTCTTCCCGCTTAGCATTTTCTCTGAGTACGTTGACACGAGAGCAAAAAGTCGATCGTGCGGTGTTTGGCGGATGTCCACCCCTCTTTGCGTGAAATGAGAGATTGTTTGCTCACTGTACTTTTGGATCCATGATTTTAAAAAGCCTTGTATAATTGGCTGGTTTTTTTTTTAAAAGGATTTTTACATTTATTTTTGAAATTTTGAAAGAGAATTTGATTTTTTTAATGCCCGTTAGAAAAATAGTATAATCACTGAGGAAAACACTAACTATTTTTCTTTCCTATTTTTGACAAAATAGGAAAGAAAAGTGCCTTTCAGTGTAAGTGATTTAGAATTAAAAAAGAGACTGTCGTTGTGCCATGACTTTGTGTTTGTAGCTGCCAATTCTTTCTTCCCGATGAAACGAGTGATTTCGCTCATCCGTTTATTTTCCTCACCATCAAGTGAACTAGTATAAAAATTTCGTCTTTCAATTATTTTTTTCCTTGGGATAACTACCTTATCCTGAGTTGAACATACCATGACTACATCAATGAAGAAAGTGTAATGTATGAGACGACGAAACGAGCACAAAAAGGGGGCAGATTAATTCACATTGTCCACAGTATACTTTAACTGGAATATAATGTAATCATACACAGGAAAACATATTGTGATTGGAAAATGAGTCCAAACCGACCATCTCTACGAGCACACATACCAAAAATATGCCAGCAAAACCAACAGCTTTGTTCAGTGTCGTGTGCGCTAGGTTTTCCCCATGGGTGCTTGGCTCTTTTAGTTCTCTCTATTTCAGGGTTACAGCCGCTTCCCCAGAATCAAGGATCGCGGATAATTTAGCGGCTTTTGCTCTCTTGTAAACGTAGTCTGACTTGTTATCGCATGTTATGAAATGTTCTTAACACTGTGCTAGGCCAAATCAATTAAAAAAATGCCTACTTTAGGTCCCTCTTTTAAAACAAAGCACTTCGCTAAAGAAACTAACAACTGCAATCTTCACTGATGTTCTCGGGATCGTAACTCTTTTGCTCACGAATAAGTCATTAGGCGGCTCTTGAGGTGATGGGAAAGGCTCTCTCTCTTTATAAATATGAAACGCTTTATTTAATGATTAAAAATCTCTGCTTTGCTGCTAATTGAATCGGGTAAATTTCCTCGTTTTCTGGTTCCATTTCGTGTTTTTGTTTTTAGCTGTGGTTTATCATTCTCAACAGTGGAATTCATTAAGGAAACGCCTATTTTTTTTTTGACCGAGTATTGATTACGTAAGGAATTCTTTGTTGTCAGCGCATGTCAGTCCTTGAAATAGCATCATATCACATCGTCATACTCTATTTTTATCTTCCTTGTTAATAATTTCATGACTGTCGTGTCATTCTGTGATTGTTAATATCCAATCACCCATTGAAATAGTTAGAGGGAGAAGAATTAATCACATAAAATTTGCTGAAGGGGTTGTTATGTGAATAAAAATCTTTCATAAATAAATTATTGTAGAAATAAGAAGAAACAGTAAATTAAATGTAACTGTTGCTGAAATAAATGTCTAGCCATGCAACTGAAAACGCTTGCTGATAATTTTAATGAGCATTAACGCACAAAACAACTTAAATTCTGTAAACCCACAAGAGATAAACATTTGATCGTGATTTCTTGTTGTTAAGACTGATGTAACTAAACCAGAGTAACTTAACCTAATGCTAAACAATTGTTTTCTTTCATTCAATAGCGATTTAAGTTTTATCTAAAGGCGCTAAATAAAAGTAAAAATATTTGTCATAAGCCCCTTTACTCGTTTTACAAGGTAACGCAGACAGCCACTTTAGTTTACTTCCTCAGGAGAGAATAACGGCACTAATGCACTGAATGGTATTCATTCCAGTGTAATTAAATAGATGTGGTAACAGAGAAGCAGTAGGTTATTTTTTGTCCATTCTCTAAAGGTTCTCTGGCAGAATCAAAGTGCCGAAATTAGTGATCAGAATTGAGATAAAAGAGCTAGAGTTAGAGCTAGTTTCTCCTGGGACTATTTGATTGGTATGTAGTGAGCCAAAGCAATCACCAATGAAAAAGGCAAACACTTTGATTCATTGAAACAAGAGCCCAACGATGCTATTAGGTTATAAGACAAAGTTGGTGCTTTAAGGCCTCCGACTGTTTCTTTGTAACAAAATATCTGCCAATTTCGTGGCTTCTCATTGTCACTTTCCCCCTCTAGTGACTTGGACGAGTTTGATGAGAACGAGAATATCCTCCACAGGGCCCAGGCGCAGCAGGAAGTATCTAACAACCTGACAGTAAGCGACCATTTTACCCGGTTGGTATGGATAGATCCTAACAGCCCTACTCTACAGAGGAAAGGTGTTATCGAGGAGCCTGCTAAGGATGACAAGAGTGGGCTGGAGGAGGATGAAGAGAAAGAGGATCCACGGACAGCGTATGAACAGGATAACACGTCAGAGGCAGCTGGTAAGGGAATAAATTGTTCTGATTCAGCAGCAAATTTTGGGATGAAGGAGTTTCTACCGAATTAGTTGGTTTGTTTGAAGAAAGACAAATTAAGGTGATTTGAACCACGTCCATTCGGCTTCAAATGTTTCTCTGGGAAATAAAAGTCTTCCTTCTTTAGAAAATCTGTTTGCAGGTGTTGGGGAAATCATTCTGTTCTGGCCTTTTGCTACTTAAAGCATGGCTTCGCAATGATACCTATTTCAATTTTTCCAAGTATCCTTAGCAAACGGATAAGTCTTTCTTTGTTTATTTCCAGATCTTACCAGTGTAACGGAAGAACCACTCTTGCATACCGAGGAGGGCGAATTGGAAGAGGCTGATTTGTTTTCTGATCCCGAAGATGATCTGCATCAACGTTTCTCTGAGGTGCGTCGCTCTCTTACATTGGATTCAGAGGGAACAGAACCAGACATGCAGAGGGCAAGCGTTCTGTCCAAGGTAGCTTTCTTTGAGATGTTTCAGCAAGGCATGGAAACTCAATCACCCTCCCATTCAGAAACCTTACTTAGACGCAGTCTCATTCAAGAAGAGCTGGAGGAATTGGCTTCCCGTCCGAAAAGAAGTTCTTTCCCGCAAGAAGAGGAAGTTAGAGGAGAAGAGGAAGTCATGGAAGAACATGAGTGTCAGCTGGAATTTGACGATGTATTTCCTGCGCACAGGGAGGGGGACGAAGAAGATGTGCAACTAGACGAAGACATATTTGACGACGAGGCTGAAGACGAAGAAGAAAGTCTGGTAAGTGTTTCAGAAACAGAGGATGTGCTAGATTTTCCAGACTATGATACCAGACCAGAAGGCCTACAAGACCTTGAATTTGAGGAGGTCGTTTGCGTGACCCACGAGTTTTCAGAAGAAGAGCAATCAGCTATGGAGATCACTGATGCCTACCACGAGGATATTTCGCATGAGCATCCCGATATTACGGAAGAGGAGGACCAACCACTTGGTCCAACGAACTTGAGCACAGCTGATGATTCTTACAGAACTGATAATTTTATATTGTGCGAGGATGAATCACCTGATTTAGTAGAGAACACGCCAGATAATTCTAGGGAAGAATGTTTTAAATCTAGTGAGCCAAACTTAAACGAACAAAGAGACTCATTTGAAAGAACTCCAGATCCAGAGTTTTGTTTAATGGCTTCGAAACAGGAAAACGTCGAAATTCGAATGAAAGAACTCTCAGCCATAGGAGGACTTTCATTAGTGGAGGTGAGCGAGGACGCTAGTGACGAATCTGGTGATTTCAACGAAACTATGGAAGGAAAGCTTTTAGAAAATATTGTAAACAATGGAAGGCGTTATGAGCCAGAATATGAAAAAACACCAATTGAAGAAACTTGTGAAGCTTCCTTTCGAGAGGCTGTGGAATCGGAAATAGATTTTGAAGCGTTGTTTGGAAAACTCCACGCAGATTGGGATGTATCGGAGAAAGCTAACGTAGGGCAGGAAAGTAGTAAAGTCATCTACCCCTCTGAAACAGTTCAGGTTCTATCACGAGATCGTGAAAGTGAACGCGCAGCGAAATTGACACAAATAAGCCCTGATCTTGGGCCTTCACCCATTACAGATAATGACGACGATCTGGAAGAAGAAGGGAAGGCTGGGTTAGAAGTAACGCTTGATTACCAAGGTACAACATCCATTCCTGCATGCGATGAATGCTTCAATGAATCTACTCAGAATGAAACCATTCAAGTGGTTTGGAAAAGCGCGAATGATCCCGTGGAGCCACAAGCGCGATTGGTCAGTCCGACCCCGGAAGATAATGCGGAACAGTGTTATGAAGCTCTTCGTCGAGATTACGGTCAGGAACGTGCAAAGGCTCTCGAGGAAACCAGCTTAGAACTTAATTTAGTGTTCTCCTCATCTGATGAGATACTTCCAACTGAAGAACATGTCGAACCATTAGATTACCATCAAGCATCTAAATCATCAACAGCGAGCGAGCCATCAGAGATCGTAGAGCACATTGATGCCGAGACTCGTCAAGTTGTGCAATCTAAAATGAACTTCGAGGACATGTTTTGTTCCCTAGACGAAGAAAACGCAGAGTTTGCGGACGAACGTTCGGAAACCGATCATTTTGAAGATATCGTAAGAGAATCCACTTCAAAAATTGGGAACGCACCAGAAAATTTTAAGGAGGAATGTTTTAAATCTAGTGAGCCAGACTTAAACGAACAAAGAGACTCATTTCAAACAACTCTAGATCCACAGATTTGTTTAATGGCTTCGAAACAGGAAAACGTTGAAATTCGAATGAAAGAACTCTCAGCCATAGAAGGAATTTCACTACTGGAGGTCAACGAAGATGCTAATGACGAATCTGGTGATTTCGACGAAACAATGGAAGGAAAGCTTTTGGAAAACATTGTACACAGTAAAAGGCATTATGAGCCAGAATATGAAAAAACACCAATTGAAGAAACTTGTGAAGCTTCTTTTCGAGAGGCTGTGGAATCGGAAATAGATTTTGAAGCGTTGTTTGGAAAACCCCACGCAGATTGGGATGCATTGGAGAAAACTAACGTAGGGCAAGAAAGTAGTACAGTCATCTACCCCTCTGAAACAGTTCAGGTTCTATCACGAGATCGGGAAAGTGAACGTGCAGCGAAATTGTCACAAATAAGCGCTGATCTTGGGCCTTCACCTATTACAGATAATGAGGACGATCTGGAAGAAGATGGGAAGGCTGGGTTAGAAGTAACGCTAGATTACCAAGGTACAACATCCATTCCTGCACGTGATGAATGCTTCGATGAAACTGCTCAGGAGGATACCATTCAAGTGGTTTGGAAAAGCGCGAAGGATCCCGTGGAGCCACAAGCTCTTCGTCGAGATTACGGTCAGGAACGTGCAAAGGCTCTCGAGGAAACCAGCTTAGAACTTAATTTAGTGTTCTCCTCATCTGATGAGATACTTCCAACTGAAGAACATGTCGAACCATTAGATTACCACCAAGCACCTAAATCGTCAACAGCGAGCGAGCCACCAGAGATCTTAGAGCACATTGATGCCGAGACTCGTCAAATTGTACAATCTGAAATAAACTTCGAGGACATGTTTCGAAAAGAAAAACGAGCGTCACCGTATATGGAGGAAAATTCATGTGTGGACTCGGTGAAGTACAAAGTACCTGAGGACTCCTTACACATTGATGGTGAAACCCGTAGCTCTGAAATAACCGAAGAGGTGGTAGAACAACATGATGACGTGCAACAGACATCATTGGTCATGCATGAACAAACAGTTGGTAGTGTTACAACCCGTTCGACGTCCTCGCCGTCGGTTATAGCTGGTGATGGCGCTTATGGAAAGAGTTTTGAAGAAATGTATGAAGATGTTTTTGATGAAGTGGAGAGAAGAGCGTCTTTGTTGGAGGAAGAAGACTCATTTATCCATGAAGTAGAACCTATCACTCCTTCTTCCCCCAAACATCTCGTTCAAGAACATCAAAATGTCGAACCCTTTGAAGAAATTGATGAAGAGCTCATTCAGGAAAGCAAACGGGCATCAGTGCTTTTAGAAGAGGAAAAAAATAAAGTAAACGTTCAAACTGACAGCCCATCTTCTCCAAAGCACATTGCAGTGGAAAGCCGAAATTTCGAGACTTACCACGAACTAGAAGAAGAATCTATCGAGGAGTGTAACCGAGCATCGTCGTTTTTAGACGAAGGTACTCTTGTAGACGAGGAGATAACTGTTTTGCCGTCATCTCCTGAGCATCTTGCAGGAGAAGGCGCGAATGCGGAGAATTTCGAAGAACTGGAAGAAGAGCCAACCGCTGAAAATAAACGAGCCTCTCTTTTTATCGAAGAAAACTTTGCTGTCGACGAATTGACACCCACCAAAACGTCGGTTCCCATTCACATTGCTGGTCAAGAGGTGCGCATATCAGAATTTGTGGAAATCTCAGAAGAAGCTACGGCACCTTTAGAGCTCGCCCAGGAATTTGAAGAAAGTGATGAGGAGGTCAACTACGATTATGCCGTTACTAAAACCACTGATGGAAACAATCATGTTGCTGGTGAGGTTACAAACATAGAACTTAGAGAGATTACAGATGAAGAAGAGTCACCAGAATCGGATTATGGTGAACAGTTTGAAGAATTCGAGAGTGCTTATCGCACTCAAGGACTCATGGAGCCAACTCGAAGCGCGCATATTGCTGGAGAAATAGATAACATTGTCTCTCGAGATGAAGTCATGGAAGACACATTGCAGCTGGAGGAAGGTTTAGAGTTCGAAGACAGCCTTCAACTTGTAACCACAACTAATATAGAGGACACAAACCAATCTTCACTACACGTAGCTGTTGAACTCTCTAACATTGAACCACATGAAGAATCCTCAGAGGAAGAAAAACCAGAAAAAGAAGAGATTGCAGAGGAAATTGAAGAAACTGAGGTGCGAGCCACAACTGTTGCTCTTAAATCTCCTCAATCTTTACTGAGTATTGCCGCTGCTGCATTGGAACTCAAAATTGATACCACACAACAGGTCTCTGAGGTGGTAGAAACAAAATCTGAAGTAATGCAACAACATAGTGAAGAGAAACATCTCGAGGTGCCAGCTATTTTTGTGAACGTTGCCGATGAAGTATCCGATAATGACGAAGAAAGTGCATGCTATGTCGAAGAAGAACCAAATATCGAGACAGAAATACAAGAACAATTTGAAGAAACTGTAGCAAAATATAAGACTGAAAAAAACCCTGTCTCTGAGTCGCATGTTGCTGCAGAAGTTTGCATTTCCGAATTTCCTTCAAAGAAAGACGACGTGGAGGAGCAAACAGACTTTGCTGAACCTTTTGAGGAAAGTGAAGAGGGCTCTGTCTCAGAATTAATGTCCGAGTGTTCGTCGTCACCGTTGCACGTTTCTAGTGAACTCAAGGATTTTCAAGATTACGAAACAACTGGCGAGGATTATGGCACTGAAACCTATCAAGTCATGACACTCGATGAAACTAAGTTCGTTTCGGAAAAGTCGTTCTCGAAAGGATTGCCATCACTTTACATAACAGAAGAACTGTCGACACAAGCAATTTATGACGAAAGTGTCCTGAACGGGAAATCAGTTGCAATCGAAACGACTGAGGAGTACAAGAAAGAAGAGAAACCTTTAGAGACGGAAACTAGCATTTTCGTATCTCAACCGCTCCTGCAGACGGTTTCGGATTTTTCCGACTCTGATTACAATGACGGTGTTGGAGAGGAAGATGACTTAAGCGAGAGAGAGTTTTGTGAAGGATTTGAAGAGATGGAAGAGAGCGGCGGAAGAGATACACTGTCAGGAGAGCCAACTAACGCTGTTTCTAAAAGCGTGTTAAGCGAGTCGCAAGTTGCAGAGGAAGAAGATAAACTTGTAGATGCAACTGACAACGCACAGAAATCTAAGGAACAAGAGCTTGTTTATGTTCATCACTATGCAAGAGATGTCGAAAGAGAAAGCATTGTCCATACGGAAGGAAAAACGAAGGAAGACACTAAGGAAATCGAAGAAAAAGGTTTTACACATCAGATGCAGACGTTTGCGACTGTGAGCCAGAGAGAACAGAGATCTGTGGAAGTCAAGTCTAGTTATCATGTTATGGAGAGCAGAGAGTCACAAAGCAGCGAACATATCTATACTGGAGAAGAAGAACAGCGAATGGAAATATCGCACACAATTGAAGAGACAGTTCAAGTTATTGCATCGAAAACAACGCGTCAGGTATCTTCCACAGATTCTCACATTGCTACTGCAAGTGAAGAAATTCACTACAAGGCCGACAAAAACAGTGAGGGCATACTAAAGGAAGAATTAAAAACAGTTCAAGAAATCTCTTTCACTCCAACAAAACAAACAACCCGACAAACCTCGTGGGAAAACGATCAACACTATGTAAAAAATGATCAGCTTAGTGAAAGTATTTTAGAGAAAGAAGTCGAGGATCAAGAAACCAAGAAGAATGAAAGACTACTTTCAGAGGACGAAACAGAGGTTCGTCTTTTAAAGAGCGAAGTTATGAAATCCAAGGCGGCTGAACAACAAGAATCCTTGGGAAACCCACATGTGATGATAGAACGGGAGTCAAAATTTGTGAGTCTTGTTCACTCTGGAGTTAAGGACGTTCGAGAAGTTCAACAGGTTATACGACAGGAAGACGTAACGGTCATTTTAAAAGATGACGAAGCTTCTCTTGAAGAAGAGTCAGCAGAAGAACACTTTGAAGAAGAAATCGATATTATGCGAATGGATGAAGCCTATTCAGAGGAGGAATTCCGTGGCGAAGGAGCTGAAAATGTTGATCATAGCAGTTCAAGATTATCCAAGACCGATTCAGTAGAGGAAATAGACAGATGGGACCAAGAGGAGGGAAGTAAACCTCTCGAGGATGAACGAAAAAAACATCTCTTTGAGGAAGAAGTAGACGTCAGCGAAGTGCAATCTATCTATGAGGAGGAAGTGGAAATGCAAAGGGTCAAGCTAAAAGAGGACGGAGACCCTTCTGAAACTAAGGATAATGTCGTCAGTAGCACGCCTACTTTTGAAGAAGAAGTTGAGATAGCAGCACATGGAAGCACTATTCAAGCGGAAGAAGGCAGCTTTGAAAGCCAGACGGCTGACAATATGCAATTAAGACCACAGTCAACGGAGTTTGAGGAGGAATTGGAGGTATCTACACTACAAGAAGTTCAAGAAGTGGGCTCAGAGGATTTTGATCCAGAAGATCATTCAGTAGCAGCGGTATTTGAAGAAGAGGTGGAGATTTCTGCTTCAAGAGAAGAGTACCAAGAACCCATGATGGCTAAAGACGAGGAACGCAAAACAGTTTACTACATAGAAAGTTCAGAGCAGTTTGTTGAAGGACGTGCTAAACTTGTTCAAAAGAGATCCACACGAAGGCAGCCGCTTGATTTGAGCCAAGTTGATCTGTATGAGGATGAAGGAGCAGCAACACGGTATTACGTTGAACTGTCATCAACAGAGAGCCTGGAACGAGCTTATGAGGAGGTAGAAGATGAAGCACCGTTCACCGAAAAATTCGTGCGACAGGGAGATCCATTGGAAGAAAACCTTGAAGAGTTTATTCTCGTACGATACGGTGATGAATTTGAATCTTCTGGTGAGGAGGACCTTTCTGAGCAACGAGAAATCTACGTCATTCCTGAGGAGGATAATGATGGTGAAAACAACAACCTTGTAGAATACCCGAAGGAAGAGCTTGAAATTGAAAAGGAACCACTCGCGGAGAGTTTTTACGAGAGAGAATACAAAGACGTTGGTCTAGAGGAAATCCGAGAATCCCCAGAATTCGGAATCGACGATTCTCCAGAAGACGAATTGGATGAAGAGGAACAGCGTCAACTCGAAGAATATGAACGGCTGGAGTCATTTGTTATCTTAGAGGAGAAATTGAGCCAAGTGGAGTCCGATGAAGACTGTGATGATGAGAATGGGGGTTTCAGAGGGGAGGAAGGGGACGAAAATGTCTTCCATTCAGATGTACATTCTAGCAGTGAAGAAACTTTGCACGAGGATGAATTAGGTGAGACCATGACGACTTCTTCGATTAGACATGCAGCAATGTCTGCTGATACCGAATCAAATGAAGATAAAAATACGGATCGCCAGAGTAGCGGCACACACCAAGAACTCGCTGAGGATTCCTTTGTAGTAAAAGATGACGAATTGGAAGTTCAGGAGGGTTTTGCTGAGATAGCAGTGAAAGATTTTTCCAGTGAGGAATTTCAAACGTTACCAATACAGAAGGGTATTTCTGATAAAGGAGATCGAGAGAACGTGAAAGCAACTCCAGAATCTGTTGAAAAAGAAATACACCCCGAATCCAGAGAAGGAAAAGACAATAAAAACGAGCACAATCTAAGCAGTGACTCTTCTGGTGAACAAAGTATTTCAAGTGAAGGATCATTGTCCTCCACGGCCTCAGTTGATCTTGAAGGTGAGAGAGAACTTTGCTTTTCCTTTCAATTTGACATAAATGGGATTTTTTTCCTTTCACTTTCAAGGTATAATGCTCTCTACTCTTTTTCGTGATGATTTTCTGTTCCTTGTATTATACATAATCACGGAGGGTTTCTTTGATAGAGCAATATTGTGACTAAACAAAATATCCTTGGAAATGTATTTTTTAGGATTAAATGACTTTGAGCAAGATTGTCTTTTGCAACACAACTTCTACCGGCGGCAACACCGATGCAAACCGCTGAAATGGTCTGAAGAACTCGCCGCTGGCGCAAAAGAGTGGGCAGAATATTTGGCATCGGTGAGCTCCCTCGAGCGCTGCGACGGGAAAGAATTTGGTCAAAATCTCGCAACTTCGCAAGGAAAAGAATTTAGTGGCTCCGAAGTTGTTGACACTTGGTATGGAGAATCATCAGAGTACAATTTTGATGATCCTGCCTTTAACGCCAAATGTGGTAATTTTACGCAAGTTGTTTGGACTTCGTCCTCTGAGTTCGGTGTGGGGAAGTCTGTGGCTGATGATGGAACTCAGTATGTCGTGGCGTGGTATAAACCTTCAGGAAACGTCGTTGGAGAATTTAAAGACAATGTAAAACCACCTAAAGATTCTTCTAGCCGAGTGCGAAGACGAAGGTCAAGTGCCAGGAGACGTTCCCGGTCAGGAATTCCGCCTTCCACTCCAGCGGAAAGAGGTAGTGACCATGATTAAATTAGAGACTTACTTGAGAACTTCAACTGCCGGTGGATAACTTGTTTGTCTACCGCGGCATTCATGGAACGAAAATTTTGAGGCATGCGGTTTCAAGCATGTCGTTATGTGTATTTTTTTGTGTACAGACAGCTGCTTAAATTTACTTAAGAACAAAGCAATTTTGGCAGATAATGGCGTAGCACACCAACTAGACAGAGGAAGTGAGACTATATGTAAGAATGGAAGGCCACATCTAGTTGGAAGACTAAGCTCGATTACCGATTAATTAAGACTACTCTTAAATACGGATTGATAACCAAATTTATCGTTTCACTGCCCTCGTGAGCATCCTCTTGCGCTGTTAATACATTGCGTTCATGAGACAAAGACCATCCTTGTTTTTTCATAACCTTATTTTGTGTTGCTTTTTTTCGTTTCTGTTTGCCATTCTACACAGGTTTATATCATGTTCTGTTGTTTTCCTTTACTCACACTTTTCATTTTTGTAAGCTCATTTCCTCATTTTTTACGTCATCAGAAAAATTTAAAACCGAGTGCGTCATCTCACATAATTACTACCGTACATTTCACAATGCTCCTCCTCTGCGTTGGTCTCCATTGTTGGCTGCCGAAGCGCAGAATTACGCAGATCGCTTGATTAAGACAGGCTCACTTACTCACAGCGGGCAAAAGGACCGCGGGGAAAACCTGGCCTACACATGGGATAGCCCGCTTTCTGCTCGAGGAGCGGTAGACTTGTGGTATGATGAAGTTCAAGAATACGACTTTGATTGCCCAGGTTACACATCCAATACGGGGCATTTCACGCAGTTAGTCTGGGTAGGAACAGAAGAATTTGGAATGGGAATGGCTGTAGCTCCCGATGGGAGACATGTGGTCGTCGGAAGATACTATCCTCCGGGAAACATCGTAGGACAGTTTAGAGCAAATGTGCATCCAAGGGAAATTGCTGGAATTCCATAGTGGGGTTTACAATGATAATACATGGTTAACAGTATTAGGAAAGTGATCTCGGACTTAGAAAAAGCGACAGATGAAATGGCCAGTTTTTAGTTGTTGTGAAGTCTTGGAAAGAGTATTTCTTACACGTGATATTTGGAATACGTCAGTTTTATTTGTCATATTGATCGTTTCACAATATTATCAGTCTCATGAGAAGTCTAATGGAAGATAGTTGAAACCTCTGTTAGACAAAATTGAGGTTCATTTTAATGTTTATGTACCATGAGGGCCAGCTTATGTTGAGCGAAACAGCAATTTAACCTGCCAAATTTACGTTATGAAGTGCCTTTCCAATCGAGATGCGAAAATGCAAGAATGAGGTGATAAGGTGTATGCACGTGTTTTAGTTGAGCTTAATTTTTTGGGTAATGCCTCTTCTTCTCTAGAAGACTAAGGAAATCCGTCACTAAATTAGGGACAATGAGGAAGTTCCCACGCCCCCGTAAAATTCTGAATTTAATCAGATATGCATCCTTAGGAATGTCAACTATTCAGCTTTTGCTCAATTCTAACTCTATACTTGATCTTGACGGTACTGTCCTGTCAGACTAATCTTGGTAGTTACTCTAAATCATTAGTTAAACTTGAGCCAAGAGCGCATCAACCAAACAGACAGGATTCTTGATGATTTTTTTACCTTAAAAAATTTTAACCCGAGGCTGAAAAATTATCAAAAAGGAAGTTAAAAGCGTTACCTTTGAGCCATTTCAAGTGACGATGCAAGCACGAAAGACTAATTTAAAGGTGACACAAAACTAGATTTTGATTTAATTCTAAAGGTTTTCGTTTCGTAATTTCTTAAAGTTATTTTTAGTCTCGTTTTGGATGGAAAATCGCTTCAAAATGTTTTATAAGTCTGTTTTAGGTTATTTTTGTACTGGGTAAAGTATATGGGATAGAAGGAATAACTTTGGACATTTCCGCATCAATTTGCATTAGGATAGATAACTTCTAATGGCATATAAAAAGAAAGTGAATAAATTTGAAGGCGCGCTCTGATTGGCGAGTCAAACTCCTAATATCCTTTGCCATTCTCCATCGAGTAACTCACGCGGGGAATTGCTACCAACGACTATCGTAATCGTTACCGGAATAAATGAGTTAAAATCATCTTTTTGTGCTATATTATCTCACTGTTTTGGTATATCTGATACAACTATGCACCTCAGTGTCGGACGCTAGTGATATTTTCCTCGCCGCTTCGAGGCACGGTAAATATCACCACATGCCACCTCCACTTCGGAGAGTAACTGCTAATTATTAATAGGGTTTCAAAAGGATATTGAAATGCAGTTTGCGTCTGCGTTAGGATCGAGAACATTTAGCCACTTATTGAATAATAATTAGCCTTACTTACAGGCTATCTTTCTAAAAGATTCTTACAAATACTAAACAGCAAACGTTTGTTGCGTTAAGAAATATGAATTAGAATTCTCTTAATTTATTGGAGCATGTGGGCTTCCAGGGACATTTAAAGAATGTATATTTGATTCCATATTTATTTTGTATTATAACCTTTTAAGAATATTTCTTTGTTAAAGAGAAATTATAATATGATATTTATTGTTAGATAGGCTGTTTAAATTGAGTGTTATAGAAATTATGAACGTAAATAAATTGCAGAGTTTAAGCAGGAATGCAACTGTTTTGATTAACTGGTATCTACTGCCGATGGTTACTTATTCTACTTTTGCAATTTGAAATAATGTTGGAGTATCGCATTTTTGCTGCTTGCTAGGAATCACTTAATGAAAAAAATATCCGAATATCCCTATGCCTGTTATTATCTTTGATGGGTAGATATTCCTTGGAAGGTTTAATCCACAACTAGACCCTGTGAGCAGGGTAACTGGGATACCTGGATGGTACTGGATCCGTGGAATCAAGTGTAGTGATACTACGCGTGTCGGACTAGTATACTGAAATAGTGAGTTCAAGTCTGGCCAAGGGCATACATCTGTCTCCAAACATAAGCATGCTATGCATGCAAGAGTTATTTTTTGTAGGGTGGGTGGATTACTTGAAACATTGTAAGTGGTCTACATTCTTACAAAAGGAAAGAAGATTATTAACGCGGGAAAGAACGAAAATGTCGAATTACCTCACACACAGGTATTTTGTGGTAGATTATGTGTGTTGTGCGAATAAATGTAACCAAAAATAAACTGTATTGGTGCCACGGATACCTGTTAGTACAAAATGTAGACAGCAGACTGCAGACCAGATACAAAATATAGACTGCAGAGTGGATACAAAATGCAGACTGAGAATCTGAAGAGTTTTTACGTCTGGTATATAATAACATGTCATCTTACAGCTTACCGAGCGTCACGCAATCGCTTTTCCGCGATCAGCCTTCACGATTATTTGCACTATTGTGGAAAATTCCTGGCCCCTGTCTTGACGAAAATCGATCGTAATATAATTTCAAGCCTTCAACATAGTTGGTTGGTGTGATGTCTGTACAGATTTTACCAATGTAATAAAAGTAGATGACATGAATAATAGTGATGGTAAAGCAAGCTTAAAACGGCAACAATCGCCAGAAACTACAACGGATACACAGGGTATGAGTAAGTTTTATTGATTTTACGAGAAAAATCTTTATATTTCGAAATATTTATCGTTGTAGATCGACCATATTTCGTTCCCTATACTATTCCTTATAACGTGTTCAAATTTTCAACGGTTCCTAGCATAACTATTCCTGAGTCACACAACGCGTGACGCGCTCGTGAATTAATCGTTGGCTCTTTCACGAGACGTGACCTTGGGTCGCCTGTGACAAGACAATTGCGTAAACAATACTTAACATAATAACATTATACACAAAAAACACGGGATTCTGGATCATGTATTTATTAAAAAAGAATATCCATACAACTACAATGAAAAAAAATATAAGATTCACCTTTCTGATCGTGAAATTAATACCATTCGCACTGTTATCGTAGCTACGTTCCCAAGCATCAAGTGAATCCAACATGGCGTCTTTCTTCACAAGCAGTTTGCATCCATTTGAATTTTGTTCTTCAGTCACACGGTGGTAGTGTTGTTTAATAGATTGCATAGAGTATATGCAGTTTGGTTTCAGATTTCAGATTTTGCTTTTTAAAACGAGTTTTATTGATTTTACGAGAAAAATCTTCATATTTCGAAATATTTATCGTTGTAAATCGACCATATTTCGTTCCCTATACCATTCCTTACAACGTGTTCAAATTTTCAACGGTTCCTAGAATAACTTACTCTGAGTCACACAACGCGTGACGTGTTCGTGAATTAATCGTTGGCTCTTTATCGAGACGTGAAATTGGGTTGCCTGTGACAAGACAATTGCGTAAACAATACTTGACATAATAACATTATACACAAAAAAACACGGGATTTTGGATCATGTATTTATTAAAAAAGATTATCCATACAACTACAATGAAAACAAACATAAGATTCACCTTTCTGATCGTGAGATAAATACCATTCGCACTGTTATCGTAGCTACGTTCCCTGGCATCAAGTGAATCCAACATGGCGTCTTTCTTCACTAGCAGTTTGCATCCATTTGAATTTTGTTCTTCAGTCTCACGGTAGTAGTGTTGTTCAATAGATTGCATAGAGTATATGCAGTTTGGTTTCAGATTTCAGATTTTGCTTTCTACAACGAGTTTACGTTTCAACTAAGACATTGGCATACTTGGCATACAAGACATATAAGGCATTCAATGCTTTCATGGCTTTCAAGCGTTCGCGATTCTGTCCGATCCAAAATTACCGCTCAATAACATCTTTTTGTGTGGATTGGCCGCGAACAATACGACTTGTGTATGCGTCTATAAGTATTTTGAGCGTTTGCCCTATAATGCTCCAGATGATCGTAATCCAATTACGTTGAAATACAAAACGGCTGACAATATAGTTTTATGGGCAAAAATCTCGTGTTCGTCATGTGACCCGGCCCTGTCCGTGCATGACAACGTCAATCATCATCAAGATGGCACGCGTGATCAGCATGTAAACACCTCATTGGATCACAGTTAGTTGTCATGGTGTTGAGGGCCCATTGACCTCTGGGTACTATTGCGCAATTTTTCCATTTTGTGGCGGAGGAAAAAAACAAAAAAAACAAAAAAAAAAGACGACAAAAAAACAAAGGCATTTTATGACTGGGCTACCACAGGTATCCCAGTAAAAAAAAACTAGACCCTGTGAACAGGGTAACTGGGATACCTGGATGGTACTGGATCCTTGGAATCAAGTGTAGTGATACTACGGGTGTCGGATTAGTATACTGAAATAGTGAGCTCAAGTCTGGCTAAGGGCATACACCTATTTCAAAACATAGGCATGCTATGCATGCAAGTGTTATTTTTTGTAGGGTGGGTGGATTACTTGTGGTCTACATTCTTACAAAAGGAAAGAAGAGTATTAACGTGGAAAAGAACGAAAATGTCGAATTACCTCACACACAGGTATTTTGTGGTAGATTATGTGTGTTGTGCGAATAAATATAACCAAAAATAAACTGTATTGGTGCCACAGATACCTGTTAGTACAAAATGCAGTCAGCAGACCGGATACAAAATATAGACTGGAGACTGCAGAGTGGGTACAAAATGCAGACTGAGAATCTGAAGAGTTTTTACGTCTGGTAAATAATAACATGTCATCTTACAGCTTACCGAGCGTCACGCAATCGCTTTTCCTCAATCAGCCTTCACGATTATTTGAACTATTGTGGAAAATTCCTTGCCCATTTCTTGATGAAAATCGATCATAATATAATTTCAAGCCTTCAATATACTCTTCTTACTTTGTGAGCGAGTTGGTTTGTGTGATGTCTGTACAGATTTTACCAACCTAACAAAAGTAGATGATGTGAATAACAGTGATGGTAAAGCAAGCTTAAAACGGCAAAAATCACCAGAAACTACAACGGATACACAATTCGCGACTCAATCCAG